GAATATACAAGATAAAAGAACACTTTAATTTTGTACACCCATTAACTTTGTTTTAAATAAAATCATTAACAAAGTTAAAATAAAAAAGAAAAAAATTTCAACAGAAAAAATGACTTCAAGAAATATTAAAATACTAGTTAACAATGAACAGCCATGATATATATGTAAGGAATCTAACTGAAAATCCAGTAGATACGCAATTCTGAGGGTAACACCTGAGTGTAAGGGTTGAGGATTGGTACAGCCATGTGCGCAGAGGCTCCTATAAGGTATTGAATCTGATTGGAGGATTTCCAGGGAGTGATAATTATATCAAATCTTGTCAAGAGGCCTTTAATTATTGAAAGATATGCCAGGGGTAATCATCTTATTTAAATACATCTTAGTAATGATATTAAGAGCTACCTCTTAATATCATACAAGAACAACAAGAAGAAGAAGTAATAATACTACATCGGGTTTATTAATTAGTGATATATAGAGCTTACGTAAGAGTGTTTATACTTATACTAATTGATATGATTCATCCTTTTACATACAACAACTCTTACAATATATTGTAACAAAGTTTAATTTTTTATTTACACCACTTTTATGAAAATATTTTATTTTCTTTGTATATAATACTTTTTTAATTAAATAAACGAAGGTGATCTTTAGAAACAGTTCCATTATATAATGTTGAATATATAAAATAGTATATGTTAAGTCAAGAATGTTTGTAGCAAAATAATATTGTGAACGATTATTCTTATTATAAGTTATATAATTAATACGACATAAAAAACAAGATTAAAGAGCATCTTATGGACTATTATTTTTAAATTCTCTATGTTTTTTCCACCTTTTTGCCTAAAGTATCTCTCAAAAATACTTAAACAGTAACAATTATCAACTCTACTTCTTTGCAAGCCAAGAAACAAATCACTTGAAAGGAATTTTAAATCCCTTTTTATTAAATAACAACCAATCACGAAATAGATACATTCAAGCTTAATAAACACTAATAAAAAAACCCTAAACAATATTTTTCTATTACATATTCTAAACCCTCTTTCCTTATCAAGAACTGGGGGATATTATTAGTGTTGCTATTTTTTTTTCAATTCTACATCGCTAGTTATATAATATTCTTTTCTAAGAGTACTACAAATTAAAATATAAAAAATTAAGTGAACAAGTAATCTTCAAAAGCATCTAGAGTGATCATGTTGAAATATGATTAAAGTTACGTTTGATAATCTAAATTCACCGTACTAAGTGATTAAAAGTTATGAAAATTTATATTAAAGAAGATTCGAAGATAAAATAAGCATACTGTATAATATTGTATCTTGGATATTACTTATGTAGAAAGAAAAAGACCAAACAATACAACAACAATTTATATTACCACTAACTTCTTACTATAAATAACCAGAAAACTTATAATACCATCAATAATTTATTGTAAGTTACATTATCGTATTGTATTAGTTTAAAATGAACTCTACTAGAATTTTTAATTCCGGAGCCTTGCCTCAACAGGTCAATACAAAAAGAGAGTAAAAGATAAAAATACAGCACTAATTCTAATAAGAATGTACTAATTTTCCTTTTAAGCATTCTTGTTTTGTTATAAATATGAGATTAGCCAACACAACATATATTTTGACATAAAGTAAAAACATTATACTTTAAATAAGAATTAAAAATCTTTCTAAACACAAAACCGAGGCCCTCCCTCCTTTTTTTATCACACTAACAAATTGTGCAAGTATCAACAAAAAAAAAAAATAAAAATAGACATTAAATAAGGCAATAAGGAAAAGTTCCAATCCGTTAAACTGCTTTTTCATCTGTGCCTACAGATGTCTATTATTCTAAATACTTTGAAACTTTTTATTCAAAGATTAATACAATTTTAATACTGTAATAATTCATTTGCCCATTTTTATTTTTGTAGGGAGTGGGGAGGGGGGGAGCGGTTTAACTAGACTACCCCACATTAATATGTCTAATTATCTTAAAATAGATATACATAAAATAATAGATCGAATGAACAGTAACTTATCATCTTAGCCTACAATATTTACTTTTTTGATTTACTGTTTAAACCAAAACTGCTTTTTATTTAGATTTGGTTAAGAAAAATCTTAAAAAAAAAAATAAGAACAATAACCTATAAAGCCCAACACAATAAACTTAGATATAATAGATTACAAAATTTTTGATATTTTGTTAATTATCAGTTGATTTTTTTAGTTCTTAATATCTCTTTAATCTTTCATAACAGTTTCCATATGTAACATTACATAGTAGAGAGTTATTGATAATATGATTATTAAAATCCTTACTATTTTCCAGTATTGTATAATTTTTCTTGTGGTCGGGACAAATGTTAGCGCACTAAAAGAGTTTAAAAACAAAAAAATTGAAAAAAATAAAAAGAGATACATATATAACACCGATACAAAAAAAGTCGGGCAGAAGACAAGATTTTGTATTCTCTGAATAATTATAGTTATCTGAAGTTAGGGTTTGTTCAAAAAATATTTTGGAACCATGCATTTACATGGATTTCGTGTAGAGTTTCAGACTGAATAATATACTTTAAGAAAACTCGACCATGAACTTCTCTTCTCTATGTATTCATTTTTCTACGATACTATAAATCTGCGGGAAATTCATGTAAAATATCCAATTTATAGATTTATAACTAGTCATTTAATATCTTTCTACTAAAGTCTAGTGGTATTAGTTGGACAACTGGAAAGGAAAAAAAGTTATTCTTTACAGTAACTAAGTATAAAAAATATGTTGATACTAAAGACGTATATTCAATCACATACAGTAATTAACGAGAAGTCATAGCATTGCCTGCTTTTGTATATTCATTACTGCCTATACAATTATTCATGGATAATAACTGGTCTTTGCTCAAACCAATATTATTATAGTTCAGCCTTAAAAACATTTGACATACAGTGCAAGGTAGTAGGGTTGTAATAAAAATTCCAGAAACTTTTCTTTAGAGGTACATTTTTTTTACAAGACTTTTTGTGTAAGAGATTTTAAAAAGACGCCGTCAATAGTGAGATAATTTCCTAATTCTAGCTTTATTGATATGAAAAATAACCCCACTTTACAATAATAAATAAAAAAAATAAAAAAAAATTTTTCTTCTCCTTGCTATTGTTTCTGTTTTTAGAAAAAATTTTCTAGGAACTATTCTTTCTCGAAAATTTTACAGAAAAAAAAAAGTTTATTTCTTTTTTAATTTATACAATGGTAATTTCTCCAGAAAAAGAAATTTTTCGTTTCAAATTTATGTCTACATTAGATATTCTAATTTTAACAAAAACCATTATCTCCAGGACTCGACAAAAGAATAACACCGACATCCTTTGCATATAATTTTTTTTAGGTGTTTGGTATCACATTTTCATTTTTTAAAAAAAAAAACATTTCTACATAGAACAGACAAGTTATAGTAATACTTCGGTGTTTTCTTGAAAATATAGTTGTTAAGAAAACAAACGATACTTCAAGTAAATGATACAAGAAAGTAGTTTCTCTTGACTGGAAAACCCTTTCCCTCCTTTCGTAAATAGATATTAATACTAATATAAGAAAAAATAATTACTTAATCCTACAATTTTGTTTCACGATATTCCCAAAGCTGTTTGTTTTCTGTTCCTTCTGTATTCCCACTATTTAGCTTCATTGCTTCATTTCGATAAGGCTTTTCCTCTTTTTTTTAAACACCTTTTTTGTTCTAAATTTGCCTGAAATTTTAGGGAACTTAAAATCCACAATTATTTTCTTGTCAAAATTTCCAAAGTGTTTTTTTTTTTATTTTTTATGTTTTCCATTTACAGAAAAATATAAACACTAGCAAAATTCCGTCCTATTGTGCTAAATACTGTATTGTAAAAGTTTTTTTATTGAGTTTCTAAACAATAGGCCCCGAAGCAAGTATACGGGGGTCAATTTTTCTTTTTATAGCTTTCTTAGAAAATTTTTTTGTATTACTTTTTCAAAAGCAGTGTATACCATACATTATAATAAACTTAGAATAATATTAAGGGTTTTTAGAAAACAGGCAAACTCTCTAATTAATTTTGTTTTTATAGTATGGGGTGACTTAAATAATAAAATTTTTCTTTTTGTATTATATTTTTCATTTTAACCCTAATTTCTATATTATTTGATCAACACAAAAAAAAAGAACAATCAAAAAAAATAATAAAATATGTCATTTATTGTTCAACGGAACTTTCTATTTTTTTCTACCCCACATAAATGTGAGAATTTCTTAAAAGAAATGAATTTCAGTTTACTTTTTTTTACTTACTTTTTCTTCTTTAACATTAAATTTCTTTTTAGTTAATAATGTTAAGACAGTACATCGTACAAAAAAAAACCTTTCCTCCCCCCCGAATTCGGGGGATGTTCAACAGAAAGAACAATAGAAAATTTTTATGTCCTTCTAGGGCCCCACATTTGTACACCGATAATAATCTTCATATTGTTTTGCGTATATTGTACTCTCTACAAAAATTCCTTTTCTTATTGTTACTGAAGTTGTATTACACAGAATTCCCATATTGTTATGTTCCCCCTACTAACAGGGGCATTCAAGAAGATCTTACGATCTTATTTTTCATTTTTCATTTTTAGGTTTACTTTTTTGTATTGTATTGTTTAGAAATTAATCTGGAGGAGGCTACAATATGCAACAACGAGGAGTAGAAGCCGATTCGAGATAGGAATGAAAAATTTTTTCGCATTGTGTTCGAAGCTCAAAATATAGAGCAAAAAATTAGCGATACAAAGTAATCAAAATTCATCAATCAATAAAAAAAATCATATATAAAGAAGCAATATTCAAGTTAGGTGAATCTCGCATCAGTCGCCTTTCTTTCCTTTCTGTCATATCACGTTCAGGAAGACCGTCGAGACAACTTTAATTTGAAAAGTTATCATATTTATTAAAATAAACAAGAATAAAAAAAATAATGTCAGAGGCTGATGAAAGTCAAGTTGTCGTTGGACAACAAGAAAATGATTCTCATTCCATTATCTCCACTCCGTCTAACAAGGCTGAGGGTGACGAATTAAAGGATTACAACAGTGATGGTGCTGAAGAGCATTTACCAGAAATGCCAGTGAAACCTGCTTCTGCATATGTTACCATTTCTATTATGTGTGTTATGGTTGCCTTCGGTGGTTTCGTGTTCGGTTGGGATACCGGTACCATTTCTGGTTTCATTAACCAAACAGATTTCATCAGAAGATTGGGTCAAGTCAACCACAGTGGTGAACACTATCTATCTACTGTCAGAACTGGTTTAATTGTCTCTATTCTTAACATTGGTTGTGCTATCGGTGGTATCATCTTATCTAAAGCCGGTGATATGTACGGTCGTAGAATGGGTTTGATTATTGTCGTTGTTATTTACATTGTTGGTATTGTTATTCAAATTGCTACTATCAACAAGTGGTTCCAATACTTCATTGGTAGAATTATCTCCGGTCTGGGTATTGGTGGTATTGCTGTTTTATCCCCAATGTTAATCGCTGAAGTCTCTCCAAAGCATTTAAGAGGTAGTTTAGTCGCTTGTTTCCAATTGATGATTACCTTAGGTATTTTCTTAGGTTACTGTACTAACTATGGTACCAAGAACTACTCTAACTCAGTCCAATGGAGAGTTCCATTAGGTTTATGTTTCGCCTGGGCCTTGTTCATGATCGGTGGTATGACTTTTGTTCCAGAGTCTCCACGTTATTTATGTGAAAAAGGTAGAGTTGAAGAAGCCAAGCGTTCTGTTGCCATTTCTAACAAGGTCTCTGTTGATGATCCATCTGTTCTTGCCGAAATCGAGTTGATTCAAGCTGGTATTGAAGCTGAAAGAGAAGCTGGTACTGCCTCCTGGGGTGAATTATTCTCTGTTAAAGAAAAGGTTTTCCAAAGATTAATTATGGGTTGTATGATTCAATCTCTACAGCAATTGACTGGTGATAACTACTTCTTCTACTATGGTACTACTATTTTCAAGGCTGTTGGTTTGAAGGATTCTTTCGAAACTTCTATTGTCATTGGTATTGTTAACTTTGCTTCTACTTTCGTTGGTATTTACTTAGTTGGTAGATATGGTAGAAGAACTTGTTTGTTATGGGGTGCTGCCACCATGACTGCTTGTATGGTTATTTACGCTTCTGTTGGTGTCACTAGATTATACCCAGATGGTAGTAAGAATACCTCTGTTTCCTCCAAGGGTGCTGGTAACTGTATGATTTGTTTCACTTGTTTCTACATTTTCTGTTTCGCTACCACTTGGGCTCCAATTCCATATATCGTCAACTCCGAAACTTTCCCATTAAGAGTTAAGTCTAAGTGTATGGCTATTGCTCAAGGTTGCAACTGGATTTGGGGTTTCTTAATTGGTTTCTTCACTCCATTTATTACCAAGGCTATCAACTTCTATTACGGTTACGTGTTCATGGGTTGTTTATGTTTCTCTTTCTTCTACGTTTTCTTCTTCATTCCAGAAACCAAGGGTTTAACTTTAGAAGAAGTTAATATTATGTGGTTAGAAGGTACTTTACCATGGAAATCTACCAGTTGGGTTCCACCATCTAAGAGAGGTGCTGATTACGATGTCAATGCCTTAGCTAATGATGACAAGCCAGTCTACAAGAGAATGTTTGGTAGAAACTAGGTCTACAAGATCTCTTAAGGTTTTTTCTCTAATATTCAGTACTTAATTTTAATGTTTTTAATGATTTAATCACGCGTTTAATATCTATAATCTTAATACTTAATATTTTATATTTTTATATTTTTTAGTTTAATACATCCAATAATTTGTAAGTTTTAATACTTGTGCTTTTGTTTCTTTTACTATGATTCTAGACAGTGGTCCATCCTTTATCCCAATTTAGAAAGTATGGGGGCTGCCAGGGAAAGACTTTTTCTTTGCGAGCACTTTTCTTTCTTTTTTCTTTTTCCTCTCAAAAAGAACCATCGTGTTTTTAAATAATTATATTTACAAAAGTAAGTCTGTATTAAGTATCCGTAGACCTTGAACCTACTATTAACAACAAATATTATCTAACAAGTAAGTTTACAAACATTTAAGTAGTATATAAAACATCTTTGAAATATATGAAACGATGGTTCCTTGTAGACACTAACACTCTTTTAAAGCAATAGGAATTTTTCATATGTCATAAACAACTTTACTCAAAACTATAAAACAAAACATAATCAATGAAGATAACAACTCGAATATATACTATTTATTGTCATTAAAATAATGGAATATTAGATGTTGTTTCAACCTAAAATTGTCAAAGATAAGGGAAAATATTGTACAAGCAGTGTTTATCTTTTTTTTTTTTGTGTGTATGTATTTGCTTGCTTTAAAACATGTTATTTCTTTTTCTCAAAAATACAGGCCGCATAAACAATTATTTGATAATCTTTGATCTGTTTCCCCTTTGCCGTCACAATCAGGTACTCAAGCATTCTAATTAAGTATCAAAATTTCAACTAATACTAACAGATAATCAACATTAAAAGGTTTTTAATTGTTTTTATATACAGGAATACTATTTTTTAACGAAGAATATTTTTATTATTCTCTATCTAGCTTTGATATCAATGTTACTTATATGTAACTTTCCAGACAGGTTTCCTCAGTATTTATGTTAAATTTTCTTATTCATACTTAAGCCTGGCAGCCAAGTTATCTCCGTTATATCGCAAAAACAAGGTCGGATATGAATATTATGCTTTTTTTTGTGTCTGTAGTAATACATTGAAAGTTATCACTGTTATCTATTATTCTTTCTAATTTTTTAAAAAAGATCATATTTGAACGTACTATTTTCAGAGTTTAAAATGGCAGTAATTGAATACCATTTTCTTCTCTAACTCTATGTACAATCGCATTGCACAGTACTAATATAGTAGAAATGAACCTTTTTTATCAATACTTTCATAAATAAATAATTTAATTGCTAAACGAATACTAAGTACAGCATTTTCTATATTTGTAAACAATTCTATTTTTCTGACATCACTCAGCTTTGTTTAAAAAAATGTTTGAGATTTACCAAGGGATTTTTATCTTACTATCACTTTGGAGCTATATACTTAAGGCATAAAGATCTAATATTTTCTTTTGAGTGAGACTGACAAGACTTCATTCCAGTCTTCTTGAAATAAGTAATAGAAATAGATTCGTAAGACATCAACTTTTACTGTTTTTATATTTCGCATTCATAGGAAGATCCACCCAAGGTGTTGGTGAAACTAGTGGTTATAGACACTTAATAAAGTTATTAGTTTATTTTGCTATAATTAGAATTCTTTTTTTTCCTGTGTAAATAATAAATATAAAATATAATATAATTACAAAAATGTTAAGGGTGAACTTGTGAAAGTTGTTTCTTTACATTTCTCCATTTTTTTGTAACTAATATCAACTTTAAAACAAATAATCGATTTTCACTTATTTCTTATCCATTACTTCCTTTATTAGTTTTTAATAGTGTTATGATTAATAATGTTTAATGATTTATCCGCAAATATGTTTTGATATACTTAACACACACTTAAATTATTCAATCTCATGTGACAAACTAACAAAAAAGAATCATTAAGTTACAAGGGTATTCAAACAAGTGTCCATCAAAATAGACCATCTTTTTTCTTACTGTATTGTTGTATTCAAACATATGTGGTTTAAATATGACATACCTTATTAACATACGCATTGTTGATTACATCTTTTAGATAATTTACATGATATTACAACATATTTCATCATATTATTTTCACAAATGTAATATTTTGCGTGCAAAGCCCATACTGGGTAAAACATATACTAATGAAGATTAGTCTTCATTTTTAAGAGAATAAAAGCTCAATAAACTGAACAAAGTTTCCGTTATATTTGTCAAGATCTTTCTCACAGTCTCTCTATTTTCTTCTTTTTTTAATGTATATTGTCCCGACATGATAGAAAGTTGGATTTAGAACCATCACTTGCGATCAAATTTCCACATGTAACGACTGAGTTCGATTTCTTGTTGTAATTATAGTTTCTAGTAGCCTCCTAAAACCATAGAAGGGAACAATACACACAAGAAAAAAAATCCCATTGGCTCACAATGTTATCAAATATCCAAATTCTATTTCTAAGAATATATTCGCAACAAAAATATAACACATTCTTGTCATAAAATGAAGAAAATCCAAAAACATAGACATTTGCAATATCTGAAACGTTCTAACTGATTTAGAATATAAAACATGACATTCTTTTTTTTTTTTTTTTTTCTCTTTCTGTAATTACCGAAATTAAGAAATGTCAGAAATAACATATTTCTCTAAAATCCGTGCTTGTTTGCAAAGATCCTTTGCCCACAATTGGAGTTTTTCTTTGTCCTACACAGAAAAGAAAAAATGAGCTAGACTAGCCATTGACAAGAATAGAAGCAGAATAAAAAAAAAGCAACCAACATAGTAATTTCTCAAATATGTAAACAAATATATTCTTTGCTTTTTCGCGTTTTACCCCTTTTTTACATCTTGGCTAGCCCTCATAATACAATAGCATATGCAAGGGTCGTCAGGATAGTTTTACATATAAAAACTTTGAAAACGCGAATCTTCTTTTCTTTTGTTTTTGTTCCCCCCGTATCTTATAACCGCGATAGAATAATTTTTCTGAAAAGCCCTAATTCTCGGTTGCTTTTTTTTTATAAATTTTTTTTCTTATCACCAAAGAAAACCCTGATTGCAACAGAGTTGTGCCATACAGTTAACCAGCTAATAAGAAATCAAGAAACAAGATCACCTAACTACCCTTGTTGTAATACCTTATTCTAGTGATCCATAATAATTTAAATCTTTCCATATATTTTTACTCTCATTAAACATCAAACTTAACATGACTATTTTAAGAGCGTGAAGTAATATCCTAACGTAATATCAACGCAGGCTTAAAATCTTTGTAACTATTTTTATCTACTTTTTTTAAACGTCTAGGCCCAGTAGCATGTAAGACCCTTTAAAAATATTAAAACAATCTCAAAACCATTAAAATTCCATATCCATAACCCTAACCTTATCATATTTCATGGAGACCTAGGGGTATATGCCAAAAAACCAAACAAACATCACAATAGATCGTTTTAACGCATATATGACACTGTATTTCTTTGTTTACTTTTTTTTGTCGGCTTTTTGCATTCGCGTCTGTGATTCCTTTTTGGTTTTTGTTTACAATAAATTATATTCGCGTTTACCGTTTCTCATTTCCAAAGTGGGTAAAAGCAAAATATATTTTGTAGCATTCAAAACAATTCCTTACTTTTTTATTACATAATTTCTTTTTCTAAAGAACAAAATAAGACAAAACAAGTTTCATTCGATAAATAGTAGGTTCATAAGAATCAATCTTCAAAAAATTTGATATATAAATGCAGGATAATTGTCTCAAACATCAATTCCGAGGTGTTCTCCAAAACATTTACCTCATTATCGATTCTCAATGTCTGAAGAAACCGAACAAAACAAACCACTCGCTTACGCATATACAGTAATAAATAAAAATGCAATTCACTACCGCTATCGTTGCTGCCACCGCCGCTTTAATCAACTACGTTTCTGCTGAATCCGTTGTTGCCATCTCTCAAATTACTGATGGTCAAATCCAAGCTACTCACACCGCTGCCTCTGCTTCTCACGCCACTGCTTCTTCTTCCGCTCACACCACTGCTACTGTTTCCCAATTCTCTTCCAACGGTGCTGCTAAGGCTGTTGCTGGTTTAGGTGCTGGTGTTGCTGCTGCTGCTGCTTTCTTATTATAAGGGTGATAGATAACATTATCATTTTCTTTTTTCTTTTGTCTTAAAAATATAATTTTATTTTTCTCTCTTTAAGAAATTTTAAGGGTTTATTGGTATAACTACATTTGATGAAAGTTTTCATTATTTATACATTCTTATTATATACTATATAACGTTTTTAATTTAAGCAGTTTAATACGATACCGAAGTTTTTTTTTTGAAGTTCTCTTCACATAATGTTTAGATATTCTTCTTGTTATGTTTTTTGTCCTTTACAAGGATAATTCGCAGTCTCCCTTCTCCATTTATAACTGGGAGGGAAGAGTACTTCCTCAATTTCTTAGTTTTATGTATTCAGTACATGTGTTGTATAATAACCGCCTTTTAGATTTATCTATTTTTAACAATATCCATGAACCCATATAGAACCTTAGAAAGCACTAATCTAATTAATTAAAAGACCTTAGATCAAAGTATTAAATATAGACAAACAAGCATTACAAACTCTTCAAAAAGACAATAAACAGAAACTGTAGTAGGCAACTCAGAAGATAAACATTCTATTTAGCTTCAAATATTATCCAATAGTAACTACAAAACTTTAAACAATACTCCATACCTCTTATAATGATTACTTAAAAGATCAACTTTCAGATGTGATCAACTTTATGATCCTATAACTTAAAACCTTTGTTGTTTTATTTAAAAACAAAGCATAATAAATATCCTGTTAATAACAATAGTTTAGATCCAATTACTTTATTATAAATTTAACATCGCCTCTATCGTAAGTAACTTATAGAAAACAATGCTTCTTATTGTAATCTAATACTTTTAATAGTAAAATACATTATTGAATAGAAGAATAATATTCTTTGTATATTTCAAGAGAGAGTGAATAAACGTTTTATATCTTTCTCTTTCTCTTTCCCTCTCCTGTACCTTTCTCAATGTTCTTTCAAATTATCCGTCTACTCTTAGTAGAATAATATCCTTAGCGATTATCGTGATCCTAATCTTTATCTGTCACTGGATTTTTTTTTTTTCATAATATTTTATCTTCCGTCTCCATCAATAAAAAAAAATCCATTTAAACAGGAGCATTACTATAATAATATAATATAAAACTTTGAGGAATTTCAAAACTCAAGATCATGTAAAGAGATGGGAAGAAATAGATCAATAAACTTTAAAATTTGAATAGAGAAAAAATCTGCTTTTGATAATTATCTATGTAATCTCACTGTTGGTTAGTGATTATACTGAATAAGGTGGTTATCAATTAAAAATACTTTTCAAAAGACAAAAAATAATCAACTTTTAAATATGCCTACATTATTATACAGATTGAGTAATTCTCCAAATAATGAGAACAAATAAAATTCGTTCAATATATAGCTACAAAACACTGACCAGAGTCCTTTTTAAACTACTTGGATTTACTATTGTTAAACTGGGGACTCCAGAGTATTGATTTGAAAAAATTTCGAGTTATACTTCCTAACCAAGTTATATAATCATTCTATCTAATTCAATGATCTTTTTTTCTCTTCATAGGTTCTGTGTTTTTGAACTTTTAAAGTATATCATTCTGGAATAGCTGAACATTTATCATAATGATATGTCCAACATCAGCTACTTCTTTAATAACTATTGGAATAAATACTCTCCTAACACTTAACAAAGTAATTATAAGAGTTGTTGTATGTAAAAGGATGAATCATATCAATTAGTATAAGTATAAACACTCTTACGTAAGCTCTATATATCACTAATTAATAAACCCGATGTAGTATTATTACTTCTTCTTGTTGTTCTTGTATGATATTAAGAGGTAGCTCTTAATATCATTACTAAGATGTATTTAAATAAGATGATTGCCCCTGGCATATCTCTCAATAATCAAAGGCCTCTTGACAGGATCTGATATAATTATCACTCCCTGGAAATCCTCCACTCAGATTCAATACCTTATACGAGCCACTGCGCACATGGCTATACCAATCCTCCACCCAGACATTCAGGTATTACCTTCGGAATTGCATATCTACTGGATTTCCAGTTAGGTTCCTTACAGTAATATAATGATCTTTATTCAGACTAAGTAAAGTAGAACAATATCCTACTTGGTACTTGTAGAGAAAAAGAGAACTAGATTTTTAATTCAAACAAGAACCTAAATATAAAGCTAAATCAACTCCTACTCTATCTTCCTCTATTAAAGAATTCACTTTTAATTCACTCATTAACGTGCTTATTTCTTTTAATGTTACAATTTTCCAAGTGAGTTTATTACTATTGAGATCTTTAAAAATGTTAATGGGAAGTTGCCAATTGCAAAACCTGAACACATAATAGCGAACTAAATTTTCATTCATGCTGTGAAAAAGCAAGATCTAGTCTTATGCATGTTAATTGTCTTAAATTATCCGTATATTAATGGTTTTAAGTTAAATTAAACCAACATATTAGTCATCTAAGGAATATTAATTCTCTTTCTTCTGAACTATACGGAAAACTTATATAGTATTAAGTATTCCTTAACAAGATGCTAATTTTTTTTTTTAATTTTTTTTCATTTCAATTTGTTTAAACAGTATCAATTTGAATAATAATTTCTTGTAAATCTTCTTTGCCAAAATTTCATTTTTTTGATAAGATGCCTTTTGAACCAGACTGTTATGTTATAATTGCATAGAAAAACGGAGAATTTGTGACAGTTACGACTATAATGTTGACTGCTTTAATTGTAATTTCTTTGAAAATTCTTTTTTCTTTTACTGAATAGGCACTAAATTGATTGAAATATTCCTTATTAAATTACTCATTATCAAATGAAATAATCACATATAACTCTATTGCTTTTAGGCATTGTTCAATCCGTATTTTCTTCCTTTGCAAGTTTCTTCAAATGCTGACAAACACGATTGAATACATCGTAACAGTAACTCTTTAGTTTTTGGAATAGCGTCGATATTTCTTCTGTTCGTATTAATTGTAATAAATCCAAAATTGCACCTTAGATCAATAGTTTTTTCAATAAATTCTTTCATTTAACATATTAGACTTTAAGATGAAAAACACATAGGAGTGCTAACAGATATCTTTTGCCTTAGTAATCACTTATAATATCATGGCATTCTCTCAATGTACTATCGACTATCCTATTAATAAGACCGTAACCACAATAAACAATAAAATAGTTGATTTTTGGAATCTCTACTAAAATCTCTGTTTAATTTTAACTCCTTAATAATAGATAAACTAACTGTTGTTTTTTAATAGTATTTTACAACTTCAAAGATAAGCATTTTTCTCCCATATTTTGGAGAAATATTTAAACTATAATTTTTAGGTATTTCTTCTGGACTTTATATTGCAATACTCAATTAGTCGTAATTAATGGTTAGAATGATACTGAACAGTATTTACATATAAAAGTTTTTCTGAACAATTATCATCATGATATGTGATTTTATCTTGGTAAAATTTGTATCCTGGTATTTATTATTTTTTTGGTAATTTTATTGTAAACAATATAGTCAAGAACATATTGTTAACCAATAATATCTAAAACATTATCAATAGTTATAATGTTAAAGTTTCTAATTTTCGCATTAAAGGAATGTGAAAACAATTCAATGAACTAATAAGGAACTACAATAAGAATATTGTATCTTAAGTTAATATTAAATTTGACTACTTTTAACATATGTAACAAACATCGCAGGGAATAAGTATCAATTTCATTGACTTTAACAAAACAACGCCTTTTTAATGGATAAAAGTCCCAAGATATAATCATATTTATCATATTCAAAAAAATTTTTTTTTAGTCTTAAAAATCAATAAATCCCATTACGCATGATTTATATTAAAACTAACTTCCAATTCTTTTTCTTAGATGTCATTTTTTTAAAATGTTATCACTATTAGTTAATTATATATTCAATTGATGTCTATTTTCAATTTTTTTTAAATAATTTAAGTTAATTAAAAAGACTGCGGTCAAAGTATAAATTTATATAAGTAATATTTCTTGACGTATATTTAGATATTCCAATATACTCTATTTTTTGTTTTAGCTTGATCGAAAATTTTAAAGCATATTTCCTCCAATAAAAAATTAATAAAAAAAAGAACCTACCTAATTAAAATCTTACAATCCCAAGAAAGATAAATATATTACATCAACTGAAATAAAACCAAAATTCATGCATTCCAAAATCCAGTAAACTTGTTATAAGGTATAATATAGATCCCAGAAAAAATATTTTTATTTTTCAAAGCAAGACCTTTCATTCATTAGATGAATTTTTGACCGATTTAATGTGTATCCTGTCTTTGACTATGAAGACTCCTAAAAAAAAAATAAACAGTAATAGTAAATTTTAAATACATTCGAAAAACAGTAAATAATAAAACTGAAAATTTCGGGTTTAATAACCTTAGAGACACACAACTAATTGTTAATGCTTTCTATACAACAGTTCTTGTTGGTAAATGTGTCAAAATTATTAACACCTTACGTAATAAGTAATAATAATATTTACATGCTGCAAAAAAAAATTTTAAATCAGGATATTCTTTTGAAAGTTTCTTTTTTTCATTCGTTACTAAACTTGACTAATAACTCTAAAAAAAGATTTAGTATATACATGATTCTAAAAAATGACGTAATTTATATTAACCCATATTTCTTTTCACCTAAAACGGATATAGTATTCCTAATGAGGAAATTATTGGGATTAATTTATGACATGGAAAAATTTTCAATTTTCCCAAAAAGGATAAATGTATTTTATTTTTATCTACAGTAATTAATCTCTCTCCTGAAAAAAAAAATAGATTGAAAAATAAACTACTTCAATTTCCAAAAAAGGAAATATTTCAATAATTAATTTGTTTATGCATTACTTAATTTAGTAAATAGGTTACATCTTCGACTTCTTTTCTTTTTTTTTTCTCCTCAGTCCTCGAGTTAAATATAAATAGTATTAACTCTGAAGAAACATTCAAGTTATGAAAAATTGTAACATATATAAAGTGAGTATTTGAGATTGGGAAAACTTTTCTGCGTTCGTTTTTTAAATGTAATTTTACAAATAGAATAAATCAGCCAGAAAGAAAAATCCTGGATTTTTTAATAAACTGAAAAAGTATCATACTACAAATATATCTTCACACAACAGACAAATATACTAAAATGCAATTAACTTCTACATTCGCTTGCGCTTTATTAGCCTTCGCTAACGTTGTTTTTGCCGATTCCCCAAAATTTGGTATTGTGTCTATTCATTCTGCCTCTCCTGCTCATTTATTAAGTCTATATGATAAAAATGGTTTAGTTCTATCTGGTGGTCTTGACGCCTTGTCCAGTGTTATCACAGATGACGGAAAATTAAAGTTTTCTAATGGTAAATATGCTGTAATTGGTTCAGATGGTAGATGGACCGAAGGTACTGAGGCTGAAGGTTCTACCGGGTTTGCTATTTCAGACAGTGAACTTACTTACAAGGGTTCTAGCAATTTCTATGCAATTCCAACATCTACTGCTGGATCCTTCTACGTTTCTCAAACTGGTGCTAGTGATGCTATTAGTATAGCATTATCCGCTTGGACTCCAAACGGTTCCCATGCTCCTGACTACACTCCAACTGGTGGTGATTCCAATTCTGTTTCTGCCTCTACTTCTGCTTCTGTTTCTGCTGCTTCAACTACAAAAGCCACTGCTGCTGCTGTCTCCCAAATTGGTGATGGTCAAGTTCAAGCCACTACTGCTGCCACTGTTGCAGCTATTTCTCAAATTGGTGACGGTCAAGTCCAAGCAACTCATAGCGTTCAACTTCAATCAGAAAACGGTGCTGCTCAATATGGTGTCAGTGCAGGTGCTCTTGCTGTTGCTGCTGCCTTATTATTCTAATTGAAAAATTTCTAATATTTTTCATGCATATCCCTATTTTACAACCGCATTTGTTACCCTAGATTTTAGGTTCTTTTTAATTTTTTTTATAGTTATGTTTCTCTATAAATGGAAAAAAGGAACTTTTGATGACTATATACCAATATAAATAATATACTAATACCGTAATTTAATAAATCAATTAAGTAATATAACCAAGAGTACAAGAAGATAGATAAATACTTATCATTTGTTTATATAGTGTGTGTATGTGTGTGTACAGCACAATTCGTGATGTTTCCTGCGAACATATCTAAAAGTTGTTTGGGTGTATGTATGTTTATATTCACTCCAGGGTATTTGATGAAATCTTTAACATAACTTATGTCCAATAGAATAATTTATGTACCAGCTGATATTCCTTTCTAAGATTTAAAACCTGCCATATCTCTTGAACAAAGTTACAAGAAGAGAACTTTAGAAGGTCTACAATTCAAGCATAGCAGACTGGAAACAATATTCTGAGTCCTCTACAATTACAATAGTAATATAAAATTAGGTTGTGCAGTATGCGTCTTGGAATCATTATGAATCTCTTTTTTTTTTTCTTTTGCAGGATTATAATTTTATAGAAAAATCAACACATAAAAGGAATGTGTTTATATTTTTGTCATCTTAATATAATTTACTCAGTCTGAACTCTATACAGAATTCATATAAAATACTCGAGTTACAGGTTTACACCTACCAGCCTTATGTCTTCTTCCTAGTATCCAGTAATAGTAGTAGGTGGGTGGAAGGAAAAAAAAATTCTTAGAATAACTAAGTATAGACAATACGCTAATATTAAAAACGTGTATACAACAACGATTACAAAAAGGCAATTTGTGGTGGATCATGTCGTTATTTGTCTCTGTATATTCACTACTGTCCTTGAATAATTATTAGGTTTTGTTCCAACCAATGTTCTTATGATTCAATTAAAAAAAAAAAGATTAGATATGCAACGTGTCACGGTGGAGTTGTAATAAAGCTTCTAATGGCTTTTCTTTAGGGATACATTTTTCTAGAAGACTTGTTATATGAATAAATTTAATGAGAAACGGCAAAAAAAATAGGAAAAAATAAAAAAACCTTTAAATGTGATTGAATGAACAACTACACATCCGTACACCCTTACCCCATTGAAATGCATAATAATACACTCTTTTGTTGTTTTAGTTGACTAAAAAAAGAAAAAAACAATAATCAAGGGAGACTGAATGAGATGTCCGGATGTAAATACAATATAATTGTAAGGTCGTATTATCGCCCCACATTATATCCAAACGACAATACAACTTAATCTAAGGTAATATAATACAGCATTACAATACAACTCTATCAAGAATAACATGATTTTCAAAATATAATAGATGAACCAAACAATTGTCCACTTCTTTTGTTTTCTCTTTTATTTAACAAAAACAAAGAAAAGGACAAATTAACAAAGAGGAATTTATTGAATAGTTAAATTCTGGTTGAATTTTATATGAAGACCTAACGTTGTTTTAGCAATTTCTAACTAATTTCATTTTAATCAGTTAAAAGTTACTACCAACTTTTAAATCAAGAACACTTCACCCCGTTTATAATTCTACTTCGATATTGTTTTTTTTTTGTTCTTTTTTTCTTTTTTATTCTTTTTCATTTGTTTAGCATGCCACTATCTATTTTATTATTTATTTCTTTTCTCATCCCTTTCAAAACTCTATTTTTACACTTTTTATTTTCTGTCGAGTCATTTTACTTATTTTCTCTTCCATTGTCCACTTTCTGCGATTTTCTTCCACCTTTCTTTCTCCCATCGTCTTCTTCTCCCCCCCTTTTTTTATTTCTTCTTTTTAATTCTTAAACCTAAATATTGAATCAACAACCAGAAACAAAATTCAAAATCATCCAATTCTGATCTCAATAGAAAAAAAACAACTTTCCCCTCCTTTTTTTTTCATTTTTATTTGCAACACTTATTCTGCATCAAAGAATGTGAGGAATTTACCATTTTTCATGGGTAATCATATCTCTTTGAGTTTATATATGTTGAAAAAAAAACAAATAAAATGTCTTTTCTTCTCTCTTCCTTTGTTTCTTTAAAAGCAAATATATATTTGTGTAGATATATTTATTTTTGTAGCGCCTCTGGCATAGCCACTCCTTCTTTCTTTCTTTCTTTCTTTTTTCAATGTCAGTTATAAATATGTTGTTACAAGCCCTATTGCTGTCTTTCTTTCTTCTTTTCCTTCCATCTTCTTTTGCCAATCTTATTGTTAATACGTGTGTGTAGTACTGAAGTTGAAATCAATGTTTTACTTATAAAAAAAGAAAAGTAGTTATAAATATATATGTAAATATACACAACCCCATATATATAACCCCGACCTATTTTTTTTTTTTGACTGCGCTTCATAACTGATTAAGTTACTTGTCCGTATTTCCTTAGTCGTGATTGCACATTTTTATTTTGAATGTCCTCCTACAACGATATTTTTGAAAGAGCTGTGCAGGATCCATGTTCAGATGCGTGTGACTGCGAAGATTCTATAGCACCTACTGATGCTACCGTCACCACCACCATCTCATCAACAACAATACCCATCCCCATTGCTGCAGACAATATACTTTATAAAAACATCCCCAATAGAAGACTCCCGCAAAAAATAATTTTTAATGACGTATTTGACGATGATGCAGACACAGAGGAAGACAATGCTGATGAAGAAGAAAACGAAAAAAAACATACACACAAATATACACGTCGACATAACAGTGATGATGCTAAACTAGACATGACTAAACATGCATTACGAAAAGTTAATACAAGTCCACTCCATAATATCGTATCTGTCCCACAGAGACCTCAATTACACAATAGAGCAAACAGTTGCGCCCTCATACACCAACTTTCTCGATCAAATTCTAATGCCGCTGCTAACCCATTGCCCTATCCAAAAAGGGAGGATGCCTTTCTAACAAGAACTTCTTCTGCTAATTACTTTTCTAATTCTCGTAGCAATAATATTACTAGGAATAATAGTTATATCTCGGATTTCCATTGTAATTCACTAAGAAGACAGAGTTCTTCTTTGGCTATTCCCACCCATATCTATGGTTTGGAAAAATATGTATCAAGTGAATTAGATGAATTATCTTCATCCTGTGTTGGTCCAAATACACAGTCCATAACTACTTCGCCATCATCATCATCACCATCACCATCACCACCACCATTTAACAGCACTGGTACTAACAGTAGGCATAATAATAATAGTAAGAACCATTATAGCAACAGTAGTGGTTATAGTCACACCATTAAAGAAGCAAAATCTATATCATCTAATACAACATCTACTAGAGGCAAAACATCTGCTTCAATTCCACAAAAAATTGAAAATTCCTCGGACAATCTTTCGTCATCTATATTGTCACCTACTTCTGTATTATCTAGTGCATCTTCTACAACATCAACTGACGTTATAAATACTAATAAGAAAAAATCAACCCCAACTTCCCATTTAATAAAATGGAAAAATGCAGCATTAAAAAAGACTCATGGACTAAAACCAACTAGAAAATCATTCATTAAAGTTTCATTAGCAAATTCTTTTGCCTAATCAGTAAACATTTTAAATGCCATTTTTAAAAATATCCTCCCTCTCTCTTTTATTTTTTTTTTTGATTCTTAATCATCTTTATATGTCTTTCTCTTCACATTTTCTTATTTAGTCAATAAATATTATTAATAAATTTTTTATACATTTATATAGTTTTTATTCTTATTCTTTCAGTACAGTATTCTAACATAGTGTTATATGGTTAATGAAATTAATTCTTTAACTATTTTACTCTCCTTTCTTCTCTTTTCCTCCCTCTTTCTCCTCCTTCTACTTTACATATACACATTTAGACCTATATTAATATTATGTAACATGCTAAGCAGCTAGTGATCACAAAAATCCTAAAAAAAGAGAATTCTCATTCTCAACATACATATACTGACATATATTTTGCACTATTTCTTCTTATAATATTATCTGAATGTATCATAAAGTAAATTCTAATAACATTCTCTGATATATCGTCCGCATCATCTATCAAAACGATTGATATATGAGTATTTCAGTAAATTTTAAAAATTCATAAACCTTTTATTTTTTTATTATTATCAACTACATTCTTCATTCCATTTCTCACTGAACTTAGATGGACCAGTATTCTAAACGAATAGTCACTGATCTATAACTATATTTGACTCCAATACTTGACATAAAATCTTCTCCTCCTTAATCCAATTCGTAAAAATATTGTTCTATTAAATTAGAGGATCATTATTCAATTAATGAAGTGTCAGAAATACCATAATCTTTTCCTACCTTAAGAGATCTTCCTTACTATTTGAAAATGAACAATTAATGGAAAGCTACATCAAGTATCACATCACATAATTTAAAGTTAATATGTGTTATCTTTCTTTAACGACAAACACTCAGTATTTGTATTCCGCCATAGGACTCATTTGAGGGTAACCTCCTCCTTCCTTTAGGCAGCACAAGTTCATATTAGAGCGAAATTTTTTTTTCTTTTTGAACTTTTTGTTGAAAGCAAAAATTGTCAGTTATAATAAAACAAATATTAAAAACAAAAATATGAAAAGTAGTAGAGCAACGTACTTAACTTTTTGTTTGAAAGACATATTAACAATATGGTATTTCACAATATTATAAATCACCCTATACACTTAATCTAGTCAAGCAACTATGGGGTCGCATGAGTTAGTTCCAAATACAGATCCAATTTTAGATGCAGAGGAAGAATTATATTTTGGTAATGATGCCGACATCCCTTCTCATCCTCATGTCGGTCCAAATTCACAAGAGAATAATGAGGCAATTCAACCTTTCCAAAACGACTGTGCTTGTGCCTATTGTGGTATAGATTCTCCCAAATGTGTTATCAAATGTAATGTTTGTAATAAATGGTTTTGCAATTCAAAGAATGGATCAAACAGTTCGCATATCATCAATCATTTAGTATTTTCGCATCATAGTGTCGTTTCTTTACACCCTGACTCAGATTTAGGTGATACAGTACTAGAATGTTATAATTGTGGAAGAAAGAATGTATTTTTATTAGGATTTGTTTCTGCAAAAAGTGAAGCTATAGTAGTTCTTCTTTGTAGAATGCCATGTGCACAGACTAAAAATCCAAATTGGGATACAGAGCAATGGCTGCCATTGATCGAAAATAGACAATTTCTTTCGTGGGTTGCAGAAGAACCTGATGATGAAGCCAAATTAAAGGCCCGATTAATTACACCAAGTCAAATATCCAAATTAGAAGCCAAATGGAGATCTAACAAGGATGCCACAATCAATGATATCGATATTCCAGAGGAACAAGAAGAAATTCCACCATTATTATTAAGATATCAAGATGCTTACGAATACCAAAGGTCTTATGGACCATTAATTAAATTGGAAGCAGATTACGATAAACAATTAAAAGAATCACAAGCTTTAGAGCATATCTCTGTCTCATGGTCCTTAGCATTGAATAATAGACATTTGGCCTCTTTCTCTTTATCTACCTTTGAATCCAACGAACTAAAGGTTGCAGTTGGGGATGAAATGGTTCTATATTATTCAGGCTTGCAGCATCCTGATTGGGAAGGTCGTGGTTATATTGTACGTTTACCTAATAGTTTCCAAGATACATTCACACTAGAATTAAAGCCAAGTAAAACTCCACCACCAACACATTTAACGACTGGTTTTACTGCAGAATTTATTTGGAAAGGTACATCATATGATAGAATGCAAGATGCATTGAAAAAGTTCGCTGTTGACAAAAAATCTATCTCAGGTTACTTGTATTACAAGATTCTTGGTCATGATGTTGTAGATATTACATTTGATGTCCCACTTCCAAAGGAATTCTCCATTGCACATTTTAATAAATTAAATGCGTCACAATCACATGCTGTTGAACATGTACTGCAAAGACCATTATCGTTAATACAAGGTCCCCCAGGTACTGGTAAGACAGTCACTTCTGCTACCATTGTGTATCATCTTGCTAAACTACATAAGGAAAGAATTTTAGTGTGTGCCCCTTCTAATGTTGCGGTAGATCATTTAGCTGCCAAATTACGTGATCTTGGCTTAAAAGTGGTAAGGTTGACTGCAAAATCAAGGGAAGATGTTGAAAGTTCTGTCTCTGATTTAGCGTTACATAATTTAGTGGGTAGAAGTTCCAAAGGTGAATTGAAAAAATTATTAAAATTAAAAGAAGAAGTGGGTGAATTATCAGCTTCTGATACAAAGAAGTTTGTTAAATTGGTCAAAAAGTCTGAATCTGAGATCTTAAATAAAGCTGATGTTGTTTGCTGTACTTGTGTTGGTGCTGGTGATAAACGTTTAGATACAAAATTTAGAACAGTATTAATTGACGAAAGTACGCAGGCTACTGAACCTGAATGTTTAATTCCAATTGTCAAAGGCGCAAAACAAGTAATTTTGGTTGGTGATCATCAACAATTGGGTCCGGTTATTTTAGAAAGAAAAGCAGCAGATGCAGGGTTAAAACAATCCTTGTTTGAAAGGCTAATTTCTCTAGGACATGTTCCAATCAGACTTGAAGTTCAGTATCGTATGAATCCACATTTAAGTGAATTCCCAAGTAATATGTTTTACGAGGGTAGTTTACAAAACGGTGTTACTATTGAACAAAGAACTGCTACAAAAAGTTCATTCCCATGGCCTATACATGGTGTACCAATGATGTTCTGGGTAAACTATGGTAGAGAAGAAATATCAGGCAATGGTACATCATATCTAAACAGAATTGAGGCTATGAACTGTGAACGTATTATAACAAGATTATTTAAGGATGGTGTAAAACCAGAACAAATTGGTGTTATTACTCCTTATGAAGGTCAGAGAGCATATATTTTACAATATATGCAAATGAACGGTTCTATGGATAAGGAATTATATGTTAAAGTTGAGATAGCATCTGTAGATGCATTTCAAGGTCGTGAAAAAGATTATATCATTTTGTCTTGTGTTCGTGCAAATGAACAGCAAGCTATTGGTTTCTTAAGAGATCCTCGTCGTTTAAATGTAGGTTTAACACGTGCAAAATATGGGTTGGTTATCCTTGGAAATCCAAGATCTTTATCTAAAAACCTATTGTGGAACCATTTATTAATTCACTTCAGAGAAAAGGGCTGCTTGGTTGAGGGTCCATTAGACAACTTACAAATCTGTACTGTTCAATTGACGAAGATGCAATCAAGAAAGGAGAATCATTATGAAGAAACTTCCAACAGGCAATTCGACATGGGAATGGGAATGGGTGTTGACATGGGGAACCAAGCTTTTAATCAAGGATTTGATATGCAAAATTTCATGTCTTTCCAGATTCCAGGTACCAACATACCATTTGTTCCTGGATTAGATTCTAATAATGATTTTATGTCTTATGCCAATAGTGGTACTTGGAATTTTGGTAATTTTACCAGTCCATATTCTATGAGCAACGATCCTAATCTAAATAATAACATTTATCAAGGTCTAGATCGTCCATTAGATTCAAACTATGCTCAAAAATTAGATAATGCCGAGGAAAGTCAGAATAAGAAGAGCAATAGTGATGTATTAACAAAAGGGTTTTCTTCTTTAGAAATTTAATTTGTTATAATGGTTAATCATTGTCTTTTCTAATTGATAAGATATTTTTTTGTAAAAGAAAAACTACGTAAATAAAGAGGTTACAAGTGCTAAAACTTTTAGAAGCGATGGAATCAAGATATTGAAATAACTTCTGAATTGTATATTGGTTTTTATAGATATGTTAAATTTACTGTTCATTTACTTAAATTAAGGGATATTTAGACTTTTGGAACACGTATACAATATTGAAAATATATAAAATTTTTATGATTGTGCATTAAATAGTAATATTATAATCGTAAATATGTTTTAATTACTATTAAATAGCAAGACATTTTAACACGATAAAATATGCATAGAAAGATTATATATTCACACAGAAGGCGAGCAGAAGTTAAGATAGTACAATAATCTTCTATTACTTTTTATCTCTCTTCTTTGTTTGCTGAGTTTAAGAAAACTTAAATAAAAACGACTAAATGAGCTGTAATTTTTCCAAAATATGAAAACAACATTAGCAGTTTCTATAACCATTATTCCCACTGTTTCATTCCAAGATCTTTTATAAGCCGATTAGTAATTTTTGTATCTTCTATGTGAACAACAATTTTTTTTTTTCTAATTGTCTTCTTAATTTTTATACAATATACTTTTTATTTCGTCTTTATCATCAAACAAAAAGCAACTCTGATAACTCTGATGGCCGAGTATAAAGAGATTGCTTTGGTCTTTTGTCTTCGAGATATCTTTTCTTCTTTTTTTTTAGTTACGCTCCTCTTTTTTTATTTTGAAAATAACACAAATAAAAACTAAAATTTTTTACTTATCTGGTGAGTAGATAATATTCCCGTCCAATGTAAAAAATAGGGTTTTTTCAAAGAAAGTGTAGTTTTCCTTTTTTAACATTCACATAATAAGGATTAAAGATATCTCAAAAAGAAATGAGATCCTGTATTAGTGTAAAGGATAGTACAAAAAATTTTCCAAAATTACTTGAAGTAATTTTGTATATTGCATAAAATATTAAAGTTTAATTATTTGACTTCTCAACAGCTTGTATAAGTTTTTATTGTCATAAATGTTGTGCAATATTTAATCAATACAAACCTTTATTATTCAGAAATATACTTTTGTAAATTTCTTTAAGCATTAACTACAATCAGGTTTACAGAAGATTAAGTTTTTATAGTTGATAATCTTTATAGAAACCTTTAGGGTTTTAAAAATTTATGGAAATTTTCTTAAAACAATAGAAATATTTTGTCTTATATAATGTTCTTTGGAAAGAATTAAAGTTTCCATTCTCTATTGTTGTTTTTCGAACTCAATTTCCCATACTAAAGAAAAATGGAAGAACCGAAGAGTAGATACACTTTCATGAAACAATAGAAAACCGTCCGATTGGGTGATACTGTAGAAAGAGTTACAGAAGAAAAAAAAACAATATTACCTGATTACATAAGAAGAACATTATACAGATATATGTATGTGAAAAGAATTATTAATATTACCATTGTTACTAATAATAGTAAAACACTGTGAAAAGAAAAAATAATGAAGTATTAAGTCATATCAAAAATTATCATAAAAAAAATCATGGTCGAGAAAAAGATATATAATTAACATATAATTTTAGAATTCGATTGATAAACATGAAGATTTGCATTTATTAAATATTAATTTTCATCTACAATAATTCCTAAAGTAACAGTAAACCACAAGTACAACAATTCAACATATCTAAAAAAATTTAATCGAATCAAGAAATTACATATTATTTATAATATTACAATGCCTTTCTCTACAGATTTTGAACCAGTCGCTTTAGAGGATACTGATTTATTTAAACCAATTAAAGTTGGTAAGATCACACTACCACATCGTGTTGTAATGGCTCCTGTCACTAGAATGAGAGCTCTTCACCCAGGGAATATTCCAAACGGCGATCTTACTCCAACATATTATGCTCAAAGATCTCAAACCCCTGGTACTTTGATTATCACTGAAGCTTCTTTTATTTCTCCACAAGCTGGTGGTTATGATAACGCTCCAGGTATTTGGTCAGATGAACAAAATGAACAATGGAAGAAAATTTTTCAAAAGATTCACAATAATAAATCGTATGTTTTTGTTCAAATGTGGAATTTAGGCAGACAAGCCTTTCCAGATTGTATGGCAAGAGATGGCTTACGTTATGATTCGGCCTCAGACGATGTATATATGGATGAAGAGACTAAACAAGCTGCTATTAAAGCCGGTATTAAACAACATGGTATTACAAAGGAGGAAATTAAACAATACATTAAGGAATATGTAGAATCATCTAAAAAAATTATTGCTTCTGGTGCTGATGGCGTTGAAATTCATAGTGCTAATGGTTATTTGTTACAGCAATTTATAAATGCAAGCACTAACAAGAGAACTGATGAATATGGTGGGTCAATTGAAAACAGAGCACGTTTTACTCTAGAAGTTGTAGATGCCTTAATCGACGCTATTGGTGCTGAAAGGGTCGCCATTAGATTATCTCCATTCTATAGATCTGCTGGTATGCTTGGTGCAGATGAACCAGAAGTCTTTGAAATGTATTCATATATTTTAGACGAATTAGAAAAAAGAGCACAAAATGGTAAGCGTTTAGCTTATGTACATTTTATTGAACCAAGAGTCACCAAAGGCTGGCATGAAAATGATGACGGTGCTGACTACCAACACAGCAACGACTTTGTTTACGATCACTGGAAAGGACCTGTAATCAGAGCTGGTAATTTTGCTGCCCATCCAGACCTTACTAAAGCAGCCTTGAATGATCAAACTTTAATTGCATATGGTAGATACTTTATTTCTACTCCTGACTTAGTCCAAAGACTAGCAGAAGGTTTACCATTGAATAAGTATGATAGAAGTACTTTCTATAGTCCAGATGCAAAGGGTTATATTGATTACCCAACTTATGATGAAGCTATCAAGTTAGGATGGAAATAATCTATCAGTTGAATATCTTTATGTAGGGTTTTTTATGTACATTAGTTGATCCTTTGTTAAAGTACATATAATCATATGTTCTTCAAGAAATAAGCAATAAGAAAAGGAGAAAAATGCAGTCCTAATAGGGAATCAATCAAAGCAATGAACATGAAAAATAAGATAAACAAATAGATAAATTTAAAGTTGAATCTATTTTTTATATAAATAATTACGAAGGAAATCGATATAAAAAGTTCAACAAAAGGGGATTGGATCCATTTTGTGACACTTTAAAGAAATGGGAGTTGGGGAGATATAGTTTCTATTAACTATATTCTTAAAAGTTTTCTTAACTGTCTTCATGAACATCCAAAATGGGTTAATAAGAAGATTTTAGTCTGTAAAGTTTTGTTTTCTATTTTAGTTGATAAGGATATGTTCATCACTTTTTTCTAGAGGCCAATCTGGCAGAAAAAAAGAAAATTTTTCGTTACAAAAAGATTTTTCTTTATAATTAAAGAGTGTTTTACTTTCTGAAAAAGGTACTTTAAACTCTTTGTTGCTAAAAGTCATTTTAAAAATTTTTTATAGATAAAAGCAAGATGCTCTTAAATAAATTTCTCATGATATTTGAAATGCTGATATGAATAAATTTAATCTTTCTTATAAGAATCTTATGTGTTGTTAAAACAAAAGATAACATACATACATATATACATATTTAATACTAATTAATTATACCATTTCTCTTATAACAGCTTCATGTGGGAAAGTAGGATCAGTTGGATCTTTAATGATATTAGTATTTTGGAATTCTTGATGTTTGGCATATGCTACAGCATATGAAGCAGCTGAAATAGTTAAACCAATGGCTACGACAAGTAGGCTAGTAATCATTAATATTGATGAACAATATTGGATGATTGCCATACCCAAATAAAATAATGCACGATATCCATTTGTTTCAAATTTAGAGATAAATTCAATAAAATTATCACTCAAGGGACATATTTTTAATAAGAATGGGATCTCAATAAATAATATGATTAGTCCTTGAATGATACTTACTATACCAAATGCAATGACACCGTTGATATGGAAAAGATTGGCAACACCTAAAGCAATGCATAGGATAATATTGATGTATCCAAACCATTTCCCATATACACTAAAATTGAAACTCTTCAAATCTTTTAATACCCCTGCTATGTTAATGAACTGTCTAATATCTAACACCATTTGATCTATTTTTTATATTTTTCTTGTCTGTTGATTTATTTGATTCTCTAATGAATCTGTGTGGCTGATATATTTTTAATAGTTAGCTATTTGTTCTTTCAGAAAAGTCTATACAGACAACAATAATATGTAGCTGTATATATATATATGTATGTTAATACGGCACCTGTCATATACAAATATATTCTTTAAGTAAAGGTTAATTGCTTTGCTCCTCTGTTCTAATAATTCGGATTTCATAATTGGAATGTTTTTAAACGATAGTAGTTGAATTATCGGAATTCCCCTTTTGCTAAGACAGAAAAACGAAACAAACCAACGAAGATGCAAAAAAAAAAATTGAAAAGCCTTACCAATTTGGCCACCCTCTTTTCGTTTCAAGGAAAAAGCACATCGAAAGCGAATTTTGTGACATTTTTTTTTGTGTTTGGAAAAGAAAAATTAGAGAAATAAAGAAGAGACGAAAAGAGAAAGTGGATTACTGGGACAAACAAAAGCATTAAAAAGTTAAAAAACTTTGTATTACTCTTTTCTAAATTCATAGTTACCCCCCCCCCCGATAGCTATTGCAAAACAAGAAGTATTTTTAATTTAGTGTAGGAACTAATACATATACATATATATATAAACTAGAATCTCTGCTAAACATTTTTCTCCTTTAATTTTTTTTTGTTATTAGTTGTTTCTTTTCTGTGTTGAGGTTTGTATTAAATTGAAAACAAATTTAGAAAAGAATAAATATGTTGTCTTTAAAAAATATTGTAAGTACATTTGGTACTAAAAGAGTTCCTGGGGTTTTTTTGCATACTTCGGTGATTAATCAAGCCAATGCATTCTCAAGAGCACAGTTAAAGAAGGATTTGATTAAAGATAAAGGTTTGAAAAAACCAGCCTCTGCATATATCCTTTTTACTAAAGTGGAGAGACCAAAGATTAAAAGAGAAAATCCAGAATTAACTACCATGCAAATTTCTTCTAAATTAGGTGCCAAATGGGCAACATTATCTCAAGTGGAAAAACAACCTTTCGTTGATCAATATAATCAAAATTATAAGATATACAAAGATCAATTGGCTCAAATAGAAAGTAAACTACCACCGAAGAAACCAGTCAATGGATTTGTTTTGTTTGGAAATGAGATAAGATCTCAGTTGAAAATAGAATTTCCAAATATTGATCAAATTGAAATTACTAAAAAGATTGCAGAAAAGTGGAAGAATTTACCTGAACAAAAGAAAACTCATTATAATGAATTGTATAAGCAAAATATGATTGAATGGAAAAAACAAAGCTCTGATAATAACTAAATAATAATAATAATATACTACTTTTATTTTAACTATATTCTATGATTGTTTTTGGTGTATTACCATTTTTATATTTTTAAAACTTCTTTGGTAAGTATACAAGTTTCTTCTTTTTCTTCTAACTTAAAGGTTCATTAAATTTTAAATTCACATCATTTCGGAATTCTGAAAGTTTGGCATTACCATTTTTGATAAGTTTTTATATTTTTAATATTATTATTGTTTTTATTGTTTTTTTCTCTTTCTATTGTTTATGTATCTTTTTAATTCGTCAAATAGTTAATTTTGAACAATAATGTCTTTAATCACCAATAAAATCATTTGTTTGAGTAGGTGAACTGAATCATATCTTGATCTATAAACAGTTTGGAAATATTTTACAGTATTGAAGTCATCATGAGTGAGGTTGGTAACTTAATTGTCAACATCTTTATTTGTTTGAAGATTATTCTTTGATTTAAATGTAAATTTATGATAAATGCGTCATTGACCAAGTATTTTTTTAGATTAGTATTGGAAATAAATTTGTTACAGGTGTTATAGCACTGGATTAGACCTGATTATCTTGTATGATGACCAAAATATTGACTTTCTTATAATGATTAACAGTTTTGTATGCAATGCCTCATGAAAATAGTGATATAATAGAATAGAAGAACATATTAATTATATTGTTATGGGCCTGAAACTTGGCATATTTCCAATTCTTCAACTTTTAACTAAAACTATAATGTTTTTGAGATTGGGATGAAAAAAGAATAATTGAATTAATGTATGATGAAAAATATTAGCTGAAGCCAAATATTAATCTAATATAACCTTATCTTTATATAACTCTTTGATAAAAATTAACTTTAAGCTGTCTAATTCAACAGATTTTTCCAGATTATATATAAATCAGCAAGAAATCCGATTCATGTTAATGGACTTATGTTTTTCATTATTTAATTTTTATAGAGGCCATATCAAATTTTTTATTCAAAAGACTACATCTTCTTATTTATGGATAATACTACGTGAAAAATTTTTTATAATGTACTAATTTCTGAATATATTAACGTTGAGCTATTAGATTGTTGTGCTCTTTATAAGTATGTCTTGTATAGTGTAACACAAATTACACAGGTTTTTGCACTGATTTCCAGTTTACTGAAAAAATGACATACATGTTATTATAGAGCTACAATGTCTGCATTGATTCTTTTTATATTTTCTAAGTTTTGGGCTACTGCAGATGCTTTCCATCATGAAGATTTCACAAATGCGTTTAGTTGTGGTGGGTTTATAGCATGATGGATAACTACTCAGTCATTTATGTGGACTGTAGGAGATATTGATGAAAATGTCTTGAGTACTACATTCATCGATAATCAAGTTTATTTAAGATTCTGAGCTTTAGGATTTGTAATAATTCCTGTTGCTTTCACTTTTATCCCCTTTGTTTTATATAATGCTTTTTATAGGTATAGTTATGTTACTATAACAAAAGTAATTTTCATAGATATATTTAAGTGTCATGTGAGTAGAACTTATGGTATCCTAATTGTGTGGATTGGTTAATGAAGAAAAATAATAAGAAATGAAAATATTCTATATCTTAGTTCTTATGTTTTGTACTTGTAAGGACGGTGTAAAATTTATTCTCCGATTCTAATTGTCTTCTCGTCTTTTTGTAGAAGTTCAATAAAGTGATTAGAAAAAAGAAGTTTAAGTAATTATTCTATTGTTTTCAGTAACCTTTGATTTATTTAATGTTATTGGTTTTGAAAGCATGTGAACTTTTTTGGAAAACTCTGACACTCAGCTCCACTAAATAAGGATAAGTTTAAAATCTAATGTCAAAAAAAAATTTTTAACGGTTGTTATTGAGAATTATAAATTGCATTTTGTTTTTTGTTTATACTTTTATAAAGTTAGATAGGGAATTAAGAACATACATTTAGTTTTGATAATTAAAAAAGAATACCAATGTGTGGTTTAGATGGAACTTGAAAGGTGACTCAATAAGCTTAATGAAACGTGGGTTTGAATACTGTGTTCTCCCGACAAAGTATATATTGATTAGTAAAAAAATTAGTTGTCTCGAAATTTAAACAATGGCTAAGACCTAATGGAATATATTAAGATGATCATATCATGTATTTTTTCAACACTTTGTAAAGAATCGTTTTTTATGAATTTTGTAGAAGACTTTATTTTTTTCATACATTCTACGAAAAAGATATATTTGGCAAGCCATAAGAAATGAGAAGTTTGGTGTGTTCATGACTTCTACAATGTACCAAGATTCATTAAAATCCATCTGGAGTTTATGGCTTAATTTTTTATGTACCTAAATTCCTCAGTATTATTTCATATAGTGGACTAAATATTTGATTTGCTTAAACATTTAACACACGATTATTGATAAATTGAAAATCGCATATTGTAGACTAGATGAAATTCTTTAAGTTAAACAAATAAGAATTAGGCTTTAAAAAAAGAAAATATTAATTTCAGAAAATAAATTACTATTTTTCCAAACAGACAATATAGATGACTCAGTAAAAATGAGTGAGTCATGTATAAGTTCAAACAAAGTAAGTATCCCTAATAAGTTAGTGAAGTGTGATTGTTTGCTACGCCTACTATTGGCTAAGAGGTTTTTAAGGTTCTACTAAATTGTTGATAGTGGTGTATAAGTCACTTACTAATACAACAAGTTGGATAATTGATTAAGTTTCAGAAATATATAAAAGGACAACAGTTTGGAATGGTTGAGATTAGTTTGTAACAATTCTTGTATATAAAAAATATAATAATGAAAAAAGAGTCAGTCAAGCAATAATGAGTCAATGAATAAAAAAATAACTCTAATATAATAGCGTTTCTATATTACCTCGTTATTACCCATCTATCCATTCAATAGTTCAATAATTAGTCATAGTTTATAAGTTATAATCTATCTATTTAATAAAAATTATGTTAAATCTTAGTCAAAACACTTCATGTTATATAGGTAAGTGGCCTTTAGTTTTATTAATTAGTCGGGAAACGGGAGTAATATCACACAGATAATTTATTAATAATCAAAGATAGTAATTGATACAATCAGCAAGATGATTATTAATACTGTCTTTGTACATTAACGGCTATATCGAACTGTTGGAAAATGAAAGTTTATTACTGTCATTACCATAAGAATTATTTTTAATTAGTTTTTCTGTATATTATGTGGTGTGCGGACGTACCGTAATATCAGGAAGACATTTTATTTGTCACCAAATATGTTTTTCACAGATTTGAAGAGAAATGAAAATCTTAAAAGAATCAAAGTAAATAAAAGAATTTATACTGTATACACTATATAATAAGTATATACATGTATTTAGTACAAAACAAAACATGAATCTATAACTTAATGATGTCTACCATTACCATGGATGCTGAAGGCTCCAAATTCCAACAAATATATTAGCTCGATAAAAGCAGCTCAATATATAAGACCGTTTTAGTAATTATATTATCGACTATAGTTGATTACTGTTTCGATTATTTGAATAACTGTTAATATTATTTGCGATTCCCCAAAATATACAAAAGAAGTTAACCATCTCATATTATAGCACTCTTTGTTGTAGCACGTGTATGGCTTATTAAGACAATAAATAGTTCTAGATTCCATAAGATCCTGAATGAATCTAGAACCAATTAGTGTATTAGTAAGCCATACATGTGCTACAACATTAGATGCTGCATAATAAAAAGATTGGATTACATAAGACCTTGGCAAATCTAGAATTTACCTATTGTTTTATTAAGTCCCACGTGTATTACTAATCACCATGATTAGAGAATTGGGATGCAGTTCTAATCCAGTAGTGCACCTAAATTAATATAATAAATTTTAGGGTTGAATCAGTCAAGTCATTAATGTAGTAACCTGAATAATCGATCGAGCTCCAGAAAACATATAAAAGGACAACGTTTTCTGGAGATAAAAGATCATCTTCCATAACCGTTTCTTGTAAATAATTTATATATTATATATGAAAAAAAGAGAACAACAAGCAAGTAACAAGTCAAGTAACTTCGAATAAGTACATTAGCTCGATATAAGCCGCTTAATATATAAGACCGTTTTAGTAATTATACTATCGACTATAGTTGATTACTGTCTCGATTATTTGAATTACTATTAATATTATTTGCGCTTCCCTGGAATACACAAAGAACTTCACCACACCATACTACAACACTCTTAAAATTAAGGTGGTTTCGTGGTCTAGTTGGTTATGGCATCTGCTTAACACGCAGAACGTCCCCAGTTCGATCCTGGGCGAAATCAATTTTTGCAGCCCTTGCAAAATTTCAAACTGCAATATTCTGGCTAAAAATTTATATTATGTGCCATATGAAATCCTGGTGTCACTATAAACGATATTATGGACTTTTTAGTTGACGATGATGTTCTTGTTTTTCTTGTTCATATACATATATGTGCCTTTATACCTATATATGTTGGTTTATTCTTCGTATAGAGTATAGTTTATGTATCATCTATAGCCAACAACTAAGAGTCATTTGCCTATTTTAGTGTTCTAGAGGAGTATACCTCTCGTAATAGGTCTTCATCTACTATATTTTTCCTCGCTTTTGCGCATCCATAACATTATCTAGTCCTTTTTATGATAGCCTCTTAAAATATCGTTATATCTCATAATTCTATATCTAACAAATAACTCTTTTTGTAATATAATAATATGTTGTAAAAGATTTTATAGAATGAATTAGAAAAATATACTACACTCAGATCTAATAGGGTATTGTATATTATTGATTTAAACTATTTGTAATAAAAAGTATGATTTGTCAACCATATAATAAAGAGAACGAAATTAAGAATTTTTTTATTCATCATATATAATTGCTTATTACCCATAATTATTGTGTAAGGAACCCAACTTGAAATCCAGTAGATACGCAATTCCGAGGGTAACACCTGAGTGTCTGGGTGGAGGATTGGTACAGCCATGTGCGCAGCGGCTCCTATAAGGTATTGAATCTGATTGGGGGATTTCCAGGGAGTGAGAATTATATCAAATCTTGTCAAGAGGCCTTTGATTACTGAGAGATATGCCAGGGGTAATCATTTTATTTAAATACATCTTAGTAATGATATTAAGAAGTAACTCTTAATATCATACAAGACTAAGAAGAACAACAGCAAGAAGTAATAATACTACATCAGGGTTATTAATTAGTGATACATAGAGCTTATGTAAGAGTGTTTACACTTATACTAATTGATATGATTTATCCATTTACATACAACAACTCTTACATATTGTCGATATAGTAGCTCATTACTTCACACATCATGATAACCTTTTTTATTTTATTTTATTACAAAAGACATTATTTTAAAATTCATAGAGTTCTGTTTAAATATGACTGAGTATTTCAAAAGAGATATGGTTGTGTGTTATGTTGAATAAATTAATGGAATTTATATATCCATCTGAGATGTGATATTTTTCCTTATTTTTTGTATAATAAATAAAATATGCAAGAATGACCTTTTTCTTCAATGACTGACTTGTATATTCTTATGCCCTGTGGATATTTGTTATTGTTAATACTGTTTCGTTAATATTAATGTATCAAAATGATTCTACTACCTGTATACTTAAAATATATGGTGAGTATATCTTCAATATTTTTCACAGTATAATATAAATGAGTAATATATAAACCCTGAATACTGTTTAAAAAGGTGGTTATGACTTGGTAAACTTAAAGAATAAGATACATGATGATATATACATCTCACTCCTTAGAACTTCTTCATGAAACTCATTTTATTACACAGTTTATCAATGTTAAAAAATCATTCTTATGTGAGTTAATTCTTTTTGGTAGAACAGTTCTTAAATTGTCCCAAATTTTTCTGGTGAAATAATTAATACTTAGATAATATTTTTTAATACTCTTGTGGACTAATTTGTGAGTTATACTTCTTGATGGAGTAATGATAGTTGATTATCTGTTAATAATACTTAAAATACAAAAATAAGTTAAGAGTTCAAAAAATATTTATCCCAGACCCCCCTTTTAATATATATTCATGACCCTTCTGATGCATAATAACTAAAAAAAAAAAGCGTACCGAATAATTTGTTATAACTTGGATATTTAAATAAGCTTATTATATCTTCTGTTTTGCAGTATTAAATGAAGCGGCATTTATTAGCTATATTTTGATTTGTCTATATAAAAACGTATAAATTGACATTTCGGATATCGCTTTGATGCTTTTAATAGTAATTGAAGCATAAAGTTTTGATGTATTATGGTTATTTCACATACAATATATTATAGGTGTCCAGGTCTTTCGGTGAGCCATGTAGATTCCTATACTATATTTTGAAATAAAAAAGTAATTTATTGGTCTTTAACTGCAATCAGTACTGTTATCAGATATGGATGAAGTATACTTAAACTTCCTTACATAAATTTATGATATAAAAATAAAAATCAAAAAAAAAAAAAATCTTTGAAAATATATAATATTAATTATCACTATCCTATATCATTTATTTAAAAAGACTATATTAATTATATATATATATATGTATAGTAATAACTATGGTAGTGATATAAAAATGCTTTTATAGAATTCTAATTATAAATAATATTTTTCTGAGCTGTTTTACATTAAACCACATTTTATAAGTTATCTGCTACTTTTATATTTTACTTCATATAATGTAATATAAAAATTGATATTATAGATTTGGTCACCAATATAAGTTATTTTAAGGTTATTCGCTTTCTTCCTACAGACTAATAATCAAGGTAGACGTTATAATAAGGGAAAAATTGTAATACTTTATTTAGGCTATTATATATTCGTCTAGTAAAGATGCATTCTTTGTAATGTGAATTTTACCAAATGATTGTTCTTGGACCAAATCTACGCATCCTGTCGTTGCTAGAGTTAACATATTGAAAAAGGCATCACTGGCTTCTCGTTTTGAAATAGGGTTGCTATTTTGATGGATTTTGGTATGTTGTTCGACAACTAAATCATTAAATAAAATTGAATCTTCTTTCATCTTTAATGTTTCAACAATATGATTGATTGTAGGGTTAATATTTTCGCTGGTCGGTAGCTTCATGTGTTGATCGTTATCGTTGTTACTCACATTATTGTTCTTATAAGGACTAGAAAGAATATCATTATCGTCCATATGCTCCTCAGTATTCAATTGGTTAGTAATATCTGCATCCAAAGGAGCAATAATATCTGGCTCTAAATCCTGGTAGGGTTCTCCGTTACCCAAGGAATTGGCATCTAAATCTAATGAATTATCATACTCAGGTTCCTCAATACCTTCATATGTGTTATTTGTAACTTTTGGCTTTTTCAGATTCCGATAATCTAGATATTGTGTAGTTATGACATTAGGAATATAATCTAAACTACCAATCATTTGTTCCCACAATCTTTTTTGGTTTAATTTTATTATTGAATGTTTTTTAATTACTGCATGCTTAGACACAATTGTCAAAGATTCGTTTTTCAACTCTTCATCTGTTAATTCTTGACTGAAGTCGCTTTCAACTGGAATGGTGTGTTTTAATAAGGGATTTCTGGTAGATGTGCTTTTTTTGCTGCTATGCCTTTTTTCATTGTTGACGATTTCAGTTTCTGGTTCCAATTCCAATTCAGACTGTTCTTTTTCAAGTTCTAAGTCAAATCCAAAGTCAGTTGGTTCATGGATATCCACCGATTCAGCTCTTCTTCCGAGTTCAATAGAATCATGTGATATATCAGTATCCATATTTATCCCTTCGTTATTTCCAAAATCTAGATTCCAATCATTATCATGGTAATTTGTATTGCCACTATTAATGTTCATTTCCGAATGTTCAACTGTAGGTTCTGTATTTCTAGTACCTTCAATCCATGATGACTTGTCCTGGATAGAAGTATTTTGACCATTAACATCTTGTATATCGAAATCTAGATCAAGATTGGAGTTCTCATGGATATTGGGACCTTCGTTAGAATCAAATCTTCTACCAACTTCAATGGATATATCAAAAGAATTATTTGGATTAGTTGTTTTGGTAGCTCCTTGAACTTGACGTTCCATATTATCAAACTTGTTCAATAAATTTGATGCAGAAGAAATATTCTCATCTAAAAAACCTAGAGTAGGTAAGACAAGCACTTCCTTTTCTGTGACTGTATCTTCTAAAATTAAATGACCAATTTTGGCGATAGTGGCGTTTTCTGTCATCGTTACATTAATTTTTGAAGATGCCTTAAACAATGAGCTAATCTTGATTAATGTATCTTTAATATCAGATAAAAGAAAACCTGCTTGTTTAGAATAGACACGAACTACACCATGTAATAATTCACCTGAAGTACGTAACGTAATATTATTAATTGAAGCATGCCCTTTATCTTTTTCTAAAATTGAATTGTTTCTATTTTCTAAATTGTAACCTACGACTTTTTCGATTGCTCGAACAGATTTACTTATATCAGTTTGTAAAACCGATGTTCGAGAAACATTGGACATATTTGAAGCAAGCCATATTTGGGCCAAAGGACTTTGATTATTAGCCATGTTCAACATTATGCTTGGTTGTTGTGTGTCCATTTTTTTTTTGGAAAAGTCTTAATCTTGCAAAATTATCTATATAATTATTTTTTTTATTGGTGAGATAGCAAAGTTATAAAAAGAAATTTAGATAGCAAATAGAAGTATTATGTATTTTTTTTTTTTACTTTTTTTTTGTTAAAAGATTGTATTGGTTTATATTTATTTATGTTCTAGCTTAGGTTGTTTTATGATGTCTTGTAGCTTTTGATATCATCTACAAGAGCATGTGTAAGTTTAAATCTAAATCTATTTATGTTTATTCTTAAATTTCACCATGTTAACGTGTCGTTAACAAAAAAATATTGAAAATTTAAAAATTTCGCGTCAAGAAATTTCGATGTTTACTTTTTTTTTTGGTGAGGAAAAAAAATTGAAAAAGTTGTAACACATAAAAGGTTTTCGCCTCTTTACAAATGTGACGGTTATTGAATTTGTAAAGTCTATAACGAAAAGAGGTATTTGTAAGCTGTCAAGAGTCTATGACGAGTTTAATTTAATTATTTAGAAATAAATTGGAGTAGGAAATAGCAAAAATGAAGGGAGAGTATTTCAAAAAGATCTCTGAAGAGACTTTTATTGTCGTATTATCTACAAAAGTGTATGGTTATTTGTTATTGCCTGGGTATATCATGTAAAAGATTCTAATACATTTTATGCCTTCAAGTGGATATTTTCAGAGAGAAAGGAGAATAGGGTAAATATTTTGCTCAGTACTCTTTTAACCTCGTTTTTTAAAAAGTGTATGAAATGAATATCCCTTCAAGTTGTTAGAAAAGCTATAATGACTCTATATCTAAGTTCCTCAAAATGTACAGCTACCAATATAAGGGAATAGTTAAAATAAAAAGTTAGTAAACTATGACAGTTTATTTGAAATATTATGACCTATAGTAAATTATTGCACTTAAGGTATATATAACTACATAGTTCTAATATCCAAAGGTATTTTAGTAAGGCCTCTCACCTTGTAAGGTTGGACTTTCTATTGTACAAAATATGTTGAGATAGTCATGTTCTATTAATGTTCTTTTTGTTTATAGTTCCAAAAACTTACTATCTAGATTTAATCTAATATACTGATTAAAGGTCACGCTTGTTATAGTATCTATAGTATATGCATACAGTATCTGCTCCTTGCCCAATGGAAAATTTACAGACTAAAAACTTGCTACAAAAAAGATCGTGTATTTATTTATTGTTATATGAATAGAATAGTATAGAATATAAAAGAATATATGTATTTATATATATATAAGAATAAAGACGGATACCCACTTAGTATCCATAAGAATAACTCACTTTAAGGCATTTTGTAGTTCTTCTAAAACGTTAACTTGAAGTTTGGCAATGGCAGAAACCTTTTCATCTTGAGATGTAGCCTTTTCCTTAGCCTTACTTAATAATTGGGCAATATTTTCCTGAGAAAAAGATTCTAAAGGAAACGCTTCTACCGCAGTAACACAAAGTAATGAATTTGGTTGCATTGTAGCAAATCCACCTGGGATAAAAAATTTCTTAGATGTTTTTCCATCTTCTAAAACTTCAACTACACCTGGTGTTAATTGCTCTACAGTAGGAATATGGTTAGCTAAAACACCAATTTTACCACTTTGGGCCGGAAGATTCACTTGAGTAACCAAAGTATCTTTGTACAGAGTCTCATGTGGTAAAGCAAAGTTCAACTTTAATCCACCAGCAATGGACGTTGCTTCAGCAGCATTAGCATAGGAACGTGTAACTATTCTCGAAGACTTAATTAATTGTGAACGAAACATAATTATAATATACTTTGACTAATCAGAAACAAAAAAAAGAGAATATTGTGTTAGAAGTATTATAGTAAATATTAGAGATAATATTTCAGGGCTCTCTTTTCTAATGGTGTTGATAAAATGTTTGTATATAAAGTTTAGATACACTTTTCATTATCTTATAACAAGGAATTATACCTCTTTAAAACACTGCAACGATGACTCTCCTTTTATTTTTCCTGTCAGCTTCTCTTCTTTTTTTTATGCCTTTATTTGAATTGTACTTTTATTTTTAAATTTTTCTAAATATGTGAAAAAAAAGAGAAAAATTTCAATTCACTCTATTGGCTAGACAATAAGAGATTATCAAAAAATGTTAAAGAGAATTGAATATTGCTTGAAAAGTGGTTCACTCGATATTCCAGAACAACTATCCTGCTGTGTGATGTTCATTCAGATAGTCTAAGCATGTAAACACCATATATATCATAAAATGTGTTAGAAATCTGTCTAAACTTTTTCTGTTGTATCAGATTGTGTCAATAGTCAGAGGAGCGTAGGACAGTGGCTGTTGCAGCATCTAGGATGGTCTTTTATACACACTATTTTTTATTGTCGACTTAAAAACAAACCATCATGAGTTAAATGTTTAGTAATATAGGATAGACTTTGAAGATACAAAAGTCTACTGCTCCAGGGAAACAGAAGAATTAAGAGAAATAGTACAGCATTCACTACAAAAATGTACACACTCTTGTTACGCTTTCTGACTTAGTAATTTTTTATAAAAAATATAGACTAAATTACATATGAACGATTATTGGCTGACACACAAGTCGTGTAAAGCCTCAAACAATGATGGAATGTGCCGAATTTTGTCAAATAACAAAATGGAATATCAGCAATAAGTGGTCAATTTATATATCATAATTAGCCATGTAACTCCTATACTTCAATACACTTGTATTATAGATTGCACCTTTATAATTGATATGGCATTGGCTCTAAACTTATTTATCTATCTCTAAAGTTAATGGATTTAAATAAAAACATAGACCATGTATTATTATATTTGTATACGATACCTGAAACTAGTTGTCACCCAAGACACGTAAATCATAATTCTTGAGATGCTTTGGTAGGTTTGACAGATTTCTTTGGCAATAAATTTTGGTGGATGTTTGGTAACACACCACCTTGTGCAATAGTGACATTACCCAATAACTTGTTTAATTCGTCATCGTTTCTGATTGCTAGTTGCAAATGTCTTGGGATGATTCTGGTCTTTTTGTTATCTCTGGCAGCATTACCAGCTAATTCTAAAATTTCTGCAGCTAAATATTCTAAAACAGCAGTTAAGTAAACAGGTGCACCAGAACCAATTCTTTGAGCATAATTCCCCCTTCTTAGTAATCTGTGAACTCTACCAACTGGAAAAGTTAAACCAGCTTTAGCAGACCTGGATTGAGAAGCTTTAGCAGCAGAACCAGCTTTACCACCTTTACCACCGGACATGTTTAGAATTCACTGTAATGTTTATAGGTTTTGTTGATAGTTGAATATATAATTGATATTTCTTGGTGTAAGAAGTGGACAATTGGCAGAAATTTTTACGGACGCTATATACCAAGTGAGAGAAAAAATAAACACAAGATGCAAAACCGGAAAGGTAGCTTCCATACAGTTCAAGTTAGATCTCTTTTATAGGATTTTGTATAGCATATTTTCATGATATGATCCAGATATTAACAAATGTAAACTGCTGGTAGAACTTGCCTTGGTTGTAATATGCAGTAAACAATGAAAGAGAAAGTTGCTTCAAACTTTGTTGATAAGAGCAAACACATGAAACCACTCTTTAACTTTGAATAGTACCTTGTGCTGAAAATTTCACTGCAATAACATTCCAGCCTACGATATTCTAGTACAACTTTTTGTCCTTTCCAACCATTAAGAGTATAAGTTTTCACCTTTTAAAACCATGTACTGAAAATTTCTCCAAATATCCGAATTTTTCAGCACTAACTAAAATTAAAAAAGTAAAAATTTCGTGTCAATTTTTTTGTTCCTGAAATTTCGCTTTGCCCCTTTTTTTTTTGTTTATGCTCGCCTAATGTTTTGTTAAAACAATACAGTCACCAATTTTTGGGTCTGGTAAAGGCATTGCTATTTCTAAGTTGTTAGCATTGATAAAAATATATACTTATGTATATTTGTAAATTCATAATTCATTATGCAAGATATACCCAAAATTGTTGCGTATATAAAGTCAAGGTTGTACTTTAGGTTTTATTGAATATTTTCGTTCGTTTTCTTTTTTCTGCACGTGTATGACTGTAGAACTGATCGTCTGTTAATCAACGTTGGTTGAGACTTCAAATCTACATTAATTAGCACGTTTATCTTTATTTGATTTCTCTCTGATATAGAAAGTAACCATCTATTAAGTGGATAAGCATTTATTAGAAACAGTTCCAATACAGTTAAAGATATGTCTGAAAACAAAGTCGCCTCTAAAGCTCCAGCTGAAAAAAAGCCAGCTGCTAAGAAGACTTCTACTTCCACTGACGTTAAGAAGAAGTCTAAAGTTAGAAAAGAAACATATTCTTCTTACATTTACAAAGTTTTAAAGCAGACTCATCCAGACACTGGTATCTCTCAGAAGTCTATGTCTATTTTAAACTCTTTTGTTAATGATATCTTTGAAAGAATTGCTACCGAGGCATCTAAGTTAGCCGCTTATAACAAAAAGTCTACTATTTCTGCTAGAGAAATCCAAACTGCTGTTAGATTAATATTACCAGGTGAATTGGCTAAACACGCTGTTTCTGAAGGTACTAGAGCTGTAACCAAATACTCTTCCTCTACCCAGGCCTGAATAAGATAATATTCTGTATCTAATTATGAAAATATGTCGAAAAGAAAGCATTAAAAATAGGTAATTTTTAAGCATGTAAATGTAATATTCAATATAATGTTTTTGAGAGTAAAAATTTACCCTCTTTAGTTCCATATGCATTTGATTGTCGTTTTACTCGCTTATATATTTTTGCAATCTGTGTTTCTGGGCCAGTGCATTAGATAATATATTAATTGTGTATTATATATATACATATAGTATGGTTGTAGTTATCACTTTAAAAAAATAAAGATGTTTATTTCCATATTTTTCTTTCTATTGTCACGTTTATTTAGAAAGGCGACTTAATAACTTGATGCTGTATTTTCTAAAAAGCTTTGTTTATAATAATTAATTCTTTTTGCTATATTTATTAATGATTTATAAAAATATTATTTTGTATTATTAAATCTGTGTTGAGAAAAAAAAATTAACATATTTAATGAGAACAATTTATAACAAACTTTGGTTATTTATTGATGTTTTTTTTTGTCAACGGTAAAGGCAGTTAAATAAATACTACCAATTTTTTATTCTTATTAAACTTATTAAAGCATTGAATATTGATTTTAAGCTTGAAACAACTTTTTTTTGCTAAAACCAGGAAAAAAAAAGGATGTATTTAATGTATATTGGACTATTGATTTTTTTTACTGCCAATCCTCTTATGGCTTTAAATACCAATGAATGTACATACAATAGTACTAAGCTACAACTAGTGAATTTACTCAGCAATTTTTCAAATAATATATACAAAAACAACATTTCCATAATAGAAAATCAACTAGAAGAATGTTATAATTTATATAAATATTCTTCCTCTAACAGTCTCTTTTTTCTGGAAAAGTTATTAAAGGATAAAATAAATAATATAACAGCTACAGACACTTTAGATATTAGAATTCATATAAAGTCACTCAATAAAGGTTTAACATATGCCATTAATGTAAAACCATACTTTTTTAAAAGAGAAGCTTTATCAATTCTTATTAAGAATCTCAATACAAACTTAAATAATTTATTAAGTATATTTCAGAAAACATCAGTTCACGCTTATAAAGAAGAAGGGACAATTATTCAGTCAATAGAATCTTTTACATCCACTTCTACACATCCAAAATTACAAAAGATTTTAAAGGATTCTATCATTCTATTTATTCTTTTTGGTTCAATAGCTGATGTTTGTGTTGTTCCACATATGACAATATGTCCTATGATAGTTTTAGTTGGATTAATATCAAGTGCCCTTTGGATGTTTCAAATAAATGATATATTCAATGGCATATTTTTGTGAGAGTTTCTATAGGTTAATGGATAAATAATATTAACCAGTATAGGTATAAACACTTTTACTTAGGTTCTATATAACATTAAATAATAACAATACTGTTTTATTATTAACTTGTTATTATGTTATTGTATTTTAAATAATATTAAAAGTTACTTCTAGTATGTCTCTTAATCATTTATTGTTGCAAGATCTCAGTACAAATATTTCATTTAAATTTATTATAAAATCAATACAATGAAATGATATAAAATTATATTAGGAAGCTGGTGTTATTCTTAAGTTTTTAGTTTATTCATGGTAAAATGTTAGTCATACTACAACTTTATATTATATGCTTTGTGTTTTTTAATTTATATATCTATTCAAAGTATAATAAATAATGTACAGTATTTTATATTTGAGTCTTCTTCAATATAATTTTTTATTGATTTTTAGTTATTTGTTATAATGAATCTAGATCATTAATAATATATTTAATCATATTTTAACACCATTAAAAAATTTTTGAATAAAATTTGATGTAAGTACTATTCCCTAGAAATCTACTAAGTAGCCTTGGGGTTCTATACTAAACATTGTTAACGAAATTGTATCAATCCTTCGTTTAGATATTTTCGTGCTAGTTACAGGATTGTTTTTCCACTTGATCCCAGTTGGATCACTTGTAGTTTTAATAAATAAACAATTGAAACATTTTTTTTTTAAAGGATTTTAATGTTTTCCAACGAATTAATAATATCTAGCTACTTATAAAAAAATATCATTCGAAGACAATAAATGTATGTTTTATTATAAAACAAAATTAAAGTATCCCTAAAACAGATTCCAACTGTGACAGTATAATCTACAATCTGCTTTATTTCATCATTTATGTAACAATTTTATGTGTTTTGCAAAATTATTTCTTCCACAATACAAAACTTGTTCCAGAGAACAAACAAATTCTTATATCTTTACACAGATAATGCACAAGTTTCAAAAATAACAATATACTAACTCTATAAATACATTAAGCCACAATTCTATAATTAGAAATTCTATATGTTAAAATCTTAAATGTTCTTCAAAGCCATGAAATACATAATGGAATAAATTTCGCAGCCTGTTACTTTATTTATATATACATATATACATATATACATATTATAAGCAAGAAAAAAGAATAACAGAAAACATATATAATATTTCACTCAATTAAATTATTCCCCTATGTGTTCAAAAAGTACCTAATGTAACCTAAAACAAATCATTAGTCAAATTATTATTGAGTTTACCTGTATCTTATCACAACAAATATAAAATAATGTACCTAAGACATCAACTCGTCCACTTTTGATTTTACATATGATCTCTACTTCTATAAAAGCTATTGTTTTTACCATTTTTGAGGCTTTTATCTCCCGAGATGTTAAAGAAAACAATATATTATTACTGATTTCCCAACATATCTAGATAAATATATCACAAATTTAACAAATATCTATTTAAATGTTGTATATGATTACATACTATGCTTATAACTACATTTGAACTGTTTTTTCTTGCTGTCATTCTCCTTCTAAAGATATTTTATTTTCTTTTTATCTTTATTTTGTCCACTATATTAATGAAAGATTCAATATTCACTACAACTTAATACAATGCACTAAACCTTCAACATGCCATAATTTAACTATTGATCTAAAATAAAACTTTGTTTTCTCCTCAGATTCTAATCCTTTTTCATCACACCAAAAGCTTAGTATTACTATTACTAATGATAAAAACTCTCTTAGTAACTTATAACATGTATGTGTGAAACATTATGAAATCAATATCTACTTCTCCTTATTTAAAAATCTAGACTTACTTTCTTCTATTTACGAACTTATCAAATAATGTGTTTTTTTGTACCATCTTTTAAAAATAATTACCTGTAGCCTTTCAACTTCAACAAAAAGCTCACTTTTCTTCTTTTGGAAGCTAAAAAGTATTTTTAATAAGAGCTTACAATGAGAGTATGTTTTGTAACAAATAATTACAAAAGTTTTCTAAAAAAAATGATATTCAACACCAATTAATCGTCTTACAGCATAGCTAACAAAATAATAATTACAAATGTGCACAATATTCCATTCAAAAAAAGGAGCTCATTTAATAGTAATCATGCATATCTAATATATATAATCATAGAATCTTATTTATATTGTCTATTTATCGATCTGTATCTTATCTATTTGATACAAGAATCAAATGCCTTATAATAAGTAATATGAAGTCACAAAAAATGCTATTAATTCCAACCATCTATATACTTTTTCTTGTGCTGCCTACATCACTCTATTTTTTTTTTTTTTTTTTTAATAAAAATGACAAACAAATCTTTGCTTTGGTATATTATGGTTGTTGTGCTTTAAAATATAACATTTACAGATTTTATCTTCCTGCTATTAATAAAGCTTTTGTTGCTAATAATATGTTTTAATAAAATACTTCAACTAACACAAAAAGCTAACCGAAATTATAATAACCAAGACCATTTACTTAATACACAAAATAATGTTTCTCTATACACCACCTATTGCTAATTCAATAGAGGTAAGTTATATCTCCACTTCCCTTTTCCAAAATGTTTCACCTAATCCTAATTTTCTCAACAATGGTAATTTTCCTGTCTACCAATAATTCTTTTTTCAATATCACCAAACCTTAATACTATAATACCTACATTTTTTCCAATTCATATTCAAGCTACAATACCATCATTAAAAACCTACAATTCAAATTAAACCAATAAAATTTCTTCATTTTCCTTATCATCTATCCATCTTTCTCAAATCAATCATAAGCCTCTACCTGATTACTAGCATTGACATTCCCTGCATACCTGTCAAAATTTTATTCATATATTGTCGTCTCACCGTCTTTATTTTTAGATAATCCAATTTCTTTTTCTTCATATTCTTTTATCGATATTTCACCTACAACTTAAGGGCATGTGTCTGAATTTTATTTTAGAAAGTAATCCATACATTATGATAGTTCGTTGCCTATCTGTGAAACATCGCGGAAAGACAAAATCAGTGGTTGTTTTCTTTGAATTAATTTTTAATCTTGGTAACCTTAAAAACGTTAAATATACAATCTTATATGATACAAGCAAAGTAAACAAAATTTCTTTTTATAAAATGTATTTTTTAAATCTTTCTTTTTTTATTTCAATTATGTTTTTTTATAAAAAATAAATGCGTGTGAATTACATCACACATCGTGACAGATTATTCCAAAATAAGCCGTTTTTCTTTGCAGCATGTCAATGGCCATTTTCACGAAGCTTGATTTTTCCAAGGATGTATTCGAAGATACTATTACTAGATAAATTTAAAACATGATTATTATTCATGTTTAAGAGCAGAATTACTAGTTTCACTTCGTCATTTATGATGAATATTTTACCATATAGGGAAATTTAACAAAATAGATTATGTTCCAATTTTGTAAATAGTAAAAAAATTTATTAAATATATTGTAATATCATTTAACACGTTAAAGATAAAAAATATAATATCTCGGAAATAAAAAATAAAAATAAATTATGTTAACATGTTTTTAAAATTATATAATTATTATTTGTTCATGTGATTAAATATAATCGTATATTAAGATATTAATATTTTGTTATAAAGTATTTCATGTCTCACTATTACTTGTTATAATATAATGTACATTCTCTAATCTTTTCTTTCGTGAAAGAAAGATTGTCATTTGAAAATAAAAGCATAAGTATTGCAAAGGGCACTTGTAGGTACATTATATATCATTATGAAATTTTGTGTGATATAGATAATACTAATAAATTCTTTTGCAATGGACGATGATAATACCCATGTTAATAAGTATTTCTAACCTCAACTAAAAGTTATTAATAAATCATTCCTACTTATACACTCATTGATTTCTTGAACTCCAATAATAAATAAAACCTAAAAAAGAATACATAAAACACATTTTATAAAAAGAAATTTGTTCCTTTATTTATACTCTGAAAAATTGTATATATGGCTTATCCTCTATAAATAATAATAATCAATGATTCATATACTTTATGTAATACTAACAAATATACTCTATAGTTTCAGAATAGATACCCCTAATGTTAGAAAAGAACTTAGATTATTACAAAATATAGGCCTTAATTATAGCACGTCCAAATTTATTAATATTTTAAAAGATTCATCAAACTGTTCCCTTTAGAGAAATAATTTTGAACACTCTCTGCTTTCATATTTTTAACTACTCAATAATTACTTATTAACTAAAATTAAAATTAATAATGATTTTAATAGTAATGTTGAGATATTACCCAGACTCAATGAAAATTTTGTAAAAAACTTTTTGTTCTCAAAATTAACTTTCTGAAAAGTATAAATAGTCAAGCTATAAAAATTAGAAATAATTTCTTTTACTCACAACTTTATATACGAAATGCATAGTTTTGTATATAATATATCTATTTTTTAATACTGTGAGTGATTACTTGTAAAAATACGGTTCATACAGTTCCATTATAACTTATAAGTTATTACTCCACATCTTTTAAATTTCAACAAGTAATAAAAGTTCTATTTCTCATATTATTAAGCATACTATTAAAAAGTATATAATTAGATTAAGAGTTTAACTAACATCTTTATTAAATACACTATTGTGGAAATTTTATGATAATACGAAAAATCAACTTGAAAACTTCATTTGAAAATTTTACCAAATTTACAGAAGTAAATCTCTCTGAAAATAACATCATCAAATTACCAAAATGCATTTTAAACTTACCTAAGTATCTCATTTTTTAAAATTTATACCTAATTAATAAAATGATTTGAACAGACTAGAATAAAAGTTTTAAAAAAAATTATATAAAAAGTGAAATTGGTTTTAGTAACTTCTGTAACAAATTTCAACTTTTTTAATAAAAAAACTACTTCTAAAGTTCAGATTTACTCTTAAATCAAAAACCAAAATTAAGACAAAAAAGAATAGCAGTAAAAGTTTTTATCCAGATGATAAAGATAGTCATTAAAAGGATAATTGCTAAAGAGGGAGATATTTAACTGGTAAGATTATCAGTTAATTTTTAGGAAAAACTAAAAGTTTATTGAGAGGAAATACTTGACTTTGCTAAGACATCTATTAACATCAACCCTGGCAATGACGACAACAATATTTGGTACCGAGAAAGTAGGTGTACCTTATATATTGAATGTAGTATGAAATTCTTCGAGAGATTTCAAATAAAAGTATAGTTCAAAGGTAACTAGTCTAACTACTTTTATTAATTCTAAAGGAAAAAATGGACAAGAAACCCCAAATATATCTCTATTTAACACTTATCTACCCCGTTTTATCTATGCAATTTATGCTAACAATGTTACTTGTTTAACACCACTAAGATCTGTAGTATTTAAACATATTGGAATGATAAATAAATTGTCGGTAAATTTTTTAAAGGATATTTCATTGTAGACTATTGACTTTTCATAAATCTTATGACTGCAAAATACAAATAAATTTAAAATTTCTTCCGTTCAAAAATACGATTTTGGAAATATTTAGTATACCAAAATATGTCATCCTAATCTAGCTATTTATTAAATTATTGCAAAAATAGTATGTCTGTAACCTATATCCATCAATAATAACTTATTGTACCTAACTTGAGCTCTATCTAAAAATAAAAGTATCAAAGATCACATGTCTAACAGCAAAATATATGCCTTTCTTGGATAAATTCAGGCAGATATATCAAGTGTTTTTTTAGTATAATTATAACTATCTATGTTCTTTCCAGAATTCACTCACATTTTCCAAAATATTGGATAATATATACATTGAAAAAATATAACTCCTATTGGCCAATATACTAAAACAAGTAATAAAAAACGTATTTTATTAGCAAAAGTATATCAACAGACTTTTCTTTAATAAAAAGTATTTTATATACACCTATTTATTTTTTTCTCAAAAAATAAAAGAAATAATCCAGGCTAAATCATTTTATTTTTATTATAAAATTTTTTAAATTATTATCAGATATTTTATTGACAACGACATATTAGTTTGCTTTCAAAAAAAGAAGCTAATTTGTCCAAAAAAATTAAAGAAATTAATTTTTTACAAACAACCTTAATCACATCAGAATTATCTGACTTAGCACCAATTTTAATGCTAACAGTAGTATTATCAGCAATTAATTTCTTTGGGGTAGGTAATGTGACGAAGACTGTTGAATTTTCTTTTTAATCTTTTCTAAGACAGAGTATTTAATAAAGTATAACAATAAAATTCTTACATGTTTAATGTTTCTAGAGTGAACCTAGGAAATATCTAAAGTATCCACAAGAAAAGCCTAGGAAGTGTTTCTGGCATAATCTATAACATCTTTGACTTCATTTTCATCACCAGAAAAGGAGACAAATTCGTCTTTAATATCAGTTGGGAAAGTAAACATGATATTATATTTTTCTTTAATTCCATCAGTGTTAATTAAGAATTAGAACTTTTTTGGAATCTTGACTTTTGTGTTAAAAATCTTTATTATTCAAAACAATACTAATATTATTTTATTGAATGAAAAATTTGAAATTGTGCTTACTTCAAACCAAATATCACTTCAAATACCAACATACTTAGTAAACTCACAAGAATAACATCAATCACATGACACTAATAAACAGGATCATTAGTCACTGTGTAATAATTATAATGCAATATGCTTTTTCCACATGTATTATATATATATGTTTTCGTATATGTCGTACACTATACAAGAACATTATAGGTTTCCTTTTACTGTGCTTTCTATCGTAAATTGTAACATAACAAACTGTAATAAAATGAACAATACATAGTGAATTTATATCTTCCTATATATACGTAAAAAACAAATTTAAATAATTAATAGAATATATATCGTTTCAAGCAGATGCTTTGAATAATTAATGATTATCATTTATTATAATTAATATCTAACCTTATAGACCATAAGCAGATTTCTCACTTGGTTTTAAACTCTTAAAGAATGGTTGGGGAGGAATACAGGCTCCCAAAGCCCTTCTAGCATGACTATTCATATATTTCAATCCTAGTAAATAACTTGTATTAACCCATCCAAAACCTTCTTTGGCCACACCTTTAAAGTCTGCACCTTGATTACCATATTCTGCCTCAACACGATGTGGATCAGTACCTCTTGTTACGTCGTATTTCTCCACTACAATACCATTATAGTCAACAAAGGCTTTTGTCATCATATATAGCCACCTATAAGCCAAGCGTGTAGCAACATCTCTGAAACTATATTTTGATAATCCTTCCCAAGCCAATATCTGATGTGGAGCCCATCCAAATGGATAATCCCATTGTCTTATAGGCCTATTTATGGAAATAGGACCTCTTGAGCTTTCAGTACAGGCAACAATACCACCGAGCATTTCTAGTTTGGGAAGGGCTTTTTCGACCATTAATGAAGCTTGCTTCTGAGTTGCAAGCCCAGCCCACAAAGACCAGAATGTTGTTGCAGATTCATACGAAGTTCTCTTTTTTGTTTTCACGTTGTAATCAAAAAAGAAACCAGATTCTTCATCCCACATGTACTTATTGATTCTATTTTTTCTTTTTTTAGCCAAATCTAACCAATCTTCCGATGTAGATATGGAACCATCATGTGGATCAACAAACTTATTATCAAAATAGTTTTTAATTACATCTGCAATGTCGATCTCATATTTATATAACAAGGAATTCAAATCAATTGTAGCAAGATAGGCACAAACACCTCCAAATCTATATGTTGTATCATGTCCTGACTCTCTAACTGCTCTGTCATGTAAGAAAAATTCATCAAGAGCTAGTTCATTAATTTGCCCATTGTTGTACATGTCTCTAATCTCTTGTAAAGAACAATTATATTTTTTGGCATAGGGGAATAATATAGTATCAAAATGATCCGGTTCAGTTTCAGGTGGAATACCGATACCATCAGGGTGGTAACATGATAATTTTGTTACAGGATCCAATCTTGGTTCAGCTGTCCAAACAGTTTTATATTCTTTTATTGCTGCAATAAATGCCCTTTTCAATAAATCTATAGCATTGGGATTGCTACTACCACCAAGTTTTTCAAATACTTTCAATGCCATATCAGTTAAAAAGGGAGGTTGTGATCTACATAGATAATAACTTCTATTGGCGTTTAAAATTTTACCATAATGTTGAATTTCAAATATAAAATGTTCCACCATGCCTTTTGCAACATCGATTTTATTACTTTCTAGTAACCCTAATGCCATTAAATAGGAATCCCATCCGTATAGTTCATTGAATCGGCCTCCAGGTACAGCATACGGATATCCTATTAAAGACTTTTCACCTGTAGATGGATTAACATGTTCCTCCATGGCTAGTGCTAACAATCCTGGAGTTCTATTTAGAGATTTGACATATTCTGGTGTCACTTTTTTTGGCAAATACTCCACTTCCAGCTTCATTGAGGGATTCAGCTGAGATGCTTGGACAAAAAATTCGTACTGGTCTGGACAATTATGTGGGACATAAATTCTTGGATTTTTTGCTTCTGGTGTATCAATTTTGGTGTCTGCAGCAATGTCACCTATATTGAATAAATCTATTCTTCTAGTTAAACTGTTCCAAAACTGATTTGATATAAGCCTTGATAATCTATTCACGGGATTTTCATTAATTCTTGCTTCATCTAGAAAAATTTGGTGTTTTCCAAAGCTTTTGGCTATAGTTAATTCTTGTAAAAGATTAGATAACATATAGGTTCCTCTGACGTTAACATGTCTGTAACCAAACGAGTTTGCTGTACCCAATTTTAAAACTTTTGGTCCTGTGTCTTCAATAGTGATTTGATAATTTTTATCAGTATCTTCGTTACGCAGTAATTCTTCCAAGATTTTATCAACGTCTTCAATGAAAAATTTTCTGTTTCCTTTACTAGATGAATATGTATCATCTTCAGAACCACGTCTCTTTAAATGGTAATCATTTACCAATTCTTTTTTAAAATCAGATACATTGTCAAAAACACTCATAGTTCTTGTTCTATTCAATCTCCGAGGGGTTGATTTATCAGTCATGCGATTTTCATTCGTAGCAGTGAGATCACTCATAAGATTGGAGCCAAAGGCATTACTAGCTGAGTTACTATCGTTGAGAGTGGTACCATGAAAGGTACCTGTAGTATAATCATTCTTTTTTCTTGGATCAGTTACTGGACCATAATATACTTCAGCATCAGAAAATGGATCAGTATATTCAGATAAAGAAGACAATCTTCTATGACGCCTTTTTGACTGACTATTCAAAGTAGTAGTAGTCGTAGTAGACGTAATTGGCACAGATTTGGATGAAATAGAATTTGGGGAATCAGAGGAATCAGATGGTAACGATTTTGACGAAGTTGATATCTCTTGACTGTGCTTTGCTGCTTGTATATGATCTTTTATTTGGGACATTCTAGGTTGTTATTTTGAAGTAAATAAAAACTATAATAGCCACTTAAAAAGGGGGGTTAATACTCCAATTTTTATCTGTAATGGCTATCCAAAAATGCAAGCGTAAGATATTGTAAGAAACCAGGCTAGTGCTAACAGACTTACTGTCATGGTAATAGTTATAGTTATAGTTATAATTGTTGTATTTGTTCTTGTTCTTGTTCTTGTGTACAGCACACGATGGCTGATCACCTCCTGTTCCATTCCATTCAATTTTGTTAAGGAATATGTATTTCTTTTTTTTTTTTTCCTTTTATTTTTTCTTTTTCCTCCAATTCTTCTTACTTGCAAACAACCCTAATTCGGAATTTTCAGAAGGGGGTATTTAGTTTTAAATCAAATTGCTTTCCGAAATTGAAAGAATTTTACTGTTTTTTCTCGGTTTCTTCTCTCTGTTTTTTTTTTTAATTTTTTGTTAGCGTATTAATTGTATTTATTGTTGTCGTCGGGTTTTTGCAAAAAACCCCTTTCGGAATTAAAACTGGGTAACAAATTGGTAATATTTCCCAGTACCGCTTCAAAAAAGAAAAAGGAAAAAGAGACAAAAAATTTTTTTTTCTCATGTACTGTGTTTGACAAGTTTAAATAAATAGATCACATTACAATTAAGATTCCAGTAACTAGTTAAAAGGTTGATTGGAAAACAATTGAGTATTACATATATCCCTAACACTATACATCTCAATAAGTGTTTGCAAAAAAAAAAAAAAAAAAAAAGAGAGAAAAAATGTCTGACGTTACTGAAAAAAAGGAAACAACCACTACAACTACTGAAGCTAAACCTCCAACTTCTGCCGTCTTTTCTATGTTTGGTGGTAAGAAGCAAGAAAAAAAGGAAAAAGATGAAGGTACAGATGATAAACAAGAAGAATCAAATGACAAGAAGAAAGATGAAGACGAAGCAGAGCCAGATGTCCATTTCGAACCGGTTGTTCACTTAGAAAAGGTTGATGTAAAAACTTTGGAGGAAGATGAAACCGTTCTTTACAAAGTCAGAGCTAAGTTATTTAGATTCGATCCAGAAAACAAAGAATGGAAGGAAAGAGGTACTGGTGACTGTAAATTTTTACAAAATAAAGAAACCAAAAAAGTTAGATTATTGATGAGAAGAGATAAAACTTTAAAAATCTGTGCAAATCATATGATCGCCCCAGAATATGTCTTAAAACCAAACATTGGTTCTGATAGATCTTGGGTTTATACGTGTACAGCTGATATTGCAGATGGTGAGCCAGAAGCATTTACTTTTGCTATTAGATTTGGTAATAAAGAAAATGCTGATAATTTCAAAAAAGAATTCGAAAAGGCTCAAGAACTAAACAAAAAATAGATTTTAATACGTAATAAAAGAATTATTGAATATATAAGTATGTAATTTTTCTTTTAATTGATTAATTGAATTTTTCAACTGATAGGCGTATATTTCTTTGTACATATCTATAAAAGTTTATATATGTGAAGCGTATACATTTGACAAACGCTTTTTTTTCTTTAAGCTGGTGGTAAGAATAATCCAAAAAGAACTGTTTGAATGGACACCCAAAAAAATAAACATCCAAGATACAGTTTTACCCAAATCATTTTTGTATTGTTAAAGTTGACACCATTTGCATTTAAGTTGGGTGATTTTTTATAATGAGATATTTGATTATTGGTTTTTGCTGATATTAGTGTTTCGGATATATACCATAGATGTAATGGAATAAAACTTGAAACCCTATTGATAATCTGAACATGCGCAAGAAATAAAACTATAAAAAGAAATATAATAGTAATAGCTACCAATGGTATAATAGTGTTGCATCTATTTGGCGAATTATGCAGATTAATAATGAAGTGATGTATCGACTTAAGAAGTATAATGAACTGAGGTATTGCTATTATGAAGTTTGGAATGTTATTCAATGTCCAGTAGTTTAAGAAACCTATATTCCAGTATTTTGCTTGGATAAAAGAATAAAATGACTGTTTTGTAATAAATGGTATACTTTTTAGTATCTGTTCATTACACCATTCACCTCCAGAGGGGCAAAATCTATTAAATGGAATATAGTACCAATTATATACCACTGTTAATAACATTATAGTTCCAGATAATAAAGGGAGAGCTACTATTTGTCTAATTATTGTGGATAAATCCTCACTAAATCGTTTTTTCATGACAAAATATTGCAATATGGAAAGGAGATCATAAATATAAATGAGTCCTAATAAGACACAAATCGGCCTATTCAATGCAGCCAAGGTAAACAGAGGGATAGTCCCTAAATAATATATTGATGAGTATAATCCAATTTTGAATTTCATGATGTTTTGATTGGACACATTTTCATTTCTAACTATAGACTTTTCTCTAAACCACAAACCAAGAAATATAAGAAAGAATGAGAGCGGTTCTGAATAAATTGAAATAAAAAATCCTGAACCACTCGTAAAGATAAATAATATTGCCGATAATATTGCTACTTTTTTAGCATATACTGTAGTGTAGGTAGTAACAATTGTTTTTTCACTATAGATTAAGATAGTGAGATGATAAATAATAATAACACTTAAGAAATGCAAAATATTTTCCACAAAAACAGTAAACTTTAGAATAAAATAAAAGTTTTTTGTTGTAATAGGTGTGTTTATTACATTCAACAGAAATCTTATTAATTGCACCCATAATCTGGAAAACATCAATTCAAAGTCAAATTCAGGATATTTTATCAATCCACTAACTATGCCTTTGATAAAAAAAATGGAATCCCACGATAATAATTTATTCCATAGGCATTTATTACCCATCTTGTATAATGATGGATCTTTTGCAAAAGTCACTTTTCTTAAAAACAATATAGTAGATGTATCAAACTGTACGCTAGGACTTAGCCATATTAAAACATATTGGTACAATCGAAGTGTTATAAAAATGAAAAATAGTTTCAGATATACTTCATAATGCTTAAACCAGACATATTCTTTAGGAATATTGTTTGTCATCTTACAGATATTGGCCAAAGTTTGCAGTGCGACTAACAGTCGCAAAGTAGTACAATTGATGTAATGTGATAATTTTTCATAAAAATTTTCAACTCTTCTGTTAGAGAGTAAGCTCTTGTATTACCATTTATGAATAACAAATATGTTTGTATTAATTTTTTTGTTACTTAACTATGATTTGCATTTTTTTTTATTCTCCGTGAAATACTTTGTGAAAGATTTATAAAAGTTCGGAATCTACGGAATATAAAACTTAACAATTGTAACAACACGTGTAACATTGAAAATAAACATTCTCATAGAATATTGTTATTATTTTCTTAAAAAATACTGTGAGACTAATTAAAAGAAAGAACAATTAAAGTATGTTAATATTGTTTTACTTTTAGAAGAAGAAAAACTTAGCAGTCTTATTCTTTTAAATATCATTTTTTCAGATGTGACAGTTATGTTGTGATGATTGATGGTTATCATATTACTCAATCAATGGGGACAACATTTTTATAGGATTGAAATTAACCTAAAGACAATGTTTACTTAAGACTCTCAAGTTAAGTGTGTTTTTATAAAGTCATTTTTTAAAATTAACGGTCACGGAATATTTATCAAGGATATGATTATATTAAGAAGAAGTATAATTAAGCTAGTTTTAGAATTCTTCTTATGAGTGAATTTAAAAAAAAAAAAAAATACTGTGAGATTGAACTTTGGTAAGGGAAGATCAAATTTTGTTTATTACAATACTTTTTTATTTGTCAGAAAAAGAGCTAGTTATTTTCTTTAGGGTACTATTTGAGGTTCAATAAATATTTTTACATTTATTTTATACCTCTAATCTTTAGAAGACTAATTACTATTAATCTTTATCTTCTATTTTATTGTTTTTTGTTCACCCCTATATGTATGTGAATATTTGTATATGACAATAATATGCTTTAACGTAATATTTTAGAATATCTAGATTTTTGAAGGGTCAGGATTTTTGAAATTAATAAAGTGCAGAATACAGGGAACAAAAGAAAAGGAGGTTAAGAATAATCAACAAATAATTATTTTTGATGAACTTTTTAATTGGGTTTAAAAAACAAATCATTAGTGTTTGTTACTTAATAAAGTCTTATAGGCATTTATATAGAATTGTAATTATATTGGTGATAGTTTAAAAATATAAATGTGTAAAAAAAAATCTTTACTGGTAAAGGTGAGAGTATTTTATTAACATATTACTATTCTAAGTAAATTAATTAAGCTTTCCTTTCCAAAAGAAAAAAATAGATAAATTGGAGATAGATGGAAAGATTTGAAAACCTTTTTTGAATTTTTGTAATACGTGAATATTTAAACTGTCTGGAGTTCTTTAATGTTTAAATATTTTATCATATTCTTTTGGTTACAGTATATAATAAATAATAGTGTAATAGATGGCCTATTCTTAACATCTCAAAGTAGTTATCAGAAAGCAACACATACATTAAAAACACTAATAGATATCCCAACTATAGAAGCTTCTCATTTAGGAGATTTACCTGATATTGTTGGATATGATAGGAAGAATTGTATCACAACAAATGGTATCAATAGAAATAAAAAAGTATTGAGAGATGAAATATTATTGGATGAAAAGGAACAACTTATCAACAGGAAAGATTTTCCTTTTTCAAGTAATAATATTACAAATGAAAATAATATCAGCTCAGTATCAACTAATACTAGATGGATATATGGAGGAATTCTTCTAGGACTGGTAGGTATCTTTTTTTTATCCCTTATAATTAGTGCATTTTGTACCAATATCAAAAGATTAAAAACGGGAAGGCGGCCAGTATACGGTACTTCTTGGCTAACACCACCCTCTTATTGGCAATCTCAACATGATTATAATACTAATACAGGCGAAGAACCTGAAGAATATGTACCCACTTACTCAGAAATTCCAAACGAAAATGTGGATCTTGGTTTTTATGACGACAGAGGAGAATTCCATCTAAGCAGTCAGAATAATGAATATACCTCTCCTAAACCTACAAGTGAACAAAATTAGCAATTGTTATTGGCTTATATCAACAGTAAAACGTTAACAAGATCTTGTAACTTTAAGGGAGGTAAGTTATATCAATATGCCATTATGAATTTTTCAAAATATTTAATTACTTCAAATAATAACAATAATTTTCAATTTTTAATGAAACCAAGAAAGTTAAATCTACTAGTTATATATATATATATTGCAAACCCAAGTTAGCTGATTCCCCTGCAAATAGCTTTTTATCACTGAACGTTTAGTTTTTTGGATATAATCAGACATTATCAATGTCTCTGTAACTTATTTTATATACATGAAAATGTATTTATTTTATGGTTTATCTCTGGTTTTTAGTAACTAATTTGTGGTTGTTGCGAAGCAGATTCAATACATATTCAATTTTGCAACTACAAAAACTCAAGACAAAAAAAAAAGCATACTTATATATTTTGACAAAACTGTTCCTTTGTCTGGAAAATTATATAGTTGTTATTGTTACTGGAGTTTAAAAAAGATATAATATTGCGATGGTGGCTGTTTGCATTTTTTTTTTAGTATTATTAGATTTTTTCTTTTTTTTGCAGATACATTCTTCAAAAATGTTTAACATTATTGTGAAAAGTTTATGAAAACTTTTGAATTTTTGAAACTATGTCAAGTTTAATGCATTTTGTATCTGCAATATTCATATCATTGCTCTCGAAAATGTCATTTTGAGAATTTGTTAACATATCATTGTATAACAAAATCTGGTCATTTTATACTGTTGTTTGATCTCGGATCATAAATTCCGACAAAAAGCCCACTGTATGCACAGCCGCACATGATTCTATCATTCCTAAAAGAGAAGTTCCTTCCTTGACAATAGAACATGTTTATATCTAAACTTCAGTGATAAGAATAAGGAAGAGGAAAATGGGAAAATGGACAAAACATTGTTTACCATTAAGGGTCATTTTTATTTCATTCTTCTTGATTGAAACCTGTACGAGAAATATTTGTCTTCCAGTAAACTAATGACTAAAGACAAAAAAAAAGAGAGAGAAAGAATTAGCAAATCTTTCTCATCAAATAATACTTTTTTTATACCATATTGTTTATCAAAGTGGGAAAAACGATTTGCTAAAATAAAAAAATCCTTATGATCCTCCAAAAATTATAAAAGGGAGGAGGGAATAATCTAACAAAATATTCTGAATAGTATCATTGTGTGATCTACTTTTATGATATAAAAACAAAAAGAAAAGTTTAAATACCAATATTCCATAGGTATTGATTTGTGTATAGTTAATAATATATTTGGGCTTTGATAAATAGAATAGATTAAATTAATATGGCAGAGACTACTTATTTGTTGGAGAACATCCAAAATAAGGAGTTGATTAGAAGAGGTCCATTTATTAATGGTCATTGGTTGGAAAAGAGTGAAAGTGGTGAAACTTTTAATGTGACCGACCCTGCCAATGGAAAGATTCTTAATACTTTACCAGATTTATCTCTTAACGAGGTGGAACAGGCCATTAAAGGTGCCCATGATACCTTTTATAACACTTATAAAAATACAACACCAAGACAAAGAGCACAATGGTTACGTACCATACATGATTTAATGTTGGAAAATGCAGATGATTTAGCCAGAATTATTACTTTGGAAAATGGTAAGTCTTTAGCAGATGCTTTATCAGAAGTAAAATATGCTGCTTCTTATTTCCTTTGGTACTCGGAAGAAGCTCCGAGACAATATGGTGCTACAATCCAACCTTCTATAAGTTCAAATAGGGTGTTCACTATCAGACAACCTATCGGTGTTTGTGCAGTAATTTGTCCTTGGAATTTCCCAAGTGCAATGATCACAAGAAAAGCAGCAGTGGCATTAGCTACAGGGTGTACAGTGGTTGTCAAACCTGATCATGAAACACCATTGTCAGCTCTAGCCTTAGGTTACTTAATTGAAAAATCTGGTGTTCCTTCTGGAGCATTCAATGTTGTGATTAGTGGCACTAAAACTGCTAAACTTGGTACTATGCTGTGTGAATCACCATTAATTAAAAAATTGACTTTCACTGGTTCTACAAGAGTTGGAAAAATATTAATGGCACAATCAGCTTCTAATATTAAGAAGTTATCATTAGAATTAGGGGGTAATGCACCATTTATTGTTTTTAAGGATGCAGATATTGAACATGCTGTAAATCAACTTCTACTTTGCAAATTCAGAGGATTAGGCCAAACATGTGTCTGTGCCAATAGAATATATGTTCAGGCCGAAATTTTAGACCAATTTGTTTCTTTATTGAAGAGTAAAGTTGAACAGTTTAAAATTGGACATGGCCTTTCAAAGGGAACGACCCATGGTTGCTTGATCAATACACAAACTTTAGACAAAGTTGAGTATCACAAGAAAGATGCTATTGAAAAAGGTGCGGCTGTAGTAACAGAGGGAGGTCCACTTCCAGAATTGGGTCCAACATTTTATAAACCATGTATTTTATCAAATGTCCCATATAGTGCCGTGGTTGCCAAGGAAGAAACATTTGGTCCATTATGTCCAATCTTCACCTTTAACTCTATGGAAGAAGTAATCAGAGAAGCAAATGATACCGAATTTGGTTTAGCATCTTATGTGTTTTCTAAAGATATCAATATTATTTTCCATATGGCTGAGGCTTTGGAAGCTGGTATGGTGTCCTGTAATACTGGTATATTTTCAGATGCTGCCATTCCATTTGGTGGTATAAAAGAATCTGGTTTTGGTAGAGAAGGTTCATTATATGGTATTGAAGATTACACTGTTGTGAAGACTGTGAATATTGGTAATTTATAATTTTTTAGTGTTTGATTTGTATATAATTTTTACTTCTTTATCAATACATTACAGCAAAAAAGTATATAATCTTAATATGACGAGTACTTTGTGTACTTTAAGAAATTTTGTTAAATTCTTACTAAAGTTTGTAGTAATGTGAATTTTGTGAATTTTGTGATTTCTACTTAATTTAGTTATATACTGTTATTATTACATTTTGAATTATATATTAGTCAATGAATACTACTGAATATTAAATATCATTTTTTGCTAAATTATCACCTATTCTCTGCTGCTTTTAAATATTTTTTTTTTATAAATCCAATCAGATCCAATTAAATTCGCACCTCTTTTTTCTGCAATTCTAAACCAGGCAGCAGCTTTTATAACGTCTTTTTTTTCTTCTGATATTTTTATCAAAGGAAGTTGATTTGGATGATTGTTCGCTTATTTCTGGTTCTTGAGACCATATTATACCAGATAGGCACATGGAGTCAACATGACCCATGGATGCAGCCTTCTCTAAACACTTTAGGCCTTTGTATTCGTCAATATTTTGAATACCATATCCCTTTAAATATGCAATACCACATTCAAATAATGCTGGAACTAATGGTTCTTCTAACTTAGATGGAATAGACTCATTAATGGTTCTTTCTAGTTGGAATGGGTTGATTTCAAGATTAAATACATCATTATCCCAGGATTTTATCGAGGTTGCCAACTTTATATAATAGAAAGATTGAATATAATCGATCTCTACTCCGTAGCCATATCGTAAAGCCAACCCATATAAAAGAAATGCTGTTTTGTTCCCTTTCTGGCACGCTTGTCTTAGTTTCAGAGCTGAGGCATGTAGATTTCCTGCTTTTCTCATGTCTATGGCAGTAGAGATCAGTATCTTGTCTTTTGAATATAAATTTCCTTGGAAGTGACCATTTTCTTGAGGTGAATTGGAGGGAGAAACATAATTCTGGACTGCAGATTTGTGTGTAGAGGAAACTGGAGAACTTAGTACTGATTGGGTCAGAGGTACAATGTGGTTAAAAGCAGAATTTGATCTTTTGTGAATAGGACTTGCAATTCCAGTTAAACTTTTATGAGTTGGTGAAGGTACTTGCCTTGATCTGCTACTGTTTGTGGTTGGGTTGTTATTAACATTGCACGTATGTTTTTTTATGTCTTGATAACTACTTTCTTCATATACGTGTAAGTTGTTTGATTGGGGAGAAAGTTGTGGTTGTGGAGAAAAAATTAGTTTAGATGAACTTTTTGTTTTACGAATAGATGTAACATTATTGTAATTTGAAGATGAAAATTTTAAGTCCAAATGTTGATTGAAGCTTTTCCCAGGTTCATTATTAAAATCCTTATTGCTATTGTTCCTTCTAATTTGTTCCGGAGAACTTTTGTTTTTATTTTTTTTCAGTAAATTCTTTAAAGAACTTAACGAATTCTTCTTCTTATGAGATTTTGAGAATATCAATGGTGGTTTGCTTTCGTTAGTGGGGCTTAAGTTTGGGCTGGATAGAGTAAATGATTCAACTTTTATATTTTGCAACTCAGAGTTAGTAGTCTCATGTGTTAATGGACTAGATAACTGTAGGGAAGCTTTTGAAAATTGACTATTTGTACTGATATTACTTTTGGTACTTAAATTTTGTCTTCTTGAAACCATAAGGTTTGTATTGTTTTCTGGGATATTTTCAATGATTAAATTTCTAATAGAATCGGTATCTTCTTCCACAATATATGAATATCTTGATGTATTGGAGTAATGTTGTTCAACTCTTGATTGTAGAGATTTATCGTTAAATTTTATATTGCTAAGAATATTTTTAATCAGTGGATTTGTGGTATTGTCATTGTTAATAATATCTATCCTTTTAGATGAAGAATATGTGTATAAAGGAATATCATTTTGGTTTGTAGATTTGTTGCGTATGCTAATATTATTATTAAGCTTGAGTGAAGGAAATTGAGAAGCTGGTAAGCTGATTATATAGGATTCAGTTGTATTTTGTTTAATGTTTTCTTTTGATGACTCTTTGTTTAATTCAAGTATCTTTATATCATCATGGATAGGGTCAGATAGTCTTATATTATTTAGATCTTTATTGTTTGCATCAGCATTATTATTTTCTCTCGTTATTTCTTCTAGAAGGATACTTTCGTCTTCCTTTGAGAGATCTAATTTATCTAACAACCGGGAATTAGTTAAAATAGAATCAAAAGATATGATACTATTTGATGGTCTAAGATTATTTTGTAATCCATCGAGAGGTGAAGATCTAATATTATGACTGAACATTGAAAAAAGTTAGAATCTATTGTCTTCCACACCAATTCACAGTGGATTTATGTAGAGGGAAATATGTATGAAGAATTAACAAAATAATGAAGGTACTTAATTTGACTTACTATGGTGATTATTATTTTATATTTTTTTTGTTGTTAGAAAAAATTTTTTTTGTTATTATCGTATTTATTGAGTGCTTGTTTATATTTTTAAGATTTTCAAAATTACTAATTAAAAGGAAATATTCTACGGTTTTTAGAGAAAATAAAACTTGTTACATTAATATTAACTTACTAATACGTAGAAATACAGGACTAACTGAAGGAGTTAGATCTTTTAAAAGAAAAGTATATTCAGTTTTTTTTGTAGATTATAAGTACAGGTTTTACATGCTTATGCTGTGAAAATTTTAAAACACAGTTATATTATAGAAAGATTTAAAGAGATTACAGGTAGTTAAGGAAATCGTATTGATGGTGCTTTTAGTTGCAAAGTTTTAGACTTGATTATATGTTAAGAATTATTTAAATTAGCCAAAAACAAGATAAGATATTGTCAAATAATAGACAGCAAAGTGCGAAAGAAAAGGAGTATAATGAAAGGAAGAATTTTTGATCATATAGTTCCTTTGTAGTAGTAATATTAATCTTTTTTTTCTAATTTATTGTACTTTTAATGGAATATGGAGTAAACTCTAGCCAAACTTTGCTTTAAAAAAAAATAACTTGTTATTAAATAAGAATGAATATTCTAAATCAAATTTTCTATGCAAAAAAAGGACGGTAGAAGATAGCTTATTTCTAATATTTAAAATGTGGTAAATAATATGAACTAGGTTCTATATAGGAACAATGCGTATAAAGAAGTAGGAAGGAAATAAGAGGTAGAATTTATTTTCAATTTTTTTCTGTGCAGTTTAAGTAGAAAATCAAATAAAAGCTATGAAACGATTAAAAAAAGTATGTTTAACATTGATTTTATAGGGTTTTGATGGGATATATTGTTATTATGTTAAGAAAGTACATTGAAACTAAAAAGTAAGAGATTCCAAATTGTTTTTTAAGAGAAGAATAATTTAGATATTTGTTATATATTAAATATTATAGATTTCCCTTTTTTTAGATCGATTATGTATTTAACAGTATTTGTTGTGCTTCTTTTCTTTGTTGGTTTCTTGTACTAATACTTCGTGTGTAAAAAATTTTTATTATTTTGTTTTTAAGACATTATGATTTAACAAATTAATGTTTAGTTTTCAAAGTAATTCTAAAAACCAGGAAGTAAGGTTGAAAAATAAACATTTTATAAAAACTTAAAAATATCTTAAAAATCTTACCCAAAGATAACAGTTTTGGGAAGAAAATGACTTTCCCAAATAAAATTACTCTTCCTATATCAATGTAATAAAACTACTGGTTACAATTAACATGTTTTTCATTTTCACATAATTTACTCACTTCATGCTTTAATAATATTTACAAGAATAAAAATTAAAATTATTGATGCAAAGATTCAGTCTCAAAAACTTTATTAAACTTCAGCATAAACCTAATACAGTAAAAATATATAAACTTAAAATAAAATATTAATAATATTATAAGTTTTCTATAACATTTATAATAAATTGTTAATAATACTATAATATTTCCATATATTGCTTGATTTTTTCTATTCTACGCAACTAACATATAAGTTATAATGTACCACATAAGTCATTTTACAGTTGAGTTTTCTTTAGATACAATGTTTTATATCTTTTTAGTTATTTACTACGATAAAGTTAGATCATCAAAGATACCCCTAATAATATTTCCAGAATTGTTTAATAAAAACAAAAATAAACTAAAGAAATAATCATAATTCATATTCTTGAGAATTTCTTTCTTATTATAATTTTCCACACTATGAAAAAAAAAAGTTTTCAACTCCTTCATATTACAAATTTTTACATAAAATTGTTATTAATATTTTTAATTTTATATTAATATTATTGTTTCCTCTCTCAACACAACTTCGGCTTACCTTTACACACACAAACAATTCCAGATAATAACTAATTATATCTTACACAGTAAAATAAGACGCCAAAAAAACGAAAATTTAAACTTCTTGATGACATGTATTATAATACAAACTAATATTTGACGTGAATATTGGACTATATGAAAGTATATAAATGTGCTTTTATATTTTTTTAATATATTTTATTAGTGATTGATTGATTGAATATAAATAGTTTTTTTCCTATTTCATTCCAAACTAAATCGGAGTAAATGAGATGAATAAATGATATTAGGGCTACAGTAAGAAAACAAAGAGAAATTTAAAATTAACCACCAAAACCATATAAGGTTCTACCTTGTCTCTTCAAAGCATAGACAACATCTAAGGAAGTAACAGTCTTTCTCTTAGCGTGTTCTGTGTAAGTAACAGCGTCTCTAATAACAGACTCTAAGAAGGACTTTAGGACAGCTCTAACTTCTTCGTAAATCAAACCAGAGATACGTTTAACACCACCTCTTCTAGCTAATCTTCTAATAGCTGGCTTAGTAATACCTTGAATATTATCTCTAAGAATCTTTCTGTGTCTCTTAGCACCACCTTTACCTAAACCTTTACCACCTTTACCTCTACCAGACATTGTTAATTATGTATATTATATTTGTAATAGCTTGTTTTGCTTACTTGTTTACTGACCAACAGGAAAAATAGGAAGACAAACAGCACTAAGAGAGAAAAGAAAAACAGTTCAAACAGACAAAACTCCCAGAAGGAATTTGAACGAAATGTATGCCTTTATATAACTATCTAATTCATCAATTCAGCTGTCTTTAATTTTACCCAAGTTGGGATTTAATTTTCTCCATTATTGTTTACAAGGAGCGAATCCATTATATGTATTTTTCCCATCTGACCATAATAAAAACACTTATTTTATTAAATAACGAAATGATTACCGAACATGAGGCGAAATTTTCAGACTGAATTAACTATGGTCAGTGGGGCGAAATTTTCAGTACGCGCACGACTATTGATTTTTTCAAAAAACAAACAAAGCTATCGGACCCAAAATTTCGTAGACTGACCATAGCTAATTCAGTCTGAAAATTTCGCCCTACTTTAGTGTAGCTTTTTAACTGTTAACAGAATTAGAAAAAATATTATGAACATTCGTCTCTTTTTCATTTTCAGCCCTCAATTTTGTAACATAATGTTCTATTATTACGAGTATTAAATTTTTTAATTATTGTAATAATCACGGGTAAAAAGTTTGTTAACTTCTTTTGTTTTATTTTCGTTCTATAGGGTGTTTGCGTCGTGTTTGAAAAACAACTCTAGCTATTGAATGGAATGTTGGAGAAAACTTCTTTCTGCATATATAAACAGACTATTTTCTTCTCACTTCTGGGTGTTCTATGCTGAAGGTTCTCCTACTCCTGAAACTCTTTCTTGATCTAAGACAAAAGAGAACATATATACTGTCAACAAACAAGACACGCATATACACAAATACATAAAATGGCTAGAACTAAGCAAACTGCTAGAAAGTCTACCGGTGGTAAGGCTCCAAGAAAACAATTAGCTTCCAAGGCTGCTAGAAAATCCGCTCCATCTACTGGTGGTGTCAAAAAGCCACACAGATATAAGCCAGGTACTGTCGCTTTAAGAGAAATCAGAAGATTCCAAAAATCTACTGAATTATTGATCAGAAAATTACCTTTCCAAAGATTGGTCAGGGAAATTGCTCAAGATTTCAAGACTGATTTAAGATTCCAATCTTCTGCTATTGGTGCTTTACAAGAATCTGTTGAAGCCTACTTAGTCTCCTTATTCGAAGACACTAACTTGGCTGCTATCCATGCTAAGAGAGTCACCATCCAAAAGAAGGATATCAAATTAGCTAGAAGATTAAGAGGTGAAAGATCATAAATGCTTTCTTAGATAGACAAACAAACGTATTTCTGCAATGTACTCATAGTTTCTGATATAATCATGTACGGGCCACATCATTCACATTTCTAGATTCTATTAAATGATACTTTTATTTATGTAATATTCTTAAGTCATTCTTTACTTATATAATAATAATACACATCATATAATATTAAAATATAAAAGTTTAACGTAACGTTTCTGTAATTTTATTTTGTTTGTTCTACGCTGTTTGTTTATTTTTCATGTGTTTTTCTCTTGGCTTTATTTTAAAGTTAATTATGTGTGTATTTTTTTTTTTGTAAATACACACCAATAGTATGAGTTTACCAAATTACAACAAGAAAAGTGCTGCAAAGACAAACAACACTCAGAATGAAGATAATCAAAGTGTGTGGGATAAAATCCTTAGAAGATGCACAAGTTGCTGTATTAAATGGAGCCACTCATATCGGTATTATATGTGTACCAAATAGAAAAAGAACCATTTCGTCAGACGAAGCGATAAAAATCTCTGACTGGATTCATTTACAAGCTAACAATAATAATGTTAAACTGGTTGGTGTATTTCAAAATCAGCCAATAAAAGATGTTAAAGAGCTATCTGTTAAATATAACTTAGATATAATCCAGTTACATGGCGAAGAAGACTGGTTAGAATATTCTGATTCAATAAAGAAACCACTTATAAAAAGATGTGTCTTCCCACAAGATTGTGAAAAAGTCTTAACTATTACTAGGTCAGAAAATTCCCAAAAAATTTTACCACTCTTTGATTCTGCTATAGGTGGTACTGGTGAACTTTTAGACTGGGATGAAATCAATAAATGGGCTAAGAAACAGGATCCAAACGAAGTATCCTTTATATTAGCAGGCGGATTAACCCCTGAAAATGTTAGTAGTGCGTTTAAGCTTTATGGTGTTATTGGTGTAGATGTGTCTGGTGGTGTTGAAACTGATGGAATCAAAGATCATTCTAAAATAAAACAATTTATCAAAAATGCCATTTTATCATAAGGTACTATATTGTCTTAAATTTATACCTTCAAATCCAGTGATACAAAAAATACTATGATAGTAAATAAAAAAGAACTATTTAATAATTGTATAGCCTATTCCATCTATCATTTTAAGAAGTTTCAAAATTAATTTTTATGAAAGCTATTTTTTTGGTTATCAATTATTCCCATTTAAATTAACGCTATCTTTAATGATATATTTAATACATAGAAACTATAAATGTGTCAAAATACAAAACAAAATATAAACAGCATAACATAACTTAGAGAAGAAAATTAATAAACCATACAAGAACACTTCTTATCCGAAACAATATGTTCTAATAGATTTTATTACTGCATATTGGAAAAATAGACGACCTTAATAAAGCCTAAATATTTATTTGTGTTTTATATATGCTTATATATATCCATTTAATTGATTAAATGCCGGTAACACATCTCTAGTTGAACCGTATTGAAATCAAATTTTTAAGATTTACTAACATACTATGTTTTCAAACAGAACAACAATCCAAAATACTACATAGGATAAAATTTCTTCTATCTCCTTTATGAGAAGAGATTAAAACATAATTAGTAGAAGTTGTTTGGACCATCAATAAACGCTCTTAAAATATTATACTCTGTAATATTTAACTGCATTCAGGAAATGAGACGTGGGCGATAATTAAAAAAAACGTCTCATTATACAGAATCAACATAATCTTTAAATTACAACTAAAATACTAGTACATTAATAAGTAAAACCATTTTTGTAGAGTTTTCTGCCACTAAAACTAGTCAACAGATAATAATCTTCATATAATTATAAGTTGTAAAAGGTCCTCTTATTCGGATATACCTTTCGTTTCGTACTTGTTAGAAAAATTAAATTTGCAAAAAAAAAAAAACAGACGATAAAAAAAACCAACTTTTAAAGATCTATATATATATATATGTATATAGATATTAAATATATTTTAACATTCACCATTTTGTTTTTACATATAGCACGCATGTATTTAAAGATATGGGATCTTTATTGAACCTTAAAATAATAACCAACTATGTTAAGACGGCCAGCCACAACCCTGACACTTTCAAAGGAAGAAGTAACAGATTTAATAAGTCATCTACAAGAAAAAACACTAGAAGAAAGACTAAAAACTAGAATACCGAAACAGCTATCCGAATCTACTAATGAAAATTCTAAATTTAATGCTAGAAAAAAAGAAAATGAGAAAGGTGTACCTGTAGGACTTTGGAAAAACAGCCCTTTAAAATCAGCACCTCACTCAACTAGATTGTTAGATCAATTGAATATTAGTTCATTAGAGAATCACCCAGAACTGCAGAATTTAGCAGAGAGTAGTGCTTCTCAAGAAGAAAATCCATTTTATCAGCCAGAACAACGTTAGATTAGTGATATATTGATTGTTATAAAAAATTCCCAGTATGAATATATAATTACAAAAAAAGAGTATGCATAAGTAAAAGAATTTTCATACAAATTTTTTAAGTAGAACACTCGAATTTTTTAACCATAAGAAAAATTTTTATTAATATTACATTTGTTCATACGATAAAAAATGCAAGTACATTTCGTCTAATAATTTTTACGTACAATGAAAGAGTTAATAAAAGGTGCCAATTTACCACTGTATTTTTTCAATTACCTAGTAAGCGGGCGTGATAAATTGGAAATTTATTACTAATACATATTAATTAAAAAGTCCTATTGAAAATAATCCATATATTTTCGTCGGTTATTTGAATAATACTCTTTTGAGTGAATTTTTTATGCACAAGTGACACTTCTATTTTATATTTTCTATACAAAGAGACTACAACCAAAAATTTTGGCAATACTTCAAATAATTATTTTTTTAACAAAGTAATACCTAAAGAAATGAACTAAATCAATAATATCTTTAACTTGCCAGATCTTCTATTTATATATATATATGCAACTAAAAACAATTATACTTGTACATAAATTCAATTGGTTTTCATCATTGTCTTTTAAAATTTGTATAAGAACAGACAATAAAATACTGACTACGTTTCAAAAAAGAGCAGAATATAGATATGTGTGTGTGTAATATAGACCAATAAATAGATCAACCACCTCTTATTTCATAAAAATCAGTAATACATCAAGTACTTTTTTTATAGTTCTTTACAAGATTGAACTTTCACATATAACTTTATCCATTATTAAGGTGTTTATACACTATTTTTAACTTGTATGATATACATTATGAATCACAATAATACTACCATTAATAGATTGGGGAAATTGTAAAACTATTAAGTAAAAAATAAATAGTTATTTTTGAACCTTGAAATGATATGCAGTAATAGACACTAGTTTGCTTACCAAATCTCGTTTAAAATATACCCTAATACATAAACTACAAGATTTTAAACTAAAAAAATTGGTAGTTTAATAAAAAATATTAAGTCATGCACAAATTCAAAATCAATAATAAAAATGTATGAAGCCATCTTGACCCAACACTTTTTCAAGTAGATAAAAAATTAAATTATCATGTCTAAAATGCTGCAATTCAACACAGTTAAAAACACTCAAGTATTTTGTTTTTATCTCGGGGTATTTAGGCTAAACTCTATATTTTCAATAGCACCTGTTTTGTCATATCATGTTTTTTTAATCACTTCTTATGACTTAATCAAAAAAATTTTTTAAAGAATATAAAATTTGTGTATTTGATTCATCACACAACACCATTTTAAAAAAGAAGAAAAAATAAATTCTTAAGAAAAAAAACTAATTTAAAAAAGAGTAAAAAGTGAATGATAATGAAATATATATACAATAATAACCATTATATAATTGCATAGGTTGTTTGTATAAATCATTAAGAATCGAGAAAAACAACAGACAAACAACAGATTTTTTAAAATGTTTTTTGTGAAAAATTTTTGATCGTATTTACCAAAGCCGTGTATTACTTAACAAAAAATGAAAAGGTAAAAAAACAAATTATAATTTAAATTTTCTCTTACTAGATAATATTTTAGCTTGGATTCCTTGAAATAAAACAGTTTATAAACATTAATAATATCTTTATATATGCTAAATAACTACTAAATAGTTGCTAAATTAGATACGAATTTACAGATTCTCTATCTGCTAACTTTTTGTAATTATTTTAAAATTAAAGCTCTAAAAAAGAATGTTTACTTCACACACATAAATTATTAAAGGAAAACTTTTGTAAAATACAACTTATTAGTTACAATCTATTGTTCATTTAAAACAGTTATGTATCGATTGGAATATTTTAGTAGAATAAACAATCCACAATATTTAATTTACTTATTTTACTAAAAATTTCCAAAGCAAAAGTTAAACCAAATAATTATAACATATTACAACCTACCATGTCTAATATTGAATATATAAATTACCTAAAATAGCCCTGTAATTTTAATAATAACACACTTGAATTACCATTTAATTTTTTATATAAAGATCAAATAAGAGTGTTTATATTTACACTAATCTTAACATAACCCGTCTTTTTATTTGTGAAAACTCTTAAATATTGACAATTACACCTAGTAACAAAATATAAACAACAACTTTCTATGTTACTGTAAAGGTTTAGTATCAAAAACTCTATTAAATTTATTATAATAAAATATACATATCTAGGACAGAATAACAGTTAAGAGCTTCTATGGCCAAGTTGGTAAGGCGCCACACTAGTAATGTGGAGATCATCGGTTCGAATCCGATTGGAAGCATAAACTTTGCTGATCTTTTTATAAGATGTAATAATGCGATAACTTGTAGATTGTGTGTTTCTGGTAACAGTTAGCCTTGTTGAAATCACAATATACTTCACTTGGATAGATATAAGATATCGACTACTCTTTCTATGTCTCTAGATGTAATGTTCCCATATATCTATATCCCTAATTTACAATAACCTAATAGTATACACTTATATACTATATATCTCGATTTGTTTAATCCTTAGTTCCTTATTCTTTTGTTCTTCATTCCTCATCCATTGTTCGTTGTTCTTCTTAGTTACTCTCTTGTACTTATACTGGCTGCTCCTGCTTTTAGCGATGCTTGTAAAATTTTGTAAAAGGAAAGTTTAAAAAAAATTGTCAAGCCTCTCTTTTCTAAACAAAACCCTAAACAGTAATATCAGAAATATTACTGTTTGTGTGACAGACGAATACTTACTACGAAAGATATAATATTCTAGAATACTAAAATAGATAAATGATTCCTGGTTCGTTATCTATGCATACGTTCCATTTTAATGATACATACCATATATAGTCTAATGATACAAGACTCAACCAGTTATTCACCTTCTTCTTTTAATCTACAAAGCCCTTATTTCCATTTTTCCTCTCAGGGAGTTAACAAGTCCAATTTTAATAAATAAATAGACATGGCGAACTTACGATGATGTCCTATATATACACCACACAAGAATACGCTAAGAAATTTATGAAATGTAATAGGGCTATCTGACGTCATATTAATCTCCAAATAGCAGAACTTAAACATCTCATTAAAAAACTTACTCTCCCAGCTTAGAGAGACCGTCCACATGTTGGTGAGACATAGACAGCCAATGATACTGGTGCAAATTATTTTTAACCTGATCTTATTTAAGCAAAGACAGAACAAGCGTAATAAAACAAGACTACCAAACCCAACAGCTAATAAATAGCTGAACTGGAGATCATCCAGCTTTTATAAAAAACGAAAATAAACCAAATTATTTTTTATATTTCTTTTTTTTCTAGATTTGCAGATAAAATGTTGGTTACCCTCATATATCCTTATTGACAAATTTTTAATTTTTTTAAGGGTCAACTAATCTAACAGAGAAATAAAGTGGTAAAAACCAACTCAAATTAGGGTTATAAATTTTTCAAAATTAATTTAAATAATCTTTAATTAATTTGTAGGTAATGGTGCTGGGACTAGAAATTACAGTCTTCTTTAAAAATTGTCCACAAAATCAGTAAATTTGGATGCCTTTTTCACTTAGGAAGTTTTTTTTATTCAAAACAAATTTAATCTGGTTAGGGTATAATGTAATTGTACTGTTTTTTCCGAAAACTAATCTTTAAGGCCAAATTATATATTACGAATGTATATAAGAATATCTAAGAATAAAACACTATAATATTTTATTAAAATGAACAATAATAAATAAGCATTAACTCAAAAAAATAGAAAAAAAAGAGAGAAATAAACATTTCTATTACTTGCAAATTCTACTAGGTAAAAAAAGATAACTCGTTCCCTAATACTTTCTGCAAGCTGTAAAAACTTGATTTTTAACAAAATAGAATAACAATAAATGGAAAAAATTTATCACTTCATTTCTTGAAAACAACTTTCAATAGAATTCTTGGATATTTTACGCACGTTTTAAATAAAGATATACTTTCTATAAAACTCTTTGTAGTATATGCTTATAAAAAGACTATTCGATATATTTAACAGGAATATTCTAAGGAGGGTTAATCCTGTGTTTACGATTGTGTTACTCTAATTCTCCCTCATTATCAGTATTAGCATAGAGAGCCATATGCCAAAAAACTTGAAATCAAAAATTGAAAAACGCTCTAACAAGTGTGCCCCAAAAAGGAAAACAAAGTCCAACTTTTAGAAGAGATTGCAAATAATAATACTTCGGAAAACATTATTTCTTGATTCTAGTTTGCGTACAAGCTTTAACGTGTATTGTATCTTTATTTTTACAACAAAAATAACATCTATTTTGTATAAAACTAATATCGTTTGCTACCTCTCTATCACGTCTTGTATAGGAGTTCTAACATTTATTTCATACCAAACTGGATATTATCCAAAATATCAAAAGACCTTACCCTTGTAGAAATAAAAAATTGGTATCACTGAGATTTTATCACTTAAATTGGACTAACAGTGCCTCACTTTTGCTCTCATTTTTGATTTTTTAAACAACAAACTATTACTGAAAATCAAGTTATCCAAAATACTTCAGAGATTAAGAGTCATGGTACTACATCAAATATCTGTTCCTAGAACATTTAGTTGTCTATGTAACATGATTTATTAGTAGTCGGTAATTAGTTGTAAGAAGAGTGTGATTTATTTTTTTGAATTATCTTTTACTATCTAATAATAAAGTACCCATTCTGATTTTAGTTTGAAAGAAAAAAGTAAAAACCTTATAGATCGCTACGTTATCTGGGTGTGTTTTCTTTTTTTTTTTTCAACTGGAATTCTCAGAACATGTTAAAACCATACTTGATTGATTTTAACAGTGTATCTTTATTGCCTAATTCAAAATATTGAGTACTCTTACATACACCCATACACGTAATGACTATTTCTTTACAAGGATTTTTATGGATAAGAAGAATAAAAAAAGAAAAATTGATGATCAATCTTTTTACTTAAGAAGAAGAAAAAGGATGCAAACAGGATAATACTTGGATAATTTAATATAGAATGGTAATTTTGAGATAATATGAGTAAAAAAAATAGTGATAATAGTAAATAGTATGATTTTTTTTACCAAATAAGAACTCCGCATGTCAGCTGCTTTTCTTTCAAAAATTATACAATATATATAATTTAATGGAAGAAAACCACATGTGCATAACTTCTAATTTGTTTTGCTTTCTGGATTTATACGGATTTGAAATATTTTTACATAACTGGAGATTATTTTGACTATCTAAATCTTTATCTCATTGAAAATATGAATATTTCATGGTTAATCCCTGACACTCTAGAAAATTTTAACAAATGACAAGTGGATAGTTTTATGTTTCATGGACATTATTGTTTTTTTTTGTTCTTCTAATGGTAATTGTTATAATTTTTTTTATTATCTTAGTAAATCCTTTTGAATTCAGTTAGGATTTTATTTGAAGATAATAAATTAAATTGTTTATCATATCACTACTATTTCCATTTTATTTATACTTTATTTTATCTCAATTTTATGAACTTCCAATTCTATTAACAATGAATGGTTTTTTTTTTAGTGAATTTTGTTTAGAACCATTTAAAGACGGTTGTATTTAGTGAAAAATTCATTTATTACAACTATCCCACTTACTAATCTTATTCTCTGGATGATCTATTTATTCTTCATGATAATCAATATTTCATGATTATTACTCTTGTTTGTTATTAGATGTGAGATGCAAAAAGCTAGGTTATTTTCCCTTTACCCATATTATTAGTGTTTTTGTTATTCCATTCCATTCTATGATGCAATTTTTTTTTGTTTTTTTACTTGGAGAGGTTTTTGAATAAATATATGTTTCTTTAATATTTTATATCATTAGTGACTATTAATGCTTATCAAAATTGTTCATTACCACAAGAGTTGATTCAGATATTTTATTCCTAAGTTCCCAGTAGGGTCAACATACTAGGGCTCTTAAATTATATGAAATCAACAATGTGATATTTCCTATTATTCTTCATTTCTATATCCATAATCCTTAACAACAAAAAAATACCTTTTTTTTTTAGTATCTAATCCATATTAGTTATGCCAATATGGTAGTTATTTTTTTTAATGATATGCACATTTCTTAGTATAAAATATCATTTATACTAGTATTGCTCCATAGTAGTAATTCATTATCCTGTTGTGTTTTTTTTAGTATCTTTTACTATCATCAATTATTTCTTTTTTTAGGGTACAACAAGAGAATAATAGAATATCTTTTTTTGATGATTCACATGTTCTTATGGTAGTAAATATACAAATTTTGAGTATTAATAGGAAACTACTAAAGATGATATTATATCAAAGAAATGCAATTTTTGGAAGTCTTTTTTTTTCTTTTTCTTTTTTTTATTAATTATATTTATATATGAAATTATCATCTCTATTTTTTTTTATTAAATTATCTTCAGTTGAAGGAATATATTAAAAAAAAAATATGACATTTTCTACAGTATTGTTGAACAAGAATATTGCTGTCGATTTCTTCTTGAGAAAGAATTATATCATATAGAATATTACTCCTTTTCTGTGAAGTTAATATCAAGGAAATTTTTTACAGAGGATGAATTCACAATTGTTCATCAATAAAATCCCAGAAAGATTTTGATTACTGATAGTGCTGATGCTAATACAGTCCTATTACTATTACGTATACATACTTCTGATAGAACACATGTTTTTCTCCAACCAAAACGAAATGATGACAAATATGCTGACTCCATCACCATTTTTCTTCTGTTAATATGCTTAATTTAGTCAACACAACGGAAGAAAAAAAAATTGACAGGGGTAAAAAAAAAGTAAAGAAAAGAAATGGAAAGAAATCATTAAAATTTGGGAGATATAAAAAATTGAAAGATAAAGCATATTTATGAATTACAGACGTACATGCATACACACACACATATGTATATATATATATATAAAGATCCAATCCTTTTGTGCGTCCTTAACCATAAGAGATTTCTTTAAAATACTCTGCATTCTTTTTCAAATTAATATATTGTTCTATTCCTTAAACTTATATCATTATCAATATCAATTTAACAACCACTTTTAATCTACCACCCCTTTATTTCAATCATTTAACCTATCATAGTCGATATCAGAGACTACAATTTTAATAAGAAAAATATCCTACTAACACAATGACTTCAGAATCTGAAAAAACTCAAACACCAATTATTTTTGCTCCAGAAACTTACCAATACGATAAATTCACATTATCTGAAGAAGATTTAGAAAAAGATCCAATTGAACAATTCACTAAATGGTTTAACGAAGCTAAGGATGATCCAAAGGAGACTTTACCAGAAGCTATTACATTCTCGTCAGCTGAATTACCAAGTGGTAAAGTCTCTTCTAGGGTGCTTTTATTTAAAGAACTGGACCCTCGAGGATTTGTAATATATTCCAATTGGGGTACTTCAAATAAAGCCCATGATATCAAAACTAATCCAAATGCAGCAGTGAATTTTTTTTGGAAGGACTTACATAGACAAGTCAGAGTGGAGGGTTTTACTGAATTTGTTAATCGTGAAACTTCTGAACGTTATTTTAAGACAAGACCAAGAGGATCCAAGATTGGTGCTTGGGCATCTGAACAATCACAGATTATCAAAAATAGAGATGAATTAGAAGAACGTAAAGTCTTGAATGAAAAGAGATGGGAAGGGGTTGAAGACGTTCCATGCCCTCCATACTGGGGTGGTTTAAGGGTCGTTCCATTAGAGATTGAGTTCTGGCAAGGGAGACCCAACCGTCTACACGACCGTTTTGTTTATAAAAGAAAATCAGAAAATGATTCTTGGGAAGTATTTAGATTAGCCCCATGAATATAATTTTCCTTATATACGTATGTATGCGTATATTGTATATTTTGTAGAGCACTTTTGTTATATTAGTATGACTTTAATGAACGTAAATATATGACTTTTTAACAATAAATCATCAAGTTTTTGTACTTGTATATACTTTTGAGAGAAAGAAAAGGAGAAAGGAAAAACCGTATTGCCACACACTACGCTTCAAAAAGTTTCAAATTCTAGCAATAATAAAGTATACAAACATTAAAATAAAATCTGTAATTTAATGTAACTACACTGGGCAACTAAGTATATTTTTACCCCAGTCATTTTTATTGTACTAGGTTTCTTTTTGTGATCCCCTGCTTAGTGCATAAGGCAATTATGTTTTTGCATTACTTCTTATACATATATATAATTGTATTTTTTTTCTTTTACGAAAAAAAAATTAAACTGAGTTCTTTAAAAAAAAACTTTAATTTTAAGAGGAGGGCATCTCCATGGAGGAAGTGTTGCAATAATTACGTCTATCAAAAACTCAACTATTATTTGATCTTTTCTATAGCTGAATTTAAATTTGCAGGATTCCATTGATCTATCTAAACAATTATCGAGTCACCCGTACTTACTTCTTAGAACCATTACTAAAGAAATATACAACATAAAATAGAAACGATGAGTAAGATTAGAATTGAAGATTCTGCTACTAACAAAGCTGAGTTAAATGAGTTTGAACAACATTATTTCAATTCCTACGATAACTATGGTATCCACGAAGAAATGCTGCAAGATACTGTACGCACTTTATCTTACAGAAATGCAATCATTCAAAATAAAGATCTTTTCAAAGATAAGATTGTTTTAGATGTTGGTTGTGGTACCGGTATTCTTTCCATGTTTGCAGCAAAACATGGTGCAAAACATGTTATCGGTGTTGATATGTCTAGCATCATCGAAATGGCAAAAGAGATAGTCGATTTAAACGGATTTTCTGATAAAATTACTTTATTACGTGGAAAATTAGAGGATGTAGAACTGCCATTCCCAAAAGTTGATATTATAATTTCTGAATGGATGGGTTATTTCCTTCTATACGAATCCATGTTGGATACTGTTTTATATGCTCGTGATAAATATTTGGTTGAAGGTGGATTAATTTTTCCAGATAAATGCTCTATCCATTTAGCTGGTTTAGAAGACTCTGATTATAAACATGAGAAACTAACTTATTGGCAAGATGTTTATGGGTTTGATTATTCGCCATTTATTCCATTAGTTATGAGAGAGCCAATTGTGGATACTGTTGAGGGACATCTAGTCAACACCACAAAGAATAAAATTATTGAATTCGACTTAAATACTGTCAAAGTGTCAGATCTTTCATTCAAAACCTCATTCAAAGTGGAAGCTAAAAGACAAGATTGGATTAATGGGTTAATCGCTTGGTTCGATATTGAATTTCCACATCCAAAAGGTAAAAAACCAATAGGATTTTCCACAAGTCCCTTTGCACCATATACTCACTGGAAACAAACTGTTTTTTATTTAGAGGATGATTTAGAGGCTGAAGCTGGTGATATTCTCAAGGGTGAATTAACATGCCAACCAAACAAGACAAATAATAGAGATTTGGATATAAAAATTACCTATGAGTTTGAGGCTCATGGAACTGATTCTAAAGAAAGATCAAAGAAAAATGAAAATGTTTATTTAATGCATTGATTTAAGAGAAAAGAATCGAGTTTTATTTTATTTCTTTCTTTTCTGTTTTACTCTCATTTTGCTTGATTTAATTTTATTAATATTAAATTAGAAATATATAGACTAATATTAATTGATTAATATTCACATGCAACCTCAGAAATATATGTATATTGAGTTATATTATTTGTATACTCCATTCTATCCTAATACTTTCTTCTCCTTCTTCTCCCTCTTGTTACTTTTATCTTTTTTTTATCTTTCCAACCACCTTTTTTCTTTTTAAATACCATCATACTATAGAAAACTAATAGCGAAAAAAAAAAATTCAGAAAAAAATAGTATATTAAAAATAATTAATTATATAAATGAATAAAAAAAATTTCAGTCTATTATACAAATATTATCTGTTATACTATTTAATCGTGCTTCAAGGTTTCGGTGAAAACAGCAGCTGGCTTAGAAGCGTTCTTTTCAATCTTCTTAGAACCTAACTTTTCAGCAGCGAAAACCTTAGCGTATGGGTTCAATCTTAATAAGATTTGCTTGTTCTTTAATGGGTTCTTCTTTTGAACATGAGTACGTTTTTGGGTGGCTGGACCAGCTGGTCTAACAACAGATTGAATTTCAGAAGAGTTGATGATTCTGGTAATGTCAGTAGTAGAGACAATGTTAGCTGGCAAAGAGTAACCAGACTTAGCAGAAGCAACAGTTTCAGAACCCCAGATAGCGTCTAATTGGGAGAAAGCAGATTCAGTCCAGATAACGAATCTACCTAAGTGAGCACCTGGAGCTAATTGTAATAAACCTAAGGAGGCGACATTGGCAGTTTCAACACCTGGAACGTTTCTTAAGGCCTTAACAATACCGTTGTCTTGAGCGTAAACAACTAATGGACCTTTTCTTTGAGTCCATCTTCTGTTTCTGTACTTACCCTTGCCGGCTCTTAATTTCTTGGACTTTAAGACCTTTAATAAATCAGCAGAGGCACCGACAGCCTTCAAAGCAGCAACGGCATCCTTAGTCTTTTGAACAGATTCTAAGTCAGAAGAAACAACTAATGGAATTTCTGGAATCTTTTCAACTCTGTGACCTCTAGCTAAGACCAAAGAAGCAACGGCGGTAGCAGCGATAGCAGAAGCAGTGGCATAACGTTTTTCGTTGTGGTTAACCTTAACGTTCCATTTTCTCCAGGTCTTGGTTGGAGCAAACATACGACCACCACGACACATGTTACCGAAAGCACCTTGACCGGATCTACCAGTACCACCACCACCAACTCTTGGAATACGGGCGACAGCACGACCAGTACCCCAGGATTCAGCAGAGGTTTGGTGACCAGCCTTTTCAGAAACAGCGTAAGCTTGTCTCTTGTTCTTGTTAACAGACTTGAACACAGAGTGGACAATATCTGGACGAATTGGAGCAGAGAAAACGGCTGGTAATGGTAAAGCGGTAGAAGTAGCTTCACCGGTTAAAGCGTGAACAGTAACTTGTGGTTGAGACATTTTTCTTTGGTGATTTTTTTTATTCAACTAAAAGGAACAAAGGGGAAAGGACTGTCAAGCAAACGTAAATGTCAATTGTATTGAAAGCAAAAAAATCCAAAGAGTTTTGTTCAATGGTAAGACAAGGTGCTTTAAAAGTGAATTGAAAAACAAATCTTCAAGTTAGTTTATATATAATCTCAAAGAAATGAGTAACATGTCTCAACTTTCCAACAGAAAAAAAAAATTTTTTTCCACCACAAAATTGAATCAAAAAAAAGAAAAAAAAATAAAAAAAAATTTTTTTGTGTTAAAAACAAGAAAAATAAAAAAAAAGGAACTGCCTTTGGGCTCTGGAAAGTCTAGATTCTCTAAAAACCAAAAATTTGGCTATCTTTGAATTTCCTAAACGGTCTTTAATTTTAAACATGCGGACATTAAAAACCGCGCTAAATATAGGCTTATTCCGCCAGATGGCTTGTTACAATAAACACATAACAGCAATCGTGAATTGCGGAATTTAATTAGGTGAATTGTTGCTTTACATAATAAACATCAGATTCTTTGCGGAATGTATAAACTGCCAAACCAGAAAAAAAACAAATAAAATAAACAAAAACAGGATTATAAAATCTGATTAGACCCATATATCATAATGGCTTAAAAATTTCACTTCCACTTCTTCTAGAAAAAAGATCAAAAAAGAACTGCGCAAGCCCGGAATCGAACCGGGGGCCCAACGATGGCAACGTTGGATTTTACCACTAAACCACTTGCGCCTCAACCTCGCGACTACTACTGTGGAATAGAATAGTTATAATCATCAAGATTACACAAGATCCTGAATGAAGCTAGAACTAATTATTGTATTAATAAGCCATACACGTGCTACAACATTAGATGCTGCATAATAAAAAGATTAGATTACATAAGATTCTGGCAAATCTAGAATTACCTGTTGTTTTAATAAGTCCCACGTGTATTACTAACCACCATGATTAGAGAATTGGGGTGCAGTTCTAATCCACTAGTGCACCTAAATTAATGTAATGAATTTTAGGGTGAATCAGTCAAGTCATTAATGTACTAATCTGAATAATCGATCGAGCTCCAGAAAATACATAAAAGGACAACGTTTTCTGGAGATAAAAAATCATCTTCCATGACCGTTTTTTGTAAATAATCTATATATTATATATGAACAAAAAGAGAACAACAAGCAAGTAACAAGCCAAGTAACTTCGAATAAATATATTAGCTCGTTAAAGCCGCTCAATATATAAGACCGTTTTAGTAATTGTATTATCGATTATAGTTGATTACTGTCTCGATTACTTGAATAACTATTAATATTATTTGTGCTTCCCTGGAATACACAAAGAATTTCACCACTTCATAATACAACAGTTACCCTAAACAATAATAGTACTAATAAAAGAAAAATATTCCAGATTGACGATAGGTTTCTGTTGTGAAATTTCTATGAAATTAGATTCTTCTTATTGTATTTTTTTTATTAAAAACATACATTCAACTTATCATCTAATTTCATACATTCTTATTACAAAGATATCCATATTTAACATAAAAATAAAAATTCTTCCTTCTATTAATGCCTACTTTTTATATTATCCCCATACACTAGAAATTGACTGAAAAGAAAATGTCGGGAAAGAAAACAATTGTTACGTACTGAAATAAATAAATAAAGAACTTCTTTACAATGTTTAATCATAATTATCATATTTAAAATAAAAACTTTTTATAATATGCTTTTAACTATATTTGTAAACTTCTACCTCTTGTGCCTTCTTTTTAACACTTTATTCATTAATTATGAGAGTAAAACCTATTTTTAAAGAATAATCACCATTTTTAAGGAGAAATAATAATAGTTCTGTCCAAACTTTTTACCAATATATTTTTTTCCACTATTTAATGCAACTTGTAATCAGCATCCTGTAAGAAGAGCTAATTGGAAATCTTGGAATACCTAGTCTGCTGAAAATGCTAATTGTCAAAGTGAAGGACTTAGAACAACCAAAACCCTGGGTTCAAAATTGTAGGTGTATTCAAACGAGCAAACGATCGTTGGATGGACATTGGTGGCAAATTACTAAGAAGTTTACTTAAGAGACCCTTGATTATTAAGAGATAGTGCCAGACGTAATTATCAACATTAATATTCGTATTCTATCTAATAGGTTCTGTCTAGAAGAATAGCTAGAATAATGATAATAACCTGAATAATAAGACTAATTTATTTATTAGTTAGAATTAACCAATTATATAATTTGCAAGTATCTGTATATATGATTAATATCCATATTTTTGTATACCACTTAAGGTAACCCCTTACAATATCTTTCTTGTGAAAAGAAAGGAATACACAATAAATAAAAACAAATTTATAATACTCCTAATTTTCTAATTCTTCATAATAAATATATAACAACTATAAATTTATTCTAAAGACTATTCTATCCAAATAGTATCCACATAAATTACCTCCTTTTCTTTGCCAAGAAACTTTCTAATATATCTGTTCGGGGTGTCTTAGCTACTTTTCTTTTAGAAGAATTTGATGCTTGTAATTTACCTGTTAGTTTATTCTTCCTCCGTGTAAAGGACTGATTTGAAATACTTGATTTTTGCTTTGAATAATCCTCACCCCTATTATCATCACTATCACCACTCATAATTATATGATCATTATCAGAACTTTGTATATTTTCATCACTATCTGATATAACAATTGAATCTGGGGAACTTTTTCGAAATATACTATTGCTTTGCATTTTCAATGTTTTGTCTACTGAAGATACTAACTCTGTTGGTTTAAAGGATCTCCGGGAAACTATATCAATTTTGTCCAAAGATTTTCTAGTAAAAGAGGGATCGTCAGGTAACACCCTATTTACATTGACAGAATCTTCTTCTGAAGCAATATGTGACGACAAAACTGACTTTTTTCTTGATGTGTTTGCCCTTTTAACTTCCTTAATTAATACCTTTATATCCTCAGGATTTTCTTTATCCAAAAATTGTCCACTAGAAACCAATAAATCTACTTCATTATCCAACTCCTTATCGATAAATTCCTTTAATGCTGTCTTTTCATCTTTATCTACAAATTTCTTAATGGCATCATTAAATCCAACCTCCGGTAACAGAGATAATTGCATTTTGTTTAGAAGATCATTAACCAACAGTTCGATTTGTAATTCACCATTATTATTACTATTCTCATTATTATTTACTGATAAATTACCTACTTGATCATTACTAGGACCTGCATTTTTATCTTTATCTCTTGCAACTGTTGGCTTCTTCCTTTTATAATATTGAACAATATTATTACTATTGGCAACACGACCAACAAATCTATTACTAAATCTTCTAGGATTTTCCACTTGATAATCCAGCATATCATTAACAATTATTCTACTATTTGTAATCGTGCCAGAACCACTGTTACTTTTATTTGAAGACGTTGGTCCAGCATAGTTTACTCTCAATCTTATTAAAGGAAGTGGAATAGTGATTGATAATTCATTTAAATCATCATCTTGATTCATTTGATCAATTTCAATACCATTTTGCCTCAATTTTTCTTTAGTCTCCTTATTTGCTTCATCAATCATTTCATCAACCTGTCCAATTAAATATTTAGTAACAGATTCTTTGTCGTGCGGCTTTAAAAAAGGAATTTCATTTAAAGATATATTTCTCATCTTAAATGTTCTTATTGTCGTCAATGGGATCGGAATCAACCTTGGTTGACTTTTATTCTGCTTGTAATTAATCTCCAAAATGAAAACATATTTAGATTTAGCCTCAGCATCGCATAAGGATGTAGCCACTGACGATCCTGGTTGTAAAACATTGAATTCTTTTATAGGATTGTAGACTAGATTTGGAATACACTCATGTTCATGTCCCCAAATTACAAGATCCAAAAAATCTGGTAAAAACTGTTCGGGTAAAAAAGCTGTATTGGTATGTCCTATGTGATTTTGATGAACACACATTAGATTAAACCATTCACCATCACGTATAGTGGGAACCTCAAAAGTAACTCCCCCTTCTTTAAAAGTCCTAAACAACCTCTCCTCCCGAATTGATTGTAATCCATACAAAGCCAATTTAGTTTTCCCCTTTTGAAATAACAGTGGTGATAAACAAATCTTATCAGTCTCAAGAACCTTCCCAAAATGATTCACCAACCCACTAACATGTAAAATATCCATAGGACAAAGTAAGGAATCACCAGTGGCATCGTCATGATTTCCTGAAATCGCAAACATTGGGATAGATATATTAAAATTTGGATCCTCGTAATTAACATTAGTGAAATCACTATAACCCAATACTTTTGAAGAATCACTTAACAATTCTAATTCACAGGGCTTATCACCCATACAAGCTAATCTAATGGATCTCATCACTTGATACAAAGATTTCTTAGAAGGTTTATTTATATGAAACAAATCTCCACTCTGTAATATCATATCTACTTGGTAATCCTTAGCAATCATCATTATTTCATGAAAAGTTTTCCAAGAATCATCACATGTTATGGGGTCATTTTCGTTGTAACCTACATGATTATCTGTGGTAATTAAAATACGAATTGTATCCTCATCTGGTAAATCCATATTAAATGAAACCAAATAAAATATGTTTATTTATCTCTCTTGTTCCACCGATCTAATACCCAATATATTCAAAGACACAAAACTTTCCATAACTATATACACATAAACATACACTCCTGTATATCTAGTGCACTGTGACATTATAGGTAGGTTCAAAAAAAAAAAAGACATCTCTGATTAACATGCTTAGGAAGTTTTAATTTATTTTATTTTACTTTTACTTCCAGTTATTTTTTTTTCTTTCAAACTTCCATTTTAAAAATATATATCCCTGTACAAATATATACATGTAAGTGTTAGTGAAACAATAATTATAATCGACGACAATAAAAAATCTCATTTGACACTGTCATATAAGATAATATTATCTATTTATTCATTTACCTGTTATAAATATATGTATTTACAAGTTTCTATTTCGATTACCTAATACAAAAAGAATCCTCCTTCCCTCTTTGTATATAAAACATTATATAAAAGCAAATGCAAACGACTGTGATTCCAAAGAACTGTTATTGTTGCTGGATAGTTTCTTTAATTTTCAACTTTCTTGAATGTGTGTCAAATATATTTGAAAGTTCTTCAAAATTTGTATTGCATAAACTATATTCCATAACTTTTTTGTCCTTAAAAGTGACTTTTATCATAGGCTCTTGATTTGGATCAGTGATTAATTCTTGTGTCATCTTTGTACCTAATACACGTTGTTTAGGTGGGATGGATGCCATTATAAGTCTTGCAGTTTTAGCTAATTATATCAAGAAATAGGAATAAAATAATGGATAAAGTTAGAATGTTAGTAACAAAGTAACTCACTGATAATAGATACAGACTACTAGATACATATAAAAATATTGTAGCAAAACACCTTGCAGTTATAAAGAATCCATTCAACAAATACCTAACAACATACCTTCCTTCCCAAATGGATTAAATTTAACAAACACCTGTGTCATATATTTAGTAAGCATTTTCCCTTTTTTCTTTAGAACCTCCCTATACACACATAAACACACACACACAAATACAGGATAATTATTTAGCCCCTATTGCACTGTGATACCTACCAATTACTCTGTGTTTAGGGAGTTTAACCATTTATTGTAGCACTTGTATTAATATGTATGCATACAAACGCACGTATATATATATATCTATAATATCCGCAGATTACATGGTCTCGAGAGTTTTCCATCTTTATCTTTTCCATTTTCTTGAAATTTCTAATCTTAAGGAACTTTTTTTGAAGATAGGACAAATCAGAACAGGACAAGACAACACAAGAAGATAAATTGAGTTCAATGCACTAGCTTACATATTAATGTAAATTCTGGCATTGACAGAAACACTGTAAAGAATATACAATGGATTATTAAAACATATAAAGAAAGACAGAAGAAGAGAAAAAAGAAATATGAATAACTTAAAAAAATCAAAGGTGAATGTTGACTACAATACAAGTATATAACAATATAATGTGCATTATTAACATAACAACTTGCTACACAACGTTTAACAAATTTTTTTAGTGGATATCTCCAGACTTTCCTCATTTAGAAGTATTACGGTAGATATGATATGGAGAACCTTGTGAAGTTGGGAAAATTAAAGCGTCTGCAATCACAGTGTTATTACGTCTTGAAGTAGAATAAACAATCAAATCGGCAACATCCTCTGCCATTAAAGGAGATACGTCTTGATAAACACTAGCAGCCCTTTTAGTATCACCTTTATATCTTACGACTGAAAATTCAGTCTCAACAACACCAGGTGCAATCAATATGACTCTAATTTTAGTATTAATCAATTCTTTTCTTAAACTATCAGTAAATGCTTTTACAGCAAATTTGGATGCACAATAGATGGACCCAGTTGGGTACGCTTCTCTTCCTGCTACTGAACCAAGGTTGACGATATCACCTGAATTTTTTTTCTTAAATATAGGCAATACAGCTTGTGTCATGTTAATTAATGCAATAACATTTGTATCCATCATTCCCTTTATATCCTCAATGTCAATCTCACCGACTGGATCAGAGCCTAAAGCTTTACCAGCATTATTAACTAAGATATCAATATCCTTAAATTTTTCTGGCAAGTTATCCAAAAACGGTTTAATTGCATCAATATTAGTTACATCCAATTCTGCGATATAAATCTTTGCATGTGGATATTTTTGTAAAAGCTCGTTCTTCAAAGATTCTAATTTAGATAGTCTACGAGCACATAAAATCAATTTGGTCTTACCATCAGACGCATCCATATATTCGACTGCTGTAGCTGCACCAATACCTGCAGATGCACCAGTAATTAAAACAATTTTACCTTCTAATCTTTCTGCTGCCTTTCTACCTTGTGACATTTCTAGTTTTTTTTTTGGGTACTAGTTCGGTTTTAACATATACACATCTCTCAACCTCACCAAAGAAAGTAAATATATCACCAATCACTAATAATAGTTCATACACACTCCCTATTTATACACATAGTGTCTTACTGTTCGAATCTTAGAATCCCTCATTTTCCTTTCAGGATTTCACCGTATAAAATGCACCACCGATCTTCACAACAGTTATTAGGAAGAACTTGGGCAAATAGGCATCGAATCGGTATTTGATACACTATCTCAAAAAAATGGTACAACAGAAAACAAATCAAAAATAAACATGCAAAAACAACTTACCCATCAACAGTTTGAACTTATTAATGCATTAATAGAAAAAAAGTTCTGCTGGAGGTAACAATATAGTTAGTCATTATATCCACATTTTCATATATATAAATATAACACATATATAGTTTTTATTTTCTATCTAAATTACACTGTATGCATAACTAATTACTTATTAGTTAACAAGATAAATCCTTTTTTAATGTACCATTGAAGAGTAATACTGATTATTAGCAATATTATCTCACACAAGAATTCTGTGTTTTATAATTGTTATTAGATGTTATTACACAATTGCAACCTCAAAAAAAATGTAAACCGAAGTACTTTTGTACTAACCTTAGTTTAACCATTTTTTCTTCCTCTCTATTATTCTTCACCCAATAACTTCCATATTCACTACACATTTTTAGAAAATTATTCTAAGGATGGCGATACCGTGCAAGGTATTGGACTATTTGCCACCGAGGCTACCGAAGTATTAACATTGGAGGGTATTATCAACGGAGTACTTGCAAATTTTGAATCAAATACACTAAAATCAATTGGTTTTGTATCATTAGTAATCTCTTGATATTTTTGAATCACTTGATTTTCTAATTCTAGTGAATCATTATAGATCACAGAGTCCTCCGTATTATATACCCTAGCATTCGAAAATATCAAATGGAAATCTTCCACTATTTCAAATAAGGAATTATAGAGCTTATTATCAATATGATATCTAATGTTTTCAAATGCACAAGGATACTTGATTAATAAGTAATAATCTGGATATATAGTTTTTGGTGGTCTTTCCATAAAAATTGGAGACAACAGTCTACCTAATTCATTTTTATGGTTCAATGCAAAGTCATAAATAAGCTCTGCTTGACTTGAAATCGCTTCCCGTTCTACCAATGGAAGTGCTGTATTATCTAATACCCTAATATAATGTAATCCATTCTTATTTTTACTAGGACGGCCACGACCACGACCTTTACCACGACCACGTGTAGATTTAGAGGCCCTCGTTTTTGTTGAAGTTCTTGCAGACTTGATGGATGTCTTGCCTGCTGTTGTAATAGCACCTTCTTCATCCTGTTGTTCTTGATATACTGTTGCATGATCATTCATTGACCCTTCAGGTGTGCCTGCTATAGTTAGTGGTGTCTCTGGTATAATACCATCTCCATTATTCTCCAACTTGGCTTGCTTTACCCTATAAGAAGAATTATCAGCCTGTCCTTTCCGTTTTCTACCTCCTCTAATTTCATCATCATCATCATTCTCATCATCTGTAATTTCAAATTGCTTCAACCATTGCTCTTCCGTAAGATCATCATTATAAACTGTCTTCTTTCTATCTCTAGATGATCTGCCTTCGCTTAATTTTAACGTTTCATTCTCCTTAACTTCTTCTTCTGTTGGGATCTCCTTTGTATAGATATCTGGTAATTCTGAGATATCAAATAGTCTAGTTTTAATACCCAACTCTGAATCGTTTACAGCCCTTTCATTATCTAAATTAGAAAATATTGCTAATTCGTTATCATCTCTAGCCAACAATTCGTTGATCTCACTATCATTCAATTCATCCTCTTCCAAATCACCAGCTTCTCTTCTTCTTCTACGATCTTCTTCTGCCTCTAACAACGACCTTAATAAAGCTTCTTGTTCTTCTGCTGTAGATTTATTATCAAATTTACCAGCTTGAATAACTTTTCCATCAATATCCAACTTTTTATGAGCCCTTTCCAAAATAGCCTCTTCAACAGAGTGTTCAGTAATCAATCGTAAAATCCTTACTTCATTCTTTTGACCAATTCTATGTGCTCTATCCTGTGCTTGTAAATCTTGATGTGGATTCCAATCTGTATCAAAAATAATAACAGTATCTGCTGTCTGCAAGTTTAACCCTAAACCACCTGCTCTTGTTGATAGAATAAAACAAAAATATTCAGACTCTGGATCATTAAACAATCTTAGAAGAACACTACGTTCATCTGATTTTGTATGCCCATCCAATCTAAGATATTTTATATCCATAAATCTTAGAAAATCTTCCATAATATCCATAATTTGAGTCATTTGGAAAAAAATCAAAACTCTATGACCTGTAGCCTTTAATTTTGGTAAAACTCTTTCCAATAACTCAAATTTGCCCGCTACTCTCCAAATATTAAAATTAGTTTCCCTAGTTGGATTGATTTGATCTTCCACTTCTTCAAAGACAAAGGGATGATTACATATCTTTTTTAATTGCATTAATTGATTGTTAAATCCACGAAGCCCAACCATTTTCTTATTCGTATGATCACCAACATATAAACGACGATGTTTCAACATCTGTTGATACATAATCTGTTGTAATGCACTCATCTTACACTTGATAACCTTTTCCACCTTATCTGGTAAATCTTTTTCCACATCTTTCTTCAAACGACGTAACAAGAAAGGACGTAACACTTTATGTAATCTTCTAATGACTAATAAAGTTTCTTCTTCACTTAACTCAATCTTATCTTGACCACCAGTATTTGCAAATGGTGTATTAAACCATTCATCAAATGACTGTACAGAATTAAAAATCTTTGGAAGGACAAAATTTAATAACGCCCATAGTTCAGGCAAATTATTTTGTAATGGTGTACCAGTAAGAATTAATCTGTAGTCTGAATGGTAGTATGTATTTAAGGTCAATGACAACTTTGATTGAGCATTTTTCATCCTATGGCCTTCATCAATAATCATATGAACCCATTTAATTTTAGACAATAATGCCTTTTCCTTAATAATATATTCAAAAGTAGTTAACACTACATCAAAATTACCACTCCGAATTGTGGCTTGCTTTAATTTTCTTTCAGCAGGTGTACCTTTAAAAGAAACAGTACGAAGTGTTGGAGCCCACTTGGCAAATTCGTTGCTCCAATTTGATAAGGTCGATAAGGGAACAATAACTAAAAACGGACCATGAACCTTTTTAACCTCATATAAATACGTTAACAATGAAATCGTCTGAATAGTTTTACCTAACCCCATCTCATCTGCTAAAATACCATTCAAATGATTGTTAAATAAAGAAACCATCCATTGTAAACCTTTTATCTGGTATTCTTTTAATGTACCACCAACTAAAATAGATGGTTGCTGCTTAATCTCTTCTTTGATTCTATGTGCCACATTATAATAATCAGCATTCTCTTGTTCCTCTACATCGACATTGATTAGCCCATTTTCACCACTCACTGAAGAGGCAGGAGTTGCAGACGTACTAGATTCATCGCCATCTTTTTTAAGATGTGATTCAATCATAGACTTTGTAAAATTTTGTTGATCCTTCACCGCATTTGTTAAAGACTCCAAAAACTCATTGGTCTGTCTTAATAAATGTGTGATTCTTGTGTCCTTTGTCTGATCTAACAGCTTGATATATGCTTCTTCATCGTTAGCTTTTAAAGCTTGCAAACGTTCTTTTGCTTTTCTCTCTTGTCTCTTTTGTTCCTCTTTTTCAAGATTACCATGTAAAGTAATTAATTTATGACCGAATTTTATTCTTCTACTTCTATTTTCTAGTCTACCATTAAATTGTTTTATTGATCTATCCAAAATAAACTCCAATCTCCTAGCCCCGTCCCTTTTTCTCCTTTCATACTGTTGTAATTCATGTTTCCTGTAAAGCTCTTCTGTTAAGAGAGTATCCTGAATATTAATATCTCTAATCTTGGAAAGAAAATTTGGATGAGTATTAGTAAGTAATGAATTTTGATACCATTCAAATTGTAAAACGTGCCCTCTTACTGCTTTTTGTAATGGCAACAACTGCAATGCACGATAATCAACCATGGCTTTATCCTTTGTTATTTTATCTACTTTATCGTCTAATAAAATTGCTAAACAGTCGTTCACAGCTGTATCTAGATTTAATGCAATTAATGTCTGATATATTTCAGCGGTTGTATGTGTATCAATACCTTCTGGCAATAATGAAGGGATTATAGTAAAATCTGTAGGATCCTTTGGAAAAAGAGATTCATAAGCCACTTCTGTATTAATTATAGATGGCAACGAATAGGAATCAACCATGATATCTGGATCTTCAATTTCAATTATTTTTTCTGCCATATCATTTTTTTTCCTGAATTCATCTAATGGAATAGGAGGTGCTGGTTCAGGAGGTTCCTGATTTTCAATAATTTTTCTTTGAATTTCTGTAGATATTTTTGACTGTGTATCTCGTGAATGCATCTTATCCAAAACTTCTTGATTTGAACTAACTGGTGTATTCTCATCTTTTGCATTTTTACTTGGTATTTCTCTCTCAGCAAACTTGGATATCTTAGTTTTTTCTGATCCGAGATTCATATTATTACCGGTATTATTTATTTTGATCTTATTAGCTCTTGGAGATTTAGTTGTCTTAAGCATGCCACCTTTATTAATCTGTGATATTTCTTGATTCGGTGAGGACTGAGGCTTAGGAATATTATTAATGTGATCAGCAGACAGAGGGCCATTACTTACAACATTTACAGGAGATTGAACTACTTGTGATTTTTGATTAATGAATGCCAAATTTTGATTCATAGATGATGACAGATTCGTTTTTGGACTGGCTGACATTGCTTCATATGCCTTTTTCATACGCAAGTACTCACTTAAACTTATTAACATCTTTTTAAAATCTGGTGGATGAGAAACTGATTGATGAATGATAGCTTGATATTCAATTGGAACATTTTGGTGATTTACTAAACACTTTAAAGCTGTGATTTGGGCTCTCAATAAGTTTGATTGGCTTGGTGTAAATATATTTGGATGTGAAGTAGTCTGCTGAGAATTCTGAGAAGTTGGAACATTTTGACTTGCTTGTTGTTGTGTTTGATTATAAACCATTTTTTGTGATGGTTGCTTATTTAGTCTGGGGGATTATTATTATTATTATTATTATTATTATTATTATCTTGAACGTGACCATATATAGAATCCTTAGGCATATTTCTCAATGTTGTATTCCCGGAATTAGTTTTTGGAGAAACTGCTTCATCTAAAGATAAAGTTTTAGTTTGAGGTACATAATTCGGTGTATTTAGGATATTATTAGATAGATTAGATGCAGTTCTATAAATATCATTTGCATTCATCTGAACATCAACATTTCTTTCAGCTGGACTAGTAACAACATTATCATTTCTATTACTTCGTATATTAACTGTTTGCGATAAATTAGAATTGATGTATTGGCCATCAGGATTCATACCACTAGTGGCGCTAGGAATCTTATTGATTTTGTTGTTATCCATGACACTTCCATTATTACGATTACTACTACTATTACTATTATTATTATCAGGGTTTCCAGAATTATTATTCAAATTATTTCTCTGTTGTAATTCCTGTTGTTGCCTAGCAGCTACCTGCAAAGTCTTTGTTAAAAATATAAATTCTGGAACATTGGGCGCGTTTTCGCCATGCTCATTACGTAGTTGTTGCCACCTAATATAACATCTATTAATTTCTTCCTTAGTGAACTGTTTCTGTGGTATCTCTATATTCATTATTAGCAAAATAGTATTATCCTAATGTAGTTAGCTATCTACTGGAACAAGTAGTGAAAAAAAAAGGAACACCTTTACAATTGTTATGTGCAATAACTATTTGAAAGCAATATAGCAAAGTGTGATATGAATATTTATAATTGCTGTTAAATAGGTATGAATAGTGAATAACCGAAATATATGGCCTCAATAAAAAAGGATATCCACTAGTTTGCTGATGGTGTGTTAAAGGATATATAAGATAATACTCTAGGTTTCTTCTAATATAACCAATATGTAAAAGAATATCTATATATCTATGATGTATGTATACCTAGAGAATAATATAAGTCGCAATGAAGATGAAATAATTGGCGGCTATATACTTATAAATTGGATTTACTGCATACCATACATGTCTTCTGCATTCAACTCTTCAATCACGAAAATACAGAAAACAAAAAAGATAAAATTGAAATTCGAAACCGGCCACGATTTTTTTCTTTCTTTCTTTCTTTTTTATGCCATTTCATAATTCTTAAAAAATAATCATACCATCATTTCACACGTTAACATCAAAAAACTGTAATATACAAAATCTACACTGACTATTACATCTTACTGTAGCAGAGGCATCGAAGATCCTTTTCCTAGGTTATATTGGATGCAAACTTTATATATATAATCAAAAATGCTTAACTATTTAACTTAAATGTTAAAAAAACACTACTATCTCCCTCCTCTTTCTGAGATCACGATGTATTTTTACTCTTCATCTTCTTCTGCCTCAGCTCCAAACAGCATCATCATGTCCAGATCATTCTGATCTAATGATTCATCTTGATTCTCTAGATCTGCATTATTTTCCATGTTATTTGTTTGTTCTTGTCCAGCATCTCTATTATTATCCTCTAAAGATTCCTCCTCCTCCTCTTCCTCATCTTCATCTGGTTCGACGTCATCGTCATCATCGATATCATCATCATCATCATCATCTTCCTCTCCATCATTATTGGACTGTTCTTGCTGCTTATTATCGATATGTGTTTGACTTTCATCATCATTATTAGTTGAGTCTTCTTCAATCTTCGAACTATACTGTATTGATTCTTCATTTGCTTTCAACTGTTTCTTCTTCAATTCAACTTCTTTCTCAAGTTTTTTAATACTTTCCACAAATCTCGATTTTAACAATGGATTAGTAGCCTTTTCTACTTTACGTATTGTTTGCGTTAATGTACTTTCCAATTCTTTTAATTCGTCTTCTAACAATTCAATATGTTGTCTCTTTTCATTTCGTCTTCCTCCTAATTCATTATCATCATCATCATCATCTTCTTCTTCTTCATCTTCTTCCTCTTCATCTTCTTCATCCTCGTCTTCTTCAGATTCATCTTCTTCCACCATACCTTCTTCAGCAGCAGACCCTTCAATTAAATCTTCTCCCTCTCTAGTAACCTTATTTTCAGTATTAGAAGTAACCTCGTTTTGATTCTTTAATTTTTCTTGTAAATTTTTCGCTTCATCATCATCCTCGTCACTTTCAAATGCAGCTTCAAGATCCAATTCATCATCATCCTCTTCTTCCTCTTTTTCTTCTTCTTCTATATTCTCACCTTTGTCTGTAGTTTCACGCTTTTCCAAATTACTATCTGAGTTGTTTGAAATATTAGTTGATAATGGTGGACTCGTTTTAATAGTCAAAGAGTCCATTTGCTGTTGAGATGAGAGATTCAAATGACTCTGTGAAGTCAATGGTAATGGCTTTGTATTTATTTCTTCTTCAGTAATTAATTCGAATGTGACCTCTTCAGCTTTATCATCCTCATTTAAAAGTGTTTCTACTACATTCTCCACATATTCGAATTCTACCGAATTCATTTTCCTTCTAAATCTACGATTTCTAACATTATATAATGGTGCAGTCAACCCATGCTTATAATCGTATGATTTTACTGCAATTTTGTCAATTTGTTGAGGGGTCATATCATGGTTCCCATGACTTAAATGCTGCCTTAGTAACTTGATTTTTTCTCTATGGATCTCCTGTATGATGTCTTCATAATGATTACTAACGAGATCTTCAGTATCAGGTACTTGTAAATCAAATACTTCCTCCTCTTTATCAATCGTCCTGATGCACAGCAACATTTGGCTAATATCAAAGGTCTTTAAAAGATTTTTTCTATCCACACTTTTATTGACTTCAATGATAGTAGGTAGATCAACGAGGATAGCACCATACATGTAACCATTAATCATTACCACTGCATGTCTATCTGTGACCCATTTAATACCTATACCTGAATAATCACCAGCTTCGATAGAATTTTTGACAAAATCCACTTGTGTATCGGGTACAACCCTTAGTATAATACCGGATTCAATTAAAGGGTCACTCTCAACATCTGAATCTTCTGAATCATATCCTTCACCAGGAATACGAATTGCTTTAACTCGTACTCTTGGTTCATGTCTTTTCACTTTGATTCCACTATTATTTTCTTCTTTCTTCTTTAAATTTAGTTTTATTTTTATTGGACCTGCCTTCTTAACAATATTATTGGAAGTTACATGATTCTCCTTTTTCAAATTTATCTTTATCTTAGGTATAACCTTTGTGTTATCCTCATTCAATTTTGTCTTAATTTTAATCTTTTTCTTAGTCTGAGAGGGTTCTTCGGAGGACTCCTCAGTCTTAGACCTTTTTAACTTCACTACGGTCATTTTAATAATATATGAGTAATCTAACGAAGTTTTTGTAGATATAATACACTGATATTTTTGAACGTTGTAAGTCAATGAAAAGTTAAAACTTCAGTAAAATAGATGATAATTTACTTTATATTTTCTCTTTTTTTATTTTTTATTTTTGGAGACCACTTTCCCACTCATTACCGACTTTAATATATATATAATATACACATACATAGGTATATATTATATGATACCAGAAACACTATATAATGTAACTTAATATGCCCGCATTTATCTGCTGGAACCAAGTAATGCTAGTAGTCATTCTATACTACAACCAATAGCAACAAACACCTTATAGTAGACATCTGCCAATGCAAGTATAACAAATAACAAGATATGTATGATGGGGTGTGTGGATGTACACAAAACACAATGCTTCAAACTCTCTAAATCTTTCTTTTGTTCTGTTAGAACCAACTAGAGAGGAAGAAGAGAGTAAATGATGATTGTTAGTATAACCAGCTCCACATATTTGTACAGAAGAAACGGGTACTGTAAGATGAAGCTTTTGAATATATATTTTTAAATATATCTTACATGAAATTGCCTAAATTCATGTTAGTCTAGACAAATTTTGAAAAAGATTTATAGGAGAAAATGCCTATCAGGGTCCCAACTTTGAAAGAAATAAGTTCCATCAAATATAACTATCAGTTCCAATATTTGGTTAACCCTACTGTGTGTGATAGAATATTTTCCAAATTACAATTAAATACTGTTTACCCCAATGATTGCCACGATCTTAAAGTTTTGGATTTATATCCTGGTCCTGGCCAGACTTCAGTGATATTCAATAATAAATTCACTCCAAAACAACATTTTTTGATGGACATTAGGAATTCATATGTTGATTTTCAAGACAGATATTTGGTCCCGTATAATAATGGGAATAAATTGACCCTAATACGGAAAGATCCTTATGATTGGAGTTCATATACCGATTTAATAGAAAAAGAAAGACAATTAGATCCTGGGTTTCAAAATAAATCACATTTACATAACGAGTTTCTAATAATGGCAAATGTTACGGAACGTAAATATGAAGGTTTGATAATTCAGTGGCTAAGTTGTCTAGGCTATAAGAATTGGTTAATGAAGTATGGGAATGTTAAAATGTTACTATGGTTACCTACCCAAACTGCCATTAAGTTACTAGCTCTGCCTGGAACAAAGCATCGTAATAAATGTTCTCTCTATTTGGAAGCTTTTGCTGATACCAATTTGGTGGCTTTTTCAAAGAGTTTAACAGTAATACAAAATTTCGATCCAACACTTATAAAAAAATGTGATCCTATCTTTATTGATGACCCAAACGATATTTTCCCTAGTAATCCTTCTGATGAATCCATATCTTTATTAGAAATTAATCCAAAAGACCATAATATTGATATCGATACATGGGATTATGTCACAAAACAATTAATGATTCTAAGAAGAACACCTCTTATTGATGCTGTTGAATCCCTGGGCCATGGTGCAAGAGAATATTATTTGGAAACTATCAAGGATAAACAATTGATGAACAGATGTCCGGTTACTTTCACTTTCGAAGAGTTTGAATATATTACGCAATTGTTTATCAACTGGCCCTTTAAGCCCGATATTTATACAGAATTATATGATTTGAAGGTTGATGAACCTAGGAATTGACAGCTATTTCAATAAACAAGATATCACATTCTAGCACTTGTCTTCAGATATATCTATATATGTGTACATAAAAAACAGAGATAAAAAAAGAAAGAAAAAACAAGAAGAACAAAATCGATTCATTGATAACTTGAAAAAGTGAATTCTTATAAATCCTTTTATGTATAAATTAGTGTTTAACCATATTTTTTCCATTTTCTTTATTAATACTTTTTTTACATATGTATACCATACTATTATTATACAAAAAAGTAGATTTTAACTATTATACAATATAAACAAAATAAGATAAAATAAAATAAAATAACGTTTTTAAATCATATCATTATACCCTAAAATTCTCATCAACCTAAACTAATATTTTCTTTTTGCCGTAAGCAGACCAACATCTAAATAATAATACTCTCTTAAGTTGTAGAATTATTCATCACTCTCTATTTTCTTTTGTGATTCTACATATTCAGAAGCCTTTGCCTTCACATAATCAATCATCTTAGTATCGTCTTTATTTTCTTCAAATTGCAACCATTTATTGAAGAAAAATTTAGCTTGTTTTCTAGTTATCTTTTTAGTAATAACCCTTTCAAATAATTCTTCAACTTTTTTCTTTTCATCAGCCTTAATTTCTTGATCAATATATACATTCCATAAGTCAATTCTCTTTGGTGCATCTGCCAATAAACCTTCAAACAAGGAACGACCTCTTTCGGCATCACCTTTACTGAATTCTAGTTGGGCAAACTTTCTAACAACTTCAATATGATTACGCTTAGGTAATGATTTTAAGGCGCTAGCTAAGATTGAACGAGCTTCATCTTCATGTTTGTTTGAAAGAAGGAAATCACACCATGCAACCCATATGGATACTTTTTCACTACCAAACTTCTTGGCAGTAACCTTAAATAATTCAACAGCCTTATCCAATTTTTCACTCATTTGATAAATACTCAATAACTTGGTGTGAATGGTGTAGGAATCCATATATTGACATGCCCTTTTAAATACTTCAGTTAAAGTCTCTGGGGTACCAAAAGTGTTTTCTAAGTTCAACATAGCAATCCAAATATTTAATTTCTCAGATTCTTCTCTAAAATTAATAGTTTTCAAAGCACGTTCTGCAATTTCACGAGCCTTTTCAATTTCACTTAATTGCAATTGGAATGCCATATAATTCATCCACACAACAGAGGAGTTTGGATTACCAATAATCAGACGTTCGAAATCACTAACAGATTCTGGAGCTCTAGTATTAATATCAATAGTCTTATCCTCAACAATCTTTTCTTTTCTTCTTCTGTGTTTATGTTTTGTGCCTTCAGTGAAGTCAACTTCTTCATCATCGTCCTCATCAAACTCATCATCTTCTTGTGCTTGATCTAAAATAGAAGCAGTCCAATCAAAATCTGTACTTAATGATAATCCATTTGTAGATATTGAAGTTTTCTTAACAACATGAGTTTCTTCCTCATTATCTGAATTGTCTTCTGAGTCATTGTCATCAAAATTAACTGCATCCATATCCACATCCTGATCTTCTTCAAATTCATCTTTCTTTTGTTCTTTAACATGCTCTTTGTTAGCAAAATGGGAAGCCTTCAAACTTAAAGATAACTGCTTCTTTGATGGATTAGTCTTCAATACAATAGCTTTTACTCTATCACCAGGACCAAATAGAGTTGATATGTCTTTTGGAGCAGTTTCCGCAATTTCCGAAATGTGAGCTAAACCTGTACAATTAACAGTATTATCTAGTTTAACAAAGACACCAAAATTGGTGACATTCTTAACGGAACCATCAAAAATATCACCAACCTTAATATCTGAGTAATTTTTCAATATTTGTAATTCACCATTTACTTCGGATTCTCTCAAAGTTAATAAGACATGTTCATCATCATCACATGAAACAACCTTACCAATTACATGTTGCATTGGCTTATAGAATTTTTCCCAATTTTTTAAGTATGAATCGGACAATTTGCTGACTGGTATGAAAGCATCAAGTGATCTTCCAAGAATAATAAATAAACCTTTATTAGTGACAGATTTAACAAAACCATGCACAATATCACCTTGTTTTACATCTTTATGAGAAGTAATACTAGGTGAGATAGGTGAATTTGATCTTAGAGATAGGCTGATTTTTTTCTTTTCTGTATCCACAGAAAGGACCTTGGCAGCAAGGACTTGATTTAGTCTATCTCCGAACACACTGTTTAAGGACATTGAATAATCATCCAAAGCATCAGTTATGAACGATATACCAGTTACTTTATTTCCTAAATCCAACAAAACATATTTATCATAAATACCTGAGATACGAGCTGGAACTATATCACCAGCCTTCAAATGTTCATAGTCTCTTACAATATGTGATTTGCTAACAGCATTAATAAAGCCATGTTCTAAATCAACAGAGTCAATTTTAACTGGGATAACAGAACCTAGTGGGAAATTATCTTGAATATTCATTGAAATATCTAAACCATCTGCAGATAGATCAACCAATGGTAGTTTAGCCTTTAAATCAGGATTGATAGTTAACCATAAATAATTGGAAGCATAATTATTAACAAAACCAAGGAATTCATCGTTGATCTTAACATCTTGAATAGTTGTTAAATTAGCCTTATCTTGAAGTAGAACTGAAGGCTTCATAGACAATTCATATACAGAAGCTTTGCTTATTTGATGAGTTATTGGAAGGAATCTATGACTTCTGATGTCATGTTTACCAATGATTTTACCTTTTAATATTTGATCCTTTTTAAAAATGCTTAGTGGCGCTTTTTTATCCTCTATTTTATCAATTTCATCATACACTTCAGAAACATCAATTCTACCATGAATATTATCTGCTATGATAACATTCAATTGATTCTTTTTTACATTCTTGACCTTAACCTTGATTACTTTACCTTCTGCAAGGTCTGTTACAGATTTGATATTGCTATCAATGGCACCAGTAATTTCATCTGTTTTACTGTTTTGGACAGAAGATTTCTGCTCTCTCAAAGTTAATAAAAATCGTTCATTTGTATCATCAAATCTGAGTATAGCAGCCTTAACAGATTGTCCAACATAAAATTTCTTTGTTATATCCACATCCCTACTCTCAACAGCATAACTTGGTAAAACCAACCCAACGTTTTTAGCAGTAAATGCGACAAACAAACCCCTGTCAGAAATAGATTTGATATAAGCTGGGAAAAACGTGCTTTTGGAAGCTGTTGTAATAGCCTTATATGTAATTGGTAGAGTTTCTGCTTTTGCAGCTTCAATTAAAGACTTTTTCAATGTTAAGTTAAAAACTTGGGTTCTATTTTCTTTGTCAATAACCAAACCCTGTAAATGGGTTCCTACAACAATCTTTTTCAGGGCAGCTCTGTTTTGTTCTATCCTGTCATCAGATAAATGTGCAACATAAATAATACCACGTAAGTCCAAATCCTTGGTTGAAACAATTAAAGAATCCTTAGTCTTTTCAACTATTGTCACATCAACGATAGTTCTACCAGGAACCATATCTTCAATAGCCTTTCTTTGGGCTTCAGCATTTGTGTTGGCAAGCTTACAAGTTGCAAGAACTCTTTTTCCTTCAACATCAACTTTTAATAATTTGACTGTAACGGTTTGACCTAATCTTAAATGTTGTTCTGGTTTCTTTACAAATACTTCAGAAATCTCTGCATTTGGCAAAAAACCTCTAACATCACCAAAGAACGTAAGAACACATCCTGATGGCTTAAATGCTTGAACTGTAGCAACAGTCTTTTCGTTCTTTTCGTGGAGTTCTGCTGCCTTATCATAGGATGTTACTAGTGGAATATCCTCGTCGGAAACATTAACTAGTGTTTTCTTTAGCGTAACATATATATGATTTTTGCCATCAACATCCAGGACTCTAGCCTTAACTTTTGAACCAATTTTAAACTTTCTTTCTGGGTAGACTAATCTGGTATCTGATATATGCATAGGTGGTACACTGGCAATAAACTGACCGTTAAAGATTTTTAATTGAATTCCATTAGAAGACACAGATACAATTTCACACCCTGGAATAACTTCTCCAATTTGAATATCTTTGTTTCTTAAATACTTTTGTTTGATAATTTGAGAATCCGTAGTCATTTCATAACACCCATCAATGGTGTTATAACCAATTACTCTGGCTTCTAAATCATCTGTTTTTTCTAACTTCCCAATCTTAGATTTATGCACTCTACCAACTAAATCATTGTTTAATGCTAGGTACAAGTAAAAGTCATCGCTACCTTTGACTTTAGTAGTATCAAATATATAACCTACTGGGAAGGCGTTCAATGCTTCTGTCTGTTTTAGTTCGGGTGAAAGATTGACAATGTGTGGTAAAGTCGAAAACAATATTGTTTTTTCACCATGTTTGTCATATAGGGTAGCAATAATCCTACCTTGTAAATTAGAACCAAGTGCAAATTTATGTTTAATATCTTCTTCTTTAAAAGTGTTCAAATGATAGCAGCTAACAAATGCAGGGATCATCCCAAAACATTTACCAGCAATACCCTTATCCACATATTGTTGGCATAGTAAATCTACTGGTTGGCCTGGTAAAACAGCTTCAACAGAAGATATTTGAGTAACTTTATTCTTGTGCTGGTTAAAATCCAAATTAACATTTATAACACGATCATTCGTCTTTGAAATATTACCAAGAAAAACAGAACCTGGTAATAAGTTGTCAAAGTTTGGTGTGTCTTTTTTAGAAATAAACCCAGTTACACCATCTATACCCAAATCTAAGGTAGCACCGTGGTCTTCAATACTTTGAACAGAACATTGAATTGCAGTGGATTTTTGCAAGTCATCTTTTGTAAAAGAGTTGACAATAGATGGTTCTATTGTCAACTCTAATCTCTTCTTCTTATTCTTCTTTACCTTAGAGTCAAGTGCACTGTTATTGATGACAGTACATCTAATCCATTGACCTATCTTGAAATAACTATGTAAGTCAGGTAATTCGGGATTTTTATGATTTGTACTCTTATTAGATTCAGTGTCAGATTCAGATTCATATTCATCTTCAGCTGTATCTTTGTTAGTTTCACCTTCTTCATCAGAATCCATACTGTCATCTAAATCTTCTAATATTTTAGTAAACTGTTCAGAAATATGAGTCATATTTACATAACCAGATATGTTATCAGTAAAAGTTACACAGATATCATATTTAGATATTTCAGTGATTTGACCTAATAAAGTGGAATTTACTCTTAAGTTTTTAAAATTGATGTGTGGAATAACAGAGAGTTTTTGCTCGTCTACATTTTCAACATTTACATTGTCTTTTGATTTATTGTTTTTATCCAGTTTCTTCTTTTTTTTAGGTCTTGCTGATTCCACAGTATCTTTGGAATTACCGAATAAGGCATCCTTTGCAGCTTCATTAGCAACTTTTTTCAATTCTAGTGGAGTTAATACAGATCCACCACCTCTTGGGAAAGATAATTTGTCACTATTTTTTACTAATAAAGATGTTGCTGGTTTTTGTGTGCTGTCTTCTCTTGAAAGGGGAAATTCCTCATTTCTCTTTCTTTTTGAAGAAGAAACCATAGTGTTACGTTCACAGCAAAATGGTAGTTGAGGGTATAATAATGATTATTTCTGGATTCTTGTGTTTGTATGGGGATCGTGTCTAACAATAGGGCAAGTAATAACTTATATAAGATCATCTACTTTTTTAATTTCATAGCTCATCGCCAGGTACCTGCGAAATATCAATAATTTTTTTTTTCTTATTGAAAAATTTTCAAGAAAATATAAAATCATTTATTACGGTTTTTAAATAAACACTTTTATGCTGGGACTGTTTTACATCGGTGCATCATATATTTTATTTTTCTTTTCCACTGTAGATAAAAACTAAAAGTACTGCTGGATTAGGTTAGATCGGTTTTTAAAGATTGTGGCATTATGATTTAAAAAAAAATCACAAATCTTAAAAATAGCAGACTTGTTTGAGGTCGCAAGTAGTCTTTATGTATTCTTTCATTTATTTACTAACTTTTTATTTTTTTTTTTCAATTGCGTACTTTTTGCGATGAGATTCAGGTAGCTATGGATTTAGATCCTTGATTCTTTAAGTAGTAAGTGACAATACTACTTGGATTTTGTGCAAACGCTAAATGAGAGAATTGGTTTTAGTTAATTTCCGTACATCTACTCCGTGGTGCTATTATGAAGTTTTAAAGTTCTTTACTTGATGGCCCATAATATAGTTATTCTAAAAATATGTTCAGGTCTGGATGAGAGGAATTCTTACGTAACTTCAAGTCTCTTTTCTTTTTTTGTATTGTTGTTGTATTGTTTGCCGTATTAGTTATCTGGTGTAACTCTTATTACAAATGTTTAGGTATTGCTGGAGTGGTATTATAGACAGTCTTGGAAACCTTATATAGAAGCAGTGGAGTAAAAAGAAAGTTGTAAGAATGTTGATTCCAAAGGAAGAAAGAACTAAGATTCACAGATACTTGTTTCAAGGTATGTTTGGTTCGTAACCAGGGGTGAGATAAGATAAGGAAGGAATAAAAGGAACCAGAATTGTAATGATTAAAATTTAGGGTCTATTGCGTTAAATGTTATATAATTAAAGGTTATTTATGAAAACAAGTAATACGAAAGTAAAGATCTACTTATGAAAGTTCCAAATTATTACAACTCTTTAACTTAGGGAAGAGCTCAAAGAAATTACAATGTGTATACTATCAATTGCAGTAGACAACAAAATGAAAAGTAGTCCAGGGTGAATATTCAAAAAGAGATATAAAAGATTCTAACACTTATCATAATTTTGAAATCGATCGGTAAATATAAAAGTTATAAGAATTGTTATTTACTAACAGCGATTACTTTTTATTGATATTACAATGACGATATAGTTGTTAATATACTTCAATAATTCTTTCCTTGCATAAATATATTGTTTCTTTTAATTTTTTTCTTTTTTAAAAACAGAAGGTGTTGTTGTTGCAAAAAAGGATTTCAACCAACCAAAACACGAAGAAATTGATACCAAGAACTTATATGTCATTAAGGCTTTACAATCTTTAACTTCTAAAGGTTACGTCAAGACTCAATTCTCTTGGCAATATTACTACTACACCTTAACCGAAGAAGGTGTTGAATATTTAAGAGATTACTTACATTTACCAGAACACATTGTTCCAGGTACTTACATTCAAGACAGATCTCAAAACCAGAGACCACAAAGAAGATACTAAGTTATTTGAATTTTTGTTTTTATATTTATTAAATAAGGATATATACATTCTCATAAATTAATTAAGAATAAACGCATTGTAAATTTTTCAACAGATTTTCGGAACGATGAATTCTCTGATACTATATATGTTTATTTTAATAGCCTCGACACACCCCCATTCAAACTGAACCACAGGTGTGTAAGAAACAAAACAAAAACGGTGAAAACAAGTTATCGAATATTTAACAATAATTTTATTATACTACACTGTACAATGCTATGTAGTGGTCTATCTAATAAATACAGTTGTGATCTTCTGGAGGAAGAAATGATAAAATTCAGATTAATATGTACTTGAATATTAAGAAATAGGTATTAAAAGGCGGACAGATAACAATCCTTAATATATTAAGAGATATTAACAGAAGATATGTGTGAAAGAAAAGATAATAATTTCAAAAACTTCTCCATATCACAAGTACCTTTCTATATTTTTCTCTTTTCTGTTTTTTTTTTTTTTCTTTTTTGTCTTTCTGTTTATTTAACACCAGAAATATTTCAATTTGACCCATATCGAACCATTCTTGACTCTTTCTTTATTCTCCATATCTTCTTGCCTCATTAGTTCTGGGTCATATATTCTTCTATGAGTCTCCAAGTCGATTTCGTCTAGTTTAGTTAAGAATGTCCAATCTCTTTTCCAGATCATATAACCAAAGTAAAAAGCAAGCCAAATTGGGAAAGCCAAATAGCTTTCAAAGAACCCCTCAGCGGTCATTGAACCTGATGGTGGAGCCAATGCCACCCAAAATTGTGCAATAAACACTAAAATGTTGAAAAATACACCGTAGACAGATCCCCAGAAACCAGTATTTGCTTTATAACCTAACTCATCCAGATCTTTGCCTTGTACTTTCATGGCCATTCTAAATCTAATGTGACTTAATAGGATAGAGGACCATGTGAATAATTCAGAAAGACCGGCAATGGCGGCTAACCAAGTGAAGACTTGTTCCTCTTGGGAGGAGCTCGCAGAAAAGGCAATAAGACCAAAGACAGCACAAGTACATAGAGCCCATAGCGGTCTACCTTGTCTGTCAATATAAGCCCAAAATTTTGGAGCAAAGCCTTGTTCCGCTAATGATGCTAATAATCTAGGAGCTGCATATAATGAAGAGTTACCGACAGATACGACCGAGATCAAGATAACTGCATTGATAATATGAGGAACGACCCTAACACCATGAATGGATGCAGCAAGGACATATGGGGAGGCGTGAGTAGCAGAACCCCCGGAACCCATTAATTGATCGTTGTTATGTGGGACATTGAAACCAATTAAGATCATGGTCAATAGATAAATGATCAAAATACGGTAAATGGATTGCTTTGCTGCAGTTGGAGTTGATTTTCTTGGATTTTCCTGTTCGTTGACGGATAACACATATAATTCTGTGCCACCATAGGAGAAGTATGCAGTAACAAGAACGTAACAAACGTCTTTAAATCTACCAATAGAATCATCGCTACCAAATGCACCTGGATCGTGCCAGTACTTACCACCGATATAACCGTCCTTTCCTGCACCACCACAATTGACAACAATGGAAAAGATGATAAAACCTGCAATCATGAGTACTTTACAACTGTTGAAAATGAACTCAGCTTCACCGTATGCACGAACACCAAAAAAATGAATAAATAATAAGAAGACATAGAAGATAACGATATACACGTCTGCATCAATTTTATCGTTCCAGTACTGAATAGTCATTGAAGAAGTAATCAATTCCAACGGTAAAACGGTTAGCCATTGTATACAGAAAAGCCAGACAGTAGCAAAACCAAAAGGTTTAGAGATAAATATGGAAGAATAGGTATTGAAATTACCAGGTAAAGTTGGATAGGTGACAGCCATTTCACCAGCTGCTTGGATCATAATGTAAGTAATGAAGGAGACAAGACCATAACCGATGACCAAAGAGGCGGGACCACCATAATGTAAACCTTTTGCATTTGCCACTAACAAACCTGTACCGATACCAGTACCAAGAGACATCATAACCACATGACGTGATTTCATAGCCTTTTTCAAGTTTCTATCAGTAGCAAAGGTTCTTCTTGTATTAACACTTTCCAAATCTTCATCGTCGTCCTCATCTGGATGTGCATTTTCTTCTGGAGGTTTGAATGAATCTATAAATCTGGTAAAAATTGAACTCTTTTTATTATAATTAGAATCTGCTAAAATACTTTTAGACTTCGAAGAATCAAGACGGTTAATCCCGTCGGTGGTAAATTCACCATAAGATTTTTCTTTGATATGTTCTATATTTCTTTTTGAGATAGATGCTGTTGAATCTCCATCACCAGAACCTGATGATGAAACGTGTTGCTCGGACATATTCTCTTATTTTAATTTTTTTTTATCTGAAAAAGTGTATATGAATAAGTATATTTGAGAAATGAATACACTAACAGTGGTATGCTAAAGTCAAAACACGACCTAAGATATATCAACTCTTGTAAAGTATTTGTGATTTATCGTGTTTATTATGAGGCGAAAGAGCTATATAACAAGACAAGCGCGAAGATGGTAATAATAGACGGGGATCAGGAAGAAAACAAACGAAGAAAAGTACACAGTTATAATTAATTATAGGGTATTTATATGAACCTGCAACTGTGGAGAGCATTACACCAGGGGGGAATACATAGTATACAGCGTATTTTAGATTTCTTTTATTTTACACACTTTTTAGATGCATATATTCTTCGAAGAAATGTCTTCTTTTTCCTGGGCCCCCTCCCCCTCTCTCTCCTCTTTTCTTTTCCTTTCTTCTCCTCTATCGCCGTCGTCGGGGTGGAAGATTCACAAAAGAAAGTAAAAAAGCAGTGATTCCTTTTTTTTTTCTTTTTTTTTTTGTTAGGGTGAAGAAATTACTCATTCATTTCTGAAAGACAAAAAAGAAAACTGTTTTGAAAAAAGTAAGTGAACATTGGGGTGGAAGAAGCAGAACAAAAAAAAAAGGCGGTGCCAAGGGCACGTCAACGTTTTTTTTTTGTTATTTTTTTGATGAATGGGTATAATTTATTCTGTGTGTCTGCTCTGCTTCTTTTCTCCTTTTCTTTCTCTCTCCCCCCCCTCTTCTTCTTCTACTTTTTTTTCATTTCTATACACGCATAGGTCTGGAAACGATAAAAGTCACAGAGATGGACCAATTTTGTACCAAGAAAATATTAGATAATACAAAACGTAAGATTTTTTTTCTCTTGTTCTTTATCCTTAATTCATTTTCTTGCTTATCTACATTAATCAGACAATGCAATGCACAATTCTTAACAATAGAGATACGTCAGAATTGATTTTTTCTTTTACTGGTCTTTCTTTTTTGTTGTTGTGAACACAATATGATTCAAACAATTATGCCAGTATGACCACAGTTTGTAAACAATACCAAAAGTATATGTCCTGTAAAGGACTAAAAAATAGATAGAAGGAAAGGGGAAGAAAAACCGGTTACGGATTTAACTTTCACTATACTCAGAGAAAGATAAGGTTTTCTTTTTTCTGTGCCGTCATGAGACGGCGTTGTTTTCTTTTTCAAACAAATTGTCCAATTGTGAGGATGTCTGTTTTTTTTTTTTATTTTTTTTTTTTTTGCTTCTTCATATTTGTATTTGTTCGTGGGTTCGATGTTCGGAAGGAACGTTTTCTCATTGATTTTTTTTTTATAGCGCATTTTTCTTTTTTTTTTTTGTTTATCTTGCTTTTTGATATTTTTTCTTTGATTATACCGTGATTACATAAATAGATACATGGTTATAGTAGAGAAATCATGCTTTAATGTCAGGTAAAACTACATCTTCAATTGGAATAAACAATTGCCACTGTCTAAGATATATTTTGTAACCAATATATGTCACAATGACTATTGGTCCTGCTAAATAATTTTGGCAAAAATTTTTTAAATCGACTCCATTCTCTCCATCAATGGGAAACAATGCTACCCAAAACTGGCATCCAAGTATTAAAATAGATATTAGCAACGCAATGATAGACCCCCAAACATCTGTCTTGGATTTATATCTATCATATTCCAATATTTGTTGTTCTGATACCATAAATAGTCTTTTTTGTTCATGTAAAATATAGCGAAACCTTATATGGGAGGCACACATTGACATCCATATAAAGATTTGTGATAAGCCAGAGACACTCAATAACCATATGAACACCTCTTCTCTTTTATCACTGGTGGCAACAAAGCCTAAACAGCCAAAAATAATCACTATCGTAAAACATATTAACGGTCTTCCTCTTTGATCAATATATTGCAACGTTTTGGGTAATATACCCTCTTGTGATAATGATAACAATAGTCTTGGAGCAGCGTACAATGAGCTGTTTGCCACTGATATTACCGCTATCAGTATTACAGAATTGATAATATGGGGGATTATTTTGATCCCATGTAACTCGATTGCAATTACAAAGGGAGAAGATGTTGTTGTTGTTGTTGTTGCTGATGTTGAGGAGTCACTGGAGGAAGAAACTGAACCCATTAACTTCGGATCATTGTAAGGCACCAAGAAACATATTATTACCAATGTTAATAAATATATTAGTAAAATCCTGATAATTATCACTTTTGTTGCCCTTGGAATAGATATTTCTGGATTCTTCTGTTCTGCAGCAGTCAATATCACCGTCTCCACTCCACCATAACTGAATGCAGCATAGCAGAATACAACAGATACACCTTTGAAACCATTTGCAAACAATCCGGGATCCTTCCAATATTTATTTCCAAGATACCCACTCGTACCTACGCCACCAGCAATGATAATTATACCCAAAATGATAAACCCACATATCATTAATATTTTGCATATATTGAAAATGAATTCGGCTTCCACATAACCTTTGGCGCCGCCTAGATTAATTAGTATAACACAGAGAAAGATTATTAGTACAAACCAGTCTAAATTGATTGATACTTCCCACCATTCGACTACCATTGCAGCTGTCACTAACTGTAATGGCAAGACAGTTATCCATTGAAAGGTGTAGATAATAGAGATTGCAAAACCGAATGCAGGATCAACTAATAAACTTGGGTACCTTGTGAAATTACCAACCATTCGACAATAGACAACTCCTAATTCTCCAGCGCTTTGAATAATCAGGTATACCATGATAGAAGACACAATATACCCGATCATTAGACCCAAAGGACCCGACTGAGATAACACTTTGCCTGTACCTACTAATAAACCCGTTCCAATTCCAGTCCCTAGAGAAATCATTACTGTGTGACGTTGTTTGATAATATGTTCTAATTCATCACTATTTTTTTCTAGATCATTATTTGAATTTCGTTTTTTAAATGATTTAATAAAACTATTGGGTAATAATATTGATTTTATTGATTTCTTATGAATCTTTTTATTCGGTTGTCTTGGGTCCTCTTCTTCTTCTTCTTCTTCTTCTTTTTCCTCATTTTCAATAATCAACTCATCTTTATTTTTATTTAATCTAATAGAAATTTCACTCTTGATATCTTTTAACATCTTTCACCTATGTATGTCTGACTCATGATTATATTAAATAAAATGATGAACAAAAAGGCAGAAAAGAGTGGAAGACTTGATAGGTGGCTGTTAATATTAATTTACAATATGTGTTTTTTTTATACCCCCACTTAAAAAGTGATATATTTATGTCATAAATATTTTTTAGTGATAGTAGTAGAAACAGTGGTAATAATGATAGCACAAAAATATATAGCAATATTAAATTGTGATATACACATACACACGCATATTTCACTATAATCGTACGTTAGGTTTTTTTTTTGTATATCAAAACAAAGCGATGAGATGAAACAAAAATTTATAAAAGTCCGAATTTTTTTACTTTTTTTTTTGTCTTTTGCTTTTTTTTTACCCCTTTAGGTATTTATACGTATTAAATAGGCGATGGCAAACTCGAAGAAATAGAAGAAAAAACTTTTTGAAATTTTTTTTTACTATAGGAAAGAGAAGACTTTTTTTTTTTGATTTTATTTAGAAAGCTACATGGCGCTTAAAATATGTGTATATTTTACTATCTGAAGACACATATACATATACATCTATACATACGTACATGCATATGATTTACTACTTCCTGCAACTATTTTTTTTTCTTTCTTAGGATACTTTGATATAGACACTGTCTCTTATCCTCTATGATTCCCCTCCCTAAATATGAAAACAAACCATTCAAACCTCCAAGAAGAATTAATACAAATTATGTTACAAAGAAGGACCTGCCTACGAAGAAGATTCAAAGTAAGATTTCTACTCAGTCTCTAACAAATGTGGTCAGCAATTTGAATAATTCTTTAAATAATGTTCAATGTTTTACTATGATGCATAGGAAATTTTCTAACAAGAAGATAAAGACATGGACTGGTGATGGGTATGCCATCTATAAGAAGCTTTCAGAGAATAAATTGGTTTTTTATGATGAGTCTGGTCAATATATGACAAGTTTGATTGTCACAAGAGACGATGAATCAAGAATACTGGATACCGTTTTTAAAAGTAAAGGTTGGGAGTTTCAAATAGATTATAGACTAGTTAAAAATGACGAATTAATGAATTTACAGGAATTGTTAAGAGGTAATAATAAGCAAGAAAATTCAGTTATCAACGAAACTAAACCATCTATGCATGCATCATCATCAGGGATTTCTAAATCAAATGTTTCTGTTTCGCAATTGTTTAACCAAAGCACAGTGAAAAGTTTTAAATCAGTCATTAAAAAATCAGAAGTTTACACACCATTATCTTTACAAACCAATCAAAAAGTTGCATTTACTAATAACAATCTGAATACAAAACATTATAAACCAGTATTTGATATTACAAAAATATTAAACCCTATTATTATGAATAAGTGTAAAGAGGCAGATGTAGACGTCATTGTGGATCCCTTTTTAGGAAAGCTTTTAAGAAAACATCAACAGGAAGGTGTCAAATTTATATATGACTGTCTACTGGGATTGCAACAGTCAAATACAACAGATATTCCCATAGACAAAAGTCTTCTTTTGGAATATGATTCTGATATTTCCGGTTGTCTTCTTGCGGATGATATGGGACTTGGTAAAACATTGATGACTATCACTATAATTTGGACTCTGTTGAAACAAACCCCCTTTGCTTCTAAGGTTGAATGCTCGCAATCTGGTGTCCCACTAAATGGTCTTTGTAAGAAAGTGCTGATAGTTTGTCCGGTCACATTAATAGGCAATTGGGTTAAAGAATTTCATAAATGGTTGGGAATGAATAAAGTTGGTGTATTGACCCTTTCATCACATAATACAGTTGATATGGATAAAACTGCCGTCAAAAATTTTTTAAGAGTTCAGAAATCATATCAGGTTTTAATTGTTGGGTATGAAAAGCTTTTGAACTTATCAAATGAATTGCAATGCAAAAAGGGATCTCCAATGAATGTTGATTTGTTAGTCTGTGATGAAGGTCACAGACTGAAAAATAGCACATCAAAAATATTGAATGTGTTGAAAGAGTTGGACATTAAAAGAAAAATTCTATTATCAGGGACACCAATTCAGAATGATTTAACAGAATTTTATACAATTGCCGATTTTATTAACCCAGGAATTTTTGGGTCATTTCAATTCTTTAAAAAAAGGTTTATTATACCCATTTCAAAAGCAAGAGAGACGTCCAATAGTTTCAATGAAGATATTCAAGAACTTGGTGAAGAACGGTCAAAGGAACTGATAGAAATTACAAAAAGATTTACATTAAGAAGAACTAATGATATCTTACATAAATATTTACCTCCAAAGACGGATATTATCGTTTTTTGTAAACCGACACAGATTCAACTTTCTGCATTTTATACAATTTTACAAGAATCTCAATTAGATTTTTCTCATATGACAATGAATTCTTCATTAGGACTAATAACTTTAATGAAAAAAGTATGCAATTCGCCGTCGTTGTTACAAAATGATTCTTATTATAATTCAATGATTAATAATAATGAAACTAAAGCTAAATATGGTCATATCATAGATTCAGGTAAATTAAAAGTATTGATTTCTCTTCTGGAACAGATACAGAAAGAGACATCAAATGAAAAAGTAGTCATTGTGTCTAATTACACTCAAACACTGGATATTATAGAAAATATCTTACACTCTAGGCAAATGTCTTTATCTAGATTAGATGGTAGCACACCACAGAAATTACGGGACTCCATAGTAGCAACTTTCAATAGAAGCAAATCAATCTTTGCTTTTTTGTTAAGTTCTAAATCAGGTGGTGTAGGGTTAAATTTAATTGGTGCATCAAGATTGATTTTATTTGATAATGATTGGAACCCTTCAGTTGATTTGCAAGCTATGTCTCGGATTCATAGACAAGGACAAGAAAGACCTTGCTATATTTATAGACTAGTTACTACCGGTTGTATTGATGAAAAGATATTACAAAGGCAATTAATGAAACATAGTTTGAGTCAAAAATTCTTGGATAGTGAAAAAAAGAAGATAAATTATAAGGATAATCTTTTTAGTCAAGAAGATTTGAAAGATTTATTCACTATTCTTACAGATACAAAATCTAACACGCATGATTTAATATGTTCATGTGAAGGAGAGGGTACAGGATTTCTTAACAGGAAAGAATCCCTTAATATAACAGATCATGTTGTTTCTAAAGAAGGTGATTGTAAACAGGAACATAAAATGAAACTGACCCAGTGGACAAGTGGTTTAGAGGTTAAAAAAATAATGGAGAATTTGCAGTCACAAGAGAAAAACAAACAGACAAAGTTTATTAAAGAGTGTTTGGTAGGTTACAAACATATAAACCCAACAAAAACAACAAAACTACGCGACATCGTTGTTGCAAAAAGTGTTAAAAAAATGTCTGATACAATAAGTTTTCTCTTCATTAAAGAAGGAAATCGTCTTGACGAAGATATTACTTAATTCTGAATTGAAAATGTAAGGGGAATCTTCCAATTATATTTTGTTTCTTCTTTGTCCGTCATTACTTAAATTTCCTATCAATAAGTACTTCGTTTAGCTCCTAACTAAAAATGGAGGTCTTTTATATACCTCTGGAATAGATATATGTATGTTGAAGAATAATCACCTAACTATCAAAAAAAGCATTTACATTTCAAATAATTTTCTTTCTTTCAAGCCATTAATTTGAATATATAATATAAACTATATATATTATGTTGTTGAAATTTTTGATTTCACTAATATTGTTCAATATTATAGACTGTTTTTAGAGAATGTGAAGGACTTTTTTTATTATCTATCTTGTAATTTTTAATTTGATATCTATTATTTTGATATTTTTGTTTTTTCTTTCTTTTCTTTTTAGTACTTCTGGGAAGAGAAGATAGCAAGACTTCTTTATCAGCACTATGAATCAACACATAACTGTTAAAAACAAGAATCTCGGATATTCTATCATTTTTTTAAAACTTCTGTATGTTTATGATCATTTTATAATCCTCTTTTTTCGTCATTCGTGTCCTAGTGCTACATTTCTTTAATATTTGGTAATATCAAGTAGTGTGAACAAAATAAAAAGGTTCCATAAGAAGGAATATAGATTGTAGATAGCATAAATATTATTACTTAAGTATCACCTTCAATATTAAATACACAATTCTATGTCAATTACAAAATTTTTAAGTTTAATATTTGGGTATAGAAAGACTAATACTTCTCTGCTCTTTTTTATTGGATCTTTATTTATTTTTCTTCTTTATTTATGGAATGAAATTGGATATAAATATACCTTACCACCAGTTGATAGCCCAATTCCTATAAGACCTTATTTAGAAAGATCATGGAATTATTTACAAGATATTACATTTTCCTTCCATCCTTATACTTCAAGGGATAATGACCGTGTACATGATTATATTTGGAATCGGGTTAATGAAATAACACACGACGTTAATTATGCAGAACTACAAGATGATATGCACAATGAATCATATAGTTTGTGTAAGCAGCAAGATGTTTTCAATATAAGTTCTACTAGAACAAGAGTCATATATTTTGAATCATCAAATATACTAGTAAAATTGGAAGGTAAAGACCCATCTCTATCAGCACTTTTGTTATCGTCACATTTTGATTCAGTTCCAACATCACATGGTGCTACAGATGATGGAAAAGGTGTGGCATCAATGTTAGCTTTACTAGAATATTATTCTTTAAATCAACCAAGGAGGACTTTGATTTTTAATTTTAATAATGACGAAGAATTTGGTTTATTAGGTGCCTCTCACTTTTTGAATCATGAATGGTCGAGTTTGGTAGAATATTTCATTAATTTAGAAGGTATGGGGACGGGCAGTAAGGCTGTTATGTTTAGAACATCTGATATTGACACAGCAAGGATATACAAAGACGCTGTGAAAATACAACCATTCGGTAATTCTATTTTCCAAGAAGGGTTTAATAGAAGGGTTTTATCAAGCGAAACTGATTATAAAGTTTATGTTAATGCTGGGTATCGTGGTTGGGATATAGCGTTTTATAAACCAAGAGACCTTTATCATACCAAGAGTGATGATATTAAACATACATCAAAGGAAGCTTTGTGGAACATGTTATTTATATCTTGGCAATTGTCTTCCTTCTTAAGTAAAATGGACGATGTTTCTTCGTTTAACAATAATCCGGCAATATATTTTGATATAATGGGGTTATACTTTTTCACCTTGAGTGGATATGACTTATTTATTATTAACTTTATTCTTATTATAGTGTCTCCTCTGTTGTTGATTGTTCTATATATTTTAACCAAAAATAAACATCAATTGCATAATTCCAATATTGTAACATGGTTAAGACTGCCCTTTTGTGTAACTATTGCTATTGGTTCTATAAATGTAACTGAAGTATTTATGAGGGATATGAACCCATTTATTGTATTCCGTCATTCATATACTCCATTATTTACTTTATTGTTGGAATTTTTACTTATTATTTTAATCATTGATCCTATAATCGCTTTTTTTTGGCCTGATGATAAAATTAAAGATATTAATTTGATTGAAATAACTGCAGTATTCTGGTTAGTTATGTTGTACACAACTGTCAGTCTTTATTTAAGTGAATATCAGAATACAGGTGTTTACTTATTTACTTTGATTTTTGTAGGATTGTCACTCACGCTTTTTGTGAAATTTATGGCAACATTATTATACAAAATAGCCCCAAAAAATACATCTATCGTGTCTAGTTCTAGATCTACCTCTGGTTCTAGTTATGATAGTACGATACAGGGACAAAATAGCGAAGAAGTTGAAGAAACATCAAGAACATCGGTTTCCAATAGTGTAGAAGACGAAAGAGCTCCTTTGATTGATACCGTACCGGATCTGTATCAAGAGAATGAAGCATCATCGAAAATTCAAACTACTCCAAAGATAACTAGAAGTCAATACGAGTGGACCATTCAGCTGGTTATTATTTTCTTAATATTACTTATAACATATCAAAGCATTCTTCAAGTACTAGATGCAACATCTCAAACGGTTATTGGATCAAATAAGTCCTTAGATATTGTTTGGGATATATTGTTTCTTGGAACAATTATCTTAGGCTTACTTTATTCACCATTTTTGAATTTAAGAATTGAGTTGATCTCTCTTATTATCGTAATATTTTTAGGGCTATTTGTAACTAATATTTTTGAAACCCCGTTTACAGCAACTACCCCATTGCAAATAAAATTTAGTCAAGATTTGGATGGATTGGTTACACTTGGTGGTGTTGGTACTAATTTAGGCTACATTAAGCATTTTGTTTTAGATTTACCAAGTTTTAGACAAGGTTCTGGATGGATAGATTGTGACTATCAAATGCAGACATGTACTTATCAAGGTATACCTCCCAATCTGATAGACTGGGATTCAAACAATGGTGAACCAGATATCATGTCTATTCAAGTATTAAGAAATGACCGGAAAGATGGAAGCCGTTCTAAATACGAGCCAATATATGCAGATATCATGTTACATGTGAAAGAAAACAGAGCATGCAGTGTTTATTTTAATGGGACTGGAAGTGATATTTCCAGTGTTAAGGAAGTGATTATCTATGAAGATAACCATAATAAAGTTCTTGATACATTTAAATGGAGCAAAGGTATTGAAGAGCTACAACTCCACAAATTGGATTTTGATAAACAATATTATCATATAGGAATTCGCTGGTTTCCGAAAATCTTGTCAACTGATAGTCTTATGGCTAAAGACAGTATCTTATCAAAGAATAGTAGTGATATTGAGGATATTGATAAATTGGGGATGACAGTAATATGTTACTGGGGTGAATACGATGAAGAAGTTATAATTGACGGCGAACATAGAAGAAAAGTACCGGCGTTCGATGAATTGTTAACATATGCTCCAATAGATTATTCTTTTAGTAATAGAGAAAAGGGAATGGTTCACCAAAAGAAATACATAGAATTATGATGTGTAATAAAAGTTATGTAGATATAATACAAAAATATATATATAGAATATATAACTTGTTTCACCTGTTGGGTTGTATTCAATGAATATAGACAATTGAAATACCTTAGAAGGGAGTGGACAAATTTTTCAAAGTTTAATTTTTAAATTAGTGTATATTTAAATTATGTGTTTGGCGTATATCCCAAAAATAACAAATTTACGATCAGGTCGTTAGTATATATAGTACAAATGAAAGACAACTTTTGATAAGGCGTTTGATTATTAGTAGATGTGTTTTTGTTTACATCATGGGAGAGTTATTATTAGTAATGGTATTATATCTTTCTATAGTATTTTCATTGCTAACATCAGCAGTGAGTGGATGATCAATATGAGTTATGAATGACATTTTGCCATTTTGTTTTTCCTGTGGAATAATCATAAATTTATTAGCGTCAGGATATGCTTCTGGATCAGATATTGTAGTATTTTCAAACCCAGTATTTTTAGAGTCTGGACACATAGTTGGAAAAAAAACTTGGTTAGGAACCAGTTGGATAGTGTTTATAGGTGCTCCATACGTAACTGTATTTTCTGTGTAATTGAGAGGTCTATAACCTAATCCATACGGATAGCTATTTGCATTTGTATCAACTAATTGAGAAATATTATTCGATACTATTACCGGTGTATGTTGACTTTGCGACATTTGAATATTGTCAATAATGATATCCAATTCAGGATCTGTGATGTTAACAGGATCCAATTCATATTCACAAGTAAATACTTGTTGATCTTGATATGTTTCAAATTCTGTTAGAAGTTCAAATGGAACATCAGGAATTGTATAATCTATTTTAACATTTTTCTTTGATGTTGAGGAAGAACTCTTTTCACTATCTGAGAGCCCTTCTTCGCTATTTATTATTTCTTGAACTGTCCTTGATTCTTTCAAACGTCTATACTTAATTTGTGAATCCTGTAGTCTGCCTTTGATTGTTTCTAATTCATTAATATGCATTTTATCTTTTTCCATTCTGAAGATATTTATAGCTTCATTAATGGCAGAAATAGCGTTATTTATTTGGTTCGTAGCACAATATACCTGTGATATACCAAACCAGGCTAAAGCAGCAAATTTTTTATAAAATTTAACTTCAAATATACTACAGCTTTGTAAAATTTCACTTGAGGAAGCTAGACCAGCTGCTTGTAAATATGTGGATAATGCATCTTCATATTGGCATAGATCAAAATAAAGTGAAGCTATTGATATCCAAATTATCGGATCTGTAGGTATAATACTCAATGCATCTTGATAATAGTTGTAGGTAGTCTCAATATCTTCATCAGTTGAATTTTGTAAGACTAATCTACCTAATGCATAAAAGAATTTTGGTTTAACTGTGTCAGTAATGATTGGTATCTCCATTTTTAACCTTTCTACAAAATTTTTCCCATCTTTTGGGTTGTGAATTGTTCTTATATACGCTTCCAATATAAGAAATTTTTGTAAGTAAAAGGCAGGTAATTGAAAATTGGTATGAACTTCTTTGATTAGTTTTAAAGCCAGTTCAAAATCTGAATTATGTAAGAATTCCACAGTAATTAGAAAATAATAACAATACGCAACCTTATGTGAGAGATCTTCTCTTTTAAACCTCGCTTTATTTTCATTTAGAATAGTTAAACATTGGATCAAATCTTGTCTACATTTATCCACTACATTATATTTGCGGAACATTTGTGCTCTCGTGATCAGTACTTCTAAGTACAATGATGTATTTTTATGAAAATCGATTTGTGATAATGCCATTTGGAAATCAGAAAGTAATAAAGATATGGAATGAGTCTTTTCGGAGGCTAATAAGGAAATTCTACAATTTAATACAAAAATTTTATATTTCAAAGTTTCCTCTTCTTTTTTCGGCAGTAAGACAGTATATGGTATAATATGTTTACTGGTATTATTCTCATCATTGCTAATAGTAGTGTTATTATTGATGTTGGTATTATTGGTAGACTTTGTGTTTAGTTCGTCATTTCCCACATTACCAGGAATACTATTAGTAGTAGTATTAGGATTAAAAGAATTAAATGTTGTATTTATATTCCCTTTGATGAATTTTTTTGCATATGAAGAAGAAGTATATTCTAAATTTGCTTGTTGTCTTTCATAAGCTAATCTAGGTGACGATACGGAGCTTAAAGCTTGCGCTATAGCGTGGTGTGCATCATCATATTTATTTAATTTATAATATGCAAAAGCCAATTGTTTCCAAAGTCTATAATCATTAACAATATAGTCCATTTTTGAATTGATAGCATCCATTAACAAGTGTATGACATTAATATAATTTCTATTTTTCAAATATGCATTACCTAGTAATAATATATTTCTAATATCTACAGAATCATATGATAAAAGTTTTGATAATAAAGAAAACGTCATAGGTAACATGTTCATATTTAATGCTAGACTACTGCATTTTCGAAGTATATCAGAACTGAGTTGTTGGAAGTCATCTGTTTCCATTAGTTAAAAAAAGATAAAATATCTGTATATGATAATTGAATTATTATTAGTCTTTGTTTTTTAAGAACACGATATTTTTGATGTATACGCAATCAGAAACAGTTAACAATCATATATCGGCTTATTATTATTGCCTTTATTTTTTTGTTATGTATGTATGTGTGAATGTCTTTAATGAATTTTAAACACTATAGTAATGAAAAATAAAACAGATATTATTTGAAAACAATTTATTACTCTTGTCTTTTTTGTTATTACTTTAATTATATTTGGGTATCAGTACAGGATATATATCTCTATATATATATGTTTGTTTGTTTGTTTGTTTGTTTCGTATTATCTCGTGTAAAGGAAATGTGTAGGCTTGTATTTACTTGTATTTAATACAATTTACTGTATTTCCATAGAATGGCGAAAATATGGGTGTATTTATATATGTAGGTATGTACGTATGTATGTATGTATATAATGTGTAAGTGTATAGGAAAATTGTTAGGAAATCTCACGTCAATGAATCCAAATAAGGAAAATATTAAACTGATAGGTAGTGTAAACAAAACAATCTAATAATAAATCCAAAATAGAAAATATGGGATAGCGTTAAAATAATAATAAACCACTCATGAGCATAGGAAAAAGTTTCTAGAAGGTATATCAGAAATAAGAGAAAGAGGGAAAGAAAAAAAGATAGTAAGAAAATGCAGAAGGTGTAATAGAAAACATACATATAAATATAGTTGAAACGTAGAGCAACGCATAATGTCAAATTTTATTTTTCAGGAAAGTCATGAATTAATTGGGAGGAGAAACGAGAAAGTGTGGGAGATATTAACAATAATCACAAAACTTTTTGCTTGAAGAAAAAACAAAAAGTTGAGATCTGCAAAAAAATAGAAATTCTTTACTACGGTTTTTCTATAGTATTAGAATAATAGGCCTCCTGTTTAACCCCTTGGTGGTTGCATAACACAATCAGGGCCAAAAGTATCATGTTTACAAATAGAACAATACACTTCTGAAAATTTGTCAAAAATAAAAAATATTAGAAAAAATAAACACAAAAGTTAAAAAAACCAAAAATAAATAGGTTTTTTTTTAACAATTAGGTGACTTCTTGGTATATATTGTTCTTTTGTATTTTTTTCTGTGTTATCGTTTTTTAATAATAAAACTTTAATTTTTACAAAAGGCTCGGATAAAGTTTAAAATTGGGATGCCAAAAAAACAAAAAAAGCTATTATTTAGAGAAATCGGTGTTTTCTTTTTTCATTTTTATTTTTATTTTTTTTTATATTGTTTAAGAAATTGGACTTTATTGGCAAATTGCTATTTTTTTCTTTGACTTGAAACAAAAGAAAAATAGAAACAAAAGGAAAACGCAAAGTATGAGGGAAGTAAAAGGACATAAAAGATGGTAAAATAGAATATAAGAATATACGGTAAATATCATAAGAACTTTTTACATGTTCAGGTTGGGTAAAAGAGCTCTTTTTTTTTTTTTCAATAAACAAAAAAGGAAAAAAGAATAAAAAATACAAAGAAAAATCAATAACATGTTAAGAAGTATTATCGGACATTACAAAGTTTTATTCTTTGCGAGTTTCTGTCTGGCTCGTTTGAAAGAGATTTCCTCCTGTGTCAAGGAAAGAAATGGCAAATAATGTTAGATTTTATCAATTTTTCAAAGTATTTAGTATCACGATACAGTAATATAAGAACTTATGTTCTATATACATTTGTATATGATTAAATTAAGAAAATAAACTGAATAAAGAAAAAAGAAAGAGGAAAGAAGGTGGAGCAAAGATGAGTTAAATTTTTGATGGCTAAACTTTTATTATAGACAACAATAGTTTGGAAAAAAATTTACTTACTTTCTTATTTGTTTTATGATCCTATGATAGTATTGTTGTCCAATGAGAGAGTTATTATCCAGAAAGGATTTTTCTTTTGTCAATTCAATATTATAAAGCTATTTTAGTTTGAATCTTATTGTATTGGTATTAGATATTTTTGGTTAAGTGAGTTGTGAAAGTAATAAAACTATACTACTTCTCCTTTTCTTATTTTTTTTTTCTTTTTCCTTTTTGTTCTTACATATTTAATAGTAGAAACCACTTGGTAAGGTAATAATGGAAAAAACTGAAAAGTTTATGATGACATTTAAAAATGTTAAGTCTTTCCCCTCTTATTTCTGTTTTAATTTATATTGCAATCTTTAACTTTTATACTCAATATTCTGTAATTAGAACCAAAAAAAAGGAGTTAATAAAAAGGGTGGAAATTTTGAGTAAAAAAACAATCTGAATTTCATATGATATAACGGCTCATTGACACTGGTAACCATTTCAATTCTTAACATTTTTTTTTCTGTATCAACGGACATAGTTTTTTGACTTGATGTGTTAAAGATTAAAGTATTATTCTTTTAGAATTATTTTACACATTATGTATTTGATATGATTATGATTCATATTTTTATTTAATCCGCTTTTGTATTCTTTTTTTTTTTTGCTCAAAGTTTTATCAAGTCAAACATAGGTACAAAATAAATTATAATATTTAATTATCTTTTTTATGATTTTTTAGCTGTTTTGACTGAAATTTATCAACGTGTAGAATAATCTTATCCATAAGTCGCTTACATCTTTGAAATTCAGATTTACCTTCTAGTGGTTTAGGAAAACACAAGGGTTATGTGTCTGCTGTTTTGTGTAAATGCAGAATTATTTTTTAAATAAAGGTATAAAGTTATTTAGCTTATTTTATTTTTATGATTTCATAGTCATTTATTCGATCCATTCTTGTTGAATATCTTAATTGTATTATTTAAAAGTGGTGTTTATACAGCTATATATATGTATATATATTGTATTGTATTGTTCTTTTAATATACAAGAGGAGGAAAGGAAGATGAGAGGATAACAATAGGAGAAAGTTTATTTAGTTAGTCTACTATTATTTGAAAAATCCCATTCCTTCATATACATCTTAGCCCAGGCCTGAAAATCAGGATCATCGAATATTTGATATGGTATATTCCATTTTCTGAATAGTTTTGCAGTATCAATGAATGCTTTTTCTGCCAAAGTGAAATCATATACATTTGCGTTTCTCTCGATTGGCACTTCCTCTGCCTTTGTAGAAGGTATTGCGACAGGAACTTTGGGAAGACTTGCAACCCCAATTCTATTCTTGGTTATAATTCTGTAGATATCTGAGCTTAATCTTTGGACGTTTGGTCTATCGAAACATAGCATAGTTGGTATTTGACTTAAGTCAATGGTTCTTATATCATGATCAATTTTGAAATGTTTTTCCATTGCTTTGGTTCTATCCTTTGATTGTTGCAATTTATTTTTGAATGTGATGATTTTGTTGCATACGTGTCCATTATGATGGTATTGGCATAAGATATCAAATTCATTATAAAATGTGAAAAATAATGAATATATATTAGCATTTTTACGATTCTTCCACAATAGAGGGAAATCACTTGAGTCCAATTCAGGGTTGTTATCTAAGATACAGGTACAAACAAGGCCTGGATGTCTGTGTTCAGGCAATACAGCAGGTTCATCGGTTACTTCTTCATTTTCACCAGTAGTTTCATGTTCATGTTCATGTTCAGTTTCGTTATTATTTTCATGTTCATGGTCATGTTCAAGCATAGATGAAGATGCAATACCTTCAGTCTCGGTGGATAATAAGTTTGGATTATTCTCTGCCAAAGCTTTTAAAAGTGTTTCATTGATGACCTCATCTTCTTTTAATTCGTCGATTGGTGTAACGAAGAGATTACCCGGTTTAAGGTCTTCAAAATAAAACTTATTCTCACTTTCTAAAGGGTAATAAAGTCTTTCTTTGCCGGAGTCCTTCGAACACAATCTAATAAAAGAACAAACCACTTCTTTGTTTGGGATTACTTCTCTACCATTGAAAAATTGTTGGGTTGGTTCATGTTTAACATAGGCTAGTTTTCTTCCGTCTCTAACGATAAGATGATATGGAGACATTGTTTATTTTATTTGTTTTATTTGGTTTTTTTTTTCCCGGAGATTTATAATTTGGTGAAGTCCTGTCTATTAGAATGAAGGAAGGGGAGATGGTAGAAAGAAGGAAAGAAAAAAAGAAAAAAAAAATAGTGTGTGTAACACAATAAAAGGGAGGATACCGTAAAGGAAAGTGAGCCTAGCTAGACAAATAAATTCCGATTGAAGATTATGGATATAAGATATTTGGAGTAGAGTAATACAAAATATATTTTAATATATATTTTTAATAAGCGTATACATGCACACCTATAAATTATATTGGAGGCAAGTCTATGCAAACTGAAACAAGAGCCAAGGAATAGATTTCAAGTAAACAAACACGATATTTTCCACTATCCCCCCACACAACCGAGGTGAAGCGGAGGGAGGAAGGAAATGAAGAGAAAAGAGAAAGAAAAAACATTCCGTTTAAATACGTCAGGTGCGGGATGGCAAGAAGCGACGCGGAAATAGATATCCGTGATCAGATTTGTCTGTTTTTTTCTTTTTTTTCCCTTTTTTTTTTTGGTTTTTTTTTGTTTTTCGTTTTACTATACGCTCACACTGTACGGGTAATTCAGCAATACTCAAAGGGGGACGGGAAGGGAGGGAAGAGAGGCAGTTTCTTTTTCTTTCCTTTTTTTCTGTTTGTATAGTAGAATAAATACAAATGCCGTTTATTTATTCCGCTGGAAATGCCCGGTATTAAGAGAATTTTGGCCAGTTTTTGGCGGGTTTAAATTTTGTAACAAAGAAGAAAAATCATCTTACTTTTTTCTTTTTTCTTTTTTTTTTTTTTTTTTGTCTGCGTCCTTTTTGTCCATCGTCAGGTTTTTTCTTCCTCCTTCGTTTTCGTTGGTGAAACCAAAGGACAAATAAATAAATTAATAAATTAATAAATGAGCCACTATAATGTATTATGAAATTGTATAATTAGTCGTTTAATATACCGAACCGTCATCTTCATCTTGTTATTTTTTTTTCTTTTTATTCATGATTACTAGTGTACTACCCCATAGACACATTTGATAGTAACCGTTAGGGGGAACAGAAGGATAGAAGTTGATACACATGGATATTACTTATAATGAGAATCTATGTCATAAAGATGCAGCAATTGATTATCTGAAAGCTTTCAACCTTGTGTAATTTGAATAGGTACTCGTCTATTATCAATTTTCTAATATGTTATCAGGGCATGTCGATTTAAAATGTTTCTACATAAATCCTTGTAGGATATGACACGACCCAAATATCACTTATCTAGCCTTAGATCTAATTTGTATAGTAGAGTAGACTACATATTAAACCAATCTTATAATTGGCTTTGGTCATGCTTTTCCCTCCTTTTTCTTTTTTTTTTCGGTTAAACTTTAAAGTGGTGTTGTTTTTCTATTCTTTTCTCTCGCCCCTTCCTCTCCTCTCAATCCTCTCGGTTGTATTGGAAATACCAAATTGTATTAGAAAATTAGAATGAGGGCTACTCTACCTAGAAATTATGATATTAATTAATCTTCATCACTGTATGGTTATTTTCCTTTGAAGTAATGAACAAAGACCACAGTCATTCAAATAAGGTAAATAACTTCTAAATATGCTATCCAGATATAAACATGGAGTGGTAGCAAGAAGTAGAAGCGGAACAAGAACACAAGAATTGAATATATATATATATATATGTATGTGTGTGTGTGTGTGTATAATTACAGTGTAATAAAGAGGAAGCAAAAAGTAATTAAAAATTATGAAAATAATGAACTAAATTAGGATAGCTATATTTGATATAAAAAAGAGAAAACATAGTAAAGAAAAAGAAAGAAGGTTTTTTTTTGTTTTTTTGTTTTTATTGTTTTTTATTTTTATTGTTTTTTGTTTTTTTTGTTTTTTTTTTGTTTTTTGTTGTTTTTTTTGTTTTTTTTTTGTTTTTTGTTGTTTTTTTTGTTGTTTTTTTGCAGAAAACACCTTACAAATTGTCAATCTAGTAATACAATCAATTTGTGCTCGGAGGCAATCCAATATAAACTGGTACAACTAAGTTGTGGATAACTATCAGTCTAAAAAAAATAATCCTGTCAGACATTCGGTGGTTACTGTCTTAGTACAGGGTATGATTTGATATATTAAATTTTTTATGATTTATTTAACTTGTATGTCTTTGTGAAACCAGGTTTTTTGTAAATATTAGAGGACTGCTTATTTTAAATTGGGAAACAGCATTTAATGTCGCATCCTGTTAACACCAATACTATGAATGAAGCTATTAAGTAATATTTTTTTATGACGTAGAGTAGAACGAAATGTAGTAATTTATTTTTTGATAAGGCACAAATTTCTTCCGAAAATTGGAAGAAGAAGAGAGCACGAACATTACTTGGTTGATGTATTGTTCGATAAATATATCTTTCTATATGAGCCTTGAGTTGAGAACAGCGCATAAAAGACTACTAAAGATGTTGGTTAGGAATCTTTAGTGTCTTTTTTCCAAAGTTTGGATATGGCTGAACCGACATAATTACTACCATTTCGTATCCCATTTAGGACAGTGCTGTCTAAGACAATGCAATCTGTCGCAAATGACATATATTCACACGATGACTTAAAATTCTCCATTCTACCTTTCCATCCATCCCGTTTTACCATTTTGGCAAGGACGGTTTCGAGGATGTACTCGGTATCATCAAACAATGATGAATCATACATAGAATCATCGATTGGGACGTAGTAAGGGTCAAAGATTTCGACTTTATTAGTCCCCCTATCTAAATATCGATAGGGTTCATTAGTAATTTTGCTGTTGATTAGTTCTCTGAGCCCCGGTGCTAATGGTTTATCAGGATAATGCTGCCTTGTCTCCGACGGATCTTTTTGGCTTGGATAGACCTCATAGAACTTTTTCCTGACATCATCTACCATGTCAGGACATAGTTCTGGTATTTTCTGTGATTTTTGCACTTCTTTTGGTGCTTTTTGTTCCTTTACTATACAGCTATGTGGTTGTGAACTTGATAATTCTGATGGATCTTTCTTATGAAATTTAAAGAAAGATGTAAATTTTTGTAAACCACTTTGATTATTTGGTTTAGGAACATTTTTTGTTTCATTAAAGGAAACAGATTCTGTCTTAGTGGTAACAGTAGGGGGTATTATATTCACAGGAGTTATGGTCTTAAAATTAGAAACAATTTCTTTTGCTGGTATTGATGATTTCTTTGTGGTATCTTCTTCTTTTTTTGCGAAGAGTAATTTAATTTTTTCTATACCACTCTTGGGTTTCTGTGTAACAATATTATTTTGTTTAGCAGAGGAAGCAGGTCCTGTTTTAGTAACAACAACAGTAGGTATTGAGTCCATTGGAGTTATATTTTTGGAATGAGACACGATTTCTTGTGTTGGAACTGATGATTTTTTTGTGGTATCCTCCTTTTCAGTAGAAGAGACTGCTTCTGTCTTAGTGATAACAGTAGGGGGTATTATATTTACAGGGTTTATGATTTTAAAATTAGAAATTATTTCCTTTGTTGGTATTGCAGATTGATTTGTAACATCTTCTTCTTTTTTTGAGAAGAGTAATTTATTTTTTTCTACATCACTTTTGTGTTTTTGTGTACGGATATTTTTTTGTTTAGCAGAAGAAGCAGGCTCTGTCTTGGTGACAACAACAGCAGGTGTTGAATTTACTGAAGTTGTATTTTTGAAATTAGATACAATTTCTTGTGTTGGAACTGATGATTTATTTGTGGTATCTTCCTTTTCAGTAAGGGAGATTGGTTCTGTCTTAGTGATAACAACAGGGGGTATTATGTTCACTGGAGCAATGATTTTAAAATTAGAAATGATTTCTTTTGTTGGTACGGAGGATTTCTTTGTAATATCTTCCTTTTCAGTAGAAGTGGCTGGTTTTGTATTAGCGATAACAACAGCAGGTGTTGAGTCCACTGGAGTTATATTTTTGGAATGAGACACAATTTTTTTTGCTGGTACAGGAGATTTTTGTCTGATGTCTACTTTTTGTTTTTCTTCTGTGTCTATGGTCTTATGTTTCTCTTCAATGTGTTTATCTCTTGATATGATGATGTCCCGTTTTTTCTCATCAAATAATTCCTTCTTGGACTCACCAATGATTATCAAAGACTTTGAGGCTTCGGGGGAAATAGGCTTAAAGGTAACTTTCTTCTTTATTTGTTGTTTTTTAGTAGTTTGTTTTTGCTTAAGAATATAATCTTCCTTTAACAGTGATTCTTCTTTTACAATTGTTTTTTTTTTTGATACATAATCTTTTCCTGTACTACATCCTAGCTTTGGACCTTGTTCACCTTTCTGTTTCTTTCTAGATGATTTAAGAATTATTGTGTTATTATTGGTTTGTAGCATTGTGGAACATTCTTTTTTGACACAGGAAACTTCCTGCTTCTTAGGTACAGAAAGTTGATATCTTTCTTTCATGAGATCCATTGCATTAGCAAAATGTTCTTTTGCATTTCTAATATTTTGTTCTGGAATTTTGTCTAATTCGACATATGTGCTTTCCTCTTTCTTGGGTATAGAAAGTTGATATCTTTGTGTCATGAGATTCATTGCCTGAGTAAAATGTTCATTTGCATTTCTAATATTTTGTTCTGGAATTTGTTCCTTCTTGGCATGTGTAACTTCCTTTTTCTTGGGTACAGAAAGTTGATATCTTTCTTTCATGAGATCCATTGCCTTAGCAAAATGTTCTTTTGCATTTCTAATATTTTGTTCTGGAATTTGTTCCTTCTTGGCATGTGTAACTTCCTTTTTCTTGGGTACAGAAAGTTGATATCTTTCTTTCATGAGATCCATTGCCTTAGCAAAATGTTCTTTTGCATTTCTAATATTTTGTTCTGGAATTTTGTCTAATTCAACATGTGCGCTTTCTTCTTTCTCGGGTACAGGAAGTTGATATCTTTGTATCATGAGATTCATTGCCTGAGTAAAATGTTCTCTTGCATTTCTAATATTTTGTCTTGAGATTTGTTTTTGTTTACTGTGTGTAGCTTCCTTTTTCTTGTTTTGTTTTGGGATATGTTTCTTTTTAACATTTGAAACATCTTCTTTCTCGGTTTGTTTTGAGATGTGTTCTTTCTTGACAGGTGAAACATCTTCCTTCTTGTTTTTTTTTTGGATATGTTCCTGTCTACTGTGTGTAACTTCCTTTTTCCTGTCTTGTTTTGAGATTTGTTCGTTCTTAGTATGTGCAACTTCCTCCTTCTTATTTTGTTTTGGGATTTGTTCCTTCTTGGCATGTATGACTTCCTCCTTTTTGGGTATAAAAAGTTGATATTCCTCTAGCATAGGAGCCCTCACCTTAGCAAAACACTCTTCTTTATTTCTAATATTTTGTTCTGGAATTTTGTCCAACTTATCATGTGTGACTTCTTCTTTCTTCGGTATAGAAAGTTGGTATCCGTCTATCAAATGAGTTCTTGTCTTACTAATATTTTCTTCTACGCTTCTAATATTTTGTTTTGGGATTGTTCTTGGTCTAATATATGTAACACTCCCTTTGTTGGGCACAACTCCTTGGGATCTGTTCAACTCCCATGATTCCATCATGCATATAGCTTTTTTATAACCTAACCTGGCAGCACATGAAACCGTATATCTCTTCCGTGAATCAGCTGTAGCAGTACCCAGTCCAAACTGATCTATTTCATAAAAGATTTGTTCTAATAGTGAGTGTTCTTTATCTTTAGTTTGTTTGTGATTCAAATAAGAATCTGCATCTTTTTCAGGCATATTCTCTTGAAATTCGTCCAACATTATTTGAGACTTGTCCAACCCCCATGATTCCATCATGCGTATAGCTTTTTTGTAACCTAGCCTTGCAGCACATGAAACCGTATATCTCTTCCATGAATCAGCTGTAGCAGCATCTAGTCCGAACTGATCTATTTCATGAAATATTTGTTCTAATAGTGAGTGTTCTTTAGCTTTAGTTTGTTTGTGGTTCAAATAAGAATATGTATCTTTTTCAGACACATTCCTTTGAAATTTGTCAAACACCGTTACTTGTTTCTTAGTTAAAGTATCTTCAGGTGTTGCATGTTTTTCCTTTACAGCACACTCTTTTTTAGTACATGAAATTCTATAACGCTTAGGAATATCTACTAAGCCATATGAAATAACCAGAGTTCTTAGCCCAGAAGTGATTCCTCCTACTTGTGAGGATGGATTTGTTGATCTAAATTTCCTAAGATTTGGATACGTATTTAATGAAACCTTTTTAAAATTACTTGTATCAGTGTGTTCATAAACAACTTGTCTGTTATTCATTGATGAAGGTTTATATTTTAATTGAGTTTCTAAACTCCAAGTATCATAAACCATTTTTGACTAGAATAACTTGCAAAATAAAACAACAAACTGACTTTTCCTAAAAACTTTTTTGTACTTAATGAAACACTAATATGTATATATATAATGTCTCTTATGTAAAAAAGCTTGTGGTTTGTTAAAACAAAGTGAGAAAGATAATAATTAATACTTAACAAAACTAAGAAAGATACAAATCAAAATATAGACACAAACTAAGAAATGTTTTATAAACTAGAAGAAACAGGAAGTCTTTATCTATCTTTTTTTAACACTTATTTGTAATTGATTTTGTGACACATAAACTTCAATTAATAACGAAAATAGCAAAGAAAAAATATTAATTAATAAAAAAATAGCAAAGAAAAAAGATTAATCGGTTGATTAAATAACGAGTAAATCTCTGCATTTTTGAGTGTGTTTATTTTTTATCCATTATATGTTGAGACGATAGAAGAAGGAGTAGATAAACAAGAACCTGTTTACTTAGGAGCTTCTTTTTTAGTTACCTATCTATTAGTTTGTCTTTTTGTTTCCTTTCTAATGGATGTAATGCAAATATAACCTTGTAATTGTTCCTAGCTTATATACACTTAGGGTCAAAAAGTACAAGGTAAAAGTTGCTTGTTTGATACAACAATATCATATATCATTTATTATGTACATGTTAATGTAATAAATATCGTCGATGCTTGGGTAAGATTCTAATATTTTATCGTTTCTAGTCTGGTTATTATAATCAAAAGTTCAAAGCTCATTCACTACGCTGTTTGATTCCTGTTCATAGAAAGCAAGAACTCATAGAATTGTATCCGATCTCTAGACAAAAAAAAATACGTAGAGTTTTTCACAAGTAAATATGATTATCACCAATCTTTGTATTTTCTACCCAACATTTATATTCTTAAATCACTATATCAAATAACAACCAAATGGATTTTCCTGAAAGGTTATTCTGTTAAAATATTCTTTTTATTTTTCAAATAACATAATTTTTTTCGAGCTATCAACTACTTATAGATTATGAAAATGGGTAACATTTCATAATCCTTTCAGATAATTTTTTATCGTATTTTTAGTACATTCTTCCTCTTGAGTTGCACAAGTAAAATTAACATATGACTTCTAGACTATGTTGATGGGGAAAACAACTCTTTCTATATTGTTGTTGAATATGAAAAGTCCAATGAGAGTTCTATTTCGAAAGTAGTCGATTTTCCTCTAATGCTAATGTAGAATATTAAACACTGATTATACCCATATTTGTTCTGATTATTTGTTGCACTGTTAGCTTTTGATGTTAATTGGTTTTAAAAATGGTTCAGAAATCTACTGGCATTAATATTCTTCGAATTTGATAAATTTATGTAATAAAAGGTTATTTCTGTTATTTTTAAAACTCACACATACTTGATTAGTGTAACTTCTTCTCAAGATGAACCTTTGATAAGCAAAGACAGTGAAGGTGGATCTACATAACTTTTTTATTGTTGATCATTCCTTATATTCCAATTGCCAAACAATTAACTTTTTCTGATTCAAAAATATACTTCTTTCGGTTACACTTTGTTAGATAATAAAGGCATATTTACAGTTTGATGTTATTCTTTTGTATTAATCTCTCTAAAACAATATTTAACTAAAAAAAAATCTTTTTCAGACACAGAAAATATACATATACATATATGAGTACAATTCAGTGATAACATTTTTTTTTTATTAAATATCTTGAGAGGTGTTGCATTTATAGTTCGTGATAAAATCTATCTTTTTTGTTTTTTCATATATAAGTATATCAAGAAAAAATAAAAAATAAAAAAACAGAAGGAAATAGAGACAAGAAACAAGAAATAATAACGATAAGGAAAAAATATGGAGCCACTTTAATGATAAACAATTACAAATAAGATATTAGAGTTTTTTTCAAAGAGTTTAGAATATCTCTATTTTAAATATTATATCATTCAATGTGATTTTCTTGCTGTATAAATAGGTATATAATTATATATATATATATAAATGTTAAATTATATGAGTTTACATATTTCCACTCACATATGGCACAGATTTAGAATAGATCAGAGATTTTGTAAATGAGGATTATATCAATACATTATTGGTACTATAACAACATGATTAATTACTTATAATGGTTGAAATGTTTAGTTAATTCTTTTTGATTAGATAAATTAGTTTCATTAGTTACAGGTTTTGCTATCTTTATAGTGTTCAAAAAAACTTCTGTTGTTAGACGTTCATTGTAATTTACTTTTAATATTACATAAGTATTACCGAAATAGTAAGTGAATTTATGTTAAGGTTAAAATATAATATAAATTTTATATCTTAAAAAAACAGAAGATATCTCTTTGGTTAAAGGTGGTTAACGGTGTTTTTAAAAATTTGTTGTAAATGTTTTTTTTTAATTTCTTGAAACTGAGAATATATGTCCCAATTATAAACATTTTAGATATCAAGAAGTTTATTAGCAAAATAAACAAAACAAAACAAAAAGACATATTCTGACATAATATTATAACAACTTATAGAAAATTGTTTCTCCTCTCTCTCACCAGAAAAAAAAAAAAAAAATACATAAAAAATAAAATTACTCTAAAAACAAGAATTACAATTTTCATAATATTTACTTTGTCAAGCTCTTCACGAAGGAAAAGGAATGCAAAAAATGTATTATCATTAGTAACCTAGCATTGTTACAAAAATATAGAAGTAAAAAGTTACAATATCATTTAAAATTTCCTGAGATTAATAGCCATTATATAAAGCTAAATAATCTATATATGTAGATTTATTTATTTCAGACTATAATATCCTACTTTATGAAAACATATTCGATGGAAAAATAAGACTTGAATATAAAAAAACAATGCTAGGAAAAGTATTTAATATTTCAGGACATTTACATAAAATTATTGAAAAATAAGGTTCCTAATCATTATGGATATATATTCCATCAATTAAATCGAAAAGATTATTCTCTCTACTAGAAAAAAAAATAATTAGAGTCAATAAGAATATACTACCTGTTTAAAACTCAAAAGATTTTCAAATATCTAAACTTTTAAACAGCTTATTATCAGTTAAATGACGTACATAACCGTATAGAAATAAATGACTTCATAATTTTTTTACTTCTCTACTTACTGTTTAAAAATCAAAAACTTTTTGTGAATTTGCACCGCTGATTTATTTTGTTATGCCTCTTTGTCAAGAAATTTCTTAGTTCACGTGATCTTTGAAATGAATCTCCTGGATTGATTTACAGAATTTTACACATAATATCTGTTTCACAAAGGATCGAAGAAGGTCATGAGGCTCAGAATAGGGCGCAGACGCAGTCATATACAGTAGAAACATAACTATAGAATACGGTTCTAGAAATATAAAACCTAAATTTTTCTTGCAACATTCAACAGTTGGTCTCCTCTTCCTTCTTCACTGCCTTCCCCATCATAACCACGTCACATATACATAAAGAGTAATATAGTATATATCCAAAAGATAAGTACTAGAAAAAAGTTACAAAATACAATTATTAATATTTTTACCAAATGTATCCAGGTTCCAGAAACTACAGTTATAGAAACAATAACTATAATAATTCTAATGATAGATATGAGAGGTCTGATTACCCCCCTCCACAACAACAGTATGCAAGACCACCTGTCCCGCCACCAGGATTTGTGAACCATCGCGATAATAATGGTTACTCTAGACCACCTTCACGTCCACCAATGCAGCAACCCAATAAGGGCTATCAAAGTTATGAAGATAATGGATATTATCCAACACTAAATAACCCACCACATTCCATTTCAAATCCACAATATGAAAATGCTCCATCTCACTACTCCCAACCAACATATTTACAAGCACCACCACAAGAAGCACAATCATACAGTGTTAATCAAACCAATCAACAATTTAGTTACTCCCAATGTACTGGACGTCGTAAAGCCTTAATTATTGGTATAAATTATTTTGGTTCAAAGAATGAGTTACGTGGATGTATTAATGATGCGCATAACATTTTTAACTTTTTAACTACTAGATACGGATATTCTGCAGATGATATTGTCATATTGACTGATGACCAACAAAACATGGTCTCTGTACCCACTAGAGCCAATATGATTAGAGCTATGCAGTGGTTGGTCAAAGATGCTCAACCTAACGATTCCTTATTTTTCCACTATTCTGGCCACGGTGGATTAACTAAGGATCTTGATGGTGATGAAGAGAGTGGATACGATTCTGTTATTTATCCTGTGGATTTTGAAATCAATGGACATATCGTAGATGATGAAATGCATGAAATTATGGTTAGACCATTATCACAAGGTGTAAGACTAACTGCTCTATTTGATTCGTGTCATTCTGGTAGTGTCTTGGATTTACCGTATTGTTATTCTACCAAAGGTGTAGTCAAGGAACCTAACATGTGGAAAGATGTTGGATCTGGTGGGTTACAAGCAGCAATGGCATATGCTACTGGGAATAGAGCAGCTTTAATCAGTTCGTTAACTAGTATTGCTGGTGTTGTAAAGAACTCAATGACTAATAACGTGGACAGAGACCGTGTAAGGCAGTACAAATTTTCTGCAGCTGACGTTGTCATGTTTTCAGGTTCAAAAGATGACCAAACCTCTGCTGATGCAGTTGAAGACGGTAAGAATATCGGTGCTATGTCATGGGCATTTATCACAGTATTGACTCAACAACCTCAGCAATCTTATTTATCACTTTTACAAAACATGAGACAAGAGTTATCTGGTAAATATACTCAAAAACCACAGCTATCGGCGTCACATCCAATGGATGTAAACTTACAATTTATATTTTAAGTCAATAATCGTTATTATTCCTTGTACCACATCATTCTTATCTTGTTTCCTTTCTATTTCTTTTTTAGATTTTTAGTTAAATGTCAAACATAATATATATAAACCCAACATTTAGTAATTATATAAAATAGAGATGCACTTTTTACTGGTTAGAATCATTATTACCATTATCAACTTAACTGTAATTGATGAGAATATGGAGCATATCCTTAAAAAAAAATTTTTTTATATCTACATAGCATATTATTATACAAAGTAATAATCAAACGCTAAGAAAAGACATAACTATTGGGAATTCAATTGTATATATTTACTAGAGAATAAAATATTGAAAGAAAACATATAGGCAAGATAAGGTAAAGGATATTTCACACTTTACAAAAATCCCTACTCTTTAATTAGAATCTTTCTCTAATTCTTGTTGTTCTTTTAATCTCTTTTCTTCTAAATCTTTCTTAATCTTTTCTTCTTTAGCATCATATTTAGCCTTACATTCCTTAATTTCCTCTTCAGCATCAGCAATGTTCTTAGTGGTTTGTTCTTCTTGTCTAGATTTATAATCTTCCAATTTTGTCTTTAATTCTTCTATAGTCTTTGCAACATCATCATTTGATATTGGGACAATAACATCTAATTCAGCCAAGGTGGCAATTAATGTTGGCTCTAAGGAGAACTTACCATCAATCTTGCTAAAAATATTGGATTCACCTTGATTAGCAGCAGACTTAGATTTGCTCTTCTTCTTATATTTCTTAGACTTGGATGGAGCTGTATTGGTGTAACCATCATCCTTCTTCTCAACCATGACAAGGTCACTAGCTTCAACTTTTCTGATATTTGTTTTTGTATCTAAGGATCTATCAGTAACTTCACTTAAAACATTCTTCTTTGGTTTTTCAAAAGTTGGATCTAATAACACCAAACAATTTTCAATTGCTTCAATTTCATAAGTAAAAGCTGGTGTTTTAGCATGGGTTAATTTCTCCTGCAACTTACTTAAAGCACCTTCCTTTTCTTCCAAGACTTTAGATAGCAACTGATCTTGTTCACGCTTTAAACGTTCCTTTTCTAATTTGCTCTTGAAAGCCTTAAATTCATTATCAAAATCAGTTCTAATTTGTCTAATTTGGGCGTAAATTTCATCACGTCTCTTGTATAAGGCTGTACGTTTGTTGTAAAGAGCTTGTCTCTTATCGTAAACAGCTTGAGATGATGCTTGCAACTCATCTAATTTCTTTTGATTTTGTTCAAACTTATTGGACATTTCTCTTGAATTTAATGTGGATAATTGCTCTTTCAACTCAGCAATCTTAGCCTTGTCGGTATCAATAGATTTCTTGATTGGTTCAACCAAAGTTAGATCTTTCATTAATTTATTCAAAGATTGCATTTCTTTAACCATCATTTTTTCTTCTACAATGGAAAGATCACCGGAACCAATAATGTCTTCGATTTCAGCAATTCTTTGCTTAGCTGCAGCAGTAGAGTTGTATTGGTTTTTCTTACCCAATCTATCGTTAATTTCGTTAGTCTTTCTCTTAATTTGGGCATCTAACTGTTTAATGGTGTCGTGGATATTGTTTCTACGAGTTTTTAGATTAGCTTGAGTTTTAATGATTTCTTTGTTTTCATCCAATAAACTCTTTCTTTCATTAGCAGTCTTGTCATTGATTTGATATTGATCAATTTGCTTTCTTAATAAAGTGATTTCTTGATCCACTTTCTTTAATTGGACATTCAAGGTGTCCAATTTCCTGTCTCTGACAGAAACATCTGGACGTTTAATCTTTTGGAAATTGTTATTATTAGACTTACCCTTTGGTGTGGAAGACATGTTTATATCCTTAGTTATACTAGATAATATATGCTTCTATTTAAATAGTATATACCTATATATGGATATGCAAAGAAACCAGCCAAGATATGACGAAATCGAATGATTATCAATATGTACAAGACAATAATAACAAAATCTTCAGTAACAAGGATAAATACAGAATCGAAAATCCTGTCTACAAAGGAAATAAACAAAACTATCTTTAGATGAAATACTAACTTTTCTTGACAAAGCCTTTTTTGTTTTTTTTTTTCGAGCAAACCCAAAAATAAAGTTTCGAAAAGACAAAAGAAAAAAAATAATTTCAACAAAAATTTTCGAGATTAAATCCGGGTAGTGATTTTGGTACGTGATAGCGCCATTAATAGTAGGATTCTACGATTCTGAAGAAGGTAGTAAATTGGACAAAAGTATTGCTGTTGCAACACTAACATTTAATGAATCAATGTTTGATTGGGACTCTACAGGTCCACCAAAAGGTATCTGGACAGCAAAATCACTCTTTAATTGTAAATTAGTCCTAACGCCACGCCCTTCATTCCCTACAACAAGCATAACTGGACCATGTTCTAATAAACCATGCATATCTGTTAAGGGTAATTTAGATATCTGAGTCTTCTTGTTATTTTGTTCTATACAACTGGTAATAAAAGTCCATTGCCCTTTCTTTTGAGATTTATCAAAAAATGTCAAAGGTTTATCAACCATATAAATTGGGATATACTCCATTGCACCACTACTACATTTGTTCACTACAGGCGACAATTGTGCGCAATTTCTTCTTGAGATTACTATAAAATCAACTCCTAAATAGAACGAGGTTCTTAGTATTGCACCTAAGTTATGTGTATCAGTAACTTCATCTAGATAAACACCAAGTGGATACAATTTATTAGAGTTTTGCTTTAACATATATTTACAATGCACAATATTCTTATGTGATGATGCTAATACCGGGGAATCGAATTCATTTTGATATGTATTAATTTGAAAAGTTGCATCCTCCATATTCACAGGTCCTAAATGAGTAATTTCTAATGGGTCTAACGGTTTTACTTCTAATACAAGACCATTATGTACAGAATTTTTGGTCAACAAGGTCAATTCATGCTTATTTGTCAAGACTGTTTTCAAATTTTTTTCCTTTATCAATCGTGACAATTGTGGATTATTTTTCAAAACAGAGTCATTTGAATATAGTAATCTATAAAAATTCTTTCTATTTTTATTCATTAATGCAGCTATAACACAGTTTTTCCCATAAATGTACTCCAAAAGAGAAGATTTACTGATTGTGTTTCTTTGTTTGGTGGTACTAAGGTTGTTAATATATTTTTGTTTATGAGATATCCTTTCTTGTTTTTTCAATTCATGCAATTTTGCCAATTGTTCCAAATAAGCTTGTTTTTTCTTCTGCTTAGCATGAATATGTGCATATTTTTTTTTGAACCATGTCTCTCTATCTGGGAACCCATCTCTTTCCCATGGTTTGGTTTTTTTATTGACTATACCATCGAATTTCTTATCAAATGATGTTTTCTTCACCGTATTAATCGCTATAGATGAGACTCGTCTAAGAGTGGGTAATCTAAAGAGATCTAGAGACCTTATTTTATTAAGTATTATCATTTGTGAAATTTACAAGTATTATTATAATCCTGTTCTTTATTTTTTTATTCTATTTTTTTTCTTCTTTTTCTTTTTCTTTTTGTTGTATATTTTGTATATTAGTTCCAGTTATTATAATAGAACAATTTCAGTCAACTGGCAGTCCATAAGACAAGAAGAGTCGTATTACAGTTCATTCTATAGCCATTGGGTTCTATACACCTGTTCCTTTTTCATTTTGCGTTTTACATTTTGCGCTTCGCATGCCATTCATGATTCTCTTTTTATTTTCCTTTTTCTTATTTTTCTTATTTTTCTTTTTTCTTCTTTCCGCGTCATAAATGAATCATGATTCATAAACTTGTTCCAGTATATAACATCAGTGGTTCACTTTGGATACATGGAGACAAATACAGTTAAACGTTAGCCATCTCTGTACACATACATTTACTTAAAAACACACACTTTTGAAGCATATAAATGATTATGTGTATAAAATAATTAAACAAACAAGCAAATAATTTACTATGTCCCAACAAGCATTTGTATCTCGTATAACCAATGAAACTAAAATTCAAATTGCAATTTCGTTAAAAGGCGGGCCAATTGAATTACCAAACTCCATCCTACCCCCAAAACAAACCGTTGAAGAAGATGTTGCATCACAAAAGACCCAATCCCAAGTTATCAACATTCACACAGGTGTTGGATTTTTGGACCATATGATTCATGCCTTAGCTAAACATTCTGGATGGTCTCTTATCGTGGAATGTATTGGTGATTTACATATCGATGACCACCATACCACTGAAGATTGCGGTATTGCGTTGGGTACAGCATTCAATGATGCCTTAGGTGCTGTCAGAGGTGTCAAAAGATTTGGCACTGGGTTTGCCCCATTAGATGAAGCTTTATCTCGTGCAGTTGTAGATTTATCAAATAGACCATATGCAGTTGTGAATTTAGGGTTAAAAAGAGAAAAAATTGGAGACTTATCCTGTGAGATGATCCCTCATTTCTTAGAGAGTTTTGCCGAGGCAGCCAGAATTACCATGCACGTGGATTGTTTGCGGGGTTTCAACGATCATCATAGAAGTGAAAGCGCTTTCAAAGCATTAGCTGTCGCATTAAGAGAAGCGATTTCTCCAAATGGTACTAATGATGTTCCTTCTACAAAAGGAGTTCTAATGTAAGAAAAAAAAGAAAGAAAAAAAAATAAAGAATAATATACATCTAATAGCACTAAACAATTAACAACACCATTATCCTTACATTTATATTTATATCTATTTTATATTTATTTTATATAATTTAATGTCTCTCCTGTTGAACAAAAAAAAAAAAAGAAAAGAAAAAAAAGAAGAACTGTATTTATGGCCATCAACTAAGTATTATGTAATCACGATTACTAATCGCAGAACAGAAATTCTGTGGAGAAACTGTGAAGTCGTGTGACGTGATCTGAAAAAAGTAAATAAATAAAAAAAGTAAGAAAATGGAAATGGAAAATTTTTTTTTTTTGCTTTTTTTTTTTGTTTTTTGTTTATCATTTCGGTCAGCGAAAAAAACATCATAAACTTACTTCAAACCTCACATTGTTTGTATTTCCTCAACCACTTTTATATCTAAAACGTTTTAAAACCCTATTTTCAGTCAGTCACTTTACTAAGCAAAAGTTTTCCTCTAAAATAATAATAATAATAATAATAATAATAACAAAGTCAAGATCTGTGTAAAATATATTTGTATTCTTTTTTTCTTTTTGTTTTTGTTTTTAAAAATTTCACTTTGTATCAACAACAAGAAATATGTATTCCCTATTACTTTGTCAACTTACATCAAATTCTAAAAAGGAAAAAATCTCGAATATTTCACAATTAATTCTAACATTCCTCCTAGATAAATCTTATCCTATTCATCATTATCTTAAGCCTAGATAATGTTTTACAATATTCTGGAATGTTCCAATTATTTATAATGCATAATATTTATATTTTTACCCTTCTTATACTGACCTACCAATATTTCAATAAAGATGAAAGTGTATACCGCTCCTTTTTTTTTGTCCCCCCCACAAACAAAATATAGAGACCCTAATAATTTTCATAATCTTTACAGAAACAATTCAAATATTATTGAATAGACCCTATTAACCCATACACCATTTTTACTTATTCAATTCCAGAAATTTCTTTACTTTTCTTTTTTCTTTCTTTTTTTTTTTGAAAATTTATATCTTCTCCAAGAGATTTATAAAGCATACACTAATGTTTATATATCCTATTCCTATTACCACTTGGTTAAATCTTGAAGCATCTTCTAATTTCAAACATTAATTAATATATGCTGATTCAAAGAGTCTGCTATCCTATTTTACTTTTTAAAACAAAAAAAAAAGAAATAGTTGACCAGCAGATACTACTGTGATAATTGAATACCAAATTATTCCATAGAATAAAGTAGTGCAAACATGACTGAATTAAATGAAAAGATGCAAAATTTGTCTATTCAAGAATCAAGCAATGGTGGAAACAGTGGATATGTTCCTCCACATTTAAGAAATGGTAACAGAAAGTCAAGATCTCCAGAAAATCAAGGACCTAATGATTTCGGTGGTAACCGTGGCAACCACAGTGGTTCATTCTTTGGATTTAACAACCAGAGAAATGGTGGATACAATGGTAACAACCGTGGTGGATTTGGTGGTAACCGTGACAACTATGGCAGAAACAATTTCTTCAACAATGGTTACAACAAATACAACAACAACTATGGCAATAATCACTACAACAACAGCAACTGGGGTCCAAAACCTGCTTTTAACAGAGGTGCCTGGATTGATGGGAAACATGTGCCTGGTAAACATAATCCAAAATTGGAATTGGAATTATTCGGTACAGCAGATGATCCAAAATTCCAATCCTCTGGTATTAATTTCGATAATTATGATGAAATTCCAGTTGAAGCTTCTGGTAAAGATGTTCCAGAACCAATCACAGAATTCACTTCTCCACCTTTAGACGAACTACTAATGGAAAACATTAAATTAGCAAGATTCACCAAACCTACCCCAGTCCAAAAATACTCTATTCCAATCATTTCTAAAGGTAGGGATTTAATGGCTTGTGCTCAAACTGGTTCTGGTAAGACTGGTGGTTTCCTTTTCCCAGTTTTGTCTGAATCCTTTAAAAATGGACCAAATGAGATTCATCACAACGAAAACTATTACCAAAAGAAGGCATATCCAACCGCTGTTATTTTAGCTCCAACTAGAGAATTAGCTACCCAAATCTTTGATGAAGCTAAGAAATTCTGTTACAGATCTTGGGTGAAACCATGCGTTGTCTATGGTGGTGCTCCAATTGGTAACCAAATGAGAGAAATGGACCGTGGTTGTGATCTTTTAGTTGCCACACCAGGTAGATTAAGTGACTTGATTGACCGTGGTAAGGTTTCTTTATCTAATGTTAAATATTTAGTTCTTGATGAAGCTGATAGAATGTTAGATATGGGTTTCGAAATCCAAATTAGAAGAATTGTGGAAGGTTCTGATATGCCACCAGTTGGTCAAAGACAAACTCTTATGTTTTCTGCCACTTTCCCAACCGATATTCAACATCTGGCCCGTGACTTCTTGGGTGATTACATCTTCCTATCTGTTGGTAAAGTCGGTTCCACTTCAGAAAACATTACCCAAACTATTCTTTACGTTGAAAATGAAGACAAGAAATCTGCTTTGTTAGATTTGTTAGCCTCAAGTGACGAAGGCTTAACTTTAATCTTTGTTGAGACTAAGAGAATGGCTGATCAATTAACTGATTTCTTAATTATGCAAAACTTCAGAGCTACTGCTATTCACGGTGATCGTACCCAGAGTGAAAGAGAACGTGCCTTGGCTGCCTTTAAATCAGGTCGTGCTAATTTATTAGTCGCCACCGCTGTTGCTGCCAGAGGTTTAGATATTCCAAACGTTACCCATGTTATCAACTATGATTTGCCAACCGATATTGATGACTACGTCCATAGAATTGGTAGAACTGGTCGTGCTGGTAACACTGGTCTTGCTACTGCTTTCTTCAACAAGGATAACACCAACGTTGTGAAGGGTTTAATTGAACTTTTAACTGAAGCTAATCAAGAAGTTCCAGACTTCTTAAGAACTGCTGCTGCCTTTTCTAGAAGTGGTTCCAATAGATCTAAATCTGGTTTCAGCCGTAACAACAGTAACAGAGATTTTAGAAATTCCAGTAACAGCTGGGGCAACAGCCGTAACAACTCTTCAAGAGGTGGTAACAGTTGGAATAGCAGCTCTAGAAGTAGCTCTTTTAGAGGTGGTAATGATGGCTGGGGTAATGTTTCCAGCAACACTAGTAACTCATGGTGGTGAATAATTGAAATTTACATTTCTATTTTTTTTTCTCAACTTTAAATTATTTTTAACTTTTGTAGTTGACTATTTGTTTCTTGTACTTCATTTATTCCTCACCTTTCTACCATTATTATTATTATTATTTTTTTTGATACTTGCTCCCACAGTTAATGATTACCTGTTTGCCATGTCTGTTATGTGAATATATTACTATGCAAGAAGCTCGAACAAAGCTTTTCATTTTTTCTGTTATTTTTATTATTACTATTATTTTTACTTAGAAAAGTATCTTCATTTTTGCCTGGAAGATTATTTTCTAATGTTGTATTTTACTAACATTTCAAATATATCTCATTTTAAACATAAATACTATAATAGTATTTCAGCATGTATGATTTTTTTATGTTTAATTATTTGTCGACCATCGTAGAAAAGATAGAGTTGATTTAAGTCTGTTTTACCAATGGAATGTTTTACATCGCTTTTATTTTGTAGTTAATTTTTTAATATTCCGTTTACCTCTGAACAATTAAGTCTATTTTATTAATCTGCGCATTTGTATAGTAGTATATCGTTATTTTTTTTTTTCGTAGTTCATCAATTCAAGATGATTATAAACATTGTAGATAGACTAATCATTATTGTATAATTTTTTTTTAACTTATATAATGTAAACTAGATATAAAATGAATTTAGTTTTTTTATTATTAACGTTTTTACTATATATGAACAAGAGATTATACAAAGAAATGAGTGATATATACTTCATTCATTGCTTATTTATATATACAAATAACTTGGTAAAAAAATCTTTTTCTACTGGATCCAATATATAAATCACCATTTATAATACCAATATAAGTTGGGTGGAATAGAATGCAAATGTGACACAATTGTCATTGGGTCCTCCTTAATATAACGCTGGTTCAATAGATCATGTGAAGTACGTTCGATATACATTTGCTTCATTCTTTGAAGTGGTTCTTTTTCCTCAAAGGACATTGGATAGGTAGACGACACTAAGGGTCTTTTCTGACTAGAAAAATAATTTGATGATTTTTTTTGATTCAAAAATTCAGAATATGATTCAAGAATTTTTTCTAATGGTTCTCTTATACAAACATCAATACCTTTTGGAACCCAAATCTCATATACTCCATTATATTTATATTTACCAGTGGGACGTAATAAAATATAACCAATATCCTTAATAACAATTTCAATACTACCTTGAAAAGGTGGTAAAATATGTCTAACAAACGCGTCCTTTCTACAAAGAGTTGGTAAAATCCCACAATATTTAGATAAAGGATGTGGAGAACTTGATTCACTGGACAAACAAGTTTGAAATACTTCTAACGCTTTATCAATATTTTTGAATACCTTTGGTTCACCTGGAATATATTTTGTTATCTTATTAATAGTGTTTGGTGGTGCCTTTAAATAAAAAATACCACCAACAGTATATACAGATCCGTTTTCAGTTCCACTAAAAGAAGAATAAGGTTTATTCTTAACTCTTTTATAGTTAGTTAACTCTGTCTTCCTAATCCTTTGCAACCAAGACTTATTTATTAATATCTCCAAATTTTGATCACATTCCGGAGAATCACTATTATCACTATGAAGTAAAGTCGAATAACCTGGCATATCATAAATAATTTTATTGTTAATTTGATAAGGCTGTACTGCTTGGGTCATATTAGGTACATATGAAACACCAGCTCGTTGTGATCGGAGAAATGAATTGATATTATGGTCAACTATGGTATCAACGTTTTTAGGTTTTGTTAGTTTTCCCTTTTGATCATAATGCATTTTAAAACCAAAATAATCTTTTAAGAGCGAATTGATTAGAGTAGATTTCCCAACATTAGCATTTCCAACCAAATATGATTCTTTACCCAACATGGATAATAAGTTAGCGATATTCCATTTTTTCACCGTTGAGATTCCAACAATAGAAATTGAGTTCTTAATATCTAAGTTTGTCTTGAAGAAATACTGAAAAAATTTTGGTAGTACAGTAGGGAGTAAGAATTTTTTCGATATAATTTGATCACTTTTTGTTAACACTAAAGTTGGATTATAATTTTTATCCAGCAATAATTTCTTATCTATGTGGAAAGGAAATTCATTCAACGGTGACATCAAAACTAATCTACTATGTCTCGGTATCTTTTGTAATATACTTGAAAGAGAAACACCTTTAAAATCATTTATATCATATTTATTTTGATATAAAAGGTCACTGCAACGTTTGCAGATCAATGGGGAATTTAAAGGATTACGTACATCTGCAGCTGTAGTAATGGAATTTTCAATTGTGTCTATTCCTTGATTATGCAACTCATGAAAATTTTGTATATCTTGACTAAATAACAAGTATTTTATATCTTGAATTGAATCACGTTTTATCTTATCCTTTGGAATAAGATAATATCCTCTCTTATCAGCATTTGTATTTTGTAATTCCACACCACATGAATTACAATTAATATATCTACAAATAGGTGAATTCCAACAAACCACTCGTTGTTTGTAAATCCATGCTAATCTTAACAAAGAACACATTGCTAAATTAATGATGAAACGAAACAGGGTAGCATAGACCAAATATTGAAAACATAAAAAAACAGCAACAAATGTACCTATGCTTTCTCTTCTATTTAGTTACTTCTATGTGATAAACATTCTACCGACCTCTAATGTAACTCTTTATATCATGTATCATCAATGATTCCCTGGGCAGTTAATCTTTATGTTTAAGCACAGATATCCTTTCTCTTTATTTTTTTAGACATACAAATCTTTTTGGCTACCTTTCCTTTATTTTGTTTATTTTCTTAAAACCAGTCCTCTTTTCATCGTCTTGAACGATCCACAAATTTTTGGTTATTTTAAAAATTGAAAAAAAAAAATTTTTTTCCTGCGATGAGATTGAAATAATTTTAACTAAGTAAAGATATTTAGAAGTAAGTGAATTAACATCCATCTAAGACCAACTATTTTATATACTATATTATATATATATATTAGGTCAAGTTTTTTTTATGTATATGCTTTGATACTATTGTTAACCAATTATCAATTAGATTTATAGCAAAAGTAACAGTGGCTATCAAGTTAAGAAGTTAAAACAATATGGGGAAAGTATCGAAAGCCACTAAGAAATTTCAATCGAAACATCTAAAACGTACCTTGGAACACAGAAAGGAACAAAAGAAACAAAAGAAGAAGATCCAAGGTCGCCGTGGTAATAAAACAGAAGAAGAGAAAAGAGATGCGGCTTTGACTAGAGAAGAACAAAAATTAAAAAAGTCTGCTAAAGAGGAAGTCTTTAAAGATCTTTCTGTTGAAGAATTTTTCGATAAAGGCATCGAATTACCAAAGGAAAATAAAAAATTTACAAAGCATAAAAAGAATAAATCTAAATCTGAAAGCGATACAACCTCTGATTCTGATTCCTCTTATGACAATGATCAAGATATGGCCTCCAACATTGCTGCCTTATCAAAAGAAGATCCTGAATTTTTTAAATATTTACAAGAAAATGATAAAGACTTATTAGATTTAGCTGCAAGCAACCCATTAGATGCTATTGAAGACAGTTCTGATGATGAAAATAGTGAAAATAATTCTGATGTTGAAACTTCTTCAGAAAAGATCAATTTGACTGTAAAACTAGTTAGAGAATGGAAACACCAATTACGTGAAGAACCATCCTTAAAACTTTTTAGAAATATTATTACTGCTTTTAAAGTTGCAGTCAACATTAACAACTTGGAAACTATTGAAGAATATAAATATGTTATTACTGAAGAAAAGGCCTTCCATGAGTTGATGTTCGTTGCTTTGAAGAGTCTGCCACAAGCTGTTCAAAAGATGATTCCATATAAGGAAAATAAAGGTGCTAGAACTTTACCATCCGGAACAAATGTTTCTAAGATTTCCTCTATTATTAAAGCACATGCTCCATCATTACTGACCTTACTAAACGATATTAATAACACTGAAACTGCTGCACTAGTTTTACATTCTGTTGATCAATTAATGCCATATTTATTATCGTATAGAAGAATTTTAAAAGAAGTTATTAAATCAATTGTTGAAATATGGGCTACAACAAGAGATATTCAAACTCAAATTGCAACTTTTGCATTTTTACACAATGCTGCTAAAGAATTTAAAAAGTCCCTATTAGAACTAATTTTAAAGACTACATATTCTACTTTTATTAAAAGTTGTCGTAAGACTAATATTCGTACTATGCCATTAATTAACTTCCAAAAAAATTCGGCCTCTGAATTATTTGGCATTGACGAAACTTTAAGTTATCAAATAGGTTTTGAAAATATTAGACAGTTAGCAATCCATTTAAGAAACACTTTAACAACCACATCCAAGAAATCTAGTAAAGTTAATTCTGCAGAAGCATACAAAATCGTCTACAATTGGCAATTTTGTCATTCCTTAGATTTTTGGTCTCGTGTTCTATCCTTCTCATGTAATCCAGAAAAAGAACAAGGCCATGAGTCTCCTCTAAGACAGTTGATTTACCCATTAATCCAGGTTACCATTGGTACTGCTAGATTAATCCCAACTCCACAATTCTTTCCATTAAGATTTTATCTGGTAAGATCATTAATTAGATTATCTCAAAATACAGGTGTTTTTATTCCAATTTTCCCAATTATTTCAGAAATTTTAATATCTACTGCATTCACTAAACCATCTAAAAAAAATAATAATTTAGAAGCATTTGATTTTGATCATAATATTAAATGTACTCAAGCTTATCTAGGGACGAAGGTTTATCAAGAAGGTTTAGCTGAACAATTAATCGATCTTTTAGCTGAATATTTTGTCTTATATTCAAAGAGTGTTTCATTCCCTGAACTAGTGTCCCCAATAGTTATCTCTTTACGTCGTTATATCAAGACTTCCAATAATATCAAATTAAATAAACAATTATCCAATATTATTGAAAAGTTGAATAAAAATGCCAAATATATTGAAGAGAAAAGATCAGATGTTGATTTTAGCCCAAGTAATAAGACAGAAGTTAATAAATTCTTAAATAATATTCCATGGGAAAAGACTCCTTTAGGTGCTTATGTTGTTGTGCAACGTGAGGTTAAAGAAGAAAAAGCTAGACTAATGAGAGAAAGTTTAGAGGAAAACGATAGAGAAAACGAAGAAGTTGAATCTGCTAAGCTAACGGAAGAAGAAGATATTGTAATGCCTGATAATTAAAAGATTTTACTCAATGTTATGATAAGGATTTAGTCTTACTTAATACAATAGAGTTATCTAACTATATATACGAAATAACTTATTATCTAAATACATATAAATTTTGTACCATAATTTCGAATACTCATTCATTTATTATTTCAATCCATATTTTATGTAATTTGTGTTTACAGACATTATTATTACTTTAAATAAACAATATCCAATTTGTTGATTCGATGCATAAACGGTTTATTATCGTACATGAATAGTTTTAACCTACACAATATTTGTAAAAAAATATTTATTTATTAGGTTTTATATTATCTACTTTTTTTCCTTGTATTATTTTTTCAATGTTTTTACAAGTTACACCAAGAAAATTAATGATTGTGCAACTATTCTTCAAAAATGTTTTCCAGTCTTAATCTTGGAGCAATATTCATAGATAACAGTTCTTGGAACAATAATTTAGCAGCATATGGTATGGTCATCTTCATTACATTTTCTGCACTCTTACATGTAGTACACCAACCACTATAACCCATTAAACCACACTTATTGCAAACATCAACTTCAAATGCGTCAGAACTAATCATCAATCTTTCTAACAATAATTGAGAGGCACCATAAGCAATAACACAATCTCTTTCCATTTCACCCAATCTTAAACCACCATCTCTTGATCTACCTTCTGTTGGTTGACGAGTTAACACTGCTCTTGGACCTCTTGCTCTTGCATGCATCTTATCTAAAACCATATGCTTCAATTTTTGATAATAAATAGGACCAAAGAAAATATATGCCTGTAAACATTCCCCAGTAATACCAGAATATAACATATCTTTACCAGAATAATTAAACCCTTGCTCAATAAGGATCTTAGACATGTCTGCAAGTTTAGAACCTCCAAAACATGTACCGTATTCTAATGTACCATTCAAAACACCGGCTTTACCAGATACCAGTTCAATCATCTTTCCAACTGTCATACGAGATGGGAAACCATGAGGATTCATAATGATATCTGGGCATATACCTTGATCATTGAAAGGCATATCTTCTTGTTTTACAATAATACCACAAACACCTTTTTGACCATGTCTGGATGAGAATTTGTCACCTAATTCTGGTCTTCTATTTTGTCTCAACAACACTTTAATCAAAGCTTGATCATTATCAGAAACAGACATCATAACTTGATCGATATGAGATGGTTCTGGTGCTCTATAAATAATTGGAGTTTCTCTATATTGTGTATCTGAGGAACCTGAAAATGGTTCTGAAGAGTTTGTTGGTACAGACTTGTTGATATAAATTTGACCGCTATCAATCTTCATACCTACTTCACCTAAACCATCAGGGCCTAAAGCTTGGTGTTGCCATATTGGTTTTCCATTTTCATCAACTCTCATACCACCAATAATATCTTGTGTATGATTTGGATATCTTTTCAACACAGTTGTCGTCTTTCTACGAGTTTCACAACGGCCAAAACCTCTATCAATTGATGCCTTATTTAAAACTAAAGCATCTTCGATATCATAACCAGAATATGACATAACGGCAACTGTTGCATTTTGTCCAGCAGGTAACTTATCATAGTTAATTAGTTCAATAGTTTTACTTTTCACCATTGGTTGTTGTGGATAAATCATTAAATATAACAATGTATCAATTCTTTTAAACTGATTATATGCTATAGCACCAATAGCCTGCTTACCCATCGCACATTGATATGTGTTACGAGGAGATTGATTGTGGTGTGGGTAAGGAATCAAACCGGCAACAGCACCTAAGATAGTGAATGGCTCAATTTCTAAGTGGGTGATAGCTGGCTGTATATCCTTTTCATATAGAGCTATGAAGGAATCATTTTCTTCATTTACATCAAGATATTCAACACAACCTAATCTTAAGAAATCATCAAAGTTTAATTCACCATTCTTTAATTTTCTTAAATGATCAGCTGTCACTTGGGATTTACCATCAGTTACAATGATTAATGGTCTACAAATTCTACCACCATCAGTGGCAATATGAACAGCCTTTTGATCAGCATGAGTGTAGACAGAAATAAATGCAGATATTTTACCGGTTCTTCTCAAATTTCTGAATTGATAAACAAATTTTGTGGGGAATCTAGTTGTACCAATTAAGGTACCATTCAAGTAAACACCGTAATGTAAATGTAAAGATGCACTATCTATTAAAGTAATATCTTCTACACCTAAGACGTAACAAAGTTTTTTTATCGGCTCTTCTTCATCATCTGTTGTAATGTGCGTCATTAAAGCCAAATTTTTCACCAAACCACAGGCTTCACCTTCTGGTGTATCTGCTGTACAAAGCATACCAAACTGAGAAGGCTGCAAAGCTCTTGGACCAGAAACTTTTCTGGATTTTTCGAATTGAGAAGAAATTCTTGTCATCATACCTAAAGCTGAAATATACGACAATCTGGATAAAACGTGAGTGACACCTGCTCTTTCCATCTTGAATCTCTTTAAGGACCAATTACCTGTGGAGATAGCTCTATTTAGCCCACTTGTGATGTTATTGGAGTGAACATTAATAGATAACAGGGCATCATATTCCATAGCTCTATTTGGTTTTTTCAATACTTTATCAATACTTGCTTTAAAATCTGTGTTAAATTTCTTAAATAAATCTTCAAATAGTAATGAAATCAGTTGACCAGCCAATTCCAAACGCTTATTACCGACATAATCTCTATCATCCACCATTTTAGGGTTGTGAATGGCCATAACAACTCTACGTGTCATCATTACCATATACAAGGCCTTCTCCCTAAAATCTAATGCCTCCACAGTCAAATGTGCCACAACTGTAGTAGCAATAGCTTCTATACCTTCCTGTAATACAGTCAATTTTTGTCTTCTAATAGTTTTCACTTTAGTACCAATATATTCTAAAGCTTGCTGTTGGGTATAAATATTATATTTAGAAGCTTCTTCGAAATTAATAGCAAAAATATCTTGATAACTACTATCGTTACCACAGACCAATTGCATAATTTCTAAGTCAGAAACAACACCACACGCCTTTAAGACAATGACAATTGGAAGTTCTTCAGAGATAGAGTTGTGTTTCAAATAAATTTTTCCATTCTTAGTCACCACATAAGTCTTTGACTTTCTTTCATGTGTAGAAGAAGTGACTGAGGCTTGAACAATTCCCTTCTTCTCATCTGCCTCCACAATAATACGGTTCTTTGACAACTGTTCTTGAACTAAGATAACTTTTTCAGTACCATTGACAATAAAATAACCACCTGGATCCAATGGACATTCATTTAATTTAGCCATTGTACGTTCATCAGCACCATTAAGAATACATTTATTTGATCTTAACATAATTGGCATCTTACCAATCTCTACATCTTTGTGCATGATAATGTTTCTGCCCCTAGTATATTCTATATCAACATAGATAGGGGCTGAATAGGTCATATCTCTTAATCTACACTCATGAGGAGGAGTCAAATAATCTCTAGTGGAAGAAGTTGACCTCTTCCCGACTCTAATATCTACATATTTCAAATAGAATTCAGGATCAACATCAGAGAGAATCAGTTCATTAGCTTTAATAATTTTTTTAAGGTCCACATCTACGAAATAATTGAATGAATCTAAATGTTGTTTCACTAAACCTTTAACCTTTAAAAATGCAGGTAATAGATTCCATTTATCCTCTGCAGTGTTGATTTCGTCGGTTAATTTCTTTCCCTTATAGACTGGCTTCAATAATTCATCAAATGTTTCATCCTTTTCCATACCAGAATGAGAATGAGTTCTTTTTCTATTATTTGAAACCACCATATTCCTTTTTTATTCTCTTTATCTTGATGATTTCATTCAAAAACAACCTCAAACAGTACAGAGAGGGACCCAAATGTTTGCACTCTCTTAGATCGATATATGTCAACCTATGGCAATAACGTTACTATAGTGTATTATACAGGAGAAGAAAAAGAAAAAGCTATATATACAAGTATCGAGTTCTAATAATACATGTATATAAATGCGTACCTACAAAGAGATATTAAATCTATAAATCAAATCGCTTACTCATCACATCTCCTATTGAAAATTTTTCACAATATCAAAATCCCACGAAACCAAAAATATTAAAGAAAAAAAAAGACTAATATAACATAGAGAAAAAAGGGTAATGCATTCTTTTTTTCTTTTTTTTTCTCACTATGGTATTTTTTTTTTCAGTTTATTTCGTATTGCGAAAAAGTAAAAAAAACATATTTTATTTAGGCAATAGCTTCAAATTGAAGATAGAAATAACAAATGAGACTAATCCAATCAATTATATACAGTAAGCTGCCTTATATGAATTGCACGAACAGAGTAAATTTTATTTTATTTTATTCAGACATATTTTTTATATCTTCCACTACTTCACCGAAAGCTTGCTGAAAACTATATAGATTGAGAATCGACAAATCCTTGCAAATCTTTCTTACCACATAATCTTTTGATATTTTTGGATCTTTTGTAAATATTTCTATTAATTTATTATCCAATTTCAACAAAAAAATATCTGAATAATATGGTGTAGCCAAGATCATTATATTGAAATATTTTTTTTAGTTTCCTTTATAAATCTCTTAATTTTCATAGCTGTCATTATCATTATCAGAAAAGCCTACAGTAAAATCTGTTACAATGATATAATAATTCTAGTATAGTCTGCTATTTATTCGAATAATCTGTCTATCATTAATAGCTTTGTTTCTTAACAAGAAGAAATGAGGTACTTTTTTTTCCACTAAATAATCCAAGAATCTGTTTTTCTGTCATTATTACATTCGGTAAAGTAATACTTTGATCACTAGAGCTACAAACAAGAGAATGCAAGAACTTAACTATAAGATCAAATCAATAAAGATACCCTAGATTTTTTTCCTTTTGCCTGTTAGCTTAGCTCCTAATCACGTGATTAAACCCTAAATTTCGTATATTGGAGATAAAATTGATACTATATATATGTATATCAGAAGTAAGACATTCAAATACATACCCTGAGTTAGGTGGTTTCTGTTAAGACTTCTAAATAGACAGTATCATCAAAAAGAAACAGTATATAAAGAGGATGATTTTGCTATATTAAATTCATCAAATATCATATACCATTAATATGGAGTATTATTTTAGACTAAATATGTGGCTTATTACAGCTAGACTTAAAATCTTTTTATATCTATTGAACTGTATCCATATCAAAGATCAGAATCAGAGAATAAGGGAAAAAAAATAAGGAGAGACAACAAGTATAGTTATCTATGAATTGTACAGATAAAGTAAAAAAAAAAAAAAAACAAAGGAACACTGTCAAGGGTATATATAACTACCAGATCTCTAAAAAGATTGTTGCTTATAACTTAAGAAAAGTTAAACTTTTCATAATTTCTTTTATTGTCTTTAATTTTTTTTCCCAGAAAAAGATAGATCTTTAAATGATCTTTACATATTCTTGTATTTTCAATCTCAAGTTTTACAATATCTTAGATTTGTTGTAATTATAGAAGCAGAAAATTGACATAAAAGAACAAAGAATGTAGAAAATAATATATTCACCACATACATACACATATACACATATATATGTACTATACAGATATGTACATTATTTAAGCTTTTAAGAGTCAATGAACTACATTAAAACAGAAACCAAAAAAAAGAATAAAAAATAAAAGAATAACAATTGTTATAACCCATTATCAAGACATTTGTTTTGATAGAAATCTACACATTTATTTTTCCTCTCCTAAGTGTCTCTTTGACCCACAACTGTACACAAAAGTATGTATACGTGTATACCTCTGTGTGTGGTATAATCAATAGCAGGAAATCACACGGTATATTTCTATCAATCTATATGCACACACATTGTCTATTTATTTATCGCTTTAAAAAAGCAACAGAAAATAACACGGAGTTTGTGTGGTGCACAGATCTCTTCTCCGTGTAATTTCCTAGATAGGAAAATGTTTGAAGAGAAGGCCGTTTAAATCTATTTTTAGAAAACGTAGCAATCTCGAACAGCGAAAACTAAAAAAAAAAAACAAAAAAAACAGAAAAAACGGAGCAAAAAAAGAGAAAGAAAGAAAACACGTTATATTTACACTAATAAAATCTTCAAATATAATATCCATAAATAATATTGATGTTATTTCTTGGTGTTGTTGACATTTGAATCAAATTGATTCACCCTCCCCCCCTTCTCTACTTTTATTAAAGAATGGTGGCTGTGTGTTTAATGTATGTCTCAAGTTATATTTGTCTACTTGTTTAAACTTTAATTTTTGAAATACGGAAGCTCGAAAAATAGAAAAAAGAGAAAACAATAGAATGTTATCTCTTTCTTCCTCTCCTTTAAATTTTTGTTCAATGCCAAGGATTCTTTTTTTGTTTTTATTTTTTTTTCTTTTTTGTTTTATTGAAATGGCCTATTATTTCTCTTATGAGTCCCCACGTCTTGCTATAAAGAGATTTCCTCCTGATATTATTTTTGATTTATTTATAAAATAAATGCTATGCACTTCATACTACTAGGGAGTATTCTTGATTAAGTTATATATATATAAATGTATGCTTATATATGCTTGTATACTTTTTTTTTGTATATCTGTTGCACTAGTCACCTAAATGTATATCCAATCGTGTAAGAGAACCAATAAGAATATAATATACTATAACGCAAATATCCATTTTATAAAAGAAAATATGTCTAATACGATTGTCACATCATTAAATTCAGTTGATATAATAGAAAATAGTGAAAAATTAGGTGTGAACTTACCAGTTGATGTGTTTCCCAATAAAAAACTGACAACAGATCATCAAAGTATCTTTCTATTTGATTTAATAAATAATGATCAACCTTTACCCTCAAATCTGTTGAATAATCATAACAAAAATATTGGTGATAACATATATCCTTATTCATTCCAAATATTCCATCTGGATAACTTAAATACATTGGATAATATAAAAGATCTAACCTTCCAAGATATTATAAAAATAACTACGCCAAATAATAATACAGGTTCAATAAACGACCTATTTGATAATTTAAAGAAAATATCCAAATATGTATTCTACGATGGAATTAGTACTTTAAACAGTTGTCAAATATCAACTTTCTGGCTAATACTGAAATTCTTTCAGTTTATGAAAGAGAATGTTGGCAACACATTGCAAATTATGTTGTATGAATCAAATCAATACCAAATAAATAATACTAAAACCTTTAATTCCGTTCCAACAATACTACCAAGTAAAAAACCGACCCAAAAAATGCCTAAAAAAAGACAATTTAATTTATCTTTGAAATTACCTGTAAGTACAAAAAAACACACTGATTTATTCATTGATTCTTTGAAAGAAGATCTAATTCAATATTCACCAACCTCACTATTAAAACATTTTCATATCAAATCATTAGATTCTCTATACAATAACGATAATCACATCTCAAATGATATACTAAATATGTTCCCTACTTGGCTGAAAAAGATTATAGACACAAACGATGAAAAAATTATTTTGTCTTCATTATGGACTAAATTTAATATCTTAGAACATTTAGAGCACATGAGGTTAAAATCCTGTTTAATCAATAACACTGAAACTTCCTCTCAAAATGAGAATTTGTGCACAATACCCCCTCTACTCAACAACAAATCATTACAATTTAAAGGACAACATATAAACATCTATTCCTTATCCCTTTTACAAAAACAATTCAAAAGACAAAAGACTTTCGAGCACAAATTTAAGGAACTTAGTGTGACAATCCCACAAAACTCATTAAATACTATTTTTAATGGTAATAATAACGATACAACACCGCTATCCACTTGTTCTACAGATTCTGATATCTTACCTACTCCATTAAATAATTATAAAATTGATAAAGGAATTCAACAATTTGAAAAAAACAGATATTCTAATAATTTACCGTATGAACATTCAATAGTCAAATTAAATAATTCAAATGACTATTTTAATGCAAATTTTATTAAATTTCCTCAAATAAACAATAACTTTCATTATATTGCTACACAAGCACCATTGCCAAATACAATCAATGATTTCTGGGATATGATTTGGAATGAAAAGATTAAAGTAATCATATCTTTAAATTCTAATGAAGAATTGAAATTGAAAAAATGGGATATATATTGGGGTGAAAGTCTAAATACCAACGCAAAATTAAATGTTCAACTAATTGATCAATGGGATAATTTATGTGGAATAAATGGGATCATATTACGGCAATTCCATTTAACAAGGTCAGATCCTCTAAATAATATTATTGGGAAACATATAGTTTATCAATTGCAATATACAAATTGGTCAGATTCATGCACTATTAATATTAAAGATATTTTAAGTATTTATAAGATACGCACTTTATTAACCTATGATGATACCAGGTTCCTTGCACTGTTGAAATCTCATAAAAACATTCGGTTTGATATTCCTTCTTTCAGCGTCAGTGAAACCGATTTAAAAAAACATCGGAACACTCCATTGTTAGTTCATTGTTCTGCGGGTTGTGGTCGTACTGGTGTATACATCACATTAGATTATGTTTTATGTCTGTTTAGAAACGAACTTAAAAAGAAAAATAAAATTAATGTGTGGAATATGGAAGATGATCTATTGTTTATAATTGTCAATGAACTAAGAAAACAAAGAAAATCAATGGTACAAAACTTAAACCAATATATAGCATGCTATGATGAAATGATCCAATATTTTTTATCATATCAGTAACGTGATAATGTTATTATTCAAGGGAATATATTTAATTATATATACATTTGTCAATACCTTGTATTAACATTAATAATATCTATATTACAATCTGAGCGTACATATATTTCAATTTTTCTTTTCCTTTTTCCTTCTTATTTAATGTTCCTTGACACACCCTTATAACTTTTTTTAAATACTAATATAGAATCAATCTTTTCTAGAGCCAATTCCAATAGTTCCTTCCTCTTTTGTAGCTCAATATGTTTTGATATTTTTGGATCTTCCTTAGCAAATAACTCAATTTGTTCATTGCTCAACTGACTTAATCGTCTGTCCAACTCAATTGGAAAATTGTAGAAAAAATCACTTAACAGTTCCACATTTAAAAATAATACTGCTGTTGATGTTAATTTCTCATTAACAGCATTAAGAAATATTTCTGGGCATCTATCTTTTTCAGACCTTGAACGACATTTATTTTTTAACATATTCAATCTGAACTGAAGTACTTTTGATCTCTTATCTAAGAACAATGCTTCTTTACCACGTTCTAGTAGCATTTTAGATATACCCAGAGTTTCTGGCCTTGATGAATCCTCTTCCAAATACGACATAACCCTCTTTAATTTCTTATTTCCAATATGATTTTGAATAAGATTAAAACATTCCTTACATTGTCTCAATTCCTCCTTTATCAGTCTCACAGAGTGATCTTTTGCCATACTCCAATCACGATCCTCCAAGTCAATTTCATACTTGAAGGGTTTAATACAATTTTCAACTTGATCTGCAGTAGAATAAAATTTAGAGTTTAACACATTTACAGCAGTATTATTAACTAAGTCTTTAATCAAATCATGATTCTTCAATTGCGTTTTGTTTAAAATATTATCTAGTTCTTGTAAGATGGCATTAGTAACCAGATTAGTAGAAAGTCTACCAATACCAATTTTAGTAAGACTTGAGGAAGCTAATTCTAATTTTCTATGCCAATATACCATCTCATCGTTACTCTTTATCTTCGAAGAAAGCTCATAGAGATTATCATCCTTCCAATACCTATTTGCCAGAAAATCCAATACTTTTTGATCCAGTTCTGCTTTCAGTATAGATTTTAATTTATATCTATCGAATTTCTCTTGAAATTCTTTTATTGTTAATTTTAATATATCAATATTATTTAACAAATAGGACTTTGGTGTTAATTGCCTATCATTGAATTCAACTTTAAACAAATATGATGCATCATCTAACTCTTGTTGAATAATAGTTGATGTAGGCTCTAGAGCATTAGACATTGAAATCTCCAAAATTTTAATCAATTTCTCTCTTAAAGTTTTAGTTGATACTTGGCAATTATTAAAGTATTTTTTATTTTCTTTAAAATACATCCTTTCAAACTGACGTGATTCCATTTGTTGTAAACCAACCTGATTCACCTTATATTTTTCATGCAGTTTATTATTAGACTTCTTACCAAAAATGCCACCCAGAGAGGATGAGGAATCAGGGCTCATGCTTTCACCAAATAAGCTGTAATGCGGTCTACTTGGTGATTTAGTAATAACACCAACATAGCCCATTTTTAACGGGTATTTCTTATTATTTAAAATATCTTTTGCTATTTCGGGGGAAACAAGATCTAACTTGGTAATAACACCAATGGTTCTTGACCCATTAGGATCCACAGTCTTTGACGCTCTCAATGCGGAACTATTGGCTAAATCGACATCAGCAGAAGAAATCGCAAGTATAATGTTAGGTTCTGCTAAATACTTCTCACACAATTGACGGATTTTACTTTTCAATTCAGTTGGTTGATCTGCAGCTTCTATTTGGATATATCCCGGTAGATCAACTAAAGAAAGGTCCGGTACATTAGATGACTTGATAGTTAATCGAATTGGTTCTTCTGAGACAGCTTGTGAAGATGGGACTGACATGTTTAGTTCCATTAAAATACGTTTAACCTCCTTAAAATCTTTTAAATTGAATAATCTCTGTTCTGGAAAATCTGCAGTAATTTCCGATGAATTAGGGATGTTAACCAAAGTCAATTCAATAGGCCTACGTGTAACCATATTAGAGCCTTTAGGCAAAAATTCTTTACCAACGATAGCTTCCAAGACGGAGGATTTCCCTGAGGATTGTGAACCGATGACTACAATCGAAGGTAATGTTAGATGTGAAGACGTTGAGTCGATTTTACTTAATATTGATCTAATTTCAATCATTTGTTTGGTTAAATTCAACATGTCATCTTGTGTTGTATCTGCTAAATCTTCATCAGAATCATCAGAATCAGCCCCATCTAAAGCTGCTTCTTCAAGAAGTTTCCTTTCTCGTTGTTCAGCTTCTAGTTCATTTCTTTCCTCATCTGTTAAGGCAGCAAGTAAAGTAGCAGAAGGTATTCCATCACCTCCACTGCCACTGTCACTATTTGATCCTGACCCCCCATTATAGGATTCATCTTTAGAGAAAATATTCTGAAACTTATCCTTCATTGAATCAGAAAAGTCTTTTAATTGAGCTAATTTATCCATAGTAAAATTTGTAGTTTCTTCAAATTTATACGCAATATATGATCCTGCTGCTGCCATACCACCACCCATATATACCGGAACTCTAACTATCTTACTAATAATTTTGGGGAAAATTGAAATAAATCTTTTAGTTGTGATAATTTGAAGATTCCTGCTATATAAATTTTTCATGTTTCTTGATGTAAGATGGAAATACTGGATCATCTGAAAGGATTTTAGTGGGAATACAAAAGAATGATATCTGGATGTTGTTGTTCTTAATAAAACACTTCTAGTTGATGTATTAATTGGTGACGATCCACCTAGTATAGGCCTCATTGTAACAAAGCCTCTGAGTTGTATTACCATATCTACTTTTATATGTGGGTTGGCCATTACTGTAACCCTATTTATAGAATAATCCTATGGTAGTCTATTGTTAATGAAGTGTAATTATATCTTAGTTGTTATTTTTTTTATCTTTAGCTTATTTGTGGTAGGTTCCTAACTACTTTTCCTTTCGTCTTCTTTAAATGATCATAGTTGATGTCTTTATAATCGATTTTCCAACTCAAGAGTTATTATTTATTTGCTTTGTTGTTGTTTCTTTCGATAGAAGAGAATAAACTCAAATTCTCAAACGAGATACACTATACTAATTAGGAATAAATATCAAAATAGGGAAAAAGAAGAATATTTTATGTTTTTTTTTTTAACAAAAAAAGATGATTTGATTAATTTCCGTTTTTGGTAAGAGATATCTGAAACGTTTTGCTCTTTTCTTCTTTTTTGTAGCCAAAATTTTTTAATAAAAAAGATACTATAAAGAATACAAAGGGCTAGGAATCATTAAATGACTAGTAAATATGTTTTCAAAAATATTTAATCTATGGGATGGAATGACAATAATTACTGTTATATCATATTATAATTATTTTTATTTAGTCTTTATATTAAAAAAAGAAAAATGAATAAAAACAATTATATAAAGTAAATATTATTTCCAATCATCGAACATTAATTTTATAAGAAGAATGAAAGAAAAAAGAAAAAAAAACACCTTTTTAAATAGAAATGCAAATATTTGCTCAAAAAAACATGTACCACTAATGACTACAATAATATTATATTGTTAAAACTTTTGTTATGGGTGTACCATAACTCTGATATACATTTTAATAAATATATAAGAATACCAGAACAACTAACATCTAGAGAGCTAATCTAATAAAGAAGTACTGTAACCCAAATATAATATTATTAAAATGATATTATCTTTTCTATTTTTTTAGTTCATGTGCTCGAAGTATGATTAATAAATCTGCTTTATTCATATTACACAACTATTCAAATCACATATGGTTGATGTAACATACTGAAACTTTCCGTCTCTGGATGTAGATATACATATTATAAATAAATTAAAGAGCCATTATTTTATATATAGCTCTTTTGCCATGGCATAATACATTGTTTTTTTGGAGGTGACACCAACTTTTTTGAGGTTTCTACATTTTTTTTTTAAAAAAATATATTACGATATAAAACATACAGAATATAATGACATTTTTTTAAAAAGAAAATTAAATAAATAATCAAATATCAATAGATATTTCTAAATTATTCATATGACTTTGGTATGGATACCATTATTTTCTACTATTATCAATTTTTATTTACCCTCATTCTTTTTTCTTTATTACTGTAACTTCATACCTTTTTAATAAAATAATCACTTTTTTAGTTTATTTTAAATAAGATTTTATCATTAGATACTAATTTTTTTGTAAAACTAATACCAACATCAACTTTCAAAAAAAAACATTCAAAAATTATCGAAACAGTAGGCAATAAGAGTAAATTGCTTTAACGTTCTTAAAAGAAGTTCATTTAGTTATTCAATCGTTTATTTTTTGGTTACGTTGAACTTTAAAATCATGCAAACTGCAGGATTGGACTTCTCTAAAAATCAATATACACCTATAATCCAAGATATATCATCAATAGAGGAAGATATTCAACAAAAAATAAATTTTGCACGACAAGAAACCAAAAATTTATATATCCAAATTGATAAAATAAAGAAAAAAACACAAGATGCAGATTTATTTGAGATGACAAGAAAAGTTCCACCATTGAATAAAAAATTAATTAATCTGAAACCAATTGTCAATTTAAAAGGACATAATAATAAAATTGCAGATTTTCAATGGAGTAAAAATTCAAAAAATATTTTAAGTGCCAGCCAGGATGGATTTATGCTGGTTTGGGACGTTGCAACCGGTTTGAAACAACATGCTATTCCGTTAGATTCTCAATGGGTTCTGTCGTGTGCAATATCGCCCTCAGGAAATCTTGTAGCAAGTGCTGGTCTAAATAATAATTGTACTATATATAAAATTTCAAAGGAAAACAGAGTTCAACAGAATATTATATCTATCTTCAAGGGACATACTGGTTATGTCTCCAGTATCGATTTTTTAGGTGAAACCCAGATACTCAGTGCAAGCGGGGACATGACATGCGCATTGTGGGACATTCCAAAAGCTAAAAGAGTAAGAGAGTACACGGATCATTTAGGTGATGTTCTTGCTTTATCTTTACCTAATAATATAGAGCAAAATAATATATTTGCTAGTTGTGGTTCTGATGGTTATCTATATATATGGGATACAAGAATGCAAGCAAATGTTCAAAACTTCTTTGTAAGCGATAGTGATGTCAGTACTGTCAAGTTTTTCCATGGTGATAATACTATTCTTACAGGGAGTGACGATGGTACTATTAGTATGTTTGATCTAAGATCGGATTGCTCTTTAGCTAACTATACCTTATCTGTAGGATTGGAACATCAAAGAGGTGTAAATCCCACTATAACCACAAACACTACTACCACTACTACTACCACCACCACTATCACAGATACATATAATAACTTAAAACATTATTACCCTCCCTCGACTATGCAGTATAATAGTACTACTCCAAAATCACCTACTATTTCTGCAATATCTTCTAGTTATTTAGATAATCAAGGTGTTGTTTCCATTGACTTTAGTAAGTCTGGTAGATTAATGTACGCTTGTTATACAGATTTGGGTTGTGTTGTTTGGGATATATTGAACACAGAAGTAGTTGGGAAACTCGAAGGACATACAAATAGAGTAACTGGTGTAAAAACCAGCCCAGATGGATTAGCTGTCTGTACTGGGTCATGGGATACTATAATGAAAATATGGACACCTTCGTATTCATGATCAGAAAAATCACATCACTAACATTATGATTCAAGATAAATATAAATAGTAATTAAAAGGCAATAACTCTAAATATATATGATTAATGAATATTCCATTTTTGTATATACCCAAGACCATTTAAATTGCTGTTTTTCCGAAAACAATCGAATGCTTGTAGAAATAATATAAAAAATAGCTTTCAGTATCGTATGCTGCTGAACCATTTTAAAAAAAGATAAAACATAACTTTTTAAAGAATATATATATACATAATTCAAACTCACAGGGGGAAATTTTAATCTTTACTTTACTTTTTATTAATAATTGAACAATTTTTGAAATATTAATATATTGTCTTAACTTATATACATATTTCTTCGTTTTGATGATATTGTTTTCATGAAACCATTGACAATGTCAAAATATTCCATTTTTTGATTAAATCAATCCTTCCAGCTGATTTTCCATCAATTCATCTTTCTCAGCAAGAGACTCACCTTCGTGTAATTTTAACTCTTTATTTTTCTTCTTTACAGTATTAGTATATTCTACCAATTTTTCCAACAACTCATTTGGAAATTGTCCAAAATACAGATATACCTTTTCAGTTCGATCATGTCTATCGATTTCAGCTTTGACGGATGGGTCATTAAGAATAATCTGCGTGAATTCTGTAATCATATCTTCGTCAAATGTAGGGAGGACTTTTCCCCAACTTAACCTAGGTCTATTACTTTTTGTCAAACCCTCCATAGGATTCTCAGGTAGGGTAAAGTTTTTCTGTAAAACAGCTCTCAGTTTACCAATATTCAGAGGAACCTGAACTGAGTAGTCAACTGCATAAGCATTGTCCTGAAACAATAAATCATGATAAATGGTAAATTTTCCAGATTTTGCAATAAGTTTACATATGATCTTTATACTGAATTCTCCCCATCCTTCTTCAATAATAGTAAACGGCGGTTCAGTATATTTTTGTACTGGATTTTCAAATGTCTTGTGTAAATGATAAATACAATGTGCAATAATATCTGCAGGGACTTCTTCACCATCTTTATTTAACATGCAAATAGTAATCATCCATTTTCTTAATGGAAGTTCATTCTCGTCCTCACTCTCCTCAACTACAATTTGCTGAGTTTTCACTCTTATGACAATCTCAAGTCCCATGGTGTTAATAAACATGCAATACAATTCATGGGTTTCTATAATTTTACAACACAATGGTATGCAATAGTTCGAATCTTATTCATGTTCTTCTCCTTCTGTATTTAAAGAGCAAAATTCAAGAGTGAATACATATTACACAAACAATATATAGCGTTCTATATTTTTTTTCTCTTTTTCTTGATCTTCTTATTAATTTCTTAATTTTCCTTCATTATTTTTAACTAGGTTAAAAAGATTTGATAAAATTGTGAAGAAAAAAAGATATATAGAGTATCAATTATATATACATATATTTGAATATATATGTTTGTATTTATAAAACTGTATAAAAATATCTCTATTTTTCTTTTTCTTAAATAATTTCTTTCTCTTTCTCTTTTTCACTATCTTTATCTTTCGAATCCTTTGAGTCCTTATCATCTTTCTTTTCTGCGTGTGTTTTAACATAATCCCACAAAAGTTGTAGTAAAGATTCAGGTAAACTAAAGAGATCCATTGTAAACTCCCCTTCTTCAGTATTATTAGTAAAATTCATTCCTGGTGCTGTATTACTGGTTACTATATGGACGATTTCTACTAAATCATCATCCTTCAATTTTGTCATACCAAACGCAAGTCTTTCAATGTCAATGGAACCCTTAATCATTGGCTGACTTGAAGGTTTGCTCTTTTTCGTCTTAGGTTCACTGGATCCATTGGCAGCAGAAACCTTGCTATTAGAAACACTTGCATTTGTTGTTGTTGCTGTAGTTCCAGACGATGATGTAGAAGATGATGACATTGATGAGGCCTTTCTTTTATTACTCATAAGCGATTCTTCTGAGGGTACTAAGCCACTTTTGGCCAATTCTTTCATTAATTTTGGTTTATTTATATTAATTGGTGCCGAAATTATATGGTCTACTTCATATTCCTCTTTAAGAAAGTTCAAATCATGTGTAATCTTTCTTTCACCACCTTTATCCAACAAAAAAAGACTGATATTTAATGCAAATCCACCCCATCCTTGCTCCACAATTTTAAATGGTGGTTCTGTAAACTTTCTATTTGGGTTTGCAAAAGTTGGATGTAAGTGATACACTACTCTGTCAACGATGGATAATGGAATTTCATTATTATCTTTATCTAATAAAACAATTTCAATCGACCATTCTCTCATAGGGAATCCTTCCACCGGATCCAAATCTGGTAAAATATGCTGTGTTGTTTTAACTCGTACCGTCCTCTTTACAGTCTAAAAATAATCATAAAAAATAAGTAAATAGACAAATAAATAAATAAGTAAAATCATCGATCTATAAGCTTAATAGAAATCCTTATTATTAAAATCACTATACCTATTAACCTATAAATCAAATAACATCAAAATTTCTGTTAGTATTAAAGTATATATTTAATATACATATTTCCCTGTTACTCCTACTAATTGTTACATACTGCTACCATTAGTGTAATTATAAAATAAGTTTACCTGTATATCGAAGTTTGATTTACAAATCTATTAGTAATGTTTTTTACACATTTTTCCCCCTATTAAATAGTCAGAAGGTACTAATGGAAGCCAGACAGTGAAAGAGTATTACAATACTGAAACTTGTATCTAATACTTTTTCTTTTCTTGTTCTTGTAGATTTCAATATTGCTTTTTATTGCAGACTAACTTTGAACAATTTTCAAAAGAAAGCAAAAGGAAAAGATGAAAAATACCGTTCAAGATGACCTTGTGGTGTTGACTAAACAAAACAATGAATCAATTAATTAATTAATGAATAAATTAACTAGTCAATCTCTGCTCTAAAAGAGCCGGGTTTGCATATATAAGTATGTATACACAGATAGATATGAGAGATATAGATGTATAGGAGTAAGGTAGGACATGGAGCATAAGAAAGTCTGAAATATTAAAAATTACGATATTTGATTAATATACTATTGTAGATAATAGTTTGATATTTACAAGTATTTAAGAGAGCGAATAAGATAAATACTATATTTATATGTTCATTTGGTCTTATTAGACATTTCTTTGAATTGTTCCACAATGTTACTCTTTACCATATTTGGAGATGCATTCCACTCTAATGGTAACACTTTCCAATCAATTCTGTTAAAGATATCTTTCAATTGAATGTTAGAATCTTCTTTTTTCAAAGATTCTAACAAATTCTTAACTTTCGAGTGTAACTCATCTTTAGATATTACAGGAAGTAACTTTTGATACTCCTTGATAATTTCTAACTCTTTTTGCTCCTTTTTAACTAAATCATCTCTTTTATTTGATGTATATTCCACAATTGACTCCTTTCTTTGATTGATCATCTTTTCATATGTTGTATATATCTCAAAAGTATCGATAGTATGAGTCTTGCTATCAATAATCTTATTTTTCAAGGCTGCCATCATATTTCTTATAGTATTCTTTTTAATCTCATCTTTATTCACAAGAGCAGCTTTTAAATCCTTCTTTAAAGTAGTAAGAACTCCATTGTATGCTTCATTACTGGATGTGCTGCTAAATCGAATTAATATAGATTTGTTTGTAGGATTTAATAGAGTTCTTCTTAGCATCTTATTTTCTTTTTTTTTCTTTTCTTCTTCTTAACTGCTCCAGCCAATAAATATAAGAATATATATGTATATTTGTGTATATATATTCATTACACAACCTTTTAAAACAGTATAAACAATATTATACGAAAGAGTGATCCTTATAAGTGTTGTATCACTATGTCTATCCTCAAGATCACTCTTTTTTTTTTACTTTTTTTCCCTTTGATTTATTCTTCTGTGTATGCCTTGTTGATTTTTTTTTATTTTTGTTTGAATATATATGTGATACATACATACATACATACACATGCATATACATCTCTCTCTATCTATCTATATAAAATAGTATCGTTTAATCTCTAGATATGTATGTTTGATATTTAATAATTTACAACTCACTTTCCTTTTCCAAGAATTCTGTCCATAAAGATACAAAACTTTGTGTTTTAGAGACAGAGCCATTTCTTTTTTGAGATTTATTAAGGTTATTCATTAATCCTGCTTGTTGTTTCTTATCATCATCCCAATTTAAAAAATTAGATAACAATTGTAAAACTTCAAATTTCTTAGGGTCTGCTCTTGGAATAGACACAAATGAAATTAATAAATTAGATATTAATTCTTTATCAACTGTCTCTGATTCACTAGACTGTTTTAACATTCCTAATGCTTTTCTTAAATGTTCATTCAATATAATAGCTTCGTGTCTTAATTTGCCAATCTGTAAAGCTTGTTCTTTACTCTCCTTTTCGAATTTATCCTTTAATTCTGCTATTTCTTTTGATTTATCTACCTCATATTGTAAATTTTTAATTTGCTGAGAAGATACTTTTTCATTCTCAATACTATTATCCAACTGAATCCGTAAGGATTTAATCTGTTGATCCTTTTCCTTTATTTCTTCTTTAAATAGATTTTCATTATTTTGAATAGTGGTTTCTAATTCATTTAGAGTCTCCTTTAATTGACCTTCACTTTTTTGAAGAATCTCCAGATTAGATTTTAATTCCTCCCTTTCATCTTTTAAATCTCTTGAATCTTGTTTATTATTCTCTACAATTACTGTCAATTCTTCAATCTCATCGTTCAACTGATTTATCTTGGATTCATATTCTTTTATCTGATAATCATTCCTGTTGTCGTGATCTTCTAGTTTCGTTTCATATTCACTAATAATATTTTCATATTCATCACATCTATTCTGGAGGATCTCATAATCATTCTCCAAAGTAGTCAATTCTTTATTTAGCGTAGTTATAGTATGGACTAATTCTTCATTATCTTTGGTCATAGATGCAAGTTTATTTTTCATCTTAGTGTTTTGCGATTCATATTCAGTTAACTGTTCTTGAACAGTTTCTAACTCGTGTTGGGATTCTTTCATCTTACTAAAGACATTTTTCATTGCGGATATCCTACTTAACAATGTGTTATATTGATTTTCCAAAGCATCACGTTCATTCTTAACTTTTTCCAACTCTAATACGAGATTTGAGTCTTTTGAATTATTATTTTGATCTGTATTCAATTGTGATTCTGGAACTTCAGTTTCCTCTTTATTATTCATTATTTCCTCTGAGCCTTGTTGCTTTGTATCCACATCTTTTATATCATTATCATCCGTATTATTTTTAATTGGTATATGTTCTTCTTGCTTTTGTTGCTGTCCTTCTTCCTTTTCTTCTTTCTCATCTCCATTTTGAGGAGCATCCTCAACATTATTCTTTTCATCAATATTGTCTATATTAGACGACACCTTTTTGTCTACTAAAGAGACATCATTTATACCATTGTCATTATGTTTCGGATTATCATTTTCTGCAGATATGTTAGTTGGAACATGGCTGTTTTTCTTCTTGTTTCCCTTCTTTTTATTTTTACCCATTCTGCTATTAGTAACTTCTCATTAAACCTTACAACCAAACACTCTTTTTTTTTTCCCAATGATTAAATTATAGGTGAGAAGGCACATTGACCAGTAGAGAAGGTTGATATTCTGTTATACGCATATAACAGACATACATACACATAGTCAGACTCACTTACTCGCTCACTTAATATCTTCTACATGTGTCTTCCTCCATTTATCCTGCCATCTTACATCAAAAATGAATGAAAGAAATGTGAATTTAAAAGAAAAGAAAAAAAAATTAAAAAAAATCAAAAACCCACAACGACATCAAAACTTTTTCTTTTTTTAACTTCTCAGTTGAAAAGAGAATAAAAACATACTTCTAATGGAAAATCTTGATTTCATTAAAGGATTAGAAGGTGATCTCATTGAAGGAAATGTGATAATCATATATGTAAGCTCATATTATTTGCAATTACAAGCAGATAGTTAACACTGTGCTGTATAATCATCTTAAGAGAAACTTTGACTCTCTCTATATATTTTTTGTTTTATTTTTTTTTCTGTTGGAGTAATTGATACGGATTGTCGTATTATAACTAGAGGAAAGGTAACATACCCTATTAATTTGTGTGATGACAAAATGGTAGATATCACTGACTTCTTTGGTAAGGGGAGGAAATCAGGTTCAAAGAGTACCATATCAAACACCAAAAAACCCGCTAGGGCAGCTACTGTACCTGCAACTACAACTACAACTACTAAACATGATATAATCGATCTAGATGATGATGATGATGAAGATCTTTTAGAATTGCAATCCAAAAAGAGAAGATTAAAAGAACCAGACACTATAATCATAGATTCACCTTCACCAAAGAGGAAAAAAAATAAAGAAGTTTCAGTGTCTAAAGATACATATGATCAGCATGATAAAACCACTGAAACAAAAGAAAATCAGCCTTTTGTTTTTAAGCCAATACCTATTGTCCCTATAAAGAATAGAGAACAATCAATCAATTCTATAAAAAAAGAAAATGTGTCCTCTAAAGCAATTAGAGTAGACGAAAACTTTACAGTTCCTGCAAATGTTTCCAAACATAAACTCACCGCGGAAGAGGTGCTAGCTAAAATCCCATCTCTTGACCTAAATAGCGTTCATGTCAAAGAAGATGCTAAATTTGATTTTAGAGCGCGTGGGACTCAAGATGTGGAGGGTACTGGAGAAACACCGAGCGATTTTCCTGAAGGTTCACCAAATTGCCTGTTAGGTTTAACGATTGTTTTCACCGGTGTATTGCCTACAATTGAAAGAGGTGCAGCAGAAAGTTTAGCCAAAAAATATGGTGCACGAGTCACGAAATCTATATCTGGCAAGACATCAGTAGTAGTATTAGGTGACGATGCAGGGCCTAGAAAAGTGGAGAAAATTAGACAACTAAAGATTAAGGCAATAGATGAAGAAGGTTTTAAACAACTAATAGCAGGGATGCCAGAAGAGGGCGGAGCCGGGACTGCAGCAGAGAAGGCAAGACAAAAATTGAAAGAGGAGGAAGAAAAAACAAAAAGAGAAGTAGAAGCTATGTTAAAAGAGGAAAAATTGAAAAAAGCCAGAATCAAACAAGCAGAAGCCTCTGGTAAATCCATTAAACAAGAAGATATGGTTAGAGACGAAGATAAATTATGGACTGTTAAATATGCACCAACTGATATATCACAAATATGTGGTAATAAAGGTCCGATAACAAAATTAGTGAATTGGTTGAAAAACTGGGATTCAAATAAAAGAATGGGGTTCAAGAGCCCTGGGAGAGATGGTACGGGTATATACAGAACTGTTATGCTATCTGGTCCACCAGGGATTGGGAAGACGACAGCGGCTCATTTAGTAGCTAAACAGTTTGGCTATGATGTGCTCGAACAAAATGCATCCGATGTTCGTTCTAAATCATTATTAAATGAAGGTGTAAAAAATGCTTTAGGTAATATGTCAGTTGTTGGGTATTTTAAAAATAAAAGTAATACTGATGATGTCAACGGTAAAAAATTTGTTATTATCATGGATGAAGTTGATGGTATGAGTGGTGGTGATCGTGGTGGTGTAGGTCAATTAGCTCAATTTTGTCGTAAGACTACCACACCAATGATTTTAATATGTAACGAACGTAATTTACCTAAAATGAGACCCTTTGATAGAACATGTCTTGACATCCAATTCAGAAGACCTGATGCAAATAGTATTAAAGCTAGATTGATGACTATCTCAATTAGGGAAGGGTTTAAACTGGATCCAACGATTATTGATAAATTGGTACAAACCACAAGGGGCGATATTAGACAAATCATCAATTTATTGTCTACTATCTCAATGACCACAAAATCAATTGGACATGATAATATTAAGGAAATTTCGGAATCCTGGGAAAAGAATGTTGCACTGAAACCGTTTGATATTACGCACAAATTGCTGGACGGGCATATCTATACCGATCTTGGATCCAATACATTTACATTAAATGACAAGATTGGGTTATATTTTGATGATTTGGATTTCACACCATTGATGATTCAAGAAAACTATATTCATTGTAAACCAGGAAACTTACCAGTGAACAAATCTCCATTAGACATGATTGCAGAAGCAGCAGACAGCATATCAGAAGGTGATTTAGTAGAAAGAAGGATTCGGAGCAGTGAACAATTGTGGAGTTTATTGCCACTACATGCTGTGCTATCTTCTGTACGCCCTTCTTCAAAAGTAGCAGGACATATGGCGGGAAGGATCAATTTTACAAGTTGGTTGGGCCAAAATTCCAGGACTAATAAATATTACAGGTTGTTACAGGAATTGCAATATCATACCAGATTGAGCACTTCAACAGACAAGGTTGGTCTCAGATTAAATTATTTACCCACTTTATATAGTAGATTGTTGCGTCCACTGGTGAAAGACGGAAGTGAGGGTATAGCGGAGGTAATCCAATTAATGGATGATTACTATTTGACCAAGGAAGATTGGGATGTTGTGATGGACTTTATGATTGGTCCTGACAAGACTGATTTAATAATCAAAAAGATACCTACTGCAGTGAAAAGTTCCTTCACAAGAAAGTATAACAGTATGACACATCCTGTGGTAATTTATAAGACAGGATCCAGTATAGGAGGTGGGGGTTCAAGTAGTTCAAGCGGTTCTATTAACCAGCCCGATTTCGAAGATGTTGTGGATGCAGACACATCCAACGCTACGCCAGATGATGATGATAACGAAGATGATACGGAATTAGACTTAAAGAAGGACAAGTTAATCAAACAAAAAGTTAAACCAACTAAAAAGAAAGCTACTTCAACTAAGAAACCAGCACCAAAGAGACGGAGGACTAAGGCATAAAAAACAAAGTTAACGATGGTATAGCGTTTTCTATCAGTATCCATTGAACGAACATTTGATACATGTCTGTTTATAGTCGAAATATATATATATATATATATTACATTGTATACGTGTGGAAAGTGTTGCCACAATATGGAAGTTCCTGAAAGGAAATACACAAGAATAAAGGATTAAGCTTTGGCCAATTACAACATCATAAAGACAAGGTAATACAATCACAATAGCTATAAGAGAAGAATAATAGAGTCTCAATGTCCTTCTACAACAAACAGAAGTGAAAGAGGGCGGTAGACATTAAGAGAACCTCTATCAATAGAGTTATATTTGACTGGTGGAATGTCTGAAATGGACTTCTCTTTCAGGGACTCTAATCTATTATTTCAACACAAAGAGGACAACGGAACACACACACACATACAAGCAATAAAGCCAAGTTAAGTTTATGAACCGTAATCGAAAAGAGGCTTTCAAAATGACGAGGCTTAGCAGAACGCAGAAGCTAAGAGACAATGGCATTACTATTATATCTCTTCGCTCTATTGCAACAATTGTAAGGGACATAACAACTTGTAAAAATATATATATGGATTTTTGAGCAAAAACAAAAACAAAAAAACAAAAAAAAAAAAAGAAAAGAAAAAAAAAATAATGGTAGCTGTTATGTATTTTCCCTACAAAGAGGGGGAACTGGGGAGGGGGAAGAGAAGGAAGAGGAGGTATAGTTTAATTCAAACTATTACATGTCCATTCTGTGCTTTGTTGAACAAGTGTAATATTTGGTTGGATTGCTCGACAGTGGGAAGTTAATATCAATAGCAGAAGAGGAGGAAGACTTGTACTTGTACATTCCGTCTTATTAGACATAGAAAACCTGAGTTGTACAGTTCTTAGAATTAGTGATAATGCGATTTACTAAATAAGAAAAGGGAATATGTTTAAAAAAGAAGAGAGCAAGGATGATCCTTTGCTAAGCCAATATAGTAGCTTGCAAAAGAAAGTTGATACAAATTTAAATCCTTGTCACATGATGAGCTTCTTGGTCATGTAATTAATAACGCAGCTTTGTTTTATATTGTTACATTGATGACGTACGATACAATGCAAGGCTGAAATGGTGTTAGAAAGCTAAAAACCATCGTATTGTTATCCTCATAGTTACCTAATTAATTATTTTCAGCCTTCATTTGTTTAGGTACATTTGCGATATCACGACACGTGCATATATAGTCTAAAACCAGAGACACTACTTCCTAATAACGGAGAAACTACTCAACTACATCCTAGATCGTTTCCTCCTCTTTCTTTTTTTCCTTCTCTTCTTCCTCTTCCTCCGCCTTCTTCATCTCTTGTAGGCTATCAATTTACTTATAATTAAATAAAAACGACTTATATCTTCTTATCCATAGGAAAAGGTTCACTAAGAAATAAAAAAACCAAAAAAAAAAAAAACAAAATAAAATAAAATAAAAATATATATTATTTAAAAGCTGTGGAAAAATAAAGGATTTGAAATATTTAATTTATTTCTTTTGAACCCCTCAATTATCAAATTAGACATTTCACGCACTTAAGAGTGTAAAGAACATATATAATTATCTTATTTTTTTGTATAAGGCTTTGACAGAAGTTATTAAGAAATAGAATTGTCTACTTTTTTATTTTTAATATTATCCAGATATATCTACAAATATTAAAGAAAGAAAAAAAATAGTGAAAATCAAATATTATAATATATAGCACAATGCAACAAGATCAAACAAAGACTCAAATTCTAATTACTGATATTCCAAAGGATAAGTTCACACAAAAATGGCCAAAGACTATTGAGACTTTGTTATTTGAAACAAAATTTCCTGAATTAAGGTCTAAATTACAGTATTTCACACCGCTACCCTTTTTGCAAAGAATAGTGATTATATTTGATGATTCTACGTCGGCTTCAAAGACGTATGATTTTTTAAAAGACGGGAAGTGCGTTGATAAACCAATGAAGTTGTTTCTAACTGAATCATTATTAATTGGATCTAATCCAAGAGCACGTTCTTTTGATGATTCCATGAATGATAACTTTACATCTTATGATAAAACTACGAATCCCTTTTCACATATAAATAGTATCAAATCCAATGCTAACAAAAATATTGATAAAGAATCACAGGAAAATTCAAAGGAGAAACCTATTCTATCTTTGGAGACAAATCCGCTAAAGACTGGGGTTACTACAGGATCTTTATCTCTAGGGTCGCCATCTCTATCACCAAATAATAGTCTGTTGGAATCTCCAACCTTAGTAAAATTTAGTAAAGATGATAAATTACATTATTATAGAGAACCCCTACCAAAGATGAATTCAAACTCTAACTCTAAATATAGTATAAATGAGACTATAAATATAGTATCCGCAGCTAACGCAGATATTGATGGTGAGCAGTTAGATGATAATGATAAAACACTATCTTCTATAAACACACCACCAAAGAGCCCCACCATAACGATTAATCCAGTATTTCCTTAATCTAATCGCACGTATATATATTTACACATACACACACATATGCAACTAAATATGTATATATGGTTTTATATTGTATGTATGCATTGGGGAGAAGAAAATATTTAATCACGTATATATAATTAAATAAAAAAAAATATAAATGATAGTTTTATTTTAATTATTTACATGTAATGGAAGAACATCGAAGAAACTTTAAATAAATAAAGAGTAATAAAATAGAGATGCGGAGCTATATTTGATTATTTGACATTAATCTATCATAATAATCTCTTTTCCTCCTCTTCTCTTCCATCCAATACTTTTTCTGTTCTTTTCTTTTCTTTGTTTTTGTTCCTGATTAAGTTTTTGTTTGTTTTGGATTATTCATCATATTATGGTACTCATTTATTGTTGCTAATGAAGAATACTCAAACGATTCAAGATCGCAGTTTCTTCTTACTAAATTGTAAATTACATTTCCTGGTCCCATTGATATAGAAATGTTTTTTTTACCTTTAATTCTTTCTCTTGGTACAAAGGAATTTATTGTATCATAGCAATATGTGAACTGCACTGTATTTGAACTGCATCTAACGAACCTCTCAATTGCATGATGTACAAGTAACGATATACGGCCATCTAAATTTCCAACTATTGGATACATTAATTCAGTAGTAGTATTTTGATGATTTAGTTTCAGTATATCCCAAATATAGTCGTATAAAGGCTCTTGGATAGGTCTTAGAACGTTATTATTATGGAATGCGATATTATTTGGATTGGTCAATTCTGTGATTCTCAATGCCGGGAACCTTGCTTGAGACTCGATTCGAAGTCTCTCCAAATCGTCTACAAGACCTGTGACGACGCATTGTTTGATACTGTTGACGTTAGCTATTGCAATAGTTGGGGCCATGGATCTTATTGACTGTAATAGATTGTGTACCTGCAAAGGTAAATTGGTTGCCCTTGGCGAAGATAAAGCCCACATTTCGAATTTTGTAGAATGATTCATTTTATGTGCTATAAGATATTTTTCAGTGGATTTGACCATTAGTTCATTTCTATAATTTGCAATATTGAATAAGTCTCTTAATGTAAACAGATTGTTCACGCATAAACAGGTTAATTCACCTAACGAATGTCCCAATAGCAAATAATCCTGTGATCGTTTCTTTATATTATCTCGTTCTAAAAGTTCATATAGTTTATAATATAGGTTGGAACAAACAGCAATACTACCAGGACTTGAAGGGTTTCGAAAGATATAATTGATTAAGTCATTTGTCTTAGGTCCATTATTTTCTATAATTTTATTGAATTCCTTTTGTTTATTTCTAATCAATGCTTTTAATACAGGAATAGAAATCGAGGTACCTTGTCCAGGAAATGTAATTAACCTCATCTTTTCTTCATGTGATTAATTGTATTTTATTATTACTATTTTATGTAGATGTAGATATTAGAGCTTCTTATCTATGACTATAAGAGCAAATAAAGCAGTAAAAATAAGTAATGTAACAATTTTGAACGTGTCATTATAAAAAAAAAAATAAAAAGATCAAAAAAAAAAACGATAAAACACCCTTTCATCCTCTCCATCTAGAGAGGTAATCTCAATTGAATCATGTTCATCTTTATTATTATTGCTGTTATTGTTATGAATATGATTATTGCAAATGATCAAACGATTCAGTTTTCCAATCTTGACGATAAAACTCTTTGCACCCAGACATCCGAATGGCCATATAAATTTTCGCTGTCATTTCCATGTTGTCTTTCTTTTTTTTATGTTTTGTTTTTTGTCTTTGAATAAAAAAAAAACCAAACCGAATTGTTCTCCATAGAATGGTACTAATAAAATAAGGCATAAGAACATGCAGAAATTGCACCCTTTAGACATGTTATTTTGTTTTAAATATGTAAATACAAAATGCAAAAAAATGTAATTGAATTTTCGAATCATGATGGTATGATCTTTTTGATAGTATTCTTTTTATTCAACAGATTACTTCTTCTTTAAAAAAACAAAAAAAAAAAATTAAGTTGAAAAAAGGATAGTTTTTAGGAGAAATTCCTTCTAGATTTACTATAATAAATGTCAAACATAAAAAAAGAATTTTTTGAAAATTGGGTGAAAAAAGTTAAACAAAAAAAAAAGGATGTATACAGTTGATCCAAAGCTTGAAACAATGGGCTTTGAAGATGGTATGATATATAGTACTTTTGAATATATTTAATCATATGAATCTTCAGCAAATGACTTTTTGTCACTGCCTTGTTAATTATTTATTTAAACATAATTATATATATACACTTTTGGGTAAATTTGTATTTTGTTAAATTTCCTGTCACAATGAATACTATTGTAAGTTGATTTTCTTCGTTTTGGAATTATCTCTAATACTTGTTCTACTTGTGAAAATCTCACTTTTAAAAGTATGTACTTAATACATTTTAAAAATACTTCTTTTTCAACATGCTGTTACTACTTAATAACTATTGAAAAAGGGTACATAAAACACATAATTAACCACTTTTCTTAAATAATTAAATCTTAAGTTGTGTTATTTCTTATATATATATATTTTGATTCAGAAGGAATGAGCTACAATATGAAAGATTATCTTTCATATTGTTTTTTAGTAACACAACGGTATTTGCTAAGAATATCTTTTTATACTCCTTTCATACGCGAGCACAAAATAATAACAAGGGCATATAGAACAAAAGAAAAAAAAAAGTTACCTAGTAAATATATACAAAGCCACACAAGAAGAATGATTCATATAACATACGTAAGTCGGTTCAGGAATGGTAGGAAATAACTAATAATAAAAAACTAGATCAGACCAAACTAGAAGATTCGACACAAAATCAACACAATACATTGTTGAATGAAATTAAGATAGACTACTACCTCTTTCTCCATTATTTAATAAATTATCATTAGTAACAATTTTTATTGGAAGAAAAAAGACAAAATGAAAAGAGTAAATTGTGGTATGTATGTCCTACCAGCCCTTGCATTTAAAGTTGACGATATACATAAAATACATCATAAGCTTCTAAAACACAAAAGGGCATTAAGATGAACATAAAAAACAAAAATTACACGCACAATTCGCATAACATTTGAATTCCTTGATCTCTCCGATGGACTTGACGCTTACTAGATCTGTCTACGATCTAAAGGTAAGCAACACGGTTTTATAGTCCTGGATGAATTAATCCGCACGATTAATGTTACTTTTATTTCTTAAGTGAAACAAAGTCACAAGAAGTACGAAGGATCACTCTTCAAAAGGACATCTTAGTAAGGTAATATAACTACACTGCGCTTTTCCTGCGACGTGAAAATTATGCTCTTTATATATATTCTGGTTCAGAAGGGTTACCCTCTTTTTTCATAAATTTTTTTGTCTTTTTCTTTAATTTTCTAAGAAATCTAGAATTTAGGTTTCGGGAAAAAAAATAATGGGTTTTTTTAGACAATTTTGACTAAGAAAGAACATAGGGGTTTTATAAAGAAACAGTAAGTGGGACAGAATATTGAACAAAAGCAGTACTTGTCCTTCAAAACTAATCCTTCAAAACTAATGGTTGGTTAGTAAATGTTTAATATTAAATAACTGATTTAACAAGATATAGATGTAAAAAAAAAGTGTACATGTATATAAATATAATTATTTGATTATTATAATTTTATTTGAAATTTACTCATTAGGTTAATAATGTCAAGTGAACCCCTGTTACCGGTAAGTCAGAACACAAATCAAACTGGTACTAAACAGATTAAGGTTATATTTTCAGATGATACAATACCCACATTAGTGATTTCTCATATACCGTCTGATATAGATTATAAATGGTTGAGACGTAATATTAGATCATTGAGATCACAACAATGTGGCGATAAATCTTTAAAATTTTTGAAAAATGGGGTATATATCAACGAATCACGATTTAAATCAAGTTTATCGAAATATTTTAATACAAATGGCCCTAACAATAATCCATTTTTCATTCATTGTATGGTTGGTATTGAATCATTATCACCTTCAGAGTTAATTAATGATGATTTAAGGGATGATACATTGGGTGGAACAAACCAGAATAATGATAGTTCTGAACCTATGGGTGTTATTGGGTTTGATAGATTGCGTGGACTAGGTTTTTCAGATGAAGAGATTAATTTATTAAGACAACAATTCCATGCTGCATATATGGATGATGAAAATTCTGGTGGTAATAATGGAAATGGAAATGAAAATGGAGATAATTTAAATCCAAACACTGATATGGACAGAGTTAGAGAACTGGAAGAGAGATGGATGGAAAATGATGTTAGAGATGATGGCGCAGATGAACAATTTAACTCTATACCCATAGGAAATTTCAAACATAACATTGATTTGCTGATTGGTATAACGATCGGTTTCACACTAGGCATATTTAGTTTAATATTAATACGGCAAGATGGGTTATTTAACAGAAGACAATTAATGGCAATATATGCAGGTGTTATGATAAATATTGTGGTATGTTTTACTAGAGTATGATAAGCATTGATATATATATATATATATATATGTACGTATTTATGTGTGTATGTATGTATATTTGTATCTTCTTTAACGACGGATTAATAAGTATGCATTTTCTTGTTTTAAGGTATTTAAGTTTCTGTAGTTACCTTCCAATCTCATCAAAAGACCACCAAAGGAATAATAGACAGCAATGATATCTTTAGCAACTTCTTCAAATCGATAGGCTGTACCATACATGACATAATCATAATCATCAGCCAACGATCTTTCATTTGGTTGTGGAGGTCTCCAACTGTTAGTCTTGCTGCCAGTGCTACTACTGTTACTGCCATCGTTATTAGAGTCGATATCCAAAGAAGAAGCTAGAGTAACTGTTAATTGTTCTTGTGGTTGTACTGGGAATAGTTCAATATTTATATCTAGTGTCAATTTACATTGTTCTTGAGTGGTTGATATGGCTTCGATACGAGAGATTCTATTATAACGACCCGGATCGGTTTCTGTCACTGTAAATACATCATCAAATAAAGTGTTAGACATAATGAAAAAGTTATTTCTGCTATCTGTTTTTTGTTATCTGTTGTCTTTTTCTATCTATAGATTGGTTTAGAAGTGTTGCGATATGTAACTGGAAGAATTGTATTGCAATTTGGTATAATAATATATGTTTACCATCTAAATCATCTCTTCCTGCGCATACACTTCTTATTTTCGACTGGTAAATTTTTTTTTTTTGACAAAACATCTGGGAAAAAAAAAAGAAAAAGCTTTGAATCAATATATTTTACATCACTAAATACGAATGGAAGCTTAAGAGGATCAAAAGGAAGACATTATATATAATGGATACATTAACAATAGTCTTGATAAAAAGGAGGAAGATAAGAAAATAAAGAATGTTGATTGATAGAAATAAATGTATTGCCAACGATAATGTATATATATGTATATATATGAAACAGGATATTATTACAAATGGATACTATTTAATCATATACATATACATATATATGATGTGTATGTATATGCTTATTATTCAGTGGTTCGTCAACTCTATTACATATATGATTTTAAAATTATATTTCATTTTACAACCTTTTTTTATAGTTTTTTTTTTATTTGATTTAATTTGATTTTTTATCTTTATTTTTATTTACTAGTTTAAGTTAATTTAGTAGTAGTGTGTCTCTTTGACTTATAATCCTTGATTGCGGCTTTTATAGCATCTTCAGCCAACATGGAGCAATGCAGTTTAACTGGGGGCAATGACAATTCTTTCGCGATTTCTGTGTTCTTAATCTTTTGAGCATCTTCGATCTTCATACCGTGAACCAACTCAGTCATATAAGACGAAGAAGCGATAGCGGAACCGCAACCAAAAGTCTTAAATTTAACATTTTCAATAACACCGGTTTCGTCATTCACCTGTATTTGTAATTTTATAACATCACCGCATGCAGGAGCACCGACTATACCGGTTCCCACATTAGAGGCCTTCTTATCCAGAGAACCGACATTTCTTGGATTAGTGTAATGATCAATAACTTTTGGATGATACAGTCTTCTCGATATTATTGAGGAAGAAGATATTATGTTTCTTGGGACGTATCTAAATGTTGTTGGCTTGAGTATGTTTGAAAATAGTATAGATGAGTTCATTATTATTAAATGCTTTAATAAGTGGTGCTATTAAATGATATAATAATAGTAATAATACAGTAATATTAATTTATGTTTGCGTGTTATGAATGCCAATAGAGTAGTTTCTGGTGTATATATGGTTTTCTTCCTCTCTGTGATAGTTTACGTTGATAAATATAGATGTATGTATATTTGCAAATATAGTAGCAGATATGGATAGATGAGAACTATAGGGAAACAAAAAAAAAACAAAGTTATCTGGTTTCAAGATCAAGATGTAAATATATATATATATATTTATATACGTATGTATGTATGTATGTATGTATGTATGTATGTACGTATGATTAAGTAACTTTTATATATTTAGATATAGTGATTAAAATTAAACCAATAAAGCGATACAAAATAATATAAAAAAAAAAAAAAAAGAAAAACACAAAGGAAAGGAATTATCTAATTAATCATCAACTCAATTTTAATTCCTTCAAAACAGAAAAATAAAAAGAAAAAAAGAAAAAGGAAAAGAGTTGTGAGAAGTGTGAGGAAAAATGAGGAATCCAGAATCCAAAAATCGACTGTTTTTCGATTACTAAAACCAACCTCACTTGATGTTTTTTGGGGATAGAGCAGAGAGAAATCACAGAGTATTATTCCCGGCCTATATTACTCTACTCTCACAAAATTATTCAGAACTACGTCCGGGACCTACGAGGACAGGGCTTTACGCGCTAAACAAATAAAGAACGAAAACAAAAGAAAACACCGCAAGTAAGGAAAAATAACGCTGAATACTAAATTCCTGCGATAAAAAAACTAAGGAAAAATCAAGAAAAATTAGGAAAAAAATAGGGTGTGGGTCACGTGGACGTTTATTTCCGGCCCGGTTTATCGATTATTTTTTTTCTTGTTATATGATTATTTCAATTTTTTGTGTTTCATTCAATGGAAGTAAATGAAGGAGAAAGAGAGGTGCAGAGGGGGGAGGAGACGGGAGAAAAAAAAACTTAACAAATTGTGTAGGTTTGTTTTCTCCGTCGTTATAACTCCGGGTCATTTCATTCAATTCTTGTGTTGTTTTTTTATTTCATTTTATTTTATCTTTATCTTCTTACTTTTTTTGTTTGTTTATCTTCATTTTCTTTTTTTTTTTTTTTTTTTTTTTTTTTTTTGCAGGATGTGTGCAAACCAAGATATCCATCGCGTTAATTGTGATAGTCACCATAAGTATACTTCATTAGAAAGTCTAAGTCAAGACTGTAAAGTGGATATTCAAAGAACGAAAACAAAACTGGATATCAGGTTTGTTTTATTTAATTCTTTTATATTATCAAAGATATCATCTTGTGTTATAGTGATTTGACTTATGTTAAACAACAAAGCAATAACTGCCCTTTTTTTTTACATGGAATGTTGCAGATAAATTACAAGTCGATTTAAAATGTTTTGTCACTTGTTTTTCTTTCCTCAATTATATATATAGCATAATCCAGGTTCGTATCAATACAAATGTGTCATTTTAAAGAACCAAAATAAAAACAGAGAAAATAACTAACATTTTTTGTTTTCTTGGTTCGATTTTATTTGTTCTAGTTTTGTTTTTTGTTCTTTTGTCCTTTCTTTCTTTTTTTTGCCTTTTTTTTATCATTGCGTATAGAAAATTTCGATAAAGAGAAAATCTACCAGTAAAAAAAAAAAATCAAAAGAAAATTTAAGGGGCCAAGACAAAACGGATTTTTCAACATGAGAGAAAGAGAAGATATATTAAAATAGGTAAGATCTAACCAGGTTATTACTATGTTATTATAACACTTTGAAGATAAGGTTTGTACATTTATATAAATACATACATATATATATATATATATATGTATATATATACGTTTGTTCGTTCGTTTCATTTACTTATTCAGTCCTTTCAGGTTGTTGAATAAAAGAAGGCTGTGTATATGAACGAAAGCTAGTATTGATATCAATGACTTCTTTACCTCCACCTAGTGATTTTGATGTCCCCCTAGATTGGTTATATAAGGGAAAGAGAAAAAATAAACTCAAACCTATTATAGTGTCTACCAATTCCAAACCTACTACTGGTCAGGCTAATGAAAATTCACACTCCTTTGCCAATAAAACTACAGCTACCCTTACAACTACAGTCGATAACAATAACAATCATAATCATGAGACTGTTACCTCAGATAAATTACATTTGAATACTGTTGACAGAAGACCTAGATCTTCTTCCATATCATGTGCCTCGTTAGATAACTTGTCAGATTCCGAGCATGTTAAGCCTGCCATTCTCCCTGAAAAGTCCAGTAATTCTCGAAATATTCCAACAAGAAGTAGAAGTTCTTCTATGTCGCATATTATGAACATTATGAATAGTACACCAACGTCTACTACTAATAACAGCCATAACAATATAGAAGGGAAAAAAAAATCTTTCATCAGTTCTCTATTTAGCAGGAGAAGTAGTGTAAGTGCCAGCCACAGTACAAATGATAGTCAACATGAAAGTAATAAAAAAGATAGTGTGCATATACCTCATATACCAACATCAAACCCGATTGATGATGATTTTAGTCCACATAACGTTGGAAATAGTATCCCCTTGCATGTGGGTAGTCCTGATTTCCATTCATATGCGTCTCCATCTTCACCATCACCAGTATTCCAACACCATTCCCTTCATGAAAGCATTTCAGCATCTATAGAACATCAATCGTCATCCAAGCCAACTTTGGGTCAATTATTAAATGTTCCATTAAAAAGAGTCACATTTGCAGTCGACAAATTTGAAGGTGACCCAGCACAGCAACTGCCTTCTAGAAAACCTAAGGTTGGGAATGTTCTTATTCCAGATGATATGATAAGTGATATTCCTTCAATATCTGTTGGTATAACTAATACTGGTGATGAACATAACCATCCTCAACTTAAAATTACAAAGGACTCTAAAGAGTATAAACACGCATTAGAAGTTTACACTAGATATTTGAAAGAATCTATGAAACATCAACAAGAAGCACATAAGGCTGCTGAAAAGATGGCGAAAGAAGTGAAAAGTTTTAGTGAAAGGGTACATAGGAGAAATTCTCTTTCATTGACAAAGGAACAGTTTGGTTTATTTATAGACCCTAATAAAAATGATGACAGTAGAAGAGTTACTAATAGTAATGGTAATAATATTGAAGATGAGCATCCTATAGGTGGCCATTCAACATTTATTAATGTATCAAATAATAATATAGATAAGCAACTAAATGTTCATGAACATTATTTCCGACAAAGTGAAGAGTTACACACATCCTCTGTATTGACTCTGGATATCATCTATACAAGATGCTGTCATTTAAGGGAAATTTTACCAATCCCTTCTACATTACGACAACTGAAGGGGAAGACTGCCCCTTTACACGTATTAAAATTTTTAAATCCTAGACCTACTTTAATCGATATTTTATCATTTTGTGATTTTATTGCTATCGTACCTATCCATAATGTTATTTTTGATAACGTTACATTAAATTCGGGAATGCTTAGAATTGTTTTGAGTTCATTGGCTACTTCAACTACCCTAGAAAAAATAGGACTGAGAAATGTAGTCATTTCACAAAGTGATTGGCCATTTTTTTGTAAGTTTTTATTTAAGAATGAATCTTTAACTAAGTTAGATATATCACAAACAAAGACGAAATCAGATTTATCTTTAAAGGATTATAGAGAACATATGAAGTGGGACCTTTTGACTGATGTGATAAAATTAAGAAAAGGCAAACCTTTAGAAGAATTATTGTTAAATGGGATCAAGTTAATTCATATTCCATTGTCACAATTTCAGAATTTGTTAACTGTGTTTGGTGAGAAGTACCGCCAATCTTATTTGGAGGCATCAAGTTTGTCAGTGACATCTTTGAATGGGTTGCAATTTAATGGCTCTGATAATATAGGGATTAGATTAGGTTTGGCTGCTACTGAGATAACAGAAGACTATTTAGTAACCGTGTTAGATTGGATGTCACGCTATTCTGTACAAGGTGTTGATTTTTCTTTTAATAACTTGGATCCATTTTTAAGGATATTTGCCAAGAAGTTTTCTAGCCTACCGTTTGATAATCTACAATATTTCACTTTAAATAACGCCAATATTTCCAATGTTACAGATTTAGCATTATTGTTAAAGTATTTGTCAAGGTTACCTAATGTGAAATATTTAGATTTATCAAACATGCCAGATGTGTTTCCTGGCATCATTCCTTATCTTTACAAATATCTACCTAGATTTCCTAACTTAAAGAGAATTCATATTGATAATAATGATTTGAAGTACAGACAAATTATCGTACTATGTAGCATATTATCGAAATGTAAAACGCTTTCTCACATCTCATTATTGTATGAATTGAAACATAACGATACATCCAATGGTGGTGGTGTTCATGGTAATGGTATTATCAATACCAGTAGGAATGAAAATAATTTCAGTAATAAAAAGGATATATATAAGCAACAGTTTTTCACAAGAAACACTGTTTGGGCTACATTGTATGCTTTGGTCCGTGATTCTCCTAATTTATTTTCCTTGGACATTGATTATGATCAAGTACCTGACGAAATCCAGTCTAGAATTGCATTGTGTTTAATGAAGAATATGCAACACGCTGTTAATTCAGATATTCAGGTTGATGCATTATCTTCTCAAGATCAATTATTGTTTGATGGTTCATTAGTAGCTGAAACTGCAGATGATGTGTTAAAAAAATTGAACAACAACACATTAATGGATAAAGACCCACATCTTGTTGCTACTAAGAATTATATATTGAAGAAATATTTTGAAAACTTAGAAAATCTATTACAAAATGTTCAAGAAACTATTGATAATGTTTTTGAAAAAAGGAAAACCGGTGAATTACCATCTAAGGAAAAAGAGAATTTATTAAGATTATTGTTATTAGAAAAGAATTTGAAGAATATTATCGAGGTTGCCACATCGACACCAACTATACCTCACAGCATCAAAGATTCTCTTGTTAGTTCGATTAACAATGGAGACGAGCAATCTATAACATCTGTTGGTGTCTCTAGGCCATTATTAAAACATTTAGATTCGGCTAGATTGATGGCAGAAGTGGTTGGGGAAGATGACCACGAGAATGATTCAACGGTACCACATACAGTTGCAACAGAGGATGATAATAAAATAGTAGATATAAACACAGGTAAACCTATTCTTTATAAATCTACGTCTTCAACATCACTTCAAAATAAATTACAAGAGAAGGAAGAGGGTGAACTACATAAATGGGGGTTCTTTGTACAGCAACAAAGGTCGATGTATCCTTCAGATAAAGACTTATCGGAAGAAGAGTTTAAAATTAGAAATGAAGATGAAGATAACGAGAGTAAGACCATGTATGCATCTGATAAGCAAGATTTTGTTCCTCAACTATCTACTCCAAATCTTGATTCAGGTACATCAACACCAGTGTCTCGCAAGATATTAACTCGTATTCCATCTGGTGAAGAATTAAGGAGAGCTATTATCAAAGCCAAAGGTATGGCTACTATGGATGAATTAATTCAGAATGTGGCAGCTAATAAACAAGAATTAGAGAAGATATATAATGCAGCATATTTCTTAACAGGTCAAGCTAAAAACAATGAAGATAATAAAGATGAACAGAAAAAATAACTTTTAAAGAAATATATAATGAATACAATACCTGTCTGTTGTACTGGTTCAGAGCAATTTATCATAATTATTAGACAAATATATATGTGCCGAAATGTTTAATAACAGTTTTTTTTTTTATTAAGGAAAACTTTGAACAATTTTTTTTGATACTTTTCTGAAGTATTTCATGATAAACTCGATGTGTTGAAAAAGATGTTTTATTTATTCTTTTTGTTTTAATGTACGTATATCTATATAACATGTTTGCCCACAACTTAACAATTGTATATATTTTATGTCAAGCTTTTAAGTTAGGTTTAGATTTTGGGAATGGAATAAAGTCCTTATAATTGTTTTTGAAAATTTTTTAAATTTATGCAAAATCAAGCATTACCAGTCAACTAGTTAAGTGTAATACTATTTACCAGTTGATTATTGTGTAATTCACATTTCTAATTCTTGAATCAGTATAATTGTGTTTTTTTATATCAAAAGTTATATTTTTTTTGTTTATGCTATCAATACATATTTTATATTAGGGCTTATATGACTTTATAGAGAATTCTAACGTTTTGAAATCATCTGTTAAGCACACTCAATACTACTGCTATATGAATAAACCTAATTTTTTTTTTTCAGAAACTGCTCAACTAATCAATTAATAAATAAAAGTATTTTCCTATTTTGGACAATAGTTTTGATGTATTGTTTTGTATTTCTGTATCTGTCAAAATTTTTATTGTAATATTTTTTTGTTTTTTTATGCCTTTTATAATTCTATTCTTTTGTTTTAAAATAAGGTATTGTTTTTAATATTGTTTGCTTTTGGTTTTTTTTTTACTTTTTTTTTTTTCTTTTTTTTGAAAAACTCGAGGAAAAAAATCTAATAAAAAGAAAGTTGAACGATGCCTTTTCCTTTTGTGGGGTTTCATCCATAAGTGTTGAATTTGGAAATCTTTGAGATGGAAGGATTAATTCTAGTTACTTATTTTTGGTAATTATAGACTATTTTTCCATTGCCTAATAATGATTGTATACATAGATTCATCGATTTACAAAGACAATTAAGTATAGTGAAAATTTACATCTTTGATAGGTTCAAAGATATTCCAGAAACTAAAATAGTGAGCAGTAAAAAAAATAATAATAATAAAAGAAGAAGGGACATAAGATTGGATAATTACCCAAATGACTCAGCATAAAAGAAAATCTATTGCTTTATGGAGGAGATCTACTCCTTCATTATATCATCATCTTTCCAGTTTTAAACCCAGTTTTATTAGTAGTGTAGATAATATGAGGAAATTGCATAAGACTATCATATTTAGAAGCGAAGTTATTCCTGATAAAGAACGTGGGTTTTTGAGTACGAGTTTACTGTATTCCCAAGGTAGCGATATATATGAAATTGACTGCAATTTACCATTGGGTTCCTTTTATAAAGAGAGTGAAAGTTTACTTAGTGGAGGATTTGAGAATAAAGAAACCAGCGATTCTATTCACAAAGATAACAAAGACATCAACGCGTTCGAAGATGCAAGCACAAAAAAACTGAACTCTAAATGGATTTACTCTGGAGAAACCATAGCTAAAATGGCATATTTGGATGATTCAGAAGATAGTACAGTTATTGTTATGTCTAAAAATGGGTCATTGGCTTGGTTTAGGGATGGGATAAAAGTGCCTATTCATATTGTACAAGAGATGATGGGGCCATCTACTAGTTTTTCTGCTATTCATTCGCATAAGAGACCTAATGATTTAGCTGTATCTGATTTTGGATTATCTGAGAGTTTAGAGACGTTAGTTAAGTCACAGGCAAATGGTACAGAAGAAAATAGTATATTGAAAATTGTAGATAATTCTGGTAAACCGGGAGAAATACTACGAGTAATACATGTTCCAGGTACCACAGTGACGCACACAGTGAGATTCTTTGATAATAATATATTTGGTTTATGTTCTGACGATAATACAGTCAGATTTTGGGATGTTAGAACTGCTAATGAACCTATTTTTTCTTTGAGTGAACCTAAGAATGGTAAGTTAACAGCATTCGATGCTTCACAGGTTACAAATGAATTATTTATCACGGGTACTTCGACAGGTGTTATTAAGTTATGGGATATCCGTGCTGTGGAATTTGCTTCTAAGGACCTATCGTATAGGCAGAATGGAGAAGATCCAATCCAAAATGAATTGGTCAGTTTATGTCATTCTGGTGGTGACTCTGTGATTGATGTTCAATTTTCAAAAATTTCATCAGCAGAGTTTTTAACTGTTGGCAATACAGGAAATGTTTATCATTGGGATATGGAATATTTCTTTTCTAGAAATGACGATGATAATGAGCAGCAATATTCTACATCGAAACGTGTAAGAAGGACTACAACAAACAGTATACCAGCTCTTGAAGAATTACAAGGTCAATGTTTGAAATTTTTCCATAGTGGTGTTTCTAATAATAATGGTAGCAGTAGTAGTAAATTTGGAAGAAAGAATACGGTAGCATGGCATCCAATTATTGATGATCTTGTATGTACAGTTAATGATTCCTCATTAGTATCAGTTTATAAACCATTCACGTTAAAAAGCAGTAATCCACATGATTGATATAAACAGGAATAATGAAGAAAAGTAAAAACTAGTAAGGGAACTTAATATACATTAAGTTGATATGAAAAATAGTGTCTTTAGTAATTGAAAAGAAAAAGAAAAATAAAGAAAGAGGCATAAAAACAGATTTTTCATCTAAATCTCCTTAATTTTTTTCTTTTTTATTAGTTTCTTACATATGTATAGATATGCTATGTACCTTTTGTCAGCTTAAATTGGATTAAACTGGATTATTTTTTACATTAAAGTGTTATTATATATATTCAAATGATTATTTTTATGGAAGAAATTATTTACTCTTAGAAAATAGTAGAAGTTGCGTATTAATGTGTTATGTTATATTATTTTAAAGAATGTATGATTAGCTTACTTTCTCTATATATATAAGATATATAAATAAAAGAAAATAATGTTAATTTATAGTAAAACCTAAAGAATCACAGGGCAAACCAGCTTCTTCTTAAATGAGACTCTATAATATAACGATTTTATGCAATCACCAATGGAACTAAATATTAGTTCTGTTGTAAGAGAGCTTTTTACCAAATGTATATAACTTATTGCTATTTTGTTGATTATATTTTTTTAAGACTTCTGAATAGGTCTTTTTTTAACATTACTGTTATTATTACCACAAAGAACCAAAAAAAGAAACAATATGTTAAAAATATTACCAAAAAAGTAAGAGAATCTTATTCTTGAGAAAAACCCCTGACACAAAATTTTAGGGTACCAGGTAGAGAGACTCAAAAAATAAACAATTTTGAGGACAGTACAAAAAGTTTCAAAGTGAAGAACCCACTTCTTGCATTGAGATATTTGCTTATAGACTGTACAAAATATCATTAAATTAAGGGAAAAAAAAAAGTTGATTACTACTCTTATCAATTATATTTTTATCAATACCAATTACTAGGACAGTCTTCTCAATGAAAGAAACAAAACACTGCACTATCAATCAATCTTAAAATAGGACATTCTAGTCATAACAGTTTACATAAGACGGTATATATAGAAGACCAACATTTGGTTTTTGTTCGAAGTATTTTTCCCACAAGAATTCTAAGAATAGAAAGAAATTTATATACTCTATATACAATAAGAATAATTCATAGCTATACTACACTGCATATACACATTTAAAAAAAAAAAAGAAATAAAGAAAAATTATTGAAACACCTCAATTATAGCAAAGCATAAAAAATCATTTAAAACTAAACAACACTGCTGAATTATTATTACTTCAAGCATACTCATCAATGTTTTAAGATCAACGCAGCATCTAGTTTAGAATCTAAACTACTACTCTTCTGAATCACTGGAGGCGCCATATCTGTGGTCTTTAAGGATCTGTAGTATCAGAAAACCAGACATAACGATGTTTGATTTAGTTAATTGAAGTTCATAACCATATATTCGATTTCTCTCCACTCCCTCCATTCCCCTTACAAATTAAATACGTTCACACTCATTCTAATAAATAATACAAGTGTATCTTTGCCCTTAAGTTGTTTCCTTTTCTTTTCTTTTCTTTTCTTTCCCTCCCCTTGTCTCCTCTTTATCTCAAAAATGTCATCACCTCACTTTTCTCTATGACTTGTTTCCTTCTTATTTTCTTTTGCAAACAATTTTTTTTCTATACAAACGGGAAAACACAAAGGGAAAATAAAAAACTTAAATAATTATTACTAATAATAAAAATAAACAATTTGGTCTATTGTTCTATTCTTTTCAATTTTACCGGAAAAACAAAAATCTAAAAAATAATAAAACACAAAACAAAACGAAACAAAAAAAAAGAAAAAGAAAAGGTAGAAAAAAAAAGAAAAAGGGGAAACCCATACATTTCAACGAAAAAGAGAGGAGGCTGAACGAAGAAAAATAAAAAATAGAAAAAAACAAAAAAAGAAAAGAAGAAAAAAAAAGGGGAAACTGTAGCTATTATTGATGAAAGAAAAGATGATGACATTAAAAAAAAAAAACATCCTCCTTAATTTTCAGCACATTATCTATTTTCATTATTGCATGAAACACATAAATAAATATATAAATATAAATATAAATATATATATATAGACATATATATACAAGTTCTTTAGTTAATTGTTGTTCAATTTCTATATTTACACAGATTTAGTCACTTTGAATCGTTTGTCCTTCCATACCCTCCTCCATTTTCTTTTTTAGTCCTTTTTTCTCTTGCTCTTGTATTTTAGTTTGCTCGTTTAAATTTTTCTACACCTTATGAAACACAATCCAAGTAAAATAAAATAAACATCGTAGTTCTCTATCTAAATCATACGCTTACCACCCTATCTCATATAATTCCTCATAAGAAGACAAAAATGACTAAGATATATAAACCATCAACTTATGAACATATCTCCTCTTTGAAGCCAAAGTTTGTTTCTCGTGTTGATTCTACCTTACACCAGGACAAATCCATCACTTTTAGCAACAAAATTGTACCAGACAAGGAAGCAAACGCTATTAACACAAGTATCATTTACTCCCAAGGTTCTGATATCTACGAAATCGATTGCTCTTTACCTATCGACGATACAATCACAGAAAAAGTGCCAAAATCAGAAAATGAATACGGAGATGCTTTTGCTTCTGTGGAACAGAAACGCTTGAGTCCATCCTGGGTCTATCAAGGTGAAACTGTCTCTAAGGTAGAATATTTAGGAAACAGTAATGACACCACCTTAGTAGCTATGTCCAAGAATGGTTCATTAGCTTGGTTCAAAGATGGTATTAAAGTCCCAGTTCATATAGTTCAAGAAATGATGGGTCCTGCCACTAGTTTTGCTGCCATGCACTCTCATGTTAGACCAAACTCCTTAGCTGTTGCTGATTTTGGCTTGTCATTCGACTCTGAAACTATTGTTAAATCCCAAGCAAGTGGTTCTACTGAAGAAAGTATTTTGAAAATTATCGATAATGCAGGTAAACCAAGTGAAATCTTAAGAACCATTCGCGTACCAGGTACCAATGTTGCACACACTGTCAGATTCTTTGACAACCATTTATTTGCATCCTGTTCTGATGATAACGTCTTAAGATTCTGGGATGTTAGAACTGCTGATAAACCTCTATTCGTTTTGAGTGATCCTCAAAATGGAAGATTGACCTCCTTTGATGCTTCCACTGTAACCAATAACTTGTTTGTCACCGGTTTTTCTACTGGTGTTATTAAGTTATGGGATGTACGCGCTGTTGAAAATGCTACCACTGATTTCACAAATAGACAAAATGGTGAAGAACCAATTCAGAAGGAAGTTGCAAACTTCTACCATTCCGGTGGCGATTCTGTCGAAGATGTCCAATTTTCCTACACTGCACCATATGAAGTTATTACTGTTGGTGGCTCTGGTAATGTCTACCACTGGGATATGGAATATGCTTTATCCAACTATGATGAGGATGATACTTCTAATCTACCACAAGATGCAACTGAAGAATTACAAACTCAATCCTTAAAGTTTGTCCATACTGGTGTTTCAAGAAGATTAACCAAACAGAAGGGTAAAAAGAACATTGTTGCATGGCATCCAATTATCGATGGTTATGTTGGAACTGTCGATGATGATTCGTTAGTTTCTGTTTACAAACCATTCACTATAGAAGCTGAAAATAGTAAAGAGTAGGTACTTGGAGATGAAAAAAAAATAAGATTAATTAAATATAACTTTTGTATTTCTTTTTATCTTTTCTTTGAATCTCTATTTATCTTTTTCTTATTCTCCTTTCTGATACAATCGCACAGTTCTTCTTTTATCAGTGTGTTTTTTTGACACTCCCTTTCATTATTTAATATTTCACCTGTATACACATATATACATAAACATATGCATATATACGTAACATAAGACACACCTCAGTTTATTTTATTCAGATAATAAACGAACAAGCAAACAAACAAGCTTTATAAAATTATAACTTTTAATACTTTATTTTATAACTATTGCTGTAATAAGGAATAGAGGGATACTCTCCATCAACTCTAAATCATGTTTCCTCAATTGGTAAAGCTATTCCATAGTTTTTAGCAACTATGTCATTTAACGACCTTTTTACAAGTATAGACAAACCATCATAACCTTTACTACTGACTAAATCTTCTACTCCATGGGAGATACTGACTTAAGAGAATTGTATAAGCTTGAACATTTTTTTCTTCGCTATTGACAATATAGAAAATGCAAGAAATACAGATTATAAAAAATCTTAAAAAAATTTTTGTAGATATCACAAATAATCTTCTTTTTTTTTTTTTTTTTTTTTTATTTTTATTTTTTTTTTTTTCTTTTTTTGAATAAAAAGAAAATGATAATATACAGAAACGTAGAAAAAGATAGATACGTGTAGAAAAAGAATCTAGTGGATACGTACTTGACTGTATATCAAGTAAAATAAAACAGTGACTTTCAATTTTAGATGGACTCACTTCCTTCGCTTCCCAAAACATAGCTAATACACACATATAAATAATTTTTTTTTTATCATTTTTTTTTATTATTAACTAGCTGATCTTATTCTGTTCTCTTCCTATAAAAAAAACCATACATATCAATATACTATTCCTTATATGGATCAAAGGAAATCAACTTATAGTACATACGAATAGATCCATCTTGAAATATACTATCACATACATATAGACATACACAGACACATATAAACAGATCTGTATACATATACATATTCCAATACATATTAAAAAGCATTTTTAACAAATCACGAAGGGAAAACAATATTTGCTAGAAATATATAGCATAAACATTGTCGTATAAACTAAGAGATGGCATCACTTTTTCGACCACCTGAATCACATAGATCACATTCCAATGCACCAAAACTGAAATTACCATCATTAATCAATGATGTTTCCACACCATCACCAAACCGTCCTATTTTCAAAGATAAGGATGAACCAAAAACATCTATATCCTACAAAGAAAACGTATCATTAGATGTACCGATTCAAACTGACATGATGACCAGCGGGCAGAATAACACAAAAAGACAACTATCACCCAACATATATACACGTCCTACTAATTCAAAACCTAACCAAGCTCCTTCATTATCTTTACCAACAATATCGCCTATATCATCAACCCATTCTTCAAAATCACCAATCACTTTGAAAAACAGGCCTCTTCCTCCACCAATCCCACAACTGAATATAAATATAATCTCTGAAAGTACTTCAACAAAAACGTCTAGATCACTTTCATCTCAAAGAAATAGACGTCCATCTCCACCTATGGTTGATGAAGATTTGTCTAATGCATTGAAAAATATATCCATAACGGCAGGTTCTGAAACCATCTCGAAATTCCCAGTTCGAATGAACAATAATGATACACATATGAGTAATAACAACAGCAATAGTAGTAGTAACAATAATACTAGTAATAGTAATCATAATAGTAATAAACCTTTATATTTAATGGATAACTTAGCAGATTCTACAGACTCATATTTCTCCACAATTATTTCCTCATATGAAGATGGAACAAGTGAGAGCACAAACAATAGTCCACAGAAAAATAACACTAAATTATCTAATGTGATAGAGCGTGAGTCGCAAGAATTAGATTCTATACTCATTCAAAGAGATGTAGATCAATTAGATGAATCTGTTTGGAAAGATGCCAACATTAAAAATCAAATAGTCACATTAGGAATGTTAGGAGAAGGTGCAGGAGGATCTGTGGCTAAATGTAGATTAAAAACAGGCAGTAAAATATTCGCACTTAAAACAATCAATATTTTAAACACAGATCCCGAATTCCAAAAACAGATATTTAGAGAACTACAATTCAATAGAAGTTTCAAATCTGATTATATTGTAAGGTATTACGGAATGTTTAGAGATGAATTGAATTGTTCAATATATATCGCTATGGAATACATGGGTGGTAAATCCTTAGATGCAGTATATAAAAACTTACTGGCACGTGGAGGTAGAATTAGTGAAAAAGTTCTTGGAAAGATAGCTGAAGATGTATTAAGAGGGCTATCCTATCTACATGAAAAGAAAGTTATACATAGGGATATCAAACCACAAAATATTTTATTTAATGAAAAAGGTGAAGTAAAATTGTGTGATTTTGGCGTTAGTGGTGAAGCAGTAAATTCATTAGCGACCACTTTTACAGGCACATCCTTTTACATGGCACCTGAAAGAATCCAGGGTGAACCATATAGTGTTACATGTGATGTATGGTCACTTGGTTTAACTATTTTAGAAGTAGCCCAAGGCCATTTCCCATTTGGATCAGAAAAGATTACTGTCAATATTGCACCTATTGAATTGTTAGTCATGATATTAACTTTTACACCAGAATTAAGAGATGAACCAGAGAACAATATTAGTTGGAGTAATTCATTTAAATCTTTTGTCGAATATTGTTTGAAAAAGGATCCAAAAGAAAGACCATCTCCTAGACAAATGTTGAAACATCCATGGATACAAGGTCAAATGAAAAAGAACGTTAATATGGCGAAGTTTATTAAAAAATGCTGGGAGGATGAATAAATTATATTAATACGTTAAAGAAGTAATTTGTGAAATCACATTTACTAATATTCACATAACTTTTCAATGTACTTTTTTCATTTTTTCAGTTTTTTTTGCACAATATCTACACACACACACACACATATATATATTATTTACATGCATGCAGCCTTATGGATAGAGCAGAAATTACTTAGTAATATATAACTATGTTACTAATAAGTAAAAATGAATCAAGCCGTTACTGGAGCTTATTACGGTATATTCAACTAATAAAATATATGAAGAAAAAAAGTAAAAGATATCATATCTTGTAGATAAATCATGAGTCTAATATTATTTATTTTATTCCACAATTATTATAACTTTTTGATATCTTTTAACATGCTTTTCATTGTTGTCTTTATTTCACAATGAATCACCAAAATTTATGTTGAACTACCTCGAGAATCTTTAATAGTTTTGTTTGTGAACCCTCTCCTTCTCCTCTTTCTTCCTTGACTTCTAATATTTGTATCCTTGATCATTTGGATTTTCCCCATCTGAAAAAAAAAATAAATATTGCCTTACAAAATTATGTTTTTTGTGGGTAAAATCTAAGAATAATTTTAAAAACCCTACTTTTGTGTATTTTGGTTGGATCTCCAACACTGAACTTTTAGGTAAAAACAAAACAAACCCCCAAAAGCTTTAAAAAAAACAAGAGCAGATGTAAATTCTCCACTTTTTCTCCCCAAATAGCAACTGCATAGAAGAACGGAAAACAGCGACATCGACATCAACGACGACGGCAAACTCCACAGGAATTTAATTGAAAAAAGAAATAAAAAAAAAAAAATAAAAATCAAAATCAAAATCAGTCACTCGACCATTTTATTGATGACAAGGAAACAAACAGAAGAAAAAATCTTTGATTCTAAGTTAAACAGTGATATATTAAAGCTTGCATTAAGAATTTGAATCTAATTGTTTGTTCCTCCATTCTCTTTTTTGCATGTCTTTCTTCTTTTTGTTTTTATGATCTTGGCAGGACAACTTTAAAATTAGAGTGCATAAATCAATAGTAATACCAATATTGATCAACTTTATTGCCAAATATTCGTATCTCCCTTCTTTCACAACAACGCAAGAAATAACAACAACGAAATATTACCAATCAAACAAACATGAAAGCATTTACCGCATCCTTAACCAGATTACCAGTTAGATACAGTACTGTTCCAAGAACCATGGCCTTTGCTGCCAATTCCAGAATTATGTCTGTTCCTCAACCTTCTATTATGAGACTTTCATTAAGGACTTATGCTGATGAAGCTAAACCAAAAGAAGAAACAGAAAAGAAGGAAAGCGCAACCAAAAAAGATGAAAATACTAACTTGACAGAAGAACAGAAGCAAATCCAGGACTTACAAACAAAATTGGACGCTAAGACTAAAGAAGCTGTTGAATTAAAGGATAGATTGTTAAGAGCTGTTGCTGATTTTAGAAATTTACAAGAAGTTACCAAAAAAGATATTAAAAAAGCAAAGGATTTTGCTTTACAAAAATTTGCCAAAGATCTATTAGAATCAGTTGACAATTTTGGTCACGCCTTGGCTGCTTTTAAAGAGGAAGATATCAAGAAATCTAAAGAAATTAGTGACCTATATACTGGTGTTAGAATGACCAAGGATGTCTTTGAAAGCACCTTAAGAAAACATGGTATTGAAAAATTGGATCCATTAGGTGAGCCATTCGATCCAAATAAGCATGAAGCCACTTTTGAATTGGCTCAAAAGGATAAAGAACCCGGTACAGTTTTCCATGTACAACAATTAGGTTACACTTTAAATGATAGAGTTATCAGACCCGCTAAAGTTGGTGTTGTTAAGTTAGAGGATAATTGAATAAAGATTGGTCTTTTTTACTATATTACGTAACAATTGACTTCTCTTTCTCTCTCCTTCTTTTTTTTTATTTTTATTTTCCTGCTTACTTGTTTATTTTATCTTTCAAAATTTCCTATCTCACATCATTTCTCCCGCCTGTACATATGATGAAATGTAACATCTAGTATTATTATTATGATTATTTAGCTATGTGTTTATTGTAATGTATTTTTAATAATGAAATAAAAATTGTAATGTATATGCATGTATCAAGTTACAGGTGTTTACGTCTCTATATTATCACAAAGACAAAAAGTAAAAAAAGAAATACGCTTATGTGCATAGATGTGAGTATAAAAGAATAACCTTATTGTATTATCCAATAACTTAATCATCATAATTCAATTTCTATTTTTATAACTTGTATTACCAAGATTTCCCACCAACCTGATTAGTTTTAATCTGTAATTTTTACTTAACTGCTTTTTCCATGGCAACCGCGTTTCATTTTATTTTTTGTTTTGTTTTGTTTTGTGTTGTTTTCTTTTTCTTTTTTTTTTATTTTTCTTTTAAAGCAATTAAATAAAAGAAACAAAGATCAAACACAAAGAGAATGTCTTAGATATGAAAAAAATGTTAGACGGATAGTACGACATATATAGGTGAAACTTCGTATTTAAAAAAGGCACCTATTAAACCAATTGCTTGTTACTTTATAAATTACACTATTCTTTGGGATTACATCTTTGATATATATATATATATATATTGCAACATTCTATTATTTCATATTGTATCATTCTAATTATTTCTTTGCTTATAGTTTCTCTTAATTAAAGGAGAAAAGAGACTTGGAATTGAATTACTCAATTACTCAACAAAAAAACGTTTCTCCATGAATGAGTCAACAAGTAGTGTGAAAACAAGTTTACCTTATGACAATGATGAAAATAAAAACCTTTCTTCTCAACCTGTGAAAAAATACGTGACTTTTGGACCATATATAATCGGTTCTACACTAGGTGAAGGTGAATTTGGTAAAGTTAAACTAGGTTGGACCAAAATTGCTAGTTCCAATGAAATACCGAAACAAGTAGCAATTAAATTGATTAGAAGAGATAACTTAAAAGGCAATCCAGAGAAAGAAATGAAAATATATCGTGAAATTAATGCTTTAAAATATCTGAACCATCCAAATATAATCAAATTAGAAGAAATATTACAGAATTCAAAATACATTGGTATAGTATTGGAATATGCATCAGGAGGTGAATTTTATAAATATATCCAAAGAAAGAGACGGTTAAAGGAGAATATTGCATGTAAATTATTTTCACAGTTAATCAGTGGAGTTGGCTATATGCATTATAAAGGTTTAGTGCACAGAGATCTTAAGTTGGAAAATTTATTGCTAGATAAAGATGAAAATTTAATTATAACAGATTTTGGTTTTGTTAATGAATTCTCTTTACAAAAAAGATTGATGAACACATCATGTGGTTCCCCTTGCTATGCAGCACCTGAATTAGTAGTCACCACACAACCTTATGAAGGTACCAGGGCTGATACTTGGTCGTGTGGTGTGATTTTATTTGCCATGCTTGCTGGCTATTTACCATGGGATGATGATCCAGCCAATCCTGATGGCGATGACATAGCTAGATTGTATCAATATATCACTAGTACCCCATTAAAGTTTCCTGATTATATTAATCCATTAGCAAGAGATCTACTAAGAAAGATCTTAGTAGCAGATCCAAGGAAAAGATATACCATTGAAAGAATACGGGCACATGAATGGTTGGCCAAATACTATGATTTCTTGAGTATATCATCATATGATTGGGATGTTGCTGGAAAGTTAGGATCAACAACATTAGTATCCCCAAGAAGTACAACATCGAACCGTAGACCGAAGACAAGACCTCATTCTATGATTTCTAACACACACAATTCATTAACATCCAAATTTGCATGGGAAGAGTCTAGAATTGCTCAGTTATCGTCATCAATGCATAAATTAAATATTTTAAAAGAGGATGATACCGAAGATATGACAAAAACACCAAATGATGAACCGACTCTCAGTAATATATTATCTAAAGATATAGACATAAATCAAAACTTTCCTCCTCATGATTTAAAAACAACAAACTTATCTAATAAATTAGTTCATTCAAAGCCTAGACCTACAACATTACATATTACAATCAATCCATCTTTAGAACCTGTAATATTAAATGATAATAACACCACAGTGACTAATCTACGCAGCGGCAATAATAACAAATACAGTAAAACATATTCTAAGAAAAGTTTAAATCAATATGAACCCAAGAATATAGCTATAATAGACACTATAAATGAAAATAGCTCAAATATTGATACTAGTACAAACATAAAAAGCTCATTCCTACCGATCAAGAACCAAAATAATAAAGAAAATGACTATATTAACATTAAAAGGAACAGTGTTAATGTGAAAAATGTCCCAAATGATAATAACCCATCAAAAAAAATAATAAATAAAAATAGTAATAAGATAAACACTATTTCGAAATCCTCTGTAGAAACAGAATTTAACCCAAATAAACATGTATATACAAACAATGATTCTAAGTCATCTTTTAAAGCATCAAGTGAATCTGTTTCCATTACTGAAAAGAAGAGGTTTAGTTTCTTGTCTATCCATTCAACGTATAGTTCTGCTAAATCTAGTTTAAGATCTGATGAAAATGGGAAAACTTCATCTAGACCAGGAAGATCTTCTTCTATAAATACTAAGCAGAATAGTAACTCACTGCATATTTATCTGCACCATCCAAGAAATATATCATCACATCAAACTAGAGTAGATTCTAGAAATAGTGCAAAATATCCAACTGCTTCACCAAGTACAGTAGATGCAAACGATACATACAGAAACACTGGCACAAAAGAAAATTCTTTTACTCCTATTGATAATAATCTTAACCACGCATCAAATAGTATAGATAATAAAGAAATAGTAAGTAATACTATTAACTCCAATGCCACAACGAAAAAGAAAAGCAAACGATCATCAATAATGATTTCATCTCTAAAACCAGATAAAAAGAAAACGGATGCACCTATTAGACGAGATTCCTCAACTGCTAGGAAAGTTATTGATTTCTTTAAAAGAAAAAGTACCATATTATAATATAATATTCTTATAATTAATCATTCAAAACTGATAACATATATTAACGAAACTTTATATATATATCATACATATATATATTAGTATACAAATAAAATTTTTTTTAAAAAAAAAATAGAGCATTGCATTCTCTCTTTCACATTTTCAATTTGAAACATTCATTTTAAATATATATGAGAGTGACACTTGACTTTGTCCAAAGCATTACACAATTCAATCTGGAAAAGTCGAAGAAGCAAAATAAGTGATTGACAGTATGCCCATCTATAACATATAAAAAATATTACGTGTTTATTTTTTTTTTTACAATGATATATTATTAAATATCTTACTTATACGATATATTTATATAATAATAGTAATAACAGATAATTGATTGTATTTATAGGACTAACTTTATGTTTATATTAGTAGTAATGATTAAAAATAGCTACTTCTTATTACGAAATAAAAAAATACTTAAAATATCTTTATTATATTTTTATTTAAATATTAGATGGGTATAAGAAGATTCTAACGGAAGCACCAAAGGTCTTAGCTGGTAAGTTGTTTCTGAATTTAGCTCTAACAACACCGGAGTTACCGTGAGTTCTGGTAATCTTACCCCACATGACTCTGATCTTAGAACCTCTAATTTCCTTAGAAGCTCTGTAGACGTAAGCAACACGCTTACCCAAGTAGAATTGAGCTTCTTGTGGAGTAGCAACACCTTCAATCTTTAATAAAGAGACATTTGGGTTGTTAACACTCTTGGATCTTTGGTAGGATAAGTGCTTACCTTTGACGTATACTGTTCAAAAAAAAGATTTATATATGCATAATTTATGAGAATATTATAATGTAAAACTAATATGTACGGCATTATTCTCATAAAAGAACAAGAAATTTGTTAGTATCATTTTCCAATAATTAATAAACGAAATGACTAGCTCATGTAAATTACTTTATTATTATATTACTACAATCTGTCCAAAAAAACCAAAAAAATAAAGATATGCTTATTTTCTGTTAGATAAGAACAAAACTCTTCATACTTCTGAACCATTTCAGTCACTTGTTGAAATTGTCACAGGTTTATATTATCTCTTCAACTGGGAAAAAAACTTAAAATATAATACGCCTAATTTTTAAAATTCTGGGAAATCCCCATAATATCTCTTCGACTTAGTTCACACTAATGAAACATTCTAATTCTCTTCTTTTTTTCTTTTCACAGTCATTTTAATGCAACTATTACTAATATAACACATATTCTTCTGATATACACTCAACATTCAATATTAATATTCAAATACAGAGGTAGTCTCCTATTTTATTTCCAAAATTGATTATAGACTAAAAAAAAACATACATCTGTGGGATTCAGCCATCTTTGTGTTTGATTTTGCTTCGTCTTCTGGGTCCAAGGGGGGGCAAGAGAGTTATAAGTAGAGAGTTCTTAAAATCCAACACACCTAAGAGATATAGCACTTTGCATTCTATCAGTTATCGTAAACGACTAATCAGTTATGGCAAGTTACAGGTACTAACTAGTATGCACTAACAGGGAACCTACACAGATAGGTGGAGTATCGAACAATACTAACGAAATTTTCGCAATAATACAAAACATGTTGTTGTTTCTGACTCTACAGTAAAGAAGTTCTGCAAGACAGTTGCTAGAACACGATGGAGGAGTAGTAAGGTATGCTAGTAAAAGGACATAGACCTGCTTGGGGTGAATATTCTATTACTGCTTGCTGCATTGCTACGGTGCTACACAAAGAGCGAAAAGCGGGAAACACCTAGTTTACGGGTCTCCATTACTAGTTCTCATGTGTGTTGTGAGGAGTAGAAGTCAGACCTCCAATCTCACCTTCCCTCAACCCTCTCTCTAATTGGAAAGATGGGAAGGAAAAGGCCAGGCCAGGGTCAGGATCCCAGTTTCTTTGAGAACAGGCAGCTGTTGGTTCCCTGAGCTACAAGTAAAAAGTTGCTCTCCCAATCCTCTGTCTCCCACCTCACTCCATGTATAAGAAAATCGTGTATAGAAAGAAAATAAAGAGAGAAATCACGCGTAAATTGCATCTAACTAGGTCTGAGAGTCCATTAATTAACTGGTCAATGTGCGTTGTTGAAATAAAATGAAATGGACAGACGAAGTTTCTGATCTCATATTCCATGAAAAGAAAATTTCAGTGAACTCTTGCATACATTTAATTGAAAAAAAAAAACAGCAAAGCACTTTTTTATTACTATGGATGTATGGGTTTAAAAACAGTCTCAATTTTCTTGGTTATTTATTTTGTTGACGTGCTAAAACTTTTTATAAAACCCTAACATTTTCCATATAAATATCATACTGCACGATGTAGATTGAAAACAATAGAAAAGTGTAACCTGAAGTGTATTCTTTTTTTTTTTTCACTAAAGCAAGAGAATTCAATTTGAGTTAGAAAACATATAAAAAGGCGTTGAATGTCAGTTGCCAACGATTGGCTAACCTTCTTTCTTACTTACTTTGTTTTTCTTTCATTCCCTTCCTAAGAGAACTGTCGACGTACTTCAGTATGTGTTATACCCATAAGTTATTGATTTAAATGATGTGTGCTTCGTATGGTTGTTGTTGGTGGAAGGTGTGCATGTGTACCCTCGATTAACATAAAACTACACGAGAGCATACATTATTTCCTGGCCTATTTGGCAACTAATTTTACAGAATTTTTTTTTATTTGATTTATTTGACTAACACCTTCAACAGTAGGATCATTTCTATAGGAATCGTCACTCTTTGACTCTTCAAAAAAGTCACTGAATCCAACTTGGTTGATGAGCCGCATAGCCTTCTTACCTAAGAGTGAGACTTCAAATTTATTAAATTTAAAAATTAACATTAGCTTGGTCTGCAATCCTTAGCGGTTCGGTCATCTAATATTTTAAATTATCAAAACTAAATTTGATTTTGCCGGTTGCAAGTGGACTTATTTTTAGGTCTATAAAAATAATTGGCGCGATGATCTTTACCCTTTCTATGTACATCTCTCGTGGATGGGATAGAATATTGGGTGGGTAGGAATGGCAGTCTGACAAGTTTATCAACTTTTTATTTCTTTATTCCTAATTTAAATTTCATCAAAGGTTTGATGAATGATTTAGGGGTATGCAAATCATCAATACTGAATGTGTGTTTATATATATATGCACGTGAGTTTATATATGTATGTGTATATACCTATGTACACATGTGTGTTTAAATATGCGTTGTTGTGTGTGGATCACCTATTATGTACTTTATTCCTCATTGTATCTCTACCCGCTAGTTTATGCAATAATAGATTCCAATAGGTCTTTGCACTTTTTCAAAATAAACAGTTGGTCCATTGGGAAGCTGGTGTTTTCAATACTTTGTGATGAACTCCAAGCAACATAACATGGTTTACCATATTTCCTCGCTATAGACACTGCAATCTTTCTTGATACTTCACTGATCCAATCATTAACTGAAGATATTAGTGGTATATCCACGATGTCTTTCGAGTTGTACCTGGGAATCGCATAGTGATAACATTGTAATTTTGCAATTTCTTGTGAATCATTGACATTACGGAAAGTCAAAGATATGGGGATACGTTTACTGTTTTCACTATCAATATTATTTGGTATTGTAGCTATAATTTCTATTGGAACAAATACTTCATTATTTGATGCATCTCTTGATACAGTTCTCTTTACTGTTTTTACCAACATTGTGTGCTTTCTTCTTTTGAAATATTTGCTAGATTTCCCTTAACCAACAAATTCTACTGATATATAATAATTATTTTTCTTTGTAAATGATAATAATAATAACAACACTAGCAAATGATAACAAATATGCAAGTTTTTATTTATTAAAGAGATAAAATAAAAGAGACTTAACTATTTCTAATAAAAATACATAAAATTATTATGTAAATATTAACTCTATTCTTCACTAGTTTCTTATATTCTGAATTGCATCTATTCAGTATATACAGGAAATAAAATTAGTCTCCTTTTCTCCCCTTCTCGATTCTTTGGTTCCTTTGAACTGTTCTCTAGTATAGTTTTGACATTTTTATTTTCTTTTTTTATTTAAATTTTGCAAATTTTCATACTCAAAAGAAAATTTGATAAAAGATTATAACCGGCCATTGTTCCAAAGACAAACAAGCAAACATTGCATATAAAGGAAAGAACATTAAAACGCTTGTTGCTTTCAATTCAAGCTAAAAGTAGATCTAATTTATTGTCTTCTAGAAGCATTTACACCTAATCTTCTTCTTTGTTTCTATTTTTTTCATGCCCCCTAAGGTTAAAATCAAACATGACTGCATCTAAGATACCTGTTATTGCAATAGTAGCTGCACTATTACCAGAAATGGGGATTGGCTTCCAGGGTACTTTACCATGGCGTTTATCCAAAGAGATGAAATATTTTAAACAAGTAACCACAAATACGTTTGATTCAAATAAATGTAATGCAGTGATAATGGGTAGAAAAACATGGGAATCTATACCCAAAAGATCCAGACCCCTACCGAATAGAATGAATGTGGTTATTTCAAGAAGTTTTACTGAACATTTGATCTCTGAACAAATCAATGATGAAAATACACTTAATTATTATAAGATCAACTCTCTGCAAGGCGCCATCAAGAAGTTGAACATTTTCCATCCTAATATAGAAAGAATATACATTATTGGTGGTGGTGAAATTTATGAATCAGCATTTAATCTTATTGATCATTGGTTAATAACCAAATTAGAAATACTACCAAATGATGAACAGAATATGGTGCCTACCATGGATACTTTTTTAAACAAAGAAAGGTTAGTAAAACAATTTCAACAACGACCAAAATCAGATTTGTCTGAATTTCTCCCATTTGATGTTAAATTACCTAATTCAAATGAAGATAATGAAAAGGGTTATCACTTTGAATACACGCTTTACAGCAGAAAGTAGACATAATTATACTGCCCCTTCTCTTATTTTCAACCTACTATCAATATTATTTCAATAAGAGTCACACATATGTACGATGGGTTTTTAAGCTTGTGTAGTGTTTTATTGAAGATAATTTAATATTAAGTCTAATTATTTTCCCTCTCTTTCCTTTTTTGTTTTAATTGTATCAAATTAAAAACATCGTATGGTTAAAATATCTATTTTTCCTAAAATAGAAATGACACTAGGAATGTTACTGTAAATACTTATTTGGTTGTATTTTTATTTTAAGTATAATAATTTTTCAGCTGTAACAAATGACAAATTACGTGATTAACTATAATACCAAGCGTTTCTAACGATCTAGAAAATCTCAAAGCCAAGCCACAATGATTTACTTATTTATATACGATAATATTGCCTAACTCTACTAAAATCAGTTGTACCAATTCATTAAGGCGAATAATCAAATAAAATGAAAGTCACAACCTTCCAAGAAAACTCCTCTTATCGTATACACTGAGGTTACGACAGTAACTAAACGACAGCCTTGTATTACAGTCCTGTCTTTTGTTTTCTCGTTCCTTAAATCTGTCAAAAAATGGAAACTCCATTCTTGAAAATTTGTTTTTTTTATTTTTATTTCGATTTCTCGAGAATAGCGATGAGCTTTTACTATTGTGTATTGTTTAAGGATGATTAGCAACAGACAGACAGGCATATTACAATATTTGTATATTGCAACGTTGCCCAAAAAAAAAAGAAAAAAGAATACAATTTAAAGGATTATACTAGATAAAGCAAAGTATGTAACTAGTGATTGTTTCAAGTTACTAGGAATTGCGTCAATTTATTTTTCTTCTCCTCCTCATCCTGTGATTATCCCTATCCTTTTTTGTATTAATGATGTATGTGTTTTGTTTTTATGGAGGAATATGATTAGAATTATTTGATACGACTATTTCTCTTGTGAAACGATACCCTATGTTCAATTCTAATATTAGAATGTCTTAAAACATATATAAAGATGTCATAAACAACTGTGATATCTGGAGATGTTAAAATTACTTTGAAGCCACCTTTATATTTAACTACAATCAGTTTGTACCACTTGTACTATTTTCTCATGAATTTCTACCTTTCCTTCAGGGAATTATTAGTAGAAAAACCGTAGATAGACATTATTATAAATATAAATATTTACTACAAGATACTTGCTTAAAAGTATGACAGACTACTCTGAAACAACCTCCTGGACGTCTTTTTTGAAATCTGTATCCTCATTTTCTGGTGATTTATCTGCCTTTACTGCTCCACCTTTTATTCTTTCACCAGTTTCGTTATCAGAATTCTCACAATACTGGGGGACATATCAAGATTTGTTTCTAGCGATTGCCCAAATAAATAAACATAACCACGAAGCTTTTTTCCCTCAGATTAGATCAGTCAAATCACCAAATGTAACAAGAATGTTAGCTGTATTACAATGGTATTTAGCCACTTTGAAATGCCAATATACATCTCGTACCCAAGGAGACCGCTTTGAAAAAAAACCCTTAAATCCGTTTCTTGGAGAATTATTTGTTGGTAAATGGGAAAATGATGGATCAAAAAAGGATGACACTATTTTATTAACAGAGCAAGTATCACATCATCCACCAGTTAATGCCTTTTCTATTTTTAATGAGGATCATAATATTCGCATTCAAGGGTACACTCAAATAAAATCATCCTTTTCAAAGACTCTAAAACTAAATATTAGACAAAACGGTCACGCCATCCTGGAGACTAATGGTCACTCATTTCTCATAACATTACCAGCACTACATTTGGAAGGTATCATTGTTGCAAGACCATATGTAGAATTAGAAGATAGTTCATATATCCAATCATCTGATGGTATGATATGGAAGATTGATTATTCTGGTAAGGGTTATTTTTCAGGTCAAAAAAACTCTTTTAGTGCATACTTATACAAAAATACCGCTGCAATGGAGAAACGTGATAAACCCTTGTTCACAGTAAGTGGACAATGGTCTGGTGTCTCCACAATTACTGATGGCAATAAAGAAGTATTATTTAGTGATGTTTCCAAATATAAACCACATTCGTTACGTGTAAAACCAATATCTGAACAACATTGTTTAGAAAGTCGAAAAGCTTGGGATGATGTTGCTAGAGCTATTGAATTAGGTGATATGAAATTAATTTCACAAACTAAAAGTAAGCTAGAGAATGAACAAAGACAATTAAGGAAAAAGGAAGAAGCGGGAAACACACCTTGGCAGAATAGATGGTTTGAAAAGATCGATATAATCGAGGAGCAGATACAACCTGACTTGAATGGTAATACATATAACAAATTAGTTGCATTATCCAAAATGGCAGGTCTATCAACTAAAAATATCCAAAGCGGTCAAAAGTTAGGGAGTAGAGAACATAGAAAATGTAACACAGCATTACATTGGGCTTTTATTCAAGATAAATGGTTGCAGGAGGAAGATATCAAAGTATAGACCATGATCTATTGTACATATATCCACATTTATATATTTTTACATAATTTATTGTATATTCTATTAGTTATATTTGATCTTATTTGTTGTTTTCCAGACAGCCCAATGTTTTAAGTTACATAACAATTTATTGTAATATTGAAGTTCTTGTTTATTTCGCTTTATATAGTTTATTATAAAGTACATCAAGATGTTATGTATAGTATTATTCAACCACCACTAGGGTGACTAAAGAATCGCGTATTTATATCAGTATTTGTAGTTGATTATTTAGTCCAAAGATATCTGGTAATTCCCCCGCTGTTATTACTGAAATACTTTCAACCGAATGACACAAATACGTTTTAGATAAAATTTTCATGATTTTCTCGTAATACTTTAATAGGTAAGATGCGAGATCAGTTTTGAGCAATATACAGGCAACAAAAATGACCAATAGAAAAATGAATATGAAGAAAATTTAAGCCTGAAAAAATAACAATTTCAAAACCACTTCTTTGATTCTTTTGCCTCACAAAATATCTGACCTCTCATTTAAAAAAAAAAAAATATAAAGAAAAAATAAAGCAAACTATGCCAAGAAATCATTTAATTATTTTACCTTGTCACGGAATCTGGAAAATTGATTCAGCATCGGACGATAACAATTATGGTCAATTATCAGATCAGTGGTATTTAGCACCATTTCAACTTGAAGGTAATGATCACTTAGTCTTTATTAAGCAATCTTTAAAAGCGATCGAAGAACTATTACTTGATTATGAAAACAGTGTTATACTATTTAGCGGTTCTCAAACGAAAATAGATGCCGGTCCAATAAGTGAGGCTCAATCATATTTTCTACTGATGAAAAAATTAGTAAATTTAGCTACTACTAAAGATGGTTTCGAACAGTTGACTTCATTATTTGATATAGAGATCAGGATATTACTAGAAAACATTGTTAAACAACTGGAATCGAATAATATAAGTGTCAACACACTCTTTTCCAATGGATATATAAACACAGAGGAATATGCATTAGATTCTTTTGATAATTTATTATATTCCATACTTCGATTCAAAGAAATTACTCAGTGGTATCCTAAACATATTACTATTATAGGATTTGGTTTTAAAGAATCAAGATTTTTGAATTGTCATGCAAGAGCACTAGATATCCCTAAGGATATTATTCGTTATATTTCATATGAACCTGAACCTTTAAATTATTCACAGGAACAATTGAATAGATATTTTGAGAATTTGATATATATGGAAAAGAAGAATGCTCTTGGTTTGTTTGAAAATGATTGGTATGCAAGGAAAAATAGTTTAACTAAAAAGAAAAATGGCAGAAATCCATATAAAAGGATAGCAAGATATGATGGTCTCAAAATGTTTCATTTTAATGAAACAGAATTGACAGATAGTGAACATTTCAAAAAATATGTTGAGGGTAAAATGCCATGGTCGTATAAAGAATGGTAGGTATATAATAACTGAGCATTATAGAACTATGATTTTGCTTTATCATAATAATTTTTTTTTTGATAAAGTAAATCAATCATATCTATTATCCGAGCAATAAGAACTTATATAACAGTTAATATTTGTTGTAAATGATCTCTTTCTTGTTTCCATTGTTCAACATTATGCAGCTTCTTCTCCAAAACCTCTATTTCATTATCAATGGATGTTATTGCTTCATCTGTACCGAGTGTCTTCAATTCCCATTTACCCTCATTACCAGAAACTTCTAATAGTAAATCGTGGTATTTAATCAGTGAGGGCCTTTGGGAAATAGATATGAAATTAAAACGATACCTTTTTAACATATTAAACAAATAATCCTCCATGTCAACACTTATAGCATTTGTAGCCTCATCCAATATAATAAATTTCGGTTTATGGAACATAATTCTGGCAAAATTCATTCTTTGTTTTTCTCCACCACTTAACACATCTTTCCAATCTGCTACAGTATCTAAGTACTTCCAACCTCTCTCCCTTTTTAAAAGATAATCTAAACGAACCTCCTTTAAAACCCAAACTAATATTCTGTCATTGAAGCCCTTGTCGAAGAAATCATCTGAGGACATAGGATATATGATTTGTTCTCTAAAGGTACCTCCTCTTGAAAAATATGGTTTTTGTGGAATACAAATTAATGATTTTTCATCGGGTCTTGACAGTAGACCATATTTATTATATATGGGCCAAATACCTGCAATGACTCTTGCAATAGAACTCTTCCCACAACTATTAGGACCCAATATTAATAAACTAGAATTGTCTGCGTCGAGGAATGGTAAAGTAATATCGTTCATGGCTACTAAATCTTGAATAGACGGTGCTTTTGATGATACAGGGTCAATATGAGGTGGAATTTGGAAACTTAATTTTTTAATTAATTTTATTCCATGCTTACCTCTTAGTGATGGAATGATAATATCAATATTTTCTAATCTGATACCATTAAAATTATGCTGCACTGTACCTGCAATAATATCTTCTTTTTCATGCTTAATATACTTGAGCAATGAAGTGGTTGTTTCACCATTGTTTACTAATTGTATTAGTTCTTTAGTAGCGCCATAACTGAAATGTTCCGAATGAACTCTATGTAAAGCACATAATAGGGTAAAAATTCTATTGGTATACCCGGTCAATTGAGATATATCCTTTATTGAATGCATTAATCTAGAACCGGCATCAGCTAAAGAAAGCATCAATCTTTTATTGACAATAAAATCTTTCATATTATTTTGTTCATTTGACTTTGTTTTACTTAATGTAAAAGAAGACATTATAATTGGTATAGACGCAAAGATGTAACCTAAACCGGACCAAGTATATTTAAGAATGTAATCTTCAATCATATTATAATTGAATTTTCTCTTACTTACAATCAACATTTTGTCCATTAATGTTTCATATAATTGTTTGATTTTAGCTCTTTCCACTTCTGTGCCTTGATAAAAGGATATTTCCTCACTATTATTTATCATGTTAACATGATAATTATAATAATTACCATCTGCAGCAGAACTCTCACTGGTTAATTTACCCAATGGAGGTGTATAAGACCTTAATACATATCCAGTTATAAAATAGTTGATGAAGATACCGGCTACACCGACTGTGCCCAAATTATCTCTTAAATAAATGGAGAAAAATATCAGATCAATCACAGGTTTAGTAATATTAGCAAACACTGAGCAAGTTGCATCGCAGAATCTTGTTATATCATTGGATATTGAATTGTCGATATTTTTCAAAACAGAACTTGTTGATTTAGAATCGAATAATAACTTATAAAAAGCCAATCTATCATCAAGATACATATCATGGATATATCTTGTCAATTTGACTTTAAAATTAAGACTTAATTTTCGTTGTAGAAATTTTATAGCACTATTAGTATATGAAGCTGGTAAAGCGATTAAGAACCATATTAGTAAATCAATAAGGAATTTTTTACTTTGGCCTGAAATAATATCTCTTACAATTTGACCATCTAACCTTGCGACAAATAAAGATAACCAGGTTCTCATAATTAGAAAAAATATTTGTAAACTTAATAAAAAAGAATTTTTATCAAAGATTGAAGGTATTAAGATTTTAGATATAACGTTAATTTGATTTAAAAATTTCGAATAGAATAAAGAAGATTTTGTCTTTCCTATGTCCACACTTTTAAATATAAATTTATCGTGCTCATAAAGATCATTATTCTTTGGAGGGATATAAATTTTTTTCTTTTTAATACTTTTCTTTTTATCATAGGTAGAAGCATCATTATTGCTGTAATGACTATGAAAAGTAATATCTTTGTTATGTATCATATTTTTTCTGTTATGGTTAGTTTTTATTAATGATTCAAATTCTGATCTTTTTTTATTACTATTACTTTTATTATTATTATTGTTGTTGTTATTGTTATTGTAAGAATAGTCTTCTTTAATATACATTATTCTAGCACCAGTTTTCAAATTCATTTGAGATCTACTTCTTCTAAATAAATTCAAACTTTTATTTCTCATTTGATTCTCTGAAGAATACTTATAAAAATGAATAAATTTAGATATTAAATTAGATCCAACATAAGAAACAGTTGAGATAGATCCAACAACTATAAAAATTATTGAGACTAAAATCAATTGTGCTCTTCTCCTATGTCTTGGATGTGATATCGGCGATTTAATGAGCGTTAACAAATGTTGTAATAGAATCCTAATATATGTTTTACTATTAACATCTCCTATCTTTAAACCAATGCAATTTTGGTGTATTTCAATTAAAATGCTTTTAATTCTTTGTTTTACATTTAGTTCATCCATACTGTTCTTATTCTATTTTTTTTTTATATTAGTAGCCGTTGCTCGATATAAATTTCAAAAAATAATATAAACCTCAAAGATAATGCAGATGGTATATTCTTTCTACCATTTTTAGCAGATGTCTTCTTCTGTTTTCATACTATATATATATATATGTCCTTCTTTTATACCCGACATTGTGTCATTTATTTTCCATTTATGGCAACAACAATAGAAAGGACAAACAAACTCCGAACTTTATATAATAATATATAAACATTCTCTATCGTCATCTTCATCTTATTATATCAATTATAATTGCACAGATAATGTGTTTTCTTATCCTTTATTGTACTATTGTAATATCCCCACCAATGTGTCAGTCCCTGTTCTATTTGTCCATTGTTCTATATGCAACATCAATACTCTTCTCCCCTTTTCTTTTTCTTCTTTTTTGTCTCCCCCCCCCTTTTTTTTTTCTATTTCTCTTAATCATTTATCATTAAGAAAAGAAATGGATGTGACAAATAGTGTAAAGGAAGAAATGAACTCTATAAACAGAGAAGGTAAGATTATGGTGTGGAAGAAGAAGAAGAAGAAGAAGGCAGCATGAGGTTCTTACCTTCAACGAAAGCTAAAAATAAAGTCTTTCTGAATAACTTTAAATCCTTATGCAAAAAGTAAGAAATCATTTTTCACTTCAACCTAATTATCATTTTGTGATAATATTAATATTTTAAGGCCCAAGCATATACACAAGATATAAGTACAATATAGAGTAAATCTATTTATTCCTCAGTTTTTATATTTCAAATTACTTCTAGCATTTAAAAAAAAAATCAAATTCTGTTTCTTATTTTTTTTCCCATGTTCGATTCTTTTTCGAAACCTTTTCTATCAAAAAAATATCGTTATTATTTAACAAATTCTCATTTGAACCATCAATCGAATTTTATTCTATAATGTTCCATTATATTCTTGAATTTTCCTTTTTTTTTCTTTTGTTTTTCTTCAATGTGAGTCATTTGATATATGCAAGATCAATCTTTAAAATTTGTATTTAAATATTGGATCTTACTTTTTACTTTTTTTTTTTTTTATTCTTGTTCGTTTTTCCATCTTCTTTCTAATTCTTTTTAGAAACGAACTAAAATTTAGGATAGTACCAATAATAAAACAGCAACTCAGAAAAGAACATACATTCCAAAACTTAAACTAACTTTTTTTCATAAGTGATGACTATCGACCAAGATCCAATCAAAAAGAATTCACCTGTCAACAAGTATTCTACATCATTATTACATGATGGTCCATCATTTGATAGACCATTAATGGAAACTCTAGACCCAATTCAATTCAAATTAAAAAACAGTGATATTGTTGCCACTGCATTCCCAATCTTTCATTATTCCTGTATTCCAAAAAAATTGTTATCTTTGATGCATGAGGAATTCAATGCAGAGATCGAAAGAGGTGACACGTATCCTCAATTGGATCCTTTGACTCTTGATGAGTTTTGTCATTATTGGGTTCATTCGATGTGTGTTATTCTATTACAAACCGACAATCTTAACATTTTACAAGAAGATGAATCTTGTTAAATTGAAGACTGGAATGAATTGTTTTTGGGTACTTTTTATATTAAACCAAACTATATGCCACGTTGTTCGCATATCTGTAATGCTGGTTTCTTAGTCAATTCTTCTCAAAGAGGAAAAAAGATTGGATACCGGTTAGCCCAGGTTTATTTGAAATGGGCACCCTTACTTGGTTATAAATATTCTGTTTATAACCTTGTCTTTGAGACTAATGTCGGAAGCTGGAAAATATGGGATCACTTCAAGTTCGATAGAATTGGACTCGTTCCCAAGGCAGGTATACTTAAGGGCCACAAAGAACCTGTCAATGCTATCATTTTTGGTAAAGATTTAACTAAGGTGGAACCTGAATTATTTGACGACTTTCAATTGATTTAAAAGGATATATTAATTCTACAAGAAAGGAATGTAATTCGCCTTTTCTGCATTTTTTTTTTTATTTTTAGTTTTAATTTCCAATTCTAATCGTCTACCATTTTTCATAGTTACAGCAGCGTAACACACAGACAGCATTTACTCACATGTTAAACTTTTGTCAAGTTTTATTTATTCTATATACGTTTATATACTAGCATTATCATATAGTAATAATATTCGGCCTGTGTATGTAAAAGAAACATAACAGGATAATAATCTATTTTAATTTAACCTTTTTTTTATATAGTTGTTTGACTTTTAGTCAAGATATCTTTACACTTCTATTTAATCTGGCACCAACCAATCCTTTATGTCACTGTCAATCACCTTTCTCCCCTTTCTAATTTGAGTCTTGTATGACTTCCTTTCTATTTCTCTTTTCTTTTTTTTTTTTTTTTTTTAATTCTTGTGATGCTATGAATTTTCTCTAATGTGAGAAAATGAGTTGAAATAAAATGAAACAAAAAAAACAAAAAACAAAAAACAAAAAATAGAATATAGGCAAGTTCAATTTAACACGGGATAATCTTCACTTCGAGACGTTTTTCTTTTTCTTTTTCTTTTTTTTTTTTTTTTTGTTTATCCCACACGTTGAATCTCCTTCTTTCAATATATGGTATGATAAACATATATTTGTTTGATGCTCAATTCCTTTAAATAAAACTAATGCCATCCCCCATTTTTTGGTCTTTCCTCATTCAATTTGCTTTAACTTTCATTATACTAGCTTATTCAGTTCACCTTTGACAGTACGAGATAAGGAACAATTAAGTACTGTTGCAAGTCTAGGTTATGGGTGTTGCAGATTTAATTAAGAAATTTGAAAATATTGCCAAAGAGACTTCTCAAGAAGTCTCTTCTAGTGCATCTAGATTTGGATTGGCTAAAAAGGAAGTTGAAAAGGAAACAATTGAAAAGGAGGAAAATTCAGATTTAGCGGAAACTCCTCTACAAGAAGAAGAAAAGCAAGAAGACAAGATTGATGAAAAAGTTTCTGTAGAAGAATCATCTGTTGAAAAAAATGACACTTCAACAGAAAATCAAGAGCAAAATCAAGATGTAACCCAAGAAGTTCCAGTTGAAGAAGAGTCAAGACAAGTATCGGAAGATGATGAACAAAAGAAAGAGGAACAATCAGAACAAGTCGAACCTGCTCAACAATCAACTGAAGGTCACAGTCAAATTGAAAGAGAAGAAAAAGAAGAGCAAAATCAAATGGAAGAAAAAGACCAACAACAAGAAAGTGAGAAAAACACTGCTGAATCGACTTCTTCGAAGAATAAAAAGAAGAAGAAGAAAAACAAAAAGAAGAAGAAGAATAACAATAGCAACAATGATAGTGACGTTGCTACGAACAATGTTACAGCTAATGATAATGATGATAACAATAATAGTATTGTGGACAATTTGGAAGTTGTGGAAGATCCTGGACTTAGGCATCTCTAACTACGAGACTGATGAGATAGAAGCCATGACACAAGAGGCTAAAGAAGAAGTTTTTGATGAACTAGCCCATGAAAGGCAACAGAATGAAATAGATGACGTAAAGCAGTCGAAAACTGATAACTCAAGACTAGGCCGTGATGAACCCTTTGAATTTGGGAAGCGTGCTTTAACTGACGAATCAGATGTATGGGATCATAATGCTTGGGATAATGTTGATTGGGGTGAAGAGCAAATTGAAGAAGCCATGAAAAAAATTGAAGAACAAAAATCACATCCTGTATCAGATTTTGATAAAAAATTGTATAACGGCAATCCAGCTAGGTATTGGGATATTTTTTATAAAAATAATAGAGAAAATTTCTTCAAAGATAGAAAATGGTTACAAATTGAATTTCCAATCCTTTACAATTCAACTAGGAAAAATTATGGGCCCGTAACAATATTTGAAATTGGCTGTGGGGCAGGTAATACTTTTTTCCCGATATTAGAGAACAATGAAAATGAAGAATTGACATTGGTTGGTGCAGACTATGCTCCAAAGGCTGTCAATTTAGTTAAGAATTCAGAAAAATTCGATCCAAAGTACGGAACAGTTAGTGTATGGGATTTAGCAAATCCAGATGGAGTATTACCAGATGGAATACAACCACATTCAGTAGATATTGCAGTTATGATTTTTGTTTTTAGTGCATTATCTCCATCTGAATGGGATATTGCTATGGAGAATTTGCGTAAGATCATGAAACCCGGTGGTAAGATATTATTCCGTGAGTATTCATTTGGTGATATGGCACAAATTAGATTCAAGAAGAATAGGTTTATGGAAGATAACTTTTATGTTAGAGGTGATGGTACTAGAGTCTATTTCTTTAAAGAAGAAGAATTAAGAGAAATATTTACCAAGAAGAACTACTTTGTTGAAAATAAAATTGCTGTTGACAGACGTCTTCTTGTTAATAGAAAGAGAAAACTTAAGATGTACCGTTGCTGGATTCAAGCTATTTTTGATGTTCCAAAATAGTGCTATAATTAAATAGTTAGAAAAGCAAGTAAAATTAAAGAAAAAAAAACAAAAAAGATTATCTGCACTGAAAGCATCATTATTGTTGTATATATTACGTTTCTTTGATATATTTATCTACTTATTTATATACCCACACACTTAATATGTATCTTTATTGTGTCTTGATTAGCATTAAATGTAATTTTGTAAAAACACAATAATTATAAGTCATTTAATCTATCTAATTATACCTATATTATATTATGTATTGTTTTTAAGAGTGCCTGTATTGAACTATTTTGTGAAGAACTAATCTTATTCTTTGCATGTAAATTCGTCTTTTTTTTGTTGATTTTGAAAATCTTAAATATACACATAATATTTTTGTAAAAAGCATGACTCAACTATAAAAAACAATAAATAAAAAAAATAGAGTAAATAGTTGAAAACATTTTGATTGAGCTTTATTCAAAGGGCATATTAAATTTTTACGTATAATTTTGGATAGTCATACTATTTTTAATGGCTGAAACTTGTAAAATCATATTAAATGAAATTATCATCTACATTAAAGATGGTTTCTAGAACATACGATGATGCCATAAATGCGTTAAATTCTTTGCAATCGAATTATGCCAATATTATGGCAATTCGTGAAGCTGGAATTAGAAAAAATGAAATGAGTATATTAGAAATGAAGGAATGGGTTAGGAGAATTGGATATACCCCTACTGATTTCAATAAATTAAACGTGGTGCATATTACAGGTACCAAGGGGAAAGGGTCTACGGCTGCATTTACATCATCTATCCTTCAAAAGTATCATGAAAAACTTCCAAAAGTTGGTCTATATACATCACCACATTTAAGAACAGTTAGAGAAAGAATTAGAATAAACGGTGAGCCAATATCTGAGGACAAATTTACAAAGTATTTTTTCGATATTTGGAATCGACTTGATTCAACTAGTTCATCCTTAGAAAAATTTCCACATATGGTACTAGGCAGTAAACCAGGATATTTTAAGTACCTTACCTTATTGTCATTTCATACTTTTATGCAAGAGGGCTGTGATAGCTGTGTATATGAGGTGGGTATTGGGGGTGAATATGATAGCACTAACATTATTGAAAAACCAATATCTTGTGGTGTATCTTTGTTGGGTATTGACCATACATACTTGTTAGGAGATACTATTAATGAAATAGCGTGGAATAAGGGTGGTATTTTTAAAAATGGAATACCAGCTTTTACAGTATGTGATCAACCACCAAAGGGTTTAGAAATTTTAAAGCAAAGGGCATCAGAAAGAAATACAGACTTGAAGGAAGTGCCAGTTTTTGAAGAGTTGAACCATATCCCATTGGGTATTGCTGGTGAATTTCAAAAGTCTAATGCATCTCTTGCTGTCTGTTTAGCTGTACAAACTCTGAAGTCTTTAAACATTATAAATGATAAAGTTCCACTTCATAAAGAATCAAGATTACCGGCTAAAATAATTGAGGGATTGAAAGATACAAATTGGGAAGGCCGTTGCCAAACTATTAAAAAAGGTCGTAATACATGGTATATTGATGGTGCACATACAATAGATAGTATCTCAGCAGCATCTAGATGGTATAGAAGTATTGCTCTGAAATCAAAAAACAAACAAATATTATTATTTAATCAGCAGACTCGTGATGCATCAAAATTATTAGAGAATCTTCGTTATACTCTTGGAGAAGATATAGATTTTGACCTTGCAATATTTTCTACAAATGTGACATGGGAAAGTGGAAGTTATAGTGCAGACTTGGTATCAATGAACACCTCAAAAGAAGAAGTTGAAAATTTGTCAGTGCAACAAGCTTTAGTAAATGAATGGAAAAAACTTACAGGCAGTAACAGGGCAATCGTAACATCTAGTATCGAAACTGCTGTAAAAAAAATTGAGACATTTTCTGAAGAGCCATTGGATATTTATGTAACGGGTTCTCTACATTTAGTTGGAGGTCTTTTAGTTGTTTTTGATAAGACTGCTTCTGTGTAAGTGTGCCTCCTTTTTGAAATGATTAATTGTATTTTACATATATTTTAAACTAAAAACAAAAAATAGAAAACTCATAGTTGAATAAATAAAGAACTATATACATACATATCTACCTATTTATATATAGATATATAGATTCACATAGATTCACATAGATTTAGTTAATATTATATTATTAAAACTCTAAGGACGGTGTATCTGAAACATCTTTTCCAAACCATACCAACCAAACTTTTGAATATTTAAGGAAGAGTGGAGATCCTTCTTTATGGTAAGCTTCAATTGCGTTTATTGAGCTTTGAATATCCATATAAAATATTGAGATACAAAGTTTTCTGGATACCACTGGAACAACACTAATTATTTTACCAAATTTTGAAAAATCGTTAATAATATCACATACATTTAAAGGGTATAAAGGGATATTAAGTTCTTTGCAATGTGAAGATTTTTTTAATTTATCGGAATATTTTTTTAAAACTAATGAACGACTAACTTCTTCACCGTTGTATAATTTGAAATTTGGTATTGATTTTTCAGAATAATGATATAATGACCACTGGGGCTCTAAATGCACTCCATTTATTTTAAAATGAGACCTACAACCATATCTCATGAAAGCTTCTGCACCCATCCTATTCTTAAATTCAATTTGAACTTCCTTTAAAGTCCCTCTCTTATCATTATTGTGAATCACTCTAATTCGTTTTAATGGTCCTCCAACAATTTGAGAAATTATACTTGTTATACCAGTATCATTAGGGATATTTTGAAAACATATTCTAGTATTCAGATCGTTACTACACTCTCTGATAGAGTCATAGGTATTATTAAATATATGATTGAATATTTCCGCTTCCGCATGAATACTACCAGTTTGAGCAATTGCATGTGCATTTAAGTTAAAAACTAGTTTATCTTGGTTTTTTTGATAATTTGGTACATCTTTATCCAAGCATGTAAAATGTTTTATGCTATGAAATGTTGGAAGATCAGTGAGCTTTTTACCTGTCTTTAATTGTGGTTGATCTCTATTATTGAAAGCAGTATTATTCTTGGCAGATCGTAGTAAACCAAATAGCCTTCTGAAAGTTCTCTCCCTTCCAGTAGAATGTATACGGAGGGATTTGTTTGCTTTTGAGCTGGTTAATTGGGTATAAGGATTTTCATTAAAAATATCGACTCTTTGGAAGTTATCCATGCTTATTTAAATTAAGTAACTTTGCTTTTTTTTTGGTTCTCGTTTAAAAAATGTCTTTTTGAACAAAATGAAAAAAAATAGTAATTATGATTTCCCACATATCCAACTGTGCGTCTCTGCTTTTTATATCTTAAGAAAACACTATACATGTTTGTATCAAAATTTTTGACAAGGTTTTTGCTTAAATGCCATTAAATAACATATTATAGCAATAAATTACCATTTATATTATTCTTGCTATTATTTTTTATCATTATTAACAACAATTTTTTAATATTCTTAAAAAAATAAAATTGAACACGCTGAATAACACCTAATAATAGTTTGGTACAATAATCATGAGGAAAATTAGAAATTTTTAGACAATGATTTACAATATTTTGTTTTAACAGTACAATTTTTTTACTACTCACTAATAGAAGATCCATAAAAAATCTATAAAAAAACACTATCAACTAGTGATTAGCTTGTTACTTCTATAAAGTTACTAACAATATACTATACATCATATTTTTCCAGTATAGACATATACATATGCAATCTATAAACTGTCTAAAAAAAATATCAGATTTATATCATATTTTTACATCACACATGTCCCCACGACGTGAAGTTTCTAGTTTCATAAGTTCACGAAGTGCCATTGTAGCATATGCTGATACACCTAATTGAAATTTTAATACAACAGCAGTCTTTTCACCACCTTTATCTGGATTATATCTTTCAAGCTTGGTCTTCATGTATTTTTGACCACTTTCCATAGCTCTAGTATTGTTTAATATCTCCAGATCAGTGTTAACCAACTGTTGAGTGGGCTCGCTATAATGAATAATTTTATATTCCAGTTCCTTTGGCTTTTGAAGCAAATGTCTATAAGAGCCTGCCATTGAAAAATCACGGACTTTTCTTCTCATATCAAATGGATCCATGTTATCTTTTTTCATTAGATCGATATAAGATTGTTTTAATTCTTCATTATTTGGGTACAAGACATCAAAACCTGGTGTAGGTAAGACAACATCATCAATAGAATATTCACCTGAATCGATATCTTCCTGTGTCAAAACCTTAGCACGAATAAACTCAGCTTCTCTTATATCTTCATTAAAATCAACTTCATAATCATCTTCATTCATAATAATCCTAGTATCATTCTTTGTATCGATAACTAGGTCACCAGGGACTAATTTCAAGCCAAACAAGCTAATTCTTTTACTAGCCATAGAATTCCAAACATAACTTTGATAAGCATGAACGTACATGGTTCTTAAGTTTCTTGGAATTTTCATAATAGCACTATAATATGCTGTTGTAGAATAATTACCATTTTCCTCCTTTCTTTGATTTGATAAGAAAAAAAGAATGGCATTTTCTGCAATACACTGTCTTGGCATCTTTTTCAAAGCTGAAGATGCATCCTTTGTTTCTTTCCAAATTTGTCTTGCTTCTTTAGATTTTGGTAAGACATTATCTTGATCAGATAGAATTAATTCAACAGCCCCTTCCCAATTACCAGCAAGAAGTTCTTTACCAACTGTATGTGTAGAAATACTAAAAGTACCAAATCGTTGCATACCAAAATAATTGATAAATCCATTTTTAGTCAATGACTCACAACCTTTTTGAAGGGTTTCTTCCAGAGTTAAATTTGCACCTGAATCAAAAGTGACATCTCTAATTACAATGATAAATTCATTACCACCTAGATCACCTAAACTTAAAATAGAATCCTCATACTTAAAGTTACCCACAACCATGCCTTTTAAAGTCTTATTTAAAGCATTAATTCTGTCAACTCTTAATTTAGATACACACATTCTTTGACAAGTAACCCCTCTCCTATCTTTAGTACCAGCAAACCTCATTAATTTTGTTGGAACTCTTAAAAGTTTACAAATAACATTAACTGCATCCATAGTATCCTTATTTTCTTTATATAGAGTGAAATATAAGAAATCCTTCGATGGTCCATATCCCCAATTTTCAACACCATTCTCATCTTTGGTTTGTTCAATAAGTTCTTCTTTACTTACACGAGAATTCCTGGAGTTTCTAGCAATCTTAAAAGTATTCTGTTCAGTGGTGACAGACTCTAGCTCATTATTAAAAGCCTTACGAAGTAATTGATGAATCTCTGTCCTCACACTTTTATCAGCAAAGGACTTTACAGATTCCATTTTTGTTGCATGACGATAAACATCTTCAATTTTGGCAACATCATCTTCACCAAAAATATCAACCAATTGCTTTCTTAAGTGTGATTCAACAACAAAATTTTGTCTCTTTGAGATTTCTTCATCCTTTTTTGCTTTAATCTCTTCTTTAGATAATTCTTTCTTCTTTGGCATCTTAAAACCTTTATCTGTTAAATGTACAACATCACCATTTTTATTAATTTCGTTAACCATAAAATCAGTATACCTTTGCTTTATCTGTCCTTTAAATCCTGGTAAATCAGAAGATAAAAATAAAGCAATCCCTACATCTTGTTCTGTGATATCTGTCACATCCACTGCGATTGAAGAAACTTTAGATTTTTTGTTATTCGATTCTGCCGCAATTGTTGCCTCTTCAATATGCCTTTTAATTTGTTCAGACATTTTTAAATGTATATGTTTGAGCACTTATACCTATTGTAAACTAATAGTAGGAGGTTACTTAGATAAAGACATCTTATTAAAACTCGTATAGCAGTGATCCGACATGAGATGACTTCCTTTCATTTTATTAAAACATTTCTTGTTTCAGCGATTCCAAAAATTTTCTTCAAAGAAAAGAAAGATATAGAGACACCCAGACACATGCATCAAAATTTGAACGGTGTACACAGAGTGTACTACATACATCTAAAATAAAGTCATTGTGAAACAGCTTAATAAGATGCAGTGAAAAGTCATTTATTATCAAAGAAACGACTACTTATATTGGTATTCCTTTTAAAAAAAACAACAATAGAAACATAAACAGTGCTCGATTACCTTTTTTCCTTCCTTTTTACATACACAAGAACAATTAATTTTAGATAACTTTTATTATAATTAACATTATGATCCCACCTCCTCAAGAGATTACAACCATTCCAAAGAAGATAAAAAGTGTTGATGAATTAATAATTAAATGTCAATGTTGGGTAACAAACAAGGAGGATGGTGAGAGACTAGCAGAAATTTTGTCTATCAATACCAGAAGAGACCCCCCAAGATTCTACGTTCATTATATTAATTACAATAAACGTCTAGACGAATGGATAACAGGTGAAAGAATCAATTTGGATAAAGATATATTGTATCCAGTTCCCAAAGAACCTACTTTAGATAATATAAAAAATAAACGATTAAAGAAGAAGAAACAGACTACTCCAGTTGTGTTAGAAAGTAGTGTTGAATTAAAACATAAAGGATCTGAAGTTTCTGTTTCACCTGAATCTACTGATATAATGGACTTAGATAATTTAAATGTGCAAGGTCTTAAAAATAATAATTTGTCGCATGAAGATGAAATTAAAAAATTAAGAACATCCGGTTCAATGACACAGAACCCTCATGAAGTGGCAAGAGTTAGAAATTTAAATAAAATAATTTTTGGCCAATATGAGATTGAACCTTGGTATTTTTCTCCATATCCTATAGAATTAACTGATGCTGACCAAATATATATAGATGATTTTACTTTGCAATATTTTGCATCCAAGAAACAATATGAAAGATATAGGAAAAAATGTACTTTACGTCATCCACCTGGCAATGAGATCTACCGAGATGATAATATATCATTCTTTGAAATAGATGGTAGAAAACAAAGAACTTGGTGTAGAAATCTATGTCTATTATCAAAATTGTTTTTAGATCATAAAACCTTATATTATGATGTTGACCCATTTTTATTTTATTGTATGACTAAAAGAGATAAATTGGGCCATCATTTAGTAGGATATTTCTCTAAGGAAAAGGAATCTGCTGATGGATATAATCTAGCTTGTATTTTAACATTACCACAATATCAAAGAATGGGGTATGGTAGATTATTAATTGAATTCTCTTACGAATTATCAAAGAAGGAGGGCAAAGTAGGATCACCTGAAAAACCATTATCTGATTTAGGTTTATTATCATACAGAGCATATTGGTCTGATGTATTGATAAAACTACTGGTAGAACATGGTAAAGAAATTACTATAGATGAAATTAGTTCCCTGACATCGATGAACACTACAGATATTCTTCATACTGCTAAGACTTTGAATATTTTAAGGTATTATAAAGGCCAACATATAATATTTTTGAATGATGACATTTTAAAAAGATATGAAATTTTGCAAAAGAAAAAAAGAAATCATATTGATCCAACCAAATTGAAATGGAAAGTACCAGTGTTTACAGCATCACAACTGAGATTTGCCTGGTAATTTAATAAAGTATCAATATAGTTTCTTTTAGTCCTCCCTCATACACCATCCAATTTTTATATTAGTGTTCATTATTATTCAAATCGAGTCTAATTTGCTTTTTGTAAATGTATGAGTCAATGTAATCAAAATCCACTCATTTACACTCTCACTGTACAAGAATATATATTTAAATGTATATGTATATATGTGCATGTATAAATTGAGGTGTTTGTAATAATTAAAACTATATTCTTGAAATAATGTTTTTGTTTCCTTTTTGTTTCTTCCGACTCTTTCCCTGTAGACGTTTCAACCAACTATTTCCAATTCAACGTTCCCACAATCAAATTTATCTCTGTTAGAGTAGTAAATTCTTTTCAATTCATCAACGTAGAGTTTATGGTAATGATCAATTATAGTTTGATTTGGATGATCATATCTTTCTTTGATATATATTGGTTTCCCAACGACAATATCCAAGGGGGTTCTAAATGGAATCAAACCAAAATCATAATTAAACAAGCCCCTAGCGAAGAAAATAGGTATGGTAAAACCTACTTTTTGTTTGACCCAAATCTGAAATTTATTCAAAACAGACCCCTTTTCAGTCTCATAGACTCTAAAACATTTGGTTTCACCAAACCCAAACACGGGAACCAAACTGACATTACCTGTCTGTAAAGCCAATTTAATAAAACCTTTTCTTTTATTTAGAATCAGTTCAATGGAATCAGTAGAGCCTAATAATGACTCTCTAACGCCTCCAACCACAATACATATGGATTGGTTAGTGTCCAGCACCTTCAAAGCATTTTTCTTAGACACAGATGTTATCCCTAGGATCATCAAATAATCTCTATATAATGGACTTTGAAATTGTGTAACGATAGTTAGTAAAGACACAGGGATCCCAGGAAATAGTTTTGACCAACCACAGCCCTCGGTAGCAAAAGTAGCAAAGGCACCAAGAGCACCTATTCCATGAGGATGATAACCGAAGATATAACGAGGCCCCGTAGCGGAGAATCTTTTCTTTGGATCAATAAAAGTGGGAATCAAATTGCAGGATTTATGTAATTTCAGAGGGAAATAGTCGCATAAATAAGTCCATATGGGCAGTGATCTAAACCAGGGGGAATATCTTTTATATATATTACCGTTAGCAGGAGTCCTGTCAAAAACATAATAAATGAAATACGGTATTAGTAAGACCCAAAAAATGGGGAAGGACAGTAAGAAAAGAGTCAGAATAATGAAACCAGGTATTGTAGATATATGGAATGCAATAGCCAAAGTTTGTAATCTTCTTTGAAACGGAGTAGCCGGGGAACAACATGATTCCAGGACTGGTTTATTACATGATACTGAACCTGATGTCTCTTCAGAGATAGAAGTTTCCACTTGATTAGTAGTATCCTTAATTTCTTGAATCATATCATTATCTATTATAATAATCTTTTCATTTGTAACCGAACCATCTATTTGATTATTATTTTGATCGCAATCACTACTAGTAGTATTTATACTACTATTACCACTATTATTATTATTATTATTATTATTATTATTATTATTGTTATTATTTAATGTTGTAGTGTTCGAAATGATAGTATCATTACTACAACTATTACTATTACTATTTTTATTATTTGATTGATCATTTGTTTGACCTCTAAATCTAAGTGGAGAATCTGACTCATTTACTTTATAGTCTAATGCCATATCTCTTTCTAACCCTTATTTACTTATTTATTCACTCACTCACTCACTCACTTATTTACTTACTTACTTATTTATTTATTTATTTTTTCCCTTTATTTATTATTGTCCTTTAAAAATGATAAAAATAACAAATAAACATTACTAAAATCAAACAAATAAAAAAGGAAACTATAAAAAGTAGTCTTATCAACTTATTTTAGTTTATCCTGATTTCCCTTTATTATTAATAATTTATATTTTAGTAATTATATTATTTAACTTTCTTTAAGAAAACTATCCTTTTCTAGGGCCATAAGTGCTTTGACTATACTTAATTCACTTGCTATTAGTAACTGCCATTACTCTTATTATTATTTCTTATTATTGTTATTATTATTTACAGACGTTACTAATTTGACAGTACTGTCAGTTTCGCAAGAAATAAAAAAAGCAAAAAAAAAAACAAAAAGCAAAAAGCAAAAAAAACAAAAAAAGGAGATGGACCTGTACACCCACACATTCCTAAAAGAGAAACTTCCAAGATGTTTTACGCAAATTTTGTGCTTGCTTTATTTTTTTGTTCTATGTAGATTATATTACATCATATTGTAATTGTAATTGTAATTATGATTTTATATGGAGAAAAGAGCCATAGACATAATCTAATTCAAAATATATATATACATATATTTGAACATAAATGTCTGTACATGGTATATCCATTTCGTAGTTTTTAGTAGCTTTTTTTCCTTTCTCTTCCTAATCGGTCGATCGTTCCTTCATTCCTGGAAAAAGATAGATGTTACGATTCTTACAATTTTGATTCGTCAACAGCAAGAGACTAAATACGAAACACGCTCTGAACTTAAATCATATAATTATCCTTGTGTTAATATGAGAATGTTGGATAATTCTTCTTGTTTCACTTCTTCTTTGTTTGTTTGAGTTGCACGAATAATGTACTGGCTGTAGAATCTAAATTGAGGAATACTGTTATTATCTTACTACATCAACATATGAATATACGAACAGAAATATGCATTACATTACTCTACCATAAGACGTTACCACGAAACTTTCTGCCATTTCTTCGAAGCAAAAAAAAAAAAAATCCGGTTTCGCTGTAAGAACGAAATTAAAACGAAGCAAATAAAATCAGAAAAGATAAAATGAAAAAAGAAAAAAGAAAAAAGAAAAAAAAATCACATGACCGTAACCTTATTTACACAATTTCGCTTCAATGGAAAATCATTTTACCCATTTTGTCCTTAATCTATTCAAATTTGTAGGACAAATGAAAAAAAAAAAATAAATCCACGGAATTTTTAATTTGGAAAAACATTAAAAGAAAAAAAAAAGATTAGAGAGATTTTTTATTTTCTTTTCTCTTCTTATCTTTTTTTTTAGTGGCAGCGTTTAAGATTTTTTTCTTATTAATTTTCCTTTCTTTGTTTATTTCCTTGGGGCTTTGAGCTGGAATTTATTTATTTGATCCATCTATTGTCTTATGGATTATTCTCTTATGCACATTTCCTATTTTTTGTTTTATTTTCCTTTTTTTATTTTTTTCCTTTTTTTATTTTTTTATTTTCGCGTATCTCAATTGTTTTATCCTTTTTCATTCTTTTTACCAAATAAGAAAGCAGAACAATAAAATCTTTATTTTCGTTTTTGATCTTCGAACATTTCTGTGACAATTCGAGTCAAACAAATCTTTAAAATCACCACCAACATTGGGTCCTTCTCTCTAAGGAATAGTGATAGAAGAGGGGGATATCGGTGGAAAAGAGTTGGAAACAATGCCAAATAATACATGGACAAATAAACATCTCACCCTCCTCTCACCTTCCATTTCCTTGTCTTCCTTCCCACTTTATTTCAAAGATATATATAAATGGTATCTTATACTTATAGCATATACCTAAATCTCCTTCCTTGCCTTCAAGTGACTTTTGTTCTTCGATGTATTCACCTCTTCCTTCTTGTCTTCTTCTTCTTGAATTTTTATCACATTTTCGATATTTGGTAAAATATACACAGGTCCAATTGACCGAAGAGAATATATAATAATTTACTTTTTCATATTATATTATATTACATTGCATTATATTTATATTTATATTTACATTTTTTTTTATTTTATTGAGAAAAAATGACTAAGAAAACCTGGAATAAGAAACCTTCTAATAAATTAACAAGAGTCATTTCATGTTCATTTGTTATTATAGGTCTGCTTTGTTTTTTATTGTATACGTGGAATGACTATATAGAGACCACGGCCGTGTTTGGTAATAAAGCTAACAAACTTTCAGTTCCTTCACAAAATGAAAATGCTAATCAAGAGACAATATCCATTACTGACAGAATAGAGTCTAGAACTCGTATCACTACCACAATTAAACCTACAGTTACCACACCTTCATCTCCAACAACTTATAATAATGAGGCTCAAGAAAATTATTTGAAAGTTAAAGAACAAATCTCTTCAATGAGAAAGAAAATAGAAGTTGAAACTACTTCAATGAAAAAGTCTACAACAAATAGTAATAACCATGTATCATCTTATTCTCTAGATGCCACCAGCAAAGGTTCTTTTAACCCAATGAAAGCTTTACATCAGATATTGAATACCTCCCCAGTTGTCCTATTTATCGATGCTACCTCGATGGGTGACGAATTAAATAAGAGCAATTTGTTGAAAAATATACTTTTAAATAATTATGAAATTTCTCCCGAACTTGTTATTGTGGATCTTAATAAACATACAAATGGTAATCTACTACAAGACTATATCAAAGCTTATAAATTAAACGATGATGATGATACTCAACTTCCTTATCTTTTCATAAATTCAAGAAGTGTTTTAAACAAGACTTATAAGCAACATTTATTGGAATATCATGCATCGAACAAGCTTCTAAATAGATTTAAAAAGTTTGCTGAGGGTAAAGTTATATTTGATAAATTGGAATTGCCTTCAAACTCCTAAGTTGTTTCTTTACGATCAACATCATGTATTCAATTAATTTACACATATAAATTATATATATATATATATATACGTATGCATCCTTATATAGTATAGATACATTCATTTCCAATATATTCTAATACCATATTTATTACTTTTATTTTTAATTTTTTTTTAGTTAATCGCTACCTTTCTTCTCTTTTGTTTTCCACTTAATGCTTAATAAATGATATCATTAATCAAAAAAATACACTATATTATAATAACAAAAAAAAGTTCATAAGACATACAAACGTACATATATACGTATATATCTACATTGATTTATATAGATAAAAAACCTTATTTTACAAATAATCTATTCATTGCAGTTTAAATGTTTTGGAAAACAACACCTGGATTACCTGGAATAGCATTCTCAATAGCTCTTTGAGAAGCTTGTGGTAATTCAACTTCAGCACCTGTGAAAATATCCTTACCAGCGTTACTACCGTTAGGGAAACTGATCGCAACGAATTCTTCAACGTTCAAAGTTTGACCAGCTGTCTTAATCTTATCTAATGCGGCCTTAACTACATCAACTTCGTTGAATTGTAGTTCTCTGTGGAAAACAGCCTCTGGGTCTTCAGTAGCTAAACGTTGCTTTAATAAAGTAACAAATGGCATAGCTCTCTTCATCTCCTTTGGTTCAATCTTTTCTCTTATCTTCTTATTGTCATCAAGAGTTTGATTAGCAAACATTTCAGAAACAATTTGAATAACTTTATCTTGCCATTCTGGGAAGGATTCAGATATTAATAAGGTTAATCTTACTGGCTTACTAGCATCGACATCAGAGCCTTTACCCTTCTTCTTCTTTAAGGCTTGGCCTTCTGCTTCTCTAATACTTCTTTGCAAAGATCTGACATAGTCCAAAGATGAAAGAATTGAATTGTCAACCGGTTTAGTGGCACGTGGGAATGAAGCATTTTGTACAGATCCCTCCTTCTTTAAGACTTCACGGTAGATATAATCACAGAAGTGTGGTGCAATTGGAGCCAATAATAAAACTTGAGTCTCGATGTAACGTAAGACTAAATCTTTGTGCATGGTAGTACATGCATCACGGTAGTAATCTCTAGCAGCTTGGAAATCGAACAAACCATATTTCAAAGCATTCTTGTAGTTGGTTAACGAATATTGGTGATAGGTCTTCTCGATCAAACTATTCATTTCATATTCATAAGCAATATCGAAGAATTCAGTAATTGGACCAGTTCTTAAACTAGAGGCATCCTTAACAATATTTTCAGCCCATTCCTTTAAAGTGTACAATCTTAAAATAGCTGCATTAGCATTAGATTCGTCAAAGTTGGCATCTTCGATAGTATCACCAGCATCAGCTAAAGCAATACGAGAAGCATCAGCACCGAATTTCTCAACTGTTTGTTCTAAGGTCATGAAATTACCGGTAGACTTAGACATCTTAGCATTGTTCAACATTAAGTGACCATTGGCTCTAATACCCTTTGGCCAGAACTTCTTAGGGAATAGAGCAACATGTGTGTAAATAAAGAATGTTAAATGGTTTGGAATCAAATCTTTACCAGAAATAGAGACATCTAATGGATAGAAGTATTCAAATTCTCTTCTTAAGATTTGTAGGGATCTTAATGGAACATCAATGTTTTCAGTGTTGTCACTGTGTTGGAAGATGTAGTCAAAAAATTCGTTATTTAATTGTTCTGGCTTAATACCTAAAGGACCAACTTCTTTACCATAGTAGTCCTTAAATAACAAATGAGAAATGGTGTAAAATGCTTGGTAAATAGTAGAATCAGATAAAGATTCAACTAAATATTTTGGATCCCATGGCAACTTAGTACCTAGACCATAGGTACGAGAAACAGCCCAATTCTTCAACCAGTCAAGAACACCTTCAAAGGCATTCTTAACTTCTGGAGCAAAAAGTTCCATACCTTCCAGACATTCAAAAACTTGCTCTTTCCAAGATTCTTCACCATAATCAATGTACCATTGATCTTCCAAAGAGACGATACATTCATCTCCAGAACGAGATATAACTTGAGATTCTGGTTCATTGTAAACAAAGGCTTCACCAGCAGCAATCATATCAGCTTTGACCTTGTTTTTAGCATCTTCAACCTTTTCACCCTTATAATCACCATAGATCATAGTACCAGAGTAGAAATCCTCTTTATATGCTAATTTCTTAGCTGTAAGTAATAAGTTGGTATCCTTTGGAGATTGGATCTTCATTTCTTCACATAATTTCTTAGCAGTTAAATCACCGTACTTTTCTGTATGAATAATAGGAATAACTTTTTCAAGGTCAACAACCCATTCTGGGTTAATACCATAATATTCAGATTTATTTATTAAATCTTTAGTGGTCATCCAGTCATCTGGGGAATTACTTGGGACACAAGTAACAACACCAGTACCTTTAGTTGCAATAACGGTTTCCATAGGTAAAATTCTTAATTCAGAGAATACAGACTTTGGTGCATGGATCTTTGTACCAATAAAATGTTTACCTAAGACGGTAACTACTGGTTTGTAGTAACCTCTCTTTGGAGTTAATTTCTGGTAAGACATATTCTTGAAGGCGCGCTCAGTTGTGATGTAATAAGAGTCACCAGCGTCAAAAATACCATATTCAATCTTTGGAGAAACGAAACAACATGTTTGACCATACATGGTTTCCGGTCTTAAAGTAGCCGCAACAAAATAGAATTTCTTAGAGTGATCTAATTCAGTTACTTCTTCAATAATCTTCTTGGCTTCTGGAGCAAATTCAGTGGCTTCAATCTTAATACCAACATATTCTTGTGGAGTAACACCTTCACCGGAGGCTCTGTCATGGTCCATACATGCTTGACCATCCTTTTCAGAATAGACGGTATAACGTTCACCAAACTTAATCTTACCTGCTTCCTTCATTCTGATCATTTGCCATCTGATGAAAGCATCATAATATGGATTACCATCAGTGGTAATATAAGAACGTCTCCAATCAATACGTGCACCAAAACTGGTACAATCCTTTTGACATAAAGGTGGGAAGTAACTTAACCAATATTGAGCATCAGCAAATTTGTAAACTTCTTCCCTTGGAATACCTAATTGTAACATAATTTCAAATTGGTATTTACCACGACCTTTTTTGGCTTGAGCTTTGGATTTCTTTGCCTTGAATCTAGTAACATCTTCAGATTCTTCTTTCTTTTCCTCTTTAACTTCTTCTTCTTCATCTTCCTTTGGAACATTCATAAAATCTTTACCAAACATTTCAGCTTCTCTCTTTAATTTATCTGCACAAGCTAAAATTGGCATACCAGTACAATGGAAACCTAGTGGAAATAAAGCTCTCTTCCCATTCATTCTTTCGAAACCAATAGAAAATTCGACTTTGGATAAAGTGAAACAATGACCGGCATGTAAAACACCGTTCATGTATGGATAAGCCATAGAGGACATAAATTTTGGGTACTTCTTTTGTAATTCCTCAGAATCCATAGTGATTGGTTCATCATCAATAGATGGAGCGTCTAATTCAAATTGATGCTCTTCAGCCCAGAGCTTCTGGTACTTCTTTTCAATTGCAATAAGAGCATCTCTACGTGCAGTGTTTTCCAAGACTAACCTGGTCGACATTCCGTTATATCCTTAGATAATTTGTTGGATTTTATTCTTTCCTTAGAGTCTATTACGGTGTTCTTTATTCTCGGAATACAAAAAAATATATATAGATTAATCCTATTCAAGAATCGACAAGAAGTCAGAAAATGAAAAATTCAAGTAACAATTTAAGTAAGGTCTTAGAGGAATAACCAAGAGTGTTGTGAATTAACACCAGATCATTATGTCGACTTAAGACACTAATAATATATCAAGCATTAATCATATATCTGAATTGTGATTTTTCATAGAGAGATTGTGAATTTCTTTTTTTTTTGTTTTTTCTTTTTTTCTCTCTTTCTTCCTTTTTGTCGAAAACTTTTTGCAGAGATGAGAAAAAATTTTTTTTATAATTTCTTTTCAGCCGGAAACGGCTTTCTTCTGCTTTTCTTCTGTGAAGAGATACATACACCATGTGATGTACTCTCAAGAAAGAGGAATCAAAAGAAAAAAACATATAAAGATATATGGAATGATTACAAGGGTCCACTAACTCCTCCTTTTTTGGATATCAATGTTTTAGGAATGTGCCATACAACAATCTAAAATTACTGATTTTCTTTTTTCTTTTTTCTTTTTTTTTTTTTCAGTTTATAAGGTATAATAATAGTAATAATAACAATGACTTGTTAATAGACAATAGAAGGGTATTCTAAAGTAAAAGAAAACTTAACTTATGATATCTATAAAGTTGCCTACAGTTAACAATTATACACAAATCAGATATATACGTACATATTTCTACACTTGTGTGTGTTAATAAACATATAATAATAAAAGAAAAAACCTACTACTTAATAATATTGTTTTTTTTTTTCATTTATTTGTTCTATCATATCTGAAATCCACGATCGTTCAGTTGATGAATAGTCCATATCCATGTGGTTGCAGCATCATCTAAATTATTAGCTATACTACTGCTCTTAGATTCTACACCACCTGTAGTAAAATATTTACCATTGTCGCTTTCGTTGTCTAATTCTGTAGACATAGCACATCTTAAAGTTCCAATAGATCCTTGCTCATTAGTAACACCAAAGAAAAAATTGATTACTTGAAACAACATCCAGAAGAATATTCCTACAACTGGTAATCTTGTCCAATAACTAAATAAGTTTGTATTCATTACTAAACCTGGATGCAAGGATGCACATAATACGTCTGGGTTCTTTATAGCTAACATTTTTGAAAATTGAATTAATGCAGTCTTTGAAACTGCATACCGAAACCATGTAAAGACCATGTTTGGAAAATAATTGAATTGTTCACTCAAACACCAATATTTGTACTGTAGAAAATGTCCGAGAGATGATAATGTTATTATACGTCCATGACATGCTTTAACCAAAGGTAATAATTTCATTGTAAACAAAAAATGGGATATATAATTAACCTGTAGTTGAATTTCAAATCCATCTATTGTGGTTTCAAATGGTATTGCCATAATGCCTGCATTATTGATCAACACATCCACCTGCTTCTCCAATTTAATCAATTTTGCACACGCACGCTCTGTGCATCTTAAATCTCTAAGATCTAAATGGATATAATGCAACGAACCAAACTTACTTATATCGTAACAATTTATTATTCCATTCTTCTGCTTTCTTCTATATCTCACTTTAGCTTCCTCTATAATATCTTTAATAGTCTTATTTACTCGTTGAGAATTTCTGCCACATAAATATACACTAAAACCATGAATGTAAAGATGTAAACATGTGTAGTAACCTATTCCTCCAGTGCCACCTGTAATTACAGCAACTTTTCTTTCACTGATAGGATCGTAATATGGTAAAGTATCTGGATCAAACATATAAAATAATTATAATAAATAAATGAAAGAAGATATCATAAAAAAAAAGATTACAAATTCAACAGCTTTTTAGATTCTCTGATATTAATATACAAATCATCTAGCAATATCACCACTCAAAAAGCTTTAAAGATTTATAACGAATATCTTTAACAAATAATATTATCTCTTCTGACATTCAACTATTTGTAAATGTCATCAGGTTCGAATAATCTAAAATCGATTTATTTTTTTTTTATTGTTTTTTTTTTTATTTTTTTACTTACAAAAATATTTTTGCCGCTACCAAAATACCTGAAACAACATCTACATATAAATATATTTTAATACAAAAAAACTAAAAATCCCCTCGAGAACAAAAAGAATGGCAAATACTGCAAGTATCTTCTACAGGCTTCAAGTTATATGCCACACAGAACATTAGAACAAAAATTTCGTGGAAAGATTATAAGAGAAATCTACATACAATTGTTAACTAACCCTAATTAACGAAATATATATTCCGTTGCTCAATTCTTTCTTTTTTTTCAAGTCAAAAATGAATTATGAAGATATATTATTTGGTTTACAACCAATAATCAATGCAGAGTCAATAAAAGATGTTCCAGTGGAAGATGTTTACCTACAAAGTTATATCACCGTCATGGATCAATTAGCAGTGTCGTTAAGGTCTCCACAAAACAGAGATATTGTGAGAGAAACTGGTCTCTTAACACAGATATCAAGAGTCCTTGAAGATATACTAGATACTGCTGTCCATGAACCTGAAAATATTAATAATATAAAATATTGGAAATTAGCATCCGAATTAATAAGATGTATAGCAAATTGTCTTGTTGATAATGATAAAAATAGGCAACTTCTATTAAAAATATCTGATTCATCCTCGAACACTATACAGAATGTTAAAAACAAACTACTAGATTACTACCTAGTGAAGATTTTAAATATGATAGAGTTGCCAAATGATGATAATGATATCCTAAAAAATTTACAATTTAGATCAATTGTGTTATTACGAAATTTAATACTTCAAAATAATGATTATACTTTAAATATTGGTAAAATGTTCTTAGGTCCTGTTCTAAATTATTTACATAATAGTGAACATACATTCCAAGAAGAAACGGATAACACGGTCTTAGCAACTGATTTAATCCTTGACTTTTTAAAAGCTAAATGCACATATCCCTTTTTTATAGATTCATTACTATTTCTATCCACATTTTGTAAACGTGTCGCAACTGTACTAGAAAGTATTCCACAACAAGAAAATGAAAATAGTAATAACGATGAAAAATCCGCGAATATAATAAACAACGAAAATACTATAGAGCCAACTGTAGAAGAAAAGCCTTATGAGGAAGATCCACAATCAGAATTATTATTTAACTTATCTGAAATTCTTGAAAATATCATTTTACGAGAAGATACTACTATTGATTTCACTTCAAAACAAATTTTTATAGTACAAAATGAATTATTAACAACGGTAAAACTATTGGATGATAAATTTTTTGCTAACAAATTAATCGTTATGAGAAGACTTGTTTCTATTTCTGGGAATATATCAACTATACCAACAAATAAAAATATAACAGAACGTGAAATTTGTTACAAAATAATAATGGAATCTAAATCTTGTTACATGGTTGCTGCTGCTCTGATAATTTTGTCAAACTCTATTAATTCTAAATCTGATGTAAACGATATATTAAAGGAATTAACCTTATCCAATATTATAGAAGTGGCCAATTACATAAAAGATCCATTAGAATACCAAGGTTATTTAGATATTTTGAGAAAATTAATTAATATTACAAATGCTATATTGTTAACAAATGACGATGTGGTAATGTTGTTTTCTACATTAGCAAGTTGTTCTAAGCAAACTCAATTTTTCCCAAGTTTATCTGACCTCATGGACAGATTACTGAAAAAGATTATTGTTGTGTTACCAAGTGGGTCGATAGTTCGCTTACTTGATCAAAAAAATGGATTACCACATCAAGAAGAAATTATTGATTTCCTTACTGATAGAGATAGTTTTATCTGTTGTTTGGTAATGGACAAATTACTTGTAGCCAGGCAAGAGACATCTCAGACAATATTGTTAAAACTTTGGGATTCGATTTTTAAACTGCAGGATGGAATAAATAATAATCAAATGGCAAATGATAAAAATATTTCAATAGCCTTTTTATTCCAATTAACCAAGACCATTGGGATTTATTTACGTAACTGCATAGCAAATTCGTCAAAAAATCATGACTTAAATGTAATATTTACTACACATTTTGCTTCGTTTAGGGAAATAATGAAGACTATTCTACCCTTGAGACACAATTCTGAAAAAGGTAGCGAAAGTGTTTTCAATAATGGTAAATTTATAGCAGGAATGATACAACAATTACTTACTGATAAACAAACTAAAACAAATGAAGAAGCTATACTAAATGATTTATCCTTAGAATTTTTCACAAGTGAAAACTAAAAAATAATCTATTCTGCTGTTAAAAATATCTAAATAACTTCCTCCCCTACTCCAACTTCACCTACTTACACCATATAATGTTTGTCTACAAAAAATATTTTGAATACTCAATATAAATGTGAATCATTTTTTGCTATGTAGAACTGTTTTTCCTGAACAATCATACCGTCTTTTAAATCATTTATTCTGTATAGTAATTGTCTGAAAATTTAATAGTTTTACTGAATTTATTCCTTCAAAAACATATTAACAAAACACAGTATAAATTATCAAAGATCCATTAGTTCTTTTACTGTTATCATGCTTCTAATATGAAAGAATAAATATTACCTTACCTATGCACTGCTAATAATATAATGCCCATTTCTGTGTTATTCTTTGTGTATGTAGAAAATTAGATTTTGATAAAGTATATAGTATTGTTGAAGATGTGAGATATGATCTCATTTCCATTTCTGATATCTCTTCCACTCTATTCAACGATCTCACCAATACAAACAACAACGATAAAGTTATTCAGTTGTTATTCCTATATATCTCTCCATGTCTCATCATTGAAGAATTCTGAAATATCACGAAATGCTTATTCACATATTGTTTTTCAAAAATTTGGAAATCAGAAAATCTAAAAAAAAAAAAAAAATTAATATTGTAATCGCGAAAAATTTCGTTCCATAAGATTTCGTCATTTTTCATTAAGACAATACCATTTTGAACCTCATTACATTTTTATCAACAAAGATATAATCAACACTCGCATTATTTCCAATGCCAAACCCTAGATAACCTGTAACGCAATCACGAAAATCCACAACTGGGTTGGAATTTGTTTGTTTATTTTATTCATATGACTATCAAGTTGACAGTTAATATATATATTATCTAAATTTTTCATCTCACAGCATATGTTGAAACCCGAAAGGTTTCAACCTTCCGCTGAAAAGTTTAAATGGATTCTACTAAAAACAAATTTTGAGATTTCTATCGTTTTCTTACTGAAGCTTATTTTAAACTTTAAATTCAGTAAAATATTACGAAAAAAATAACACCAACCAGGGATTTCTGATATTCAATTGCGTAATATTTGAAAAAAAAAATCAAGCTTCTAAGTTTTTAATTTGACTACTTTATTGAACTAGCTTCTAACAAGAAAATCCAATACCAAAGTATTAACTTCTTTATAGTTGAGCCACATAAGTCTCGTCCGCTCCTTTCTTTAACTATTTTTTATATATAAATTTAACTTAACTAACCCTAGTCGCTCCTTTAATTTTTTTCTATTATCAATACTTTTATTTTTTTTATTATTTTCCTGGTTTACTACAAATTACTTACTTACTTTTAAATATGATTTTTAAAAAAGTTGCTATTTTATTTGCATTTGGTGCTACTGCTGTCAAAGGTTTGTATTCTAACAATACTGCTACTCTTACAACTAACTCTAACATCTTTGGCACTACAACCATTACACCAGATTATTCTGTTGAACCGGTTGAAAATGTGTCTACTTACGCTGATTCTACTACTACTTTTTATGTTACCAATACGATTTACAAGACTTATTATTACACTAAAAACCCCATTGTTTCTGGTACCATGACTTCTTCTTCGTTCTCAACAAATCATGAAACTATTGCTTCAACCAATGCTGCTGTGACCAACGCTCCTTCCTTTATTGATAGACAAGTTGCAAATGCTTCTCCAACTATGCCATTATATACCAACTCTACCACTGTAAACATCGACCACACCACCACTACCATCACTTCTACTCTCTTGACCACAGTGATTAGTTCAATTCATAACAGTAACACCAACAATAATTCTACTTTAAGATGTGTTCCAAAGACTGAATATGTTACTATAACTGCTTTTCCAGAGGTTCAATATGTTACTGTCACTGAAGACGCCAAAACATCATATGTAACTATTACAATTCAACCTACTGGTGCATTCTGGTCAAATTCTACTGTTGTTAACTAGATAACTAGACGTCCTGTTATTTGGTATATATGCAGCTTGATTGATAAGGAGAAAAAATATTGCAATAAATGATAATATCTACTTTTTATTCTTATTATAACTTTTTATTCTTATTATAACTTTTTATTACCATAGTTTTGCATATATCACACACATATATATTTTCAATACCTAAAATGGACTCTTCAAATGTAACTATTAAATCAAATTTTATTGTTTCATTTACATCTATTTTCTCTATAGTTTATTTTACGATATTTCTATGCATATATATATATATATATAGACATCTATATATGAGCAATATTGTAGTTTCAACTATTTAAATGTATCTTTTTTTATTATGTATTTTCACTTGTTCTGTTGTTTTAATTTAACGCAATCATCGAAGCCTTTACAACGTTTGTAAATATTTTTATGGCTGCATTCTTAGTTTCATCAAATTGCAATAACAAATCCAAATCCCTTATCAGCATTTTATAAACATCATTATACTTCTTCATTTGAACTAAAGTGTGACATAACAATAATAGACATTGAGCTGAATGTAAAGAATTTTTATTTTCTCGTGTTTCATTTATTAGTTTAGCGAGAATAGGTAGTGCTCTTGGACCTCTATCTACATTAATAAGTAGTTGACAAATTTCTATCACATATTTGAAATGCCAAAAATTATCTTGATATAAAGTTAAACATTGATCACTAAGATCGTTTAAAAGTCGTAAAGATTCATCCAATTCATCATTTAATATCATTTTTTTAATTCGTAAAAGATTTAAGTACATTTCTTGGTCATACTTTAAGGTTGGCAAATACATATTATTGACGATTGAATCAATATTTCTCCCATTATTCAATAATTCAAATCCCTTTCGAATTTCTTTATCAATTGGATCCATTTCATAAAAGAGCTCATAGACATCACTTATATCTGTGTAGCCCAAGTACCTCCAAATTTTAGAATAAAAATAAAAAATGGAATTATTGAAATCATCATCTAGAAGACTATATCTATCTTGTTGCAACGATATTATTAAATATTGTAAATTAGACTCTAAAAGCTTAATTAAATTTTTATTAGACTTAAGACAAAATAATGTGTCAGCTCTATACGCACCTTCAAATATTTGAGAATTATTTTGACCATCAATTCTTTGTAAACTATCTATTATCTTATTTATTCTGTCACGTATAGATATAACTTGTTTTGGATAATCTTCCATATACCTTAAAATGGTCAAATGTATATAATTTAACGTTTTTATATCTCTATTTTCTCTAGCTATCTTGAAAGCTTCTTCAAAAGAAGCCATTGGTGATTTACTATCACCAAAAATCGAGTGAAATACCCCAAGATGCAATAAAGATATATGGAAGTTTTTATCTCCATTCCTGGCTAAAATATAATCATAATATGAATGCAATTCATATAAAGCATCTTGATACCTTTTTTCATTAATGTAAATGAAATACTTTAATATGTGGATCGAGGGGAACATTGTGATATCGTTGAGTGTCACGTTTTCAAAATACTTATCTATTTCACCATGTTGTTGACTTTCATTTTTGTCTTTTCCTTGCACTGCTAATTCTATTTGGTAATTGATTATATTCTGGAAATGAGTATCAGATAGTATTATACTTGTATGTAATTGATTTGATGTTTCTACAGACATAGTTTTATTAATAAGCGACTTAAAAGTATCTATCATCAAATCTTTATCATCATTCCCATAGTGATAATTATCAGTATTGCTAATATCCAGATAGACCTGATTTTTAATATTTTTTTTATAGTCTGTTTCAATGTTGGATATAAAATTATATTTACAATTGTCAATTTCTGTTGAATACTTAATAATCCATTTTGATTTCTTTATAAATGATTTTAAGTTGTATAATAGCAACAATCTGTCATCAAAAGTTGAAAGATCAAGTTTTGTGCTACACAATGAGACAAAATTACCTAAATAACTTATTCTTTTATCATTATACCTATTCGATAATATACACTGCAAAATAAATAACTGGTCGATTGTTCTAATAGATATTAAGGATTTACATAAACACAAGCATATATCCAAGTTATTGGGTGATTTATCTATCAAATACTCTAAAATATCATCTAGACTAGGAAATAGCGGTACTTGATCCGATGATTGGAATACAATATGCTTCTTAATTGGATTAAATGGAGTTGATTTTAGTACAGAAGAAGAGATCAATCTTAAAAACAATCGTAAAGAAACAGATTTTGGAACAGATACATGGAAATAGATTATGATTAAAATGCAAACATCATAAGGTGTAGGGACCGTAGATTTTATAGTAAAATGTGTTGCCATTTCTTTATAAACTTTTTCTTTAATATATGAAAATAAAAAGAAATTAAAAAAAGGATAATGATGATAACTAATAAATAAGCAACACTTTTAATCAGAATAATTATTCAGTTAGTTATGATCTAATTCTTATACTTATTCCTTTTATATCTTAACAATACCAAATAGCAATTTCAATTAACCAACTTGCTATTAATCTTTCTTCTAAATAAATTTGACCGCAAGATCAAGTTTCCTAATCGAGTAATTCTAATCTTAATGTTGTTGATTTTTAATATAAATAGATTCACACACACACATATATATATACATCTTCTTACAAACTGGATATATTAACCATGTTTTAGTAAATATTATACTATATATTATCACAAACAATGACTATTCTAAATATCTATAAGACGTTAACACTAAAGCATTCTTGGGTAATGATCCTGGAACAGGCAATAACAATTTACATCTTTGTCTCTTTTCATTAACTTCTGTTATTAAAGCAAAGCCCATTACTGACGATTGTAATATTTGCTTTGGTTCAGTTCTCTTAGGACAGTGATATATAGTGATAATAGCATGTTGTAGATTTGGTTGATTCACTTCTACAGGTTGTAAAGTTAATGACTTTACTGTGTCTGCTGACATATCATTTTCAGTGTTATTATTATTACCGTTATTCTGATTATTACTAGGTATAGATGCATCCCCTACATTTGCTGAGCCATTAAATGTGTCAGATCTGTTATTGACGGGTAATTCCCATATAATTAAATCTGTGAAATCACAACTAGTCACATAGGGTGTTATGACTGTGTTCAAATCACCGTAGAAATAATCTCTTATGGCAAGACGTTGTAGCAATCTTTTGTATGCATCATCGTTAGGTATAACCCCAGTTAACTTTGGTAACTTAATCACAGAACATTTATTCTTATCAATGATTTTGTTTATTGGCTCAGCATTTATTGTAGTCGAAATGTCATTATTAGTATTGGCTGATAAAATAACAATTATATCTATTTTCATCTTGGAAATAATCATATTTAAAACACTTTCAAAACTTTCATAAGATTCATAAAAACATGATGGTGTATCAATAATACAACCAGATCTCTGAACTAAAGGATCATTATATAATCTTCTGTCGACAGTATCCAACATCTGTCTTACAGTATCTACATACCAATCAAAATTATCTTCTATCTTCTCGAAACCAAAATTTTTGATCAAAGGCTGCCTGCTGTGTAATTTAGTTGCACCACTTGTCAGGGATTCATTCCAAAAGGGAGATTGTAAATCAATCAAATCAGATATCGGTGTAGCCATGATACAACCTGGTGGGGAAACAATTGGTTGTTCCGGGTCTAAATTAATAAACATCGGTTGATATGCTTTATTCTTGATTGAATAGGACGAAAGAATTCTTGATAAAGATGTTTTTCCGGTGTTCTTATTCCCTAGGATTAAAACTTTAGGCCCTGTAAATGATGAACATCTCAATTTTTCAATGGCAAAATGCAAATTGTAAACATATTTAGCATTATCGTTGGGAGTAACATTATTTATGAATGGGTCGTCTAAAGGTATCATCAAATTGACTAGTCTCCATTTGATACGAGAATCTTCAATAGCCAGTACACTAAAATTCCAATCTTGAAAACAATATTCTACATCATTTGCTAGTTCTGTACCCAGTACTTCACAAATACCAGACAGAACAGTGATATAAATTTTGACATGCTGACCTACTAGATCTTGTTTACCTAATTCTAAAGACCATTGCATACCAATAGATAAGGTCAAGTATTGTGGTTCGTCTTTATTTGCCAATTTTACGTCTCCATTATATATATTAATTGGTCCATTAATTGGATCATTTATACTATCTGAATCTAAAGATAATGTATTTCCTGTATGACCTGGTTCCAAACCTGGGAGTGACATAATTTGATAATTCTTTTTTCTAACTAATTGTATTTTTCTCCATACATGTATAAATAACTAAATGACCAAATATGTATTTTTTATATGTTTATATATAAGATTCACATTTAGTTTGTTTTTAACATGTGATATTCAGTGATGTTAAAAAATCACAAGAGAGTGTTCTGGCATTATAACTTTTAGTATGTAATGCTATTGTCTTTGATATTAAAATTTTGAGGACTGCCAATCTTTCCTAAAGTAGTAATTTTCGGAGATTCCTTTTCTTTGTGAAAAAATAATTAAAATTAAAAGAAACAAATAAATAAAACTAAGTACTAATAAGTTACAAGACTGAAAAAAAAAAACATTAATATGCCATAGAACAAGAAGAAATATCATAAACATAATCTCCATTTACGCTGGTGATTGCTGAATATCACTTGTTATTTGATGAATAGTTTTTTTTAAGTTGGCTTTTTATCAACCTATTCTTAACCTTTTTAATAGAAACTAAAACATACACGTTTAGATGCAGCATCTTCATAGACTTTTTGATCTTTGCTTTTACTTTTACTTTTGTTTTCAAATTCCTGACTATTGAGTTCATCGTCTGTCTCATCTTCTACATGGAAAAAACCCCTCGTTCTCATCTTCTTCAGTGGAAAAAAGAATCAATGTATTTCTTTTCGCTTGTAATTTCTCTTGACCATTAATATCCTAAAACAGTAGTAAGTTACTAACAACTTCATCATCCTGAAATGTGTAAGTATTTAGAGCAATGATTTATCCAGCATTAAATGCTTTATTGATAACTATCAGAAGGAATACCTCTTTAGAATCTAACAATACTGCATAATGTTATTTAGTTGGACTAAATAAAATAAAAGAGTGATCCACCAGATACTGGCATTACAGGAAAAATGAACTAAATTTTTGTTTTTTACAGGAGCAAAACTATAATATTAAATAAACCCTTACTTCTTCTTCCCCACTTAAAAGGTTTTTTTTACTATCATAATTATCTAAGTGAGTTTACTACCATTAAGATCTCTCAACATGTTAATAGGAACTAACTGATTGTAAACCCTAAATACAGAAAATTGTGTTAAATTTTCATTTTGTTATTGTGAAAAAAAAAGAAAAAGAGCTATTTTCATGCGTGTTGATTTTTTTAAATCGTTTATGGTTTAACAGTTTAATGTAGACAAATCATTTTTAAAACTTCTTTTATCATTACCCTTATTAAAAAATTTGTCCAAATCATCGACACTTTAATTTATATATAATAGTATATACACATTGCACAGAAAAAAAATTTTTTTAAATTACGATATTCTCTTGCAGTTCTCCTATTTATTGTAATGAATATTTCAAAGATATGTCCTTATTGAATATATAAAACTTATCGCTTCATTCAATGTTTTTATTTTACATTTTTAATTTGAAACTCCGCAAATCTTTGTCAATATTAAAAGAAGGCAAATAGAAAGCACAAACTAAATGGAAAGGAAATAAAATTAACCTCTATCTAGCAATTCTTGAGATCATGGAGAATATATATACATATATATATATATAAGTACAAAATGCTATATTAATAAAAGGAAGATGACATATACAACCTTATTTACAAATCTTTAATAATTAACGAAGAGTCATCACCATTTCTTAGAGCCCATTCAGTCCATGACCCATCATACAATTTAATATTTTTATAGCCAGCATGTTCGAAAGCAGTTTTTATGATAGCACCAGTGACACCGGTACCGCACATGGTATATATTTGATTATTTTCTAAATCTCTTTCCACATCTTCTTTACTCTTAGTATTACCATTATTCTTACGAATAGCTTCAATAATAATATTTTTCATATCCTTTGAATCAGTTGGGAATTGTTTGGTCACAGGATCCAATACGTCTACAAATGGTAAAGATTGAGCTCCTGGGACATGACCAGAAGAGAGCCCAGGTCTTGGTTCTGAATCCACACCTTTAAATCTACCATTTGATCTTGCATCGAACAGTTGAATTTTACCATCGTGGAAATGTTTGCTTTGAACTAATTCCATCATTTCATCATACTTGACAACTTGTTCCTCCGAAATGTCTTTATTGATATTATAATTGTTGGTAGGTGTGTATGGGGAGAGTTTATCTACTGAGGACGTTTCAATTGGACCATTTAATTTTTGATATTCAGTGAAATTATTTAAAAGATAGACTTCAGGATGGCCAAACAATGCTAAAGTCCAAGCGCAACGAGGACTACTAAAATTACCTATTCTGTCGTAAACGACAAGAACATCATTAGGCAAGACACCGAACTGATTCATTGCTTCCGCGAATTTGTGAGCTGGTGGTGCCATATGAGGATATGGAGATTCGGTGTCTTTGATGCTGTCAATATCAAAAAAGATTGAGCCTGGGATTCTTTCCTGAGTCAAAAACTCTTCTTTAGCGTTACGATTCGCATTTGGCAAGTACCAAGTGGCGTCAACTGGTATAATTCTTTTTGCAGCACCAAGTTGTTTTGCTTGTTGGGCTTTTAATAATGTGATAAATTCTTGTGGAGAAATCAACTTGTATAACACGGACATTGTTTAGAACAGAATTGTATATATATATGTATGTATAGCTAAATATCTGTAATATTAGGTGATTGTGCCTTTAAATTTAATTGACTGGTAAATATATATTATAAAATAACACAAAACATGAACCTAAAAAACTCTACACATACACACACACTCAATTACTCACTCATATCTATATTTATATATACATATATATCCAACTTTATAAGCAATCATTAGTGAGTCATGCACTATTTTCCGTGTATCCTAACAATAAAAATGATAATAATAAAATTTACTACTACAAAAAAATTTTCCTTCCCGCTTTCCTACAGCAAAAAGAAAAAAAAAGAAAAGAAAGGATTAAAAAAAACGGAATTCATCGAGAAAAAAAATTAAAAAAAATTTTTTTTGTACCGAAAAAAATTGAAAAAAGAAAAGAAAATAAAGAGAAAATTGGAAGATTCGAAATGATGAGATGAGGAAAATATGAAAAAATAACAAGAGATTATATTTGGTAGAAATAAATGTGTATGTATGTATGTATGTGTGTGTGTGTGTGTGTGTTTCAATGCAAAACGGATAATTACACATTCTTTTTTGAGTGATCAAAGATAATGTGCAAAGTGTATCCACAAAGATATTGATATATAAGAATAATGCCATTATCCAAGTCGTTATCAAAGATACATAAAAACTTACATATCAAGAAGAAAGCTACAGGGAAAGACGTTACAATACATCCAAATGGTCGAAAATTCAAACAAATTAATCGAGCCACATTGAGAGAAGCGAAGTTACAATCAAAGAAAAAGGAATTTACAGAAAGAAGATCGAATGAATTAGCACGTGTTAAGTTCATTCAAGATTTAATAAATACACTAGATGAATATAAAAACTGTACAAAATTCGACGCAAATGAGATAGCTAGTTTTATTCAATTATTTATAAATAGAGATGATGAAGAGATTGAAGAATTTAAATCCAAAAGAAGACCAAATAGACCGCCACATAATAAACAGGTCTTGTTAGAAAATAAGAAAAAACTGGAAATGGAAGAATTTGATAAAGGTTTCCAAATACCTGATTTGACTTTAGAAGAAAATGTTAAATTTTTAAGGAATTGGAACGGATCATTTGGAGCCATGTCAACTTTAAAATTGATTAGAGTCAATTCTAAAGGTGAGATTGTTATCAATTAATTAAGTACATGTGTATATAGAAGGGTAAAGGAATAATAACGCATTATATGTAGGATTTTTTAATTTTCTTTTTGTCTGTTTTTATTTTTTATTTTTTATTTTTTCGTTAAAGAAAATAAACAGAGGATAAAGAAAGAGAAAAACCGATAAAGAAAGTTATATTATGTCTATGGAACCTTTTCACCTCATTGCAGTTAACAAATGGAAAAAGTGAAATGAACTTAAAGTGAAGTCTTTATCCTAATTGTTCTTAAAAAACTTAGCCTAGATTTTGCTTTTTTTTATTTTCCTTTCATTTTTTTTGTTGGTTTTTAAAAGTTTACATATGCGTATCAATTTAGACAATATTTATCCTACACATGACGGCCTTATTCTAAAATTAAATGAAACATGTCCTAAGGAACAACAGACAAAGGATCTGCAATTAAATAAAGACTATTCTAAGTTAATATATGTCAACAATGAAATACCTGTTGGCTATATAAATTGTGATTTAATCACCAACAGAAAGTCAGATAATGGGATATATGTTTATTCCATAGTATTACTGTCCAATTATCAAGCTGTTACTGATCTAAATATTTTTAATTATATATTAGATTATATCATTGATTTGGCCAAAACCAATCATCAACGCTATATTACTTTATATTTACCATGGGATTATGATACCAACCCCGTAAAATCATCCTTTAATGAAGTTGTTAGATGGTTCATAGACCACGGAGACTTCAAACCTCTATTTGAGAATAGTTTAGAACCCAATGAACTAGATGACTGTAGTGGAGCTCAAAAAATAATTTTAAGAAGACAATTATAAGAGATAAAAATATTACCCTATCCATATACACACACGCACACGCACACGCATATATATAGTTAGTTATATTACTAAGCAGCCACAACATATACAAATGTATATACCACCTTCGATTAATAATAATTTCTTCCTTATCTCTCACTTCTTTTTAACTGCGGTTTCCTTCTCTTTCTGTTCTTCTCTTGCATTTTCATTTCAGTCAATAATTTCAATTTTCAATTTTCAATTTTTTTTTCTTCTTTTTTTTTACATTTTCTTCTGAAAAAAGAAAAAAAGTAAGAAAATAGAATTTCATCTTTCTTTCTTTCTTTTTATTTTACAGACTTTTTCAAATGTTGAGAAAAGAAAAAAATTTTTTATTCTTAATTTTCAATGACATTTTACATAAGCTATACAAGAGGATCTCTGAATGATTATGTCAGGGAGATGAAGAATACCACAAGGTTATAAACTGTATCAAATTCCATTATTATAATTGAATTTAAGTGTCTTTGTCTATGAGAACAGATAATTGAGCTTTATTACCTTTTTTTTTTTTTTGAAGTTATACAAAAATAAAAAGAGCAAACCAAAACAATAAAGAAAATAAACAAATATATATATATATAGGTAAACAGATAAAGATAAAGATACATACAGCCAAAAATGATGTCTCACAATGTTAATAATATATCGAATATGGCTCAACAACAACTGATGCAAAATAGAGTCCAGGTTACCATTGCTAATTGGCAAAATGGTTCTTTACAAGATGTATTGAATTTTATTAGCAGAAATGCTCGCGTCTCCATAATGAATGCAACTGTACAAGGTTCTTTAGTCGTTGGTTATGTGAATAACCAACAGCAAGCACAAGATGTTAAAAAGTGGAATGGTGCAAAATTTGCAGGTAATAATTTGAAAATTGATATTGGCCCACAGTCTGGTTCAAATTCCAGTAATGGCACCTCAAGTACTGTCCAATTTCTTAGAAATCTTATTTACAAAAGATATGATCGTCAAAACAAAATGTTGAATTTAGGTGAATTGATCAACGATCCAGAATTGGTTAATAACAATATGTTTAGTGCCATGGCTAGACAATCGAAAGTCCTACCAGCTGTTTTAAAGGTTGCATCTAACGAAACTGAGTTAAAATCAATAGAAAGTTTAAACTTAGCCAATAATAATTTGAAAGATTTGTCACTAATATCCAATTTACATTTAATATTTAAAAATTTGAAAAATCTTTGCTTAGCCAATAACCATTTCAATAGGTTTCAGGTATTCAATCAATGGAAGAATAAATTTCCATATTTAAGAGAATTGTTAATGATTAATAATCAAATCTGTAATGATAGAATGTATCGTACAGAAATGTTGAATATTTTCCCTAAATTAACAATATTAGACAACACTTTAGTTCGAGACGAAGCTAAATTAAAATCCGTATTTTCAATCATGCCAAATATAAATCAACAATTAACTAAATTCCAACCATTTTTCTTTGAAGATCAAAACATTTCCAATATTTCTACTAATTTTATCTCCAATTTCTTAAATCTTTGGGATCAAGACAGATCCCAATTATTAAATTTATATACACCACAATCTCAGTTTTCAATTGCCACAGATTCCTCAGTTCCAAGTTCTACAGTCAAAGAAGCTGATCAGAATCCATCGTTTGGTCATTATTTAACTACATCCAGAAACTTTACCAAGATTTCAACACCTAAATTATTACAAGAGAGATTAGCTATAGGTCCGGAACAAATCAGTAAGCTTTTCAATTCTATTCCCAAAACCAAGCATTTCTTAATAGAAAATCCAAATGATTACTCAGTGGAGGCTGTAACATACCAACAAGTCAATGGATATTTGATTACTTTGCATGGCTATTATGAAGAAGTAGATAAACCTCTAAATGACTCTGTTAATGGTAATAATAATAATAAAAAGACTTCAATGAGAAATAAAAGATATCAAAATAGTTCAAATAATAAAAGACTATCTAAAAAATCATTTGATAGAACTTGGATAATAATAAACAATGCTTCTACTAATTCTATCATTATTGCCTCCGATCTATTGACAATTAGATCCTACTGTTCACCATCGTGGCATATTGAACAAACACCAACGCCAACGCCAACATCAAACCAACCTGTAATGAATCAAATTATGAATGTTAGTACTTCTATTCCATCTAATAGTACTGTGCCAATGACACCAGCAAATAATTCTACTATGATATCTCCACATTTACAATTACCACCTGAAATTCAAGCTAAATTAAGTCCGGTTCAGTTGGAATTATTAAACAAACTACAATTACAAACTAAATTAAATTCAGAATACACATATATGTTGGCTGAACAAAGTGGATGGAATTTTGAAACTGCTATTGTTGGGTTTCAAAATAGTGTAGGTAATTTACCTCCAAATGCATTTATACAATAATAAGTTATAGAGAGTTATATTATATTATTTATATATAGATAGATAAATATTTACTTTGATATATATATATATGAATAAATATTAGTAATATACTCGATGTTTAGGTATACATACGTCTATGTATGTTAGAAATTCGTAGGATAGTTAAGACTACTTAGTGAAGTAGATGAATAAAATAAGACAATTTTGACAGTGCTACAATTTTTTTTTGTATACAGAGTTATCTATAGAGAACAGAATAAGATGAAAAACAAGTTTCAAAAATATGCCAATGATTTGAATAATAGTATATACTGTTTTATATGCGGTAAATTCTATAAGTTAATATTTCAAATTCTCGGTTGATTCTTTAGAAATAGAGTGACCTGCTTCATTTAAAACTTTAGAAATTATGTTAAGTTGTTCTTGTGCACTATTCCAATCTTCTTTCCAAATTGCATCATGAAAACCTGGGAACAACCATAAGTCTTCCCTTAGAATCACACCATCATTACTGGTCTCAACAATATTAAGATCAATACCTTCAATAGTACCATAGTCAGTCCAAAAGGGTGGACCAATAATGATATTCTTATAGAAAGTTCTCTCGGGTAAACCATATTCATAGATTGTCTTTTTACCAATATGACTTAATTTTAAATTCCACGCACACCTTTGTTTTGATATAGACAACGGTTCTTCTACTTTGATTGAATGATTTTTAATTTTGAATTGGGAATGCCATTTTAACTGCCATTGGATCCATTCCTGACTCAATTTTTTCCATTGTAACAAACTTCTAATTATGTTTTTGAAATTTAATTGTCGATCATATTTGATCTTCAAGTCAAATACTTTTTCATTGATAACTTTAGTAAAATGTAATAAGTTGAATGGTATCATAGGAGCGTCTGTCAATCTTAATATAATACCAATTGTGTAATAAATATTGGCTTTAATAATATTTTGATATTTTTTTTTATGAAGTTTACCTTGTATAGAATCAAATGTGTCCATGAAAGAATGAACTGGAATATTTTTATTATTAACAATCTTTGATGTTATGGCTGCTGTTGGAATACCGTTTGCCAAAAACGGTGTCCAATCCCCATATTTACTCATTGTAGTAACATTCTTTGATAGTATTGACCCAATTCCATGAAAATTTTCAAATAGTGGTTGCAATAAGGGGTGTGCCATGATATCTATGTTTTGGTCTAATGACAATTGACTAATATCTATATAAGAATAGATCTCTTTTTGCAATCTTAAAGATTCCTTTTGAACAAATTCAGTGGACCCAATATAGTTATATTCACTACCACCAAATGATATAAAGTATATGCTTCTTAATGGGACCCAATTATATTTAAACTTTAATTCTTGAAGTAACTCCATAATACTTAACATATAAGTTAATCCCATATTTGGAAATAATGCACCTGGATGTAAAGAATTTCTTACAGCACCAATGATTATTGCTTTCTCTGGTTGTTCCCTTCCTTCAATTTTACCCATAACATTATAAATTGGTTGTCTTTCCTTTATCACACTGGTTACATTTATTTTACATTGTATATCATTGCCATTACCACTATACCAACCATTCTCAAAAAGGACAGAACCCTTTGAATCAAATTTAGATTGAATCAATTTTCCCTGGTTAGATGATATTGATATAATAGAAACGTATGGTAATAATTCAGTTCTTTTTGAATTCAAAAGGTCAAGATATCCATGAGATGAAGCTTGTACAGACAGAACATCGCCGGAACCATATTGCAATAACCCAGCACTCCTCTGTTGAATCGCATCATTAAAATCTTCACCGTATTCGTTTGATACAAATATAATACCTTGTGCGTTATATTTTTGTGCTAAAAGAATTTGCTCACTTATTGGAATTATATCATCTGGTGCAAAATGTAATAAAATAACAAACGGGTCCTCAAGCAGAAACTTTTTTGTTAATTGTAAATAATCTCTTTCAGTGCCATAATGGCCATATATGATATTGGTCTTGTTCAGTTGATCATTAATTGTTAACGAAACAAAATTTAATTCATTTAGTTGAATTTCAACAATTTTGTTATCTTCGTCATTTTCGGTGTTTACACTATTATAAAATAAAGAGAGTGTAGACTTGTTCATCAAATCAGGATAATTCACGTAACCCTCATACTTTTTATCTGCTACATCCTTTAAATGAATATTTTCCATATATTTTTTTATGTAATTTTTTATAGCCATGTCTCCTCTAGTACCTGATTTATGTGGCATAGAAGTTAAATATTGTAAATCTGTTTCAAATTTATTCAAATCAATATGATCATTTACATATTGTAGTAGCATATCATGATTAGAAAAGGTGGTTCCATTAGAGTATTCAAATATAAAGCCAGATCTCCATATAACCCACATGATTATGGATACAACAAGCATATATAAAAATCTTTTCAAAATTAGTGGGTTACCAAACTGAGTTAAATACTTATCCAATTTTCTTGTCATTAGCCTTTCAAATTCAGAAAGTGGTTCGATAATGCTAGTTTGTATTGGAACTATTATATTATGTTTTATCTTATTATAAATGGTATCACCTGAAGTAATACTACTATTAATGTTAGTGGTGCTACTAGAGTTGTTATTATTTATAAAGGGAAGGTTGGTATGGTCATCGTTGTTGTTGTCACCATTATTATCTTCATTAGTCATTTGTAAATTTTCCAAATCGAAGAATTCCATTTCATCTGTCTCTATCAAATTAACCTCTGTGGAATTTCGACTCATTTCATTATTTGTTTCTCCAATTATAATATCGTCTTGTATTCTAGAATATCGTCCTACCATTTTTTTTTCTGATATATTGTTATCTTTTTTCAGTGTAAATAAAACAAATTATTAAACAACATCAGTTATATACACGCAGATATAAATCACTATGGATTCCTGATTGATATGGAGTTGTAAATATTGGCAAAAAGATACGATTACACATGTGATTTACACTCCCAAACAGATTAATTTGACAGACAATATGCCTTTAAACAAATCTCATTGTAAAGATTTTTGTAACTTTTTTTTTGTATTTTTCTTTTTTTTTGATCTGTTGAATTTTTCATTTCTCGAAGAATAAAATATTCAATGTTTAATCTGTGCTTTCTTCAATAATAAAGGAGAAATATATAGTTGCATAGTTAGAGGTCTTTCATGAATATATTATGGAAAGGAGGTTGTGGTGGATTTCAAAAGAAAAATATATAAGAATATACAATATTCAGGCTTTGGTGGTAAAGAAAAGAAGAATTGTACTTTCATTGAGGTAAGTGAGTTGAAAAACAAGATAAAAAAAGGAAAAGCAACAACTAATAGAAACATACCATAAGAATGATGAATAATTTGAGAAATAGAGTTTCCAATCCAGGAACTGAGGGATATAAAGATACAAGGGTCAATATTAATGCCAATATTAATCAAGAATTATTGGCTGAACAGAAACAAGAGATTTATGAAGCATTTAATTTATTTGATATGAATAATGATGGATATTTAGATTATCATGAATTAAAAGTAGCATTAAGAGCATTGGGTTTTACATTAGATAATAAATCAGTAATTGAAATTATTGACAAATACGACAGTTCTGGTAACAGATTAATATCGTATGATGACTTTTTTATAGTATCTGGTGAAATGATAATGGATCGTGATCCAATGGATGAAATTAAAAGGGCATTCAAACTATTTGATGAAGATAATACAGGTAAAATATCTTTAAAGAATCTGAAAAAAGTTGCACAAGAATTGGGTGAAAATCTGACAGATCAGGAGTTAAGAGCTATGATTGATGAGTTTGATCTTGATGGAGATGGAGAAATCAATGAAGATGAATTCATTCGTATATGTACTGATAATTAGAAGACAGGATTAGTGTTCCCTTTGACATATTTCCTTATTTAAGCTTTGCAAAGGTAGACATGTATTGTTAAAAGCAAATCAATCGGTAAATAAATAAATATGCATATTAAAGAAAGAAAAAGAAAAGAGAGACAATTCATAATCAATTTTTGTAACTATTATTCATATTAATATATATTTATTACAATTTTTTATGGCGTTGTCTTATATTACTTTGCTTCATCTTTTTAATTTTTAGCTTTTATTAAATGAATCTTTAAGTAGATCAGCTGATGCTTAATTATTGTATAAATATTATATATATATAGCTATCTGATGGGCTTTGTTATCTTGTTTATTCTGGTTCTGAAGGGTATGTGTTTATGTTATATATATATTTTTTGTTAGATTCGTTTTTTCATCTCTTCTTTTAAATGGTAGTTAGATAAAAAACGATGAAAACCTTTGAGATAGCTTGATAGGAAAAAGAATATTGGTTATAGAAATATTTCATCTGAAAGAAGCAGTTCTATAACTGTGAGTAAGTCTATTACGATATGGAGAAATTAATTGTATTAAAATGTCATGGTCATATGCTTTATCCCCATATATTCTCCATCCAGAGACATTTGATGAGAATATAGTAATTTATTTTGATGATAAGGCTACTATTATTACTGATCAATTCAATAAATCAGAATATCATTTATTAATATTACCAAGAGATCCAGAATTAACTAAAAAGCATCCATCAATAGCTATCAACATTGAGTTAAAGAACAATATTTTACAGAAGTATATTATATGGTGCCAAAACTACATTTACGAATCCTTTGTTGGAAAATTTGAAATATTAACAAATGATCTAACTGATAAGAATTCGTTTATAAACAATTTTATAAAAGTTGGGGTACATAGTGCTCCATCAATGAAAAATTTACATATTCATGTTATAACTAAGGATTTTCATTCTATGAAGTTGAAAAATAAGAAACATTATAACTCATTTAATACAAGTTTCTTCATTGAATATGATCAATTACCCTTAGACACGATACCTGATAAAGAAGAAATAGAAGATAATGCTATAAAGAAATCTGATTTAATATGTAGTTACTGTCACAAAAATTTTGGTAATAAATTCAGTCAATTGAAGAAGCATTTGGATATAGAGTTTAATGATCATTTTAAAATTAAAGAAGCAGAATAAAAAAAAAAGAAAAATATAGATGGAATAAATTAAACCAACTTTATATTCCATATTTTTATGGATACAGGAAATTTAGAAAATAACAACAGGGAGTATAAGACATTTTCAAGTACAACCTTCTTCATTTTACTTTATTTATCTTTATCTCATTCCTATCTATATTCCCTATATATTTGCTAAAAATTTACCTCTTCATATATATAATGGATTATAATTTTTGATATTCTAGAGTACCTTCTAACTTCTTCACCTCAGCTACTTTTCTAACAGCCTTCATTAAATCTTCCGGTATAATATGATCACGATCATCTCTAATAGCAAAAAAACCAGCTTCAGTGACACAATTACGAATATCAGCACCGTTGAAACCATCACTCATTTTTACAGCGGCCTCAAAATCAAAATCACCATGTTTTTTAACTTTTGAAGTATGTATTTTAAAAATTTCCAATCTACCTGCTTCATTTGGTAAAGGAATTTCAATCTTTCTGTCTAGTCTACCGGGTCTTAATAAAGCAGGATCTAAGGTATCTGGTCTATTAGTTGCCATAATGATCTTTGTCTGACCCAAATTATCGAACCCATCCATTTGTGTTAACAACTCCATCAAAGTTCTTTGAATTTCTCTATCAGCAGATGTACCTTCACTGAATCTTCTGCCACCAATGGCATCAACTTCATCCATAAATATAATACAGGGCTCGTGTTCTTTGGCGTAGGCAAACATCTCTCGAATGATTCTTGCAGATTCACCGATATATTTGTCCACGATACCAGAGGCTGGAGAAAAGATGAAATTTGCACCAATGGTAGCTGCTACTGCTTTAGCTAATAGAGTCTTACCAGTACCTGGAGGTCCATATAATAAAACTCCCTTTGGCGGCTTTATACCTACTCTTTGAAAGATTTCAGGGTTTTTCAAGGGCAACTCTACGACTTCTCTTAATTCTCTGATTTGTTCAGTCAACCCACCGATACCATCAAAGGATATCTCACCTTGTTCGAATGTAGTCATGTTATAAACCAATGGGTCTGTTTCTCTTGGTAAAACCCTCATTATAGTCAATGTAGTGATATCCAAAGTAACTCTAACACCTTTTTTCAATTTTGTTCTATCAACAGAGTTTCTAACACCTACGATATAACGAGGACCAGAAGATGCTTTGACTATATATTTTTCAGTGGATAACTCTTTCATGACTTCACCAATCAGCTGCCCAATGGATTGTAACGCTTTAATATCATTTTCAGTCTTATCGAATTCAGCTTCCAAATCTCGTATATTTTGTCTACGCGCTTTCAATTGATCATCAAATCTACGATGCTCCATTAATTTCTTCTTAAACTGTGTCAATGCCTTATTATATGCTTCTTTTTCAGGATCGACAGATTCTGGGATATTAGAAGTCTCTTGAACAGACGAATCTTGAGGAGCTATTGAGTGTTCATTTGTACTAGTTTCTTCTTGAGCTTGATCATTTAAAGCTGCTAATAATGGATCTTGTTCCTCACTCATGTTGTGTATCTGCGTGCGTCTATGTTTATGTATTAATATTTATATTTATATTTGTATTTGTATTTGTATTTGTATGACTACTGGGAAAGACGTTTGAATGTTCAGACTCATGTACTATGATCTTCTATAGCATATTTTAACAAACGTATGTTTGAAGTTAATAGAACACACTCGTCAACCAATACATTATAATCCCCTTTCACTTTAAACAAGCTTCTTATCAGTGGCAAAATAAAATGCAAAAGAAAATGAAACAAAAACAAAAAACTCAATTCTTCTTTTCTTTTTTCTTTTCTATTTCTTTTTCTTTATTTTTTTTTTTATTGTTTTGGTTTTTTGCTTTTTCCCGCAAAAACTGCAGCTGGAGGTATGGGTGTTCTAAACACATCATTTGTGAAACACTCAGACATCAAATTTTCCTATTGTTTGTGGGTTTTATAAGTCACGTGAGCATAAAAGGCGGGTTTCTGACGGATTTATTTCTGCGCTAATTCCTTTAGAAATCCGAAAAAGAAGAAAAAAATTTTTTTATTTTTTTTTTCCATTTTTTGTTAATTGTTATTGTTTGTTATGAAGAGTATTATTATTATCATTATTATTATTATTATTATTATTATGAGCAAACGTGCGAAGCTTCGATGAGTGAGGGAAACTGTGAGGTGGAATGAAATGATGTGGATTGCTTGACGTTAGTTGTTGACGAACAACAGATCGATAGCATCATCTTCTTCGTATTCCAACAAAAGTACTACCGCACCTTGGTGTATATTAATTATAGTTGTTAGTGCTGGATTAAAATATACAGGTGATATCTGTTTTTTTTTTTTTTTTTCATTTTATTATTACTATTAATTTTTTTTTTTATTGTCAGTTGTCAATTGTTATTAGAATAGAGAGAAATCTAGATATATTGAAATAAAAAATAAAAATGCAATTACAAGCATTCATATTCTGTGGTGGGGGGCATAACTTATCGCCTTTTTCAAGTTCTACCTTAGGTGAGTTTAATGATAACCTGGAACAATCTGGTCTCAAGGATACTTCTAATACTAACTCTAATCCCACTGATACTACTGCTTCTATTTCTGCTACCACAAATATAAACATAGATACAAAGGCAAGGACAAAAACAACTAGTAGTAATAGCAGTGGTAACAATGATACAGCTAACAATGATGACATTGTTAACATGGATTTCGATTTAGATTTCGATTTCGATATTAATGATTCAATTATCACAGCAACCGGTCATTTACCAAAAGCATTATTGCCTGTAGCTAATCGTTTTATGATTGAATATGTTATTGACTGGTGTGATCAGGCAGATTTTCATGAAATTAATATTGTTGCTCATAAAGATGAAATCGATATTATTAAGTTTGGTCTTTCTGAATTTCTTAAATTGAGATATGAACAATACAAAATTATTGAATCAAACTTACATTCACATACTAATAATAATGGTGGTAGTGGTAATAATAACAATCATAATCATTGTAGTAACGGTGGTAGTAATTTGAAGATGGAACATTTGAAAAAAATTAATTTTATACCTACCAGTTCAGCATCAATGGGACAAATTTTGATTAATGAGCTTTTGCCTTTGATTAAAATGGATTTTGTCTTGTTACCATGTGATTTCATCACTGATATACCACCACAAATCTTCCTTGACCAATATAATAACAGAGACGACGATAATTTGGCAATCTCTGTCTTTTATCAAAACGCTTTGGATAGCACCTTGGATAAGAAAAAAATGAAGAAAGATCAAATCTTCACTGTTTATAACGATGATTTTGACCATCAAGAGGTTCAAAAACAACCAATTTTGTTGGATATTTATTCGAATGAAAATGTTACAAAGACAAAATATCTACAGATTAGATCACATTTGTTATGGAAATATCCAAATATTACTGTTTCTACTAAATTGTTGAATTCTTCTATATATTTCTGTTCTTATGAATTATGTCAATTCTTAAAGAAACCAAGGAAACAGCATCATAATGATCATAGCAATAGCGTCAATCATAATAATCATAATCATAATCATAATAATAATAATACCAATGGCGATACAAGTTTAGCTGATAATAACAATTTAGATGTCGGAAATATTAATGATCTTAATTCACAAAAGTTACCCTCTAATAATAGTATTGATAATGAAAACAACACTCATAAACATAAAAATAATGGTGATGATGATGACAATTCTCAAAATAGAAACTCATGTGTCATTAATCCATCATATTTCAAACATAACAATAACTTGTTGATTCCTGATAGCATTAACACAAATACAACTCTATCTAAATTATTTAGAGATTTAGCAAGAAGATCCTGGAGACATGTTAAAGAAAAGAGAGAAACTGTTGGTATTTTTATCCTACCTAATCCATCATTAGCCACATTTATTCGTTCTAATAATTTATCTACATTGATGGATGCAAATAGATTTGTACTAAAGATCAAATCAACTACATCGTCTCTGATTGCATCCTCATCTGCTATTGGTGCAGATGCATTGGTTGATCCATCTGTTATATTAGGTGAAAAAAGTTCTGTTAAATTGTCTACTATTAGAAATAACTGTATTATCGGTAAAAAATGTCGTATCAGTGGTTCTATAATCTTAGATGGTACAGTTATTGAAGATGAATGTATCTTAGAAAACGTTATTGTGGGTCCTAATGTACGCATTGGTGCAAAAAGTAAATTGACTAATTCATATATTGAAGGAAACTATGTGGTTGAACCTAAATCAATGATAAAGGGTGAAACTTTAATGAAGGTTATTGAAGATGAAAACGAATTTGATGAGGATGGATACGCAATATACAATGGATCTGATTATGAAGCTGATCATTTGAGCAGTGATGCAATTTACTCCTCCTCTGATGTTGATAGTGCAGACGATTATTATCATAACAGTGACGATTCATTCGATGATGATGTACATGATGCACATGATTTTTTTGAACGTTAGTTGTTAGGCTTATGTATGTTCACGTTAAAATAATAAATACAAAGAATAATAATAGCAAAGAGATAAAAAACATTATAATATAACATGTATTGTATATCGTGGAATGTCCTTTTTTGTAGGTTACTACTTACTTGTAACATAATATATATATTTATATATTTTCATAAAAGATAACATAGAAAATGGCACTATTTGATACAATTTAATATCTTTTATAATAAACAATTTTGATCCACACAGAAAATTATAAATTTTTTTACAATATTTATACATAAATATTAATCTACTCATATTATATTACAATATAAAACTCAATATCCAGTATTATTTATTTGAACAGTGGTTTTTTTTTTAGTCTTACTACAAAATATTTTCTGTTATTTTATAAAGATTTCTTTTTCTTTTTTTTATTTTCATTTCTTGCAATTCGGAAATTTAGAAATTATTAGTAAATGAAAAATTGTTAATCAAGTATATGTGGTAGTGATAATAATTATGAGAAAGTGAAAATGGGTAAATAATAATAATAATAATGATAATAATATAAACTTCTGGACTGCAAGTTAAGATATCTGATAAGATTTTTAAGTAAAAATCAGTTGACATATTCGGACTGTCTTTTTTACCTGAGTTTTTCAGTGTTTTGAAACATATACTAGAAGAGAAGAAACCAACACTTTATACCATTTTTCTACTTTTAAGATCATTGATATTTTGACTCTTTTTTATAATGTCATTCGCTCAAATTGTTATTGGACCACCAGGATCCGGGAAATCGACTTATTGTAATGGATGTTCTCAATTTTTTAACGCCATTGGGAGACACTCCCAGATCATTAATATGGATCCAGCAAATGATAACTTACCATATCCCTGTGCAATTGATATTAGAGATTTTATCACCTTAGAAGAAATCATGTCTGAACAACAGTTAGGACCCAACGGTGGATTAATGTATGCCATGGAATCCCTGAATCAATCCATTGATTTGTTTATTTTACAGATCAAGACATTAGTAGAACAAGAAAAAGCATACTTAGTCTTTGATTGTCCTGGGCAAGTGGAATTATTCACACATCATTCTTCTCTGTTTCATATCTTCAAAAGGCTGGAGAAGGAATTAGATATGAGATTTTGCGTCGTTAATCTGATTGATTGTTTCTATATAACGTCACCATCTCAATATGTTTCTATTCTCCTATTGGCTTTACGGTCAATGCTTATGATGGATCTACCACATATAAATGTATTTTCAAAGATAGATATGTTAAAATCATACGGTGAACTACCTTTCAGATTGGATTATTACACCGAAGTACAAGATTTAGATTATTTGATACCCTACATAGAAAAGGAGACTAGTGGTAGTCCGTTAGGTAAACGATACAGTAAATTGACAGAGACTATCAGTGAATTAGTTAGTGATTTTGGTCTTGTTTCATTTGAAGTCTTAGCTATTGATGACAAGGAAAGCATGATTAATCTACAGAGTGTTATAGATAAAGCTAATGGTTATATTTTTGGATCTTCGGAGGTTGGTGGAGATACTGTGTGGGCTGAGGCCACTAGAGAAGGTGCAATGAGGGAACATTATGATATCCAAGATAGATGGATTGATCATAAGGAAGAATATGATAAACAAGAGTTAGCAAGAAGAGAACAATTACTGAAAGAGAAGAAAATGGAGGAAAAGGAGATTGATGTAGATAATGAGGATGAATGGGATAGAGCATTAAGGGAATGGGAAGCAAAACAAGGAATGGAATATCACCGTTAAGAATCAAGCAATATTTTCGTAGCAATACTAAATGATGCTAGCAACAGTATTGTATGGAATAAATCATATGTAACATATAAATCTATTTATTAAATAACTATGCATGAAGGTATTGAAATATTCAACGGTGCCATAATTTATTGATTTATTCATCACTTCAGATATATGTATTTTTCCCTAATGCCATTAAAAACTTTCTACTTTAATAAATATGTGAACAAACTCTATTTATTAAGCATAGGAGTTACTCCTCAATATACACATCGTGAAGCAATAAATACCAAATGTTCAATGCAATATTTGTGGTTCTGTATCTGTTTGTCTTCGTAAATCGACTTCTTGTGTTCCACAATTGTTTTTCTTTTTCTGGTAACGACATCGGACCTCGACAAATCTTCCTTTTTAGGCAAAGATGACATTAAAAAAAACCCAGCGCCACAAAAGCATAAAACCAGCACCAATAAATAATAAATTATACCAAACAGTAATATCTATTTAATAGAAATAACAGTAACATAATTGACACATAGATTATGTAACGGTAATCGATATTTGTATATATATATAGAAATGGTTGTTGCAGAATATGCTGGTTTTGGGAGTCCTCCTTAGAGATTATCTCTTTGAAAATTCTCATTATTTGATTCTGATTTTAGCTTTGGCTTTGATATGTTTTGGTTAGCTAAAAGTTTTACTTAAACATTTCTATCCAATAGGTTTTGTCTTTTTGTAGCTTTTTTCATTTAGTATACGCATAAATACCAACTATAAGAACACAAGAAACGATGCCTAGAAAATTTTTAGGGGAAAAAATTGACCCTAATGTTGATGCTATTCGACCTGCTTCAATGACACTTACATCAGCAGATTTAATGAATATTCCAACATTTCAGTTTGAGGATGATCCTGTAAATTCGGAAGATATTGATGATCATAAATATGGTAAAAGATTATCAAGAAAATTCGGTGGTACCATGAAACTTAAGAAAACGTTAGAATCAGTCCCTGGAATTTTTATTCATGATTATAGGAAAAGATTGCAATTAGATAGAGAAACACAATTTCGATCTAAAAATAATAGCAATATTAGTGGTATTATTATCCCTAAAATTTCACTTTCTCGATATGGGAATACAAATAAATCAAATAACGAATTAAGACCAAAGAACTTGCAAGAGCGTAGAGTTTTACAGAAAAGGATTTCATCTAGAAAGTTATTTGATTTGCATGAATTGCCGGAAGTTAAAGAAAAGGTGATTAATGATGAACAATCATTTATATTAGATGAAAAGACAAACAATGACAAAGAAAATTTTTCTAAACACATAAAAAATCTTAATGATATAACTACTTCTAATAACAACGATAGTGAGATATTTCAGGATATTATTTCTTGTTATAATAGTGAAGAAAAGATTGCAAATAAACAACAGGCAACTGTTTTTAATCGTGAATTAGAAAGAGTTTTAAGTCATGTTGTCAAAATTGATAATATGAATAAGATGCAAAGGGAATTTGGAGCAAAAGATATAAATCATTTATGTTTACCTACAAAAATAAATAATATGCCGTTAACTCCAACATTTAATTCAATTGACACACAGTTAAATGTACTTGATGGTTGTAATGAATTTACAGAATCTACTCCTTCTAGTTCTATGACAGAGAGAACATATTCCTTGAATTCACCGAACTTATCTGCAACCATAGATTCAAATTCTGCATATAATACAGCATTGGAAGACTTTGATTCTTTGACCGATTTATCTATTACAAAGATTCCGTCTGCTATAAGTGATGAAGATACGAAAAAGTATTTATCGCAAGGTTTATGTACTATGTCTTTAAATGTTCAGAATAATACCAGAAGAACTAATCAAATCAAGGTCTTGAGGTTAAGAAAAATTGAAATAAAACCTACAATTGCAACGTTAGATTATTCAAATGGAAATGATACGGAGTTGGAGGAAGATGATTATATTATTTCACCTCAGTATCCTACAAAACAATCATTAATGGTCCATCCTAGAGTTGATACCATTCAACAATTACAGGAAAAAATAGATCATATTAAGTTAGCAAAACAAAATACAATTCTATCCTTATCCAGTAGTGTATATTCGGAACGCTAGTACCTATACTTTATTCTATTTACTAAATGTTTAAAATACTATCACGATCCGCTATTTATCACATTGTTGATAATAGTATTTTACATATAGTTAATAATAATGTGGGCAAATACCAAGATTGCAATAATCATTGTAAGCCCATTAAGTATAGTTTAATGTAATTATATTCATTATATAAATAGTTAGCAGCATTATACCCTAAAAGTTTTTATTATGAATAGGTTGTAGGATATGGTATGTCTTTATAAGTTGTTGTTTGGTGCAACACGCTATACAGTATGGTATACCAGGCATTGGATATGATTCAAGCAAAAAAATAATTATTTATGGGATACCTTACAGTATTGTGTCATGCGTCCTGGGATGTAAATTTGATAAAGTTGTTTCTCCTTTGTATAGAGTCTTCTTCCTTGTTTCCTTTCTTTTCTTTTCCTTTTATTTTATTTTATTTTATTCTAGATAGGTGGTAAAATTCAAAGATTAAAAAACTCACAAGACAGCTGAAAGATTGTGTACGCACACCCTAGCGATAATAGGTTTGAAAGAGTACTATTACAATATTAAGATACAATTTAACTAGAGTTAGAAATTACGTCAGGATATTGATTTTGTCATAGTGTTAACAAGATAGTAAACAAGAGGAAGCATATCTATCCAATTTTAACTTATTATATACTATTGACATAACTTAACAACTAATTTTCAGAGATGGCACCAACTCAATTAGAGATTAAGGTTAAATCTTTACAAAGATTAATGAAGGAAGAAAACTACTATATTCAGGAGAAGAAAGATCAGAAAGAACTTCTTGAAAAATTAGAAGCAGATAAGGAGGTTGATCCATATGAGTTAAAGAAACAAAAAGAAATTTTAGAGGATACAGAAAGATTGTTACCTATATTATACAATAAAATCAGACAATTTAAAGAAGATTTAGAAGAATATTTAAAAACATATGAAGGTGATGAAAACACTGATCTGGCTGTGACTATGGTTTCCAAAGCCAATGATATGTTAGCATCAAAGGTATGATTTTGCTCTTCCCTGTTGATTTGGTCTGGTATATATATGTATATATGTGTTTAATTGCAACATAGCTATAAACGAAGGTTCTCCCAAAACTGATAATCTATTACATCAATAATTCTAATATTATATATAGTTATAAAAACAATAGTTTGGAAGGTGCTGTCTTCATATGAATATATGTAAAGTGAATATGTCATATTCTTTTTGTTGAAGTATTTTTTTTCTATTATTAACAATCATCGAGATTCTTTTGCTAATATCAACTAATGATTTAGGATCGAACACAATATTCTTTCTCAAATATTTAAAAGATGTGTGTCTACAATCAAAAAAAATTACCTGAAATTATATATGTACTTGAACTTGAAAGCTAACGATCTTTAAAACAGTTATAAACAAAACTTAGTTATAATATCATTATCCACTATATTGACTAAAAAACCAAAGACAAACAAAAGAATAAGAAAGAAAAGTGTTAATGACTGAAAGATTGCGGGGGTGTATAATAAGATTGTCCTCGTGTAAGTATAGTATATCGAGGACATTGAGATTAAATTCAAAAACTCCATTTACACTTTCATCGAAGAATGATTTTCAAGAGTCAACCAAAAGTAATACACTTTATGCTTTTTTGAATCAATTAATCAAAACACAGAAGTTACAATTTGTACCTGACCCCCTAGTAAACTCAACTAAAATTGTAAGGCTAATTACTAGCCAAAAGGATATCAAAGATGATTACGACCCTTGCTTAAATTCACCAGAGACCTTGCCACTAACGTACAAATTAAAGAATCAAGAGGATGTGAGTAAAATATCACGTTGGAGAAAGTGGCCAACTTTAGGGTTTCGTGTTGGTAAAAAACTACTGTTCTTATATAGGGAATCAATTAAGACTTCTTGGATATTATGGAGACAACATAAAAATGTTGATGTTCATGAAGTGTTCAGACAATTAGAGTTGAACAATTTAAAACAAATGTTTCCACAATTATCAAGAAAAAAATTCGTTCATGATGTGCTAAGATTTAGAGAGATCTATAAATTACCTAAATTTATACTATGTCTACTATTATTTGAAGAACTGACCTTTTTGTTAATTTATTTAAGACCACAACTGGCATTATATCGTTGTTTAGGGAGTGGTGCATTTTATAAATTAAGTAAAAAATATTCCAAAGGTGATTATATTTGCAAAATATTATGGGACCAATCAATATCGAAACAAAATCCTCAAAGAGAACCATATAATACAGTATATTCCTTGACAAATAAAGATAAATTACGTTTTTTACAGAATTTGATTATAAACAAACAACCACGTTGGAAACTGAAGATTTGGGAATATTTTAATCAAACTAATAAATTGTCTAATGAGATTAATACATTATTAAAGTACTTGATTGTAGATGACTGGCTAACTTTGAAAAGAATAATTGAATCACAAAATTCACAACAGGATACATCCATTAATATTTCTTATAATGAATTAGTCAATTATATTATGGAAAGACAACTTTATTATGCAAATGAAGACTTGAATTTGATGGTAAATGATCCTATAGATAGGCAAGTTTTAATAAATAGATTGATATGTTACTGGTCATTTAAATTTGATGGTATCAATATTAAAAATGGTACCATAGATTTTACGAATAAGTGGGGCGTTGATAATATTAATTTATTTTATTATACAGGAACTGTTAATAAAAGGGACGATGATAAATTTAGTTTGATCAAACGGGAACATATAAATTATTTTTAGAATGACAATATATTTGAGAGGGGGTAAGGAACCAAAAAAAAAATAACTTCATCGTGTAAATAGTAATCTAATTACAAATAAGATTCTACGTGATCTTAAGGCCTTTATTTTCTTAATTTAGAATACAGGTAGATCATTAAATATAGATAAATAAGTTTTTTTTGTTTTAAACAAATATATAAATATGAAATAAACAACAAAGAGGAATAAAATAATCTCAATTCTATATAAAATAAATTAAAAACAAAATAGAGAATAGGAAAGAAATTTTATAAAAGTCCTTTACAGTTATATTTTATAAGTCTTTCCATCTTTAACAATTGTATGATGATGACCTGGAGCTCTAACAATGTTATTCTTTTCGTCAATAGTACATGAGGGTATGTTTGAAAACCATTCATCGTTGAAGATATCATCCAAAGTAGCCCTCTTAGATACATCAACTTCAAGAATTCTGGATAAAATTGGTCTTGAAGCATGTGGTAATAAACGCAACAATCTATATGGACCATGAATGATTTTTCTTTGATGATGTGGAGGTTTATTATTTTCAATAGATGCGGTCGTATTAGCCTTCTCTAACTGAATGGATGGTACAGGTTTTGTATTTTGATGAGTATTATTAGTATTATTTTCTTGTTTCTCTGTATCTTTCGGTATGGATACGATATCTTTATTATCTTTAGGTGATGCTGCTGCAGGAGCATCAGTTGCAGCCTCAGTAGTTTTCTGGTAATTATTGCTATTGTCATTAGTAGTGTCATTTTCATTGTCGTTATTATTGTTTTTATCATTATTATTATCATTATCATTATCGTTATCGTTAGTGTTATCATTTTCAATTTTTTTATCATTTTCATCAGTTGGGGTAGGTAATTGTTTAACTTTATCACTTGGGTTTGCTTGTTCAGTTAAGCTGAGTTTTTCTTGTTCACGTCTCTCACGTCTTTCTTTTAATAATTGTTCGTGATGCTTAGCAGATTGGACATAGTCATGTGGAAAATCGTCAGGCATTGAATACAATTTAAAATTTTCATCAGTCATCTTTGGTGCCTTCCATGGGAATCTTTTCAACATCATACAACAAAATATTATCCCCATTGACCAAACGTCTACAAATTGCGGATCATATGACTTTGTGGATGTTAGAACTTCAGGTGCCAAATATGGGTCACTACCTACAATTCCATGAGCCATAGTAATATGGTCTTCGAATGGGTATCTAAATACCATAGCGCTACCAAAATCAATCAATTTCAAGATCCCGCTGGTGTTCATTACACAATTATCCAATTTCAAATCACGATGGGCTAAACCCATGGAATGTAAATATTTAACACCACTAGCAATCTGCTTAAAACAACAATTGATTTCACCACGAGACATCAATCCGGTCATGACAACAGAGAAGAAATCGACAGGCAAATACTCCATCACTTGGAAATATTTATTTTGATGGAAATCGGAGAAGATATCAATAGTTTGGACAATATTTGGGTGATGTAAAGATGAACCAATACAAAACTCCGCAGTACATTTCTTTGCATATTGTTTAATTGACTCGTTTTGTTTACGTGGTCTGAACTCTTTAACTGCAAAAGTGGCACCATCCGTCGGACGCACAAGGACTTTAACTGAACCACCTGCACCGCTACCTAACGTTTTACCTAATTTACCATATTTTTGTGCTAGGATTGTATCATCATGGTAAATATTTATTGTGTTGGACAGAGACAAAACAGAATCAGAACTTGGCGGAATAGCAGAATTTGTATGAGATTTATGATCATTTGGATTTACGAGATGGGAATTTAGATTTAAAGTAGTAGTTGAATAAGGATGGTGGTTAATAGAAGAGTGTAAACCATGCAAATGATTATTTTTGTTTTTATTTTGATGAGAAGAAGAAGAAAGGTGGTTGTTATGGGATGGAGAAGAGATAGATGTATGTGTAGTAGCTAAATGATGTAAATTAACAACAGATTTTTTGGAAGATCTGAAAAATCTTTTCAATTCAGACATAGAATGAGAAGGTTTTGGAGTAATAGGGTTAGTATTATTCTTATCAAGATGGTCATTTAAATCGGAGTTTGAACCATTGTTAGAGTGATATGTATGATGAGCATAATTATGTGAATGATGGTTTAATCTTGGAGATGTAGGTATATTAGTGTTGTTATCACGGTTATGATTGTGGGTATGGCTATGACCATGACTATGAGTACTGTTGTTGTTATTGTTGTGAGGATGATTAGAATTAGAATTTATATAAAAAGAGGAGTCGTTTGATTTGTCACTTCTAATTGATTCCATACTTGGTTTTCTACTTAGAAAACTTAGAAAAGATTTAGAGCTTCTTTTCAGCAAAGGTGGGGCATTATTATTGTTATTGTTATTATTATTATTATTTATAGAATTATTTGATGGTACGACATTAATGGAAGAATTATCATTTAAGTGTAGATCATGAATATTAGTATTAGTATTAGTATTAGTATGATTATTATTATTAGAAGTATGGTGAAATGGATTTTTAGACAATATTACCATTTTCTATCTTTGTATTCTATTTTTTTTTTCAAAGATTATTTCGATTCTGGAAGACAATATTATTTTCTTTCTTCAGATATCTTAGTAGAGTGATCACAAATACAAATACGAATACAGATATAGATACAAATGCAGATACAAATGCTTGCGTGTGTGTGTGTGTGTGCGGAGGGGGAGGAGGGTAAGAAAAGAAGGGAGGAAAAATCAAGTATATAGAGATATAGTATAGTATTGATTAACAAATTAAGCCACTATAAAAGTTATAAAATAGCCATAGTGTCTGCATTTACTCATCCGTCTATTCAATACTTTTTACATGATCTCTGTTTATTCAGAATCTGTGTGTAATCATGTTGGTATATATATTTTCTTTGCAATGAAAAATATACAATATACATATAAATAAACAAAATTGAGGGAAATAGGCACTAAAAAAAATTAAAAAAGTAAGAAAAAAGAAAAAAAAAAATTATTTCCCGTTTTTTGTTTTTGTTTTTGTTTTTCTTCTTTTTTTTTCTTTTTTCTTTTTTTTTTTTTTTTTTTTTTTGGTTTTTGCTTTTGCTGTTCGACCCGACGAATTTCCTCTTTGGGCAAAGAATGAGGATTTCACTCACAGCCGAATTGAATAACAATAGGAGTGGTAAAATAAAATACAAAAAAAAGGGAAGAAAGAAGGAGAGGAAGACCAGGAATTAAGTGAGACAAATCTCCATGGTAACAGCAAGTAACGCAGAATTTGTTGGATGTTGGATGTTGGTGTTTCCCTTTGATAACTGCAATAGAGAGGTATATATGATAACGTATTAGAGCAATAACAAGGATAAGAGAGGAGGAAAAAAAATGTAGAATTACAGTTCTCTGTGTATATAATTGTATTCTTGCACCTGTAATATGACATATATATTCTATATATATATATAATTTATCCAATATTGCCTGTAAAATAGTAATAAGTTATACACTTTAAAAAAAAAAATGTATGGTTTACATTTTCTATATACGTAATGTATGATAAAGTTATGGAAAAACTTAAAGAGCTACAAGTAATCATTACTCAACCAATTATATTTTCTTTTTTAAGGTCTCTTATGTAAATCTTTCTAACATCTCCTCCCTCTCGCTTCCACCCCGTAACAGTTACTTATACAGTATATAGTGAAATTTACAAAGTAATAACTGGATTTAAATTACAGTCTACCCAGTATCTCTGTCTACAATGCTGTGCAGTCGTCCTGACTACACAATAAGTCAATTATTATTCATTAATTTTTCTATTTATGTATGAATTTTGTGCTTTTTGTATATATATGTGAACGTTTTATTAGATCAATCACTGTTAATCATATTCTTTTATAGTTGTTGTTATTATTATTATTATTTATTTTTTTTTGTTTTTGTTTGTTTGTTTGTTTGTTTATTTTTTTTTCTTATTAGCCGAGTGGTTTTTTTTTCTTATTTTTTTGAATGTAGAAATTTTCTATTTTTGAATTTATTTTTATATCTTGAAATAATAGCAACGACATACAACAATAGAGGAAGAGAAAAGAAAAAATGAGAAAATGATAGAATATCATATAGTGTGTTATAGCCGGGCAATACCGCACAGGGCGACACTAATAAAATTATCCAAAAAGAATCATGCCACTAACTAGAGTAGAATGCATAGGGAACATAAGGAGGTACAGAGATGGTCATTCTTTGGATTGGGATCTCCAAATATACACTATATGCATTTGTTAAAAAAACTATGTATATAATATAATAATATATGATATGTAAAGCATATGGTAGTATATGGTGGTATACGGTGGTACATAGTATATTCAAATGAAAATATAAATACCTTGAAAATGGTGAAACATGAGTTAGGGTTTATATTTTTATTTTTTTTCTTTTTCCTTTTTTTTGGACTTGATAAGGTGCCCCTTGATTAGGGTGTCAATTGCAAAAAAACATTTTTTCCCATTCCTCCCCTCCCCCCTTGATATTCCCTTTTCATTTTTGCCTTTATTTGTTATCCTTAGAAATCTTCAATGAGGATTACTGGAAAACATTGGATTTCTCGAAAGTAAAAATTATATTCCAGTTGGTTATCAACATCAAGATATTTGTTTTCTTGCTTTTACTCTCTTGTCATTATACTCGTTTTTTATCGTTATTTTTGTCTATAGGATTTGCCGTGTTTAGGACAGTGGGGGGATAACAATTATGAATGCAGATCATAAATGGCAAGTGCCATTATCTGAAAAACAAAAATTAGATTTGGATAAATCTATTATAGAATATATAGATTGGCATTTTAATAATGATAGGAATAATAATAATTCAGGATCTGATATAATATCAAGAGGCCATTTGATTCAAAATTTAAATAAATTATTTCGAATACCAAATGAGAATAATGACAAAGTTGGTAAGAATACAGGACATTCTAATGAAGTAGTGGTTGATTCACATCCTAAACAGTTATTGTTGCCAAGGAAGTGGGATTCTATCGTGCAATTACAAAGAAAGATCATGACATTAGAATCAACCATTAAGCAACTAAATATTCAATTGGATAGTCTAAAAGATCAAGTAAACAAAACATCACATGATAATGCACTTGTCCTGAATAATAATAATAATAGCAATAGCATGTCTTTATGGATTCCAAAGAGTTCGATTTTCAATTCATTGACAGTCGAATCCTCGATTACAGCAATTAAACTACATCCATTTTTACCTATTGTTATAATTGGCACAAATCATGGAAAATTATACTTATTTGATATTCTAAATACTTCTTTACCTTTGTTATCAATCAATGCACATACTACTGCAATAACTTCAATTGATGTTACAATAAATAATGGAGTTGTATCTGATCAAAAGTATTCAACTGATTCTAGCAATGATGATAACAGTGATACTAGTACTAGTAACAAAAACTCTATTATTATTGTCACATCTTCCAAAGATATGAGTATTAGAGTATGGGAATGGAATTCAATTAATCCAGCATCATATCAATTATTCAAAACTTTAATGGGCCATGATCATATTATATCGCAAATTAAATTATTTTTTTTCCATGGAAATAGTGGAAGCAATGATAACAACAACAACAACAACAATAATAATAATAATAATAACACTAGTAGTAATGATAATAGCAATACTCTTCTATTAGTATCTTGTTCTAGAGATAATACGATTAAAATATGGAATATACATAACGGTTGGTGTATTAAATCAATTAATAACGCACATTCAGATTGGATTAGATCTATTGACGTATTTGGTGAATATATTTTATCAGCAGGCCATGATACTAGTGTTAGGTTAACTCATTGGCCTACAGGGAATGGACTCTCTATAGGAGTTAGTCATAATTTTCCAATTGAAAAAGTTAAGTTTATACCAATAATAAACAAAAATAATACAAACACTGCATCCCTTTCTTCCACTACCTTCAGTGTGTTGAATTACAGAGAAAATATTTATAATAATAAGATGGGATTCAAATATTGTTTAACAGCCGGAAGAGACAATCTTATAAAAATGTGGGAAATACCAACACCAAAGTTCACTACAAGCGGTGCACCAATACCGAATATAAATCAAGATGATAATCGTTTTACAATGGTTAAAGAATTCAAAGGACATACCTCATGGGTGAGAGATTTAAAAGTTTCTTATTCGAATCCAGTTTTTTTCTCTTGTAGTGATGATAAATCCATACGTTTGTGGAATTATGAAAATGGTAAAGCAATTAAAATATGGGAGAATTACCATTTAAGTTTTGTTAATTGTATTGATATGGATTCGTTTATGAATCCTCAAAATTCAAGAAAATTATTAGTTTCTGGTGGTCTTGATTGTAATTGTAACATTTTAATGAATTAATTGATGGATTATATATGTAAATAAAACTAGTTAGCATTAAACAAATATATTCTTTTATGTATTTATTTATATCCTTATCTATAGACACTAAAATATGGTAAAGAATTAAATAAAAATGAATAATTAAAGAAGTGCAAATAAAGTTTTAGGATTATGTTGTGGCCTGCGTTAAACCTTAACTATTATTACTTTTTACACTTGTTGCAGCAACAGCTAGTGATAGGTCTTGGTAAATGAATTCAAATGGTAAATATGCAATACCTTCACCAACAAAGAATTTTGACATAGATTCGACCCAATGTAAACGTAGAGAGTGTAACATAGCTGAAGTACCTTCCATTACGACTAATATACAGACAGTTAACGTAAACCACATAGCAAACAAAAACACAGTCATTAAGACACCAGTAATACCGGTGACTCCAAAGGCTAAATTAATAGTCATGGACCACAGAACACTTGATAATTGGGCATGTGCCAAAGATAATGCCCAGAGACGTAGGTATGATGCAGTATGTGAAACACAGTTTAAACAGAATTCAATTGTATGTATAACTTGATGGATGATAACATCACCAAATTCTTCGTCATGCCCTTCCTCATTCTCATGCTCATCACTGTTAGAAGTTTCGTATATTTCATCTATTTCATTACTACTGTGTAGGAATTCATCACCTTCCACTTCCGAACTTTCAAGATCATTATGAGCTGGTAACTTGATATGACCTTTATTTTTTTGAGATAATTTGAAATGCAATGGTTTCACAATTAATAGCCATGGAACACATATTAATGCAAGGACTAGCAATATGACTTGAACTTTATCTTGATATGGGTATAACTCCTCATCAACAACACCAGGAGATAAGAACATGTTGATTAGCATATTTAAAAGCGCTGGAGCAGGTTTTTCATGTTTAATCCAGTCGACACTCCATTTGTAAACAATACAAATGGATAAGTAACCAAAAATACCTTGCATAAATATTAAACCCGGAATGAAATTTGCCACTATATCAATGAAGGAATTGAAATATAAATGATTCATTAAGGAAAACATATAAGAATAAGACATATGAATGAATCCCATTAAAACAGAAAGTTTCATTTTATAGGAATTGGAAAAAAGTAAAGCATTTTCAGTACCATGCCAAGCAGAATCAAGGCCTATTGGATATGTACCAACTTGTGTGGCAGCAATGGACTCTCCTACTTCCCAAGATTCTGGCCATTTCCAACCTGATTTGAAAAGGGTCATTGTCATTGAAAAGATATCATTGTATAGGAATCCAGTGTACATTGAAAAAAGACCCATTAATAAAATGATGTATCTACCAACATAAGCCATGTCAAATATTTCTCCACGCTTCATCTTGTCTATTTTTTTTTTCATTCAATACAAGTGTTAATCCTGCTAAAGTCAATATGAAACCGTGACCAAGATCACCAAACATAATGGCAAACATGAACGGGAAAGTAACAATTGTTGGTAAACCAGCATTAACTTCTCTGTACTGGGCGATACCGTAAGAATCACAAATATTTTGGAAAGCAAGGGTAAATTTATTTGTTCTATGAAAAGTGGGGGGGAGTTTTGTTAGTCTCTAAAACTTGGACAATAGACGGAACATCAAGGCCTAAATTGGTCGTCATTTCATTTAGACATTCTTGCAAATTATATATTTCATCTTTTGGTACCCAACCTTCAGCTATTAGAATTTTTCTGTTAGCATCAAAATTGAACATATTTAAGGCTTCATAAACATGTTTTTCTTTACAAATTATTTGGAACCAATTATTTAATTCCTTTGAGATTGCAATAAGCTCACTTTCTAAGGTGGTGGTAGTGGTCTCTAAAACAGTGTATAAATCCTCTAAGCTCTTGTTTACATCAAGTAATTGATGAGACCGTCTTTCTGCTGATTTATCAACATCATATAGTTTAGCATCTAGGGATTCTGCTATTTTTCTAATTCTATCTAGAATTAAATCACCATGTGAGAAGACAATAAATGCATTTTTAGCGATGTATTGTTTCGAGTTAGAGTCATAGATAGATTCATTAATTTCAATGTTGCTAAATAACAAATTACCTCTTAATACTCTCCAGAGGATTTGCTCTAAGCTTGCAATTTTGTTTCTTGGAATAACACCAGTTACATAACTTACACCATGTTGTCCCATAGTAGTAGCTTCAAAATCAATACTGTCCCGTCTACCTAAAGATTGATGTTCTTCACTTGGATTAATGTTATCGCTACTTGTATTAAAAAATTGGTCACCAGCTTGCAATACATATCTGAATTGCTCCAAATCTGTTTTCTGCAATTTAATTTGTTCTCTGGCATCTTCCATTTGAATTAAACGCTTCTCAAGAATGGTGGCATTTTCAACATGATCATCAATGGTAGATGTGCTCGGAAATTCAATATTGTTGACATCTAATTGATCTTCTGTTTCTAACAGTTGAATATTATGTTTCTCCAAAAGTGTGTAAAGATAACGATATTGTCTTTGAACAGAATCTAATTTTCTTATTTCGTTGACATAAGAACGTTGGAAGGAACGAACTGTAGAATTTAAATCACGGAATTGAACAATACCTTGTTTCCCCAAGGTGTATACTGCTTCTCTTGAAATTTCTTGAGGAATATAGAATTGAAGTAAAGACATTTCCGCTGACCGGAAAATGGCTTCTTCTTTATATCCATTCATTATTACAAAGTATAGATCAAAAACTTTTGGGATGTAAAACAGCTAATTAGATGAATATTAGAGTAGCAAATAAATTTAAATTTAAAATATCACAAGTACAACAATTTTGTTTATCTCAGGTAATTGTTAATGGAATTTATATTTTTTGTCGTTTATTAAACTGTATAGATTTATGCTTAGCGAGATCAGGTGGTTAAATTAAGCAGTTATGTAAGCTAATATAGCTCCCCTTATACTGCTGTGCTTCAATCCTAATAGCAATTAAACACCTTTTTTTAATTTGTTTGAATTTAAATAAGCAAAGATAACAAAATAGATGTGAAAGACAGGGAACAAGAATGAACAAGAAACAAGGTCCAAAGGATCTCTACAGAAATGTTAATTCGAAAGTCAACCTACCACTTTTTTGAAACTTTAGTTTAGATTAGTCTCCTATTGAATATAGAATGATTCTTACAGAAAAAATAATTGAAGAAGAGTAGCTATTTTTTTTTTTCCTTTTTTTCCAAATTCCTTATCACTTCTCCGAAAAACAAAAAATACGTCATTTATAACGTTGAGACATGATTGTTGATTGTTGAAATATTTCGTATTGAACGATTCCTATTGATGAAATGAAAGATAATAAAGAAAAAAATTAGAATGTGTGTTCAGTTAAAGAAGGTATTACAAATTGTAGCTATTAATCCACATGAAGACCGCCTCCTGTTAAAGATCTTATTGTCATTAGTAGTCCTACAATCAAGTGGATTGTTTTACTAATGAAATATAATTAATTAAAATGACCTATGGAAGTAGTAATACAATGTCACACTTTATTATTAAGTTAAACGTATTCTTTGTAAAAAAAAATTCATGTATATGTGTATTCTTATTGAATGTCCACTTCAAATTGTTTAAATTAAGAAATAAAATAAATATATATATTTTTTTTCAGGTTTTTTTTAAACTGACAATAAGGAGGTAAAAAATCTTTGTTTTATTTTTAAAAATGAAAGCCAAGTTTTCAAAAGTTAGAAGTGAAAAACAAAAACAGTTTATTAAATTCAAAAAAAAGAATAAAATAAAATAAAATAAAATAAAGATAGATATTTGATCTGTCTTGGGTAATAATAAATATTTTGTGGTAATAAATATATTCCCCTTTTTTTTTTTTACAAATATGACAGAAATAGATGGTGAATTCTTTTAATATTTTGTTTGAAAACCTTTTATTTCAGGTTACAATTAAAATGTTTTTTTTTAAAAATCTAAAAGAAAAAAAAATGATTTGGTCAACTATTTATATTAAAAACATTTATTAATTAATATACTAAAATATCCTAATCCTTGAACTTATTAAAAATGTGTAATAGCAAATTACATGCCTTATAAAATCTATACATAACTAACTTTCCCTATCTTTAAGGTATATACAAAAGAATATTCTATGAAGTTATAGAAGACCTTAAAGAATTACAAGAATAAAGTAGCTTGTATTTTTAAAATAAGATTTTTTCAAATTAATTTTTTCTTTCAAAAATATGGAATGCTATATCTACCACTATTTCACTATTTTTATATCATTTTACAGTTTTCTTTATAACTATACTCCCAATCTAAAATAATTACTTTAATTTCTTACCTTAAACTCTATTACTAAAAAATCATCAACATTATCATGTCCAAAACATCTTCATATTCTATAACTATTATCACAATATCAAGCAAGAAACAAATAAACATGTAATCTAATATTATATGTATAGATTAATATACACATATTTTTGTCTTTTATTATACTTAATTAATATATATGCCCTAAACTTCTTTATATATATTCTTTTTTCTTCTCCTTCTTCTTTTCCTCTATATCCATATATTACATTTAGATACCTCTGTTGAAGTAAACTGTTTCAACAATATGACCATCCTTGTCACGTTTGTCATGCAAATGATTTTCTAATTTCTTAACATTTATAGACTGTCTTTGAGGGAAAACACCCAAAGCAAAAGGTAGGACAGCGAATGAAGTGACCGTAATCAACCCCAGATTTACTAAAGTTTGAACACCCGTTGATTTACCCTTTAAAAAGTTCTTTTGTAGTCTGACTAAGATCAATGGTGGAATAACCATAATTGGTGTTGCATTGATAACTCTACTTAATGCAGTCTCCCCCACTGCGATAAAAGCTGCTTTCTTAGATTCTCCAACCGCGTCACCGTTCTTGTCAAAAACAGTGATACCTTTTCTAATTTCATTACCTCTCATTAAAAAGACATTAACAATACCTGCAGTGACCACTGCAGCGAATGGAACCAGTCTACCTAAAATCAATCTAGAATTAGCGGACAAGTTTTTCAACTTGGGAACTAAACTATTTAAACCCAAAGCGACACCACAAGATGCACCAACGGCTGCTGCATAATTAGTGACAAGCTGAGAAGTGCTCATTTTTGTTGACTTATTGGCATTTGCAGAATTGATAGCCACATTTAAAGATTGGTTAGCCCATTGCCAGAATATAGTACCAGCGGTACCTAGGCCTGGTGTAAGCATACCAAGTGTTACCACAGTATTTGAAAGAACACAACAGGACATACGGAATGGAAGTAAAACAGTTTCACCTGTATCCGGATGCACTGTGGAATCTAATTGTTTTTTAGCATGCCAAAACTCTGGAGTTGGTTTCTCTATTTGACCCTCACGGTAAGCTTTAATAATCTTACGTGCTGCAACAAGATCCTTTTCAGTGGTCAACAACATTGACGGATCTGATATCTCTGCACAATGTCTAATTCTACCCCAATAAGTAGACAAATCATAACGGGACTCTGGTAATGATCTTGGACCTGGAACTGATGAAGCCATTTTCTTATTTCTCTGTATGCAGCTTTTTGCGCAAGCCTTAGATGCTGGAACTATTTGTCTAGTATTGTGAAAACAACTAGTTATTCTAATAGAACAACTCTATGTTTTTACACGAATACAATATCTGTCAATAATAATCTTTCGTTTCTTTATTTTATCGAAGTTAAAAAAAATAAAAAATGGCGGAAAGTCATTATTGTTATATACTCGATGAGTTTCGGATGTCTTTATTTAGTCATTTAGTTTTTTTTTTTCTTTTTTTTCTTTGTCAAGATCTCGAAGTTGTTTCTTTTTTCGTTTCTCTCCTTCGAAATTGCGTTACCGGTCAATAAAACGGAAAACCACAAAACAGGAAAGTAAAAAAAAAAACTATTTAAACAATTCCCACAACAAACAGAACAGAACCAAACAAAACAACTCACTCACCCACTTGCGTTAGTATATAACATAAATAGAATAACAGTAATGATAAGTTTTGATCTATTACATGTTTAGAAACAAGCATTGACAAACCTATCAAAAAAAGAAAAAACCTGAACCATTTTCAATAGCAAGAGTTGTGGCATTTGAACATACATATCTATATACTCTAAATATTTTTAAACATGACTCTCATGTATTGTAATAAGATTACACTATATAATATCTTTTATTTTTACTTTCGAAAAGCCATATTTAAATGATTGTAAATAAAACCCAAGAGCCAAAACATGCAGGATAAATGTATATTCCTGCGATTACTTAAACCTTAACAACTTGTCCATACCACATATTCCTCTCTATTTTGTAAATGAAACTTTCTTATCCATAATCCTTGAATGATATACGTGTTCCTTATTTCTTTCTTTGTATTTTTGAATTAACTTATCTTAACTCGATTTTTTGTTTCTTTTTTCTTTTCTGTTTTTAATTCACTTTATTTTTACAGTGAGGAGTTTAGAAAATTTTTCTTTTTCACTTGAATCAAAAAAAAAAAATAAAGCAAAAAAAAAAGAGTTAGATTTTTTCAACTGAAAAAAAAGGCTAAAAAGATGCTCATCCCAAAACAAAAATAATAATAAAAAAAATACCAAAATATATTCATATGCTTTGAATGTAACCGTAATGCAAATCGCACTTGTAAGCACTAGAAAAGCAGTAACCTGTCAAATAACTCCCCCACTCTCCCCTCCTTTCCTCATTTTTTAATATAACCTACTCTACTATACAAAGAATAACATGTCAAGCAGTAATAAATCTCAAGTGAAAATCAGACTTTTTACTCGTGAAAAAGATGAAACTCTTCATGTTCAAGATACTCCGATGTATGCTCCAATCTCTTTAAAGAGATATGGTCTATCCGAGATTGTCAACCATTTATTAGGTACAGAAAAACCAATCCCCTTTGATTTTTTAATTGATGGTGAATTATTACGTACTTCCTTGGATGAATATCTGGTTAAGAAGGGTTTATCAAGCGAAACAACTTTGAATCTGGAATATACCAGAGCCGTTCTACCTCCCTCCTACTTATCTTCCTTTAATAATGATGATTGGGTCAGCTCGCTTGACGTGGATAAAGAATCTAATTACATTGTATCGGGTTCTTATGATGGTATTATAAGGACCTGGGATATGTCTGGAAAGGTACTAAAGCAATATGCAGGCCATTCAGGTCCTATTAAAGCTGTAAGAGTGATTTCAACTACAAGATTGATCTCGGCTGGTAATGACCATACTTTACGTCTGTGGAAAACTAAAAATGAAGCCTTGAAACAAGATAACAACTTGGACAATGGTCTAGAGGATGACGATGAGAACATCGAGAATGGTAAAACACTAGCTATCTTAGTTGGTCACAAAGCACCTGTTGTGTCTGTTGATGTTTCTATCAATTCAAGAATACTTTCTGCCTCCTATGATAATTCTATCGGTTTTTGGTCAACTATATATAAAGAAATGCTTTCTGTGGATCCTATGGAAGAATTCAATAGTAGTTCTAACAAAATATCAACAGCGGCAAAAAAGAGAAGAAAATTGACTTTAAAGGATAATTCAATTAGAAGACGTGCTCCTTTAGCTTTATTAGAATCACACAATGCTCCAGTAGAAGCTGCCAACTTCGACTTGAATGATAACACAGTGGGGTATTCTGTGTCTCAGGACCATACAATTAAGACTTGGGATTTAGTTACATCACGTTGTGTGGATACAAAGACAACTTCCTATTCTCTATTATCTTTAGCACAAATGCCAACTTTGAATCTTTTGGCTTGTGGATCCAGTGCTAGGCATATTACATTACATGACCCTCGTGTAAGCTCTACTTCCAAGATCACTCAACAACAGCTAATAGGTCACAAAAATTTTGTTGTTTCTCTTGACACATGTCCTGAAAATGAATATATGTTATGCTCTGGTTCTCACGATGGTACTGTAAAAGTATGGGATGTTAGATCAACTACTGCCATGTATACAATTACAAGAGAGGATCCATCTGTTGAAAAGGGTATCAATGATAAAGTTTTTGCTGTTACATGGGCTGAAAAAGTTGGCATTATCAGTGGTGGGCAAGATAAAAAGATTCAGTTGAACAAAGGAGATAATATTTTTAAAAATTAATTTATTATTGACTTTGCTCTCCTTACCCACCTCTCCCCCAGTCATCCTGGTCTTTAATATATGTATTTTCAGTAAAATATATACGATATGTAAAATAACCCATTTTTACCCTATGTAACTCAATGTTATTATACTAAAAAGAATACTACAACTTAATCTATAAAAATTTATAATTACACAGTTAAATAAATACTTATGTAAAAGAACTAATGAAAAGGTATACATATATATACTCTGTATTATTAATTATTTATGTTTATAAAATTTAGTTTAGAGTTGAATTACTTTTTTTTGTGTATTTTAGGAAAAAAGGGTATAAAATAATGCAAATGTATAAATTCACTTAAAATATGCAATGGCTAAAAATTGGATTATACCAACGATGAAGAAACATTACTCGACTCCTCCGCTGAGACAACATCAGTGCCAGTTCTTTCCAACAATTGATCAAAATCTGGACGTTCCGTATTGTGATCATCTTTATGGCTTTCGACATGATGCTGCTTTTTATCAACATGACTGAATGATGTACTGGACCTATGTGATCTAAGTTTACGCAAAGAATTAGTGCTTTTTGCTGCATCTCCTGGGTGTGAAATGCTGGTTTCTATAGAACGTAAAGTGTCCAACTTCTCTAATGTTAACTCTGCATTATCATAATGTGAATGCATCCTCGCTGTGGAGAATGATCCTGCGTCACCTTTATTATCACGTTCTAATTCTTCTTCTACCTCTTCTGCGATTTCTGCTTGTTTCATCATAGCAGCAAAACCGAATTGAGATTTGTGTCTTAACTGTGAGCCCCATCTTTCAAAGATCCATGGAGTTGGAACCAAAACTATACAGATTAAAGCAAAAAGAGTCGAGGCCCATTTAATCTTCATATTTTCATACATCTGGATGGTGAATAATGGAAAAACACTACTCATCACATATCTTAACATATTATTTGCAGCCATAGCTGATGCAACCACCAAAGGTGGATAACACGTAGAGAAGTACATGATAACACTGAAAAAAATTAGAATTAAGCCAAATCCAAATGGAACACCAGCAGCAATTGGAGCCATCCATTGAACATCACGCCTCGAAGTCCAAGCTTGCCAGAATAGTGCAACTGGTAATGCAATAGAACCAATCTTACATGATAATAATAAACTTTCTGGGTTGATAGGTAATAACTCGTTAGTGACTGGATCTCTGTGTCCTCTATATGGTGTTACACGTAGAGACACTGGATGAGCCAAATCGGGTGTTCCCTCTGGTGCTTTGGGAAATAGATATTTACGGTCAATAATAATATATAACAATGACCCTAACCATAAACCTAAACCAATACCTAGAAAAGGTAAACCGGAAATACCAATATCCATTAAATAAACACCACGATAGATAACTGGGTAAGCTTCAAAAAATGCGAATAAAACTGCAAAGATGAAAGCAACATAAATGGAAAACACAAGCACAATCGGCTCAACTACTAACATTTTTAATGGACGGAACACTGTGATTGTTAAGGTAATTTTTAAAAATTCCTTTTGATCTTCTCTTGTGAACTCCTTTAATTTAATCTTTCTTTTAACAGCTCTCTTTCTCAAGATAACACCTTTATGTGTCTCAGGCATTAGAAGAATAAATGGATAAATTAAACCGGATGCAAACAAAAGAATCCACTGAGACCAACGCCAATTTTCGTATTGACAAGCAAAACCTGCAATAATTGGGGAAATAATTGGACCCATAAATGGTGCCAGACAGAAAAATGTCATTGCAACTGACATTTCATCAACATCAAAAATATCCATAATAGTACCGGATGCAATAGACATGGCAGGAGATGCAAACGCACCAGCTAAAAATCTACAAGGTAAAATAATTCTCATGTGACCACTACTTAAACCAACTGCCATAGTGAAAAGACAGGACAAAGGTAAAGAAATTACGTAAATTGGTTTTCTTCCAAAAACCTCACTCAATGGAGCACCAATAACAGTAGACAAACCTAAAAGATAGAAAGTTAACCCTGCAAGAGCTAACGTTTGGTTAATATGATATCTAGCAACCAGCTCAGGTACTGAACAAACATATAAAGAGGAACCCATGGAGACGACAAGACAAAGGAATGCCGCGGTCATTGTAGTAAACCATTTTTTCCAAGATGGCCAGTTATGAGGATTATCCATATCACCTGGGCCATCCCAATCCAAACTTTTTGGATCTATAGGTTCATCTTCATCAGGTGAATTTTCATCAAAAGATTTTTTCTCATCATTTGACAGAGTAAGGGAAGAATTTTGGGCGTCACTATTCGCTGGTATCTCTTTATTTAAACGTGGTTGGTTATCTGATATACTTTCCTCCACATCAGTACTATTTTCAGCGTCATTACCATTACTTATATTGCATTCTAAATTATTGTGACCTGTATTTATATTTTGATGATTGTTGTCTGATTGTTTGATTTGAATGTCATCATTATCCACAACCTCTGACATTTTTTTTTTTTGAATAATGTTGAGTTGCCCTATGTTTATCACTTTAAGAAGTTTATTTTATCGATTGAGATGTTAGTAGTAGAAGGGTAGATTAGTTGCAAAGGAAGCTATAAAGTACCTATGAACGATGGGATAAAAGCATTCTAATATATACATATATATGTGTACACCAAAAGAGATATTGAGAGAAAATGATACAAATGAAGGTAAGCCCCAAAAGAAAAAAGAAAGGACTTGATATCTAATAGCAGATTGGATATTCTACAAGTTAAAAAAAGAAAACTCCTAGATTGTCTAAATCTGATTCTTATATATGATTTGTTACTTCGAGTTTATTTTAGCATTGTCTGCTTTCATGTTTAATTCCCCGAAGAGAGATTATTTTCATGCAATATCGCGGAAATAAGTGGACAAAAGTTAGCAGCACTGTCAGAGCTATTGTGTTTTGTTTTCCTCGAGATCAAAATTTCCCTTACTTTTTATTTCTTTTCATTCGGGGAATTTAGTAATTTCAATTCTTTAATATGGCGTATAAAATGATATTTTGTTTTGGGACAATTGAAGGGGACTTTTTTTGTGGAAATTTATTTTCTTTTTTTGTTTTTTTTTTTGATCTGTAAAACAATATCCTCAAGTCTTTTTTTTATTTATTTAATTTTTTTTTTTATTCTTGATTTTTTTTAGGTGTGATTTGCAAAACGGAGAAATATTAGGGCTTGGTTAATTATTCTTTTGTTAACAGAACTCATTGTTTAATAATCAGGGTTGGCAACTTTGAATTACTAGGTCTTTTTGTTTTTATGTTTTCTCATTTCTTTTGGGTTCTCCTCCTTTTTTATTTTTTTTTTCAGATTTTTTTTCTTTTTCATAATGCTGTTGCTCGAGAGGACACATGGGAGATGGATAGAGTGACGTGAGATGAGTTGAGCCAAGACTAAACGACTTGATTAGAAGGTGAACAATAATAATAATATTAAAAAAAAAGATGATTAAAGAAATACACTGCCAAGTACTACCGAAATTACTTTCTCATTATTATTATTATCGACATATAATGTGGAAGATAATTTCAAAATTACTCGTACCAATAAATCGATTACCCAAAATGGAACAAATAAAGAAAAAAATTATAGTTATAGTGGGCACTACAGGTGTTGGGAAATCTGATCTCTCCATTGAGTTAGCTAGGAGATTTAATGGTGAATGTATTAATGCTGACTCTATGCAAGTTTATATAGATATCCCGATTATCACGAATAAACATCCCATTCCAGAAAGAAAAGGTATCACTCATCATGTCATGAACCATGTTCCATGGAATGAGGAGTATTTTATTCATAGATTTGAAAATGAGTGTCTAGCTGCAATTGATGATATCCATAATCGAGGTAAATTACCTATCATTGTAGGAGGAACACACTATTATTTACAAGTTTTATTCAATAAAATCACACCTTCAATGGAAGACATAACTTTGGAGGATGAAAATAACATCAGTGATTTGTACAAAGAGCATCCTATTTTAGGTGAAGAAGGGAATAAGGATTCTAGATACGAATTGCTAAAACAAGTAGATCCTGAAATTGCCATGAAGTACCACCCAAATGATGACCGAAGAGTACTGAGGATGCTGGAAATATTTTATATGACAAATAAAAAACCTAGTGAGTTATTCAAAAAACAAGAGTTAGTGTTAAAGTATGACACTCTATTTTTATGGTTATACAGTGAACCAAACCAATTAAATAAAAGACTGGACAATCGAGTAGATAAGATGTTACAAACAGGAGGTATGGACGAAATTCAACAATTATACAAATATTTTGTTAATCATAAATTGACACCCGAACAATGTGAGAATGGTGTATGGCAAGTCATTGGTTATAAAGAATTTTTACCTTGGTTACAAAAACCAGAAAATAACAAATTAGAAGATAGTATTGAAAGAATGAAAATAAGAACGAAACAATATGCCAAACGCCAGGTCAAATGGATCAAGAAAATGTTGATACCAGATATCAAAGGTGAAAATATATACATACTTAATGCTACCTATTTAACTAAATGGAATGAATTAGTTTGTTCCAGGGCCATAGATATCTCAAATGAATTTATAAATAACAGAAAAATTACATCTGAACAAGCTCCTTCTGAATTGGTAGAGCTGATATCCACAAAGGAAACAGTTGAACGAAAGAAAAATTCGGATTGGCAACACTATGAGTGTGATATATGTAATGACTCAGATGGCAAGAAACTGATAGCCATTGGGGAGAAGAATTGGCAAATTCATTTAAAGAGCAGAAGACATAGAAGCAATCTGACAAGAGGTCTCAAGAAAAAACAATATGAAGAATGGAAGTTAAAACAAAAGATTAATGGTGACTTATAGAAATATAATCATATTCATTGTTTTAATCCTTTACATATCTATATGAATGCATGTTGTGGTATAAGAAAATATGAATACCATATTCTAATCCAGTGATTGGGTATTTACTTTTTCATGTTCTAATTTCCTAGTATGAATATATTCATTCACCTCATTACTGAAATTATTGACAGAGTTTATCAAATCTTCATAAAATTTGGAGGCATCTATGATGTTTGATTTAACTTGTTCTAAAAGTTTTAAAGAAAATTTAAATTCTTCAATGTAAAGATCACGAGGAGTCAATCTTTTAATGGTTGCATCATTCCTATAGTTTTCTTTAGCCTCTTGCTTCTTCAAGGCAATTGCAGAAATCAAATCTTGGTTAATCTTCTTTTCACTTTCAATAAATAACATACTCTCTTTAAAGGTAGCATTAAGATGTGATAAATATATTGATTCAAAATTACTTACACTATTGCTTAATCTATATTCATCAATTAATTCAGGCAATATCGAGTTATCCCATTTTTTATTTTCAAGTTGTGAAATATATGTATCTCTCTTTTCTATGGTATCATTAATTTTTTCAATGAATGGGTCATTATTTACATGTAATTTAATATCGGCACTAATTAAATCTTTATCAATGGTTTCAAAAACTTCCATAGTTTTCATATCTACCTCCAATCCCTGTTTTAAATATTGTCTCAACATATTTAATTTATCCCAATACGGTTTATTAACTGTAGATGATTCAACGATAGTTGTAACCAATGATCCATATTTATGACGAAATTTTCTATCCATTTCCTCTTCATCATTTAGCATTGTTTCAATGTAGTTTAGTTGATTTTGAACATTAATTTGATTTTGTTTTAAATCAGATAATGCATATTTGTATTTATCAAGTTCTTCAATCGGAATTGAATGTATGTTAGCTAATTTAATCACAGATGTATCGTTAGTTGTTATTTCGAGCATTTTATCTTTTAATAGTTTATTTAATGCGCACAACGGAGATATTATTCTTTCCTGGATATGCTGTTGTTGTCTTTCCTTGAATACTGTCACATATTCCATAACTTCTAAAGGTAACAGTTTATAAAACAACCTATCTATTTTTTTGAAATCAATTGAAATATTTTTGAATAGTGTTTCTCTCATATTAAGATCTATATTAACCATACTTAATGGTTCTATTAAAGACACCGGGTCAGATGGTACAGCTTGATGATAAATGAAATCATTATCTCTTTCTACATCATGTAAGGATTCATAAATCTTTGATCTAAAATTATCAGATGTGATTCCACATTGCTCCAAACAAGTTGATGCACTTTGGTAACAAAAAATCTCAAATCCATATTTTTGTCTTGTATGGTAGTCCTTAGCCATTCTGTAGAATGTAACTGCCTGAAAATATAATTTTTTATCCTCAAATTTATCGATCCAATCTGATCTAATCAAAATGCTTTTCTTACCATATCTTATCGTATCTTCATAGAATTGAACAATTTGAGAAGACATCTTGCCAACAATTTTATCCTTCAAATTATCTTTAATTGCCTTTTGCCAAAAACATTCCATTGCCTGTGCGAGCATCAAAAATTTCAATGATAATAAGGTGGGGGTGTCAGCTACTGGAGCATTGGAGGATGATAGATTCATTTCTTGATCTCTTGATAGATTAGAATTATAGTTTATTACAATAAAATTTATAATGATTGCTGATAATTGGAAATATTTACATTGTTTTGTCAAATATGAACCGTTGTTAGATAGATTTAAATCAATAGCCCTCAGACTATACAGAGACGCTATATTATATAGTACATTTACTTGATCCCATTGAAAGGAATATTGGTTTGAAGAGATTGAACTAGTAGAAAGAGTTTGATACCAAGTAAAACCAATTTGATCTGATGGGAATTTTTTAATTAAATTATCGATCAAATAATAATAAGAGACGTGGTCAGTTAACGATTGATCAGATAAATCAGTGTCTAAGATGTTATTTCTCAATTGATCAACAAAATTTAAGTCATTTTGGAATAGTGATGGATTTTGTAACGATATCTTATTGATCAAATCGCCCAGATTTTTAAGTAAATCCACCGATAAGGTTCTCTTACATGGAATAGCCAAAAATTCCATATTTACAGAATACAAATATATATCCCCCACCTTCTTTTATTACTTCTCTTCTTCTGTTTTAACAGTTGGATCTTGCAAGCACTACTTCGAAGATAGAAGTTGATTATAAGAATGACAAAACGAGATCATTCCCAGAGAATAGTTACATTACGGCAGTTATTTCTTGAAGATTCCTCTATAAGTTTTTTTTATCCATTCAGTTTACTTTTTATTATCTTTAGTTACAGTTTGTTTCCCTTACACATTGTCAAATTCCCACGCTATGCATAATAATGCTTAGTCATAAATGACGAGGTATATTTTGTCTGTTTTTTTCCTCCCAAAAACAAACAAACAAACAAAAATTTTACCAAAAGATATATTTTAATCTGTTGACTCTGATTTTTATAAATATTTTTTTTGTTTTTGCATAAACCCTATAGGAAATTTCCTTATTTGTAGAACTATCTTGCACAACTTTTTTCAAAGCCTAACCAATAAAGCTCTAACCCTAGGAGAAATAACAAAAACGACAAATTGTAGTAAAATTGCAGAGAAACCCTCATTATTTTTGTGATGAACAAACGAATTCTTATTCTCGAAAGCACTAAGAACGAAATAATTTCTTCAATTTTTCTTTTGATTTTGGATAATTTTTACACTCTATTCCATTCTATTGTATTTTTTTTTTGTTTCCTCATTTCACACTTCGAAAGTGAAGAAAAGAAACGAAAGAAAAAGAAGAATTTTAACTGTCGACATTAGAAGCTTAAGAAGATAAAGAGCTTTCAGCTGAATAAATTTGGACCCATTGAACTTTCCCAGCACTGCGAAATAAAACTGTAACAATAAAATATCTCAAAAACCAATTTATACTATACAGTTAGCCATGCCAAAATACACAATTGAGGAGCTATTGCAATTGAAACCAGAAGAAGTTAAACCAGTCAATTTCGATGCTGTAGAATTTAAAGCATTGATCGAAAAAGTCAAACAATTGCAAGCCTTAAGAGAGGAGGAATACCATAATCATAACCATCACCACGGCCATTTCAATAGAAGAAGATCTTCTCACCACCATGGTAGACCAAAGGTTAACAAACATAAGCCAAAGGTTATTGTTGATGAAGAAGGTTGGGCTACTTTTGAACCAAAGAACACATCTGCAGTTGCTGAAGAACCAGAAGAAGGCGAAACCAATTCCAATGGTGACAAAAAGAACAGATCTACTGAATCTTTAGCCCAAGAAACAGTCAAGATTAAACCAAACAACAAGAACATCTCTTCCTCAAGACCTGCAGATAATAAAGATATCATCATGGATAAACAAATCCATGGTTTCAATACCTTTGCTGCCTTAGGTAATGAGGATGATGATGAAGATGAAGAGGACGAAGAAGAAGCCTAAGTAAGACATGAATAAATAATATAATTATATAAAATGATTTATAAATTATTTTTTTTTTTGTCCATTCGAAGTGAGAAATACTAATAATAATACTAATGTATATATATATATATATATATACGTATTATATATTTATGTCTGAAAAAAGATATCATTTGTATAAACTTTTGCATAATTAGCAAAACATTTTCTTACATCCAATATTTTGCTTACGTGAGCATAAAAGGAAAAAAGAAATATTTTTATTAGTACCGAGATGTTAAAAAAAAAAAAATAAAAATCTATCTCTCTCTCTATCTATCTATATATATATATATAATATCAAAAAAAATCTATCATCTGTATGAAGCACTTGCTCAGAACAACGGTAAACGAATAAAAGAAAAAATTGATTGTTATCTATATACAATAGTAAATAAAGGTCCATCATCCATTGAACCACACTAAATGAATTCACTTGTAAAAAAGATAATATCATTAGTATTTCTGTTCTATTTCCCATCTTTAGTCTGGGCACAAGATTACTATAAAATTCTTGGAGTCAATAGAGATGCGAATGAAAAACAAATTAAATCTGCATATCGACAACTATCTAAGAAATGGCACCCTGATAAGAACCCCAATGACGAAGAAGCTCATCACAAATTCATTGAAATAGGTGAAGCGTATGAAGTGTTAAGTGATCCTGAAAAAAGAGCTGTATTTGATAAATATGGTGCAGATGGGTTAAAAAACGGTGCCGGTGGCGGTGCTGGTGGCTTTCAAGGAGGAAATATGTTCCATGACCCATTTGATATCTTTGAACAAATGTTTGGTGGTGCAGGAAATGGTGCCCGTGGTGCACAAAGAAGACGCGGAAATGATTTGATTGCAGAACATCATATGCCATTGAAGGATTTTTATTTAGGTATTAAACAGGATGTGACATTATCATTGAATGATATATGTGACCATTGTCATGGTAGTGGGTCAGAAGATGGGAAAGTGACAGTGTGTCCCGATTGTCAAGGTCGTGGTGTACAGATCCAGATTATACAAATGGGTATAATGACACAACAAATTCAATCAATGTGTGGTAGATGTGGTGGTACAGGAAAAATCATTAAGAATGTATGTAAAGTATGCAAGGGTGCAAAAGTGACTAAGAAAAACAAAGTCTTCCATTTAAAGACAAATGGTGGGATTAAAAGAAATCATAAGGTTAGAATGGAAGGCGAAGCTGAAAAAAGTCCAGATTTTGATACACCTGGTGATTTATATTTCATATTCAAAGAAAATGAATTAAATAACCTTGGCTATAGAAGACGTGGAGATGATTTATATAGGACCGAAGTTATTACTTTTAATGAATCAATCTATGGTGGATGGGAAAGAACTATTGAATTTTTGAATCCTCAAAAACAAGTTAATCTAAAGAGAGATGTTAATAAGATCACATTAAATGGTGAAATTGAGAAAATACCGAACTTTGGTATGCCTCGTGAAGGTAAAAAAGGTTTTGGTGATTTATACGTTGAATATGCTGTTATTGCACCGGCATATAATAAAGCAGGAACCACAGACAAAAAGAAAATTAAGGATGAGCTATAAGAATCAAGTTTGCAAATATATATAGGTGAATTTATATAATTCTAATAAAGTCAAAAATTGAAAATAGTGCAAAAAAAAAATTAAAGAAAATAGTAATGGATACATCGCATATATATACGTAGGAATGTTGAAAGAAACATGACCAATTGTATCACATTAAAAACCTATTTAAATGGAAGGAAAGAGAAAGGCTTTCCCTCGTATAAGTTTTCAACAATTGGAGATACATCTTTCCAGCATAAAAAAATTATACATTAATCTACCATGCATTGTAATGTTGAAACAAACCAAACAACTAACTTAAGGGCATCGAACCCAGGAATAGGAAAAAATCTCTGTAAGTGACGCCGTTCAGAACACATGGCATAGTTGTTTATCTGTTTTGCTTCTGGCTAAGTTGGAACGTAATAGCAACGAGGAATAAAGAAGATTATTTCAATATAGGAAATGTATGAATGCGAGAGTAGTTTTAATTTATAGAACTTGATCACAATCTGAAATGCAACAGCAGATAAACACATACATATTGTATGGTGTCCTTAGAGTAAAACAGAAGAAGAATAAAACAAAAAAAAAAATTTTTTTCTCGACAACTGATACCTTCTATATGACTGATCGTTTAAAATGATATAAACCAAAAGAAAAATTAGGTTTTGTTATTTTGTTTTCTTGAATCTTGATTATAGAAGAGGAAAAAAGTATTTAAAGGTGATAAAACTAAGGAAAAACATACAATCCTTGGTCTGGGTTATTCATTCTAATCACGCTGTCCATGTTGACTTTGTTTCCTATGCACTCTATTCAAAACCTTTCTCTTTTGCTCTCCCACTTTGTGAAGAGACCAAAAACTGATCTCTTCCGGATTACCAAGCTTGGACATACAACACCTCCATATGTCTTATTAAGCCTAAATGGCTGGAAGTAGAATGAAAGGGAAACTGGGGGGAAAAGCAAATATATCTTTGCTTCTTTCCTTCTTTTGTTCTTTTCTGCCTGGTACCAGTATATATACATATTTTTTCGTGTATATATTGGTAATAATCTAGATTAAGAGTAGTTTCACACTCTGTTTTCTGGTTCGCTTCGGGTAGACATCCGTCAGACATATCTAGTATCTGGTATGGATAGACATGACCTTACTTGTTCTTCACTAAGTAATACAAATCAACCATGCAACAAGGTTGACAACAAGCGAATTGTATACCTGACTTAATGTTTTGACAGGACATTGCTGTAACATCCGTTATTTGAATCTCTCTTCTACCGTTTTGTATAGCCACCGTAACTATTCTCTATTACGTGTTCTTTTAGTCATATTTTACTTTTCCAGAGTCAACGAAACCCACAGAAACCCCTGTCAGGATAACAAACGGAAAAAGAAATCACAACATTAGTTTTCTGTTTTTTTTTTTTTTATTTTTTCGAAGATGAAATTTTTGAAAATTTTCAAAGATTCTTTCAATTTTTCTTTTCTTTTTTTCTTTTTTTTTTTTAGTTGATTTTATTTCCTTTGTAGAAGCCATCGATTTTCATCTTGTAAAATTTTACTACACACATAAAAAAGAACTACTATCCTCATCAGTAGACATCTAAAAGACCTACTTCTCTTTAGCTTAAACTTAAGTAACCTGTCAACACCAACCATAAAACTATACTAACATTCTTCTACTTTCTTCTCCCTCTCCCTGTTTTTGTCTTTCCTTCTAAACTAAAATACCAACATTCACAATGTCCAAACAAGTGTCTAGTGTCTTCGATACCATCTTGGTTTTAGATTTTGGTTCTCAATATTCTCATTTAATCACCAGAAGATTAAGAGAATTCAACATTTATGCGGAAATGTTACCATGCACCCAAAAAATAGCTGAATTAGATTGGACTCCAAAGGGTGTCATCTTATCTGGTGGTCCATACTCAGTCTATGCTCCAGATGCCCCTCATGTTGATCACGATATCTTCAAATTAAATGTTCCAATCTTGGGTATCTGTTATGGTATGCAAGAATTAGCTTGGATCAACGGTAAACAAGTTCATCGTGGTGAAAAGAGAGAATATGGTCCTGCCACTTTACATGTCGAAGATAAAGATAATGATCTATTTAGAGGTATTGATAACTCTACTGTTTGGATGTCTCATGGTGATAAATTAAATGGTTTACCAACAGGCTTCAAGACTATCGCCACTTCTGACAACTCTCCATACTGTGGTATCAAACACGAAACTGAACAAATCTACGGTATCCAATTCCATCCAGAAGTTACTCATTCCACTATGGGTAAACAATTATTGAAAAACTTTGCTGTCAACATCTGTCAAGCTAAACAAAACTGGACTATGGAAAACTTTATTGACACCGAAATCCAAAGAATCAGAGACCTTGTTGGTCCAACTGCTGAAGTCATCGGTGCTGTCTCTGGTGGTGTTGACTCCACCGTCGCTTCCAAATTAATGACCGAAGCTATCGGCGACAGATTCCACGCTATTATGGTTGATAATGGTCTTTTAAGATTAAATGAAGCCGAAACCGTTAAGAAGACTCTTGTAGACGGTTTAGGTATCAATTTGACTGTTGTTGATGCCTCTGATGAATTCTTGGGCAACTTGAAAGGTGTTACCGACCCAGAAAAGAAGAGAAAGATCATCGGTCACACTTTCATCCATGTCTTTGAAAGAGAAGCTGAAAAGATTAAACCAAAGGATGGTTCTGAAATTCAATTCTTGTTACAAGGTACTTTGTACCCAGATGTCATTGAATCTATTTCCTTTAAAGGTCCATCTCAAACCATTAAGACCCATCACAACGTTGGTGGTCTATTAGATGACATGAAATTGAAGTTGATTGAACCTTTAAGAGAACTATTCAAGGATGAAGTTAGACACCTTGGTGAATTATTAGGCATCAGCCATGAACTAGTCTGGAGACATCCTTTCCCAGGTCCAGGTATTGCTATTCGTGTCCTTGGTGAAGTTACTAGAGAACAAGTTGCCATTGCCAGAAAAGCCGATTATATTTACATTGAAGAAATCAGAAAGGCTGGTTTATATGATAAAATTTCTCAAGCCTTTGCTTGTTTATTACCAGTTAAATCTGTTGGTGTCATGGGTGATCAAAGAACTTATGAACAAGTCATTGCTTTAAGAGCCATTGAAACCACTGATTTCATGACTGCTGACTGGTTCCCATTCGAACATAGTTTCTTAAAGAAAGTTGCTTCTAGAATTGTTAACGAAGTTGACGGTGTTGCCAGAGTTACCTATGATATTACTTCCAAACCACCAGCAACTGTTGAATGGGAATAGATGGATTATAAAATCAAAAAAAAAATAGAGATTATACATAATATAGAAGCTAGGGGAGTATTAAAGGAGTTGGATTATCTTTTATTTCCTAATAGTTTTTTTTTATCCTTTCTATATTATTTTCATTATTGTTTGTTCCTGTAATACATTTATGTTTACTAATACTAGTTGCTCTATTGTCATAACAGAATGTAAATTTTATATACCTATATCTGTCTATATATATGTAAATATCGAAATACTACATATATAATTTTAATATGTATACTATTATCTTATAAATATATTTTTGAATAATACTATCTACAAATTCTATTAGTAATACTGCTTTTGTTAATTGATGATCATTCACTACCAAAATATCTTGTTTAAATATTGTGGTTGATTATTTTGCTATAATAGAGAATATTTGAAAAAAAAGAACAAGTTTAATCATCTATTGAAAAAAAAATATAACCTCAATTGTTCTAATAGTTTAACTATCTCATTGTCAACATAAATCAATTTATAAAGTCCATATTAAAGCATATATCTTCAACTAATTGCCCATGGATAACCGTCCAAGTAAACAAGTAATCTTCTTAAAGAATAAAACAGTACCAGTAGATAAATACGAAATAGCCTCAAAGAAACATAACTTCGACAAGATTAAATTCATCACATTAATAAAACATAGAAATCGTCCTACTGAATTGGTACAGCTATTCACTGATAACAAATATCTTAACAATTTAAAATATATAATCATTACGTCTCAGAGGACCGTAGAATGTCTTTATTTAGAAGTTTTACCAAATTTGAGTGAGTCTCAAAGAAATATATTGTTCAATAAAGTCATATACACAGTAGGACCTGCTACATCTGAATTTCTAAAACGTTGTGGTTTTAAAACTGTATTAGGAGAAGACAGTGGTAATGGAAATAATCTAGCAGATATGATAATGGATCAAATACCACCACCCAATATTCATGGAGCTACCGCAAACAATAACAACGAATTTTTATTTTTAGTAGGGCTTGTCAGAACTGATATAATCAAAAATAAATTGACAAATAAAGGCTATCAAATCAGGGAAATTATTGCTTATGAAACCGTAGCATTGGATAATAATTTAGTAAAATTGAAGAATGAGATGAAATTTGATACAAATACTTGGATCGTTATTTTCAGTCCACAAGGAATCAAAGAAATAATACCATATTTAAAACAAATAATACTTCTGGATAATCTTTTTAATGTCAAAATTGCTTCGATTGGTCCAACTACGGAAGCGTTTTTACTAAAACATAATATTAAACCGCATGTAACTAGTCCCAAACCAACCCCTGAAAGCCTACTAAATGCTATTTCATCCTATGAATAACTATCAATAATTAACAATAAGAATATTTGCCTATTTACTGGTATGTGTATATACGTGTATATACGTATATATAATATTATTCCATTCTCTTACCTGATGATGATATATTTGGACGGCCAATATTAAATGTTTTTCTAATGCCGGCTACACCCCCCTCAAATCTGGAAAGGACTTTTGATATTCTATCAGTATCAATCAACTCATGAACTTTGATAGAATCGACCACAACCTTGGTTCGCATTTGTTTTTCTGGTTGATACTTCAATCTAGGGGGTAGAATCCAATCTGATCTTCTATTTGGCACTTTTACTTTGGGCACTAATGACTCATAAAGATCCTTGATATCAGACTGTTCTTGATACTGAATACTTTCATTAATTGATTTGGATCCATTACGACCTTCTTCATAATTAATACACGTATTCTCATTTTGAAAATTGATATTCTTAGCACTATTTCTACTTTGATTCAAATTCTTAGGTGCTTCATTACTTAATATTTGTTTTCTTAGTTGTTTTTGCTTTTGTATTTTTTCTAATCGTTTTTGTTCTTGTTTTTTAGATATCCTAGAAGATCTTCTTCTATAACCAGTAGAATTACTATCAATAGTGGCCGAACCATTGTCAGTACTAACATCAGAAGTGTCAAGAATATTCTCCTTTCGTATGTCTGAGTCTACAGTGTTTATTGTCATGTTATACCCTGAAGTATTATCATAAAAATCTTCTAACTCATCAACTTCAACAATCTCTGAATTTGAGTCCATAGGTGTCTGATTACCATTATTATTAATATTATTATTATTACTTGAAGTTTGTATTGGATTATTCAATTTATGTAAATATTCCAACGATGATGAATGAGATGGTGGTGGTGTAACAGTAGCTTCAATAGATGTGGTGCTCGTATTATTAAGTCCAGCAATAATAGTGTCTTGGCTATTTCTATTACTATCACTTTTTGTAGAGGTAGAAGATATAGTATCATCTGCACCGTTTAGAAGTCCATTTGGTTTTCCAATTTTCTGATAATATTTTGAATGATCTCTATATTTTACATCTAACATATCAACCCTACCACTGTCTGATTTACCTCTCTTAAATGTATTAATAAGAAAATAGTCTGTATATGATTCAAATTCTAATGGAACAATATCATTTGTAATATGTTGAATTTTTATATTAATATCTTGTGATTCGTTGAGCAATAATTTAATCTCTGATATATAATCATATTTGGGAGGACTTCGAATAGTTTGAGACCGTGTAATCATAATATAATAAAAAACTCGTGAAATTAATAGCAGTGCTTTTCTATCGCTTCTTTTTTCTATTCTTATTATATTTGTTAAAGTATGCTGTTTGCGTTGGTTTTTAATGAATGCTAAATTATTAGAATATATAAGCTTTTTCTATACATTTTCCAACAAATAAAAGAACTTTATTATGAATAACGATAAACTTTTTACTTCTATATGTGATGTATACATTTATTTAATTTTCTTATTTACTTTTTATTTTATATTTTCCATTAATTTTTTTTTACTGTCACCATTGACTTGTCCTTCCTTTAACTATTTTTGATTTTTCACTTCCGATGTGGGTCTAAAAAAGAAAAAAATGTTAAAATGTCACACTTGAACTGATTTGATTCATAGTGTAAATACTTTTTATATGAAAATATCTAACACCAAGGTATTTATCATATATGCTTATAATTTATTAGAGCATGGGTGTAATCATATATATATAAATATTCTTTTATCTATCCTTTTAATGCTTGATAATAACTAATTATTTAATTATAAAGTTATATTTTTTTTCCATTATTTATAATGCACCGATACTATTCATCATATCCAGCAAATCATCATCCAGTGTATTTTTACTTGATTCTCTTACATCTCTCTTTATTTCTAAATTTATTGCTTTCTTATCATTATTCTTCAAATTAGTACTATTAGATTGTTCAATATAATGTATCCAGTTGCAGACTTGTGTGACAAATGGTTTAGAATTTGGAATAAAGTGACTTCCAGGGTGCTTTAATAATGTTCTTTTATCCTCTGGCCATGTGTTATAAAGCTTCATAACTCTTGCTTCAGAAACAACAGCGTCTAATTCACCTTGAACATGCAAAGAAGCTGGAACATGATTGTCTTTATTATTAATCTTTTCATAAGGGGCTTGGTATTTTTCTGGTTCTAATCTGAACCCACTAAATGATATGAAAAACTTCAACGGTGGTTGTTGTTTGGAATCTAAATTTAAAATATTATTTATATCCATAGTGATATAGCCACCTAATCCAGCACCTTGAGAAAACCCGATAATACCATCAAAAGGACCGTTTTCAATAATGTAGTCATGTAAGTAATTGAACGTATTCTGAGGGATATCGTATTCAAGGATTGCCTTTTTACCAGAACCCGTTCTTACCCACCAACCATATAATTCAGAAGTGTCATTATCGATATTTGTATTAAACCACCTGGCTACGTTATTTTTATCGATTGTTTCTTTTGATTCATCATTATTAGTATTAGCATCCCCATGTACTAAAGTACTCTTATCTACAATTTCTGGACCACAAGGAAAATATAATTCATAGCCCATTTTCTTCAAAGACTTTCTTAATCCACCAGTCTTTTGACGGAAGATTTTGTCTAATTGCACAAATCCATGTAACATTAATATCTTTTTGGTAGTATCCATTGTCATTTTATTTTATTTTATTTTATTTTATTTTATTCTTCTTACTTTTTGCTTGATTGTTTTGTTATTTTGTAGTGTTTATTTTGACATGTAATCAATTATAGTATCATTAAATAACTAAATCATCTACTTCTTTAGTTTCGTGATGTTTATTTTCATCTTTCCTTAACCAAGGAGAATCAGTTGTTTAAAGAGAAATGACTATCGCAACAAAACAAACATCAATAGATTTACAATAAAAAGTAAATTAAGTGCTGGCATGTAATTATGATGATTTATTGATTCTTTTATGCTCTTTCACTTGATCTCCTTCGGTTTTTTTAGCTTTTTTAAATCTTTGTTTTTTCTTTTTTCTTTCTTTTTCTTCTTCTGTTTTCTTTTTTCCTCTATCTAATGGTTTTTTGTCAATAAGTTAACTTTTCTCGAAAGTACACTTTACCAAGTTTCCATATTATGGTAATAACTGCCTGGTCACAACAAGGTGTATTTGCAATGATTGTTACCCTAATCGCATTTTTAGATATTTTCTGAAAACATTTTTTTCAGAAGACCTAAGTTATGCAGAAAAGAGGAACATTGACTTATGTAAAAGTAAAGTAATTTAAAAAAAGAATTAGGACTAAGATCCTATGCACTTTTAAAAAAAAAATCTTCAGTTTCTTAAAAATTGGTATTATTCCCTTTATTCATAGACAACTTATATTTTTTTGTTTTTTGTCTTTTTTATTAGATTTGAACACATAAAATATTTGATATTCCAAAACCTGTCATTCGAATAAAAATAATATTTTCTTGACAAACTCTTTCAAAGTAATCCTAATTTGCATTCACAGTGACAGTTCTTGATTGGTTATATTATTACTTAATATATACACGCATATGTATATGTATATGCATGTGTGATAGTATATATATTTTATATGGTCTAGCACTTTTTCATTATATAGATCCTGCCATATAAAAATATTATTATTTTCCAACCCTAATTAGTTTAGTCAATGATCTAGCATCTCTAAGTATTTCAGAATGACAACCCTAATTGTACATATTGAATTTGTCATTGCACCTCTACCCCTCCCCAAAAAAAAAAAAGAAAAAAATAATTTCCCTATAGAGGAATTTTGACAAAAAAAAATCAAACAAATAAACCTCGAAGGTCTCGAGAAATTCTTTGGATTAACTTTTCGTTCTTTTCTTTTCTTTTCTTTTCTTTTCTGAAAAGCAAGACAGTGGTGAATAGGTTAATTGGGACGAGCTATGGAAAAAAGGAAAAAATAAGAATTACTTTAAAGGAAAAAAAAAAGATAATAAAAAATGAAATAAAACAGAGATGAGATGAGATAATATTGAATCTAGTTGCTGTCATTTATATGATGGTTGACACTGTAATATTTTTGTGTTCGGTTTGTAACATATAATTTTAAGGGAGATTTGGTATCTGATACTTGTTTATTCGCATAAAGAAGTTAACAAAATAAAATAAAAAAAAAACAAACAAACACAATATTCATATTTTCAAGAACAGATAATTACATTTAATATGACACATTGTTCTCATTTGAATCTCCTATTCAATTCAAATAATGAATTACTGAAAACATATAACCTTGTCAAAGCATCAATAATCTTCAATGATAAATTAACATGGAAAGATAAAATTCTTTATTTAATGGAATGTCATACATGCCATGAATTTAATGCAGGAACAAATTTTGTTTGTCTACAATGTGATTTTTGTGGTTGCTGGGATAATAAACATTTTCAAACTCACGCGATAGAAAATAGCCATTCGTTTAGTGTAAATAGTAGTAATGGATTACTCTTTTGTTTCTCTTGTATGGATTATATTGTAAATGATCAAATTATGTTGGCTGATAATAATCTATCATTGGATGAAATTTCCACAATTTTAAATAAATCACATCCGCCAGATCAAATTAGGAGAGATGGTCTATATGGATTGGTCAACATGGGGTCTACCTGCTTTATGAGCAGTGTATTACAGATCCTAATTCATAACAAATATATAATACAAAAGTTTCTTAGTCAGGATCATGTTACATATTGTACTATAAAGGATGGGCGAGATTGTATGTTATGTGCATTTGATACAATAATATCAGAATGGTTTGGCTCTGTAACAGAAAATAATAACAACGATAGTCATGATGGGTTTTTAACTTTGTTGACTTGTGTTTGGTCTATAAATAAAAACTATGCTGGTTATTCACAACAAGATGTTCATGAGTTTCTACAATTTATTCTGAATCAATTACATATGGATTATATTAAAACATCTTCCAATGGTGCTAAACTTCAAAAGGATATTAAAAATAATTCTGACACTCTCAATAATAGTAACAATGATGATGGTAAGAATACGAATAATAAAGATTTCAATTCTTGTTCATGTATTGTCCACGCCACATTTAATGGGACTTTAAAGAGTTCTATAGTATGTTCTGAATGTGATGATAATTCGAAGACAGTCATAGAACCGTACTTAGACCTATCACTAGATATAAGTGGCAAGAAAACGTTATATGAATGTCTAGAAAGTTTCCATAAAAGGGAACAATTACACGATTTTGAATTTCATTGTCCCAAATGTCAAACTGAGAAGGACCCAATTAAACAATTGACAATAAATCAACTATCACCAGTTTTAATATTTCAATTGAAAAGATTCAAGCATTTAATAAATGGTAGTAATGTTAAAATCAATGATTTTGTATCATTTCCTCTATATTTGGAAATGAGTAATTATTGTTATGATAACATTGATTATGGTAACAGTAATATTAATGGTAATAATGGTGAACCACGGTTGCCAACACCACATATTATTTATGAATTAACTGGAATAATATCACATAAGGGTACTGTTAATGAAGGTCATTATACAGCTACCGTAAAATTATCCTCAGGTCAATGGTTCAAATTTAACGATTCAATGATATCTTTACTCAAAGAAGAACAGGTTTTACAAGAACAAGCATATTTACTATTCTTTACTGTGAAACAAATTTCTAAATAAGATATATTCTATACACTATATACAGTTTTCTTTTATTCTCTTCATGATTACATATTGCATTAAATCCTATTGCATTAAGGAAGAAAATAAAAGGAAAGAAAAAAAAAGTACATATAAAATCAGTAGGTTAATTTAAATTATTACACTTTCTATAAATTAACTAAAATATGCACAGAATAATTAGATACAAATGTTTTATAATGATTAATTATAAAAATCATTATCATCTTCAGAGTCACTATTATCAAGATTTGAATATCCAACACCAAAATTAAATTTAGATTGTATACCTGACCTTATTCCCTTGTTATTAGTATATTTTAATCTTCTTTCCTCTCTGGAATCATCATCATCATCTTGATTTATGATCAATCGATTATCATTATCCTTTAATGCACCTACTTTTACCATTAACTCTTCAAAATCTTTTAATGTAGTATTGTTACCACCTAATTCTAATAAAGTAATCAAATTCTTTAACACATCACCATTATAATATACTAGTAAAGTTGGACAATTATTATCCGGATAATTTTCAATAGCTCTATTCCCTAAAATCTCTACAAATTTAATTTCTTTATATTTGGGTGCCATCTTTTGAAAAATATTACTCAATATTCTACTTTGTAGTTTACTTTGAGAAGACAAATGAACAAAGACATAAACACCCTTTGATGAATCATGTTGATCATCTTCATGGTGATCAGAAACCATCGATTCGCTACCTTTACTTGCTAATGTGACTTCTTTATTGTATTCAGGCTTGTTAATGTAATACACATCACCAAACTTAGATTTTGACTGTAATTGAGCCAGCTCTGCCATTCTTTTCAATTTATATTGTTGTAAGAAATCCTCATCTTCATCATCCTCCAGTTCTTCCAAATCCGATAGATCTTTACCTTCCAATCTATTTTCATGTTGCTTAATTAATGCTTCTTCCAGTGCTTCTTCTATTTGTTGCGTTGGAGAAGGTGGTCTCTCCGGAATGATCCCTTTAGCTCTTAAAATATCATTCCATTCTGTATCTTCTGATTCGTCCACTTGGACTTGAAACATGGGTTCGTTCTGCATTTTGTTTTGTATATATATGTATATATATCTGCTTGAAGTATATTGTGTGAGTATTCAGGCCTATAGTAGGTTAGAAACGGAAATAATTGCTGTTTGAAGGTCAATATGGTTGTAATGTTAATTCAATTTTATAGGAATTATTGTTTTTTTTTTTTTTTTAATTGATGTTGATATGTACTTGAATTTTTTGAAATCTTCAAGAAAAAAAAAAGAAAAGACAAAAAATAAATAACAAAAGGAAAAAAAAAGTAACTGACCAAAATTAATCAGGAAACTTTTTAGAGGGAATATATATACCAATATACAATAAAATATATATTTTACGTATATAGATGTTGGTGTAACCTTGGTCTTATTTTATCTTTGATATTTCGCTTATAATCAAGCATATAAACATTAGCAACTATAAGAAAGTACTGCATAGTGCTATACATATATATATAAAGAATGACTCAGTCTACACAATATTATGAGAATAACCAAGATGCCAATATCGTTCGTATATTTTTAATTAGACATGGTCAAACAGATCATAATGTAAAGAAGATTTTACAAGGACACAGAGATATTCCATTGAATGTGAATGGTATCAAACAATCTCAAAGACTTGGAGAATACATCAAGGAACAAAACATCAAATTTGATAAGGTTTATTCGAGTGATTTAATACGTTGTCAAGAGACAACAAGAGAGGTTTTGAATCTGTCTAATCAAAATATGGTGACTGTTGAGTTGAATTCTGATTTAAGAGAAAGATTCATGGGGCCAATTGAAGGGATGCATGTGAATGATGCTGAGAAATATGCAGATAAGCATGGTAAGGAATCATTCAAAGATTTTGGTGAAAACACAACAATATTTTTAGAAAGATTACAAAGGGGCATTAGTTCATCAATAAATGATTCAATCTCGAAAAATAACAAAAATATAGCATTAGTAAGTCATGGTGGTGCAATTAGAGCCATTATGGGATGGTTGCAGCCAAATGTTGAAGATGTTACAAAGATCATCGTATTTAATACATCTGTTACTGTGATAGATTATATAATTTCAGAAAAGACATTCAATGTTAGATTTATGGGTAACACAAATCATTTAGGTGAAGGTAAATTTATGGTTAGTGATTTGAGATTGCGTTAGATGAAAACTAATAGTAGTAAATTAATAAAGAAAGAAAGAAAGAAAAAATATAGTAAATTAAATTGATACGAATACACAGCATTAGAACGTGTGAGTTTATACAAGTTATACATGATATACCCGATGATTGATATACATTTATAGATATATAGATATATATATTTTATACATAGAATAAAACACATTAAAAATTACTAGTACTGATCCTCATAACTTACGGTTATTGTCTCAAATTGGAAAAACAGCAAAAAAAAAATAATAAACTACTTTCGTAGAAAAGAATACTTGATCTACATCTGTGCACCACTGTATAATTATCTTTCTCTTCTAAAAATAAAAAATAAGGGAAGGAAAAAAATCAAAAACAAAGAAGAAGAAAAGCCTTAGAACAATACCAAAAAACACAAAAGAACTACACAAAGGAGAAGGTTGCCTTAGTCAGCGTCCCCTTTTTTTTGTTTTTGTTTTTGTTTTTCTTCCTTTCTTTTTCCAAATGGTTTACAGTGGAAGTTGTAATACATTCAGCACTACATATAAAGAGACAAATGACAGTAGATTGAAAGACCCACAAGGTTTGGTTTGTTCTACAGGGCGACTAGTAGTTCTTATTTGCATTTTTTATCTGTGTTTTCCAGAAACATTCAAATAACATCTAATTAGGATTTTATTCTTTGCCGTCAGGTTAGTTGAAGAAAGAAAAAAAAAATATGTGGAGAGCTATTGTTAATGCATGGAACGGAGTAGATGATTCTAAAACGGCTTCTTCTTCTGGAGAACACCCACAAAGAACACCAGCACCAGTTCTAAAGTTTCAAGATGTGGTAGAAATTGTTAAAAAGAAAGACCCAAATACTGTCATTGTGGATGTCAGAGAACCGGGTGAGTTTGAAGTTGTACAAATTCCAGGCTCAATAAATGTTCCATATACATCACATCCAGACGGGTTTTCCTTAAATGAGGACGATTTTAAATCAACTTTTAAAGTTGATAAACCATCCAAAAATCAAAGATTGGTCTTCCTTTGCGCTGCTGGAAGAAGAGCCGCAGGGGCTGAAAATGTCGCTTGTGAAAATGGATATCATAATACTGCTATTTATTCTGGTTCTATGAATGACTGGGTTGAAAAAGGTGGTGATAAATTAGTCTTTTAAATATATACATGTATGTATGCGTAATTGTTAATGAATGATGTTTTTTTTGCTACTTTACCTATTTAAAGTTATATCTGATTAATTTTTACAATATATATATATATATATATGAGCCAATTTTATTTCCTTCTTTCTTTTAACTTGCAGTTTCTATTTGTTTATTGACTTATATTTATTTGAAAGAAAAAAAGAAAAGACAGAAATGCATATGAAATTTCTACTTTTATTTATTTGTTTTCTTTTTATTTTTATTTTTTTTTTATTTAGTGAAGGATGAAAATTAAAGATGATGAAAAAAAGACACAAAAAATACATGACTACATCATCTTTAAATCTATTATGTCCTTAAGCTATGTGTAGACATTTGAATTTTGACATACAACAAAAAATACACATCGCAATCTCATTGTTATCATTGTCATTTGTAGACCTGAAAAAAAGCTAAAGGAATTTGTCTTTTTTTTTTTTTTTTTTTCGAATATATCTATCTTTCACTCTACTTCATTCTCTATATTCAGTTAATTATGTTTAAATTGTCCAATATTAAACCTATCTTAAATAAACAACCCTTTTTTTTAAGATCTCTTTCAACAAAGGCTGCTAAGATTTATAGGTTCGAAGATATTAAACAACTTGTACAGCATCCAGATAGCAAAAAAATCCTTATCGATGTAAGAGAACCAGAAGAATTAAAAGATTATACACTACCAAATTCGATCAATATCCCTTTAAAGACTGCTCCTGGTGCTTTAGGTTTAAAATCCGAGGAATTCAAAGAAATTTTCAAATTTAATAAGCCTTCAATTGATAGTGAATTGATTTTTTTATGTGCGAAGGGTGCAAGAGCACAAACTGCTGAAGAATTAGCTAGATCGTTCGGTTATGAAAATACTGGAATATATCTTGGATCCATTAAAGAATGGCTAGAAAAGGGTGGCAAAGATGCTGTCCCTAAAAAAACGACAAAGGAGGATAAATGAACGAATAATGAATTTAATTTAATTTTATGTATTTTTAGAGTTTGTGTGTGTGTGTTTATGATTGTTATCCTTCTTCCGTGTTTCCCATCTCCTCTCCCTTTTTACCTCATATAACTATAAATACATATACGTACTTATATATACATATATATGTATATATGTATATTATTGTAAATAATCATCTTCATTTACTTCTCTTTATCTCAATTTATCTAATAATCAATAATCAATAATGTTTAATAATTATTTGCAATATATATAAATATATATACTTTCTTTCCTCTCTACTTTCTGTTATAAAATTCAAACTGTTTAAATTCTTTACCCAATCTTTTCTTTCTTTTTCTTTCCATGACCTTTTCACGTTGTTTTGCTTTCATATGGTCGAATTTCCATTTCTGAATGATTTTACGTTTCTCAGATTTCTTTAAATAATACCTGGATTTATTATTTGAATTCATTTCTCTTTCATAATCCCTGATAATCTTATTCTCCAATTCTTTGTTTTTAATACTTTGTAATCTTGATTTCATTGATTTCACTTTTCTCTCCATATCTTCTCTTTCTTGATCGCTAATTTTATTCAAAAATTTACGATCCTCTAATAATGCTTCCATCTCTGCTATCTCTTTTTCTCTGTATTCATCCAAGAATTGATAGCGTCGTCTAATCACCGATTTATCTGTATTTACACCACCTAGAGCTTTATTGAATCTAATGTCACCATATAATTTAGAGTTTTGTTTTAATGGAATCTCTAACCCAGGAATTTGTCTTATCTTTGAGACTGGCTTTTTTGATGAGGATTCCACCGGAGCATGTTTATGTCTTTTTCTAGATTTATTTTTATTCTTTCCTCTTCCCATATCTTCTTCCTCTTCAAAGAATACACCATCAGAATCTGACTCAGATGAACTGTTTGCATCCGAATCATTGAATGGTTCCTCTTTATAAGTTTTCTTATTTCTTGCCGAATTTTCTTCGTTGTGTGATCTAACTTTCAAATTTTCAACGTTCACTTTCCTCCTTTGTTGTCTTTCTTCCTCAGCTAACATATCTTCAGCTTTTTTCAATGAACCAAATGATATGGTCTGTATTTCATCATCATCATCCCCACTGTCATCTTCTTGATCTTCATCCACTTCCTCTGCACCACTCTGACTTAAATCGCCCTTGGAACTTTTATTTCTTCTTTTCATTATTCTTTCTAGTGTCTTACCTAACTCTTTTTCATCAATTTCTTCATCTTCTGAATCATTGTTGGGTTGCAAATTTTTAAAATAATATGACATAATGTTAATATATATATATATATATATATATATATATATATACTAGAGGTGCGATTTACTAATTTTTTATTTTCAAAAAAAGTATACAACAAAGAAAAAAATGTAAAAGTACCTTGATTATTTTATATGTGTTTACCTTTGGATATTATTATTATTATTACTATGTGTACGCTAGACGCTTTAGAAGTACGATAATTATATATGTATGTACAATTGAAAGCCGTAAGTTTTACATCACAATTTGCGATGAGCAAAACTTTCTTACGTTTTTCATTTTGTTGGATTTTTATTTTTCATTTTGTTGGATTTTTATTTTTCATTTTGATATTTTTTCTTTAACTTAATAAAATAAAAAAAATCCAAAGGTAGAAATAACAAATAAGAATAGAAATAAAAATGAAAATTTAGGAATTGATTAAAACAGGATTTTAGGTCCATTTCTATTGATTAAATTATAGCATGGTTGGAGGACTTTAACCATCGCTAAAAAATGCTCATGATTGATCATAACTCATCATGGATGTTAGAATCTTTGTTTTTTTTAGGTTTTTGGTTACTATTCCTCTTGACTTTTTTATTTTTTTTAGTGGAACCTTTCTTCAACACATTTAAATAATTTTCACGATCACTAAATGGACCCTCTCTAGGTTTTATCTGAAATTGTTCAAATAAAAATTCTACTAGATTCTCTTTGTTTATTACCTTATTTTCATCATATTCAATTATGGTATCGTTATCAAAGTCTAAAATAATCATACGAGATTGATTTGGAACATCCTTTATTGATTCAATCAATTTATTTAATTGTTGCACAATATTCGGATACTCTGTATAAAATCTGGTATCTTTTGAGAGCAACGATATTTTTTTATTATAGATCGAGAAGAATTGTATATGATCTAGCCAATCAATTGCCATAGATTTGAGCATAGGTGAAACACGATCATTTTTATTAAAGATAATCATTGGAGTTCTATTGTAAGGTAGATTCTTTAATTTATATGCATTTTCTAATGTCTCTAATTTCTTGACATAATTCTTGATTCTTGATAAACAATAGTCTACGATAGCAGACACTTTTCTTTCTCCCATAAAATTATCAAATATATGTTTTTTCAATCTTGGTTTTTGCTTTTTAGTTTTATCGTCTTTCGTGTTCCAAAAATTAACCTTTTGTGGTTTAAACACTTTTAAAGTTGGGAATCCTTCGATTCGATATTCTGCACAGAGTGGTTTATTTGATTCCAAATCACAATTCACTGTCACTACTTGTACTAACCCACTTAATTTTTTCGCCACTTTTTTCATTGTGGGCATCAAATTACGACAATGTCCACACCATGGGGCATAAAATTCTACAAGAGTTGTGTAATTTGATCTATAAATAATTTTATCAAATGATTTAGTTGTTGCTTCAATTATATTTATATCGTCATTATAAAAATTACTTGGTGAGGAATTGATCGAAAAAACACTGTTAAGAATTGTGAGCCAACAAAAAAATGTTAAAAAAATTGGTCTCATCTTATCACAATAATGTACATGTAAATCGAGATAGACAGATAGATAGATAGATAAGGGGACAGTTCTAGAAAAAATTCTACTACTAGTATTCGCAATATAAATTGGTGCGACTTGGATGTACCACTCAAACATGAAGTCTTCTCCTCGATATTTCTTTCTCCTTTTCTTCTTCTTTAGTTTTATCAATTTTCTTTCTTTTTCTTTTTTTTCCTGTTTGAATGGATGAATCTTTTCATCATTAAGAAATTCGAAACCAGTTGAGGTGAAAGAAACAAAGGGAGAACGGAGAAAGGGGAGAGGGAAGGAATCTTATTACGAAAAGAAGTAAAAGATCTCCTTATGAACTTTTGGACAGAGCTTACCGACATGATACTCCTCATATATATATATATATATAAGTAAAGCTTTAGTGTATGAGAGTTCAATGTAATCAAGAGAACAAAGGGTTTTTTGGGATATATTTACCAATAGTCTCAAAAATAAAACAAAAAAAAAAAGAGTATAAGGGTAAGCCCCTGCTACAAGTGTGTTTTGAACAAGAGAGGATAAAATACATCTATTCTTATTGATAGCTATTCTACATAATTAATTTATTCTTTCACCATATTTACGCCAAAAAACATATCTTTTGAGGTTGGTTTATTAGTTTATTATGGATTTAATAGAAGAAGATAAAATCTCCCCATATGCCTTTTGGGCCTTTTATTCTTTATACAATCATTTAAATAAAGGCAGTAAATTCGAAGGAAATCATAAGTCAAGTGATCATATAAAGTTCGATCCTTCGTTAAATATAATAAATCAGAAATTGTTCCCCGAATTTGATCCAACTGATTTTAATGAAAAGAAATCTTTATTTATCACTTGGAAGAAAAAAGCTAAACATGGTAATGAATACCATTTGAGAGGTTGTATTGGTACGTTCTCTAAATTACCCTGTTATTATGGTATTGAAAGATATTCCTTGTTAGCATCTTTAGAGGACCCTCGATTTCCACCAATAACAAAGAACGAATTACCGCTACTTAAGTGTGGTTGTAATATACTGAGTAATTTCACTACAATCTATTTAAATAATAACCAGACTATTACTGGTGATATATTAGATTGGGAAATTGGTAAACATGGAATAGAATTAAAATTTCGTTATCCTTTTAAACACGGTAAATTGTTGAGCGCCACATTCTTACCTGATGTTATGGTAGAGCAAAGATGGGATAAAAGAGATACATTCATTAATTTGATCGAGAAGGCCGATGTGTTAGCTTCTCCAGCCGAGATATTCGAAAATTATGATAAATATTTTGTTCAGGTAATAAGATACGAGGGACATAAAAGTATGATTGCCTATGATCAATTTGAATCCAAATTAAAAGAATTAAAAAATGTATCTGAGTCTTTGTAAATGAACAGGAATACATATATACTTATCATAACCTATATGTTCCTATTTATAAATAAACGCAATTAGTCAGTCTGTTTCTTGAATTCAAATATGTTTTTTTGATCATTTTAGTATTCATTCATTCGTGATGGTTATCAATTTTATCTCTTTATTTATGCATTTTAAATAAATATATAACACACTGCATTTAAATGGAATTATCTATTCCCTTGCTAGACAGACATGTAGTACACCACAAAATAGCTATAATCTTCTCTGTATTTTTTTTTTTCATTTCACTCATTTAATAACTGTTTTGAAACACATTAGACATAATGGTGAATAATTTAGTTTAAAGGAACGGGGGGAGGGAAGAAAAATAGTGCGGAGAATAATTAAGCGGTAAGTATTAATTATTCCGAATGGATAAATGTAGAGATTACATGAATTCATTAGCTGAATGTTTATACACTTAAAAACACACAGACATACATACTTATACGGACACGTATACACACACACACACACGTATATATATATTTGCTGGTTACATTTATACGGACAGGTCACATTAATATATTTCATTAGGGTGAAATGACATCATCTGAACATGATCCATCTTTATATTCTTCGGCTAGGTATGATGGAAGACAAAGGTCTAGACGGCAGTCATTTTCATCGAATTGGACAGACTCAACTGCTGCTACTTTGACTTCGGGATTAACCTTGGATCAAGATACAGGTGAGCCATTTTCTGGGACGGGGCCTGAAGCAGTTCCAAGTTCTCTTGTATCCTTTCATCATCCTCATTCTATTCAGTCAAGTGGGTTTCTTTCATCGTCTTTGAATTCTCGGTTTACGCCTCAACAACAAAGAAGACGATCATCAGTAGCAGATACTCAACCGTTGATGGAGCGTTCTCCTAGTGTACAACGTTCTTCATCTTCCTCTAATTTATCATCAAGGAGACAAAGTTTTAGATTCTTTACTAATGAAGAAATTCATGATGCTGAAGGGACGGCAACTTTAGAAAACACAGATTATGACATCCAGTGGGATTTAAAACCATCATATGAACAACAAAGGATCTACGGGTCTGATATTCCATCTAAAAGATCATCTATACACAGCTTTTCCAGAAGATCATCTATATCTAGGAGTGGCAGTAGTTCTTACGGAACTACGGGCAGTTATATAGGGCATCCTCTGTCAAGAGCAGAGTCTTTAGCTAGACAAAACCAACTCCAACAACATTTACATGACCTATCTCAAGTGTATAGTGCCAATTCTATTGATTCCTCCACCAGTTTATCTCGATATAGTGTTACTGAAAGAATTCCTATTGAATTGGAGGAAGATGAAGATGAAATATTGGATAATACTTCGTCAATGGACTCTACATCTATATCAACATCGAGTTTAAATGCTCAAGAGAATGAAGAAGGTAACAACAATGTTAACGATGATATTCATAGTCATTATAAAAAGGGAACGTATCAGAACGAACTTTTAAAGCCTATCTATCATGAAAAATTTTATCCAAATTCTTCTCCAGAACAGATTATTCAAAGGTTTTATATTACTGAAGAAGATATTGTGATTGGTATAGGTGGATATCGAACTTCCGCAAAAAAAGTGTTTTTATACAACATATTTTGTATTTTAACTATAGGGCTTTTTTCTTTATTAATGAGATGGTTACCTGCAAAAAAGGTTAAATGTATTGGTGTAAAATGTCCATTAGGGAAAGCTGAATGGGTTGTTATTGAAAATGAATTTGGTGAATTTTCAATAGAATATGTTAAGAGAGAATGGTACAATAGACCTTTAAGTACACTTTTGCATATTACAAAAGAAACTTTTTTAGATACTTCAAACCACTCAACTATTGGAACACGTCATCATCATACAACAGATCCCAATCCGAATATTCCAATTTTAATATCTTTCCAATATAGATATATTAAATTTATTTATTCTCCAGTAGAAGATATTTTCAAAACTAACACTAATTGGGTTGATCCTGATTGGCTACATCTACCTTCAGTTGTTAAAGGCCTACCAAGTCTAGTTCAAGAAGATAGAATACTTGCTTTTGATAAAAATCAAATTAACTTGAAGGTAAAAACAACATCGGAGATTCTATTTAACGAAGTACTACATCCATTTTACGTATTTCAAATCTTTTCAATTATATTGTGGAGTTTAGACGAATATTATTATTATGCTTCATGCATTTTCCTGATATCTATAATGTCAATTATGGAGACTTTGGTTGAAACCAAAAAAACATCCAAGAATCTCGCAGATATGTCACAATTTTCATGTGATGTTCGTGTATTAAGGGATGAGTTTTGGACAAATGTGAATTCTAGTGAATTAGTTCCTGGTGATATTTATGAAATCTCAGATCCAAATTTAAATATTCTTCCATGTGATTCTATATTAATTACTGGTGATTGTATTGTTAATGAGTCTATGTTGACTGGTGAATCTGTTCCTATCTCTAAAATACCTGCTACAGAGGATACTATGTACCAATTAATGGAAGATTTTGAAAATACTCAGATTTCTAGTTTTGTCTCTAAGTCATTTCTTTTTAATGGTACTACGATCATTAGAGTTAAAGTTCCACCAGATCAGTCTGCAGCATTAGCAATGGTCATCAGAACAGGGTTTTCAACTACAAAGGGTTCTCTAATTCGTTCCATGGTTTTCCCAAAACCAACCGGGTTTAAATTTTATAAAGATTCGTTTAAATATATTGGTGTTATGACAATAATTGCGTTGCTTGGGTTTTTAGTAAGTTGTATTCAATTCATTGAATTAGGATTAGATAAAAGAGTTATGATTTTGAGAGCACTCGATATCATTACTATTGTGGTTCCACCAGCTTTACCTGCAACTTTGACTATTGGTACTAGTTTTTCTCTAAACAGACTTAAAAAGAAAGGTATATTCTGTATTGCCCCAACAAGAGTTAATGTCGGTGGGAAAGTTGATTTAATGTGTTTTGATAAAACAGGCACTCTGACCGAAGATGGCTTAGATGTTTTGGGAGTACAAATATCGGAGCCTGCTGAACATAATTTATTTAGATTTGGCGAATTGAAACAGAATGTAAATGATGTCTTTAGTAAGGATTCCTTAGATGACTGCACCTCTCCATTAGATGTTAAAAACAAAAACTTTTTAATGGCATTGTTGACTTGTCATTCACTAAACTTAGTTGATAATGAATTGATTGGTGACCCCTTGGATCACAAGATGTTTCAGTTTACCGGTTGGGATTATAGTGAAGAATTTGAGTATCAAACGCATGATGATTTGAGTAAAAATGATCCAAATAAATCTATATTTCCTGATAACGTCGATATAATACCTGCAGTAGTCCATCCGTCAGATACAAATATAAAGTCAAATAAATTTTCGAAGGCTAATGCCCATAATTATTTAGGGATAGTAAGGAGTTTTGAATTTGTATCTGAATTGAGAAGAATGAGTGTTATTGTGAAACCAAATGGTGATGAGTTGTACTGGGCTTTTACCAAAGGTGCTCCTGAGGTCATTGCTCAAATCTGTAACAAGGCAACCTTACCTTCTAACTTCGATGAAATTTTACATTATTATACACATTCTGGGCATAGAGTTATTGCGTGTGCAGGTAAGATTTTACCAAAACATACATGGTTGTACTCTCAGAAGGTTGCTAGAGAAGATATTGAAAACAATATGGAATTTTTGGGCTTTATTATATTTGAAAATAGATTGAAAGCTACAACAGCTCCTACATTAAAAGTTTTACAAGATGCCTCTATTAAAACTGTAATGTGTACCGGTGATAATGTTTTAACAGCAATATCGGTTGGTAGAGAATCTGGCTTAGTAACTTCAAGTAATGTCTATGTCCCCTATTTAAATGATCCTAATGATGAATTTTTAGTTTGGCGTAATGTTGACGATTTTGAAAAGACACTAGACACCATAACATTACAGCCTATTGATTATGATCAAGATTATACTATTGCAGTAACTGGTGAAGTATTTCGAATATTATTTTCAAATGAGAATAATATACCTGAGGAATATATTAATGAGATATTATTGAAAACATCTATTTATGCAAGAATGTCCCCAGATGAAAAACATGAATTAATGGAACGTTTGCAAGGTTTAGATTATACAGTAGGGTTTTGTGGGGATGGTGCAAACGATTGTGGTGCGCTAAAAGCTGCAGATATTGGTATCTCTTTGTCTGAAGCAGAAGCCTCAGTAGCTGCTCCTTTTACTTCAAAAATATTTGATATTAGTTGCGTTCTTGATGTGATTAAAGAAGGTAGGTCATCACTGGTCACCTCATTTGCATGTTTCCAATATATGAGTTTATATTCCGCCATTCAATTTATAACAGTTTCCATTTTGTACAGTAGAGGGTCTAACTTGGGTGATTTCCAATTTCTGTACATTGATTTATGTCTTATTGTCCCAATTGCAATTTTCATGTCATGGTCTAAACCATATGACAAATTGAGCTCAAAAAGACCCTCTGCTAATCTAGTGTCACAAAAGATTTTGATTCCATTATTTTTAAGTTTTGCCATTATTTTCTTATTCCAACTAATTCCATGGTTATACGTTCAAACAAGAGATTGGTATATTAAGCCAACTGTTGGTGGTGATGATGTAGTGCAATCTACTGACAACACTATATTATTTTTTATAGCGAATTTTCAATATATTTTGACAGCTGTTATTCTGTCAGTTGGGCCACCATATAGGGAGCCAATGAGTCATAATTTTGGTTTTATCTTTGATATTATACTTTCTATTCTGGTAAGTGTGATATTAATGTTTGTTAATGTAAATTCTTTAATAGGCAAGTTATTCCAACTGACAGAAATTACTTTTGGTTTTAAAATGTTCATTTGTTTTTGGATAATATTAAATTATTTGGTTCAATTGTATTTCCCTAATGCGATCAAACCTTATTTCAAGAAAAAACAGAGTAGCAAAAAATATAAGAATATATTAAAAAATTATTGTGATATGTATACTGTATAATTAACTATTAGGTAACAGATATATATGTAAAAGGTTGTTGTTATTTTTGAGATGTTATAGCCCGTTAATTTGTTTCGTCCTTTGGATACTGGTTCATATGGAATTTGATGAATTTCTCATTGACAAGAAACAATTCCATAAGACTCCGACAGATGAACTGAAAGGAACTTGAAGGTGTTTTGGTACAATGGAAAAATTGATGATCTGTGCAATTGGCCACACTATAAGATTACAACCCAAAGTAGAAAAATATATTCTTTGAATTTTGATTCTTAAAGTGCTATCATTTCCACCTTCTATCACATAATTAGAATAAGTAAAGAACAGGAAAAGAAAAATAGGTGAGTATACCAGCTGGTCACAAAGAACTCTTTCAAAAGTTTGGATTAATGTTGGATCAGTAGTGAAAAAAAAATTAAGAAGCCTGTACCAAGGCACTTGGAAGTTTGAAATAAATGCGCCCCATCCCATAAAGCATATCCATCTCCATATATTAAATATAGTGTAACTTTCCTCATTTCTAAGTGTATTTTCTAAATTAAATATATTATTGATATCAGTGGAAACATTTGTGTCATAAGATGTGACAGGTGTAAGGCCATAATCATTAAAGACAGAATAATCGTCACTTTCAATATCATTTTCTATATTCTCACTAGTATTTCGGTATAGTACACTATGAATAATATGTGAGTTTGCGTTATCAATCAACTGAGGAATTGGGTCAATGGAACTCATAAAAAAGCATGAAATACATTGCGCTAAAATATCAGACAACCCAAATAATAGAATGTTTGTACACATGGTTGCAAATAATTTATTTTTGTTATAAAATGTCCTATAAATTGTTGTAAAATATATTAGAATTGAAACCCAAAGGAGTAATAGAATCCAATGTAAGAGGGTTATATTCAATATTTTATAGTTACATATATTTTTTTGTAGATTTATTAGTGTATATCTAACGGCAGTGAGTTTTTCAATAAATGAATCATGATATGATCTATTTATTTCATTAAAATGTATCCTGTTATTAATATTTATATCTTCATTATTTTCTTCCATACTAACATCATTTATTGAAAAAAAAGAAACGACCAATAGCAATAACAGAATAAACCAGTTATTCTTTATTGATATGCCTCTAAAAGGGGGGTCTTAAACAAATCTTTAAGCTTTAATGTATGTTTTGTGAGACCGAATGAAATGGCACATGGTGAATCATTTATTTACTTTATTTTAATATAATTAATCGGTTCAAGATTTAACTTTATTCCTGCTTTTCCTAAAACAACTATAAGGCAAAATCTTGACACCTTTATTTTCGACGTTTTTGAATTGATAACATCAGGACACCCAAAATATAATTTTTTAATGGAAATAATTTAAAAATAATTATTCCCTTTTAGGAAATAGCAAAATGTTATTTTCGATTAGTTTCATTTTTTTCCGTATCACGCAGAAAAGAAATTTCCTGTTTGTTTTTTTCGAACCAGAAGGAAAGGTTTCTGTCTCCGTAGTGGCTATTCCAAGTGTTCAGCCGTTAAGATTGTCTAGTAGTAGTAGAGTTAACCAATCTACCATGAAGTCACTTCTGCAGGAAGGGGGTAGGACAATCTACGGATCAGTTCCTATGCGAATTCCGTAAAGCAAATTCTGAGCCCAGTGCTGGAGAGTAAACTCGATTGGCAGGAGAGACCTGTTCATATTGTTCATTTCACCATTGGAAGAGGAAAGGGGACCAAAGGAGTATCAGTAAACTCTCAATAACTTGGTGAAACGTACGGGCAGAGTAGTTTACAGCTATTGTTACTAGCAAATAGTGATTAATCACTGTGTAGGGTGGTATTTCATATACATAAAATTGGTATATAGCAATTCAGTGTGGTAGTGTATGGTTGTGGTAGATCTCAAGCTAAAAGAAAGCCAAGTACAGTAAATACAACGAGTTCAAGATGTTGATGCCAAAGGAAGAAAGAACTAAGATCCACAGATACTTATTCCAAGGTATGTAAGAGCATTGATACTTTGATGGAGAAGTAGTGAAAAGTATATGGTTCTGTTGAAATAATCAGAGAAAAAATAAATATATTTAGCATAATCTAGAAAAATGATTACATCGCCATCAGTTGATCCATATATTGATAAAACTGGAACCGCTAGGTAGATGACTTAATACAAATTCGTTGAATGATTATTATATTGAAATATTGTTGACTGTTTAGATATTATTTCAGGAAAAATATTTTGTCAAAAATAGTAGAAAGATAAATTTGAGCATTTTCAACGATCGCCTATTTCATTGATTAGGGAATAGACATTAGTAACCTGACCTTTTCCTGACCATAATATAGATTGTACTATCTATTATAAGTGAGTACGAATATTTTTACTAACAGAGGACTGATATCTGTGTGCACGTTTGCTATGTGTTTTTCCATGCTTTCGTTATGCCTTATAAATTTTTCTCATGTCTTTTTTAATATTTAAATAGAAGGTGTTGTTGTCGCTAAGAAGGATTTCAACCAAGCCAAACACGAAGAAATTGACACCAAAAACTTATATGTTATCAAGGCTTTGCAATCTTTGACTTCCAAGGGTTACGTCAAGACTCAATTCTCATGGCAATATTATTACTACACCTTAACTGAAGAAGGTGTTGAATACCTAAGAGATTACTTGCATTTACCAGAACACATTGTTCCAGGTACTTACATCCAAGACAGATCTCAAAACCAAAGACCACAAAGAAGATACTAAATTGTTTAAGTTAATAAATAGTTAAGAGTATTTCTTTTTTAATAATATTAATTAACTGATCATATACTACTCAATTTTTTTTTTGTTTTTCATATCAACTATGTTGACATCTTCGTGCAAATAATAATAGTAGAAAATAATATTAAATTCATTGTTAGGGGTATTTTTGCATTAGTCATACTAGTAGTTTCATTCTGTCTTCATTCATATTAAGTAGTTGAAATTATTTTTTAAGCATTTTCCCCTATTATGAAGTGTATTTTTTTTTGATCTTGTTATGTTTTTTACTTGTCTATTGGTTCATGTTCTAGTAGCATTTTCCAAACTGTGTATGTATATTGTAATAATTATACATCTAAAGGTGATGGTACGCACTTGTGTAAAGAGTTGCAAAAGTATTTATTCGATGTTGTTCTTATAATAATAACCTTAGATGTGAAATATCGAGGGGGAGAGTGTCTCTAATTTATTCTTAAAAATAGGAACTGTAGAACTTATAGTATATGCAAAAGATAAAGTTTGAAAAGCATTAAATACTTACTTTCCTTTTTTTTTTTTGAATTGGCAAAAAGCATAGCTCTTAAGCATACATAGAGGAATAGAGAGATTTGTATGCCATTGGTTGTTGCTACATCTCCGAGAGTATAGTGTACACGAAAAGAGACGAGAAGTATGAAAAAGTTATTCTAATGGCAGGCCTTGGTGATGATAATTTTGAGGAACTTGTACCTATGATAGATTCTATCTTTCAAGGGATGAAATCGGATTTGGATAAACCAATAAATACAAGAAAAGTTCTTTATTTGTTAAGAGAAATTTTTGGGATTGATTTGTATAGTTATAAACAAGTAATATATAAATTTATAAAATTTCGATGGGAGCAATTCAAACAACTATGGATTGTTAAAATTAAAAGAGAACATATGCAAATAAGAGAGGTAAATTTTTTAAGAAATTTGAAAGGAAACTATATTGAAGCAAAATATCATGTTGATAAAAATACACAGGTAGATCCGGATGTCGATGGTGATAATAAGGACAAAAAGGTTAGTAGTGATGAACAATTACTCTCAGAAATAATAGTTCCTACTGATTTAACTAGTATTAAAATTAAAAAAATGGATAAGGCTGAGGTAGATTCTCTTCAACAAGTTGCTATTAAGGAGACGAAACGTGCCAGAAATTATGTTTATAAGGGGTTAATTAAGAAAAGTAGTAACAATATTCGTTTTAATAAAACAGTTTATGAGACAAATGATTTAATATTTGCCATAACAGGGTTAAAACAAGGCACAAGATTTGAAATTATTAAAAAAATTAGAGAATATATAGAACAACATCAATTAAAATCAAAGGATCCAAATTATTCAGATGTGATAGAATGCGATGAAAAGTTAGTACCAATATTTGGAAATCATTTTACCTTTTCTAGGTTAAGGAAAATACCAATTGAAAGATTACTTAAATACCGTTATGGTGTTGTACAAAAAGATGTTCAAGTGGTAATAATTAATGGTAGTGATGAACAACAAGGTGCTACAAAGGTTGAAGAGGATTCTGTGGAGAAATAAGAATCTAAAAAAATTAGGTTGTATGGGGACAATGAATGAATATTAGTTACTAGTGATATTGGAAGGTATGGCAGTTATCAGTGTATTACATACTTTCCGATATATGGCTTCTTGGAAGGACGAGTAGAATGAAAAAAAAAGAAAATAAATAGCAAAAACAAGTATTCAAGAAGTTTTCTGTTGAACTGCTGCGTCTATGAGGCTAATTCAATTCTTGTATTTATACCAAAACAGCATGCATTGTTCTTATGTTGTTACGTTACGGATGAGTCTAATAAGATGACAAAAGTTATTGATTTTGCCGGTTAGTTTACTTAACGTCCAAGTATTTTTTAAACTAACTCAACATGGTTTTGGCTCTTTCTCTTACATTTAAAAATAGAAGAGGGTTTGGTTTCATACAGAGGTATTGAAAAGAATGTGTGTCACGGAAATACAAAAAATTGAAAAATTCAAGATCTTTAATGTAAATCAAAAATGTGCGAAAAGTGAAAAATTAATGTGATAAATTAAAATGTTTAAAAATGGTTGCATCATATAAGTAAAGACTCAATGTGGACATGTATGTATATACTGACAGAAAAGATCAATTGCTGTATATATACATTGTATCTTTGTATATCTAACCAATTAATATTTTGATTATGCCCGCTCATCTAAAATTTTAGGAAAAATCTAATAATGGAATATGGTCAAAATAATGTATATATAAACTCAAATTCATCATCAAAATTTATCAATAACTTATATCAGTATGTGCTAAAAATATTGATTTTAGAATATATTAATCAGCCAAAATTTAAACAAATAGCGACACTTTCCTCCACATATGAAAGTGATACCTCACAAAATAGTAATTCTGTTATAGCCTTAATGTCAGTCCAACAAAATACTTTAATTGATGACGATGAATCAAGGCTGACAGAAATATTGAAGCAATCATTGAAGAATTATTTATATGATGTTACTATTAACCGGAAAAAGGTAGATAATTCAATCTTTAGAAGATGTCTTTTGAAATTAAATAATGATTTATTTATGGACAGTTTAATGGAGTCGACTTTAACTCATATGAGCAATGTTGAAGATTTAATAGTATATTTCACTAAAGCAGCTAATAATGAATTAAAAAAGTTACCAATTGAAAATACTCGCGAAGAATTGTACAAACAAATATCTAGCTTTGTTGATCTCATAATTAAATTATTACCCCAAAGTAGTTCAACAGAGTATATCAAAAAATTAGAAGAGTATAAAAATACAATGAAACTATCCAAAATGCAGATGAAGAGACATAGTGTAGTATTTGGTCAAAGTAGAGTGAGTTCATTACCAGTGGATTCTCAATCAAAAATTCTGAATCAAGAAGTTAAATACAGTCAAAGAAAACCAACTTTTGTAATTGATGAGATACCATATTCAGATTATTTTTGTAAACTTTTTGCTATGGATAAACTAGTGGTTCAACAGGATATCATCAAATTAATTCCAGAAGCTTCAAATTTTAATATCTATAAAGATTATACAACTATACAACGTAATTTAAAAAATGGTACAGGATTTTTCTCTGAGAATGATTTTTTGCAGAAACAAAGTTATGAAAGATGGCAATCACAACAACTGCATTCTATTGATGAACTTTTATTAAAATTTGGAACTATCAGAAGGGCTTCCGATTCTTCTAAGAGGGAAAATGTAATAGTACCACCGAATCCGAGGGTGTTACTTCAGGCTTTATTTAGCTTGGTTTTGAGATTGGAATCAACTAGTGGAATAAACTGTTTGAGTTTTTCCCAATCTGCATCTTTTTTTATTTTCAAAATTGCTAAATATTGGTTACAAAATTATCCATCAACTTTATCTGCATTATTGTTTGCTGCAATTAACCAGAATAATCTTAAATATGAAGAAATTAATATTCCTTTAATGGAAAGCATGTTTAGTATAATTGAAAATAAGATTTTAAAGGTGCAAGAAAGGGATATAGATTTTAATGATTGGAATGCATCAGATATTAAGCTATGGGAAAACAATATTAAGATAACTGCTAATAAATGTTTTAAAACAATCGATAATTTATTATCTGGATTATATGCAAAAACTAAACCAAAATTTTCGTCTGTATTAGTATTTTATTATAGATATATTTATGACAGTTCAAGATCTTCTCTTGACGCTGGATATCTCAAGATATTTAAGAATACAATTTTTAAAACCAGTGAAGAATATTACTATGGTCTTTTAAAGACTTTGCCAAAAGATGGTACTTTTACTACTAAAGACTTCCAAAATATTTGTGAGTTAATAATTAAAGAAATTTCGTTAATTCAGAAAAAGTATACAAAACCCCTATTGGATAAGATTAACATTGCCACTGAATGTGCAAAAATGTTAACGTCTGCAGTATCTATAGATACACCTTTAATGATTGAACAAATTCAAAAGTCATCAAAATCGAAAAATACTGTTATTTCACCGGTTGATGCACTAGAGTTATATTCAGTTTTAAAGGAAATAAGAAATATCTCTCAACAAGTAAATACCATGGAAAATAATTTGTCCAATTTAGAATCTACATTTAGTAAATATTTAATTAAATTTTCAAAGAATATTTCTAAAGAAATAAGTAAAACGTGTATCAATGCACTAAAGGTAGAAAAATGGGAACCTTTAAATGGTGATATTTTTTACAGTTCTTCAGTTCTTGATATTTTCAAAATGGTAAATGAATCGTTAAATTTGTTGCAGAATTTTGATTGGAACTATGATTATACATATGCAATTAGTATTGCATTATTGTTGCAAGCATTTTCCAATGGTATTTATCAATACTGCATAACCGTTGTTGATATAATACGAAAAAGTTTGAAAGAAAGTTCGGTGGATTCTGACCAGTCTTTTCAAAATCAAGAAGAGGAAGTATTAGCTACTCACCAATCAAATAAATGGAATCTTCATACAATAAGGAATGCCCTTCTTGCGTCAGCTGAAGATTCAGTTCCCAAAGCATACAAATTTAAGAGAATAGTTTGTACTATACTTAACAATATTGACATGATGATTACTCTGCTAGAAAAATTAGAAACAAAAATTGATGCTAGTAAACTGTCTGAAGTTATAAACAAGGATTCAATAGAAAAGAAAAGCTCAGTGTCGACACAAACATCAGTAAATATTTATACAATCAGAGTAAAAAGCGCAAATAATATAAGAGGTTATAGTAGTAATGGTTTATCAAACAGCTCAGTATCAATAATTCATAGTGAAAAGCACAAAACAATAGGGGAAACTATTATTTATCCTAATTCAAATAATCCAATTTGGGATCAAGAATTTGATCTACGTGCAAGGACAGATAGTGCAGTGACTTTAGTATTTAATGTATTTCACTTTCCTGGGAGGTTCAAATTGGTAAGAAAAAATGAGCTTTGTGGAAAAGTAACTTTATCACTAAACTCTAAAGAGTTTGTAGACGATGGTCTGCCAACTGCTAAAACCCTTTGTTTAGATACACAAGGTGAGTTAAATGTTGAGATAACTCTAGAAAATGAAAAGTTAGATCCATTATTTGGTATAGGTAAAGCTTACAGAATATTATCGAGAACGAGAGATGAAATACTTGAACAAATAGTAAATAAATTTACACCTTTTGTTGATTATACATTCTCTAAAGAAGGTTTAAAGCAAGTTTGTGGTTCTAATGGAATTTTAAAAAGTACAGAAAACGATGTATATTCTGCTGTTATTCCATTGTTTAATTATTTAAATGAAAATTTGAATATTCTTGCACAGTCTTTGACACAAGAGTTACTTTATATGGTTATGTTAAAAGTTTGGAATAGATTACTAAGAACAGCTGATATTTTATTATTGCCCCAACTGGGTATTGCGAAACACAAATTAGCGCAGGCTAAGAAAGCTTTATGGAATATTGGGAATACTTCAAATATTATGGGTTATGGAAGGCCGCTGACTAATATTGAAATGGAAATTGTGTTTACATGGTTAGATGCTTTATGTGTTGATTTTTTTTATAATGATGGGGAAGGGCCTCCATTAGAGAGCTTGAAGAATACGCAATATCAAAATTTACTGTTAATTCCTATTTACTATGATAAACCTGTGACAGAACTGAAAAAGGAGATTTCTCAGTTAACGCCACTTTATTTTAAATATATCGATAAGTTAACTGAGTCATCACAAATTGAAGTCAGTCGGCATTTAACAACAGTCCAACGGAGAAAGACTATAATGGCCAATTCCTCGAAGGCTAAACGATCACAATATGAGAAAGAGTTTAATTTAATAGAAAAAAGTAGCCAAGAGAGGGCATATACAACGTTAAATATTCTTTTAAGAATACTTATTTCAAAAGGTGAATTAGAATATGTTTATAAACAACTTCATGAAAGGAAGTTAAAAATAAAACAAATAAATATTGATGCTTTGGTTAATCAGGTATCTCAAGGTAAGAAGATTCGGTATAAAGAGAGTGTGGATGTATAGTAGACAATATTGGAATGTAGTTTTACTTTTACTAAGGGCTGTGGATGTAATGTAACTGTTGTACAGTTAAGAAGAGGCATTATGGATTGCATATTTTTGTAAATGTAAGGATATTGATCCTAGTATATTCAGTATTATGAATGAAACGCTTATTAATGTTATATATATACTCTAATTTGTATTAGTGATGGAGACTTTATATATTAAAATATACATATTATATCAGCTTAAATATTCTTGGGGGATTTTTGAATAAATTCCAAAGGTGTTCATATTACACCTTAGGTAAGGTGCTATGTTTTAATGAAAATTGATTGTTATTTACCTATACAAACTTATATCTACATATGCAAAAATACATTCGATATTTCATAGAATACTTGATCTATGTATATTAAAATATTAGTGATATTGTAAGGTTGCTATAAATTGTTTGTTCAGTGTGTTGTTTGGGCTTTTATGTAAAATAAGTTCACTGTAATATTTTAATTTTGAATATTTGGTACGCAAACCCTTCTTCCTAGAAAATTTCCCGAATATTGTTTCTTAAAAAAAAAAACATATATTTTAATAGTTTTCTAAAATAGCGTTAGTAGGAAAGGATCATGACATGAGCAAACAAATAAATATAAGGTATTTAGTGTAATTAACCAGACTTGTTCGTTTAGATTAGACTAAATTAATTTAGCTTGTCATACTTTGTTGAAATAAAATGTTCTATAATGAAATAGATAGAACAATAAGATTTTAGCAGACACTAAACGATAAATTGTCGAGTAATAATTATTGAGAGGTCACCAAAGGTTGTTGAGTTTGTTTATTAAATATCTTACTGTTCGTAGAGGAAAATGGCTGAATGTTAACACATATAAAGCCAAGGATTTCATCATACATTATTTTTATCTTATTTACAATCTTTGTATATTATTATTTCTATGTTTTATATAGAGAAAAAGAGCGAAGAACTTTATTATAATTTTGTATACTAAATCTGTTTAATATAATATTGAGAATGTTTACTATATATCTAATGAATAAGAGCGCTCATTCTCAACACACTCAGTATTAATTTTGAGTATATGGAGCACGTACATATTATCATCTTAACATAAGGTAATGGTTATCAACACTTCCTTTTAAATGATATTTTTTAGAATGTAGTAACTACGGCACATGCTAACCATATATATATATATTTACAATGTAGTATTATCCAAGAAGAGCTTCATTATACCATATATCCTAGGGCAGTATAGCATCATCTTGAAAAATTACTGTCATAAGGACTAAATAATCTTAGAGACAGAGAAGCTAAGAATAATATACATATTTTTATATGCAGACTATTTATTTTAGCCAGTATTGTCTGCATTCTTTAAATTTTATAACTATATCAAATTATTTTGTTGTAAAATGTATATATTCACATCTGTAATAGAAAATTAAGTTATTATATGAGGGTTCTGTACACGATAACTCTATTGCTACGAGCTCCTGATGGTAGTGAATTTAAAAAAATATTAACAATAATAACTAAAATAAATAAACATAAAATATCTACCTTCTCTATATTTTCAAATGTAATTTTAAAATATAACCAAACTATTATAATTACTACTGACTAATCAGTATATAATTTACACTTACCTGTCTTTTTTGTTCTTCTCATCGGTTATGATCCTTCTTCTTTTCTGTTATTTTTACTCCTACGTTTGTATCTAAACTTTTCAAAAAAGAAGACTCAAGGATAATATCAATAACTCGCATTTCCATAAAGCACTAGTCAGAAGTATAATCACGACAAATGTTGTCTTGGTGTCATCATAAATAATCTTGTAAACCCTCTAATTGACGATAGTGCTCTTGTTTTTCATCAATAAATGTTGTACATACCTGTATATACATATATCTAGATTACTCCATATATAAAAAGTACAATAATGTATCATATCTAGAGGACAACAACCAAAAATGATTTACCGTATTTCATACTCTATATATGACATATGAAATCCCAATATCACTATAAACAATCTTGTGAACTCTTTAGTCGATGACGACGTTCCTGTTTTTCTTGTTTTTCATGTTTATATAACTATGTTTATCTGTATATCTGTATATATTAGTTTACTCTTTATGTAGAGTATAGTTTATATGTCATATATAGACATTCAATCAAGCTATATCTATCTATTTTAGTGTCTAGAAGAGTATATCCCTCGCAATCGGGTTTTCATCTATGACAATTTTCATCTGTCACATTCTCATTAGAAAATCTTATACTACAAAGGTAAAAAAACATGGTTCCTAGCGGGATCGAACCGCTGATCCCCGCGTTATTAGCACGGTGCCTTAACCAACTGGGCCAAGGAACCAACTACCTATTGACCCTGTTGTAGTATGGTATGGTGAAGTTCTTTGTGTATTCCAGGGAAGCGCAAATAATATTAATAGTAATTCAAATAATCGAGACAGTAATCAACTATAGTCGATAGTATAATTACTAAAACGGTCTTATATATTAAGCGGCTTATATCGAGCTAATGTACTTATTCGAAGTTACTTAACTTGTTACTTGCTTGTTCTATTTTGTTTATACATAATATATAAATTATTTACAAGAAACGATTATGGAAGATGATCTTTTATCTCCTGAAAACGTTGTCCTTTTATATGTTTTCTGGAGCTCGATCGATTATTCAGATTACTACATTAATGACTTGACTGATTCAAACCCTAAAATTTATTATATTAATTTAGGTGCACTACTGGATTAGAACTGCATCCCAATTCTCTAATCATGGTGATTAGTAATACACGTGGGACTTAATAAAACAATAGGTAAATTCTAGATTTGCCAAGATCTTATGTAATCCAATCTTTTTATTATGCAGCATCTAATGTTGTAGCACATGTATGGCTTATTAATACACTAATTGGTTCTAGATTCATTCAGGATCTTATGTAATCTTGATGGTTATAACTATTCTATTCCACAACAGACCCGTATTGTGGAATAGAATTAGATGGCAGAGTTGATAAAATTTTAGAAACATAAAAAAAATAATATTTTTCACAATTAAGCTTATATTTATACTAGACCGTGAGTGAGATAATTGAAAAATATTCAAAATCCTCTCAAGGCTAAATATGCAATAGGTTTTTGAAATACTTGAACTTTTAAATACAAGAAATAAAACATATAAAAAAATTCAATGATATGAGCTTAACAAAATATCTTATGAGTAGTATTAGGATTAAATTTTCATAATTGATATATTAAAATATGGATATTAATTATATATATGAATACTTACAAATTATATAATTGGTTGATTCCAACCAATAAATAGATTAGTTCTAATTATTTTTGGTAATCTAGTTCGTCTTCCTCTGGACAAAATCTATTAAATAGAATATGAATGCCAATGCTGGTAATTATCTCTGGTTCCATCTTTCAATGCTCAAATGTCTCTTAAATAAACTTTTCAATAATGTGTCACCAATATTAATCCGGTGATCGTTTGTTTATTCAAATTGCTGGAATGATATATTAACTGTTTAGGAAACAAGTAAATATATCAAAGGAGGAAAATGTTTGTCATGCCCATTCAATATTACAGAGATAAGATCAAATAGAACTAAAATGGATCAATATATTATGACATATTGTCGAAAGGTAAAGATATATAAGTAGACAAGTTTACTTATTAATTTTCTAATCTGGATGAATAGTATATATACATTATATTGTATTTTCTATTATATTTATATAATTGTTAATTCCCGAATAAGAAATGGAGGGAAAATTACTCTACATATTAACATAATTAATAACAGAAAATAATAACATATAATATGATTGCGGACGCTAAAAACACGTATACTACTATTATTTATCCAGAGGACGAGCACAGTTACTATAAACATATATACTATGTTGTTTATAATTTCCAATCAGAACTTCTTGTAAAATTTTTCCTATCCAAAATTTATTACTTTTATTATATATATTGTTAAGGTAATCATAGACATATGTAGATGTGCGATTGGTTTTCCATAATAAGTCATTTAACAGAAAAATAGCATAATTAGTCCTGTTGCCTTTTTTAATAAGGTCTTTAAAATCGATAGTTAAATTAGCCTATTAGGAAAAACGTATTGTTTTAATAACTTATGCTCCCAAGCATTAGGAAAAAATTTAAGTCATATATACCTTCAATTACAAGTTATAAAAGTTCTCTGTGAAGAATTATGGGTAAAATGATATACATAAAAATAGATTACCATTTTTATTTCAATCGACTCTTACTTACAAAAATACTAGGGGAAACAAGCATTATTAACTGTTTGTTCAGAATAAAAAAAAATTCAAATCCAGAGCTTATTTTAAAACTTCTTTTGTATTTAGTCTTAAAAATAGTTAAGATAAGTTGCTAATAAGTATGTAATTTTTTTTGTTTCATTTAGTTGTCAATAATGAAGCATAACATTTTGTGGATTATCAAAATAATTTATTCTATTTTAGATTGAAGAGGTACTGTTTTTTTCGTGGTAATTTTCTATCTTTAATGCTTGGTACAATAGCGACGGTTGTAAGTAATTGTTTATCCAAAAAAAAAGAGTATATATACTTATATAGATATATATATATATATGACAATTGAAAATGTCTAATTCATATTTTTCTAATAAATAACGTTTTTGTGTTTCTTTTGCAATTAACAGTATCTATATATATATAGTTGAAAGAAGGCACAGCAATTATTATCAAAAATCAACCGATAATAAAACAAAAAGTTCAAAAAGAACGAGTATTTATCATGTAGTTTTCTATAATCTATTAACTCGAGAAATTTTATATAACATTTGACTTTTTACTGTAAATGATATGAATAATAATGCCTGTACAATCACTGCATATATAAATCAAGTATTTATTATTAATATTTTTCTCCAATCATTATCCAAATGACTAAATTCATTATTTTCACTGATACATACCAATCATTATTATTTACAACAATATATTGCATAATATGGGAATAACTTTATGACTATATTGTCCGTATTGAATCGCATGCGTTTGTAATATTTTTTTGTCATGGCAAATACAAATCAGCAATTTTTCAATGATCTTTATAGGAACACATTAGGAACTAAAGAAAATAAGATATAGGAAAAAAAAATAGTAAAACGCCCCCTTTGTGAATAAAAAGACAAAAGAGGGTATATTGAAACTAAAGCTATGTCCTTGTGTTTTGTATTATTGACTAATTAAATTACCAGAGAAGCCTTAGACTACATACTTTATAATTTTTTCATATATATATAACATTTTTATTAAGAATTCTAATAAGGGTAGAAAGAAAAAAAAAGTGTCAAATGTGTTGCGTTATCTGTTCCATGTCAGACTGTATTCTATATATTGTTGCAGTAATTTTTCCTCCTATTGCAGTCCTATTAAGATCAGGATTCTGCTCCTCAGATTTATTATTGAATATTTTATTAACTATGTTAGGATTTTTTCCTGGATTAGTGCATGCTTTTTATTATATAACAATTACAAGTCCCTTACGAAGACAGACTGAATATGTGTATGTTATTCAACAAGGCATAGCTGATATTGAAAGAAATGATAGGAATAATTCAAGAGGATATGGTTCATATGAAACTATGCAAGCACCTTTAATTAGTTCTAACAAAAGTTCAAATAACGTATCCATGATTAGTGAAATACCACCAAACCAAGAGTCTCAAAATGGGGATGCTTGTTCAAATAAACAGATTGCACCACCCCCATATAGTGAAATATCTTGATTTAGACATAACAGATGATTAATGAGAGATATATTTGAAGAAATAATAGTATATTGTATTATTTTCTTTTTTGTTTGTTTTTACATTTCTTCTACCATTAATTATCAGTATTGTATGTGTATATGACTATGTATGTATATTTGTGAAAGCAATTAAATCTATTAAATGTTTGCAAGTGATGTTAATTTTATTCTTACTACGATAATATTTTTCATTTCATAGTTTCACATGAGACTCCTCATTAAACTTATAATATTATCTATTTAAATACAATCCTTGTTGTTTATTTTGCAAGCCTAACTCTGTAATTTCATCAATTTCATTTTTATTTAAATCAAAAGAAAATTAATATTGAGTATCTAGAATTCATTCCTTTTTTGAAAAGTTGATAACCTGTAATATTGTATTCTTAGTAACTCAACAGAACTGATTGATTAGGGGTGTAAAACCTTCGTTTACTAATTGGTACTAAGTCTTTGCTGATGTGTTTGATCCTTTTTTGCACAACTATTGAGCAATGAAAGGAAGTACAATGGTACTGCAACGCATTGATCAACCAACCGTTTAAACAGAAAGTTGTATTTACCCAATTTGTATCAATCCCCCCCTCCTGTTTAACATTTGTGTTTGAACACTTTTGGACAATTATTAATGAAATTTCCACTTCCCCTTTTCCCTGATTTAGAGATGGAGCATGGTCACATGTATTGGTAACTTTAAGACAATTTAACAAAATAACTAGCAACATTCCAATCTGGAATTATCCAGGAATACAGTATAAGGTATACAGTCATATATTTACTTTCTATCAGAGACGTTGTTTCAGAAATAACAATTTTTTTTATCGTTACAATAACTGCTGTTATTTATACATTTATTTTATTGGCATTTTGATGGTAAAAAAATATATCAAACACATTTAATTTATTAACTAAGCCCTAATATACATTTTTTTACTAGTTAAAACAGGTCAGAAGCATGGCGAAACTCTTAATTATATGCATGACTTTTTAAGAAGCGTACATAGATTAGCATCATATGTAAGACTCTTGGTCCATGCAAATTAAATAACAACAGCTATCCTAACATATACATTCTTCAACATCTAATTATATCTCTTGTTATTTACTTTTTCTTGGAGATATCTTTTTAATCATTCCGTCTCTTAATTTCTGTTTATTATATCCATGAAATATCTCGGTTCATCTATAACAATCATCCCATTAATTCATTCACCTTTAATAAGTTCATAATGTTCGTTTTGAATGATAACATAAGTTGCTCGGAACATACACTTTTATTGCAGATTGTGCAATGCAAACAGAACTAGATTTTAAAAAAGCTCTGTTTTTTTTATTTTCCTTAAATATATATGGTGTAACTACTAGACTTACACTTACACATAATAGATTGATATTAAATCTTCTCAACTTTTGCTATCTTTCCAGATAATAAGTGACAAAATAACATATACGAGAAGAATATAATACTAATGTCTATTCCTACTGCTGCTGTCCATGATGCTGCATGCATCTTTTGCAAGATTCTTAAAAGTATGCTTTTATGTCAACAATTCTAGAATTGCTTTTTTTTTTTACTTTCACTTTGACGTTTTGTATTGAATACTAACAGTCAATTCTTTAACTTTTTTTTATATATCTAATTTTTATTTCTATCTTTCTTTAAAATATAGAGGAAATCCCATCATTTAAATTGATTGAAACTGCTCACTCTTACTCTTTCTTGGACATTCAACCAACTGCAGAAGGACATATTTTAGTTATTCCAAAGTATCATGGTGCCAAATTACATAACATTCCAGATGAATATCTTGCTGATATTTTACCTGTTACCAAGAGGTTAGTAAAATTGCTTGATTTAGATATTGACGGTGATGTACCAGGTTACAATGTTCTACAAAACAATGGTAAGATTGCTCATCAAGAAGTTAATCATGTTCATTTTCATTTGATTCCAAAGAGAGATAAAGAAACCGGCCTAATTGTTGGTTGGCCTGCGCAAGAGACAGATTTTGAAAAGACAGGTAAGTTACATGCTAAGTTGTTAGAAAAATTGAATCAATGAATTGATACTGTTTTATATATATATGAGTATGTATTATACGGAATGGTTTTTTTATAATTTTTTTATTAGAATATTATTAATGCTAATGTATTAATGAAGAGTTACATATTTTTATAATGACGTTTTTGTTATGCTTGTTAGAATTCATTTATGTCTTCTTCAGTAGACTGTTTTTGAATTTTACAAATTTATCAGTTTTCAAATAATTTGATTTTCTAAATCTTATGGGCCAATTAGGTTGTCCTTTATTCGATATTGTTATTGAATCATTATTTCTGGATGATTCTATTGTAAAGGATTCTGTTAGTGGTATAGTATAAGGGTTTGATAGCTCCTCTCTCTCAAATATTAGATCCGCGTTACCAAAACTGCTCTTTATACTATTCGATGATATAGATGGTATTGATACTTGAGAGGTAGATCTCCTTTTATGTTTTATCTCTTCAGACAAATTGTTGTTCACATAAAATGGTTTTTTACGAGGACTAACAGCTAAAGGTGCGTTAAAATACAATAGATTGGTCTTTTCCTTCTCTTTCATCATTTCAATTTTATGTTTATCGAGTAATGGTTTCAAAGATTTTAACAAATCATTGGTCTCGATCCTAATATCCCATTTGAAATATTTCAATAATTCTCTTTCGATAGTATTAACCTCTTGTATATTTAAGAGACCTCCGGTATATTCTGCCCAATATTTATTCTTTGGTGAGGTATCATTCAAAGTTTTAGATACTAAGATTAGACAACCAAGAAATATTCTATGTCTCGTAGTTTCCATTCCATAAACATCTTTAGCAATGATATTCTTTAATCTAGCTAAATAAACAGCAGTAGCCATTAATGTTGAGGTGTGAACATTGGATTGCACGATCAATCTTTTGATAAAAGTAGATAAATTGGGTGTTGATGTATTACATGCTTTATTGGTTGGTATTTTTATCAGCTTTGATGTTAAATTCACTAGATATCGGACCATATCATCACTCACTGGTTTTTTATTAAACTCTATCAGTGTGCTATAATCACTAAGCATGGCATGTGGTGTACAATCCTATTTGTGTCTGCTATGTTTATTGATAAAAGAAAAAAAACTACGAGTTAGATTGATATGAAATGACTTTTCTAATATGGTATATAATTGAGAAGATTCTCTCTAATATTATCTTGGGGGGGAAGGGGGCAAAAAAGAGAAAAACTGATGGGTTGTTTTTTCGATTACGTTGACATTCAATAGGAGATTAACAATTGTGGTCTTTATGTATAATCCCTCCAGACAGTATTCGATTTTCATGATTTCAAAGTAAAAGAAACAAAGACAAAAAGAATAATATAAAAGAAATGCTGGTTTAATGGACTACGTGAAAAATCCGATATCAAAGAATAATAAATAACATATTTTATCTCATCTATTTCCTGCCATTACGAAAAAGTTTCCCATACGAAGCTCAGATCTCATTTATTTTCCTCTTTTGGAAATAAGTGCAGCTTACTGGTTTTACCTATTTAGGTGAAAATTGAAAAAGAGTAATCTGTTATTTTGCTTCCTTGTTTTAGTTTGATCGGCAAGATCACAAAAGAAAGAGAAAAAGGAAAAGAAATAAATGTGGGATATCTAAATCCTTGCAAATATGTAAATAATGATGTGGAAACTCCAGTTTATTTTACTCTCCAAACTCAAAACAGTCATTGTTGTTTTAACGAAATTATATTTTGTTCCTTATTTTTACCTGTTTAATGACTGGGATGTAATATTGACGGATTATATAAGTCTGATGGGGGTCAGTGATAGGCACTTGAACTTATCGCAAAGTAAACACTATCTTCTTGATGTGTCTTTTCATTATGTCTTTTCAAATTGAAAACATCTGTTGATACAGTTTTCTTAGTGTCAAAATACTTATATTTTGCTTTTTTTTTTTCTTTTTTATTTGATAATTCAAGTTAGATACAGTAGAAGATACTACTTTCTTTAACAATAGTTTATACATTAGAAAGTAATAATAATATCAGATATTCTTTATTTCTTTTTCATACATAGCCATGTTGTTATTGTTAGACAAAAACATTTCAAGCTTGAAGCTTTTGTAGATGTTCGGTTTAATTTGGTTTTCAAAATATCTTTAAGAATTATATAATATATAACAACACATATAGTTTAGTTAAAAATATTGATTTAAACTAAAAGATAATCATTTTCTTATTTTATTTTAAGGGATAAAAAATTAAAAAACTATACATTTAATCAAAAAAAAAAAGGAAAGAAAGAAATGAACTTCTTATAACTATTTCACAAGTCATTACTCCAGACTTTAATATAACCGTAATTATCTTTGTAAATAAAGAATATATATACTTGTTACTTTTTTTGTTCTACATCTTATTATAATATAGTTAAAATTAAAAGATAAAAATATTGAATGGTGTGTTTGTTATGTAAAGAATAATTTATAGAGATCATGTTTGTAATGAATAGAAGCAAACTTGATAATTATATAATAAGGATTTAGCATTTTGGAATATGTGGAAAAGCATAAACGAATTAATATAGCTCAAAATAATAGAAGGATATATATGTATACTTATTTATTGGAGAAAAAGGAAGAAGGGAAAAAAAAGAAAACATAAAAGAAAATAGAGTTGTAACTTAGCATGAACAAAAAAAATTATTTTTTTTTTGCTTCATCGCCCTCTTTATTGTGTCTTTTTGATATTTCATTAATCTTATTTTCTAAAGAAGCCAATTCTTCCTTGTGTCTTTTAATTTCTTCCCTTATATGTGCCAGTTGTTCTTTCTCTAAATTACGAATAAACTGGTTTTCCTGAGCTTGTTCTCTTTTCGTAAATGAATTTAAACCACCTGAAGATGTATCTAATAAATATGTTCTTGAAGAATTGATGAGTACTCTTTTGTTAAATAACAGGGATTTATTAAAAAGTACAATACGTGGAGTTACCAGCATTTTTGAATGTATGTGTTATATTAATGTTGTAAAGTTGATTAGAAGGAATAAGCTAGTCAATAAAATTGTTTCGGTGAGAAAAAAATGTATGTATATGTATATATATATACAATGAAATTAATTTGATATTTGCTTTCGATTATGAATCAGTTGCAGTAATATGTTATATTAAGTCAAGTTTTGTCAGATATTTAGAATAATTTTATAATTGTTATAACACCAAACATTAACAATATTGGGATAACCAAGATAAAAGGATAATGGAGAAGGAAAATGTACACCAGTTGGGATAATCAAGTAAGAATTCAAAATGATAAATGTATATGATTTATCAAAACCCCTACTACTTTTCCTATAAACTTTCAGCTTATGTTTTTTTTTCCTATCTGTCAAAAGAAAAATGAAAAAAAAGAAGGAGGCGGAAATTTTAGTGAAAATCAAAAAAAAAAAGGACGTCTTCTGCCGTGCAATTAGAAGAACCACTCCTCTCTCCTGTCTTTATTTGCGCTTCTCCTTTCTGTTATTGGTTCAATAAAACAAAATAAAATAAAAACACAATTGTCAACCTTCAGTTTTCATATAATGCACTATTTGCCTATCTTTAATATATCTATTGATTTTTTCTTATCTAAATATTAGTTATTCATTACATAAAAGTAAAAGACGTATATATATGTATGTATTTTATAATACTTCTTTAAAAGTGGGACCAATGTACAAAATGATAGTAACATAAAAAATAAAAAAATCAGGAATCAAAAAGGGACCGTGAATTTTTGAATATATTGTAAAACTTGCGAGATTTCTTGTCACTTCTATCCAGAATATTTGAAATATGCTAAAAAAAGAAAGAAAGAAAATTAGATAAACAGGAAAAAAGTTACAGTTTTTGTAAGGTAGTTTATTCCTTCTTAGCTTTTTTAGTGGCTGGTTCAGCAGTAATATCTAATGGCTCTTCATCGGCCTTAGTCTTTTTAGGTACTAAGGCAGGGGTATTTATTTCAGCATGGAATTCCTTAATTATAGAATCAACATCATCAATATTCAATGGTCTAATGTCACCCATCTTCTTAATCTTACTAGTAACTTCTTTAATCTGCGGATCTGTTAAATTCAAATTCAATTGATCAACTCTTGATTTAATAGCATTCCAACCGGTTAATCTATTGGCAAAGTGGATATATCTCTTTAGACCAAAATCATGTGGATTTAAGATTTCATATGTGGATGGATTAGCTAAAATGGCCTTAGCATGAATACCAGCTTTATGTGTGAAGGCACAGAACCCAGTGATTGGATTATTGAATGGAATATTGACTTGAACAGCGTCGGCAACTAATAATTCCAGGTCTCTGATTTTATGTAACTTATATTTTGATTTAACATAATCAGGAGCTGCCACGATCATTCTAGCCATTAGCCCACCAATGGGGACAATACCGTTTCTTTCACCAATACCCAAGACACAGGTGTCAATTAAACGGGCACCGGCTTCCAAAGCTGTGTAAGCGTTGGCAATAGCACAACCAGTGTCGTTATGGAAATGACACTCAATATCACAATTAACAACAGACTTCAAGGTTCTAACTAGTTCATAGACTTGTCTTGGGTTAGCACAACCAACGGTATCGGCAATACCAACTCTATTCACACCGATCTTACTAACAGTCTTGTAGATATTTAATAAATCGACAAGATCACTTCTGAAGGAATCTTCAGAAGAGAATCTAATTTCAATACCTTTGGACTTGACAAATTCGATGACTTCAATAGCACTCTTGGCAATGTAGTTCATATCTTTACCATGAGAATATTGTCTTAAAAATTTAGAAGTACCGATAACAACATCGACACCATCGACACCTGTCTCAACAGCAACTCTTGCATCGTCCATGTGACAACGAATGTGAGTTAAAATTTTGGCCTTTAAACCTAATTTACAGATAGCTTCACAATCCTTTCTAGATTGTTCAGATGCCACAGGCGAGGTTAATTCGATATAGTCGACCCCAAAATCATCTAAAGCCTTGGCAATTTCAATCTTTTTTTCGGTAGTGAAGAAAGCATTAGCAAATTGTTCACCTTCTCTTAAGGTAGAATCAATCAATTGGAAATTATCGACATTGGATAAATAGTCAGCTGGGTTAGGACCATATGGATTAACTTGATGCCTAGCTAAGGCATCACTTTCATGGATTTTCTTAAATTCAGTATCACTCATTTTTGTACAGGTCGGCTCAATGTTTGATGTATAGATATGGGTATATATATACGTATATGTACGTGTTTGTGTATGTTAATATGTGTTTATGGTATACGTTAGACGTAAAAAAATGGATTGGACGATTTTCTGAGATTGAGAGTAGACAGTAATTAAATAAATGTGTACAAGTCTTAGAGGAAGATGCCAAAGAAGTAATTTGAAAAATTCTTAGATCCTATACAATTATACAAAAAAACACCTGCAATACATGTGCGTCTTACCATCGGTATATATATATATATATATATATTTACATTATTTATATACCGTTGACTAGCTATAAAAAGCTCAACAATATAAGGAAAGGAGACGTGTAAGAATAGAAAAATAATTCCATACAATATTTGTCCCTTTGAATTAGTCAGAGAGTCCAGGGGAAATAGAGCAGAGCCATACAAAATAAAATAGATTGAGTCACCACAGTTTCTTGCTCTCTCCTTCCTCCCTCGAGATTGCAAATAATTAAATTATCCGTACGATATTTTTTTTCCTTTATTGCTCATTTCACACATAGAGAAGAATGACAGGAGGAGTCGAAAATATTTTGGAGTCATAAAAAACGAAACTCGAGAGAAAAAATACACAGGAAAAAAAAACATTGAGGGAAAAAAGCTACGGAAAAATAGAGAAAATAAAAAAAAATGAGGACTAACCCTAAAAATGCTCTGGAACTTTTCTGAAATTTCATGCAAGTTGAGCAAAAGAAGAATGTCTACTCATTTAATGTTTTGAGAGGGATTGTTTATACGAACTTGAAGTTTTACAAAGGAATTAGAGTAGGAAATAATTCTTTTAGTATATATATATATATAGATATATCGCATTTTTTGTATTTAAAAGTTGGATTTTTCGAGAAGAAGTTTCTAATGTTTGCACATATTTCATTTACTAGAAATAAATTAGACGAATGTTGTTTCGCAATTTAAGGTTCTGAAAATTGAAGGTGAAAAACAAAAATAGGAAAGAGTATTGTTTTTTTCTTGATCCCATTTTGTCTGTGTTTGATTTTCAGTTTGTTCTACGTCAGTTTTATTTTTCTTTTTTTTTCCCAGTGGGATTTCTATCCTGAGTTAAAAAAAACAAAAAAGACCTAAGCATGGAGAAGTTTCTTAAAGAAAGAGAGTTAATGTGAACTTTCACTGGCTGACTAACCTTTATAAGTTAGATATCTTTGTCGTATATTTCTTGAGTAAAAGATATATTTTAAGAAAAGATGAAGGTGAGTAAGGCTACTTATTACATAATTATATCACTAGTATCTTTTAAAAGGACAAAAAAAAATTTTGTATAAAATAGTCTACAATCCTACATGAACCAAATGAATAATTTATACTTTTTTTTCTTTTTACGCAGTTGATGGATAAAACATACAACTATATTTCTTAATTTTTTTTTTATTTCTTATTGTCTTTCTTTTTTTATTTTAACTTATGAATTTATATGTATATATCACTATTCTTAATATAACTGACTAGAACTTTATATGAACTTACATTGTAGATAGGCTAAAAATTCACTTGTTTTCCTCTTAAAACCCTTTTTTTATGCTAGATATGAATATGATTCACCATCATCAGATCTTTGTAAGTATCCCTTTTGAATTAAGTTATCAATGGCTCTTTTAATCATGGACACTTTAGCATTAAACCTTTGGTGAGATTGGGCAATACATTCGTTAACTAACATAGAATGCGGTAATTTTCTCTTAGCTTTCATGATTCTAACTATGCATGCTTCTAAAAATATCTGTCTTTCCGTGCTTAATTCTTTTTCAATACGTTCGGATTCAGTTAATTCTTCATCACTATTTGTGCCTGTGGCGTTATTTCCATTTCCTGTAGGATTCTTACCTAGCCTTCTGGCATTTACATCAGACGAATGTGCAAGGACATTTAATATATCATTCTTAACACCGCCTGCAAAATTAATATTCGTTTTTAATGCTTTATATGGAGTAGATAATTTAAATTGTGTTTCAGGCTTTATTAAAGCTTCCAAGCCAGGAGGTATTTGTTGAAGTAATTTAAATTTAATGAATGGAACCATGGATGCAGCAATATTTTGAATCGACAAGTTGGTTTTATCCTGAATCTCTTCTAAGGTTAATATATTAGACTCATTGAATAATAATAAAATCGATAATTGAAATAATGTTACTGTAAAGATAAATGGTTCTCTACCAGGTTTACCAATTGATGCAATTAATTCTGCACGGCATAATGGCCATAACCATTTGAGAACACGTCCATTATGCTTTGATGTATACAAGTTCTGCAGTTGTTCATGTGAGGGTTTTAATTCTTCTGGCAAATTGAATTCAACCTCTTGATATGTGAATGGCCACATACTCTCTGCAAGTATGAATGGTTCTACTTCTGGATATTTGGCACTAGTATAATCCGGTGATCTCTTAATCATAACATCAAATTCATTCTCCAATAATTTAGATAATCTGACATCTTGGAACATCTTGGTAATCTTTCCTGTATACTCCATACTGTTTTCACTTTGTAATCTTTGAATAATAGATTCTTCATCCTCATCACTTGTAGATGTACCATGAATTAATCTTTTGGCAAATAATCTACGATAATGTGACTCAAACGCATCTTTATCTGTCAAAAATTTGAAAATTGTCATGATATCATCAATGGACATGTCTTTAGAAATTTCAGACTTGGTAGATCTTTTTAACAATTGATCACTGTATTTAGCCAACATCTCTGATGTTCTTGAGGTTGCAGATCTAAGAGATCCCGGTGGTAATGCAAATTCATTGTTGTTTATATATTCTCTACAGGCATTGTCTAGCGCCTTTGCAAATAATGTGTCATTGTCAAAACAATCCATTGTGATTCCACGGAAAAGGTTGTAAACCTCTAGTAATTTTTTAATGTATTCCTTTGGTGGTAATGAATTGGTTGCAGCAAGCATTATTTTTTTATTGATAGAACGTTGGTTGGGATTCTTATCATTCATTTGGTTTTGATCATTAACAATGGCTGCTCTGTGTTGTGCTAATAGTTGTTTAACTGCATTTTCACCAGAATTCTTGATATATTCCTCATATACAGCGGCCAATTTAGGTAGTAAAGTAAAATCTCTGTTCATTAAATTATATATCCCAGATAGTTGTGCTTCATCTCTCGAATCTAAAAGCGTGATGAAATCAGATTCCAATTTGTCAACGTGCTCTATAATCAAAACCTTGTTTAGAGTCTCTGATAACGGTTTCTTGGTATGTTCGTCCCAGTACATACTTAATGTTTTCTCTTCATGATATAATATGTGATGTGCTTCAAAGATATATTCACTCACAGAGTGAGTAGCTAAATAATTTCTGGAATATTCTCTATAATACTCTTCAGTTTTAGCTAAAAATGGTTTTTCAAATACTTGGATATAGACATTTAAGTTCAATTTTTTTAAATCTTGTGGGTCTATTCCTAGAGCTACAAAGGACTTGATTGCAGTAGTTAAGGTTCCTCTATTGATACTCTTGCCATCTCTTTCATCGGTTATTTGTTGCAAAATCTCACTAACCAAAACTTCACTATTAGGATCAAACATTGTTTCTTTCCATGTCATTAAGCATAACGTATTGACGTCAAAAATGTGTCTTTTCCCGTCACTTCTCTCCTTTTGGACCCAGTACCGGTTCATATAATCAAAAGTGTGATTAAGAAAAATCGCACCAATTGTGTATCTTTTCCAATGTCTAACATAAAACTTTAAAAATGATTCGTTTGGTTGTTTCTGAAAATTATTAATATAATGTTTTAAATATTTCTGTAACCTTTCATAAATCTCACTACCAACTAAAATTGAGCTCTGATTTGGAATGTCAGTAGATCTATCAGCATTAAAATGGCCTGAAGAACGAGATTTGTTCACACAATAATTATAAATAGCAGTGTAAATTTCCATATACATCGTTGGTGATAAGACCTTATTAACTCTCTTGGTTGATTGGCTATCTTCACTTCCTAGAATTTTGTTAATACCAGGTTGAATAAAATTCCAAGTGGCGTTTAAATCATCGGATCTAGGTAGCATTTCAGTCATATTCTTGGAGGGGGTAAAATTACTGTGAATAAAAGACTAAAACAGATCAGGTAAGCACTAAAAGTTGTTCTTTGTATTAACTTAATTATTAAGGATCCTCCAGTGGGAATTAAGACAAAAGGTTGTTAATCAGTAATAAGGTATTAAAATTATAAGTTATAAAAAAAATGAGATCTCTATGAAATTACTCTTTATATATCAATTGTAAAATGTTGCTCCTTCTGTTCAGTGAAAAATGAAAATATTGATTTACTTGGAGGAAAAGAAATCAATATTGAATATGTTAACAGATTAAACAAAAGATAAACTCAATTATTTGAACGTATATTTCTTGATGGTATTTTTTTTTCCGGAAAGTGAAGGGATATTTTGCAATTTTATGACACGTATAATATTTCTTTTAAAACTTCCACATCTGCTCTAGCATCAATGACCAAGTTTCCAGCACCACCTTTTTTTTATTATTAAAAAATTATTTTTTCTTTAAAAAAAAAAAATGAAATAGGAAAGAAGGACTTTTAACAGCACCTTGCGGGTAATTTTCACCATAAAAAGAAAAAAGATTCAAACTAATTCATATAGGTAGCTTGAATTGAACAAAATCCGGTAATATTTCATAATCAAAGAAAGTTCTTAAATGCTAAATGAATATATACGTCTATCTATATGAATAATATTTATAAAATTGATATGATTCTATATGCTTTCTGTTTTGTTCGATTGTTCTATATTATATTGTGCTTTTCATTTGGGGACTGTGCGTCTAATGATTCTTATCATGCTGAATATGACACAAAGTATCCAAGTGAATAGTAGGATGAATAAAAATGCAGATAATGCTTTTTGTTTTCTGCAAATATATGGGACCAAAGGGTATACTTTTGTAATTTGGCCATTCACATTTAAAGGATAAGTATCACTACAAACCCATCTAGTATCGTATCTTGTATTGAAGGCTAATGCTAGATTAGCACTTGAAAAAATGACAAAAATTAGGTCAAGACAAATCAGCTTCATCTTGTCAGATATATTTCTTAGGCCAATGGGGGCACTTTTAAATTCATCATGTGCTATATACGCCGTGTATATTGATGCAATTGCGTTAACACATATAGCCATTATGGTACTCGGTTGTTGTGGAATTGAGTCTAGTGTTTCATTAGCATAGTCTCTAGAATTTTGAAATATTCTTACAGAGAGTCCTAGAGATATTAGGGATAATATGAGAATAATAATTCTAAATGCTAATGGAAGAATTCTGCTATTATCAATAAAATTACTGATATGTGGTTTCCATTTAACCACTTTTTGATCAAAATATTTTCTCCATTTTTCCGTTTCATATTCTAACTGTGATCTCATCCCATCCTGATTTTTCAAGTGAGTGGTATCTCCTTCAGTTCCTTGTTCTTGTTGATCATCGGATTTATATACTTGTTCAAATAATCTTGGTAAATATTCCTTCCATTTTTTTTCCTCGTCTTTATTGTTAAAATTATAATTTGAATTCTTAAATCTTAATATTTTTTCTAACCTTTGATCACCCTTCCAATCAGAATCCAAATCACATAATATTTCATTTCGTATTTTTTCCTTTTCTGCGGCATCAAATATATCATCTATTGAAAATTTGGAGGAATTAACAGTTTTTCTGCTATTATTACTGATTATAGAATAATTATCTTTGATACCAACCTGTTTCTTGTCAAAAATAGGAACCAATTTACTCGGAAAATAATTAGTATTTGTTCCCACATTATGCGCTAATTTTGACCATTTCAAGTCACTTTCTGATATATTTTCAGTATGTAGATCGGTTTGGCATGAGAAGTTACTAGACTGTTTCTCTAAATCTGTGTAGATTTCATCAAGAACAAATGGTGGAACTGTTACAGGATATACTGGATGTGTTAATAACTGTTTTCTGTAAGTGGGTAATATTTTATCCTTTTTTTTTCAATGTAATGTTATTTTTAACGCTTTGTGGATGCTTTTCAGCGCTAGTGATAAGTACAGTGTTTGTTATATCTGTTTGAATGGCAGTTATTGGAGCATCATTATTTTTGTATGTTTCAAAAGAGCTTGTAGGAGAAAGTGGAGATATTGATCTACTGTCTTTATCAATGTCTAAATCAGAAGGGTCACTTCCTTGAACGGAATGTTTATCATCCATTTCAATTTTACCCTTCTATGTACTGTAACTATATAGCAAAATTAGGATAATAATACTAATAATAATAATAATATAACAAATAATGCAATAGGTTTTTTTAGCAAAAATTAAAAAAGATGTTATTTAAGTTTTTGTTGTTGTAGTTTTTTTTTTTTTTCAAGCTAATTGGTATATATTGGTTAGACTAAGTTAGATGGATTGTCAAGACTGCAAAGTAGAAGATTTCGTTACCATCTCGGTTTAATTTCGTTTATCTTATTACTTATTTGTTTTGTGTATATAAATATGTGGAGATGTACATATAAATGAAATTATCAAACCCTAAAGAATATTCTTTAGGGTTTGATAGGTGACGTACTTGTTAAGATTCTTCAGAAGGATAGTAATAAACAAGAAAGGTTTATTCTATATACAAACTCTCCATTGTATTTTTAGACTCACAGGAAATTACATACATAACAGAGAGAATCACACTTAAATAAAATAGATTGAAGTTAGAAGGTGATTTGCTTGCTTTCTGTTCTTTATTTAATCAATTTGAAATCAAATAAATGTTATCACGTAAATAAGGGAATATGCCTGTTGATATATATATATATATATATTTATGTATATTGTTTGTTCGTTTATTTGTTTGTTTGTTTTTTGGGGTGGGCAACAAATAGAATTATTAAGTATCCCTTAGTTTCATTTTGAATTAATTTGCTTTTGTTTTTTGGATCACCGTGCCAACCCTTTATCTTATAGGTTGAGAAAAATAAATGTGGATATATATGTATATATATAAGGAAGCAGTGTAAATGATAATTCGATTATTTTTTTTACTTTGGACTTGGAATACATATCTTAGTTAATTTCAGTTTTTTGTCTTTATTCTCTGGCACAAGACTTTATTTCATCAACACCAAAAACAACGCATATTATTTTATGATTGTTTTTAATAATGAGAGCTAAATGGAAAAAGAAGAGAGTTAGAAGACTTAAGAGAAAGAGACGGAAGGTTAGAGCTAGATCTAAGTAAATGTCTTTTTTTACAATTGATATATACCGTTAATATCATTTATATAACGACACATAAAAATTTAAATAATATTATTAAATAAATAACTGTTGTTTGATTAAGTATCTTTTTTTTTGCTTGTTTTATCTTATTTGTCTATATAGATCAACTCTTTTGATAAATAGTCTTATTCTACAGTTCTTATCTCAAATATTAACAAACATGTGTCTTCACTTCTGTAATACACTTATAGAGCATTTAAATATTGTTTTATTAATATTTGTAAAGTACATAGAAAATATTTAGAGATGATATAAATAGAGTAAAAAAATAAAAAAATAAAAAGATAATATGGAAATTTTTATATTATAATAGAGTATATCATACAGTCTCATTACTGTTATATTTATAATCTTTTATTAAATTATATTTATTTCGTTACTTTTGCTTCTTTTCTTTATTATTATTAGGTTCACAAGTAAATTAATCAGTAGACTCAGCAAATCTTTCTTGTATCGTGCTTAATAACTTTTCAAATTCACCATGGACTTCGTTTTGACCCCTGCTTGGTTCAAAAAATTTGGATGATGAAACTGCATGCTTAACATCACTCGTGGCTTCAGACAATTTAGACCAATTGGCACCATTTGAGACTGCCTTTTGAGCCTCGTCATGATATGATATAAATGCCTTCATCATGTCAAAAGTCTTCCATATTGGACAGAATGCATCATATGTAGAATAACCATTTTGCTGTAAGAAATCTTCTTTGATTAATGTAGCTACATCTAATGTGATCTTGTCACTATCAGATAGAGCAGATTTACCGACTAATTGAACCACTTGTTCTAATTCTTCTGCATTAGATAAAATTTCTTTCATTCTATCTCTTAAAGTTGGGAATTCTGGATAATTGTTGTCGTAATATTTGTTCAACACATTTGTGTATTTGGAATATGAAATAGATGTGTTGATAGATGGAAAATGCTTTCTTTGTGCTAATTTCTTATCTAAACCCCAGAAAACTTGCGTAATACCTAAAGTAGAAGTCGTAACTGGATCTGAAAAGTCACCACCTGCTGGGGAAACAGCGGCAACAATAGACACGGAACCTGTACGATCTGGTGAACCTAGAGCAACGGCTTTGCCAGCTCTTTCATAGAAGGAAGCTAATTTAGCACCTAAATAAGCTGGGAAACCTTGATCAGCTGGCATTTCACCTAAACGACCAGAAATTTCTCTTAGAGCTTCAGCCCATCTTGAAGATGAATCTGCAATCATGGAAACATTCTTACCTTGGTCTCTAAAGTACTCTGCCAATGTAATACCAGTGTAAATAGAAGCTTCTCTAGCAGCCACAGGCATATTGGAAGTGTTTGCTACTAATGTTGTACGTTTCATAATTGGTTCTTTTCTACCGGAAATTTCAGTATATAATTCAGGGAATTCCATCAAAACTTCAGCCATTTCGTTACCTCTTTCACCACAGTTATGCACTAGAGCTAAAGAAGATAATAAATATTGTTTGTCAGTGGAGTCAGGTAGAGTGATACCATAGTACTCATCTTCTTCCTTAGCTTGAAGAGTGAAATAGAAGGGAACGGCTTTTCTTTTGAATGGAAGTGAACTAACACTGTTTCTTGTGGAAGCACATAATCTCAAAACACCGTTAAGAGCAGGGCCACTTAGGTAAATGTGATGTACTAATTGATGAACGATGCCGTTTTTGTCAACATGTTGTACTTCTTTATTGACTGACACCCTGATACCTAAGGAACGAGCTAACTTGACTAAACCATCAGAAACGGTTTCATAAATGGTGCTGACACTTGCACTTTCAATGTCACCGTTTTCTCTTTTCTTAACATAACCAGCAGCATCGATCATACCTGCAATGAATTGTTCTCTAACTTCAATATCATCAGAAGATAAATGGGCTGGAATAGCTTTGATAGATTTACCCTTGTCGTTCTTGGTTTTAATACCGAGTGAGGTAATAGTGTTCCAGAAGCAATTCTTTGTAGTTGCATCACTGTTATCAACCCCATTAGCTTTTAAAGTTATGGCTATATCACCATACTCATTCAAAGAGAAAGACCCAGATGCACCATCTGTAGTGCCTTCAATCTCTTCATTATCAAAGATAATTGAGCCATCTTCTTGAACTTCACCATTTTCAATTTGGGAAAGTATCTTTTCTTCGGTCTTTTTGTTAAACAAAGATGAAGGCTTATTTTCAGAAGTAGAAACAGATAGACCAAAAATGTTACTGTATTCAGTAATACGGGTTACTAATTCATCATTTAATTGATCAGCAGCAAACGCAGGACGATCTACAAAACCAACACTTGCCCATACACCCATTAACCAAGCAATTTGAGGAGCATATAATGGATTGGAATTGATATCCTTCAAAAGCTTGGCCAATTTGCCCGACTGGTAGAATACTGGGTTAATTAACTGTGTGGTAACTTTTTTAACATTGTGACTGACTTTAATATAATTAGATGCTTCCATCTCCCAATAGATTGGATTGCGATCAACACTGACAAAGAAATCTTTAGCCATTTTTTTAGCCTTTTCTTCACCGTATAGATCATGTGGATAAACTCTTGTCTTTTCTCTGACTATTTGTCCATTTTTGAAGTCTTCAGACGCCAAATAAGCGACACTACTGTACATCTTACCGTTTAACTTATGATGACTAATTTTAACACTTTGTGGAGTGCATAATACTAACATATGGTTTCCAGAACAAACAAAGTTGATTAAACCAGAAATGCTTTGGTTAGATGAGAGTTGTTGAGCAGTTTCACAGACTTCATACAGGGTTTCTTTACCACGTGGTAAGCCCACAACTTCTCTTGGTTTACCGTCTTTACCCATCACTTGCTCACCAACAGTAATATCTTCGATAATTTTATCTGAGCCATCGGCCATTAAAACTTTTGTACCTTTTTCAAAACAACCAACATAGATAATAGTATCAGAATTGGAATATTTAGATAGGGATTGGGAGATAACTGTTTTACCACAGCCAAAGGCACCAGGGATACAAGTGGTACCACCTTGAACACAAGGGAATAATGCATCAAGAACCCTTTGGCCAGTCAACAGAGGATAATCAGCAGACAGTTTTTCAGCAACAGGTCTTGGGACACGAACAGGCCAGGTATGGAACATTGTGTATGTATATTTAACCCCATCGAATTCTACTTCGATGATCTTTTCATCTACAGTGTAATCACCTTCTGGTGCCAACCAAGTGATTGTACCTCTAGCTCTTGGTGGCAAAAGAATCTTATGGTCATCAATCAAAGAATTTTCAAAGACAGAACCGAAGATATCACCACCAGAGATATGGTCACCGACGGAATATTTGCCAGGTGTGAAATGCCACTTGATGTCTCTGTTTAAAGCAGGGGCGTCGATACCTCTTGGGATATAGATAGATTGAGACATATCTTTGATAGCTTTCAAGGGTCTTTGAATACCATCATAGATAGTTTCCATTAAACCTGGACCTAATTCGACAGATAATGGTTTTCCTGTCCTGAGAACGGGATCACCCACAGTGACACCTGCGGTTTCTTCATAGACTTGAATAGTTGCTTTATCACCATCTATTCTGATGACTTCACCTACTAAATTATCGTGACCAACTTTAACTAATTCATACATGGCACAACCAATCATATTTTCAGCGATGACAACAGGACCAGAGACAGAGTAAATAGAACCATATTCTGATTCTGCATGGTCTTCTAAAGAGATTCTTTTAATCTCTTTACGAGCATTTTCGATAGTACCTGCCATTATGAACTATTAATATTATTATTAATATTAATTATTACTATTATTATTATTATTAAGGTATAATTATTAGTTTTGTATTGTATTGTATTATATTATATCGTTTTATTTTATTTTTATTTTTGGAAGTATATTCGAATGTATTTCAATAGAGAATATTCAATCCAAAACTCCGATATCAGTTTATCTATAATATAAATATTTGAACACTAGGGAATTATATTAAGTCGATTGATTGAAAATAAAATAAAAGAAAGAAAACCAAATAAAAAAAAAAAATAATAAAGAAAGAATTAGAAATACAGGTACACGCACGTACACACCCAATTATTTAATTGAATAAAGTAAGTAATTATTTCAAAAAAAGAAAAATTAAATAAAAAAAACAAAGTTTTATTATTAGTTTGTTTGTTTATTGATTTGTTTCTCTCTGTTTTGTTTTGTAATAGTTATCTTCTATATGTTTTCTTGATAGAGTTAGTGTATTTTAAATTATACACATATACACCCCACCCTATAGACACATATTAATTTTTTAATTTTTTAATTTTTGATTTTTTTTTTTTTGATTATCAATAATCAGTATTATAATTTGAGTGTTTGTTCTATTTTTCCTTCCACTATTTATTCCAGGATGATTAGTGTTTCCCTACATCTATCAGAATGAGAGAAAAAGAAAAGAAAAGAAAAACAGAATCCTGAACAGTTTAGAGGATTAAACACCTGGCGGAATAGTTTTCCGAAATCCTTTTTTCTAAAAAACCTGCTAGGTGTGTCCAGCTATGCGGAGATGGTAAAGAGAAGGGGGAGATGAAATCGAGGATTGGGTGTGGAACGTATCGATTTCGCAATGTTCGAGCTCCAAGGAAAGCGCGGAAACAACTTTTTTTTCTTGTTTCCTTCCCTTTTCCCCTTCCCCTATACCGTGACCTTTTGAAAGAAATTTGGTGGAGGAGAAAACAAAAAAAAAAAAGAGGGAAAAGCCGACTGCGTTACGTTACCCTCCTTTTTAGCTGGGAGTTTTCCATCAAGAAAGGAGGAAGACGCAAAAAAGAAAAAAGGAAAAAAAAAGAAAAAAGAAAAAAGAAAAAAGAAAAATTGAAGGTGAAGCGAAGTGAAGTGACAAAAAAAAATAAGGGGAAGGTGACAAAATTCAGAAAGCAGTAGAAATCAAAAAGAAAAGAAAGGAAAAGAAAATAAAGGAGACTCAGGATTAACGCTGTCGTGTGTGTAAAAACAGGAACTATGAAATATGTTCGAACAGTAACTAACAACTGCTACTACTGTGACTATTGACCATTAACTACTTACTTATAACTGTATTTTATGTCTCTTGCTATGTTATACAGTGTAATATATAACAAGAATTTAGTCTAATATATAAGATAGCATTTTCTATTCTTTTCTTTTCTTTTTTTTATTGTTTCTTTAATACGTTTAATAAATACTACAATATTCAATAAGAACTTTTGTTGTAATAAGTTCGTTTTATTTTGGTGAGATTTAATTTTTGAGTTTTGTATTTGTATTTTTTTTTCGTCTTTTCTTCTATTTTGTTAGATCAGTAAAACAAAGACAAGATAAATACACAAGCAAGTAATCAATTAGTGATATTCAATCACTGTTACTGCTATTACTATCACTACTAATACAGTTTTACAAATTCTATTCTGCCTTAGTTTACTTCCCGTTCTTCATCATTTTTTATTATTATCATTCTCCCCCTTCCAAATTGTTCTTTTTTTTTTCTTTTACATATATAATTTTTTTTTTGTCTAAATTTTTAAAGGAAAATAAGAAGAAACGTATATCACATACACATTCACATACATTCATCCATACGTATAGTTATATATACACAATATTTGTTTATTTATATTCAAACTAATAAGATCAAATAATAATTACACATAATGGACATGGATATGGATATGGATATGGATGTACCTATGCATGATGCTATGTCAGAGCAATTGATTCCTACAATTAATGAAGATTCAAATAATTCTGATAATGAAAATAATGACAACACTAATAATACGATAAATTCTAACGGAAATAATAATGATAATAATAATAATAATAATAATAATAATAATAATAATAATATTACTAATAATGGTGGCAATGGCGGTGACAATGAGAATGATTACCAAGAGATAGATTTTAAACCTGGTTCCTCTGGTATAGCAGACAATAAATCAAATAAACCTTTAGAACTAAACCCTTCAAATATAAACCAATTAGATGCCTGGATTGAAAAATTATCCAAATGTGAGATCTTATCTGAAGATGACGTATCAAGACTTTGTAGAATGGCTGTAGACGTGTTACAATTTGAGGATAATGTCCAACCCGTTAATGTCCCTGTTACTATTTGTGGTGACATACATGGTCAATTCCATGATTTAATGGAGCTATTTAAGATTGGTGGTCCTTGTCCTGACACAAATTACTTATTTATGGGTGACTATGTCGATAGAGGTTATTACTCGGTGGAAACTGTCTCCTTTTTGGTGGCTATGAAAGTTAGATATCCTCATAGAATCACTATACTGAGGGGTAATCATGAATCAAGACAAATCACACAGGTTTATGGGTTTTATGATGAATGTTTGAGAAAGTATGGGAGTGCAAATGTTTGGAAAATGTTTACAGATCTGTTCGATTATTTCCCAATCACTGCATTGGTAGACAATAAGATTTTCTGTCTACATGGTGGGTTATCTCCAATGATAGAAACAATTGATCAGGTTAGAGAATTAAATAGGATACAAGAAGTTCCTCATGAGGGTCCCATGTGCGATTTATTATGGTCCGATCCCGATGATAGAGGTGGATGGGGTATTTCTCCAAGAGGTGCAGGCTTCACATTTGGTCAAGATATCAGTGAACAATTTAACCATACAAATGATTTGTCCTTGGTTGCTAGAGCACATCAATTAGTCATGGAGGGATATGCATGGTCACATCAGCAAAATGTCGTCACTATTTTTAGTGCTCCCAATTATTGTTATAGATGTGGGAATCAAGCTGCTATAATGGAAGTTGATGAAAATAATAATAGACAGTTCTTACAATACGATCCATCTGTTAGACCTGGTGAACCAACCGTAAGTAGGAAAACACCAGACTACTTTTTATGATATCATTCATTTCTTCTCATCAAGAACAACATTAAAATAAGAAATAAAAAAAAACTAAAAATAATAATAATAATAACAATAAAAAATAAAAATAATAAATAAATAACTAATTTTTTTAATTAGTTGATTAATCATAACCTATTATTTTTTTGTCTTCCCAAAAATATAAATATAAAATATATAAATATAAAAATAATGATGTACGCCTATTAAATTCCTTAACAATTCATCATATCAGTGAGTACTATATATTTATGTCAATTTTTTTTGTTTTATGTATCATTAAACTCCATGTTCAATATATATATATAGAGATCAATCAGCTGTCGCTATATTCTGAATCGTTTGTTTTTATAAGATTGCAAAGTAATTATGTGTATTTTGATATATATACATATACATAAAGTTAGAGGATAATAATAATTCTATCTACCATTATTGTTCTGGTAATGGTCACAATGGGTTGATATTTGTTCAAATACAAGAGATAGAACAGTATTTAAAAATGATACCTCCAGGCAAATCATTTTGAATACTTTAGATTTATTTCCCATTTAATCTAGATATATGATGTTAAGAATTATTTATCGCAGTTATAAGATCTCATGGATGTAATTTTTCTTAAGTACATTATTTTTTTGACTATCTGTGGTTTGGAAAGATAGCTCTGATTTTTTATTCTAAACTGATGTATTGTATTCTAGTCAACTGTTATTATTGTAAGATTTGCTTGGTGAGACTAATGACTTGAGCAAAGGAATATACCGTACGTCCTGCTAATGTATTCACACAATAGAGCATACTATGTATATGTGTAAAATATCAACATATAAGGCTAAATCTATTACTCGTTGTAATCATTTGGTTGTGTTTTTGTATTTTTTCTCTGCAAGATAAGACATATGTCATTTAATAATTTCATTTGCTGTCTCGTAATACATTTCTTAATTTGTTCCAGCTTACTTTTTACTTAAAAAAACTGTACTTTAGTTACTATTCCATTCTCATGTATGACGTTTTACTCTTTGAAAACTTAGTGTTGAAATCAACTATATCATATTTGTCTATATACTGGATTCTATTATTAATTACTTTAGCCCCAAATAGATTGGAGATATCATTTGGGATTTACTTTTATTTAAATGTATAGAATAGACAGGTTAAGATTGATATTCATCTCAGTGAATTATTTTGTTAAAAAGAATATACTAGCAGCAATAATGTATTTTGTAGAAGGTAAATATGGTAATTTACTAGTTCATTATCAGTTACGTTTGGTATGTGATGATCTAAATAAGTGCATGAATCATTGAAGAAAATAATATAACGATTCGTAGTCTCTATTCAAAAAAAGAACAAAAGTTACCAAAATAACATTTGAGTTGGCCTTAGTTTTACAAAGTTTTATATAGGATAAGGTAATTTCCTAATTTATCGTTGATTTGATTTAATTATTGTGGTGACATATATCCGATAAAAATTTGAGAAATCATTGTTCACTTTGGGTTTAGAAGAAATTACGAGTGGTTGGTTGATAATGTACACTATTGAAATGGCTATAAAAAAAATTCAATCTGTTATTTATTTTAAAAATGTTGTTATTGTAAGTTTGTCCTATTACGGTAGTAACTTTTTAAAAGTGATGTTCCATTGTAGAACTTAGATGGATAAAATCTTCCAAAATAATAATGTGTATATATACGACGCACATATATGTATATATATCAATAGTAACATTTTACGAGTTTCTTATTTTTGTGCTTGCTCGACTTTACAATCTTAAAATTCAAATTAATCTTCTCGAATTTTATGAACCTTTGCAAGTTAGTTGAATCTTCTAAATGGTTAATTATAATATTGGTAACATAAAATTAAATAGGATAGTAGCTTAGGTGACTCACCACGCAAAACATTCTTTCTCAAGTTTTTAGCCCTCTCTTCTCGAAAGACTTCATTAATTTTCTTTTTCTTTTTTTGGTTCGGTTATTTTTGTCTTCTCGAGGCTTTAAGAATGAAACACGCCAAAAAATAGTTTTTTTCTTCTTTTCTTTTCCTTTTTTCTTTTTTGGATATTTTTTGTATTTTATGAGGATCATTTGGAAATCGTAGACGTTATATAATTAATTTTTAAGGAGGTTTTGAAGAAAGGCATCTAAACCTTTCAATCGTGTTTTACATTGGTCAAACAGGTTTATATACTATGGATCAAAGTCGTTTCGTCTTGGTTTCATATACTTTCGACTAATTAATTGATCAGTTATATATTTTAGTAAGGACTAATCAATTTAGATTGCAAGCGATCTTCTTATTTTATTTCGTTACAGGAAGATTGGATCGAAACATTACCATATTATTATTACTATCAACTCAAATACTGTATACTATATAAAAAAAATAAAATAAAGTAAGCCAACATGTCTACTGAAAATGAATTCAAGGAATTTGATGATGAACAAAGTCAAGATCATTATAAGGTTTCTGCTAAGAAGACCTTAGATGAATATAAAACATTAGATGCAGAAGATGAATCATTGGCAAAGTGGAAGGAGTCTCTTGGATTATGTGCTGATGTGTTGCCTTTGGAATTCCCCGGAGATAAGAGAAGAGTTGTTATTAAAAAGATTCAATTGATCATCGATACTGAGAAAGAACCAATTACGTTTGATTTGACAAATGAACAGACTATTAAAGAATTGGCAAGCAAGCGTTATAAGATTAAAGAGAATTCGATTTATAAATTGAAGATAATATTCAAAGTTCAACATGAGATTATCACTGGGTTAAGATACGTTCAATATATTAAGAAAGCAGGGATTGCAGTAGATAAGATTGACGACCATTTAGGTTCTTATGCACCAAATACAAAAACTAAACCTGTATATGAGGTTGAGTTGCCTGAAAGTGAGGCACCAAGTGGCTTTTTAGCTAGAGGTAATTATAGTGCAGTTTCAAAATTTATTGATGATGATAAGGTCAATCATCTAACATTGAATTGGGGTGTTGAGATTGTTAAGAAATAAAAAAATACATTATCAGATTTCTTATTATGTTCTTGTCTATAAAAAATTATAGAAATATATATAACTTACGTATAGTTGTTCCCCAATATATGAATCAGAATTTACATTTTTATTAATATTTTGTCTAAAATAATACTCTCTGTCATAATTAGTTTTGGTTGGTTCATTACTAGTGTATGATAGTATTAAAAATATGTTTTTTAAATATACATGGAATATATTGATATTAAAAAAAAAATAATTTACCTGTCTATATGATTTACTATTTTAATAGTTATATGTCTTCTTATAAACACAGTTAGCGTTATTTTTGTATTTTTATTTTTTGTATTATTAGTATCCTTGGAGTAATATGCAATTTGTTTAAAATATTTTTTAATATTCAATAATATACAATATTCACGTCTTCCTTTTTTAGTTTATAAGTATCGCAACAGTTCTAAAGTTTAATCTGAAAAAAAAAATTCTCTAGGATACTTCAATCCTTATAATTGACTAATAACTGAAATAAAGTAAAGTTGAAAATAAAAATAAATATAAAACAATGTATAAAGAAAGTAGAAAAGTTTTTGATCTTTATATTTCTATTTAAGTTTATGTTACTGTAATTTTTGGTTTCTTTATATATTTTTATATTTTGTAGTAAAGATGCCACAACTCGGAATTTCCATGAAAAATGATACATTAAAATTGAAGTTTTTTTTCTCGTCGTAGAAATCATATCATGTGTATAAGAGATAAAAAGAAACTTCAATGTAAACATATACATCAGAAACCATTAAAGTTACCTTTGACTTTAACATATTTTCAATCATTACAAACTTAATATATAGTATCTTTCATTTTAGAATCTGATATGTAACTAAGATTTATATTACTTTTTCTGTTAAATTATAAAAATAGTATATAAAGATGGACAAATTCAATCAAAAAAGAAAAGCATGTTTAATTATATATACAATATACAGCCGTCTGCAATATATATTGTAATACTGACTTTTCAATTATCAGTATAATAGGTATGATTAATTTGGTCAAAATGGAGTGTTCCCATTCATTATATTTATGATTGGTTCTTTAAGTTGTTACTTAACCATTCTAAACCTTCGTATAAACCTTCACCAGAAGTGGCACAAGTGGATTGGATAAACCATGGACGGTTTCTAATTGAATGTAAGCCTAACTTTTCAGTGATTTCAGCAGCGGACATGGCTTCTGGTAAATCTTGCTTATTAGCGAAAACTAACCATACAGCATTTCTTAGTTCATCTTCATTTAACATTCTTTGCATAACCTCTCTTGCTTCACCAATACGTGATCTATCATTGGAGTCAACGACGAAGATAACACCTTCAGTGTTTCTGTAATAATGTCTCCATAAGGATCTGATTCTGTCTTGTCCACCAACATCCCAGACAGTGAAGGAAATGTTCTTATATTGAACAGTTTCGACATTGAAACCAATGGTTGGGATTGTGGTGATAACTTCACCTAACTTTAATTTATATAGAACGGTGGTCTTACCGGCACCATCAAGACCAACCATAAGAATACGCATTTCCCTGTTGCCAAAAAGGTTGCTGAACAATTTTGAAGCAAATAAACCCATTGCTGCACGTTATATCTTATCCTGTTGTTTCACTTGTTTATCTGTCCTGGAGAATTTGTCTCACAAAGACTCCTGTAACAACCAAGTATGAATATAAATCAATACAATAATTGATTATATAAATACAATTTTGTTTATTTCTTAAGTTATTTTTTTTCCTTTAATAAAAAAAAAAAAGAGAAAAAAAAGGAAGAAAAAAAAGGAAACATTGCACTCAGATCATTTCATACGTTATTATAAGGATATTTTTGATAGTTAATCCTCTAAATGGATGAATACATAATCATATGAAGAAACATCAGAACTCTTCGTATAACGATGAGAATCTATATATGAAAGAAAGAAATATTTGGATATGTAAGTTAACAACTAGAAAGAACATATCATTAAATAACGGCAACTATAATTATAGCAACGAACATATACATGCATGAATAGGTAATTGTTTTGTTACATCTTTTTTTGACATTTTGTTTCTTTCCTTTAGATCAATGTTTCGCATTCTACTCTTGCTATTCAATGCCATCGTGTTACTTATAATATTACAACTCTTCTTGATATGAACACCACTACAACTATTATTATTGGAATTTCAAATTGTATTTATCAACTATTTGTGTCCTTCATTATCCGTTCTACCTCTTTAATTATGATTATCTGATGATTTACTTTTTTAAATGGTTAGAATCACCTCATAATCTACATAATTATTTACATAAGATGCAGTGTCTGAAAATACAATATTAATTTCATTTAACATATTTTTTGTTTGCCATTTAAAATAGGATATCTGTCTGAATAATAAATGGTAGCATTGTCAAGTTTCATTATATCAACAAATTTAATTCTTGATTCAAATAAAATAAACAAAGATCTCCTATTATATAAATTCAAACAAAACCATTGCACATATGTATAACATTATTTCTTATTTTACCATATTGCTTATTTGTTAAATCATTAATATCATCAATATTATATGGATGTCCTTTATTAAATCCCTGGCATGAGAGATTACTTTTTAAGAGACACTTTTCTGTTTTTCCTAGGTTATTATCAGCATACATTTCATTATTATTACTATGATCATTATCGAAGTAACATATATTATTCTAAAATGTATCTTAACCCTCTCTTTCATTGTTAGTACCCCCCCCCTCATCATTTATTACAGTTTCTATTTCAATTTCTTGTTAGTTAGATGGACTACCTTCTTAATTCCTTCTTCGTCTATCATTCAGTAAATAGAAAGCAAAAAAAAAAAGAAAAAACAGATTCCAAGGTAAGTCTTTCTCAAATAATATTATTCTATTTTATCTGAGATCAAAGTACTCATTTTATAAAGTGTAAAATACACAACAACAATAGCCAATGCAATGGTTGTATCCCAGATATAAAAACATCGAAAATATAACATGCTTAGGAAGAAATAACATATAATATTGTGAAAGAAAAAAAAATAAATACCCAATAGTTTCAATATAATTTGTAATGCTTTTAAATCTTGCATCTAATAAAAATAATTCAACAAAACAATTATTTACTATACGTCCCCATGTTGAAAAAAATGCAATAATAAACCTGCAAACAAAAAACTACAGTAACAGAGATTAAGTTGTATATTTTAATTATAGTTTTAATATCGATTACAAAAAAAATAGACAATGTCAAAACCATTCCCACCTATATCAAAACATTTCTCTCATCTAAATATTCATCGAGAAACAGCCCAAATATACTAAATACTATAATAACAACATATATTTCCAATGAAATCACATATGGCTGGCTTAATTCTGTGATGTAAAAACAATCTTAGCCTTTGATAAAAAATAAAATGTATCCCATAAATTGTTGAGAGTCTTCAATTATTATTTCTGTAAAAATTCTAAGGCCATGTTCACGTCTATCTCCACTTGATTTGACATAATCTTAAATTAAAGTTTAACTGAAGAATGTCCCATAATCATACATAACTTTAATTCCATTAAGTCCTTCTAGTAATTTTAGATCAACTTATAGCACACTTCTTAAGAAAAATAATGACTTAACTGCATTATCGATTTTATTAATAAAATATCTAAAACCCTTCCAATAAAAACAAATCATACTTATGACCGAGAAAACTAACCAAATGGATTATAACCCTAATGGGATTCTATGTACATATAAATCATTTCCTAACTGTATACTTTGAACTATTCCATTAAACACTAACAGCTCAATCATAATTAAATGGTAAAATGAAAAGATTATACCACCTTTCAAACGCCTTTTTCCTGTTTCTACTTGATACAAAAGAATTATTGTAGATATTAGCCATATACTAACAACTGAGATAACACATCCCAACAGTGATAATAGACACTCCATGTATGGTAGCAGCATAAGCCCTACTGTCCCATAGCATCTCTCTAGTAAAAACAGTAAAACTTTCAAATTTTTTGTGCAGTAATTTGTAATGATATTCGAATAATAAACAATAATAAATTGGACACAATAATGGTTAATTTTCCACTATATCCATAATAAATGACAAGTCCATGAAAGAATCATAAAAAAGTAACTAAAAAAAAGAATGACACAAAGATTAATATTTACCTATTAAAAACCTTGAATGGATCCCCAGTTATCTCTTCGGTAAATACAGGTAATTTTATTGCACTATTATTCAACCCAGTATCATATCCAAATAAAAGCCCACTTACTGTAATAGGCAAACCCATCAATAAGGTCATGACTTTGGATTTTAAGGGTAATAACTATGACAGTACTCTTTGATATTCACCAGAAACTACCTTTCCATTTTTACCTATAGTGTTCCCTACATGTGCAAATATAAACAAAAAATAAATGATCCGCCATAAGCACTATTGCGATTGTAACTATTATTACCGTCGGTATAGTTTCTATTGGAAACTAAAATATATATTATTATTTTCTTTCATATTCTCATAGTAATTACCTATAATAAAAATATTGTTTGGCATTGAAAGAGATAAATTCCCTTTATATTGTGTTTCTAAGTTTATTTCATGTTATTGACCATTCAATACTATTGATTAAGCATCTTTCTTGTTTTGCTTTCATTTAAACAAACATCGGCAGAAATGTAGAAAAAATTGCGATAAACATAAGATAATCTATATATGTTCGTATGTATGATTCTATAACGCTTGTCTCTCAGTTAATAGATGCTAATAAACTGAAATAAACTCAATCTCATCACATTCGGTTCCATTCTTATCATTATTATTTTTATTATTTTTATTATCTTTATCTTTTTTTTTTTTTCAAAAGTTTTCAATAAATGACAAGAAGGGAAAAAAGAAGAAAGAGGTACTACAATAGGACACATGCTCCAAAATCTACAAAACTGTAAAGGATAAAAACTGTTTAAATTCTCTTTTGATAGCAGATGACATTTTGTATATATTAAAGCATCAGGATATCTATTAACTACTTAAAATGGCAAAAAAAAAGACGGAAGAGAAATTGAAGAACAAAAATCAAAACAAAAAAAAAGTTCTTCTTACCAAAAAATCTTTACATGGTGCAATAAAAGGGTTATTAAATGACATTAAGAGAGATACCACTGTTAGGAAATCAACGAGCCATGATTTATTAAATCCAACTTCATTTAAAAATAAGAAGCGTTCTCATGTAACGAGTAACAATTCCACCACTACTACTAGTACTACTATTAGTAACGGCGATAAAATAATAAAACGGAAAACCAAAATAAACGATTCACAGTTAGAATATTTAGAAAAAAATGGTATCATATATATTAAATCAAAGGAAAACAGATTCATACCTAAGCTAACGGATGATGAACTAATGGTAAGGCATAAAAAGGCAGATGAAACAATGAGAGATGTATGGAACAAGATTATTGAGAAATATGAAAATGTTGTAGATCAGGGTGATGTTTTAAATTTACAAACAGGTGAAATAATAGAAGATCATGGACATTTAAAAGGTGATAATACCAGATTACCTTTGGTTGATCGTATAACCACTTCTTATAAAACTAGCATCATGGATATCTTATATAAAGAAGAAGAAGAAAAAGAAGAAAAAGAAAGAAAACAAATACGGAAAAAAGATAAACTCATACCCAACAATAAAGAATCCCTTGTTGCAGGGTTATCGGATAAGAAAACTAAATGCCAACAAGCTTCAGCTAAAAGCCTATGGGACCCATCAGATAATGATAATGATAACTATGAAGATGTTGCTAATTCTGATGACATTGAAATTAATATAAAAGAAAACAGTGATGAAGAGAATGTGTGGCTTTGATACTGGTATTAATACATAGCATAATTATAGTAACACCAATTTATAGACCTCTATATAACGTTAGTAGCACGTATTGATAACATCATTACTATATAGACTATTGGAATAATGACACTAATGACACCGCTGGAATTCGAACACCTGCCCACGGTCTTTACTAATGAAACTGATAGGGTTACCCGACCCATCACTATCTACGAAATGTGTTGGAACTGATAATTAAGTGAAGAAAAAAGAAAACAAAGGAGAAGAGAAAAAAAATTGACGAAAATCGACCAAAATTGAAGTGAAATTTTTAAAAAAACATTATAAACAATAATCAACTATTAACAATGTTTGATTGGTAAAAGATAGAGTAAAAATATATATTAGCACGCATTAACCTTAATTTTCTTTATTGTTCCTTTTTAGTTTGTAATTGAGTTAAACCAGAACTTTCTCAGTGCACTAGAAAGGTGAGTGATATTGCTATTTACATATTATAAGCAATTTCTATACTCGGATTATATCTTATTAAAAAGAACGTTTTCCGTGGTGCTACTTCCCTTCTAGACTACCCTCATTTATATTACACCTCTTTTTCTTAATTATTTAACATATTTCATTACTCTTTTTCATTTTAATTATTCCATAGAACAAAAATATAGTAAAAAAAGATCTATTACTCCTAACCCCCTCTGTATTATAAACCCATTCGACTCAAGTGAAATAAAAAAAAACTTTAATAAAACCTTCATAATCATACAAATATTAGTATATCATTATTTTATTTCCACTTATTGTCATACAAATAACTATATTTCCGAAAATTATTTTGATCCAGTAATATAAACTCTTATATATTTATACAGATATACAACATAAACTACAATAAAATAGAAAAAAAAACATTGAAAATGGTTGGTCAACAATATTCAAGTGCTCCATTACGTACTGTTAAAGAAGTTCAATTTGGTCTGTTTTCTCCTGAAGAAATCCGTGCCATTAGTGTGGCCAAGATTAGATTTCCTGAAACTATGGATGAAACCCAAACAAGAGCAAAGATTGGTGGGTTAAACGATCCCAGACTGGGTTCTATAGATAGAAATTTAAGATGTCAAACCTGTCAAGAAAGTATGAATGAATGTCCTGGTCATTTTGGTCATATTGATTTAGCCAAACCTGTGTTTCATATTGGGTTTATTACAAGAATCAAAAAGGTTTGTGAGTCTGTTTGCATGCATTGTGGTAAATTATTATTAGATGAACATAACGAACAAATGCGCCAAGCCATACGCATAAAAGATCCAAAGAAAAGGTTTAATGCTGTTTGGACTCTTTGTAAAACTAAAATGATTTGTGAAACCGACGTACCTTCTGAAACGGATCCAACACAACTAGTATCAAGAGGTGGGTGTGGTAACGCACAGCCAACAATTCGTAAAGATGGTTTGAAACTGGTTGGTAGTTGGAAAAAGGATAAAATAAATGACGGTGAAGAGCCTGAGCAAAGAGTTTTAAGTACAGAGGAAATCTTAAATATCTTCAAACACATTTCTCCGGAAGATTCAACAAGATTAGGGTTTAATGAAGAATTTTCTCGTCCTGAGTGGATGATCCTAACCGTTTTACCTGTTCCACCACCACCAGTTCGTCCATCTATTTCATTTAATGAATCTCAAAGAGGTGAGGATGATTTGACTTTCAAATTGGCTGATATCCTAAAAGCAAACATCAGTCTGGAAACATTAGAACATAATGGTGCTCCACATCATGCCATCGAGGAAGCAGAAAGTTTATTGCAATTTCATGTTGCAACATATATGGACAATGATATTGCAGGGCAGCCACAGGCACTTCAAAAATCAGGTCGTCCAGTCAAATCTATCCGTGCTCGTTTAAAAGGTAAAGAAGGTCGTATTAGAGGTAATCTAATGGGTAAGCGTGTGGATTTCTCTGCAAGAACAGTTATCTCAGGTGATCCTAATCTAGATCTAGATCAAGTTGGTGTCCCTAAATCGATTGCTAGAACTTTGACATACCCAGAAGTTGTTACACCATATAATATTGACAGACTAACGCAATTAGTTCGTAATGGACCAAATGAACACCCAGGTGCTAAATATGTTATCCGTGATAATGGTGATCGTATTGACTTAAGATATAGTAAAAGAGCAGGTGACATTCAATTACAGTACGGTTGGAAAGTGGAGCGTCATATTGTCGATGATGATCCTGTCTTATTCAACCGTCAACCATCTTTACATAAAATGTCAATGATGGCTCATAGAGTTAAAGTGGTTCCATATTCTACATTTAGATTGAATCTTTCTGTTACTTCTCCATATAATGCAGATTTCGATGGTGATGAAATGAATCTACATGTCCCTCAATCTGAAGAAACTAAAGCAGAATTATCCCAATTATGTGCAGTTCCACTACAGATTGTTTCCCCACAAAGTAATAAACCATGTATGGGTATTGTGCAGGATACATTGTGTGGTATTCGTATTTTAACATTGAAGGACACTTTCTTGGAATTAGATCATGTACTAAATATGCTATATTGGATTCCTGATTGGGATGGTGTTATTCCAACTCCAGCAATTGTCAAACCTAAACCATTATGGACCGGTAAACAAATATTATCTGCTGCAATCCCTAAAGGTATCCATTTGCAACGTTTTGATGAAGGTACCACACTATTATCACCAAAGGATAACGGTATGCTTATTATTGATGGTCAAATTATCTTTGGTGTTGTAGATAAAAAGACCGTTGGATCTTCAAGTGGTGGTTTGATACATGTTGTAACAAGAGAGAAAGGTCCGTATGTATGTGCAAGATTATTTGGTAATATTCAAAAAGTTGTTAATTTCTGGTTGCTACACAATGGTTTCTCCACAGGTATTGGTGATACCATCGCTGATGGTGCAACTATTAAAGAAATTACAGAAACTATTGCTGAAGCTAAAAGAAAGGTTGAAGAAGTTACAAAGGAAGCACAAGCCAATTTGTTAACAGCTAAACACGGTATGACACTTCGTGAATCCTTTGAAGATAACGTGCTACGTTACTTAAACGAGGCCAGAGATAAAGCAGGTCGTTTGGCAGAAGTTAATTTAAATGATACCAATAATGTGAAACAAATGGTAAGTGCTGGTTCAAAGGGTTCTTTCATTAATATCGCGCAGATGTCTGCTTGTGTTGGCCAACAATCTGTTGAAGGTAAGCGTATTGGTTATGGTTTTGTTGATCGTACTCTACCTCACTTTTCCAAAGATGATTATTCTCCAGAATCTAAAGGTTTTGTTGAAAACTCATATTTGAGAGGGTTGACTCCACAAGAATTTTTTTTCCATGCTATGGGTGGTCGTGAAGGTTTAATTGATACTGCCGTCAAAACTGCTGAAACCGGTTATATTCAACGTCGTTTAGTTAAGGCCCTAGAAGATATTATGGTTCATTATGATAATACTATTAGAAATTCATTAGGAAATGTTATTCAATTTATCTATGGTGAAGATGGTATAGATGCCTCATATATAGAAAAACAATCTATTGATACCATTGGAGGCTCGGATGTTGCATTTGAAAAGAAATACAGAGTTGATCTATTAAATGTTGAACACTCCTTAGATCCAACCCTACTAGAATCTGGTTTTGAAATCATGGGCAATCTAAAGCTTCAATCGTTATTAGATGAAGAATACAAACAATTGGTTGAAGACCGTAAATTCTTGAGAGATGTCTTTATTGATGGTGAATCTAACTGGCCATTACCTGTTAACATTAGACGTATCATTCAAAATTCTCAACAAACCTTTAGAATTGACTATTCTAAGCCATCTGATTTGACAATTCGTGATATCATTGATGGGGTAAAAGGTTTACAATCAAGACTTATTGTACTTCGTGGTAAAAGTGACATAATACAGCGCGCCCAAGAGGATGCAGTGACACTATTCTGCTGTTTGGTACGTTCACGTTTAGCTACTAGAAGAGTTTTACAAGAATACAGATTAACTAAAGAAGCCTTTGAATGGGTACTGAATAATATTGAGGCACAATTCTTACGTTCAGTTGTTCACCCAGGTGAAATGGTTGGTGTTTTGGCTGCACAATCTATTGGTGAACCCGCTACGCAAATGACTTTAAATACATTCCATTTTGCTGGTGTTGCCTCTAAAAAGGTTACTTCTGGTGTCCCACGTTTGAAAGAAATTTTGAATGTCGCAAAGAATATGAAAACACCTTCTTTAACCGTATATTTAGAAGATGGATACTCATCAGATCAAGAAAAGGCTAAACTAATCAGATCTGCAATTGAACATACTACTTTAAAGAGTGTCACGGTGGCATCAGAAATTTACTATGACCCTGATCCACGTTCTACAGTTATCGAAGAAGATGAAGAAATTATTCAATTACACTTTTCATTGCTGGATGATGAAATGGAAGCTTCTTTGGATCAACAATCTCCTTGGTTACTACGTTTAGAATTAGACCGTGCTGCAATGAACGATAAAGATTTGACTATGGGTCAAGTTGGTGAAAGAATTAAAGAAACTTTTAAGAACGACTTATTTGTCATTTGGTCTGAAGATAATGCTGAGAAATTAATCATACGTTGTCGTGTTGTTCGTCCAAAATCATTAGATGCAGAAACTGAAGCAGAGGAAGATCATATGCTAAAGAAAATAGAAAATACCATGCTTGAAAATATCACTCTTCGTGGTGTTGAAAATATTGAGCGTGTGGTTATGATGAAATATGATCGTAAAGTACCTAGCGAAACCGGTGAATACCAAAAGGTTCCTGAATGGGTATTAGAATCAGATGGTGTAAATCTTGCTGAAGTAATGCAAGTCCCTGGTGTCGATGCCACCAGAATATACACAAATTCCTTCATTGATATTATGGAAGTTCTAGGTATTGAAGCAGGCCGTGCCGCTTTGTATAAAGAAGTTTACAATGTCATTGCATCCGATGGTTCTTATGTTAACTACCGTCATATGGCTTTATTAGTTGACGTCATGACCACACAAGGTGGTTTAACATCTATTACTCGTCATGGTTTCAACAGAGCAAATACTGGTGCTTTGATGAGATGTTCTTTTGAAGAAACTGTAGAAATTCTTTTCGAAGCTGGTGCTGCTGCGGAATTAGATGATTGTCGTGGTGTTTCTGAAAATGTTTTATTAGGCCAAATGGCTCCAGTTGGTACTGGTGCATTTGATGTGATGATCGACGAAGAATCTCTAGTCAAATATATGCCTGAACAAAAGATAACAGAGTTGGAAGTTGGAGAGGAAGGTGGTGCAACTCCATATGCTGATGATCATGGTTTGATTAATGCTGATATTGATGTCAAAGATGAATTAATGTTTTCACCATTAGTTGACTCAGGTGCATCTGATTCAATGTCAGGTGGATTTACTGCTTATGGTGGTGCAGACTACGGTAGTGCTACTTCCCCATTTACCTCATACGGTGATGCTCCTGCTTCTCCAGGATTTGGGGGTGTATCATCACCAGGGTTTTCTCCAACTTCTCCCTCTTACAGTCCTACGTCACCATCGTACTCCCCAACATCCCCGTCATATTCACCAACCTCTCCATCCTACAGTCCTACGTCACCTTCTTATTCCCCAACATCACCTTCATACTCACCTACTTCACCATCATATTCTCCAACATCACCTTCATATTCCCCAACATCCCCATCATATTCACCAACCTCTCCTTCTTATAGTCCTACATCACCCTCGTATTCTCCAACATCTCCATCATACAGTCCAACGTCTCCATCCTACTCCCCAACCTCCCCATCTTACAGTCCAACGTCTCCATCCTACTCCCCAACGTCTCCATCCTACAGTCCTACGTCACCTTCTTATTCCCCAACATCACCTTCATACTCACCTACTTCACCATCGTATTCTCCAACATCACCTTCATATTCCCCAACATCTCCAACTTACTCTCCCACATCACCATCTTATTCTCCAACATCACCATCATATAGTCCTGGATCGCCAAGACATTCTCCAAATTCTAACAGTACAGATAAGAAAGAAAATGAATAATTACTGAAAGACAAAATATAATTTTATTTATAACCTCTGTTTGATGATAATATGCCTCTTATTTCTTTAGGATATGTTTATATGTATAATATAGAAACTAGAAAATTTAACGAAAATTTACGTTTATTACTAACATAAACAATATTTTAATATTTAGATTTAATAGTTGTACATCCACCTACGAATATATATTTACAATGTCTAAAGCGTTAACTATATCAATTGTATGTAATTCTTTTCTGTAAGAAGTCTTAATTGGAAATCCTGGAATACGTTGTCTATGAGTAACACCGAATATCGAGGTAAAAGACTTAGAATAGTCAAAAGTCTGAGTCCCAGATTGTGAGTATATTCGAATGAACGAACGATTGTTTGATGGATATTGGTGACAAGTCACTGAGAAGTTTATTTTTGAAATCTTTGCTTATTTACAAATGGTGCTAAGGGTAATCATCAACATTAACATTTATATTCTATTTAATAGGTTCCATCTAGAAGAAAAATAAGACAATAATATGGATAACCAAAATTAATCTATCTATTAGTTAGAATCAACCAATTATATAATTTGTAAATGTTTATATGCATAATTAATATCCATATTTTAATATGCTACTTGCGATAACTCTTACGTTTCCCCATTCAAGCACGTATTCTTAGAAAAGTAGATCCTCTAAGAATAATCGGTGCTATTGCAGTAATCAACTAAAAAATAATGAACAGCCTATTCCATATATTTTTTAGCATACATACAATCAGTGTATAAACTTTCAAACTACTGAAATCACAAAACTTTTTTAGCGATTAGTCCCCTGAATATGTCAAAAGTATTCCCGTCAGGTTGCAAATGATAAATTGCACCTGTATAGTCATTTGTACTATTAAAATTTAGTTCCTTCGCTATTAAAAGACCATAATCTTCAGTAATACCGCATATTTTAGTTCTTATATTACCATGTGAGGATAAAGTGACAATTTGATTAGAATGTAACCAATATTTATAATATTCTGGCAAAATAGATTTTCCACCATAATCCACAAATCTTGATAATAATTCTTCCAAATTATTCATATAATAAGCTTGTAAAATTTCTGGCTCAATATGAGATAATGCAGGCAATCCAGCTTCCTTACGTTCTACATTCAAAATGTCAACCCAGCTATTCAATGATGTGGTTGGACCATCACTACTTATATTTAAACCACACCCTAATAAAAGAGTATATTTATTATTAATAAAATGAGTGTTTACCAGTAAACCTGAAATTTTTAAATACGCAGGTTCAATATCAACTAGAGGTACTAAGGAATGATCGAATCCAGTATTCAAGATTTTCATTTTGTTTTTATAGTAATAATTTGGGTTTAATGCGTATAAATCATTTGGCCATTTGATTCTCACCGGCAAATCACTATAACCTTCACCATATGAGGTTATTGCCTTACAGTATGCTAACATTGAAATATATTGAACAAATACAATAGAAATTTTTTGTTGAGATGTTGGAGAGACTAGGGGCAAATTGACCACTGCTGTTGCAGCTGCGACACCTTTAGGATTAACCCATATATTACCCCCTCTTCCTCTACCTAACACTTGAATTGTACCAATATGAATGGTAGAATTTTCGGGGATCGAGGATAATAATCCATTATTATTGTTTAGCAAAGAACTTGTGGAAGTGACCACTTCACCATACATTAGCATTGAGCCTAGTGTATTTCTTGGTTTCAAGTGTTGAAAGTATTTGTGCATATCAAAATTTGGAATCAGTTCAGATGGTGGTAAAATTTCTTCCCTAGTTGGAAATATGATTGGTTTAGTCACATCTTCTGGTTCTTGTTCTTGTAAAATCTTACTAGCTACATCATGCGACTTACTGAAACCTTCATAAAATCTGAATTTATCTGTCCCATCTTGGCCTTCCACATAATTTTCTTGTGAATCTAAATAGTTAAAATTTTTAAGCAGTAAATCTTTCATATGGAGGATATTATCATAGTTTCTTGGTGAGGCAACAAATATTGGTGTCAAGTTTGGTGCTCTAACATTACCAAACTCATTATTACAATTTAAACCAGTTTTGGTTAATATAAATCTGACAAAAGCTTTCCTCTTCTCATCTGTATTCTTCAAAAGAGCTATAGTTGGTTTCAATAACTCATAATCCTTAGATCTTTCTAATATTTTAGGAATAAATTCTGGATGAGTACCTGTTAGCAATATTTTCCCTTCACCTGCCTTACATAACACTACAGCAGCAGGTTTAATATTAAGTTCATTCACGTCTGCATATAGTACATCTGTCTGTTGAGCATAGTGAGCCAATACTTCCACATTAGATTTAATATCAGCATCAACAAAAACTGCCCCACCATTGAAATAGTTGTACACTTCCTCCCCATAGCAAGTGATTAGTTTAGCTGCCTTAGCACCTATCTCACTATTATATTGAAAACCTTTAAAAGCCGGACCTCTTCCAATCCCTGGAAAAAATGCTAGATCTCTTCTACCAGTTACTTCCATATTTGGATCACCTTGTGCAAATTCCACTTTACTTGTACCAAAATATCCACCAGCGCAAAATCCGATAAATATACCCCCACCATACACAAACTGTTTAATTTTTGGTATTATCGGTTTACATTCTTTAACGTAGGGCAAGTCAGCACCTCCAGGGAACACAAGAGCAGATGTTTTCCCCACCCATGGTTCCAATTCTAAAACCTTTGCAGATACGGTACTAACTGCATAATAAGGTTCCAAAAAATCACGTAGTGTTTCGACAGTATGTTTCACAGAACCTGGAGTAGTACCAGGACCATTATAGACTAACACATTCATTTTATTTATTTTTGATAGAAACCTTTTTAAAGTAACAGTTATAAGAATTTTGGGGAAAATAGCTATTTTAGATAGTGTAAATTAAGACTGAATGGCGACGAAACAAACAAATACAGAAAGATCAACTCATCCAAAGAAAGAGAGAGCGAAAGAGAGATAATAGTGATGTTACTTCTAATCTGTGGATGTCAAAGTATGATAATTATGACTATAACGGAAACCCTGCTTTTTATACTTCCAATTTTCACTTGATTAGATCAGTACCATTATCATATATGTCTTTTATAGGATGGTTTTTTCACTTTCTGACGTTTGATGTTATTTTTTTCATATTCCATTAGTGTTTAACTACAGAAAACAGAAAGTAGCTCAAGAAATAATAACCTTTCAAGATCTGTGACAATGTCTCTTTTCCTAATTGGGTAGTTGCACAAGCAAAACCATTTATATTTGCTGCGAACAAAAAACATATATGCATGCAAACATATATACATTATATTATAACGTTTAGTAAACATCATAGAAAAAAAACTTGTATTTCCAAATTGGTTATGCTTGATCAAATATTCTAGGAAAGAGAAAAGATAAAGCATAATTATTGTTCAAATAATTAACGATACTACTAATAATGGTAATATAATCTACAAACTATAAAATAGAAAACGATCTTTTGTTGTGCATTTAGTCATCCCTCACCCTCATTACTTCAACTTCTTTCTTCGTAGGTTTTTTTTTCCTGTTATTTTTAGACCAAAAGAAAATCCCAAAAAGTATTTGATAATTATACTTCTTTATATATTTATATTATACAACCGGCCAAATTATATTACCTGTTTGTTTATATACTTTTATTTATTAGATTTACTTATGTTTCTTGACTTCTAACGACTAAAAGTGATATCATCAATACGTAATATAGATTTAACACATTCTGCAGCAAGGGAGATAGCGCTAGTTGATACAAGAACAGGTTGTAAAATATGCTCTTCATATGTATTGGTAGTACCGGATCTTCTCACTGAGATACCATCATATAATTCGCCATTTTCATGTTTAGAACGTAATTCAGTCACAACTTTAATACTATTCAACCCTGCATTTTCAGCTAAAGTGGTTGGAATAATTTCCAATGCCTGTGCAAACTCTTGCCAGATAAAAGATTCTACACCTTCCATGGCTCTTGCCTCTTTGGTTAATCTTCTAGATATTTCAATTTCAGGAGCACCACCACCTGCAATTAAACCTCTTTCCTTTACAAGACAACGTAACACACATAATGCATCATGCAAAGAACGTTCAGTTTCATCTAAAATCATGTTATTAGCACCACGTATAACCACAGAAACGGTTGGCTTTGCAGTAGGACTCTTAATACCAGTAATTTTAACGATTTTGGACCCATCGCTTTCAATTTCCTCAATAAGATCTGCTGAACCCAATCTATCTTCTGTAAACAAGTCAATATCAGATATCGGTTTACAACCAAGACTCTTTGAAAGAAATTCAATTTCTTCTCTTTCAATATCTTTAACCACCATAATACCTAGTTTAGACAAAAAATGTAACGCCAAATCATTGACAGCATCCCTCAATATGGATTTTTGAATTAATAAAACGTTACATTTAGCCTTTTTGATTTTTTTACAAATATTTAATAAATACGCTCTTTCTTCCTTTAAAATTTTATCCATTTGTCTATAATCGTTTATTACAATATTATTTTCGGTATCTGGTTTTGGTGGAGAAATTTGGAATTGAATTAAACCAATTTTTGCTTTTTCTTTTCTTGTTGGGCCACCAGCAGATTTAACCACAGTTTGTGTCAATATAACACCATCAACCATTTGAGTGTCATCAATGGTGCCACCAACTTTTTTAATCAAACGAATATCATTTAGATCCACCGTTGTTGATTCCTCATTCGCGATCTTTAATATACAGTCCACAGTCAATGGAGCCAAAAAGGATGAGTATTGAGATACAATCTTTGAACTTAAGGATGTTGTGGTTGCACGGATTAGGTCCTCTCTATCAGATAGTTTAATACGGTGGCACATTTCCAAAAGGATCTCAACAGACCTCTTTGAAGCTCTTTGGAAAGATTCTGCGATAATAGTTGGATGTATACCTTTATTTAATAATCTTTCTGCGGCACCTAATAGAGCCCCTGTTAAGATAACAACAGAGGTAGTACCATCACCAGCTTCTGCATCCTGTGCAGCTGATACTTCCACTAACATTTTAGCCACTGGATGAAGGATGGCCATCTGCTTCAAAATTGTATGACCATCATTTGAAATAATAATCTCACCACGAGATGTTTTGATCATTTTATCCATACCCTTGGGCCCTAAAGAAGTTCTGATGGCATCTGCAACAGCTCTTGCAGCAATAATATTTGCCTTACGTACTTCTTGTGGTTTTTCTCTTCCTTTAAAAGTGGCATTGGAAGGACCAACAGCTGCTCTAGAGGACATTGCACTTGAAACGCCAGACATTATATTAATAATTTAAAGTTAAACAAATCTCAGGGTATTAGTAAGTATGTAATAGCAATATTCAAAAAGGGACAACGTAATATGGAGAAAAAAGAAAAAAAGAAAAAAAGGAAGAATGAAAATTAAACCGATTCCTACAGATATATCTAAACTTAATTGCAAATTGCTACAATTCAATAGTTTATTCTTTCACTCTGTGCTAGAAATTTAACAACAATCTTGGAAACATCCCAATCAATCTCAAAAATCAACACTCTCTATTTTTTGCCTTTTTTTCCACTTTTCTTTTGCTTCAGAGAAAAATGAAAGAAGAAAAAAAAAATAAAATACAAAATAAAATGAAAAAAAAAAAGAAAGAGAAATTCCTTCGAGAAGAAAAAAACAAAACCCTAACGAAAAGACTTCGTAGATGATGATCGCGGCAAACAGCCTTGAATACCGTACAAGAACCACAACAGCATATAAACACAGCACCGAACAAACTTCACCACCAATTACCAATACTAAATAACAACAAACACATACATATATATGACTGTACCCTTCCTATATACCCTGATACTCCTCCAATAACATGGTTCATAGTATCTTCAAAAGCAATGGGTGATTATTTTGGCACTCTTAATTTATCTTTCAAAACAAACAAAGATTAGATACGAAGGAGATATAGTATAGGCAGTTTATATAACACTTTTTCTGCCATCTTTTTCTTTTTTGAAGAGTAAGAATTGCAATCATATATTGAGGAAGTTTCTATCGAATAGACGTGCTTAATTCTAAACTTTTTACTGTCTTTCACCACAACACAACACATCACATTACTACTTTCCTCCCTGTTCTTCTCCTCTTCATCCCATTTTCTCGTCAATCGCATCCTATCTCTTTCTTCTATCTTTAGAATTGCTGTTTATTACATTTTGTTCCACTTTGGTGTAAAAATAATAATGCAATTACTAGGATTACTCATCATGCTTATTAAGGGATGCAACAATCTTTGTATAGACCCATACATCTCATTATCCAATCTCGAGAACATAATTTTTCTTTACGGCTTCTCGAGTGATAGCGATTTTCCCTTTTAATTGTCTTTTGAATCAATAGAGGTAGGGGCACCTGAAAGATATAAATTTATATCCTACATACCAGATTTTTATGTACATATTTATGAGGATAGTTATGGGGACAATTACACTTTGATGAAAACATATAGCAAAATATAACTCACCTATAACCATTTTTTCTTTTCTTTTCTTCCTGTCTTTCTTTTCGCCAATATTATAGCAATGACCATGTGCTCGAATATTTCAGGTAACAAACCACACGTTATTGTCATTGGTGCAGGCGGCGTTGGTGTCATTGCAGCTTTATCCTTATTCCATTGTAATAAAACAGAGGTATCCTTGGTGGTAAGATCGGATTATGATCATGTAAAGGTCCATGGTTACAAGATATCTTCCTGTGATTATGGTGACTTAGAAGGTTGGAAACCACACCATCTATACAAGAATGTAGAACACGCAATCAAAGATGATCCAAAAAGATTTTATCAGTATGTCTTAGTTACCACTAAAAATATTCCAGATGGACCATTTCAGTCTCGTGTACCAGAGATCATCAGACCAATTATGGAAAATAATTTGACTTATCATATTGATAAGAAGTGTAACATTCTACTAATTCAAAATGGGATCGAGATCGAGTCTGATATATTGACAACTTTCAACAAAACTACATATAATTATAATATCTTGTCTGGGATTCAAATCATTGGATCTACCAAAATAGATAAAGGTGTTATTAATCAGCAAGGCCATGAACATCTAAGCGTTGGTTCCTTTGATTCATCCGACCAAGACTCTATTCTTGCTGCCAAAAACTTTATAAGTTATTATTTAAATGAAGGTTTCAATTCGATTGAATTTGATGAAAGGGTGCGCTATTCTAGATGGAAAAAGCTATTATATAATGCTGCCATTAATACGACCACAGCCTTGGTAGGTCTTGACGTTCCAAGAGCATTAGAATTCGGCAAAGACAAAAAATCTACTGAATTTGGTATATTTAGACCTGCAATGAAAGAAATTGTTAGAATTGCAGAAGCGGAGGGGATAATATTGGAAGATAAATTTATCGATTTTTTTGTCAACTGCACAAGAGATCTATTATTCAAACCTTCAATGTGTGTTGATGTTCAAAAACATCAATTAATGGAAATTGAAGTTATATTAGGTAACCCAATTAAATTAGCCAAGAAATACGGAGTCGAGACACCTGTATTGGAAATGTTATACAATTTATTAATATTAGTTCAGTGTAAATTAAAAGAAGAAAAAGGATTGATTGTATTTGATGAAAAAATCTCAAGATTAATCGATCACTGATCAGCAACTCTTATTCTTTTTTCCAGCTTTATTCTGTCTTATTGTAAGTTTAATATAATATCGATTCATTTATGTCATTAATAGTTATATAGTCATGGAAATAATAGAAGTTAGTTGACAATATAATGAAAAAAAAAAGAAACTGGTTTAATATCTTTTTTTAATATCCATATACTTATGCCAATTAATTTACGTTTCTACTATAATCTGTATTATTATTATTAGTATTACTGTTGGTATTTGCAGTTGACGTAGTTAAGGTAGATTTTCTTAAACGTGGAGGTGGAGGTGGAGGTATTGGTTTGTTTTTTCTTTCCCATAAAGATTCAGCAGATATGTCTGACAGCATATTATAAAATTGGTTATTGTTTTCTAACTGAGATGAAGTGTTTCTATACGTATATCCTTTGTTATCATTACTGTTATTATTGTTATTATGAAGACTATCACTGCTGACACTGTTGGAGGATGAGGTGGAAAACATTTCTGAATCATCAGTTTGCCTTCTATTGATTATTGTAGGAGTGTTCATAGACATGGAAGACATACTAAAGGCTCTCTTAGATGATATATTTTGTTCATCAATTTCCTTATTGATACTGTCAATACTATTCAACCAAGAAACCTCTTTTAAACATTTAAATGCTAACCTAACTGTAAGTTTATGTTCAGATGTGATATTACCATTAGAACAAATGTTATCAAATACACAGAGATAGTTTAGAAGTTGTATTAAATCTTGTTTTCTGTAGTGTGTCTTATTCAATTCTGTATTTTTCAATAGAGGAATCAATACTCTTAAAAATGTGTTTCTCAGAAATTCATTCTGATCAGATATATCATGTAGTTCCCTTATTAAAACATCTACCAATACATTCAAATCGTTTAGATAGAAAAAATCCTCTGCAATTTTGTTTGATTTATTTGAGAAAATTAAATATAGTAATTTACACATCATAATTTGTAATGATGGATCTTCACTTCTATTAAACGTTAATAATAATAATTCTGAAAATGTTTTGTTTGTTGAATAATTGTTATTAATGACATACTTCAATATTTTATTTTCGATATTAAATTCTCTGCTATACATGATATATTGTTCATTGATAGCCAACAGCAATTTGAATTCTGAATTATTGAAAAGGTCATCCAATGTATCCGACCTTATCGTGCTTATCAAAAAGTGAACAAAAAAATCATCAACAATTTGGACATTCGATATAGAACATTTACAGTATTTGAATATCTGATACATTATATCCATCAACACTGTACAAATCTGTTTCATTTCATTAATGATACCTGCATCGATTTCAGTAAACTCTACTTTCCCTTTTGAATTTGCACCCGTATTAGCTGTGATATCATACTTACTTAAATAAGCAAACTGTGTGTATAGAGTATTATAGATAACAGTGAACCCTTGATATTTCAATATAAGTTCGACTGAATTTAAATTTTTCTTAATTTCAAATAGCAAAATATAGCTAATAATAAATTTCATATTTAATTCTAAAAGGTCTATATTTAATAATGACAACAACTTACTTATACAAAAATCCTTGTACTTTGTGAAGATTTGAGATTCAGTTAGAATTAAGGATAACCTGTAGATATCTTTGTCACTGTTAATAAGATCCTTATATTTATCTGTAGATATTTTCAAAAAATTCACCAAACAAGAATTAGCTACACTATTGTCTGCTGTTTCTGATTTAGATATTTGATTGTAATCCAAAAGCTCTTCCATGGAATTCCAAAATCTGATAAGTTCATCCTTATCATATTGAATTTCATTGGGAGATATATCGCCATCTATTATCATTATATTTCTTTCATATATAAGTCTGTATTAATTTACATATATATATACATACATATACATATATGTGTGAGTGTGGATGGGTGTATACGTATACCTATTAGAATAAGCACAGATTAATATGGGAAGCCAAAAAAAGCCAACACGAATAATAACGAGGGAAAAAGGAACAGAATAAAACGCTAAAAGAAATTATATTATAATAGTTTATATTATCCGTGTTGTTGTTAATTGTTAATACGGTAATACTAAGGTGGATAATATCACAGATAGTCTGTACACTTTTCAGATGTATGTCTGTTGCACTTGTTTATTAAGGAGTGAACCTCACCTTTTTTTTATTTTACTTCATCGTATTTTTTTTTTTATGTTTTCTAATTCTCCGCATCTGAAATTTGCAAATGTTTCGTTTTCTTGTCTTGACACAAAAAAAATAAGAAAACAAGAAAGGATTGTCTGCAAATTTACATATTGAATAACTGACACTTGCTACATTCCACAAGAAATACAGTCAGTTTGATACTGAACTGTAGTAAATCACTACAAATTTTGAGGCTATTTATAAAATGAATAACAAGACTAGAAGATTTACCTTTTCAAAAAAATAAAAAAAAGAAGTAATATCATAAATATACACATACACATACACATACACATACATATACATATATATATATCTCAAATAATATCAATTCATTCTATTATCTTCTCTTCTTTCTTTTTTGTTATTTATTTACTTCCTACCCACTCCCATCTTTCACACCTTCAATCCATGCATAATTTCTTCTTTAGTAATTAGATGACCAATAGTTTCAATTTGCTCCAATAACTCATCAACATTATTCGACCATTGATTTAACAGTTCACTTGAAACTTTTGGTTTTTCAAAATTGACGATTCTTGCTGGCCTATTAACTTTTGCGTATATGACACCTTGATTCACTAAATCACTAATAAATGATTCAGTTTCAGCCTCTGATAAATCCAGTAACTCATTCAATCTTCCAAGTGTGATTCTAGAATAATATTCAGAGATAACTCTAAGATTATGCTCGATGACTCTCTTCTGCAATTGTTCCCAATGAATTTTATTATTTTCACCACCGAATGCAACCGGATCCTTTTCTAAGACGGTTCCATAAATTTGTTTTACGTTTGGCCACCTCATCAACTCTTTTGTGGTGAAAAGTTTAATCATAGATTCTTGAATCTCTAATTTTTTCAAATTATTATCTAATTTTACTTTATGGATTAAATCGTTTTGTAAATTCCCATATGGAGAAAGAATTAAGAAATATACAATATGGACCAAGGCATCCTTCCATCTTTGTTCATCGTTTTGCACACATTCTGTACGGTAAATCTCCTGATAATATTGAGCAATATCTAAATATTCATTTTTATGTAAACCGATCTTAATTAACAAATTGTAATAATCTAATTTCAATGATTCATATTTTGAATTCTGGAATGTCTTTTTCAGAATTTTTCTAGACAAAACTGTGGCTTGCTGGAAATCCCCCTTTAATATACAAAGTTCCATTTGTTCAAGTATGAATTCAATCTTTTCAAACATCTCCATCGAACTGTAAGTCTCCACTTGCAATTCACATAAAAGGTTACATGCTTCATCTATCTTACCTCGAGATCTTTTAATGTTACAAAGATCTCTAGTGACACGAGCCCTTTCAACTTCAACAAATATTTTATTCTCTGTAACAGTTCTAATAGTCTCAATGACTTTAATCTTATTTTCCAAATCAATCTTGACATTATATTCCGAATCATCTCTCAAATATTTCATGATCTCCTGAATCATATACTGGATAGACAACTTTAATTGACCATGCTTCTTGGATAATAAGATCAACTGTTCATTCAATTCATCCCATTGTCCCTTATTGGCCAACATATCTACAATCTTAGCCAAGACCTGTTTGGAAGAAGACAAATCTGCGGCTTGTCTAGTCTTTTTCTCCCATGTAAGTAATTTATTTAAAGGTTCCGTATAATCCGTGTCTTGTAAAATCAATTTATCAATCTTAGGAAATTCCTCCTTTAAAATATCACTATAATCCTTTTCTGCTTTCAAAGGTGCGTCTCTTGACATGGCTACTGCTCTAATTGTATATGCGAATATATTTCACTTGTTTATATATATCAGTGAAGTAACACCAAATTGGTGTAAAGGATCTACACACTAAAAACTCTTCTTCTTCAGCTTCTGTATCGTTTTCTTCTTCTTCTTCAACTTCTCTGGCAACAAATTCAGAAGGAATCTCTCTATTCTTTTCTGGATTTTTGCCACTAATGCTTTATTTGCTTTGTGTCATCTCACACGACCATGTCCGCATTCGGTCATGCATGGTGTCTGGACAAAACAGGTGAAAGAAAATTTTTTTTTAATTTTTTTTTTTTTTTTGCGATGAGCCGTTGGTGCTGTGAAATTCGAAAATGTGATAATAAGAAAGAAGAGATGAGCTGGAAGTTGACGTGAGCCTGCCAAATAAATACAACATTGTTGAGAGACAAAGGAACAGATATATCATCATTTCCTCTATTGGTATTACTCTTGATCGATAGATTATCTGCGTGTGTCTATGAGCTGTGATACTGCTTCAGGAAAAAAGTAACTTTGGTGAACATATTTGTCCTTGAGTGTGTGTGCGTGTGGGTGTACATTTGTGATATATATATATACCATATACATATTCTTTTGAATAGTTTAGGTGATTAATAATTTCATACACTGGTATAAACTAGTAATTAAAGGCAAGAACGAATTTGATACGAGTAAAGATCCAACATGGCAGGCTCACAGTTGAAAAGATTAAAGGCAACATTAAGAGCACATGGACTCACTGGTCAAGCAAACATAAAAAAAAAATAAAAAAAATTCAAAGAGACAAGCTAAAGAATATGACCGTGAAGAGAAAGCCAAGACTCTAAATAAAATTAGAGAACAATTTAACCCATTTGAGATCAAAAACACAAAGAGTAAATTGTATAAGGCTGATCCCAAAAATGGTTCTATAGCCGTTGGGAAACCTGGAATATCTAAACAAATAGGTGAAGAACAAAGATTGAAAGCCTATAATGTTAAAAAACAACTGAAGAATAGACGCGGAGGTATCAATGACAAAAGATTTGGTGAAAGAGATAGAAATTTGACGGAAGAAGAGAAAATGTTGGAGAGATTCACTAGAGAAAAACAAAGTCAATCCAAGAGAAAATCAAATCTATATAACCTAGATGACGACGACGAAAACGATGAATATGGAAACGAATTCGAGAATAATCTAACTCATCTGGGTAGTACTTTATCATACGATATGGATGAAACCGATAATTTTGGTAGTGATAACGATGAATTCTTTTCAACTAAAAATAATAAAAGGTCACACTATGAAGAAGATTCTTTAGGTTTTGATAATTTAACTGGTCCACCAAAGAAGAAGACTAAAGCTGAAGTTATGCAGGAAATCATTGCTAAATCCAAATTCTATAAACAAGAAAGACAAAAAGCTCAAAGAAAATTAGAAGATGAAATTGAAAATGTTGATAATGAATTTGATGATGTTATGGCTGAATTATTCGATTCTAATACCAGTGCTTTTCAAAAACCAGCTTCTAATGAACCTATTATTGAAACTAAATCAGAGAAGGATATTGAATATGATATGAATGTGAAAAAATTCTTATTAGATAAAAGAGCAGTCCCAGCTGATAGAACTAAGACAGAAGAAGAATTATTAAAGGAGGCTGAGGAAAAGAAAAAAAGATTAGAACAACAAAGATTAGATAGAATGAACGGAATTTTTGTTGATGAGGATGGTGATGAAAGAGGTGTGGAAGATTTAGATGATGGGTTCTGGGAAAGTGAAATAGAGGACAATTTTCCAAATGAAGAAGACATTATTGCGGATTCAGATGATGACGTTAAGTTTAAAGAAGATGATCAAGAACAAGAAACGACTAATAGCAAAGAAAAAGATAATATTGCAAGAATAACAGTGAATAAGTCTATTTCATGTCCAGATGATCATGAGTCATTATTAAATATTTTAGAACAATCCTCATTATCTGATCATCCAAAAATTATTAGAAAAATTATTAGAGATCATCAACCAAAATTAGCTGAAGGTAATAAAGAACGTCTAGGCAAATTCACCGCTGTTCTTTTAAGACACATCTTGTTTTTGGCTACCGAAGATTATTCAGAAAATATTGCAGAATTCAGAAAAGTTCAAGAATCCTTAATATCAATTTTAAAAACAGTCTCTGAAAAATACAATAAAGAACTTTCCAATGAATGTAGAGTTATAATTAAAGAAATTCAAGAAAATTTTAAAAATGAAAATTTCAAATCCCTCAATAATGATGATCTAATGTTTTTCATTCTTGTTGGCGCCATTTTTTCAACATCTGACCATTATCATTTGGTGGCTACATCCTGTGTAATTTTAATGGTTGAATTTTTGGAACAAATTAAGTTCAACAGTCTATCTAAAATTTCATATGCCAGTGTTATTGTTAATATTCTTTCACAATATCAAAGAATATCAAAAAGATACATACCAGAATTGGTTTTCTTCTATGAAAAAATTTTAGCGACATTTATCAACATTGATGAAACTATGGCTATCAGGATAGATACAGATAAATTGACTTTTAAAGATGATATAAGATTCGATAACGATGATTCATCTATAATACATTTACATGATATTTTCAATGACCAAATAAATCAATCTACAGATTTTCAAAAATCTGTTCTTTTGAATATTTTACATTCATTAGATTCAACAATCTCCAACATTTGGAAAAATCTACCTGCATTTCCTGAAATCATAATTAATATTAAATCAGTTTTGTCTCAATATATACGTAGATTTGAGACTTTAACAATAGCCAAAAACATTTTCGATAAAATTATCAAGTTAGAAAAATTCCACAAACATATACCGTTAACATTACAAAATCACAAGCCACTATCTATTCCATCAAATGCGCCTAAATTTGAAGAAAACTTCAACCCAGATAAGAAATCTTATGACCCAGATAGAACTAGAAATGAAATTAATAAGATGAAGGCCCAAATCAAGAAGGAACGTAAGTTTACTATGAAAGAAATCCGTAAAGATGCGAGATTTGAAGCTAGGCAAAGAATTGAAGAGAAGAAGAAAGCAAATGAAGAATATCATGCTAAGATGGCCCGTATCTATAATACTATCAGTACTGAAGAAGGTGCAGAAAAAAACAAATATGAAAGAGAGAAAAAACTTCGTGCTGGCAAAAAGTAATTTATATAAGATAATCGGTTATTTAAAATATACTAATTTCTAGATACAGGTATGTCTTCAACCCAAAAAATTTTCACATATTTGTAAAATAAAGACAAATCCCAGTATTTAAGCATTTTTATAGTATTTATTTCATTAGATATTATTATTTGAAATATTAAATATAAAACAACATGAGAACCTGATGAAGTTTAAGAATTACAATTGAGACTAATTATCACAGAAAAAACTGTTGCAATTATTGTAGCAGCACCACATACTCGCTTAATGACGTTTCATTTACGATACATACCTGCTATTTAATGAGTTTTATATTCAAGTTTTCATTATAACATATTAAAAAACGATAAGACAGTTTAATTACAAAATACAGAACCTTTTAACATCATTTTTTTTATAACCCATAGTCGGTTATTGTTCTTAGAAATATATATTTCAAGGTAATTGAAATATTCTCGCATCTTCAAATATATTGAATTTATTCGGACATATTTGTAGAGAAGATATAGAAAAAATAAATATTCAAACTATAATTAAACATTTGACTTTTCATAATATTCCTTAACCAGTTTTAAAATTCCTTCTCTTTTTGTTGATTCTAACCCATTGCCGGCTCCAATTGTGTGATTATATACTGATGACGAAGATGAAAGTTTAATAAATGAATTTGTTGTATTATTCTGATACAACTGATCATTTCTAGAATTTTTGTTTCTATATCTATCTTGATAATTAGTTAAATTTGTCTGAAATAACCTTGGATTTTGTCCTGGTTTAAATTGCTTTTCCCATGAATATTTATATTGACCACTAATTTTATTTGTGCCATATAGATTCTGATTTCCTTGAGGTAGCTGATATTTTCCAAAGGTTTTCTTTTTACCATTATAGTCATCTGCAAAATATAAATATGATTGTATCATCTTATTTAATGTATCTTCATTAACACTCAAGTCTTCTACCCCACCAACAATAGCAGAATTAGTCAAGGGTCCCGAAGTTAAGTTACTAGGTAATGTTTTTGTTCTTGTTTCCATATTATCAAACATTCCGAATTTACAAACATACCCTAAACCGTCTACATATACAGACGATTCTCTAAAAAAATCAATTATCGAATCAGTTGATTTTGGTAGTGAGAACCACAAAATGAAAGGGGTAGTGATTAAACTTGTCAGCTCTTTAAAAAGTAAAATAATCTTCAAGTTGTAAAACATACAAAACTCGTCTTTCACCTCCTCCATATGATATTTTCCCTCCCATTCCTTTGGCAAATAATGTGTATAATTACTTAATTCCTTTATTTTTTCTTCTGGCTCAAAAACCGTGTACACTTTAGATATTGAGTTATGCGCGATAGTCCAAATAGAACCAAATAAAGTTAAATAAAATAGAACTGATTTATTTTCTGTAATTTCAAAATTTAGAAAATAATCAGGATCAAAAATAGTTAATATAGCCAAAATGGCAACAAATGACCCTGATATAAATGAAACAAATTTCATTATAATATTATATTTTTCTCTAGGAAACTGATTAGTATATTGGTCTGCTATAGGTATGCTGGAATCTATTCTTTTCTTAAAAAGATGATAAAGTTCATTATACTCTCTAAATTTCCATTCAGCAAATGGTGTATATTGACGAACACCAATTGACCCTGGGGACGTTTTATATTCATTAAAATATTTAAAAAAATAAAGTAAAATAAAATAGGAAACTAAGAATGGAGATAAAATAATATTTAAAAATCCTGCTAACATGAATCTTTTATTCAGTTCATCCTTAATATATTGTCTTTGTGATTTTCTTAAAATATTTTGTTTTAAAAATCCAGATTCATTGAAAATGTAACCGATTACACATAAATGAATGTTCCATTCTAAAGTCTTTGTTAAATTATAGGATTGTGACAAGTGAGAACTTAAATAAGATGACAATGACAATGGTAATGGCAATGGTAATGACAAATCTAATATATTATTATTAAAAAGAGCAATTAAATAATTTTCCTTTCTCATAATTCTGTTTGCAATGTCAAGTGCACTGATTCTATTTTTAGCCTTAACTTCAACTACATTTGCAGTCAGTGCGTTTTGATCTTTTAATGAAATGATTTGATTTACCACATTTTGCCAGGGAATGGTTTGCAATTCACCATCATTAATATTTAATAGATGATTATAAAAGTTTTTTATGTCAATTAAATTCTTATAATCAAAATATAATTGAATTAATTTTAAAAATAGGAAAATATAAAATACCCAAAGTAAAACTTTAATAAAGCCCGTTATGTTATTTTTATAGCATTGATCTTGAGATATTTCAAACCAACTGTGTGCTTTTGGCAGCCGTGAGTAATCAATACAATAACCTAAATAAGTAGAGACGTAAACAACAAACAATAAAGTTAGCAAATTCAAAACTTTTTGTAACATAATACAAAGAAACCCGTTTCCCAAGTAATAATTATAAACATCTTGAAAAAAAGTATCTAAATTATCAATATTAGCCCACTTCCACAAAGCTTTCTCCTTTGCATTTAGTGTATGGATTTTATTTGAAGATGTATTATTAAGGATAGAAATATGTCGAAGAATGCTTGGCCTTTTCGGTATATTATCTGTATTTTCTTCTTTAAAAATAAAACTTTTACCTTCTTCTTGTATTTTTTTATCAATATGTGTATTAAAATATTTATTAAAATACTGAGAGTATTTCTGATTAATAAGATTGGAATCTAATTGGTTATCATTTTCAGTCTGTTTATTCTCAGAATCAATATTGTAACCATCTATATCAACGCTTTTATTATTATTATTATTATTATTATTATTATTATTATTATTATTATTATTATTATTATTATTATTATTATTATTATTATTATTATTATTATTATTATTATTATTATTATTATTATTATTATTATTATTATTATTATTATTATTATTATTATTATTATTATTATTATTTTGAAACTGTTCATATATGGAGAATTGACCTACTTTAGGAACAGATTCAATGCTTTCATTTTCCACATTATTTATTTGTTCTTTTTTAGTTAAGAGTATATCAGATTGAGATTTTAGTGTATGATTATCTGACTCAATATTTACTACCAAGGATGATGGAGAAGATATCGTAGTAGAGGACTCTTGATCTGATTCAGGTACTCTTGACGCATAGTTATGAATATAATTTGGAAGAATATTAATATTACTTGTAATACTTTCTCTAGAGTTACCTATATTATTATCAGTGTCATTTATATTGTTATTATTTGATTCTTTTATTTCAAGAGGAAAAGCACTCATTTCTTCACTTTCTATTAGTTTTTTAGCTTCATCACTTTGAATTCCAAAAATTTTCGACAAAAAAGTATTACGTTTACCAACATGGTTTATTTGACTCTCTGGATCATCAATTGGTTCATTTTCATGTGTATATTCAGATCGAATGTCCATTGTAGGTTGTTGTAATTGACAAAAATACACATATAAAATAAAAAGATTCTCAGCTGTACTAGTCAAACAACGTTTTTCTTATTCCTTGTATAAATTATATAGCTTTGACGTCATGCCATAATACCTAAAAAATTAATTAATAAAAATGATGTTGAAGCGTTGTGTAAATTTCCCTACATCATTTTCTGTTTTTATGAAGTTTCCTACTCTCTTTATATATATATATATATATATACGTGTGTATGTGTTGTGTATTTTATTATTTCCACAAAATTTCTTTGCTTTTGATCGGCGGATAAAACCAGCAAAAAAAAAAGGGGAGAAAAAAAGTAGTATAAAAAAAAAAAGTTTTAGCGGCTAAAATAGCCCAAAATAGAAAAATACATAAAAAAACAGTGTTCTTTGCCGTATGCTACGATAATTACCTGGATATGAATATATGCAATATGTGATCAATACAGTATATAACATATACTGTATAACATATATCTATATCTATATCTATATATATTGATAAGAATGATAGCATATCACCATATCCTTGTTAAACGGTTTATCGTACCAATATATTTTTCAAGTTCCTTCTCTTTCAAAGAAGTTAATGCTACAGTACTATTGAAAATGTCATTAAACACCTATAAAAAGTTTGGAGTAACAAGGATTCTATCGCAAACTCTACCTAAGTATTCTACTGTAGGTGCTTCTTCATCATCCATATCTAATGCCACTATATCTTGGATAAATGATGTTTCGGCACCTCTACTTACTTCCATTACCACCTCACCTACACGAACTGTGATTTTACCAGATTTATGAACCCTTAAGGACCCAATTCTTCCTGTTAATTCTTCTTGTGGAACAGCAGTAATCTTCTTCTTATTCTTCTTAGCTTTAGTCTTTTTTGTTGTTGGTTTTTTTGTGTCACCTTTACCATTAGTTTTAGTACTACTGTTATCAACATCGTCATTCTTTTTATTATTGTTATTATTACTATCCTCTGTTTCTTCCCCCACTTTTACAGCTTTTGCATTTGTTTCATTTTCTTCATCCTTAGATGTTACATCTTGGAAAGTGGGTAATGCATATGGTAATTGGAACAATATAAATTTATCAGTTTTATTATTTACTCTTTTTAACTTACTTCTCAATTTTTCATAATCACGATGAACCTGAATAGTTTCGATCTTCATTTCCTTAGCATCAATTGACTGAGATTCTGAACCAATATCCAATCTATTCAATTTTTCTTGTAATTCCTCCCTCTTGTTTTCCAAGGTATCAATAAGGGTACCATTAATATTATCATCATTTTCCATCTTTATATCAGAGGATGGTGAAGACACTTCGTTATTTACCACAACACCAGGAGTTTGTTCACGTGTTGCAGCTTCAGTCAAAGATTCTTCTATATCCTTCTTTAGTACATATATATCCTCATGTCTAATACGTAATGGTCTAACTGGAAACATCTCCTCAATTCTTCTAGCCTGCAAAGCTTCGTCATCCAGTTCTATGTCACTATTGATATCATCCTCATCCAATTCAAAATCATCTTTTCCAACTCTATATTCTCTACCCATATTGAATTTAGTGGCGTGATTTTTAGAATCTTTCTTTTCATCAACATCATTATCGTCTCCAAAACTACCATTTTCATCTACATCAGAATCATCTGCATTATTTTCAATGGTTAATAAACCCTTCTTGACTAAAGAAGAACTATCACCTTCCACTTTAACAAATCCTCTTCTGGCCATACTTCCTCCACCACGGCCACTGTCACCAACAAAATTACCTGCAGCTAATGGACCAGATGAAATAACATGTGTGTTGGCTAAATACCTGGGGATTCTTCTCTGTCTTTGATTACCCATCCGATTCTGTTGATTCCCATTCTTATTATCCTTTTTTTCAATTGATACTTCTGTTTTTACCTTTAATGCTGATGCTTCTCTTTCTTCCTTTGATCTTCTTGTACCTGCTTTTGGTTTAAATTTAAGCGTGGTCTTTTTTTTCATACCTGGATTATTCAGTGTATCTTGTGCAGCATCTCGTAAAGAAGGTAAACGGCCAGAACTCATTATGTGTAGACTATCTCTCTGTGTATTAAGCGTATTCTTACTATTACAGTTGTTATCCTTACTTTATTTATGTCTACTTGATTAATAAAATAGTGATAACTAACCAGTCAATGTAAATTACTATCAAAAACAACTGACTTCTATCTATCTTAATGAATACAATTCTCAGAACTGCTGAATTATGCTTATACAAACCCACGTTTCTTGTATTTTTGATTAATATATCTGCTCTTTGATGAGCATCTTGTATACAAAATTTGCAATTTTCTTTTCATTTATGTTGTAATTTTTTTCTTTTTGTTGTTTTTCTGAAAATCATAGTAAAAGAAAAAAAGAAAAAAAAGTATTTAGAGATAAAAAAATTTTTTTGGAGATCATTTTTGGCTCATCTCATCCTTTCACAGTTATATTAGTATTGTGTACTTTATGCTTGAAACATATATACCACCAAACTGTTGAACCATTTCAAAAATAACAGCCTTAAATAATAAATTAATTGCCAAAATGGTCAAAGGGAAAGGAAGGGCATCCAGAAGAGAGGAGGAAGAACAAGATCCATATGGTCTGAACGAAGTAGATGAATTTGCTGCTAAAAATGAAAGAATTTTGTTAGAAAATTCCACATTATATAATGAAAATGGACAAACTGATGAAGATAAACTTGATGACGATGATGAAGAAGCAGTTATGGATATTAGTGATATTGATGAAAGTGAAGATGAGGATGAAAATGAAATGCAAGTGGAGAGTGAAAAGGCGTACAGACAAATTTTTGGTCGTAGTTTAAAGGATGATCAAAGACCTTTAGAGGATGAAGAGGCTATTTTAGATAACGAGAATGCCTGGGGTTCGACTAAGAATGAATACTATGGTGCTGATGATCTGGATGACGATGAAACAGCTAAAGAAATTGAGAAGGAAGCTTTGCGTCAACAAAAGAAACATTTACAGGAATTAAATATGACTGATTATCTAGATGATGAAATTGAAGAAGAATGGGTACAAAATGCAAAAGAGTTTGATGTCTCTGAATTCCAACAGTCTACTAGGCAAACTAGTAATAATAATATTTCATTGAAAGATGTCCGCAATATGAACCAAGAATCTAAAGAGAAATACTTCAAAACCATGTTTCCAGAATACCTACCACTTTGTAAGGAATTTACTCAATTGACTGAAGTTCTTAATAAACTGAAAAATTCAAAACAAGATAATGAATTCGTTAAAATTAAAGCCATTGCACTTTCGACATATCTTGGTTCAATTGCTGCATATCTAGGTGTGTTATCCCATGAATTTAATAATAACGAGGACTTTACAACCATGAAGAATCATCCCGTTATGGAGGCCATTTTAACAACCAAGGAAATATGGCGACAAGCCAACGAATTACCAAATAGTTTTGACTCTAACACTCAAAAAGAAAGGAACACAAATTTTGAATATGATGATAATGATATGGTTGAAGATGTTCAAGAAATAGATAAAGAAATATTTAACAACATTCCTGGGAATGAGAATAATGAGACAGACGACAATGCTGATAATAATATGGCAAATGAAAATGATAGTGACAACAGTGACGAAGCAGATCTAGATGATTTTGAGGAATATGTCGGTCTATCTCGTATTGATAGAAAGTCTCCAAAGCAAATAATGACATTTGCTGATAAAGAAAGTCATAAGACTAATAATGTCGAACTTGTTGATGATTTCGTTGAATCTGAGATGGCAGAAATTGATGCGCAGGAAAAGAAAAAGAGAAAAAAATCTTTACGTTTCTACACTTCTAAAATTGATCAACAAAGTAATAAGAAAATGGATAGATTTATGGGTGATGATGATATCCCATACAAAGAGAGATTATATGAAAGACAACAAAGATTATTGGAAGAAGCCAGACAACGTGGTCTCCATGATAAAAATGGCACAGACTTGGGTGTCGATGATTATGATTCCCAAGAAGAGGCTGCAATAGCAAAATCGGTTAATGATCAAAGTATAAATGACTATTATCATCAAATTCAAAGGAATAGGGAAGAAAGAAAACAGAGCCGTAAAGAGGCACATAAAACTGCTCTGATAGCTGCTAGAGACGGTAAGTTAGCTGATGCCATAGAAGCAGTTGGTGAAGATGGTAAGCGTGCAATTAACTACCAAATCTTAAAAAATAAAGGTTTAACGCCAAAGAGAAAGAAAGAAAACAGAAATGCACGTGTTAAGAAAAGAAAGAAATATGAAAAAGCTCAAAAGAAACTTAAATCTGTTCGTGCAGTATATTCAGGTGGTCAATCTGGTGTTTATGAAGGTGAAAAGACTGGTATTAAGAAGAACTTAACAAGATCTGTTAAATTTAGAAATTGAGCTCCTATAAATTAAAATGATGGGATTGTTGATGAGCAAGCACCTAAGAAGATATCATTTCAAATATATTCTAGGCATGTGGTTTATTGATAATAAATATGGTATTGTAATATATAATTCTATATAGAATTTTTAAATACGACTATACTAAAGCAAAAACAGTGAAACATTATTATAATAATTTCCCCATCGAATCTTGTTTTAACATCAGTGGATCAACTTCACCTGATAGTATATCAGTTAATTTTTTCTCAATAATTCACTACTTGTATTGGTTTCTAAGTCCAAATCCCATGATAAGAAAGCCTTAATAATTTTTTGTTTCTGAGCAAAACTTTGTCTATCTTCTTCGGTAATCATCTGAAATTCATCGTAAAGATCTAGACCTTGCTCTAATCTTTCATTTAACTGAACTGCCCTCTCAAGAATTTCTTTCCTCATTCCACATATTTTGGCACAATAAATTCCTAAAGAATTTCTTGATATCCCCTTTTTTATTTTAAATAAAAAAGTTATACCTATATTTTCATTTGTTATATTTTTGATAATATCTATATTTTCAGATTGTATAACATCAGTTTGATAGAAAGATACCCCAGAAATGTTTGTAGATAAAACATTGGCATGAAATAACCCATGAAAATGTGTACATGCAATTGTTCGTGGACAGTTAATCTTTTCAGATAAAAAAAGAATAATAGCACCAAATAAAGCTGGGCCATCTACCACATCCGTCCCCTTACCATATTCATCTATTAATAACAAACTCTTGTCGCTACATAGGGCTAAAGCTTCAGAAATTTGTTCTGAGTCGATTTCAAATGAACTTTGAATTTTAGAAATACTTTCCTGAGTTCTGATTCTTGTAAATATCCTATCAACTATACCTATCTCTGCAGTTAATGCTGGAACAAAACACCCAATTTGTGCCATGTAAATAAGTAATCCTACCTGGGATAAGTACACACTTTTACCCGACGCATTAGGTCCTGTTAATACTTGAATTCTTTCATTATTTTGTTTATTCCATTCATTGTCTTCAAAATTACCCCCTTCTATATAAATATCATTAGGAATATAATTTTCAAGAAAAGTTTCATATAATGGGTGTCTACCTTCTGTTATGTTTATTAAGCATCTCTTATCAGTTATAATTGGTTCTATATAGTTTCTTTGCTTTGAAATTAGGGCAAATGATTGATATACGTCTAATTCACCAAGCAGTGTATAAAACTGACAAAACAAGTTTGATTCTAACAGAAGTTCTTGTTTTAGATTATAAAGAATTTCAATTTCAATATCAACAATCGTTGAGTAAATATTGCCATATTTATTTGTCAGTGATTCTGTTTGTGACGTTCTAAAATAAATTTCTGTGTCTGTTCTAAATATTTCTTCCCAACCAAGACTACTAAAACCTACAAAATGATCTTCAACAATTTTATTAACCGTTATTAAGAAACTTAACTCCGGCAAAAATAAACAATTAGTTAATTTATTTGTAGATTTATTGTATATTTTGTCCTTCTGTGTTTCAGTTAATATATCCAATATTATATTTTCAGTTGTATTAGTCTCTTCTATTATTAGATCTTCAATATGTTCCGCAATTGTTCGAAGTTCTTCTAATCTTTCATCAATATTGTTTGAGACTATTACTCTCTTCAATTCTTTTGATATATCAAAATCAATAACATTTTGAAGAATCTGTGATAAATGGTGAAATTTTGTACCATCAATAGTTGTTCTTATATGGAATATCAGATTATTGGAGTTTGGACATTTTAAAGAACAAATGATTTGAAATATTGATGCTGCAGTTGTTAGAAACTTATCTAAATTAAGCCAAGTTTGAAATGTTTCTTTGCCTTGTTTTAGCTGATTAATAACTGTAAAAATATCAGGACATTTCTTAAGACAACTTCTAAAATCTTCAAAATGTACAGTGTTTGAACTGGAAAGCCATGTCTTTATCATGGAATATCGTTTTTTAATTTGAATGACATCAGTGAGTGGGAATGTCAACCACGACCTTAAAAGTGTCTTTCCATATGATGTTGATGTATAATTTAAAAGCTCATATAAGGATAAAGACCCGTTATTAGCTGTATTAGAACAGGTTGCTTTATACTGCGATTCAAAAATTTGTAAAGAATAGAAGGCATCGTTACCAAGAAGCATTCTATTATTTATCTCTATTATTTCAAGTTTATTTACGAACGCGATATTGTTATCACTAGCATACTGTTCAGTGGTAGCATCTTGTATATATGAACTGTCAACTGCAGAATACTGGTTATAAAAGAATAATATGCAGCAAACAGTCCCAACCGTACATTTTGTTCCAAGTTCTTTATGAGCTATTAAATTTTGAAGAATCGAATGCTCCTCTTTGCTTTCAAACTTTAGTGTTAAAATATTTGCAATTTTTTTGAAGTACCGGTTGCTCTGAAGTTCCAATTTACAATTAAGCTCATTGCATTTGTTAGAGATAAATTGATATGTACTTTCATTTAACCTTGAGGATACTAGGCATAGATTCGGAACTAATCCATTAAAGATTTGTCCAACTATTGTGTTTATTTCACCACTATATTTGTTCAACTCATCAAATTGGGACTCTCCAGAATCATATTTTCTACTAAGGGTATAATCCACAGGAAATATTTTTAGAGTTCCAGTAGAACAATCTATAATTGAAATGCCTAATTTATTTTTATTAATGTCTAAGCATATAATTTTTGAACTTTGAGAATCAAAACTATATTCCAAAAAGCTTTGGTCATTATATGTGTCATTTGATCTTAGATCAGTCATTTTTTTGTTGCTTTTGGTGTGTTTTCTGTGTATTGTATGTAAAGTTTGTTAGCTTTAAATGTGAAAAGTATATAGCATAATTATAGAAATTCTGGGCGGCTAACATTTATACTATATTAAAATCAGAAGAAGTCATATTTCTAAGGAAATGTTACACTCCTGAAGAAAAAATTGTAAAATAAACTATAAGCTATAGAAGCACATTATGAAATATATGTAATACCAGTGGAATAAAATGCCTACCAAAAAAAATAGGAGTAGTTCGTATTAATCATTAATAAAGAAACTTTTGTTTAAAATAGAATGTATTGAAATGTATTGATATATATAGAAATGGTTACATAGGATTACTATAAATAATCAAAAGATTGTTCTGTTTTGTGTATATAAAACGTATAGATAGATTAATAGGTTTTAAAAGAAATGATACATTAACGAGAATGTATAGAGATATACTGTATTGTGAATAAAATTATTACTTCCAATATGACAAAACTACCAAGAAAGTAATTTCATTTCTTACAAATATTAATGACAAAAAAAATGCATATAATTTGAAAAAGAATGCCCTAGGTTGCCGATTGTTATTTTATTTATCCTTCTTATATGTCTTTTTTGTTTATGTGGCTGCTATTACCTCGTGAAAATGCTTATCTGAAATATCTTAATTGTACATTATTTTTACTTGGATTTCTCTCGTATTTTTTTTTCTGTTATAGTTATCCACTTTTCGACGATTTGGGAACATGATCCAAAACGGTGATGTGAATACTTTTCATAAATAGCATTATGATGTGCGGGTGCGTCCTTACAATTTTCAATTAGTAAAGATGCTAATGGTATTAATTGTTGTTGTGTATAACCGGAATAATAAATATGTTTTTGTGTCCATGAATTATAACCTAATATAACTCGACTCAGAAAATATGCTCCTGCAGCAAGCCAACTTGGTTGAGCGGATACTAACTTAGAATCCATTATTGTAGATTCTAATAAATATTTAGCCAATGTTCTAATATCATATTCATAATCGTCTGCTTTACTTATTCTTCGCAGAAATGACATAGGACCAGGCCAACCAATCTCAAATTCCAATGTATCTATTATATATTTTTCTGCTTTAATAATACCATCTCTATCATATGCGCCATCAAGCATATATATGATTTCCTTTAATGTGGGACAATGTATTTCTTCGTACTTACATGCAATAAATAATGCTGATATACCAACCAATTGGAATTTATCTAAGATGATCGTACTTTTAGATAAAAATCTATCAATAATATTAATTGTAAGATATAATGTCTCTGGCAAAAGATGAAATCTTTGATGAACTTCAATAATCCAATCCATAAGAATTCTTCTGTATGACCATTTCAAATTTGGTTGATAATGCATATAATTGGGATCGGGTCTATATTTTTCTTCTAACTGTTTCATGTAATCAAATATGTCATTACTTAGTTCAGATACCATTACAACATCATATGTATCTTCATCCATGGGATCTGGCGTAGACCTATAATATTTTTGATAACTTTCATCTATCATCTGTTTACTTACATCATCTGATCCTGGTTGCATGGGTTTCCTTAGAACGTCATTATTGTCATCTTCCTCTACATTTGAATACTCATTAGATATTGTTGCTTCATTTCGTTGTTGTTCTGCTGCAATTTCTGTTATATTTCTATTATATGTCTCTCCACTTTGATGTTTATTCCATTTCTTATCATGAATATTATTACTTCTGTCCTTTGAATTATCTAAATCAACGACATCAGTTGAAATTCTACTATTTTCATTATCCAAATATATTTGGTTGAGTTGTTCATTATTATTCAGTTTAATATTTTCTTTTCTTGAAAAATAATTACCATCATTTTCAGGTATCAATTTTTGTTTATTTTCTACTTTTGAAGTCACATCAGAAAGTGCTGTTCTATGTTTAGGTATATGTAAACCAGAAAAGGATGAAGTCGAATTTCTATTTGATGAAGTTGTTGAGAGATGATTTATATTTGACCCAATCGTTGCTCTTGATAATATCGTAGAATTACTAGCAATGCTATTATTATGATTATTATATTTCATACTGACATTTTCTGCTGCCGGTTGATTCTCCTTATCCATGGAAATATCCTGACTAACATCTGCTTGTAAATTTTTAGACTCTGCATCAATATTATTGTTTCTCCATTTGCTCTCCATAAATGAATTGGTGTGTATTATGTTATCTTTGGATAAAGAAGGTATGATTGATCCTGCAGAATATGAATGGTGATGATAATTGTGTCTTGTTTCATTCATATTTTTAATGTTGATATTTTGTGTTATGATCAGTTGATCAAAAAAAAAAAGTCTAATGTAAGCAGTAGAGTAGTAATTAGCAAAAAATTTCTGTTGATAGAAGATAATATAGCACTTAATGTAAATAGCAATTAAAAAAGATGCAGGAATTTATTGAAAAATAGTAATTAAAAGCTATGTATTTAGGAAGGAAGGAAGAGAGCAATGGCCAAGCAAAACAAAAGATGATATAAAACGTTTATACCGATAGATTTTATGATGTTGGATATTCAGCTAAATTATTTTTTTTTTAAATAGTTAAACCAAGGTTTTTTTCTTTTTTATATTCAATTGCAAAAAATTAGTTTTGTCTAGTTTTAGTATTTTCGATCTGTTTAGGTTTATTCAGAAGGATTTCAATAATTTTAATAGTAATGTAGTTGTTCTTCTTGTTGTTTCTATAGTTGTTGTATCTTTATTTATGAGATCACAAATATGAAAATGTAAACAAACAAACTAAACAACAAACAAAACAGGAAATTATGAAAACAACAATACGATATCGTTTTATTTTTTTTTTTCGAAAAAAAAATAAAAAAAAACAATATTTAAAATTTTGTTGCGAACTTAATTTTTAAGGCAGATCAGTCCTGTTGAATTTACCCTCTTGTAGCCTTACTAAATAGAAAACACATCAAAAACAAGTTATTAGATGTTATAATTGGTTGTAAAAGTATTCAAGTGATATAAATGCTCAATGATTGACACATTAGAGTGCATGTTTCTCTATTTGTGCACCTTTCTTGTAAATAGTTGTCTATATGTCTTGTAAACTTTCTATACTTTGCATTTGAATTTTATATTCATTTTTTGCAGGTTTAATATACATTAAATAAAATAAGAATTCAAATGAACAAATTCGATTTCAAAAGAGTAGAATTAACCTCAAATAAAAGTCACATAACGTTTCTGGGAGGTTTTTTTTATTAGATGATTTTAAAGTACAGTTTAAAAGCGTTTTATACATACGTATAATTCTATGTAATGTCTTTATGGTTTTGTTGACAGTATTAAAAAAAATATGAAATGTTGGTAGACAGTACAAAATGTACATATTTTAATAGTATTTTATGATTTTGTGAATGAAGCAGACATCATTAAATTTGATAATATATATTTCCAATGATAAAGACATTCATAAATGATATACCTATACAAACATACAGATGGTTCCTTTAATAATCTGATTTTATTACACAACTGTATTGTTTTCTATCTAATTATATACACATATTTTAATCGAGACATACTTTTTTCTCATAGCTCCTAAACTTTTGTCTATAATCTTTCTTACAGTCTTTTTGAATTCAGAACTTGGCAAGTGAATGAATAAATCAAAATTTATCGTAAGAGACGAAAATACTGTGAAATAAATTTCTCATTCTTCTTTTATTTATGTAGAAGGTGATTCTGCAAATAAAAACACTTTTCCACTTGAGTTGCCTCCAGTAATCCAACTTTGAGAGGGATGCCAACTCACTACAGCAGGAACCGTGGGTGTTCTCATATGAGCAAGTTGTTGTCCCTGACTAGTATATATATCAATAGCTCTACTCATATTAGCAATGGCAAAAATATTTTTGTTAGGTTTGAATTTAGCTTTTAAAATACTGGTCCATCTCCCAGTTTGACAATTGTGTTTAATTGTTAATTTGGGCACTAAGTCTTCAGATGTTAAACCTGTATCACTAACATCAAACAATCTAATTGTATCATCGTATCCGTTACATACTAAAGTATTATCATTGGGAGAAAAAGAAACAGCTGAAACACTCAAACGAGAATCATATTTTGCAACTACTTCATAGCTTGAAAAATCATCGTACTGTGACCATTCTGGTTCTTTGACGATTTTTCTAATATCCCATAGTTTCAAAGTTCTGTCTAAAGATCCAGTTGCAATCTGGTATGGTTTTTGGGGGTTAATACACATAGAACCAATTTTCTTATCGGCTAATCTTTTGAAAGTAATACTTTTATTGTTTTCTCTTACGTCTAACTGAGTAAATTCACCACTTAGAGTAGTGATATATAACATATTGTGGTCAGAATAACTAAACTGGCAATCACTAACTCCTAAGATATCATCGTATTCATTCTTTAGTGTAATCAATTCATCGCTTTTCAATGATTCTAAATTTATTGATCTGACTCTACCATCATAACTAGTAGCTAATAAATTTTCAGATTGATTAGGAAAACAATCTATTTTGGATATATTCTTATTGAATAATTGGAATCTTGTAATATCTTCGTCTGGATCATAATTGTCTTCTATAAATTGTTTAAAGTTAGCATTCCAAAGACCAATATTCCCTGAAACATCACCTGCAATAATAATTTTTTGATTTTTATCAGGATGAGTATAAAGAGAGGAGATTCTCTCATAGATAACTTTTGCTTCAATCATATTCATGCTTTCATATTTATCTGATAGAGACATTAATTCACCTTGATCCACATTATTACTCTGTTTTCTTTGAAATTCACGCAGCTCATTGAAGAAATCACCACTTGATAATTTTAACGAGTTTAATTTATCTAGTTTCTCTGTATCCTGTATTATATCAGTTAATTTAACATCGCCCAAGATTTTAATATCTTCCCAAGGTGCAGGTGACATATTGTTTTCTCCGTTACTCACATTCTTTTTAGGTTCTAGATTGTCATCTAAGTATTTAGAAGTTTCATCGCCATTAATTGTAGCCGATTGACCCTGTAAACGACGCGATCTTCTAGTTGGTATAGCAGCAGGTTTCTCCTTTTTAACTCGTTTAGTAGTCTTTGAAACTGATTTCACTTGTTTTTTCCTTTGGTGATTTGGTGATCTCAATTGTGTATCTTTTGGAAGATTAATAATATTATTTAAATTTAATTTTTTCAATAGATCATTATTTCTCTTTATATTTTCCAATCTTTTCTTTTGAAAGCTTGTTAATTCTTTATTAGTGTTGTTCATAATTTGAAATTGGGTTGGCTAATTCTTTTGTTTTTATAGACAGTGATCAAAATTATACAGGGTATAGCATACTTAGATATAGATATATTTTAACTACAGGAAGAACTTTTAAGCTTCTAAATAGAAGAAAGAACATCAAAAGACAAGAAAGAATAAAAAAAATTTAAAAAAAAAAATTCAAATTATATTGAGAATAATAGCTTAAGACATGAGTGATCGTAGCAATATTTTAAAGATATTCAATCCTCCTAAACCTAATGGAATTGGTGAACAAAATAATAACAATCAAGATAAAAGTAAGGTAGATGAAGATTGTATTGGTTGTAATGCATTCAGCTCCCTATTTTCACTTGTTGGTGGCAGTTATCTCTTAAGTGGATATCCAACAAGAAAAAGCAATCCCCAATGGACTGAGCAGCAGTATAATAAGATTCATCCAAAATGGTGGAGAACTTCATTAAGATCTGTAGGTGGACTTGTAGTCTTTTTTGGTCTTTATAGAGCTGTTGAAACCTATCAATTGTGGAGAAAATTAGAAAACCCCATTTCACAATAATGTAAAAAATAAATTCTAATGGCAACTGTGAACACCTTTGTTCATAAAGCTTATGTTTTGTCAATAATATCTTATATATAATTATATAATTAATATAACTAGTAAAAAAAGCAAAACCAAAAGAAACAAAGAATTTGTTGATATCTATTTTCAGTTCATCATGGTATTATATTAAATTCTTTTGTATGAGGAGCCAATTTAGAAGAGCAGCGGACCATAGTTAAGAAAATACATGAAGAGTTGAATTATAACGATGATGATGTCCAAATCTTTACATAAAATGAAAAAAGCATGCAAAGAAAAAATAATCATCTAATATATATAATATATATCCATTAATATTACTTTATTTTGTGAAATAATTTATTTTGTTCTGGCTAAGAATTTATGTTACTAGTTTTTTTTGCTTCAAGTTTTGCTCTTTCAATTACTTCTTTTCTAATTTGTCGATCTTTTCTAATCTTTGATTTGACTTTCTTACACCAAAGGTTAAAATCCTTTGAATATTCACTAGCATTATCATTGTATTTTAAAACAAATATATGAGATAACATTTCTTTAATGGAAGGTCTTTGTTTTGCATCTTTAATACAACACTTAGAAACAAAGTCTATCATATCTGGTGGGAAATTATAATTTGGATCATTTATAGGTAAGCACGGTGCACTTTCATTAACAATTCTTTGTAAAAGATCTAGTATTCCATCAGGTGTGTCATTGTGTCCACCTAATGGGAATTCACCAGTAACCAATTCAATAATAACTAATCCCAATGACCAGACATCGCCCTTTGCCGAATATACATTTCCTTGAATTCTCTCCGGAGACATGTATGTTGACGTCCCAACGAATGTGTTTGCAATAGAATTAACTATCTGTTTTGAGACACCAAAATCACATATTTTCACTTCACCTTGGCAATTCACCAAAATATTTGACGGCTTAATGTCTCTATGTATAATCTTATAATTATCATATAAATATGCTAAGCCTGTCAAAACTGCGTATGATATTTTTGATATTACCATAGGGTTGTTAAACCATGTTTTATTAGCATGGGTCATTTTTCTATTTTTGAAACTTTTGTAAACAGATAATATTTTATCAAGAGATCCACAATCCATATACTCCATTAATATTACCAAGTCATCATTTATACTATGGTTGATTAAAGCCCCATAAAACCCAATGATGTTTGGATGTTTCCTGATTGCCTTCATAATATATAATTCACTTATTAATTGTTTAGTGACAATCTCGTTATTTTTATCAATAGGAATAGTTTTTTTGCAGAGTATCTTTGACGTTGGAACATGTAAAACTTTAGTTACTGTACCTGAATTACCTTCACCAATTTTCCCTAATCGTACCATATCTTGTAGTTGATATATACATTCTTCTTTACAAATAACTTCTTCTGTAGATGTTGTAACTGTAATCTTTTGAATATGATGGAAATTTTTATCACCTGATAGTTTTGGAATAGATGATGTGTTATTGTTGGCAATTATTTTATTGTTGCTATTATTATAATTCCATTTAGTGTTGGATGTTATCACAGTTTTTGTCGGTGAAGTAAAGCTATTTTTTAATGGTGAGGATGATATATTCGAATCAGGAGATGATGAAATGTATGAGGATGATGACGTCGGGGAAGATATAAATGGAATTGAGGACGCAGAAATCTGTAAAGAATTAGAGTTTGATTTTCTAGCAGTATTATCTAAACGATGATTAAATTTTCTTCGTAAGGACATTGATTGGAATTTTTCAATTTGTTGTGGTATATTATTAATGGTTGTATTTTTTGTATTATTATTTATTGATAAGGATTTCATGTTATTTTCTAAATTTGGAATATTATTATTATCTATGGTAGTAATAGTGTTGGTCTTAACGAGGGGTTCGTTTTGTGAAATTATTGAGGGCAGATTGGATAGATTTTGATTAATACCATTTTTTTGATTATTGCTAGAGGACAATATCAAATGTTTTAGATTTTTTCTTTGTAATGAATTATTCTGGAACAATTTTTTTTTGGTTTTAACATTGTTAATACTAGTAATATTATCTAAAGAAGAAGACATAGCAGTAGCACTATTAGAAGAACATTCTATTGTTTGTACATAAATGTCCATTGTAATTTCCAGTAAAAAAAGAAAAAAAAGACAGTTTATATCAAGTGTTGGTCTATCAGTAATGGTAGTAAAAGCATATGCACAGAGAAATAAATGGATAATTAAAAAATAAATATGTGTTATGATAGAAAAAGGTTTTTTAGTAGACTGAAATACTTTTATTTTAAAGTCCAGATACAATTTATAAAGCGAAATCAAATTGACAAAAGATAAGTGTAATAGAAAATCGAACAGAGAAATGTATAATTTGTTTTGTTTTATTTTTTTAGTATGAATAGTGCTGTATGAAGGTTTTAATAAAAATAAAACCACTGATTCTGAGTCTTATTGTCTTATTTTATCATTTCCAGATATACACTTCTATATATTCATAAAGTGGAAGAGTTAATACAAATATCTTTAAACAGTTTATCCAAATTTTGAACTTTTTCATCAATAGCTTAAAAAAGTCATTAAAAAATAGGCTTTTTAGAAACAGTATTGTTCTTTTGAAAAATAACAGGAAAGCAAATTTTTTTCACTGAACAATAGATATTTTCGGAAAATTATAATGAATAGGGAGAATAGTTTATAGAGACAAGTAAATAGTCAGTTAATCAGTCAAACAATCTTAGCTAGATAGCTTTCTGCTGACTCTCACAACCAAATAACCTAATTGAGGGACTAAAGAAAAAAACAAAAAATATTAAGACAGACTATGAACAAGTAAATATATCAATTCGTTCTTCAATACCGCAGAACTAATTAAGATTCTAATCTCATGCTGTGTTAAGATATCAACTTGATTTCCTAATAGTACTGACATCGTTGATCTTCCCCTCCAGCTATCAGTTAGTTATAAGTACTTATTTACTGATAACATAAATAATATGATGTACTGATTCTATTTCAGAATGTTTGGTTGATATCTGTATTAAACTATCTAGTATGATGAAATTGGAGAGTAGTTTTGTCTAATTTTAACAACTGAAAATAAAGTTATTCTTCAAAAAGTTATTTTCGCTATCTTCATGTTCTTTCGACTCTAATTAATATGACGTGTTGTTTTTATTACCTTCATGATCACTGCTATCGCTACTCTCATTAGAATTTTATTTTCTTTTGTTTTTTTTTAATAAAACATCCTTTATATCGAATTAAGACTGAGCTACCTTTTTTTCAGGTTTATTATGATATAGATTTCTATTTACCAGTAATGATGTTGTACTTTAAATATAGGATCTAAATTTTAAAAATGGTATTATAGTGCTATTCAACTTTTCGATGGAATATTTTAATAAAGATCTATTCATACTGTAATTGCTAAATTTCTGTTGATTTGATTGGGCATCTAAAGATTCAAATTAGTATAAAACTTCCTTCTATTAATGTTGTTCTCTTTAATTTCTTGCTATGACTGGTTTATATTATTTTTTTTCATATTTTTCTAGTGCACAGATATATCGGTGATATGCTTTCTGAATAATGAAGATATATTGAGTTTACTGTTAAGATTTGGGATTGTATTCTCATTGGGTCTTGATGTTTTTAATGCAAAAAAATAAAATCCAATTGTAATATTCTTTTATATTTTAGTTGATTATGTTTTAAAGATTTAAAATATGATTTAACAAGTGTGTTGGTAAACATTTGATTTTACGAATTATACTTATGATGTCAAAAAGTATTGCTTACAAAGATATTAAATGTGAAACATTTTCTTATTTCTCACTAGAATATATCTGTAACTTGTATTCAGAATTTTGTCGTGCAATTTATCTGATTTTTTAACAGATCAGACATAATGTTTGGTGATTGTTCAATCTCTTCATTGTCTCAATAAAAATATTCAGTATTTTCTTTAGTAACCATAGTAAGATCAGTTTTTTTTTTTCATTCTTTTCTCCATTTATTGATTCTGTTTTGCTCCTTTTAAATTAAAAAAAAAAAAAAAAAAAAGATAAGAAATAGTATAGCATGAAGATTGTTCCATATTGTAGAATAAATATTGATTAAGTATTATTGTAGTTTTTTCAGGTAATTACTTACTAATATATCAAGAAAAAATATTTTGAAAATATTCAATATATATATGTTTTTAAAAAAGAAATATCAATATTTTATTATCTTTAATGTTTTTTCTTTTTTTAGAAATTTATTAAAAATACTCTTGGGAAACAAATAATAGATTAATATGGAAATATTTGATAAAAGAAATTTAATAAGGTTCTTTACTCTTTCGGATTATAAAATGGATATGTTTAAATGAGTAGATGAATGCCAAGAAAAATTTATAGGATTTTTGTCATATAATTATATACATTCCAAAATACTATATATTTATTTTAAAGATTTTTTTTGTTCCAGGTTTCTGGGAAAAAAATATGTTGCTTCATAATTATTTTCAGTCCAATTTTCTGAATCTTTTTTTTTTTTTCGTATTTGAGAATCAAAGCTATAAACAAAGAAGGATTTCCTTTTGAAAAACATACTTTGCTGTGCTTTCATTAAAACAACTTACTGTTTTTAATAATGTCATATTTGCTTTAATCTAAGAACTCGCATGTAGATATTTTGTATTTCACACACAGTATATTTGCTTGTATAAAAACAATAGAACTGAATATGCATTATTTTTAAGAAAAGACAATATTCGACAGCTTTCGTGAAAAATAATATTTCAAAAGGTTCTGTCATTGGCTGCACAAAAAAAAAGAAAAAAGAAAAAGAAAACAGAAAAGCTCAAATAGTAACAGCCTTACACCACATACAACAGTTTGGTTTTTTTTTCTCGATCAGTGTTTTTTGACAAGTGCTATTCCGTTGAAAGTGATTTTTTACTGTTTCGTGTCCTGTGATTAAACCAGAAATAGAAAAAAAAATATCGTTGAAAGTTTCAAAAACAAACAACAAGAACACAACAAACTTGGTGTACCTTTTTTTTTTCTTTTATACTTGAGTACTCTACTAGAAACTTTCTAATTTATGGACAAACTGATTGTTCACTCTATAACCTATTCTTCCTTCACTGTTTATTAATTCTTAAGAGTATAATCACACAACTTTTCCTATATATTATCTGACTTATTTTTTATTGATTTATTCAATTTCAAAATTACAAGGATAAGTAGAAAATATTAATAAGGACGCTCATTTCTTTGTTTATTTAGTTAGATATTAGTTCTTTATCTTTTTTTTTTCTACTTTATTATTTTGTCAATATCCAGGACTAATATCTAAAACTGTATATTAATTATATTGTTATATATTAGAGGTATATTAAGAAGAAGAAATTTTTTTTTATTATTTTAATCTGTTATAGTTGTCTTTTTAATATTTCTTTTTTTATTTCCTTTCAGTTATTAAGCTTGTTTAACTATACCACTAATACATTTACTTTTATCATTTGTTAACTATCCAATTTTGCATATACACATATATCAATATCTACTAAGATCAGAAATTATATTATTTTTTTTATTTGGAAGCAAGAAAAAATTTGAGAGTAAACTAGGATTTAAAACACGGGCAGTTAATTGTTTTTAAATTTCTTATTTGTAAGTTTAAGATGAGTGAAGATTGGAAATCGCAATTAAATATTCCTAAAAAGGATACTAGGCCACAAACTGAAGATGTTCTGAACACTAAAGGTAACACTTTCGAAGACTTTTATTTGAAGAGAGAATTATTGATGGGTATCTTTGAAGCCGGTTTTGAAAAACCTTCCCCAATCCAAGAAGAAGCTATTCCTGTGGCTATCACAGGTAGAGATATATTAGCAAGAGCTAAAAACGGTACTGGTAAGACTGCAGCCTTTGTTATTCCAACTTTGGAAAAAATCAAGCCAACTTTAAACAAAATTCAAGCTTTAATTATGGTTCCAACTAGAGAGTTGGCTTTACAAACTTCCCAGGTTGTCAGAACTTTGGGTAAGCATTGTGGGATCACTTGTATGGTTACCACAGGTGGTACCAATTTAAGAGACGATATCTTAAGATTAAACGACACTATCCATGTTTTGGTCGGGACTCCAGGTAGAGTTCTTGATTTGGCCTCAAGGAAAATTGCCAATCTCTCTGATTGTAATTTATTTATTATGGATGAAGCTGATAAAATGTTGTCACGTGATTTCAAAACCATTATTGAACAAATTTTGTATTTCTTACCAAAGAATCATCAATCTTTATTATTTTCTGCCACTTTCCCATTAACTGTAAAAGAATTTATGGTTAAACATTTGAATAAACCTTATGAAATTAATTTGATGGAAGAACTTACATTAAAGGGTATTACCCAATATTATGCTTTTGTAGAAGAAAGACAAAAATTGCACTGTTTAAACACTTTGTTTTCTAAATTACAAATTAACCAGGCAATTATATTCTGTAATTCAACAAATAGAGTGGAGTTATTAGCCAAGAAAATTACAGATTTAGGTTATTCATGTTACTATTCTCATGCGAGAATGAAACAACAGGAAAGAAATCGTGTATTCCATGAATTCCGTCAAGGTAAAGTGAGAACATTGGTTTGTTCAGATCTATTGACTCGTGGTATTGATATTCAAGCTGTTAATGTAGTAATAAACTTTGATTTCCCAAAGACTGCAGAAACGTATTTACATAGAATTGGTAGATCTGGTAGATTTGGTCATTTAGGTCTTGCCATTAACTTAATTAATTGGAATGATAGATTCAACCTTTATAAGATTGAACAAGAGTTAGGTACTGAAATTGCTGCTATTCCAGCCACAATTGATAAATCATTATATGTTGCTGAAGACTCATCTAACGTACCCATTCCAATGACTATAACGGATAATCAACAACACCAACAACCACATCAACAAAACACTCAAATATCGCATAACAATAATATGAATACAACTGGTAGTATAAATATTCCACCACAACAAAATCATCCTCAGTTTTCTATGAATATACACCCAACACAACAACAACCACACCCACAACAATTTCAACAAAACTATATGACACAACCACATCCACAACAAATGCAATATCCACCAATTCCACAGCAACAACAGCAACAATTTTAGTGGTTTGAGAGATAAATTTAAATTGGGTTTGAAATTCAAACAAAAATTAAAATACAATATAAAAAAAATATAAATATGAATAAAGAAAGCATTTTTATTAGGAATGTCATGATATTGCATTTTTTTTATCTATTAGATTCTGTTGTTATCTTGAACAAATAATGATCATACATATATATATATATACTTTATTTCATTTTACTTTATTTTTTATGTATGTATGTATATATACATATATAGATCATATGCAGAAAGTAATGGATTATTTTTTTTATGCATTAAAAAAAATCACCAGTAAAGTTTTTTTTTCTATTTTAATTAACTTGGGAGAATTAGGAAGATATTATAGTTATTTAAAGTAGGGGAAATCTCGTCAGAGTTATGAAGATTTCGGTTGATATAATTGAGAAGATCTTAGTATCTTCTTTTCAAAGTAGTAATACAACTTTAGACTCCAATACTAAAGAAGACTTGTTATTAAAATTACAAGAATATTTAGATAAGTTTACAGATGAAATTGTATTAAGATCTATTGAAAATAAACCAAAGAGTGAGATAGATAATGACGAAATAGTTCTTAATGAAAGAGATATAGAGAGAATAATTGGTCTTTTGCTGTTGGATATGTGAGAAAAAGCAAAAAGCAAAAAAAAAAAACACACATATCTTGAATAGCAAACGGATTAGCTGGTTTTATTATGAAATTTAATTCCATCATTTGATTCAGTGATTTTTGTTCTTTTGGAGAATGAATTAGATTTGCGGTGATACAGAGTTTATATTATGAAATGCTAATATTAGTGGATATGGTACACAAATGTTGCAGAAAAAATTATAACGTAATAATATAGGTATGTAATTTATATTGTCTTATATATACTAGGATATGGAAAATGCTATACACAATTAATTGATAAGTTTGTTTCTTTGATTAGATTTACTGTGTTTCAACCGTTAATTTTACAAATCAAGTAAAGTAGTACTGTTATTGTTGTTTGTGGTATTGTTAGTTGAATTACCAAATCCATATCCAGTTTGGGAAGGAACAATGTTTGTACTTGGTAAGCCTGTATACTGTGTTCCAATAAAGAATGGATTGGCAAGATCTTTTTCTGTGACTTGTCTATAACCAGTACCTTGTGAATTTATAAATGTACCTGTTTGTGTGTGTTGAGCAGGGATACGTTGATTACCGGTATTACCAAATGTATCGACACCAGCACCGGTAGCTAATAGGCTATTTAGAGCACTATATTTGTCAGTGATGGATTTATTACCTGTTCTAGTCTGTTGTAATGGTGGTTGAACAGTAGTATTTGCTGTAGATGCTGATGAAGTTTGTAATGATGTTATTGATGAAGGTGGTCGAGATTCAGAGGGTGTACTAGATGTTGAAATGGTACTTGTTTGTTGCTGTTGTTTGTTTCTGGCAAATGGATTATTCGAGCCAGTGGGTAAGGTTTCCTGTTGAATGCCATATAATTGTTGTTGTTGTTGTGCTAATAACGCAGCCTGTTGTTGTTGTTGCAAAGCCCAATATTGTTGTTGTTGTAGAGCGGCTTGTTGCTGTTGGGCCAAAAGAGCTTGTTGTTGTTGAAATTGTAGATATTCTTCTGGGGTAATTGGATTACCAAATATATCGTAATATATTTGAGGTTGCTGTGCTTGTTGCATCTGTTGCTGTTGTTGACGTTGTAATTCTTGTAATCTTTTTAGATCCTGTTCTTCTTTACTTAGTTGTAGAGCCATTCTCCTTTCCCCTTCCACTTCACGTTCATTTCTTTTACGCCTAGCCTCTTCTTCCTCTGCAGTAATTTTACTTTCCTCAATAGCTCTTCTTAAATCTTCATCTTCCTCATCAGCCAAATAACTTCTTGAGCTATTTCTATCTCCATCTCTATCTCTTCTCCCCCATTCTTTTCTTCTTTTCCCATTCAATTCTCTCTCTTGTTTTAATCTTTCATCATCCAACAATAAAGAAGTCAAGGCTTTAGCCTTGCTTCTGATCATTTTCCCCTCATCAGCACCACTCTCATCGGTATGCATAAATTCTCTTAGAGTCTTTATAATATAGATATTTTCTTTACACCAAAGCACACAGTTCTCGCTACCAAACCTAACCAAGAAGTCCAGTACCACTAACGACTTGAGTACATGTCTCCAATATTTCCCTTTATCGTTGATTCTTTTGTCCAACATGTCCATAATCTCGAAGAAATCGGTACTATTATACGACTTATCGGCAAGTTCTTCCAGGAGGAACCTGTCTGGCACATTGGAGTTGTTTGCTGTTGCATCACGCACTAGTACCTCTGTGGAGGAGTAGCCCTTGACAATATTTTTGGCAGAACGTAACATTTCTTTTTTTTCTTTTTCTTTTTCTTTTTCTTTGCTTCCTTTTTTCCTGGCAGAAATATTTAGTTGTTGGAATAATGTTTTAAAGAAAGTAGAAACTGACTGAATTCAAATGTTGAATTAGAATAAAAGATCAGGTGATATTATTATTGTTGTTGTTATAGTTATTCCAGTTTCATCCATATGCTTAAAAAAGCACAAAATGCAAAACAAAAATAAAGAAGTTATCTATATTTGTTTCCTTTCTTCTTTCTTCTTTCTTCTTTCTTCTTTCCTCTCTCTTCTCTCTTCTCTCTTCTCTCCTTTATCTCTGTTTGATTTTTTCTTTTACCTCTAACTATCCATACGTTGTTCCATCTTTTTTCCTTTTGCGTCGGTTTCTACTACGTTTGACCTTTAGAGGGCTTTTTTTTTTCCCTTTTTCCCTCCTTACCAATACAAATAAAAAAGACAAATAAGAAAAAAATAAAAAAAAAACAAAAGGAACAACGATTGTGTGAAGTATGGATGTATGGGTTTACGTCTTTTTTTATTTGTTTTTTTTTCTTTTTTCACATTTTCTATTCGTAAGAAAAATAAAATAAAATAAAAAAAAAAGAGTTAAATTTCGATATGCAGACTTTATTGTTTCTCTGTGTCACATAAAAGAGAGATGCAATGTAGTGAACATTGAGGTGTCTGTTCTTTTTTTTTTTCTGTCGACAAAAAGTAGTTGGTACAAAGATAATATATCATACTTACATACTAATTAGTTATGTAGGTTCGATAAGCTGGAAAGAAGGGACTAAGGAAGAGGGCTGTCTCTCTCTTTTTAAACGAAGTCATTTTCTTGTGATTACTAATGAGTAACTTATCTTTTTTTTTCCTTCGTTTCATGGAGTTGGTGATTACGTAATAAAAGCGTTTGGAAACTGTCCGTTCGAGTTTCGTGTGGGTTCTTTTTTTTTTTATTTTAGTTCGTTTCTTCTAAAAGTGATATCAAGAAAATATTCAGAAAGTGTGGCTGGGAAAAGTGGTAAAGGCGATGAGGAAAAGGAGTAGCATAGGAAGCTGAACTTAGATGGATAAGTAGTACTGGGTTTGTATATATATATATATATACAATTACTATCATTTTTGACTCGTTTCGCTTTTCTATCTTATTTTTTTTGCAAGAAATCTCAAACGCGAACCGTGTACCCTAGCCAACTAGACTAATTCACTATTTTTTCTTTTTTTAAAATGTCTTCTACTCAAGGTAAGCCAATTCAATGTACTGCTGCCGTTGCTTATGCTCCAGGTAAGCCTTTATCTGTGGAACAAATTATTGTTGATCCACCAAAGGCCCATGAGGTTCGTATTAAGATCACTAATACTGCCATCTGCCATACCGATGCTTATACTTTGTCCGGTTCCGACCCAGAAGGTGCATTCCCATGTATCTTAGGTCATGAAGGTGCAGGTATTGTGGAATCTGTTGGACCTGACGTCGATACTGTTAAAGTAGGTGATCATGTTATTGCTTTATACACTGCTGAATGTGCTAAATGTAAATTCTGTAAATCTGGTAAAACTAATCTCTGTGGTTCCGTTAGAGCTACCCAAGGCAAAGGTGTCATGCCTGATGGTACCACTAGGTTCCACAACTTAAAAGGTGAACCTTTACTTCATTTTATGGGTTGTTCCACTTTCTCTGAATACACTGTGGTGGCTGACGTCTCTGTGGTCGCCATCGACCCAACAGCTCCATTAGATAAAGTTTGTCTTCTAGGTTGTGGTGTCACCACTGGGTATGGGGCCGCTATTAAAACTGCTAACGTTCAAAAGGGTGACACCGTGGCCGTCTTTGGCGCTGGCACTGTAGGTTTATCCGTGGTTCAAGGTGCTAAAGCTAGAGAAGCTTCTAGAATCATCGTTGTCGATATCAACGACGACAAGAAAAAATGGAGTTTTGATTTTGGTGCCACCGATTTTGTTAATCCATTAAAGGACTTGGAAGAAGGTGAGACAATAGTATCCAAATTGGTCGAAATGACCGACGGTGGTCTTGATTTCACCTTCGATTGTACCGGTAACGTTAAAGTCATGAGAGACGCATTAGAGGCCTGTCATAAAGGCTGGGGTCAATCCATCATTATCGGGGTCGCTGCCGCTGGTCAAGAGATATCGACAAGACCATTCCAATTGGTCACTGGTAGAGTATGGAAGGGCAGTGCTTTTGGAGGTGTTAAGGGTAGATCTGAAATGGGCGGTTTGATTAAAGATTACCAACAAGGTAAGTTGAAGGTCGATGAATTTGTTACCCATGTTAGACCATTTAATGAAATTAATCAAGGTTTTGAAGACTTACATCATGGTGATTGTTTAAGAACCGTATTAAATTTTTAGACAAATTAGAAGAGCAAAAGACAAAAAGAATTATAAAGTATAGGTTTCTCTTTAACAAATAATATTTAATATATGTATATATTATATAAGATTTTTTTTTTTGTTCTTTTCACAACAATATTGCACCTTGATTGGAAATTTAGTATCCCTACAGTTTGTATATTCTAATGATCCTCTAATGTTCCCATCTTATTATTAGTGTCCATTCTAGTCGTATTAATTTCCAAATTGAAATTAATAGAGTTATTGTTGCTTTTTTCATTACTTTTATTTTGATTTGTTTTATTAATTGAAGATTTTGAGTATGTTGTTGTTTTTTTAGGCTCACCACATCTTAAACAAGTAATATTCTTGGCAAAATTATGATAATCACATACAACACATTTCCAATCTCCAGCACGGAATGGTATATTACTGTGTGTATTGTGGTTACCATAAGAAGGTGTATTTATATATGCTATTTTTGGATTATAATTGGTAGTGATGGTAGTAGCAGTTATGAGGGTGGTGGTTGCAGAATTTCTATCATCTGTGTTGTTGGTAAAATTGTCATTGGACATACGTGGATTTTGTGAAAGAGATAAATTTGTGTCCTTATCATATGTAGTCATTAAATTATGGTTATAATAATTCGAATTTGAACTAGGTGATCCATGCTTGTTTGTGGTGTCATCGGTATTGTTGTTGTTGTGGTTTTTGTTGTTGTTGATATGATTTCGTATAAAAGTTTCAGATTTCATCTTTTGTAATGCACTTGGAATCGGTAATAAGCATCTGAAACATGCAATCCTTCTTTGAAAATTTAAAAATCCACAAGATGGACAGTTCCAGTCGCCTGGTCTTGGTTTATTTTTGCTCTGTGGAAACGATATTAAAATTTCCTTCGCTAGATCAATAACTTTATTAGAAGATGGTTGTAATTCAATGATATGTTCTACTACCTTAGGTTGTTTTGTATTGGCAACATTAGATAGAATTGATCTACCGTTCAATAAGTTTAAGGCATCTTTTGCATTTTCGTGGTTCTGAAATATAACAAATCCAGGTATACTGTTTAACTCTTCAACGTATGAGAATTGGTTATATTGCCAAATAGATGGATCTTCGTTATTATTGTTGTTATTACAGTTATTAAAGTTAAATAGAGTTTCTACAATGTTTTTAAAAGTCCAAAATCCTATCGGTCTTGTATTATGTTGGGTAAACCATGATTCTAGTTCACTTTGTGTAATGTCTACAGGGAGATTTGTCATATAAAGAATATTGGATTCTTCTTCTTGAAATGTTTTGAAATCTAATTCTAAATTGTATAGATGGCTCAAAATATCATATAATTCAGTCTCATTGTTATTCTGTTTAGAATATAATTTCGAAAGAACAGTTATTGTCGTGTCAATATTTTTCAAGGGTTGTAAGGAAATCCTAGATTGATCATCAGTAGCATAATTCCCTTCCTTTTTGATTGTCTTAGTTTTTTGTCCTTGACACAGTTCAGTAAGACCTAATAGTGTTAAACAACCAGTTAGTCTAAGATCATTTAGATCTCCTCTTGACTCAAACAGATCTTGTATATCATTTCTATTAATAGTTTCTGGAGCAATCACATCATTGTTATAAATATTATTATACCAAACACCATATGCTTTCCAAAGATCACATATCCTTAAATGTTTTAAGAAATTTGGTAAATTGACATTTTCGTCGAAAGCCTGTCTTTGTAAAACAACTTTAAGAGTCCATGTGGAAAACATAGAACAGATAATAAATTCGGAATTGTTTAAGGTCTCAATTATTATTTGATGCAATTTATCAACAGCAATTTGTAATCCATTGGATATATCATAATTTACAGGAATAGACTTAGATTGATTTAGTAGTTCTCTCAGTAACAGTGATGATTCTGATTCTGAAGATTCACTAATTGTCTGTAACGTCTTTGTATCTATAAATATATAACAGAAATTTGTAATATTTGTTTGATCTTTTGGCTCCTCTGGTAGATATTTAGTGGACGTTTCTAGTACCACATAATACATTATATAATATCACCTTCTATTTCTTTTTCTGAATAAGTAGTTATATTATTTTGGTTATTTACCCCTTCCTCCTCTAATCCTAAAGAAAATGTTTCAGTTGTGTACAGGTGTTAATTAAATGCCTTATATAAGACTGTTTGTATTAGTCTGACTAATGGGAAGGATTTTTTTTATGCAATATTAAAATTTAGAGATGAGCAAAACTTGGAGGAATATAAAATTAGAAATGATCGAGAAAAAATTAACCAAAACTTGTAATATACATAGAAAAACATATATATAAGTAAAATCAAATAAGCTATAGTGATTAGTGTAAATTTTTAAAGGAAATAACGTATTACTAATAATAGGGAAGGAGAATTAACTATTGGTTGTTGATTTTGATTAGTTAACTCCTTTAAGAAGTCTGTGGAAGATAGTTAAAATATCAAATCAAATGTTTATTCCTAATATATATATGTGTGTGTGTATGTGGATATATAGATTCATAATTTATGTATAAATGAATAAGGAAGTGTATATGCCTAAAAGCACATTTATTACTTTGATCTTTTATCGTCTTCCTCTTCCTCTTCATTTGATTCATTGCTTTCTTCCTCTTCACTTGATTCATTGCTTTCTTCCTCTTCACTTGATTTTTCACTTTCCTCTTTTTCTTCATTCTCTTCTTCTCCTGAGGTTTTCTTTTTTAATTCCTTATTTAATAAATATTCTGGCAACTCATTGGTAACACCATCTTTATGTTGTTCTAACCATAATTTCTCCCATTCAACAATACGCTCAATATTACTTTCCATTTCTTCCACTGTATTACTTTGTAGTTCAACCACAATTTCTTGTTCATAAGATTCAATTGCATCTTGGAGTACAACACCCATAATTTCAGCGTCTAAATTTTCTTGGATCTTGCTTTCATGGTATTTTCTAGCATGTAACCTGTCAAATAATATTGAATTGTCACATCTAAGAACAACAACTAAATCGATCAATCTCTCTGGAAAGACATCATTAACGTGCCAATCTATAATACTCTTCCCTTCATGCAACAAAGGTTCCAATTCATCCAATAGCTTATCTTCATCGACTATGTGCGATTTACGATCTTTATCATAACCTTCGTAACATTTGTGTTTTTCTGCAAAATCTGATATGTTATAATATTTGTAATCTGGTAATCTGCGTTGTAATAATTCACATGTAGTGGATTTTCCACAACCTGGTGTACCTGTAATTAACAAATTTGGTTGATATCTACGAGATTCCTTTTGACCCATAATAATTGATGTGTAATTGTATTAATCCTTCTTTCTCTATTTATTTTTCCTTTCCTTTAAATGAAAAAGTGTACTATATAATTCTTTTTCACAGTTTTAAGTCTACAATAGTCTATTCATTGTAGATGGTAATATGAAACTTCTATACACACAAGAATGCATTCTTTATTACATATACAAACAGCTATCATCATTTTTGAATGTTATGCTCATCGCAAGTTTTCTCAGTAAATATTTCCTTCTAATTTTTTTTTTTTTTAATTCGAACTCATCTTTACATGGCAAAAATTAAAGAACAAAACATCAAAAGAAAAAATCTAAGACCTAAAAATAAAAGGTCAGGACTTGCTCTATAATTTCATACAGAAAATATTATTGCATCTGATATATCTGTTAGAAGAGCTGTGTAAACTAAAATTCTGATACATATATTCAAGTATTTATTGTTTTTTAGTTCGCTTTTAAACTAAAAATTGCAAGTAGGAAGGGATTTTTAATTGCCCCAATCAAATATAAAATCGAAATAAAAAACACATTAAAGTGAGAAGATACAATGGACAAATTCGGTTTACAAGCATTATTACCATTAATTAAACAAGATGATCCAGAACTAGCCAAGAAATATGATCATTCAATGACTCTTGGAGCTGATTTAGCTTCCATGTTACATTCTTTAGGTATATCTAAGGATTTAAGACGACAAAGAGTGTTAGAGACATTTCAATCCCCATGGGCTGAGACTTCTAGAAGTGAAGTAGAACCACAATTTTATATACCTGAGTCATTCACTAATATACCTGAAGTACTTCAATCGGAGTGTACGCCACCATGTATTAATTCAATACAAAGAGATCAACAAAAAGTAGCGCTATTTCAAGATGAGACACTTTTTTATTTATTTTATAAACATCCTGGTACTGTGGTTCAAGAACTAACATATTTGGAGTTAAGAAAAAGAAATTGGAGATATCATAAGACTTTGAAAGCCTGGTTGACTAAAGATCCAATGATGGAGCCAATAGTTTCTCAGGATGGATTAAGTGAAAGAGGTTCCTATGTATTTTTTGACCCACAAAGATGGGAAAAATGTCAAAGAGATTTTCTTCTATTCTATAATGCTATCATGTAATAAAGATATATATACTTATATAAAAGGCAAATCTCATTGTTTCTATCTATTATTAGCAGGAGTAGGAAAAACTGAGTTTAGGCATAAAGATAAGATTTCAAGTATATATATTGTAATTACCATTAGTGATATATATATGTAATTGTATATACATGTGTTGGAGTAGGCTTAAATTAATAAACTAGATCTAGTCAAGAAAAAAAAATATACAGATATTGGATATAGTTGGTCTTTAATTATGTGTTGAAAATGTTCATTCAGTACTAGTGAAGACAACAGTAAACTAAAAGTAAAATAAAGTAAAATAAACCAAAATCGCAAAAATAAAAAGATATCAAGCTCTTTGAACACGGTATCTCTTTCCTCTAAAACCAGTAATATACATATTAAATTGATAGATTTCTTGTGGATTGTAATCATTTAGCTCCCACTTGGTACTGCCAAATACATTCTTGACAGGTTCTAATAAGACATCTAATTCTCTATCATATTTATCTTTTAGTAATGCTACATCATTCATTATATCATTTTCATTGAAACCAGTATGAAAAATTGCACATTTGGTATCTAGAAGACCTTTCATAGTATCATTCATCCATAAATTTGTAGTATCACTATAGGCAAATCCTGGGTGGAAAATGAAAAAAACATCATTGTATGGGTCATATGGGTAAAAATCTTGGGCTAGATGTAATTCATGAAAATATTGTGGGTGATATATTAATGATAATGTATCATCAATCTTCTTCACTAATGGACTGGTAGAATCAGTTTGTCTAGTTTCATTTAATTGGCATTCAGGGCCTATAAAATGAATTTCAAAATCTTGTGCAGGGAACAAAAACTGTAGTTGCTTCCAAACATGACCAGGTAGTTGACTTTCAGCTCTGGCGCCAACAATGAAGATTCTCATTGGGTTGTTAGTTGGTAATGTATTTTTAGTTTTTGATGGATATAGAGTGTATCTTAAAGCAGCAATGGACTTCAAACCTTCTAAAGTTAGTGGACCTCTCTTATTATAAGAGTATGGAGAATATTCATGTAATATAGATGCAATTGTGATGGGATAACTTAACATTTTTGTGACTGTAGCCAATTCAAATTCGGTATCCATCGAATAAAATTGTCTTGTATAAAAGAATAAATCCCAATTTTGTAAACTGACCGCTCTATCAAATCCTTGTTCTAATGGAAAATCAAATTCTGGGAAGGCTCTACCACTTCTTAGATCATGTTCATAAATGTTAACTTTCTTTAATTTTTCATAGATTTTATTTTGATGGTAATTCTTATCCATTTCCCACGCTTCCCTGGAATGATGAGTTGGAATACCTGATATTGGACATGTATATCTAATATCCTTCTCAGTAACTGGACAACGTGCTAATTTTTTAATCCTCATAGCTCTTGCGCGCAAATCAGGGCAGGGCGATTCTTCCCAAGGATGAAATCTGTTTGATTCTTGTGGAGCGTCTGGGGATGGGGGTGGCTCTAACCCCAGAGCATTTCTAACAAATCCAACAATATTTCTTGACTGAATAACATTTGGTAAGTTGAAGCTTCTATAGTAAAATCGTTCAACATGTATTGATTTTGAAGCAAACATATGGATAAAAATAATAATAAATGTATAGCAATCAATTTACTATAGTAAATAATAAGTGTCTAATTTGTATAATAAATTATCAAAGAATGAGATACTATTATGTGCTTTATGTGTTCATTGACAGTGAATTCGACTTTTTAGTTTGAATGTTGTTCTATAACTTTCCTCCCCTTCTCCCCTTGTATTTTACATTGTTAATCAATTCAGTCCGCCTGTATTCTTTCTTTTTTTTTTTTATTTCATTAATAGCATTTTCACTGTGCTGTAAAAGGCGTAAAAGAAAAAAACAAAAATGAAATTAAAGTGAAAAAAAAAATGGATATGAATCGTAAATGTTTAGCGTATTATAAGCCTGATACAAAGTTCCATAATCATAGAGAGAGAAATGGAGCTGTCATAAATGTCAAATCTGTGTCTTTATAAGTAAGTAAATGTCTAATTATATATTTTATACAGTTTGTTAATGACAAATATGATGATGTTAGGTCTGTAAACTGGCTTGATTTTCATATAATTCTATAATTTGATCTGATGAAGTGGCATCTTCCACGCTTTTGTCCTCCCTGATCCGAATAAATCTTGGAAATCTTAAAGAAATTCCTTTATCATATGTAGAACTACCTGCCTTATAAATAGGGGATAACGACAAATCTGCTGTTAGAACTTCGAATAGTAATGTAGGTTCAAACCAAACATCTGGTTCAGCACCAGAGTCATAAACATATGTGGCTTTTGGTCCATCAATAACAGTGTCCTTCAGCTTATTATAAAGATCGGCTAATAATTCATCTGAGAAACCAGTACCAATTTTACATGCAGTTTCAAATTCACCTGTGTCTTGATTATAGCAACCCAATAGGAAACCACCGTATGTACCAGTTCTCTTCCCACGTCCAAAAAATCCACCTAATACACATAAATCCAGTGAGTCTCCCACACCTGCTAAATAATCTTTCTTCAACTTTAACCAATTTCTCGATCTTTTACTTGGTTCATAGAACGATTCTTCTCCATCCAACATCTTGACCATTAAACCTTCGCATGAATCCTTAACTGATTGGTCTAGAAAATGTTGTAATTCTTCTAGATTAGATGTTGTCATTTCAGTGGCATATTGGAATTCACCAGGGACAGGCTTTGTTGCTTTATGTAAAATTTCACGTCTCTCTCTTAATGACTTGTTGATCAATCTATCATCATTATGGGATAGAATATCAAACGCAAATAAACAGACTCGAACTTTAATGTCACTAATATTAACATCCTTTCTTTTTCTTGTTGATAATACTTGGAAAGGTAAAATTTTCCCTTGTTCTTTATCCCATGCAACTGCTTCACAATCTAAAATTAAGGATTTGGTGGTGTTTGGATCCTTAATAAAATCTTTGATAGAGATCTCTGGGTACCGCTCTGTCATATTTTCACCATTTCTAGAGTATATTCTCATTGAATCATCTTCTAATAGATGAACTTGAGCCCTTTCACCATCATATTTGTATTCGGATGTAAATGTTTGTCCTTGAAAACGGTCTAGGACTTCAGATATCGCTTTTGTTGGTCTTGCTAACATTGGTTTTAGTGGAATCCCAGGCCTTAAAGTACATACTTTTTCTAGGTTCATTATACCATGCTCAAGACATGCATTGATTACAATTTCATAATTAGGAACTTGGCAAAATGCATCTCTAATCTTTTGTTCTGCGTTTTCTAATAGATTCATATCTGGGTCAATACCTTCATCATATTCTTTGATCAATAATGCTTTAGCTAATGAAATTAAAACAGTTTTTTCAGCAAGCCCAATTCTTAATTTAGATTCAAGTGATCTGACTAAAAATTTTGCCTCAACACCTTGACAAGCAGTCAACATTCTTTTAATCAATTTAATTTTTCTAGTTTGGGAATCTTTTCCCTGACTCTTTGCAATCAATTTCAAATTAGTAAAGACTTCTCCAATGGTTAATGGTTTAGGTTTGAACATGGTTGGTTGAACATTTCTTGCTTCTAATGCAATTTGACCTAAATCACCGATGGAATGATATTTTGATTTAACTTGTTTCAAAGATTTACCACAGGATTCAGCTATAGTTTTCATTAGTAACCCTTCACCAAGTCCTAGTTCTAAACCTTGTTCATAATCAGGACCTAATTTGTTGATACACAAATATGTAATCGTGATTAAGTTTTGTGGATCTTTTTTCATCGCTTCAATAAGAAAATCTGAACATAGTTTAATGATGGCTAGTCTCGAAGATATAGATTCGATCTCTTGGAATAAATTACACAGATCTGAATAAGGTATATCGGATACAAAATTTTCTTTATTCTTATTATCGGGATTATCACTGTTAATAGACGTATTAAGGGATGTGGTTGATTCAGTTTTACTTTTTTTTAAACTGTTTGATATTTGAGCATCTTTTCCGTTAATATTATTACTGCCATCATTGTTAGAATTGTCATTATTTTTGTTCATTGAAGTAAATGATCTTTTCAATATTGGAGATGAAGTAGAGGAAGAAATTCCAGGACTTGTTTTTTTAACATGAGATATGACTTGGTTTTCTTTTACAGTGTTTTTATCATCTGTATCTATGGAATCAGGTATTTTGTCTTCGTCATCATCCTTATTATTCTTATTATTCTTATTATTAGTATTAATTTTTCTATCAGAAATTGTATTATCATCTTTGTTCTTCATTGAAGAGAAAAATCTCGCTAAAGTAGCTTGTTTCTTATCACCTGAACTCATTTTACGATTATATGTATAGGATAAATAATTTTGCTGATTTGAATAATAAAACAATCTAATTAAATACTTACTGAGAGTGGTTTTGAATGTTGAAAGGTTGATAGAATAAGGAAAGAATCTTGGTTGCGATAGATATATAATGTTTGTAGTGATTGGATATATTTTATTAAATTTTAGCATCTACGGATATAACATATCCTACAAAAGAAAAAATCTGGTAGTTGATATTTTCAAAGAATATTATCCGTTGTTGAGTATAACAGGAATATGAGAATTCCTAGTATATAGAGCAGACAATGAAGAAAGACTATATAAATAAATATTTGATATATTTTTGAAACATCGTATAGTCTACTATAACTTTCAAAAAGTTTTTTTTTCGTCTCGACTGTCAAATATAAAATATATAGGCAGAATTTTCAAAATGATTAAGATAATTCTGCAACAAAAAAAAAACAGAAAGATAATTTAGTAAGAAAACGCTGAAAAGAGATATTAAAGTTGGCCAGCACTGGCACTATTCGTTTTGTCTTCCTTACTTACTCACTTACTCCTTTTCACACACACAGTCTCTCTTTCTATACACATATATATATATTATTAATCTTCATGCAACTGGTAACAAATGGGACAGAAAGCTGTTAACAACTAAGAAGATGAAGGTTAAATTAAGAGAATAATAAAAAACAAAATCGGATTTTTTTTAACAGATTAAGATGTGGGAGAAATTATATAACTAAGGTCAGTAAAAGTGAATTTTGAAGATTTTATATATGTGTATGCTTATGTGTGTTTATAGATCTGGGAAAAAGGAGTAAAGCGTATTAAAAAGGGCACTAACTCCATCAAACGTAAGAGACTAACTAAGATATTCTAATATTGATATTCTCAACTTGTAAATATATAGATGTTAACCAAATGTTCAAGCTAAAGTATAAGTAATATAAGTAGGTAACAGTTTTAAACTCAAATTTATTACTACTGAATATGTTAGAAGCCAAAAAAAAAAAAGGGGGGGGGAGAAGAATCAAAAAAATATAAATTTAATACTGCAAAAAAAATTATGTTTAAATAAAGGGTGTCTAAATAATTTACATGTATATATAAATAGATATAGATGTTTATATATAGAAGAAAAGAGAAGGGGGGGGAAACAAACGATAAATCTTGTATTAGATAAAAAGTTTTCTTGATATTGATTTGTAATAGTGTAGTGTTCATTTTTTTTTTCACGTTATATTTTGATATTGGACTCTTATTCTTATCACCTAGAAAAGCAAAAAATTATAAACTATTTGTAAGTGAAGGTAGAAATCATCTCTTAAATATATATATATATATTTATGAAGCTATGGCAAGGTTAAATTCATATGAAGAAAATCGAACTCTTTTATCTGAAGCTATGATGGAAAATGAAATATCAATAGTATATTCAACTACACATAACGAAATAATTAAAGAAGAGACCCAAGTAGACTTATCTAAAGAAGAGATGTTTGAACATTGTTACCATTATTATATTGCGTTATCTCAATCACAAGGATTTCAATGGAATCAGGATTTATTTGTTACTCAGTACCAGCAGAATCATCAAGTGGAATATGATGGACATGAAGATTCACTTAGTGAAGATATAGAGACTTTGGAATCAAGAAGTATTTCAGATTTGTCTCGAAGAATACAGTACAGAAGAAGATCCAACAGTAATAGTATAAGTTTTAAAAGAGATTCAAAGAATGGGTTAATTAATTTGTCGTTACCTTTGAATGAATATTTAGAACAAAGTAAAGACAACTGTGATGAATTCAGTCAAAGTGAAAAGGGTTTAATAACCAAAAAGGAATTTAAAAAACATCTAGATTATTACAAGTGGCTCCTAAGTTGAGATTAAAAGTGTATGAGGTCTAACTTATCATATTGATTGAAAAAAAAAAAAAAAAAAAAAAAAAAAAAACATTGTAGAAGTTCAAAATTAGTAAAAAAATATTAAAAATAAAAGTAAACAAAAAACAAACAAAAAATGAAGAATATTACGTATTCCAAAATAGGAAAAACTACTGATAAGATATACAGAAAACATAAATGTAAATATTGAGATAAGATAGTTAATTTCATAAGATAAAGAGAAAGATAATATTCTTTTAATAATGCTAACACTAATCAACGTAACAATAATGAAAGATAAAAACATTGTTGTTTACATATTTTCTAATAGATTAACAATAAAAATATAAAAACATATAATAGCTGAACATGTAATTTATCGTGATTATTTAAACAAACTTGCTATTTAGACCCTTCTTGTAAAATATTTAACAAGCATACATAATTGTACTCACTTCGATGTGTATTTAATGAAGGGTGTTATTTTCAAAATCAGGTTATGATATACTATTGAAACACCGACTCTTTTCAACAGCATGCCAAAATCAGTTAATAACATTAACAATACAGACTATTAAAAAATGTAATTGATATTTCTAATATATTGAGTCTAACTAACAAAACAAGAAGTAATATGAAATAAACAGTTACACGTTACTTACATGAATGATGAGACATTAAAGTATTTAAGCTTTTTTTTCAAGAGCTGGATGCATATTTTTACCTAACTATCAGATGGTTATAAAAAAAGAACGATACTATATTAACAAGAATAATATGATTTGTGGCATTCAGTAACACTTATTACCCGCCCGTTTTACCAGTAATAACAACTGTCGTAGATTTAACATTAGAAAAAATAGCAATAATCTAATCAGACTGTCTTTCTCTAACATAAATAAAAAAGATTATCCTCGTAAAACTGTCAGAATAAGTCGTAATTATTGCACTCTTACATTAATGCTGCCTTTAAAGCTATCTGTGTGTTGTAGAGCACACCAAATCTTTCAATACAAAATATTTCAGACAGTAAAATTCAATTTTTTTTTTTTTGAAATGAGAGCAGAATGAAAACAAAAGAAAGAAAAATAAAGAAAATGGAAAAAAAATTGCAAATATAAAACAAAAGAAAAAAAAAACTATCCCGGAATGGATAATAAAAAAATATTGACCAATCAAAAACAAGAATGCTTATCGGATCACGTGCCACTATTGTTCCATGTGTCAATTTTATTGGCTTTCTTATCTCAACTTTTATCTCCATCTAATCATATCAGTCTTTATAATCTTTAATTTCAATATTTGATAAAGACAAGGAACAATTTTCAAGGCCAATTAGTTGTTCCCCGAAAATCACCTTTTTCTATAATCAGCTAACGACATTCATCACTGTCTGACTATTAATTCTTATTCTCTAAATGATTCTTAAAATTGGACAAATATTCCTTTGTCATCAATAATTTTATTCCTTTGGAAGTCATTACTCTTCTGCTAATAATTCCTGGTCTAGCTTTAAAGTGAATTTGTCATTATTATAGCTGGCTCATCACAACATATTCCAAACATTTTAAAGTTCACAATTCAACCAAGCTAATAAAATAGATATGGTACCCTTTTCCGATCGGAACATCTAGGAAATTACCCTATAGAGAAATATTTAAAATCTTATTTCTTATCCACACATTTAAAGGCTCAGTATTATTTTTCTTTTTTTCTTTTTTTCTTTTTTTCTTTTTTTCTTTTTTTCTTTTGAATCTTTTTAATTATTTCAAACAAAGCAGAGTCATCTCTCAAACAATAATCTCTTTATTGTTTTAAGAACAAATGGACAATATTTTATATTTTCCTGTTCTTTTTTTCTTTTTTTCCTTTTTCAATTTTATCTACAAAAAAAAAATTTACTCCACTTACAAAAATAAAAAAATGCACTGCAAATTTTTGAACGATTCAAGATTTCTCTTTCAAAAGGAAATTCTTTTTCCTTTCAGTCGATGCTCCTCTCATTTATTTTTTTTTTTCACATTTTCTATTATCTTAAAAAATTCTTCCTGTATCTTTGTTTACTTTTAAACCGGAATATTAACACTGTTACTACTATTATTTTTTTTTACGTATTTTCCAATATGAATCTTTTAGATATTTCCTGGTTTCTTTAAGTTGTTTTTAATATTTCCGAAGTATATATAAGAACTTTTATGTTCCAATCTTGTTTTAGTGAGACGAACCTAGATCTTTTCATTAAAGTTCTCATTCCCGTTGCCTCATTGACCGATCCTTTGCCAGTCGTAGCTAGCTGTTTTTTCCCCCTTTTACAGCAGGCTCTTTATTTATTTACTTGTAACTTATTCCCTGCTACTATACTTCTCTCCCTCAAGGCCAAGTAAAAAGAAGAACCAGAATTAGGAACAACCGCGCATCTATCTTTCTCATTCACCCGTATCTTTAGTTGGAGATACTGATACACTTTAAACAACCATAGGGATAAACAGACCTATCCATATTCTTTATTTATTTATTACTCTATTTATTTATTTATTTATTTATTAATTTTTTCTGATAGAAACGACATACTCATAATTTTTATTCATACATTTGTTATTTTCTCTTTATTTATTTTGATTTTTTTTCCTTTATAAAATATTACTTCAAAAATTCCAATCACAACAATGAAACAACCAAGTCAACCTATTGGTCTTTATAATCCTGATTATGAACGTGATGCATGTGGTGTTGGTTTCATTGTCACTAAGGCAAGCAATCCAACCCATAATATTTTAAATGATGCTAAACAAATTTTGGTAAATATGACTCACCGTGGTGCGTCTCATAATGGTATCGGTGATGGTGCAGGTATATTATTGTCTCTTCCACATGACTTCATCAAACGTGAATTCCAGTTGCCTAATTTAGAACAAGGATCTTATGCCATTGGTAACGTCTTTTTCCATGATTTATTGTACTTTAACCCAGATCTTTGGGATAGATTGGCTGCTGAACAAAATTTGAAGATTTTACAATGGCGTGATGTTCCTGTTGATTCATCGATATTAAATCCAATCTGCTTACCAACTGCTCCTATAAAAGTTTTGCAGCCTTTATTTGTCTCCACTACACCACACAAGTCTGAATCTGACTTAAGACAAAGATTATACATATTTAGAAAAAAATTAGAAAAAATCTTTAATCATGATAACAGTAAAGTCTATATATGTTCTTTATCTGACAAAGTTATGGTTTATAAAGGTCAATTGACTCCAGCACAAGTTTTCCAATACTATAAGTATGATTTGGAAGATCCTGATTTCAAGATTTTCATGGGTTTGGTCCATTCGAGATTCTCCACTAATACTTTCCCATCATGGGATAGAGCACAACCTTTGAGATGGATCGCTCATAACGGTGAAATTAACACATTGCGTGGTAACATCAATTGGGTCAAAGCAAGAGAAGGTTCCATGAAAACAAAGAATCTAGGTGATTTGAATGAACTGTTCCCAATTATCCCTGATAAAGGGTCTGATTCTGCATCTCTTGACAATGTCTTGGAGCTGTTAGTCACTGAAGGAGTTTTATCTTTACCTGAAGCAATTATGATGATGGTCCCAGAGGCTCATAAAGATGATATGAACAAAGACTTGAAATCATGGTATGACTGGGCTGCCTGTTTAATGGAACCATGGGATGGTCCAGCTTTGTTAAATTTCACTGATGGCCGATACATTGGTGCTAGAGTTGATAGAAATGGTTTAAGACCATGTAGATATTATGTTACTTCTGATGATAGAATCATATGTGCCTCCGAAGTCGGTGTGGTTCAAGATATTGATGATAAATTAGTTATTTCCAAGGGTAAATTGAAACCAGGTGATTTATTACTTGTGGACGCTGAAAATTGTACTATTATAAATCAAGACACAATTACTCATAAAATTGCCACACGTGAAAATTTCTCCCAGTGGTTGGAAAATAAAACAATCTCTTTAGAACAATTAATTAAAGATATTCCAATTGAAACTAATATACCGGCTAACTGTGTCCTTGATAATGAGCGCCTTTTAGCTAATGGGTTCACCTTCGAATTGATTGGGTTATTATTAGCTCCAATGGCTTTAACTGGTAAAGAAGCTTTGGGTTCTATGGGTAATGATGCTCCATTGGCCTGCTTAAATGAAGCACCTGTCATGTTGTTTGATTACTTCAAACAATTATTTGCCCAAGTCACCAATCCACCAATCGATCCAATTCGTGAGGCCAACGTTATGTCTTTGGAATGTTTTGTTGGTCCTCAAGGTAACCTACTAGAAATGAATGAAAACCAATGTGAAAGATTGAAATTGGAAACACCAATCTTAACCAAACAACAATTCAATGCGATTGCCAATATTGAAAAAGTTCATCCATCTTGGACTGTTGGTACTATTGATATAACTTTTGACAAATCAGAAGGTTTATCAGGTTACAAAGCTACTATTGAAAGGATCATCGAAGAAGCCAACAATTTAATTGTCAAATACAACAAGCAAATCATTATTATTTCTGATAGAAATGTTAACAAGGATAGAGTTGCCATTGCTTCCTTAATTGCTGTTTCTTCTATTCACAACCATTTAATTAGAAAACAAAATCGTGCAGAAGTCGCTTTAGTCTTAGAAACTAGCGAAGCTAAAGAAGTTCATGATTTCTGTTTGTTGCTAGGTTATGGGTGTGATGCCATCTACCCATCTTTAGCTATGGAAACCTTAGTTATTTTGAACCAACAGGGTTTGTTACGTGACACTGTTAAAAATGAAGACCAAGGTTTAGTTGCTGATGACAAGATCATTTCTAACTATATATATGCTATTGACCACGGTATTATGAAAGTTATGTCGAAGATGGGTATTTCTACATTAGCCTCTTATAAAGGTGCTCAAATCTTTGAAGCTTTAGGTTTAGATGACGAAGTTGTTGACTTATGTTTCACTAACACTGCTTCCAGAATAAAAGGTGCTACTTTTGAAATTTTAGCTCAAGATGCCTTTACTTTACATGAACGTGGTTTCCCAGCCGAAGATAATATTTTACCATCTAAGCCAGTTACTGTCCTTTATAGTGGTGAGTACCACTGGAGACATGGTGGTATGAAGCATGTCAATGATCCATCTGCTATTGCTAACTTACAAGATTCTGTCAGAAACAATAATAATGAAGCTTGGACTAAATATGTTGAGAAGGAGATGGCTGTAATTAGAGAATGTACTTTGAGAGGTTTACTTGAATTTGATTATGAAAACTCTACTGAAATCCCATTAGATGAAGTTGAACCATGGACCGTCATTGCTAAAAGGTTTACCACAGGTGCTATGTCTTATGGTTCTATTTCTGCAGAAGCACACACTACATTAGCCATCGCGATGAATCGTATTGGGGCTAGATCGAATTGTGGTGAAGGTGGTGAAGATGCTGAAAGATCTGAAATATTACCAAATGGTGATACAATGAGATCAGCTATTAAACAAGTTGCTTCCGGTAGATTTGGTGTTACTTCGTACTACTTATCTGATGCTGATCAATTGCAAATTAAGGTTGCTCAAGGTGCTAAGCCAGGTGAAGGTGGTGAGTTACCAGCACACAAGGTTTCCAAAGAAATTGCCAAGACTAGGCACTCCACTCCAAATGTTGGTCTAATTTCTCCCCCACCACATCACGATATTTATTCTATTGAAGATTTGAAACAGTTAATTTACGATCTGAAGTGTGCTAACCCAGTGGCGGAAGTTTCTGTTAAATTAGTCTCTGAAGTAGGTGTTGGTATTATTGCTTCTGGTGTTGCTAAGGCTAAGGCCGATCATATCACCATTTCTGGTCATGATGGTGGTACTGGTGCAGCTAGATGGACTTCTATCAAACACGCAGGTTTACCATGGGAATTAGGTTTGGCTGAAGCCCAACAAACTTTAGTACTTAACGATTTAAGAGACAGAGTTGTTTTACAAACTGATGGTCAATTACGTACAGGTTTTGATATTGCAGTTGCTGTATTACTTGGTGCAGAATCGTTCACTTTGGCTACTATCCCATTGATTGTTATGGGTTGTGTCATGTTAAGAAGATGTCACACTAACACTTGTGCTGTTGGTATTGCCACACAGGATCCATACTTGAGATCTAAGTTCAAGGGTCAACCAGAACATGTTATTAACTTTTTTTACAACTTAATTGAAGACTTCAGAAAGATTATGGCTAAACTTGGTTTCCGTACTGTGGAAGAAATGGTTGGTCATACAGAAAAGTTAAGAACCAGATCAGATTTAAATGCAAAAACATCTCATATCGATTTAGCTGCTTTGTTGAAACCATCTGCATCCATTAGACCAGGTGCCTCTATTTTCAACACTAAAAAGAACGATGTTAAATTTGAAGGCCGTATTGACAATATGTTGATTGAAAAGTCTGAAGCCACTTTGGCTAACAAGACCCCAACTTCTATTGAAGACATCAAGATCATTAATACTGATCTGGCTGTTGGTCCTACTTTAGGTTACACAGTTTCCAAAAAGTTCGGTGAACTTGGTTTACCACAAGATACCATCACTGTTAAATTCCATGGTCATGCTGGTCAATCTTTCGGTGCTTTCCTACCTTCTGGTATTACATTCAAATTAGAAGGTGACGCTAACGATTATGTTGGTAAAGGTTTGTCTGGCGGCCGTATCATTATCAAACCAGAAGAAGGATCTAAATTAGTTAGTGAAGAAAATGTTATAGTTGGTAATACCTGTTTCTATGGTGCTACTTCTGGTACTGCCTTTATTTCCGGTTCTGCTGGTGAAAGATTTGCTGTCCGTAACTCTGGTGCTGAAATTGTTATCGAATCTGTTGTTGGTGGTAACGCTTTTGAATATATGACTGGTGGTAGGGCTATTGTTTTAACTGAAATGCATTCTGTTAACGCCTTTTCTGGTGCTACTGGTGGTATTATATATTGCTATTCTGAAAACAAAGACAATTTCAAGAGTGTTATCAATATGGATACTATCGAATTAGAGACTGTTGAAGAAGAAGATGTTTCTTACATCAAAAAGATGGTCCAAGAACATTTTGAATTAACTGGTTCCAAGAGAGCTGAAACCATTCTTTCTAATTTCAATGTTAATGTTGCTAAGTTTGTCAAGGTCATTCCAAGTGATTATAAGAAGGCTTTAGCCATCGCACAAGAAGAAGCCGCTTCTGCCAAGAAGGAAGTTCAAGAAGCTAATGGTGTCTCCACTTCCCACAAATCAACTGTGGATGAACCAAAATTACAAGATCTTGAAGATTACATTCCAGAAAAGAAACCCACCAAAAAGGTGGCCAACTTCATTAAATACAAACGTAAGTTACCTCAAAACACCATTCCACCTTCAGAAAGATTAAAGCACTGGCGTGAATTCCAAAATGGGTTATCTGCCAAGGACATTAAGATCCAAGCTTCTCGTTGTATGGACTGTGGTACTCCATTCTGTCAATCTGATTTGAATTACGGTTGTCCAGTATCCAACATGATACCACAATTTAATAACTTTGTTGCTAGAAATGAATGGGAATTAGCTTTGAAGACTTTGCTATCAACCAACAACTTCCCGGAATTCACTGGTAGAGTATGTCCTGCCCCATGTGAGGGGTCTTGTACCTTGGGTATTTCCGATGATCCAGTTGGTATTAAGTCAATTGAAAGGCAAATTATTGAGGTTGGTTATAAGAATGGTTGGATGAAAGCAAACCCACCAAAGGTCAGAACTGATAAGAAAATTGCTATTATTGGTTCTGGTCCAGCAGGTTTAGCCTGTGCTGATCAATTGAACAAGGTAGGCCATAATGTTACTATCTTTGAAAGAAATGATAGATTTGGTGGTTTGTTGATGTATGGTATTCCGAACATGAAATTAGACAAGGATATTGTCGAGAGAAGATTAACCTTATTAAAAGAAGAAGGTATTAAATTTGTTAATAACACTGAAGTTGGTAAGGATATCTTATTAAAAGATTTGAAGAAAGAATATGATGCTGTTGTTTTCGCTGTTGGCTCCACTATCCCAAGAGATTTGTCCATCAAAGGTCGTGAATTAAAGAACATTGAATTCGCTATGAGTTTACTAGAACAAAACACAAAGGCATTATTATCTAATAAATTGGAAACTGTCCGTAAACAAATTGATGGCAAGAAGGTTATTGTTATTGGTGGTGGTGATACCGGTAATGACTGTTTAGCCACTGCCACTCGTCATGGCGCCAAATCTGTTGTTAACTTAGAATTGTTGCCACAACCTGTTCCAAAGAGAAATGGTGAAAATAATCCATGGCCACAATGGCCAGTGATCATGAGAGTGGATTATGGTCACGAAGAAGTCAAAGAACGTTATGGTAATGACCCACGTGAATACAGTATCATGTCCAAAGAGTTTGTTGGTGATGAAGCAGGTAATGTTACTGGTATCAAAACTATAAGATTAGAATGGAACCGCAATGCTGAAACTAAACGTTGGGAAATGAAGGAAATTCCAGGCACCGAAGAAGTTCTAGAAGCAGATTTGATTTTATTATCTATGGGTTTCACTGGTCCAGAAATGATTAAGAATAAATCGATTGAAGTTAACCAAAGGGGTAACATCAAGACTACATCTTCTGACTCCTACAGATATAAGGAGGACGACAAGATCTTTGTTGCTGGTGATTGTAGAAGGGGTCAATCTTTGATTGTTTGGGCTATCCAAGAAGGTAGAAGATGTGCTAGAGCTATTGATGAATTCTTAGACAAGAAGAGCTATTTACCAGATCTTGGTGGATTTACTCCACGTACATTTGATTTACTAGAAGAAGAAGTTACTGCTACTGCTTAGTATAGGTTGAATCAAATTTTAATTGGGCAAAAAGTCGCTTCTATTTTGTAATATTTATTTTACTGTATATTATTTATTTTTTTACATATGCTTGTTCTCTTTATTAATTTAATGATAGTATGATATCTCTTATTAATATGGCCTTTTACTTTTCTGATTTGTTTTTTTAATAATTCTAATAATCTCATGATAAAATCATATATCAGAAAAATATAAATGAAATATAGAAAGAAAGCTACTATCACAACAACTACTATTACTATTATTACAAATATATATATATATATATATATGTAAATATAATTTATGCAAATATGTTCATTATATATGATAAGAAACCTTTTTTTTCCTTGTTTTGGGATGGAATATTATTATTACTGTTATTTTTATCTTTTGATAAGGATGATGACGGTGATGAGAATGATGATTTCTTTTTATTTGAATTCGATACGGAGACATTGGGATTATGATTACTATTTGTGTTTATCGGAGACACAATATTTCCTGCTCCACCTCTACCAATGACAATTGGGGGTGGTGATTTATTACCTCCGTGACTACTTTTCCTCCGACTTTTCTTCAATGTGATAGTCTTTGGCGAACCATCTTTTGAATGAGAGATGGTTTTAACCAACCGAAGTTTAGTACCATTACCACTGCGATAATGATGTTGTTTTGGATCAGTGTTCATAAATTTAACCTTCTCCTGTTGGTTAATCGTATCTTTATTTGAAGATGTCACAGGACTAATATGCGATCTAATCTTGCTTAACACGTTGGTAACTTTAGATATGTTATTATTATTATTATTATCTTCGAATAAATCCTCATTGGTGATTGGTGCAATATAGTCTTCTTCATCTATAATGATAGCGTCCTCCTCCTCCTCATTACTGTTTCTCGTATGGGTACGAGTAATCTGATACAAAAATTGACTATGACGACTATTCAACGGTTCCATTGTATTATTTTCCAAAGAAGCAATAAAGGGTTCATTAGCTACATCCAAATCAGTTATGGTATTTTCAATAGTATCCATATAACTAACGTCAGGATTCTTGCTACTAAGATCTTTATCCCTATCTTTATCTTTATCCGTATGCTTATTGAGTTTCTTATTGTTATTATTTTTATTATTATTATTATTATTAAGATGATGATGATGATGGTGGGGTACCGGTACATCTCCCACATCCTGTGCTTTTCTGGTTATAGTGGGATCAATATTTTTCCTCATATTGCCTGCTCCACCCCTACCTGTCGAATAAACTGGAGATAAAATGTTTGGCGTCTGTGAACCTTCAGGAATGATTTTTGGTGATGAAATCTTTTCATTTGAGAAATGCATATTACCTGCACCTCCTCTACCCGTTGACACTCTATAACCTTGTGACATTTTCAATATTTTTTACTTTCTTTAGTCTAGTGTCTTTTCTTTTCTCTTCTTTTTCGTTTTTTTTTATTCTTTGATCGTCTGTACGAGTGAAAGTGCAATAATAGTGTTAGATATGAAAATTAATAGTCAGTAATTAATAATTAATAATTAATAATGGATATGAATATTAGATATGGATATATTCACTGTTAAATTATATATACAGTTACAGATATAAAATAAACAATAGTGATTCACAGGATATCACAGGATATGATATCAATTAGAAAACGATAAAGGAGAAATGAACGAGAAGCGAGTTAGAAATAGAGAAATAAAGAAAGAAAAAAAGCGATAATAAGTGACGATGGATAGAACATGCGAGGAATTACTACAAGAAACAGAAAATAAGAATGTACTCAAGATTAAGAATAAGATTAGGATTGAGGCAAGAAATAAAGCGAAATTGGTAAACATTCACGTCACAATGAGGGGGAGAAAGAAGATGTCTGGAATCAAATCTCTCCAAAAACTTAAAATAAAGGAAAAAAAAAAAAAGAAAAAGAAAAAGATTCCTACAAATGCAAAACCAGTGTCATTTATTTGTTTATTTTTTTTATAATCCATGGAAATTGGAATTTCCAAACACACAAACTGCCGTTCTCGAAGAAACAAATCGCTTCGATTTTTCTTTCTTTTTATTTGTTTTTTTTTTTTTTCTAACTTAAATGAAAAGAAAGAAGGAGGGGGAAACACGGTGTGATGTATGGATGTACATAGAATCCCACGTTTTTATTCGTCTTTGTCGAATTGTAGAAAGACAATTTCAATTGAAGAGAGGAAATGGAAAAAAAAAAAGAACCAAAAAAAAAAAACAAACTTTTTTTTTAAAAATCCTCTTCATCTCTTGAAATTTTGTTGGGGCGATATCGGAAATAAAATACAAACACAAATAGTTTCTGCTTTCCTCCTCTTCCACAAACGCACCCACACACACACACACAAAAAAAAATACTTTATACAAATATATCTTGTACCAAAAATAAGAAAAAAGTATTTCTACAGAAAAGCTTTTAAAAACTCATCAAAAACCCTACTGTAAATTATCTTCTGCTTTAACTTTCTTTGTTTTTTTTTACTATACCCTAAAAAGATTAGTTGCAATTGAAAAAAAAGAGAAACGATGTAACAATATTAATAATTGATACATGAACAACAACCGCATGTTCAATGATAGATTGACCACCAACTTTCTTTTACACTCAATAGTTTTTACTATAATATTTTTTTTTTGTTTTTCTTTTTTTCTTCGTTCCTAATTCATAGCCAGGTCTTGGCACTATTCATTTCATCAAAGCTACATACAAAATTCATGTAAATAGACAGTCACAAAGACGTTTTTTTACATGAACCCTAACTCCAAATAACTACGGACATTCAAGCAAAAACAAAATTTTGTTTTTTAACCCGAACCTCTTCCTATCGGATTTATACATAGACACACACACATATATATATATATATATATATATAAATTTGTATGTATGTATCTATATTTTTATTTTTTTAAGAAACCGCTACTTTTCCGGTTGTACTCACCCGCCCCTTTTTTTATTTTTTTATTTTTTTATGTTTTTACGTTTTTGGTTTTTCTTAACTCCACGCCATTTATTAGCCCTTTTAGGATTTGTTAATCTAGCCAATCAACTATCCAATCTTTGTCTTATTTATTCTTAACTGTCCAACCATCTCTCTCAATCCTAAGATGATACCAATAAGGTGATCTTTAATTTTATATATTGAAAAAGTTACTAATTATGTATACCTCTATATAAACCTTGCATAAATAATACCACACTTGTGTTATTTGAAAGTACACATGTACCTTGCATAAAAGATTAAACCTCTATCCGATTACACATCACATACTGTGGAAACTACTTTCTCGTTCCAATAAACCTCTTTTCTTACTACCTTGTGTTTTGTCGTTTTTTTTTTTCTCCTGTAATCTTTCAACAACTTATATATAGAGCATGCTCATTTACGTTAAACTGAACTAGGTATAACCATTTGCTATTTTTCTTTTTATTTTTTTTATTCTGTTTCTGCCTCCTGTACCTTTTGTAATTTTATATGTCCAGTACAGTTTAATCCTTTTCTTCTCTTTTCTTTTTTTTTTTTTCTTTTTCTGTTTGGAAAATAAATAAATAAAAAAAGAAGAAGCAGAATAAAAATGACCAAGTTGAATATAGTCTCCAAATCCATTTTGGAAAATATTCGACCATTGGATGCGTTGAATTGCTCTTATTCAAAATATTCGTTATTGTTTAGAAATAAACGTTTTTATTCAATTAAAAAATCAAATTTCGTTAAAAATACAAACCATTGTTATTACAGTACAAAATATAACAATAACAATAACAATAGTAACTCAAATGCTAAATTCTGGTTTTCTACTGTTATTATTGCCGCTATTGCAGGATCAATTGGTTATTATTTAAATAACCCTTTCTCTTCATCATCATCTTCCTCCTCCTTTCCCTCATCTTTACCTGTCTCAAAACAAAGTATCGAAGTTTCAAAATCTACCCTTTCCGTAAATGATATTAAACCACTAGAATATAACACAGATAAAGAACAGATCGAAAAGTTATTAGTTGAATTAAAAAATGTCCTGAATAATGATCCAAACAACTATACAAACACAGCCAGTGAACTAAAACAACATTCTGACTCTGATTTTAATACACACCATCCAAGCGAAGATCAGCGTCCATTGATCGTACTTTTCCCGCATTCCACAGAACAAGTCTCTAAGTTGTTGAAATTATGTCATGACGCTAATGTTCCTGTCGTTCCCTTTTCTGGTGGGTCGTCCTTGGAAGGCCATTTCTTACCGACTAGACATCCAACTATCTGTATCGATATATCTAAGTATATGGACAATATTATCAAATTTAATAAAACTGATCTAGATGTTACTGTACAAGGTGGTGTCCCATGGGAAGATTTAAACGAATTTTTGGATGATCAAGGTCTGTTATTTGGCTGTGACCCAGGTCCAGGGGCATTGCTTGCAGGTTGTGTAGCAAATTCTTGTTCAGGTACAAACGCTTACAGATATGGTACAATGAAAGAAAACATCTTGAGTTTGACCGTAGTCTTACCAGACGGTACCATTGTCAAGACAAAGAAAAGACCAAAGAAATCTAGTGCAGGTTACAATTTGAATGGGTTATTCTGTGGCAGTGAGGGAACCTTAGGGATCATCACTGAGGTTGTTGTCAAATGTCATGTAAAATCACAATTCGAAAATGTCGTTGTGGTATCGTTCCCAAGTGTCGCCGATGCTGCAGCCTGTGCAAGTAATATCACACAAGAAGGTATCCCAGTGAATGCAATGGAGCTGTTAGATGACAATATGATGCATTTAATCAACACCAATGATCAAACAGAAAAGAACGACTGGATAGAAAAACCAACTTTATTCTTTAAGATTGGTGGTAAAACTCCAGTAATAATCAAAGAATTGCTTCAAGAGATGGAAAGGGTCTCGAAGGAACACAATGCAATTAATTTTGAATACGCACCAGATGAAGATACTGTTAAAGAATTATGGGAAGCAAGAAAAGTGGCTCTTTGGTCCGTCTTAGATAGTGCTAAAAGATTATCTAAGGATGCTAAGATATGGACCACAGATGTTGCAGTACCAATCTCGAAATTTTCAGAAGTTATCAATAAGACAAAACATGAAATGGACCAGTCTGGATTGATTAATGCAATTGTAGGTCACGCAGGAGATGGTAATTTCCATGCATTTATTGTTTATACAAATAAAGAGGAATTAATGGCATGTGATAAACTGGTAAAAAATATGGTTAAAAGAGCATTAGAAGCTGAAGGCACTTGTACAGGTGAACATGGTGTTGGTATTGGAAAAAGACAATTCCTTCTACAAGAGTTGGGTGATAAACCAGTTGATTTAATGAGAAAAATTAAATTAGCCATTGATCCAAATAGGATCATGAATCCAGATAAAATTTTTACAATTGATCCAAACGAACCAGAATATCTCGAAAATGAATTCTGAGTTATACATATGTACAAAACACAATTTCTCTCTCTCTCTCTCTCTCTCTATATATATATATATATATATATATATATATATATATATATATATATATTAATGTATTATGTTTAAGAAGAGTAAATTGTGGTTGTAAATATAGGCGCATACCATATTTATCTCTTTCTCTATGTTATATCATCTTTTCTTACCTTATCTTGTCTTATCTTATCTTATCACTAGTTTGTTTACAAAACAACTGACAATTCATTACATTTAAAAGCATTGCATTCTTTTACTCTCATTACCTTTATCAATCCCCTTCTTACTAATACATATGTGTCAGCAAACGCATTCTACTGAAAAATGAAAAAGAAAAAACAGAAAAATTCGAGAACGTAATTACTTGATTTGGTATTTGCGGAGGTACAAACGTATATATAATTGTACACGAAATAGAAAATTTTTCATTTTTTTTTTTTTTATTTACTTTTTTACCGTTTCTATCTCAAACTTTTATCGAAGAAGGCTGTCTAATCTAATCTAGCCTAATCTTCGTTTGACAAAAAAGTTTAATGTTTTAGATGAGTCATACAGAAATAACTTCTACTTATTCCTTCCTGTTAATATGCTAGTCTGTTTGCTTGTTCTCTTTTGACATATTGACTTCCCATCAATACTTCTAATCTAAGGTAGTTGAATGCTATTAAGTAATATTTGTTTACATAAACAAAGAAACAAATAGATATCTCACAAAAATAAGTTTCTTTAAGATTAGAAACAAAACCTTGATTATTTGTACTTATTGCATCTCTACTGATTGACAATACCAGCTTAGAGTAAAAACAATTGGTAGATAATTGTTTGTCAAATTAAAAAGTACTATCAGACTAGTAGATATATGGAAGTATAAAAGAAAATTCTAAAGCGACTATATTTGTTCATATTTTTACTTAAATTAAGTGTCAATTAGCTAGTTAAAAAAAAAAAAAAAAAGAGATAGAAGCTAAAAGTAAGTTAACTACTTTATTTTATATAATATTTTTAAGATGACAGCGACAACTTTATTAAGAAGAAGTCCATTCAAAATGGTATTTACTCGCACTACACAATTAAGAAATCAGTATCAAAACCAACATTATCAATTAACTTTACGTGCTAGGTTTCACCAACAATTATCCCCATCTCTGGTGAAATTACATTCAGAACTTAAATTAGATGAATTACAGACAGACAATACCCCGGATTATGTTCGTTTAATATTAAGATCAAACGTCTACGATGTTATAGAAGAATCTCCTATAAGTCAAGGTGTAGGGTTATCATCCCGTTTAAACACCAATATTCAATTGAAAAGAGAAGATCTTTTACCTGTTTTTTCCTTTAAGCTTCGTGGTGCATACAATATGATTGCTAAATTGGATGATACTCAAAAAAATCAAGGTGTTATTGCTTGTTCTGCAGGAAACCATGCCCAAGGTGTAGCATTTGCTGCTAAACATTTAAATATCCCTGCCACAATTGTTATGCCAGTGTCTACACCATCCATTAAATATCAGAATGTTTCTAGATTAGGTTCCCAAGTGGTTCTTTACGGTAATGATTTCGATGAAGCTAAGGCTGAATGTGCGAAATTGGCCAAGGAACGTGGTTTAACTAATATTCCACCATTTGATCATCCTTATGTTATTGCTGGCCAGGGTACTGTTGCAATGGAAATATTAAGGCAAGTACGTAATGCTAGCAAGATCGGGGCTGTCTTTGTTCCAGTTGGTGGTGGTGGTTTGATCGCTGGTATTGGTGCTTATTTAAAGAGAATTGCTCCTCATATTAAAATTATTGGTGTAGAAACATTTGATGCAGCCACCTTACATACATCGTTGCAAAATGGCAAAAGAACTAATCTTCCAGGTGTAGGAACATTCGCTGATGGTACTTCTGTTCGTTTGATTGGAGAAGAAACCTTTAGAGTATCCCAGGAGGTCGTTGATGAAGTAGTTCTTGTTAATACTGATGAAATTTGTGCTGCCATAAAGGATATCTTTGAAGATACTAGAAGTATAGTGGAACCATCTGGGGCATTAAGCGTTGCTGGTATGAAAAAATATATTACTTATTTACATCCAGAGATTGACCACTCGAAATACACCTATGTACCAATTTTGTCTGGTGCAAATATGAATTTTGATAGATTAAGATTTGTATCTGAACGTGCCGTACTTGGTGAAGGTAAAGAAGTCTTTTTATTGGTGACCTTACCAGACATTCCAGGTGCATTTAAGAGGTTACAACAGGTGATTCATCCAAGAGCAGTCACTGAATTCTCCTACCGTTACAATGAACACCGTCATGAATCCAGTTCAGAAGTTCCAAAGGCTTATATTTACACTTCTTTCAGTGTTGTAGATCGTGAAAAGGAAATCAAGCAAGTTATGCAACAAATACGTACATTAGGTTTTGATGCAGTGGACATCTCTGATAATGAATTAGCCAAATCTCATGGTAGATATTTGGTTGGTGGTGCTTCTAAAATTCCAAATGAAAAAATCATATCATTTGAATTCCCAGAAAGGCCTGGTGCATTAACCAAGTTCTTGGCTGGTTTAAGCGAATCTTGGAACTTGACTCTTTTCCATTACAGAAACAATGGTTCTGACATTGGTAAAGTGCTAGCCGGTATCTCTGTCCCACCAAGAGAAAACTTAACTTTCCAAAAATTCTTAGAAGATTTAGGATATAAATATCATGATGAAACTGATAATATGGTATATCAAAAATTATTAAAATATTGATTTACTTATGCCTGTTATTTAATATAATATACTATTATAGATTCACTTATTCATTTTCATATTTTAAGTAGCCATTTGGATTTATATATATAATTATTCTTTAATTCATTTAATGGCATGTATTTTAGGTTTATATAAAAAAATGATTAAGAGACTCTCTGTAATTATGTAACCATTGGTACTGGGACTGATCGTAATCATGAAGAATTAAATCACACAAGTTAAATTTCATGTGGTTTTATCATTAATTCAAATATATAATAGTGGATATCATTGTATATAATAATATATGTGTTAAGCACACATACTTATATATAGTATGACGATATTGTTTTAGTACTAATGACATGTATATATATACGAAAAAACGTAGATCCAACATCAACGTAGATTATTCTTTTCAAATAATTTTATAAAACTATGATAAATATAGTTATTATGTGGCAATCAATAAAAGAAAAAGAAAATGATATAACATTTTTTGAGTACTTCATCTATCTGTTTATGTTTAAATAGAATGATATTAAAATAAAATAAAGAAATAATAAGTAAATAGTAAAAAAAAAACCAGAAAAAGGATTTCGAAAATAAAATAAAAAAATAAGATACCAAAACCAAATTCAGATTTTGAATATTTATACGTTAACCTAATCACTTTTTATTATTATTGCTATTATTGGCGTTCCCTTCTCTCATATCTTTTATTTATTTGTCTTAGAAAATTCTACCAGTAACCTTGGAAATAACATGTAAGACAACAACAGAAAAAATAAAACCAACAGCTAAAAATAAAACAACCAATGGGTCAACTCTTAAACCGTTTGCTTCATCAGTAAAGATCTTTAGGATGGAGTTAGAAGAGCCACCAAAGCCAGCACTTCTTGTGGAAGTTGGGGTTTGCTTAGCCTGCTTTTCTTTAATAGATTGAGCTTGTCTTCTCTTTTGTAAAGTACGTTGACCACCTGGTGGAGTTACAGACATTGTTAAATCGTTGATACTTTTTTGCTGGTTCAGTAGTATAGTGACTGTGGATCACTATTTTCAATACTTAATTATACATTTTGATATTTTCATCATCTGATTTTCATCCGTATCTTGTATATTTTGTTATTTTTGTATAATTTTTTTTATTTTGTTATTTCCTCCACTTTTTAATCATAAGATATATATCGTTTTACACGAAATGTTTTTGGAACTTGTTACCGTACTGTTGTTCAAATGTTGACCAAGAGGGGTATATGAATTATAAATAACAGAGAGATAGAAAGCATCACTTACTAACTACTAAAAAATTTTCAATGTTTTAATATCATAAAAATAAACTGGCAACTATATGTTGAGTATTCACTATATATTTGAAATGGAAGTTTTGTTTTCTTAAATAAAAAAAATGAATTACTACGTTAGAAAAGAGAAAATGCTTTCAATATCTTTGTAATATGGTGTTAATACTTGGTAAAGTAGTCTGTGACTGCTGTTGTTGTCTCTCCTGTAATATATGTTGTTGATAGCAGAGGAAATTTTGATATACTAGAGCAGAATGTTCTTGACCTGTAGACTTTAAAAATGTACGGTAATCTGATATTACAATATTGGAATGTGTGACACTTGAAGAGGAAGATGCCGAGTCATCCAAAGAGATTTGAGAAAATGTAGATGGAGATACCTCTTTTGAGGAATATGTATGAGATTGTGCAGTTTCTGATCTCAGACTATCTAATTCTAAATGATCCTTAAATTCTTGGGCATTTATTGTTGGATCTGTTTGATTCAAAATATAGGAACGGTTTGGCGAATGTATTGGAGACGCAAAATCTGGCAATTCAGGTTGTGGAGTTGGTAATTTAGATGAATCTGAAGACGAAGCAGAAGTAGTTATGGCGGTATTTGTTTCTGAACTTTCATCATTGTTATTGTTATTCAGCCTTTCAGTCAATGAATGTAACCTTGCATCTATATCTGACTCACTTCTATTGGGTAACAAGATAGATAGCTCAGATATTGACAATTTTCTAGATTGGTTTTCTAACAACAATTGATCTTCTTGCATAGACCATGGAATAAAATGCTTTTTTCTTACTACCTTTTCTGAATTTACAGGAATGTCTGTAAAACTATAGTTATGATTAAAAAGATAATTTGTAGTCATAGGTGCCTCCCAATTCTTTGTTATATTCAAAGAAGTATTGTTATTGTTATTAGGTGATATAGCTTTTTGACTTCTGGAGATGACAGATTCTCTTCTATGTTTTGCAGTGGGTAATTGATAGTTATTAAAATTGATAGATAATGAATTTGGTGCAATAACCATCGATGATCTTCTTGAAGACAAGGCGCTTGTTGGTGTAACTAATGAATGTCTTCTGACAAATGAATTCTTTCTTGATTTAGATGTAGTCAAAGTTGTATTTAAAGCAGTATTGACTGAGGGGAAAGAACCTAATAAAGAGGAAGAGGAAGAAGATGTTGGAGATGAAGGTATTATGATGGACGAACCACGTCTTGATTTTACGAAAACTTTGGGAATAAAGCCGAATCTTTCTGTATCATCTGAGTTGGCAAATTGTGGAGAGTTGATAGAAATTTTAGGATTTGCTGAATTAGAAGTGACTGAATGAGAATATGATCTTGGTTTAATAAACTTCTTAACCGTTCCATCACAAGAATTACTACTAGTACTATTACTACTATTATTATTATTACTACCATCGGTAGATGTGATATTTTTTGTATTGTTGGAGGTCGTAACAGGTTGTTCTGAAGAAATAGGTAATGGTGGAGAAGCAAATTTATTCAGTAAAGTGTTGTTTTGAGTCATTGTTTGAATTGTATTGTTATCAGCTTTATTATTATCACTATTCAAATCACCAATCATCTTCCTATTATCAATAGATGACGTGGTAATTGATTCATGTTGATCATTAGTATTAATAAGTTTACTAATAGAAATATTACTCTTGTTAAGACTTGAACCAGAAGTAGAGTTGGTAGTGAGAGATGGGGATCTCGAGGAAGAAATGTTATCACTAAATAATTTTAATGAAGCTAGTTTTGTCATTTTAGAATCAGATGAAGAAGAAACAACCTGTGGGGCAGATATTGAATTATATGGCTTAGGTAAAGTAATTGTATTACTTGAGTCATCTTTACTTATATTATAATTAGTCGTATTCTTATCCTTCCCTTTGTTTTTAAACTTATCATCATCATTGTTGTTATCTTTCGCTTTATTCCTTTGTTTCTTTTCATTAAATGCAGGATATGGATTTAAAATTTTGATCTCTCCTGGAAATATGGTAACATCCATTAAGGCAGTTTTATTTGATTTTAAATTCCCAGATTTTAGTCTTCTCCATCTAAATTGACAAGCATTGGGGGTTCTGTTTTCAAAATATTGTGAAATTTCTTTCCAACCCATCTTTTTAATTTCTTTTAAATGACGCAACAGTAAGTCATCAATGGGTTCCCATGATGAAGGATGTTTGTTATGAGTGTTATTACTTATCAAGTCTTTGGAACTTAATTTATGTGTATGTTTTATGATTGGGTGATCGATATCTGTGTCATTTTCAATAATGTTTGGAATATTAATTTTATTGATATTTTTATTGTTATTATTACTTGTTACTGCAGCGGTAGACATATTATATCAATATTATTTATGTATTTGTTTAGGCTTTTTTTTGTTTTTCTTTTTAAGATATTTATACCGGTTAAAAACTTGATACTTCTGCCCTATAAGTACATGCAAAAATAAAAACAATGACAATATTGGTTATTTGCTTATTTTTCTTTATTTTTTTCTTTTGTGGTTTTTATCCAAGTGATATAGTCGATTTGGATTACTTCCTCGAGGATGATAGATGATCGGTAAACAAGATACAAGATATTATATATAGAAGCAAGAAAATGGTTGCAACAAGACGTAATATTTTGTAACCATTAGAAGATAGAAAAGTGGGACACGTTTCAATGAACAGAAGGAGATTCAGTTAATGGAGTAGAATAGGTAAGATAAAAGATAAAAGAAGATTGTATAACATGTAGAAAGAGGGAGAAGAGAAAGAAGGAGAAAAAGAAGCATATGAAGACGGTGATGACGATAATGATTATAATAACGTTGTTGTTGTTGTCGACGAAGACACCATTGTGGTTGTCATGTCAAAATCATCAAACAATAAGCTTATGACAGCAGCAGACAAAGAAGAAGAAGAGAAAAAAAATAATAATACAGAGGTATGCTACTTTATTCTAATAATAGATGGATAATAGTGAAAGAAAACAGACAAAGAGGGACAAAACTGAAGTTGCAATAGGCATCGACAATTAAGAATACAGCGTCATAATGCGATGAGATCCGCTTCGATGAGATGAGATTAAACAGTATTTGTGTTTTTCTTTTGTATTTTTCTTTTGTTTTTCTTTATTTTCTCTTTTTTTTATTTTCTTGGTTTTGTTTGTTTTGTGTGTGGAGACCAGGAGAAGTGACAGTTGTCGAATACACCGCACACCCATGCACCACACCTCTGTTTTCTCTTATGTCCTTTCTTCTTCCCCCCTTTAATTTGTTTTTTGTGTGTGTGTATCTTCCCCTCATTTAAAAAGAAAAAAAATCATCGCGGAAAGCCTCGCTCAAGTGGAGCTCCGTGTTCCGGAAGAGGAAATTAGTGAGGCGGAGGCACAACAAAGAAACGACAATAGAGAAATTGACGTAAACGGGAATTACATCGAGACTTTAATGGAGTTAGTAAATAAAACAAAATAAAAAAAAAAGAAAACAAAAGAAAAAAAACAGCTCAAAAAAAATTTCCTGTTTGGGATGGATCGTGCAATCAAGGCATTTTTCTATTACTTTTTACAACATATATAGTGAAACTTCAAACACATTACATTAGAGTAGTTAGGGCTATAAACTATTTTCTTTCATTTTTTTTTTGTTTGTGAATAAACCTATTCTTTTGAGCTACCAAAAACAATTATTTACTTTGTGATTGATTGAAAAATAAAAAGAAAAAAAAGGAAAAAAAAACTAAAAATCCTAAAGAGAACTGCCTCATTTTGGATGAAAGTAAAGCATGTTTGCAGGATGGTGTATTTCCGTATCCTTTTCAAATAGAATAGCTCTTAGAGGTATCTTTTCGATCTTTTTGAACTCCAGATACTAACCGTCAATGAATACTACTGAAACAAAAAAAAAAAAGAAAAAAGGCTCAAAATGCATTTTCTTTACTACATTATAAGCCGAAAACTATCTTTCTATCTTTTTCTTTTTTTTTTGTTGTTGTTGTTATTGCTGTATGTTTGTTCTTTCTTTTCACTTACACGCTCAACATTTAATATACTATTAGGTTTCAAGAGAAAAAAAATACATGAGAAAATTGAGAGTTTGTAAGCAGGTCTTGATATTCTTTATTTCATTAAAGTTATACATAAATTTCTTGTAATTCGATGGCTATGAAAAAGTCTTCTCCAGAACTCTAATTTCAAATAATTTCAAACATTTGAGAAAACAAATAATATTGTTTTTTTAACCTAAACTTCTTTTTAATTTGTAATTTTTTCAGAAAACTCACATTTTTTCTAATCTTATTTAAAGGGATTCAGTCTTAGGTAACTATATTTCCTTCTTTCAAACACATTCTAGATTTTTTTTTATATGTTATTACCAGATAGAGTTAGACGCAACACCAGTTAATCAAAACAAATATACTAATATATGAACACATCTACAACTGTATGAAAACTTTAAGAGACAGAAGTCAGTATTACTGTTTTAGTAATTGTAGTAATCATAAGTAGAGGAAACTTTGATAAGAGATGTTACATATTTTCATCATTATTCCCATTAAATACTGCCTTAGATAGATAGATATTTAATAAAGAGCATTTATTATTTTATAACGCTCTATTTAAGTTTTTAGATTCGTCTTAGTAAATTGATTCTCTAAAGATAGTCACCATTTACTTTTTTTGTTTCATAAAACAAAGTAATCAACTAATAACTAAAAAGAAAAGAATACAATAAGAAATTTCTTTTATTTTAGCGTATTCCTTCCTTTTTTGATACATCTTTTCTGTGTTTTGTTTCTATTTAAGTTATTCCAATAATATATTTGACTTTTCCTTTTGTTTTCATTATTACAACAATAACAGTGGTTAATTTTATTGTGAATCTTTTCCATTTTCGGTAATTATATTTTAGATCAATTCTTTAACTAACTGCAATTTATTCTTTGCAAAAATAAATCATTCAAAAATAGTAAAACAAAATATTTACATTTTATATTCGGAAATCTCTATTCTACATTCTGATTCCTTATTAGCCTAGAAAACTTGATTCAGGCAATAAACATAAACATCATCTAGATCAAGGATAATCTTTCTGTATACCATTGCATATTTAAAAAGTTCTTAATTAAGTAAATATACATGTGCTAAATTTTCTTCAATAAAGTTACAACTACTAGTATATGTATTACAAAAACACATTCCTCATTTAATATAAAAAAAAGTTTTTTTAGTTAACGTAGTAGTTAATAATACTAATAAAATAAAATTATAGCTAGCTATCAAGCAACTAAGAATTTATTTGAATTTTCATTATTTTGCAGATAGAAGGAATATCTTAGAAAATATTATTTATTATAAATATATATAATCTCTATTAATCATATTCTTTATTATCCTCTTATCTATTGGAAATCTTTTTCTAAACTGTGCGTAATCTATAAAAATATGAGAAAACAAAAAATATTTTAATCTAAAAAATTCAAAAAAAAAAGTAGAGGTAAAACATCAATTAAATACCCACTACTTGAAAAAAAATATCTTCAAAGTATTTTGCCTATACTGTAAAACACATTTGTATTTCCATAACATTTTTTAAAACAGGAAATTTTTATTTCCAATTTTTCTTTTCTATTTTTGTTGAAAAGTTGCCCAAATTTCAATCTTTATTACTCAACTATTTAGACAAATTATTCAATGCTCTCTACACATTCATTTTATCTTTTTAAAATAACTTATATATACAAATAAAAAAATACATTGGTTTACACTACTAGAAAGATCTATAGATCTATTTGTATTTTTATTCATTGTACTACAATGTAGTTAAAATTAAGTGCATGGAGATATTACTACAATTTTCATTATTATTAATAGAATTGATAAAGATAAATAATAAAGGAATAGAAATAAAATAACGTAAAATATGAAGTTTCTTAGTAATAAAGATAATTTAACACTACAAAGCTGATTAGAAATGATATATACAGTGAAAATATCAGTTACATTTAATTCATTAATTTAAACACACCCCTCTTTCCCTGTTTCTCTCTCTTTTTTCTATATTTTTAAATGCTTTTTTTGTTTATTTACCTTTCAGTTTTGGCTTTTTGAAGATTTATTCTCTTTTGAATCATCAGTACCCTTATCCTTACTATTTTTATCACTCAAACTAACATTTCCATCCTTACCGATATTTTCTTCTTCTTCTTCTTCTCCCTCTTTTCCCTCAACGTCATTAACTATTGAAATCTGGCCTTCTGATGCCACCTTTTTAAATGTAGCTAACATATCGACCAAATTGCCTGTAATATATGTATTACTATCTGAACCTGTAGTCAAATGTATTCCATTACCTAACAATGCTTCAATTGGGAATGCGCCAAGTTCATTTCCTTTCTTTGTTCTCTTATTACCATCTTCACTATCATCGGCATCTGTATCATCAATCTCCATGGAATTTTCATCGTCGTCTGCACTAGAATCATGATTAAATCTTTCCTGTGGTTTCTTTGTAGTGATATCAAATATAGATTTATCGTCTTTAAATTCATAATAATTATATATAACTTTTCTTTTCAACTCAAATGATATTGGACGATCATAATTTTTAGCTCTTATTCTCTCAAACCATTGTTCTACAGATTCCCCATCCTTCAATAAAGCAACAATAGTGATACTCATGTTGTCACAACCGATTCCTGTACCTTCTGTAGTTGGAGAACAACATACATCAATGATACGAGATGCGATATCATTTAAAGACATATCACCTTTCTTGATACCATAATGTACTAGATCGACACACTCTTGAGATGTCAAACAATCCCAAATACCATCGCATGCTAAGATAACAAATTCATCATTTTCATAATTTAGTTTGTGTTGAATAATATCCGGTACACAAGTAACGATTTGTTCGTATGGACTCAAATTATCATTGGATTTGAATTCAAAATCACCGATAGCTCTAGACAAAGCCAAGTTACCATTAACCCGGTCCATTTCCACGAATCCATCAGCAGCCACAATACGGGACTTTTCAGAAGTCAAAGTTGGTTTGTGATCGAAGGATAAAGCTTTAGCCAGACCACCAGTGGAAAGAACAGTTCTACTATCCCCTGAGTTACCACAAATTAATAGGTTTTGTAATTTGGATATTAAAATGGTAGTTGCAGTACAGCCACTGTGATCATTTTTCAAGATTGGGTCCTTTAGCAATTCCTTATCAACAGATAGAAAAGTGTCGATTAAGGCTTTAGATAAATCACCATTTTGGAAAGATTTTTGTTTTTGTAAGATTGAGGTCATCTTTTCGCCAGCAAATTGAGCAACACCTGATCCACCGTGTCCATCAAAAATTGTATAGAATGCAATATAATCCTTATCATTTTCGGGCAAAACATTTGGCTCTACTATATGTGCATCCTCCATCGACATTCTCCATCCTTGCATGGCACAAAGACCAAAAGCCGTAAACAAGTCTTCGCCTGAATGATGTTCCTTATCTATTACTGGATTAGATAGAATCTGTCCCATATTTACTTACTTATTTTTTTTCTTCTTCCTTTCTTTCCTTTAATCAAATGAGTCGACTTCTGATTATTTATATTTAGACAAAAATAATTTAATAATACAACTCAATTAAAATAAAAAAGCTCCTCTATTCTAATGATCTTTACTTTATTTTCTTTTTTTTTTGGCAAGGTATATAACAAAAAAATTCCAATTAAAGAAGAAGACAACAAAAAAGATCCCAATTAATAATCAATTGATTAGTATCCTTTATCCTGTATTGAGTTTATGCCTATTGAAAGTTCAATTGAATATGAGCCAAAATTGAAACAAAAAGAAAAAAAGACAAAGGGAAAACAAAACAAAAAACTAAAGGAGAAGCAATAAGTTATACAGATCTTACAAATACGAGGTATCTATGATATACAAGACGACAAGAAAAGACGTGGAGGAATGAGCAACTTGGTAATAGGCGATAAATCAATATTGGTATATAACTAACTTCTCGAATGATGTGTTATAAGTTGTTCTTATTTCTTTTTTTTTTGTCTTCAGGTTTTTCTCAAAGAATTTTTTATAAAAAGGAAAAAGAGAGAAAAAGAAAAAAATGAAAGAACACCTAAACTCCTTTTTATTTTTTATTCTGTTTTTTTTATTTTTTATTTTTTTAATGGCGGACGCATTCTTTTTTCTCCGTTTGTTTGTCTCCCTCCTCTGTGTCTCGTGCCCACCAGCCCTAATTTCTCTGTTTCCAAGCCCTAGTTTTTGTCAACGGTACAACCCAGACACCCACAACGAAAAATAGGAGCGGCAATTCGCGGGACAAAAAATGCAAGACATCGGTAAATTTGGTGTGAATCATCTTCGACGAAGGCGCAAAATGCACCGTTCGTTTATCGCTACATTCAATCGTTTGGGTGTACGGTTGTTGTTATCGCTGACTCATCATCGCTCAAAGTTGAGTTCGAAAAAAAAAGTGGTAAAAATAAAAAAAGGCGAGTCTTCAATCAATTTCTCTATCTCTGATCCTTCTATCTCTTTTTTTTTTTCATTTTTTTGATTTATTTATTTATATATTTATTTATTTTTGTTTTTTCGAAAAACTTAATTATTGAAAAATCTGGAAAATATAGGCAAGGTAGGTACTTACAATGAAATAGTCATAGATCAGAGTGAACATACGATTCTTAATTGTAATAATCAGGGTAGAAAAACTTTCCTTGTTAAAGACTATTGTAGTTCTTAAAATATTCTTATTTCTTATTTCTTATTTCTTTTTCTTTTTCTTTCTCTTACTCTTTCTCCTTTTTGCTTTTTCCTTCAGTTGTGCTAATCGGCCATATTCATTCCAACTTCATCATACACTTAATTTGTTCTGTTATTGTCCTTTTCTACTATACATTAAAAAAAGAAATACCTAAAAGAAAAACAAGCAAGCATAAGTATCCAATTTTATTTGATTAATTTACTTATCCACTTACTTATTTTTTTTCCACCTATTGAAACCGACACTACTATAAAACAAAATTTCTTCATATCGACAGTACCACATAACTGATAAGTTTAACAACATAATAACAACATAATAATACACAACATAATGAGTTCATCTATAAAGATCCAACCAGACTTAAATACTCTTAACCAATTAATCAAAGAAAATGATAATTCTTCTATCAATATGTACCCAGTATACACTTTCTTACCAGCACTAGATTTAACTCCACATGTAGCATATTTAAAATTGGCTGACCTTAATAATCCTGCTAGACATGAATCCTTTCTTTTAGAGAGTGCTAACACTAACATGGAATTGGACCGTTTCTCCTTTATAGGTATCAAACCAAGAAAAATCATTAAGACTGGCCCAACTGAAGGTATAGAAACAGACCCATTGAATATTCTAGAAGATGAGATGAATAAATGCAAATTGGCATCCAACATTCCTGGTTTACCTAAATTGAGTGGTGGTGCCATTGGCTACATCTCTTACGATTGTGTACGTTATTTCGAACCAAAGACCGAAAGACCATTGAAGGATACGTTGAAAGTCCCTGAAGCCTATTTGATGTTATGTGACACCATAATCGCTTATGACCATTTTTTCCAAAGATTCCAAATCATCCACAACATTAACCTTAAAGAAACCTCTTTGAAAGAAGGGTATGCCGTGGCCACCGAAATCATCTCCAACATTGTCAATACTTTAAACGATAACTCTAAACCTATCCCATATCCTGAGCAACCCCCAATTGCCTTGAACCAAACTTTTACATCCAACATCGGTGAAGAAGGCTACCAAAAACATGTACGTGCGTTGAAAGACCATATCAAGAAAGGTGATGTTATTCAGGGGGTCCCATCCCAAAGAGTCGCTAGACCAACTTCTTTACATCCTTTCAACATTTATCGTCATCTACGTACCGTTAATCCATCTCCATATCTTTTCTATATCGATTGTCTCGATTTCCAAATTATTGGTGCATCTCCAGAATTATTGGTCAAATCCAATAATAAAAATGTGGTCGTTACGCACCCAATCGCTGGTACTATTAAACGTGGTAAAACACCTGAGGAAGACGATGAATTGGCTAACATCTTATCCAACTCATTGAAGGACCGTGCTGAACACGTCATGCTTGTTGATTTAGCACGTAATGACATAAATAGAGTCTGTGACCCAATGACTACGAAAGTAGATAAATTGTTGACTGTTCAAAGATTCTCTCATGTTCAACATTTGGTCTCTGAAGTTAGTGGTACTTTGAGATCAGATAAGACAAGATTTGATGCATTTAGATCTATCTTCCCTGCCGGTACTGTTTCAGGTGCTCCAAAGGTTAAGGCCATGGAAATTATTGGAGAGTTAGAAGGTGAGAGAAGGGGTGTCTATGCAGGTGCAGTAGGTAATTGGTCTTACGATGGCAAAACAATGGATACGTGTATTGCTTTAAGAACTATGGTTTATAAAAACGGTATTGCTTATTTACAAGCAGGTGGTGGTATCGTTTTTGACTCTGATGAACATGATGAATATATTGAAACCATGAATAAGATGATGGCTAATCATAACACTATTGTTCAAGCTGAAGAAATCTGGGCCGCCAAAGTTGGTAGTATTTAAAGTTATTCCAATTAAATATAATATATAAAAAATGAAAGTAAATAGAATTAATAGTTTGAAAAACTTTAAAGTAAACCTATATTCACTACTTCTATATTGACATATATATAAAACCAACTTCTCTTTTGAAAACGAATGTTGAATGCGTTAAATTTATAATATACATGATATATAATAAAAAATACTTATCTAAAAAATGCAGAATAAAATCAAAAAGTATATAAATATAATTAAAATAATAACCACCCGATGTTGAATCAGAAATAATCGATATAGATATAACACTATCAATATCAATTACCTATATTTTTATTATTATGATTGAAAGAAGAAAAAAAATAAAAATGCATATCAATCAATTTATTTTTGGTACTTGGTACGGAAGTGCTTAGCAGCAGCAACCATATTAGTCAAAGATTCTCTCGTTTCTTCCCAACCTCTTGTCTTTAAACCACAGTCTGGGTTAACCCAGAACTTTTCAGCTGGATATGTCTTTAAGATATTCTCAATCTTAGCAGTGAACTCTTCTAACGATGGAACTCTTGGAGAGTGGATATCGAATAAACCGAAACCTAAATGGTTTGGATAATCACGGAATTCAGCAATATAGTTAGCGTCATCCTTCTTGGAGAATTCAATAGAGACAACATCAGCATCTAAAGCCTTAATATGCTTTGGATCCAAGTCAGAATAACAGAAGTGAGAGTGAATTTGAGTGTCATTGGCCACACCAGAGGTAGCAATTCTGAAGGCTTCAGCGGCCCAGACAGTATAAGCAGCCCTTTCAGTGCCTTCTCTTAATGGCAAACCTTCTCTTAAGGCTGGTTCATCGACTTGGATAATCTTAATACCTGCGACTTCCAAGTCGTTGACTTCATCTCTCAAAGCCAAAGCTAATTGGAAGGCTTGAGTCTTTTGATCAATATCATCTCTTGGGAAAGACCATCTCAAACAAGTAATTGGACCAGTTAACATACCCTTGACAGCCTTCTTAGTAATGGATTGGGCATAGACAGATTCCTTAACGGACATAGCCTTTGGTCTAGATAAGTCACCGACAATAATTGGTGGTCTAACATATCTGGAACCGTAAGATTGAACCCAACCGTTAGTAGTAAAAGCATAACCTTTAATTTGTTCACCAAAGTATTGAACCATATCGTTTCTTTCTGGCTCACCATGAACTAAGACATCTAAATCGATTTCTTCTTGGAATCTGATAACCTTTTCGATTTCGGATTCAATGAACTTTTCGTATTCTTCAGCAGTGATAGTACCCTTGGCAAACTTGTTTCTGTTAATTCTAATATCTTTGGTTTGTGGGAAAGAACCGATAGTGGTGGTTGGGAATAATGGGAAGTTAAATCTCTTTTGTTGAAGAGGTAATCTAGTGGCGAATGGAGCAGCTCTAGTAGACATCTTTTTATCGATGGAAGCAACTCTAGCTTGAACAGCTGGATCATTAATCAAAGAAGAATTGGTTCTAGCCTTAATAGCTTCTGCATTAGCAGCCAAAGCAGCAGAAACATCCTCACCGGAGACATTCTTAGCAATAGTAACGACTTCAGTCAACTTTTGAGTGGCAAAAGAGAAGTAGTTCTTTAATTCAGCATCTAAGTTCTTTTCATTTTCTAAGTCAACTGGTGTGTGTAATAAAGAGGAAGAAGTAGCGACAACAACTCTGTCTTGACCTAACTTTGCGATAGCTTTGTTGACAAATTCAGAAGACTTAGCAAAATTATTCTTCCAAATATTTCTACCATCGACAATACCAACAGATAAAGTTTGGTTGTCACCAATAATAGAAGCAGCTTGTTCAAATTGTTCTGGAGCTCTAACAAAATCGAAGTGGTAACCGCCAACTGGTAAGCCCTTGATAGCTTCCAAGTTTGGAACGACAGTACCAAAGTAAGAAGTTAAAATGATATTTGGTAAACCCGCTTCTTGACCCAGCTTGGTGTAAGCAGTCTTGAAAGCATCTTGAACATTTTGTGGTAAATCTAAGACTAAGACAGGTTCATCAATTTGAACGTCAACAGCACCAGCAGCAGCCAATTTTTTTAAGATTTCAACATAAAGTGGTAATAACTTGTCCAGTAAGGATAATGGATCTAAATCCAAAGAATCCTTGTCAGCCTTACCTAGGTGTAAGAAAGATACTGGACCGACTAAAACAGGTCTAGTTTGAATACCTAATTCTTTAGCTTCTAAGAACTCATCGACTGGCTTTTGACCATTCAATTTGAAAGTAGTAGAATGGGAGAAAGTTGGTCTCACATAGTGGTAGTTAGAATCAAACCACTTAACCATTTCTAAGGCGGTAACATCAACGGCCTTTTCAGTTTCAGTAGCCCTTCTTTGCAAACCTCTACCCATAGCGAAAAGTGTATCAATTAATGGTAAGTCATATTTGGCATAACGTTCTGGGATAACATTGAACAAGACTTCCAAGTCAAGGATCTGATCATAAAAGGAGAAATCGTTGGATGCAATAATATCCACACCAGCATCCCTTTGTAACTTCCAATTGGCAGCTCTAATTTCTTTACCCACTTTGAATAATTCATCTACAGAAATCTTACCATTCCAGTAGGCCTCTGTAGCTTTTTTTAACTCTCTATTAGGACCAATTCTTGGAAAACCTAAAACTGCGGATTTAACCATTTTCTGTATATCTAGATATATGTGTAGGGGGTTGTTGCGTTGACCAAAGTCACTGTAGTTGTGTTATTCATTATTCAGAAAGAAAAGTAATAAGGACTGTAAAAATGTTAGTACTATAAAGGGGAAAAAACAAGTGTAGAAAATACATGATTTAATCTAGTTAAGATTTATTTATATACAAAATTTTAAGGTTAAGTAAGAAAAAAAAGGAGTAAGTTAAATGTTACTATGAAAAAGATGATACTACTATTATTACTACTGCTACAAACAAATTCTTACAACAATGGCAAGAATCTGTATGTAACGATAGAATATTTTATTCACCACCACTTTTTTTCAGTTTAATTCCCTAGTATGTATATTTCTTTCAATTCCCTCTTAAACGATAAGAGTCATCGTTCAAATTGGTCAATTTTCCAAAATTCATAAGGGGAAAAGAGAATCTAGGGTTCAATGGAATACAAAAGTCTACTTACTGTTAAAGGGATAAAATAAACAACCAAGGACTATCGTTTTATTAAAGAAAACTTAGGGTTATAATGCTCTTTTTATTGCTGAAAAAGCAACCATTGGAAAATTACTAAAGTAGTTTGTGCTCTCTTTTAATAGTATAAATAGGGTTATAACAATATATTGTTTTCAATTAAGGAAAATGATTGTATTGGAGATTAGGGTTTGTAATTCTACAGGAAAATATTGAACAACAATTTTTCTCCGTTTCCGGCTATCAGTGTTTTTTTTTTGTAACACTCATTTTTAGGGAAAGAAGAAGAAAAAACGAGAAAGAAATTTGTCGGTGACTCTTTTTTTTTTTTTTTTCGAGAATACCGGTATCCCTTTTTCTTGGTTCTTCTTAATTTTGTGTTGACTCTGTCCCACAATTTTTGTGATTTTCCACATATCCCAGTTTTTCTGTTTTTGAATAAATGTGGAAATTTTTTTAAAAAAAAAAAAAAAATAAAAAATAAAAGAAAAACTGTGACTGTGGGAAGTAAAACTTTTGTACTCACTGACAATTTGTGTAGTTGTCTAATCGTGGAGAGAAAAAGGAAGAAAAACACATTTAGAAAATAAATAGTAACCCTACTTGAGTTTTAAGGGCTAAAAGAGATATTTTTGATTTTTTTAATAATACCCTAGAATAATATAATGTAAACTGTTCAGGGTTGATAAAATAATAAATTTTGGTTAGTGCAAATATTAATAGTATTTTTGATGTAGATTATAAAGACATAGATATAGATATAGAAGAAGAAAGTAGCTTTCTCCATATATACGGAAACTAAGTTAAATCGAATAAAATAAATCAATAACTATAAATTTAAACATCTTATTAAAACATAGTTCCAATAATTGGCATTATTAAATCAATAAACTTAGAATACAATAGAAAAGAAGAATAAGCAAGGTATAAAGAAACAAAATAATTTCAGATAGATTAACTATGTCTAAGAAACCACCATTAGTCAATAAATATCAAAGAGAATTGTCTAAATATGATGAAAATCAAAGGCAATTAGCTGGTCTAGAGAAACTTTCAGCAACATTTCTACGAAAAATATCTAGTACCTTACGTATATTGGAAAATTTAGAACATGATGATTTAATTAAATCGATATTCAATGAATCAGAAATAGATAGTAATAACGCTAATAATACTGCTAACAACAACAACAACACTATATACCCTCCCATGTTATCTGAGGAAGCTATTCGAATTGTTCCTGCGTTACAAAAGTATAATGACAGGATAATAGAGATTTGTAACAAATATTCAAATGATAAAAATTTTTCAAATATGGATGATATGATAGATGATGAGATCCATGAAAATAATAGTAATAATAATGAAGATAATGAGGATATAACACCATCTTTAAGGGAGAGTTATAACTTTATGAAAGAGATACCTTTATTACATAAAGATTTAGAAGGACAATCATAAAAGAATACACTTATATATATGCATGTATGAATATGTATTTATGTAGATATATAGCATATAATATAAATTAAATTAACGTTTAATTCTTTTTTTTAACAGTTCTTTGAGAATAATATTGATTATCTAATAATTCATCAAGGCAATAATTTGTGATCTTAGTGTTGCTATCACATATCAATTTATTAGTTGATAAGTTGTATTCAAAAGTCTCTTCTTTATATGCCACATCGCTTGTCCATGCTTTTTCTTTAAATGCTAAGAATTTATCCAACTTGGAAGGTAATGAAACTCCTACAGGTTTTCCCATAATACTCAGTGTACAATTCCAATCTAATTCATCCAAGATTTCATAACCTTCACATGTCTTATTAATTAACCCCAATACAAAGAATGCTGTAAACTTAATACTCGTAATGTCAGAATCATAAGCGATACGAACGATATCTGTTACAATGGAATAATTGTCCAACAACGAAATACCAAGTACAGTTGAACCAATGTAACCTAAACACCATAACATGCTCTTGATTGTGGTTGGATCGATATCTTTGTGTCTACCACCATCTAATGTATCCACATATTTTTTTATAACATTAATACATTTTAATAAGTCACCCGACTGAGTTAATAAAGATATTCCGCCTTCTGTCTTAGAAAGACTCTCATAGAAATGCAACGGCAATTTATCACCAACATTGTATCTTGTTGAATTGAATATAGAAAGTGATGACTGACCATTGGATAAAAACTGCTCCATAATAATAACATACTCTCTATTCTTAGTGAGAAGCCATGATTTTCTTTCTTTCTCCACAAAATCAATTTCGTCTAACATTTTAAAGCCCAATGGTTTACTTAATAATTCGAACAATATAGGCGATCCTATAAATACCATTTGGTTGAGGAACTTCTTGATAGATATTTTAGTATTAATAGATGCATCATCGTTTAAAATATATTCGTATAGAGCTTTGTCAGCAATAGCTACCACAGAAGAAGATAAATCGTATAGTTGTCTTGTCAATAGTTCTAATTTCAATTTTTGAAGTTTGGTAACTGTGTTTGAATCATAAAGATTATAATCATGCTTATTTAAGTTGTTCAATCTGTCACCTATAATTTTTGTTGCCTTTATTCTAAGTTTCTTGTTGGTTGCAGTTAATGCTTTCCCAAATATAACCCTACAATGCACTGAATAAACAAGATTTAGTTCTGGAAGAGTCAATAAAAGAAACTTCATTCCAATGAAAGATTCCTCTTGAAACATCTTGTATATCACAGTAAAAAAATTCCATTTTGTTAAAATCTTGATCCCACTTAACGTTTCGGTTAACACACCAACGAATTTAAAATAACCATCTACAATCTTAGTTTTTAAGGTTTCCTCACTAAAAATATTATCATTAGTATTTCCTTCCATAGCACGGTATAGTAATGACGCTAATTGTGGAACTATCTTAGTATCTTCAAGAAAGATTTTCAGCCCTTCAGGGTTTCTTGTTAACACTTTAAAAAATTTACAACCTACTTGAATGTACTTTTGTGCCAATCGTGTTCCTTTATCAATGTTAGAAAATCTTAATCTAAGAGGCCTATAAAATACTAGTAATCTCCGAATAAATTTTGTGGATCTTGCCAATTCTTCCAATTGTCTTTTATTCATCAGTGGTCCCTCAAGTAATTCTTGAATTACATCCCAATTCCAATGAGAAAAATCTTTAGTCTGAAGTACTTTGCTGTCCAAAACCATTTTTCTAAACCTTAGGTCATCTACATTTGTAACTAATGAATTAGTTTTAACGGACTTTGTATACTGTCTAATTTGCTCTTTACTGTCTATATCACCCATACCTATTGTATTTCTCCCTCTGTTTAACTTGTTAACAGTTTTGCAAAATTGAAAGATTTCTTGATTTTTAGACACATCCGTATTATGTGTTTTTTTTAAACTGGGTAAGGAGCTAACATTTAATAAGTTGGACCTCAAATTTAGATATTCACTTAGTAATAATCGTGCCTTTGTTGACATTGTAGTATGCGAATCCTCTCCTAAAGTGCAGTTGATTAAATCAATCAGATAATTTTCAAATTTGCATCTGCTCAGTACTTCCAACGTTATAGCTAACACTTGATTGCTTGGAACAGAACCTTTAAGAATTTCTGAAGTTTTAGCATTAAAAATTGCATTTTTTGCTCTTCCTTTTAAGGATAATGGTTTAATCGTTAAAATATCAAGAAAAATATCTATTAAATAATGAGCACAAAGAGGTACCTGAAAAAATATCAACAAATCCTTCAAGGGTTTAAAGTTGTTCATACAATACAACATAAATCCTGCATAATTTTTCAATGCTTTGGTTATTAATATAGTGATAGATTGTAATTTCTCGATATTTAAAGTCTTTTTTGTGTTCATATCAGAAAATACAGATGAAAGTACTGTAATATCAAAATCGTCAATATAATATATCCTTGTTGCTGGATATTCCATCAAACTTAAAATTGTGTCTAATATAACTGAAGAAAGTTCGAAAGAACTACATTCTTGTAATAGCTTACTTAGAATATGAATGCCCTGGCACTTGTTGACAATCTTAGGAGATTTAATGCAAAATTCTAATAATGTTTCCACAAAAAGAACTTTTAAAATATCGTTATTCCTTTCAATACAATTAATTAATATCTGTGTAATTTTTGTAGTTATACCATTCTCATATTCTGACATTCTTTGTATTAACTTTAGTGCTTGCTCCTTCTCTACTTGAAACTTATTGTCCTTCATAAGAGACTTTTCTAGAAAGGTCTCAATATTCATATTAAATAAGATTTTAATGAATTCAGGTCCATTAATCAAATATCGACATACTCTATATGTAGTAGCGCTTATCAAACAGTCGTCACGAAGAAAATGATTCTTAATTGTCTTCATAAATGATGTTAGTACTAGATCATTTCTGATTTCTGGGTGATCTTTCAAAATTTTGATTAGATTATTTGATTTTTCTAGAATAAATTCCTTGGAGATATCATTTTCTTGTAAACTTTCCATATAATCACTAATATACCAAGTAGCACTTTCTAAAGTTGCTGTTTCCATCTTATCTTTTACTGGATGAGTGTTGGTAATGGCTTTTATTGGGCTTTTTTTATTTTTGATTAAACTCGCTTCAGGAAGAGATTGTTTTGAGGCTTCCATTTTTGGAATAATGAATACATTTGATTCTTGATTATTTTTTGATTCTATAGATTTACAATCATCAGGATCAAATGAACTACTTCTTGAAGATATATTACGCAGAGTAGTACTACCAATATCAAAAAAATTATGTGGTCTGTTATTAGTATCAATGGCATTGGTTTCGTTTATGTTAATTGATTTTACGTATTTGTTATTAGTATTTTCCAAATGATCTTCGGAAGAAGAATCTTCATGATCACTAATTGAATTAAGTGATGAATAGTTATCTTTCACAGCCTTGTATTGAGATTTTAAGGTTTCTAATTGTCTTTCTAATTTCTTAAGGTTCATATCGATTTCTCTTATTTGGGTATTAGTACGAATTCTTTGTGAATGTTTTTGTAAATGTTCAGTGGAATAAGTTGCACTAAATATAGCCGTCTCTGAAGTGTCTCTAAATTTTTCTGTATCCTGTTTCTTACTTCGGAGTTTAAATAATTCGTTTTCTAACTGTTCTATTTCTAATTTCAAATTTTGTCGACTTTTTGTAATGCTAGTCTTAGGAAGGCCTGTAGAATAGGGACTAATTGGGGAGGTCATATTTAATTGTGGAGACATAATATTGTGAGGTTCATTTCTTTTTGTTCGTGAAAATGAAGTTGCAAGTACCAAAGATTTTTTATTAGAGTGATCATTATTAAGATCAGTGTTAGAATTCATGATAGCATTATTAGATGTATTATATATAGAATTCCTTATATTACTAGTATTATAATGAGGTGTTATTGACCTACTTGGTTTTGATACATTATTGTTTTGTTGTTCTATATTATCTTTATTCATGGTTCGGATAGATTCTTATGCAATAATAAGACAAAAAAAAGATCAGCCCATAAACTAAAGAAATTGAATATTAAGGAAATAAAAAAAATAATCTAAAAAATAAATTGACAGAATATAACAATTTAATATGTTGGTATATATATACTTCGTAGTTCGTTTTTTAATTGTAAATGTTGAGCGTTTTCTAATAGCTTTGTGACTGGCAATGATGACCACATGTATACAAAAATATTATTTTTTGATTCAAGATCGGATTTTATTTATTTTTTTCAAATTTCTCAAAAGGAAAATATATTAAAAAATAACTATTATGGTGACAATCATTATAAAAGAGTTTAGGATAGGAGGAGGTTGAATATTGGTACATTATATAATAAAAGTGCGTATTTACAAAAGGAGAATAAGGTTATGTGTAAAATATAATAATACAGTATGGTTAAATTATTTTGTCAAAGAGTCCCATATTTCTATTAAACTCTGTTGATCATCAGTAAGGGAAAACTTATCTTGGTGATTCATTACATTATTTCTTGTATTCAATGGTTTTAGTAATTTTCTGAATCCAGTAGTGAATTCGTCGATAGAGTCAATATCTGCAATCCAGCATGTTCCAAAAAGCACCATTGAAAAAATACCTGTTGACAATCCTATAGATAATGTAATTGCTTGTAGTCCTAGGGTATTATGATGATGAATTGGAATTCTTATATTTGATTGAAAAACATTTGGATTGTCTATAATTTCAAAGTTGCAATTGCAAAATAAATAAGCAAAAATAAATGAAAAGGGAAGTGAACAGTTTATTTGTTAGTAATTGTTGCTAAACATATATAGACAATTTTCTATATTATTACATACATTTCAAACTGAGTAAAGTTCTACGTGTTAATTTTGCAAATATTAAGGAGATGGCAGAGGCACCAAAAAACCTCAGAAATTCTCTGTTTCTTCGATTTTGATCAATCTCTAACATAACGGTATGAATGGAAGTACTTGTGTTTTTATAGTGACAATAAGGTATGCTGGTAGGTTATTGAGTAACTTTTTATTTTCTATTATATATATATATTGGAACAGAAGAATTACCAAGTTTCCTTTTTTTCTTTTCTTTTACTTTTTGAAAATTCCATAAAATACAAATAGTTTAATAAAAAGATGGGAACTGGTTTAATGGCATGAATATTTTATAAGAAAAAGGTTTCATGTCTTAACCTATTGAAATGGTAGGTATATAATTTTTCGGAGTTATATTCTAATATATATATATATGGTGTATGTGTGTGTGTAATTACAGAAAATGTACGGAAAATTACTTTAATTTAATCTTGTCTCATTTTTAAATATCTTTTTGTGACTTTATCTTTCTTTATGATATAAACAACAGCCCCCCACCCAGATAATGCATCACGGTCAGCAGCATTCAACAAAGACTGACTAATAGTTTCAAATAAATCATCCGCCTCTAAATTTGGTTCATATAATGATTCACACATACCGAATAATTGGTCAGATGCAGTACCACTTACTATAAAATCTTTAGCTTCATCTATACAACCAATCAAATCGAAACCTGCAATGAATGGTTTTCCTGTTTTTGAATTTATCCCAGCTACTACAGGACCAACAAAATAAGGACCAAATCTCTTTTCATACAATGTAGAGGAAACCAGTTGTGTAAAAGTTTCTGGTTCAATAGGTCTATCTTCTTTAAGTTTATATATGTTAGTTTTATAACGGAACACTTGATTTAGTGTAATCACATCTGTAGCTAAGCCTGTTATGCCTAAAAAGACATGACCAAAATTAGATATTTTCTCAAAATTATTAGACACACCAAGTGATTGATTTCCTAGACGTAAATCACACGCAATGGCAACACAGTCCTTACCTGCCATAGCCAATACAATACCACCGTTAATAGAACTTGGATCAGACATTGTGGAATATTATATTTTTGTTATTTTTTATAGATGAAATATTGATTATCAAAGTAGAAATAAAAAAATAAAGGTTTTTTGTTTTTGGCTTCTTATGTGTTATGCTGTTAGTTTTTTTTTTCACTTACAAAAAGGAATAAATAATATTGACCCTGTTATTGCAAATAGTTTGAATATATTTTGTCAATTCAAATGATGTTAATTGATCTTAACGAATGATATATATGTATCTAAAGGGATTAACTTGTCAACATGAACCCCGTTTTGTAATATATAAGTAGTTTGTTCTTTTTTTTTTATTTTAAACTTCTTCCATTTCACAAAGTAGTGGCAAATTTACAAAGGGAAAAGGGAATGCTCTTCTAAACATAGAAAAGAAAAGAAAAAGAGTACGAGAATAAAAAGAGCAAGACGCTTTGAAGGATGGTTGTCGTACCAAATTATATCAGCTGAATTTATTTTCGTTCAAAAAGATTTAAAAAATATGATAGTTTGCATTGTCATATTTCACGATTTTTTGAGCAAACCATACATGCACCCACACATCCACAAAAAGTCACTTTTTCAAGAATTCTTTTTTTTTTCCATCAAAAAAGAAATCAATGGCCAGCATGGCAGAAAAAATTACGTTTTAGGGAAATTTTTTTTATCAGTTTTGAGTATTCTCAAATTGGGAAAAGATCCCCGATTTAGAAATTTTTGATTCCTGTTCTATTTTCTTTTTTTATTTTTATTTTTTGGTTTTATTTTCTCGAAACTTAAAAGTAAAGGACAAAAAAATAAAAAGTTTTTTTTTTTTTTTTGGTGATTTCTTTTCTTTGTGTGTTGTAAGTATAAATAGAAACGCGAAAGTTGCTTGAATAAAATACAGAAATGTTATTTCCTGAAATAACGCGTAAAACAAGTACGGGCTCAGTTTCCTATTGCCACCTTTATGAGGTTTGAGAAATACTGATATCATTGCTACAATAATACCGTAATTAGATAGAATAAAGGAAAGATAAAACAGAACCACAAAACAAACAATAGAACTATTAGCTTAGGTCAGGTATGAGTGCATCTCAAGTAGAACCATCATTGTCTTTAATGTCTACAGCTCCAAGAGACCAAACACAACCTGAACAAAATTTTGAAGATCCAGATCAAGCTGAAAACCATCTTTTAGAACCACAGCAATCATTAGGTGGTATAACAGACCAACATCCTGAATTAACAGGGGCAGGTGTTAAAGAGTATGATGAACATGGAAAAGAGGGAGGAGGAGGGGAAGGAGAAGAGGATGTAGCACTAGTATCGTTTGTTCCCCTAGAAAAGTTACAAGTTAATGGGATTACTACCACAGATTTGAAGAAATTGAGAGAGAATGGTTTACATACGGTAGAGGCAGTAGCTTATGCTCCACGTAAAGCTCTGTTGGAAATTAAGGGTATATCGGAAGCTAAGGCAGATAAGCTATTGAATGAAGCTGCCCGTTTGGTTCCAATGGGATTTGTTACAGCAGCAGATTTCCATATGAGAAGATCAGAGATGATATGTTTGACGACAGGTTCAAAGAATTTGGATACTTTGCTTGGTGGTGGCATTGAAACTGGGTCTATCACAGAATTGTTTGGCGAGTTTAGAACCGGTAAATCACAACTCTGTCACACCTTAGCTGTCACCTGTCAAATCCCATTAGATATTGGTGGCGGTGAAGGTAAATGTCTTTATATTGATACGGAGGGTACATTTAGACCTATTAGACTAGTTTCAATTGCACAGAGGTTTGGGTTGGATCCTGACGATGCCTTGAACAATGTTGCATATGCTAGAGCGTACAACGCTGATCATCAGTTAAGGCTATTAGATGCAGCAGCCCAAATGATGAGTGAGTCCAGATTTTCTTTAATTATTGTTGACTCTGTAATGGCATTATACAGAACTGATTTTGCTGGTCGTGGAGAGTTGAGTGCAAGACAGATGCATTTAGCCAAGTTTATGAGAGCATTACAAAGATTAGCAGATCAATTTGGTGTTGCTGTAGTAGTAACAAATCAGGTTGTTGCACAAGTGGATGGTGCAATGAGCTTCAATCCGGATCCTAAAAAACCAATTGGTGGTAACATTATGGCACATTCATCTACAACAAGGCTGGCATTTAAAAAAGGACGTGGATGTCAAAGGTTTTGTAAAGTAGTTGATTCTCCATGTCTACCAGAAGCAGAATGTGTATTTGCAATATATGAAGATGGTATAGGTGATCCAAGGGAGGAAGATGAATAAATGTGCATAATTATATGTTATTTTTATTATTAGTATTATTATAATTGTTGTTGTTGTTATTATCATGACTATTTTTTAAATCTGGAATCATATTAAACTACCCATCTAATCGCATTACCTTCTTCAATTCATGTTAATGTAAATATATTTGTTAGTGTACCCCAACATTTGAAAAATTATACATACTGTAAACCATATACCCTTGAATATATGCATCTATATCTATGTTTAATATATTTGATAATGAATACTTTATACGTATCTTATTTTATTCCAGGCTTACGTATTCTGAAAAAGGAAAGAAGATCTGAAGAATTAAAACAAAGACAAAAAGCGAAGGGGAAAAGAAAACAATGGAAATAGCGGGTTATTGTTTTTTATTGTTTCTGATAGATTTATTGTTTATGGATAATTACGTTTCTTTCTTTTTTTTTTTTCTATTTTGTTTTTATTATGTTGCGGGAGTTTTTTGATTGATCTTGCTAAATGTTCCATTTGGTTTCCTCTCTAGCAAGTTTTTTATAATTTTGTTGAGTTTCCCTGAGTTTTGGGATTTCGATTTATTGCTGTTAAGATGGGTGTTGCAAGAGACAAGATGCAACAGGACTAAGGTGAATGAGGTATATACAGTCTAATTCTCTGGAAAACACTTTTCTTTTCTTTTCTTTTCTTTTCTTTTATTTTGTTTTTTGTTTTTCTATGTTTCTAATTTAGATGTTGACCCTTTTATTTACATAGGGATCAAGAATATATTTAAGACTATGGCGTAGTTACAATTGTATTCCATTCTAATTGATATCCTGTAATTTAAGAAATATTAACGCAGAACTTTTGCGACCTATGTCTCTGACATAGCTTTTTATTCCCTTTCTCGTTCTTATTTGCCTGCTTTGCCCTTCTGTTTAGTGTTTTTTTGAAATATAAAATAGTCATAGCATAGGTTTATAAGTTTTTTATGATTTTCCATAACCTTCACTGATTCAATAAATAAAAGTTTCATAGCTCTTTAGGTCGAGTTAATAAGTTATTTAAAAATATATATTTTAATATATTTGTCAAAATTATCAATTACTATTAATATTCCATATTGTTGTTTAAGATATTAGTTATTCAATTGCAATTTATTTCCCATAGATCAAAAGAATTTAGGTCAACAAAAAAAAAATAAAATAAAATAAAAAAAGTTATATCCTTTTTTACCAATTGGTACATTAATTACTTGCTCAATTATGCATTTTAAAAAGCTGTTACTTATCAATAAGAAGGAAGAGTATTACAATAGAACTAAAGAGAGTAAAGAAGTAACATATAAACATACAAATAATGATATTAAACTTGATCATATTATACCAAGAACTATAATTGATTCGGACAATATTATCTTTACTAAAAATTTAGATTTGACTACAGTTAAAGGTTCAGATTCTAAAGAACAAGATTCTGATTATTATAGTACTGAAAAATGTTATTTTCACTCCTCAGTTGATCAACAAACAGTTCATGCATCTATTCCATTGTTAAATAGTCATTATTTACCATTTGGTGATGGTTCAAATAAAGTATTTGGATACGAAAATTTTGGTAACACTTGTTACTGTAATTCAGTTTTACAATGTTTATTTTATTTAGATTCATTTCGTGCTATTATTTTATCGTTTCCTTTGCATTTAACTAATGGCTTTATTCGTGATAGTAGTACACCTACAAATAGTCATAATAATTGCAATAATAATGGTAGTGTAAATACATTAAGAAGACATAGAAAGCGAAGTATGGATGGAAGAAAAAAAAGATATTTTACTATGGAGAGTTTTCAAACTATTATAAAGGAAAAGGACAAGTGTCAAAATGATAAACAAGTAAACTGTGTTGAATCAGACAATAGTACTAAAGTAAATAAGGAAAAGCCTATAATGAATAATATTAGCGATAATATAGTAGATCAGAACCAAACTAAATCATCTTCATTTAACTTTTTTTCTAAACATAAAAAAAATAAAAGTTTATCTCCAGAAACATATAACAGTAAAGATCCTAATAATAAATCTGTTGTTAAAGATTTAAGTGCGAATATATATGCGGATGACATTGGACCAGCTCACTCCACTGTTATGAAAGCTGATTATGCAACTGAAAAGTTACATGAAGGCTGTCAGAGGATCATTGTTGGCAGAAGTAATTGTTTTCCAATCACCTCCACTGAATCATCTTTTATTGTAACCTCTTCTATTTCAACAATACGATCTGAAAGTCAATTATTGACGCCATCTTCAAAGTTATCTGATACAAATATAGAAAAATTGTTGAATCCCGATCAAACTACCTTATTAAAAGATAATAATGGTATTCGTAATTCTGATTTTTCCATTAATAATTTTACTAGTGAAAAGAGGAAAAAATCAGCACTGATACATGGTCCTATTATAAATATTGATTATATGGTGAATGTATCGGCTAAACCAAATATTTATAATGGACTAAAAGATATTTTCGAATGTATTACTGAAAATGATAGGCTTACAGGGATTGTGTCTCCATTACAATTTATGCAGATCTTAAAGAAAGAAAATATTTTATTTCGAACATCATCCCAGCAGGATGCACACGAATTATTAAGTTTTATTCTAAATAGCATAGATGACTATTTAAAAACTATTAATCATGAGGGAGGTTCTAACTATGTACCTGCAAACTTTATAAATTTTATCGAGGACCAATTCAAAGGTTTTATGAAAAGCACTATAAAATGCTTAACCTGTGACAGTAAGACATCAAATATCGAATCGTTTTTAGACTTTCCTATTGAATTAATAAATGAAGATGAGAATATCAGTATTCAAGAGTTGTTTAATGACTACAAACAAAGCGAGTTTTTGAAGGGCTCAAATAAATTTTATTGCAACCAATGTAATTCGCTCCAAGAAGCGGAAAGATCTGTTACAATAGATATGCTACCACATATTTTGATTTTACATTTAAAGAGGTTTGAATATTCTGAAGAATTAGGAACTAATGTAAAATTGTTTAACAAAATTGTTTATCCTCTAATTCTAGATGTTTCTTCTAGTATGAGTTGTGGTAATAAAGTTTACAAAAGATATGAATTAACTTCGGTTGTAGTTCATATGGGAGTTAGCTCAAGACATGGACATTATATATCCATATGTAAAAGTTCACAGTATGGGTGGTTATTGTTCGATGATGAAACTGTAGAATCAGTTGGAGAAAGTACGGTCCTTAAATTTATTGGAGATAAAAATAATCAGACGACTGCATATGTATTGTTTTATAAGGAAGTATTTGGAAACAATTTCCATTATAATGAGAAATGTGAGATTAGAGATAAATCCAGTAGTGAAGTAGAAGAAATAGTTAGTGTATCAGATATTAAGCCACAGAGTAAAGATAAATATGAAAAAAGAATTGAAAATTTAATAAAAAAAGATGATTATATAAGAGAGTTAGAAGAGAAAAAACTGCGAAGGTTAAACAAAGAGCATGAGTATAATGAGATAAATGATATGGCAGTTCATAATATATTTAGTCACATTTCAGAAAGAGATTCAAACTTTATTGTTCCACTTAACGATAATAAACTAGATGATGATAAAAGTACACACAAGACTAATAAGAGAAAATCCTTATTGGGAAGTTTTATGATGAAGTAACCTACTTTTGCTCTGACTATATTATAATATTATATCTTGAGGACTACGTATTGGTTTGAATGATGACTAGTGATTACTACCTATATTTTTTATGTTATAATAATTAATCTCTGTTTTTCATTTTTGCAAAAAATATCTAATTAAATATATGTTATAAATAGAGAAGCATAATATTAATAAGAGTGAGCATATAACTAAACCTGTCTGGGTATGCACAGACAAAAATAAACCTAACTCTTAAAAATAATGTTTTGATTATTTTTTTCTCACTTTCAATTTTGTTATTTTCGTTATGATTATACTGGTGGTGCGTAATTAAACAAGTAAGAAACAGATTCACCATTATGTAATCTTCTGATAGCCTCTGCTAAGGTCGGACTTATATCTACTTGATCAACAACAGGCAAATCTAATTCTACAGGTACAGTATTAGAACAAATGATTTTAGTTAATCTACTGTTGCTTAATTTTTCTCTAGCATCACCAGAAAATATACCGTGTGTAACAATAGCGAAAACTTCTTTGGCACCATGTTCCAATAAAGTATCACAAGCTTTCACTAAAGTACCACAAGTGTCAGCCATATCATCGACTAATAAGCATGTCTTACCAGTAACATCACCAACAAGTACCATTCTAGAAACTTCATTGGCCTTCTGTCTTTCCTTGTGAATTAGGGCAAAATTTAAATCCATCTTATCAGCTAATGAAGCAACTCTCTTAGCACCACCTGCATCGGGGGACACTAAAATGGCATTGTCCAAATCAACCTTTAACTTCATATAGTTCAAGAAACTTGGTTCTGCATATAAGTTATCAACTGGGATGTGGAAGAAACCTTGGATCTGAGATGCATGTAAATCCATGGTAACAACATTATCACAACCTGCTGTTTCTAATAGGTTAGCAACTAATTTGGCAGTGATAGGGGCACGAGATTTATCTTTTCTATCTTGTCTGGCATATGGAAAATTTGGAATAACGGCTGTAATTCTTCTAGCAGAGGCTGTCTTACATGCATGGATTAAAATTAATAATTCCATTAAAAAATCATTAATTTCTTCTTGACCGATCCCTGTTTGAATGATGTAGACATCTTCATCACGAATACTTTCACCAATAGTTACGGAAGTTTCCTTATTGGAATATTGATACACACCAACTTTACATAACGGAATACCTAACCTTTTGGAAATAAGTTCAGCCAATTCAGGATGAGAATTACCTGCTAATAATTTTATGCTATTTGAAGTCATTTTAGAATTTTCTTCTGTAGTTTTTAACTCAGATTTATTATTAAAGTTTTGTGGACCCTGGGATTCTGTCATTAAAGATGGTGAGAATGTTAACAACCATGCCCCATCTACAAGGGTGACTTGTGGGTAGGATGTGAGCCTAAGATGACTTATCTCATCGACATGTTTTTTATTATACTTTTTTTTTTGGATATCATCTAAATTTTTTATCTAAAATTTTTTGGTTTTAATCACTTCGCATTGAATGTAATTTAAAAAAAAAAAAGAAAAAGAAAAAAGAAAAAGGTAGAACATTATTGGAAAGGTTTTTAAATTGGCATGGGCTATTTGATCAAGGAGGAAGAAAAATAGGATTATAAGAAGATTATGCTGATAGTAAAGATTGTAAGCGAAACTGTAAAATGATTTTGTTAATTATATAATGGGTTTACAGATTTAATATTGTCTTTCTTTGATTAACTACAACTTATTTAAGAATTAAGAATGCTGCAAAAAAAGTATTTAACAAGATCCTCGACCTATTAGCTGTATTTTTAGAATCTTTCAACCTTTAATATTAGTTTACCTTGGGCTCTTTGTGTTTTCATATATGAAATCGCTTCATCAATATCATTCCAATTATACACCTTATCAATTCTGCATGTAACTACACCAGTCTTTAAGAATTCACCACATTTATTGATCCAGTCGTTTTTTGCTGCAGTTTTGGCATTAGGATCAAAATAAAAATGAGTATAATCATAGGAGTAGAGTAGAGAACCGAAAGCTTTTCGCATATTGGCCTTAGGGTTATCCCATTGATTATAAACATCAGTCTTATAATTGGCAACATAATCGCCTACTGTTGTTAAGTATGCACCATTTTTATGAATTAGATAGGATGAATGAGCTACAATGTCGTAACCTCCAACAAAATCTAAAACAATATCAAATTTCCCTTGTAGGTATTGAATTTTTATTTCATCCCCTGTTGTAGGATCAAATACGGTTGTCCTTTGTTCTTCTATCATAGCTCTTAAAGGTTTACTAGATTTCCCTCTACATTTCAAATAATCAACATATATTATTTCCCCTTCCAAATCAGTATAAAATGTTCTCAAAGCTTCTGCAGAGGAACCAGTCGTGATTACAACGATTTTCTTGGTTAATTGATAATATCTTTTTAATAATTGAATCGCACACATCCCAACAGAACTTGTCCCACCATTAATTAAAACATTAGAATCTTGTTTTAAATAGCCTCTTTTATCTAACTTATCCAAAATGTTAAAAGCTGTACCTAAAACAAATAATGCACCAGCTGCTTCCCTTGGATCTACATTTTCAGGTCTTAGTAAAATTGGATCTTCATTTGGATTCACTAAAATAGCTGTTTGAAGTGCACCTTTAGCTAGATGTGGATGGAAATAAATACCAAAGACTTCATCACCTTCGCTCCATTTATCTGTTAAGTTTTCACCCACATGGGTGATAACTCCACTGTATTCTCTTCCTAAACCTACCTCACCATATATTGCCTGCGTGTAACCATTTTTAATTTTCAGATCTACAGGATTTAAACCTACATAATTTACATCTACCACCAGCTTGTTTTTAGGGATGGGTAATTTAATTTTGTTTTCATAAGAAAAAGTGATAGGACCCTTATCAGAATGGAATACTTGTGCCTTCACTGGAATGTTCTTGACATGTCTTAATGGTCTAGCTACTCTTTGTAATTTAACTTCGTCTACCTTAATTTCTTTTGGTGCCTCAATAGTTGGGTTAGTTACCAAATTTTCTAATACTGGGTCTCCATTCGTTAAAATTTTGTCAGACATTTCAAATTATTAGGGCGTATGTCTATTTTTTATATAATGCTAAAAGTAGATTGGAAAATTGTTACTTCTAAAAGGAAGATAATTATTAGTCAGATATGATAAATTTCTGTGGTTATATATATATATATATATATATACTTACTCAGCAGATATGTTATTCCGAAACCCTTTTTTTGTAAGTGATATTGATTAGTATAATAATAATCCATTTTATTTTGGTATTTGTTTACAAAGTTTGTTTACATTTTTTTTTTTGTTTTTGTTATTTTATTCCTCTTGGTATTTTTAGGAACAAAAGAAAAAAAAAAAGCAAGAATTACGTTCTTGATCTCCATAGTACATATTGGTTAGTCTTATCTTATAATCAGCTATTGTATAGTAAAAATGAATAACGAAAATTAACAAGTTACATAAAGAAAGCAAGATTGTTAATAACAGCATGGAGTTGTAAGATACTATCAGTAAAAAGTATGAAGAAATAAACTATAATTGTGTACTTATCAATATTATATATCACAAAGGATATACTTGAATAAAGAGAGAAAGAGAAAGGAAAGAAAATAGCAAGACTTATCTATATTTAGTGGGAATAATTCATATAGTTGGAGCATATTATTGTACTTTACATATATGTATTTACAATGAGTTAAAGTAATATCAAAGTTAAGATAATCTAACATTAACATTCTTGCCTCAATTCTTCTTTATGTGCAGATAAAGTTGGTTTATCACCATGGCAACAGAAAAGTGCTAGACTCAAAAAACACTGTAAGGACGGCTTATAATCTAACATCAGTACATTCTATCGTCTTTTTTTCTTTTCATACGAATAATTCGGAAAAAGTTAAGAGATCTTGTATAATTACCTATTCTGGAAATTAATGTTTGATTAATTATGTTTTTTCTTGGAAAATGGAAAAGAAAAAAAAAAAAGCAAGTCCAAATTGTTTGGAGGATGCGCTCCTTGAAATTCTATTAGACACACAGAAATATGATTCGAAAACCCACTCCCAGACAAATAATGTTCTTTCAAGGGGAAAGACTATTGCAACTGTTGCTACTTGCCAGTAAGTAACCTGAAACACCCTCGCCTCATTTTATTCCTCTAATCCCTTCCCTCGTCTTTCTAGCAAACACGCTGTGCATTTGTTTCCCTCCACTTTTCTTTTCTTCGTGTCAACTCAGATCGAGTTACTCTTGTAGTGAGGAGGGAGAAGGTCCTGTGGTTGCGGGAAACCTTCCTCCTGTCTTCCTTTGTCTAATGGGTATTATCCATCACGCTTATTCTCTTTGTTTGACCTTGTAGATTTCGGATAGTGTGTTATACACAGACTACTATTATATGTTGGTACCTGGGTATTATCTATATTAGAGCATATGTGCTTTCTTCCTGATTGGCACCCCTTTGGTTCTTTTAGCAAACCGTAATCAAATCACACCAGAACGTATGTAAGAAGTGCACTATAGATTTTGATATTGGCGTTCCAAAGAAACACGTATAATGGCATTAGTCTAAATAGTTTGAAAAAGTAGGGAATGTGGAATAGAGTCAAGCATCTGATTATTGAGTACTAATCAGCAGGTGTGAGAGTGTTAATATTTAGAAAAGAAAGAAAACTGAAATTGAACAAAAAGAGGAGAGTTATAGAAAAATTGTTATCAAATTTACCGAGAAATTGTATCCATAAAGGTGATTAGGAATGAGGGATCGTTATATTACAATCATACTGATTCAAGTTACCATTTAATCTTTGGCTTCAATATTAATATGGAAAGGGGTGAAAAAGAAGAAGAATTCTGAAATAGTTTTTTGAACAAGAGATTACTAACAATTGGATATATTAATATTTATAACATCTGGGATTATTGTTATTAATACTATTTATTTATTTTCATTACAGTTGCAAAATGGGTATTTCTCGTGATTCTCGTCACAAAAGATCAGCCACCGGTGCTAAGCGTGCTCAATTCAGAAAGAAGAGAAAGTTCGAATTAGGTAGACAGCCAGCTAACACCAAGATTGGTGCTAAGAGAATTCACACTGTTAGAACCAGAGGTGGTAACAAGAAGTTCAGAGCTTTAAGAATTGAAACCGGTAACTTCTCTTGGGCTTCTGAAGGTGTTTCCAAGAAGACTAGAATCGTTGGTGTCGTTTACCACCCATCTAACAACGAATTAGTTAGAACTAACACTTTAACCAAGTCCGCCATTGTTCAAATTGATGCAACTCCATTTAAGCAATGGTACGAAGGTCACTACGGTCAAACCTTAGGTAAGAAGAAGAGCTCTAAGGAAGAAGAAATTGTTGCTCCATCCAAGAACGCTGAAAAGAAGTGGGCTTCTAGAGCTGCTGCTGCCAAGATTGAAACCGCTGTTGCCTCTCAATTTACTGCTGGTAGATTATACGCTGCTATCTCTTCTAGACCAGGTCAATCTGGTAGATGTGATGGTTACATCTTAGAAGGTGAAGAATTAGCTTTCTACTTAAGAAGATTAACTGCTAAGAAATAAGTTAATTTCTAAAGTTTAATTTTAATTTTAATCTATATATTTCATGTACCATTTCATATAACTTTTATTTAGTTTTACTAATTTAAAATCAAATATACAATATATCCATTTTGATATAGCTCTTTTCTAGTGAGAGCGGGTTGTAGGTTAGGGTTTTTTGTTTTTGCTGGAAGTTATAGAATTTTTGAATTTGGAGAAGAATTAGTAAATATTAAAGTGATAGTGATATGGATAAGCTTTTCTAGTACATGATATATATACATATATTATAAGTAACTACGTAAGGTTCTAAAGTCAGCTACGAAGTAAAGAGAATTTAATTGTGAAAAACAGATCGTTGCACTATGCAAATACACAAAAATGAATGATTTTTGCAACTGATAAGAGAAAGATATATCAAGAGAGAAAAATCAAGAAATATTAAACAAACAGAAATGTAGTGATAGTATACTTATTAGAAGTTGTTATAACCGCCAAAGAAAAAATAGATAGAAAAGAATATAATAGAAATCAGAAAAAATAGGCAATAAAGTGAGTTTCTGCATTCCTTAAATAATTAAGGTCAGAACAGGTCTGTGTAAAAAGTTGTTTTCATCATTAAAATGTTCTGCAAAGAGAAAGAAGAGATCATTACATAGAAGATAAAAAATCACCTTTCCTCTATGATACTACACTAAATGCTTGTGAGCCTTCAAAAGCCATCTAGTGTGTTTAATGTTAATAGATCGCTGCACTCACAAGCTCCTTCTCCCTTTAGAAAGAGGACGTTATATTTAGAGTACTATGAGTAACTTACACCGCGGCGAGTTTTAGGTTGCTGGGCAAGCGGTCAGCACTTGTCCTTCTGTCATTGAAGAAACATGATGCTTTTTATATGTGTTAATTAGAAAACCACAGAAAAAAAATTCAGAAGAAAAAAAACATATTTCAACGATGATTTTCTTCTCTGTTTTTGATATAAAAATATTAGGGTTTAGAGTAGGTTAAACCAAAACGTCAAAAAAAAAAAAGGTAAGACAAGAGGTCATTGTATAGTGCAATGTTTAATTGATGATGTGCAAGGTTTATTGAAACCCACACATCGAGGGCAATGATTAATATACTATTCTCGGATATTCCTATTGCTGTAACCGTTGGACTGGATCATTACTCATTTGATGTTGTCAAAGGTCAAATATTTAATGGAATAATAGAGATAATTCAAGGTTTGCACAATATTCATTTCCAGCATGGTGGTGTTAGATATGGATACTGGATTCATCAAGGCAGTAACTATTATGTTCAATATAATGGAGACACAGAGAGTTTTGAGTTGAAGATTGAAGAAGATGCTACTAAATATGAAAATATTTTGGAATCTTTTAAACAAAGAGGTACAGTAGTCACATATCCTAAGACGCAAGATGGTGATATGTGGACACCATTAATACAATATATCAAGTGGGATCAAATTATTAAAATAACACAAAGTAATTCTCCTGTTGTGTTTGTAGATTCATCAATGACTACTCGAGAAGAGAATGAAAGTTTGAGGAATGTTTTGAAAAATCGTGCATTGAAAGAAAATGATGGTGATCCAAGATTTGAAAACAATAATGAACCATACCTAGAATATACACTAATTAAATTAAAATCAAAGGCAGCAATCCGGAAGGGTCATGAAATGGAGGATTATATTGACAAGACATATTATTTCAATGAGGTTATAGTAAAAGAATATTATAATGGTAGATTGAATTTATATTATAGTGAATTGCAATTTGCATATATGAATACTATCTTGTTTGGAAATTATGGTTCTAGTTTGCAGTGGCATTCAATGATAGAAGTTTTCTGTTTTGCTAAAGAGATACGAAATGAAAATGGCACTGATAATGATGTTGTCCATATTATCGATGAAATATTATCCCAACAATTGACTATGTTGCCTGAAGAATACGTTGAAATGTTGTTAAATGAGGCCATGTGGCATAAGTGTTTATTGGATTCATATCAAGGTCCAAAGCTGTTAAAAACAAGGGAAATAATAAAAAAAGAACTGCCACACCTCCTTAGAAACTCTCAAATCGATCATATAGCTAATAATGAAATGGATAAAGGAGAAGCGGAAGATTATATACAAGAAGATGATGGAATTATGCTGCCTCCAATAGACAGTGATAATGAGGAGGACGATGGACCTATGGTTGTGGAACGTCTTATATATAGGTAGCTACCATGATGTATATACTAGTAATATTTTTTTGATTCTGTTATATTAACATTGTGCTGAAATAACTAGTTTTTATCTATTTCCCAAGCTTATCTTCGTAAGTATTGGATATTTTTTGTCCTAGGATTTTAATACTGGCTTTTTTCTCTTCCTCCACCTCTTCCCCCGTTGTATTTTCCTTTTTAGAATGAATTTCCTTACTTATCTATATTTAGATAAAGATGACAATAATAATAACACAACAGGTCTCAATTAAACTAGTCTCAAGGATTATAGGTAAACACCAGTAAGAGAGAAAGAATAACATTTACGGAGGAACACTGACACCAAACGGAAAAACGCAGAAGCTTAATAGTGGTTATTTATTTCTAGATGGGCTTAGATCATCTGATCTGAACACAGGGAGCCAAGAAACTCGAAAAAAACAACGGTTTTTAAGGGAGGAGAAAAGGGAAACAGAAAGGAAAAAAAACAAAAAAAGAGAGCAATAGAAGAAATTACACGGAGTTCTCGAAAAATCTCGAAAACAATGGAATCTTGGTGTTATTTTTTCCTTTATCTCTCGAACAATTTTGGAGGGATGTATGTATTTTCCTATGAAGTCATTTATTTTCACCATGTATTTTTTGATTATGTTACCATTAACTATTACTAGCAGTAGTAAGTTGATGGCGTAAATCTTACGAAGAAAATTACCTGTTTTGTGATATTTGAGTTTTTTATTTGCAGTATTCAATCTCTCCTTGTAAGTTGAGTGGTTTTTTTTTCTTTTTTTATTAATTACCTTACAAGAAGATATAAGCTAAAAAAAAATAAATAAAAAAAGTAAATTACTATTTCTAGTATTTTCCAGAAAGTTCACTTCTGTTTCATAGGGGGAGAATAATAGTACTCTCTAATATTCTATTTGTTCTTCCTTACTTTAAAGGGGGAGGGTGTCTTTAATAAGTATTATAGGGAACGTTATTATTAGATGGAAAAGGTAAGAAGCTATGAATGAACACTAAAGTAGTGCTAATGGTAGGGTTTTTGATATATATATAAAGGCATGGATCATATTTCTCATTGACGGTCAGTCCAGTATGGTCCAAAGTCCTTTTTTCTTTCTCGACTAGTATCAATCAAATAAAATCAAAATAACAAAAACACAACATTTGTTGGAAAAAAAAATAACTAAATTAACAAATAGATTAAACCATATATAAAATTAAACATGTCTAAAGCTGTTGGTATCGATTTAGGTACAACATATTCTTGTGTCGCACATTTTGCCAATGACCGTGTGGAAATTATTGCAAACGATCAAGGTAATAGAACAACACCTTCATATGTGGCATTCACCGACACCGAGAGATTGATTGGTGATGCTGCAAAGAATCAAGCTGCTATCAATCCTCAAAACACAGTGTTTGATGCTAAAAGATTAATTGGTAGAAAATTCGATGATCCAGAAGTGGTCAATGATGCCAAACATTACCCATTCAAGGTGGTTAATAAAGATGGTAAACCTGCTGTACAAGTGGAATTCAAGGGTGAAACTAAGGTTTTCACACCAGAAGAAATCTCTTCTATGGTTTTGACAAAGATGAAAGAAACTGCTGAAAACTTCTTAGGTACTCAGGTTAAAGATGCTGTTGTTACAGTTCCAGCCTATTTCAATGATTCTCAAAGACAGGCTACTAAAGATGCTGGCACTATTGCAGGGTTAAACGTTTTGAGAATTATTAATGAACCAACTGCTGCTGCTATTGCTTATGGGTTGGATAAGAAGGGTAAAGCAGAACATAACGTTTTAATTTTCGACCTGGGTGGTGGTACCTTTGATGTTTCTTTGTTATCAATTGATGATGGTGTCTTTGAAGTTAAAGCAACTGCAGGTGATACTCATTTAGGTGGTGAAGATTTTGATAATAGATTGGTTAATCATTTGGCTGAGGAGTTTAAGAGAAAGAATAAAAAAGATATTACACAGAATCAAAGATCTTTAAGAAGATTGAGAACTGCTGCAGAAAGGGCTAAGAGAGCATTGTCCTCTTCTGCTCAAACCTCTATTGAAATCGATTCATTGTTTGAGGGTATTGATTTCTATACATCTATCACTAGAGCTAGATTCGAAGAGTTATGCGCTGATTTATTTAGATCTACATTAGAACCGGTTGAAAAGGTGTTGAGAGATTCTAAATTAGATAAATCACAGATAGATGAAATTGTTTTGGTTGGTGGTTCTACAAGAATTCCAAAAGTTCAAAAATTGGTCTCTGATTTCTTTAATGGCAAAGAACCAAACAGATCTATCAACCCAGATGAGGCAGTTGCTTATGGTGCTGCTGTACAGGCTGCTATTTTGACCGGTGATACATCTAGTAAGACCCAAGATTTATTATTGCTAGATGTAGCCCCATTATCATTAGGTATTGAGACAGCAGGTGGTATAATGACAAAATTAATTCCAAGAAATTCTACTATTCCAACAAAGAAATCAGAAATTTTCTCCACATATGCTGATAATCAGCCAGGTGTCTTGATTCAAGTCTTTGAAGGTGAGAGGACAAGAACTAAAGATAATAATTTGTTAGGTAAGTTTGAATTATCTGGTATTCCACCAGCACCAAGAGGTGTTCCACAGATTGAAGTGACTTTCGATATTGATGCTAATGGTATTCTAAATGTCTCTGCACTAGAAAAGGGTACTGGTAAGTCTAACAAAATCACTATTACAAATGATAAGGGTAGATTGTCAAAAGAAGATATTGAGAGAATGGTGGCAGAAGCAGAGAAGTTCAAAGCTGAGGATGAAAAGGAGGCAGAACGTGTCCAAGCTAAGAATCAATTAGAATCATACGCATTTTCCCTAAAGAACACAGTCAATGAAAACAATTTCAAAGAAAAAGTGGGTGAAGATGATTCCAAGAAATTGGAGACTGCAGCGCAAGAAACGATTGACTGGTTAGATGCTTCACAAGCAGCTTCTACGGAGGAATATAAGGATAAGCAAAAAGAATTGGAAGTAATTGCCAATCCAATAATGTCCAAATTTTACGGGGGCACTGGTCCAATGCCTGGTGCTGGCCCAATGCCTGGTGCTGGTTCTGGGCCAGCTGGTGAATCAGGACCAACTGTGGAAGAAGTTGATTAAGAAAGTTGTACAGGGAAATAGAAAGGTTTGTTGTTTATGAAGAAATTTTACTGTTTATATTCACTGAATAAATTAGCAGTTATTAAAGTTGAAGAAAAAAGATTATACTTATTTATTGTTCCTTTATATATTTAATTCTTATTTGTTTTAATTCTTGTATAAATTTATATATGTGAAAATATAATTTTATTTTATTTTTACTTATGAAAGCAGACAAAAAGACGGTAAAATGCCTCACTACAACTCTGCTTCTTTTTGAAATACGAGGCATGTGTATATTTGTTCTATAGCTGCATAAATATGTATATGTATATATGCATAGTGGGCTTCATTTATCATTTTTATATGATGTGAAATGTCCTTATTCGGAAAAGTCATGACACCATTGTTTTAGAATAGAGATGGGAAAAAAAGAAGATAATTGAGTTTGAGTAAAATGCGATATATATATAAAAAGTAAAAATGATGAGTATATTTGGAAGGTGATTATATTCAGTAATTATAGAACAAAGGCTGTTGGAGTTTGAGAATAATGGATTGAGAAGTAGGGGAAAGTTTTGGAAAACCAGTTGAATATAGTCTTCATTATTTTATTTAGAGAAGAAAGCTATAACAATATTGGCTATTTTAATTTCAAGTATGGAATAATGTCAAATTCTTTTAACCACAATGATTTAAAATCAAATTTCTTAAATGTAGAAATTTCCTTAAATTTGGGATTGTTTCCAAGAACCCCAACCAAATGTATAAAGTCTTCCGATATCGTGGATATCCAAAATAGTGAAAATATTGTCAATAGTATTTTACAAGACAGATCAGCGAGATCCCAGAAGTATGCTAGTAATCCGTATAATATGGGTTCATCGCCATTAAGTTCAAAAGATGGATCTTTGTCTAAAATCAAAAATAAGCAAAAGACACAAAAGACACAAAGAATGGAAGAAAGAGAAAGAAAATTGTTAGAAAATAGAGGTGGCTTAAACAAAATGGAAGAATTTGTAATGAAAGGAGAAAGGAAAAGAGAACTTGATGATTTGGCAAGATTAGCTTTAGAATACGCGATTCCAGAAGATATTGTAGATACATTTGAAGAAGAGTGTCGAAGTGAAGACAATGTGGAACCTTTTCATAAGAATCGATATAGATCGATGTTTCAGGATCAGGGAAATCAACCACCATTAAAAAAGGAAAAAAGTTGCGATAATGACGATGATGGTAGTGATGATGATAATGATCTGATCAGGTATTTTGAGAATAAGGAAAGATATGAAGGAGAATTGGAACAATTATTATCAGAATTATCAATGACCTAAGCATGATTATATGGAATAAGTACTTATTAATGAATTTTGGACTGAGACGCTGTCTTGGGTAGTTTCTTAATAGTTATTCTTATGTTATTCAAGGTATGACATTACTTTGTCCGAAGAAATCAGGTGAATTAATTGTGATGATAAATTTTCAAACAAAATTCCAAACTAATTTTCTATATGTTGGAAATATTTATGTGTTCATATTCACATGAACTTCAGTAATGGAAGTTTGGCTAATTCTGTTTAGTTTTATATCATTTTTTGTATAAAGGGAATCATATGATACACATTTGTACTACTAGCTAGGTCAAAGCTAAAATTACATATATTAAGAATTGAATGCAACTATGTATTTGTGCATGTACAAAGGTGGAATACTCATAATTATTAACCTGTGTTCTGGCGTAGGTGCTATCAGAGAAAAAGTTATTATTATTAAGAACAAGAAATACTGAGCGCCTATTTAATTATCATTTCATGTAACATGAAAAAATAGTGCACCATTGTAGTTTGTTCGAAATATATACATACATAGATATATACATGCATAGATAGATAGGTTTGGTGTTGATATATGTTTGAGAAGAAGTAAGTAGAAAAACTGATATTTTATTATTTAGCTGTTCACTAAAAGGTTATAGAAACGAAACTATATATAATGGTAAGTATTCAATATAAAAATATTGATAACAAGGTTAAGAAAAAAAATAAAATAGGTAAAGAGCCATTTTTATCCAAGAATGTAAATAGAATCAGAGGAACTGAAGGGATTCGAAATGTTAAAATTGAAAATATGACAGGGAGACAGTTACAAAATAAACTGTCTTTAAAAAAAGAAAGCGATATTTTATATGATGATAGTGGAGAAAGGTTAAGCTTCAATCAGAAGTATGGACAAACAGAGGGTAATCATGTTTTTTCAACTAAATTGAATAGTATTCGCACTTCATTGTCATCAAGAAATTTGAAACTTTTGCAAAGAAATATTGGGGAATTGGAAACAGCTAGTGATATATGTTCACATTATCTTTGTAGTAATGAGAATATGAAAACAGTGGATTTTTCAAGACTATGGTTTCTGTTTGAGTTAGAAATGTCAGTGAATGGTGGTATTAATCTAAGAAATGAATGTTATTATAAAAAAGTATATGCTAAGATCGATCCAAATTGGCCACAAAGCAATTGTTTAAAAGAAAAATTACCTTCAAAAATATTTGAAATGCAGCTAACGCACATTATTTTACCTAAACCAATTAATATTGGGGGTGCTTACTACCATCAAAAAAATTCCACAGATTTGTCAGATATGTCTATTTTGATTGAGAGTGTAATAGAGGATGAGTCATTTTTGGAAACTACCAAACAGAAAAAAATTCCAAGTAATTATCTAGCGGTTAGAGATAAGAAAAAAGTATTTGATACAATTAATATCAATGTAACAAGCATTTTAAATGAAAAAAGCTCCCCTTTAAATGATATAGAAAAAAAAGCTCTTAACAGAAAGTGGTTCCAGTAATAAAAGAATGGTGAGAAGAGATAATAAACTTTCATATTTTAGAAGTTAAATATTGGAATTTTAGGTTATTTTCTTCTCATAGAACATAAAGTTGCGATTTTCTACATTGTCTTTTAACTAAGTTATTTATTACTAATAATGGGTTAAAGAACGTTTGAATAACGTCCATCTATCACAAAATTTAAAAATTGTTGGAATTAACAAAAAAAAAAAAACCAATTTTAACCCACACCCGCTAATACAAACTAATAATACCTAATTCTATATTAAACTATACTTATGTACATACACACACATATATACATATTTCTAAATTATGATGCATATTATTTTTTAACTTTTTCTTTTACTTCAGCATCAGTAGTAGCGTGAAGTCTTACCACATTTGGATAATCAGGTCTATTATTCATATGACCTTGATGCCAGTCATAACTCAAAGCATACGCAAATACGGTACCATTTCTGTTAAAATTCACAACAGGTATAGATGCTTGCATTGAAGGGAATCCTCTTAGTCTATGTCTATGATTTTTATCCCAAAAATGGAATGACCCATCACCACCTGCAGTGGCAAAAGTACCATATATAGGATGAAACGCAATACTATTTACTGGATATACTATAGACTGTGTCTGAGTGCCTGCAGCTCTGTTAGGATTTGTTTGACGGTGACATTTGAAAGAAAACCCATTTTTCTTTTGTTGTTCATCATCTACATATCTAATTGCACATCTTCCTTCTGTTGAACCAATAGCATAACCGTCACCTTCATTATAACACGCCACTACCCTTGTCTGCCATTTTAACGGTGACTGCGTTGCTTTAAATATTGTACTTGGATTATTTAAATTTATAATAATAATATGTTTTTCAGCAGTACCTACTACTAATAATTGTCTTTTATTATCAATTGTATAAACTCTCTCTGGCATCATTACTGTCGCTACTGGTTGAGGCTGCCTTAAATCCCAATATTTAATCGTCTTATCCCATGAACCTGTAACTAAACATTCTGTATTTGTAGGTCCACAATTCACAAATCTAAGACTCTTTACTGGAGCATCATGTATCCCTATTTGTTGTGATTGACCACTGGTTACATCAAATATTCTCACTGCATTATCACAACCGCCTGAGGCAACTTTAGTACCGTCTCCACTCCATCTTGTCGTTAATGCAGGCCCTGAATGCTCATATTGAGAACGTCCCTGAGCCACACCATTTTGAATGTCCCAAATTCTCACTTTACCATCCCATGAGCTAACAGAAAATAAATAATCATGTTGTGGAGAAAATGCAATGTCTGAAATCGAGTCATCAGCAGGGTTTTGTATTATGATATCATTAGCTAGATCCTTTTCGGTAGTCATTGTTGCCGATACCGTATTATTATTTGATGTACTAAAAAATGACATTTAGAAAATAATATTCACTCTTGTATGATTAGGCAATGTATATTTAAACTCTCAGTGAGTACATGCAATAACACCCAATAATATATCTTACTGGAACTCACCCCTAATCAATAAGAGGATAGAAATAAGTACTCTAGAACCTCTTCCTGCTTATAACTTATCTCGAAGTTATCGAATCTTTTAACTTTTGATCTTCTTTAGCTTTACTTTTTTCACTTTTCAAGAGCTTAAAGAAAATACAAAAAAAAACCCGGATATCAGGATATTTAGTGTACAAACCGTTAAAAATTACAGAAAAAATAGGAATGAATCTATATAACATTAATACCCATTTAAATTTAATATGTCTATCTTATAGATCCACTCAATCAAATAGGATAACTTCTTGTCAAACATTCACATATACAATTTATATATCATAATATTTAGTAAACATTAGAAGCAGAAAATGATACAAACAGGTTATGAACCATTCAAAATAACCAGAAATGAGTGTTAAATTTTAGTTGTCTAAAGGCCAACCAAAGCTTGAACAATCTAATTTTATTGCCAGTCTATAAAATTAAAGTCTATATCTCCACCTTCTACATTATTTGGAGATGCCCCTTTTTTATTGCTAGTATCATTTTCATGGCCTCCTCCAATATTAAGGTTACCTGAAAGTATGGAAAAAGATTCAACAGAATTACCATTAGGTATTATAGCGTTTAAACTGGAATGATCAGTAGTAGGAGCTTCCAAATTTGAAAAATTAAAGTCTACAAAATCATCAGTATCATTTTTAAATGAGGACTGTAATATATCTGGGTTCATTGAACTAGCTAGTGAAGTATCTTTAACTTGGTTCTTACCGTTTTCTTCAAAAATCTCTTCTGTGTCTGATAATGCGCCCATTTTTATAATGGTTTTATCTCTCTCATTTTTTTCACTTGAATTCTGGTGTTTGAAAACCCTAGATTTCTCATCTTTATCTAACACTGCTTCACTAATGTCTTGATTACTAGTCTTTGATTTTTTGGGCTTTCTTCCTCTTTTACGAGAGGATTCTGAGTGTTTTTCGTTCTTGTTCATTTCTTTTCTTTTTCTCGAATGTTGAATAAACTTTCCTTTACTATCTTTACCTGGCTCTTCTGTTAAAAATTGGTTGTTTTTTATATCAATAATACCAAGAGATGAATCAGATGACCTTCTTTTTATAGATGCACAATCAATATTATCAACTTTTTTATCCTGATGAACCCATTTATTTTGTGAAAAAGACGTATTAGAGAAACCATTTTCATGTACCATTGATGTGTTTTTAATGCTGCTCCTATGCGATTTATGACTACTATCTTTATCCTTATTAGTGTAATTAGTATCAGCAGAAAACGAAGATTGCACTGTGTTAATATTAGAGTTACTAGAATTATTTGGTAGGTCACCAGTCCTTGGAGAAACACCCCCTTGTTGAGGCGTGAATGTTAAATTTTCTGATACATAGGAAGGTACTGCACTTGTATTGAAGCCGTTATTTCCTATAGATTCTGGACTTAGGACAGTATCTGTATTTAGAATGCTTGAGTTTATGTACTTCATATTGTTATTATTTGACATTATACCATTGCTTTGAAAGTCTATTTTTGATTCACTTTTACTCTTGTTTAATCCTGATGTCTTTGAAGTAGTTGCTATGGAAGAACCAACTGACGGAGTAAATGATTTCATACAAGTTTTTTTCTTTGTATCGTACAATGATGGCTTCTTGTTTTTTATCCTCGATTTTTTAGTTTTATTATTCTGTGGAGAGGTAAGATCATTATCCAAAATAGACATATTGTTAGTGTCCCCTGTTGGAAGATTAGAATTGTTATTCAAGGTAGCATAATCATTACTCACTGATTCAAAATTATTTTCCGTATTATCTTCACCGGTATCTTGTATACTGTATTGCCTATTCTGGTTATTCACTTTTTTATCATTAAGAGGATTTTTATAATTGTTATAAGCATCAAGTTGATCTTGTTTAGAGAATTTTGATACAGCAGACTTTGTATCCCATTTATCACTACTACCACCTGCATTATAATAGTCGTTATAATCAGTAACAGAGTTGTAAAAGCCTTCCATAGACTTCATTGGGTTATTATAAACTTGTGCTGATCTCCATTGAGATATGTTGTTTACATTTTCGCATGGTGATGCCTGTTGAAATGTGGAACTATTTATTTGATTTTGATTCTGAGCTTGACCAAAGTATAACACAGAAGATTGTTGCTGTTGTTGCTGATTGGGAATCCTTTTCTGATATTGTTGCTGTTGCTGTCTTTGTTGTTCAATTTGTCTCTGAAGTTGTAATTGAACCTGCATTTGCATTTGTTGCTGTTGAACCTGTTGAACCTGTTGAAGAGGTAATTGGACATATTTAGCTTGTTGGTCTATCGGTAATTTTTGTGGAATAGTATTTCCATTACTTAAATTATCAAAATCAGGCTTTATTTGCTTTTGGTTCATATTTTGATTATTATTCCTACTCGTATTTCCATTACTGTTATAATTGCTATTAGTGCTTTTATTATCATAATCATTATTTTTCTTTGTTCTATTAAACTCAAAATTTGGTATATTATTATTACTATTAGTATTATGATACTTGGAAATCAAAGGTAACAAGGATAAAGGATCCCTTGAGTGCTCGCCATATTCACCTCTTTGTTCTGCTAAATTCTGTAATTTTGCGGCATATAACATCTGGGCCTTATATGAATTATCTCGCCTTCTTTGATTTGATACAATTTGATAATACTTATTAGCCACTTCAGTACCACCACGTTTTGTTATTGTATTAAATAAATCCCAAAAAATATGCCACCATTCAATTAAAAATCCTTTTGAAGTATTAGAATATTCGAATTGTGTAATATTTTTGGAATCATTCAATTTTGCTTCTTGCTTAAAAATAGTTGCTGATTTGTTAAACTTGGATTTTTGTAAAAAATCAAAAATATAGTTATTTAAAGTTTCCTTTGATTTTTCTAACTCTGTAAACCTGGTGTTGATATTTATATTTGTACTTTCAATATTGTTGTTATTCCAATGGGTACTTTTGTTATTAAAGTCAATGGAGCTACTATTATTACTGTTACTGTTACCATGAATATGATGCATTGTACCATACCTCCGACTTTTCATAAAATTAACTTGAGGTTGTCTATGAGGAACAGATTGTTGAGGATTGTATAAGGCATGTTGTTGTTGTTGCTGCGAAAAAAGATCGTGCAGGAATTGTATCCTGCTTTTTTTTTCTGCTCAGAGGAAGAAGATGTAGGGGCAACTGAAATAGGATGAGAATATGAAGAAGAGGGGGACATTGAAGAAGGAGCAGGAGCAGGAGCAAAGGAAGAATTAGGTATAGGAGGTCCTGCAGGTATAGGCTGAGTCATTATCCACTGTTGCATGGTTGGATCAAATGGTCGCCCTTGTTGTATATGATTCATATACAAAGGTTGCGACTGTGTTTGACTCTGAGGTGGATACTGCTGCTGTTGCGGTTGCGGTTGCTGTTGTTGTTGGCCTTGCTTTAGAAACATAGAACCTGCGTATTGTTGTGGATTAGGAACGTTTGTTGGTATGCTAGATACAGGATTTAATGTATAGTTTGGAGAATATGCATTTACTAAATGTTGCTGTTGTAATTGTGATTGTTGGGTGGGTATCTGTTGTTGTTGTTGTCGTGATGATGGATTCATATAATTTTGTCTAGATACAGGAACAAATACAGCAGGTTGCTGAGGAAAAGTATTGGTTGCAGGTGTGGTTACTGATGGATATACTGGTTGCTGAGAAAACATTGGTTGCGGCTGTGGTTGCTGTGGTTGTTGCGGTATTTGTTGTTGTTGTTGTTGTTGCGGTATTTGTTGTTGTTGTTGTTGTTGCAAGGGAAACATACCTTCACTTGGCGTAAATTGTCCTTGATAAGGAATATCATTTGTTATTATATATTGTTGTGATCCATTTAAAACAGCTGGTGAACCATAAGAGTTTACAGACATAATCAAAAATTAATTGTGATATTAACTTAACGTAATTAAATGATGAAATGAAATAATGATGGTAATAAAATTGAAAAATATAATCTAACCTCTATATTGATGGAATATGCAAAAAAATACAATTATTTTTTAAAAAAAAAGAAAACAAAATATCAATACAATTAATACAAATATATCTTTGATACTAACTATTACAACAAAACAAATGAATCTTAATTAAAGTGCAGAGTAAAATCAATAGAAAATGAAACAATTATTGTGCATACACATGCACACGGACACGTATAGATATGCGTGTTAAAGTTGTAGCCTATGTCTCAATATTTTAAGTAATTATTGGTCAACTTAATTGTCTGCTTCCCTCCACCCTTCTAACAGTCTGCTTGCCATTAGTTAAGACCAAAGTTTAATGCAGTCTAATAACAACTACTTTTGACAGATACTGTCGTTATTGGAATAATCTTCAAATTTTCTTCCTTATTTAATTTGAATTCGGATCCAAATCTTCAAATGACGAAAAAAAAAAAAAAAGCAAACAAACAAACAAACACAAAGTTATCACGTGATCAAGGTTTCGTACAACAAAAAAAACAAGGAAAATCAAGACAGGCGATGAAGGTATGGGTGTATCACTAGGAAATTAAAAAGTTTAACGGATGTCACAAAAAATCAAAGAAAGAACAACTTGACTATTTGAAGTTGTACAAGGATAAGATTAGGCTTACAAAATATGCTTCTGATAGTTTCAACAAACAATGATGCTTGGATCAATAGTGAAATTCTTATATTTTATTGACAAAATTATTTCTATTTTTTTTTTTGGGTATTTTTTGACAAACAATTCATAGTATACATTAAATGATCTACTTACGTATATGAACGTGAGGAAGTGATAAATAAAGAATGAGCTTGTGTTTATATTTTATATATTAAATATATTCAAAGAGATCAAAGTGCGAAACACTGTAAAAAAGCTATGCTGTATTAGCCACATCTCTATCTATACATCTAAGCAATTAATGGAGCTAAAACAGGGTTGGAGGCTACAACACCGTCATAGTTAGAGTTCAAGAATTTCAATAATTCAATAACTCTTAATTTCATTTCTTCAGTCTGGAATTGTTTTAATCTTTCCATGTTTTCTTCTCTACCCAATGTAGATTCTTGTTCTAATTTAATTCTTTCACTTTCTTTAGTGAAAATGGCAGCAAAAATTTCGACTATTTTTGGTGTTTCTTTAGTAATAATAGAGTTGTTATCTTGGTATAACTTCATAATCAATTCAAAGATTGGAGTATATTCTTCAAAACCTGTTTGGAATGGTAAATGAGATAAAATAGCTGGAATGGTTTGATCTAAAGGAACTAAATTTTCATGTTTTAAAACCATTCTTGCAACACACCCACAAACATTAGAAAAGGCTCTATCAATAGTTTCTCTGGTAGCCTCATCGTCCTCCAATGAAAGTGCTTTTTGGTCTGCTGTGTGTAGAATTTGATAAAGAGCTTTCAATATTGGTTCATAAACACTAGAAATATCAAAGGATGCATATTGACATAACAATCCAACACCATAAGCAGCATTACCTCTAACTTCTAAGGACTTATCAGTAGTCAATCTAATCACCAAAGCCTCTAGCATTTCTTGAATAAATGGATTTTGTTCTTTCATACCAAGAGCTAACTCAGAAACTGCACCAACAACTGATGACCTCTTGTTTTTAGATTTGGATTGGAATAAACCAAGAACAGTTGGTTTCATACCTTCAAACACTTTAGCAAAATCACCAGCTAAAGCATGAGATAAACTGACTAAAACTTCTAAAGCAACATCTTGTAAGGTAGCTTCAGTTTCTGATGCATCCATATCTTCATCTTTTGGAATATCGTCTTCTAAATCAATAGTTTGACAGGCATGAGTACCCTTTAAAACACTTGTGACTTGAACCAACAAAGTTTCTAAAGAAGAAGAATCACCATTATCCATGATAATAATTGGACCGAATTTCTTAATCATGTTAGCAAAGTCTTCTAATATAGTAATAATCATGGTGGTTTCAAATTCTTCAACCAAATTTTGGATAGACACTTCTCTGGCATTCTTGATAACCATTAACACGGTTTCATCAACATAAGAACCAGCTGGTAAGCCTTTTGGATATGATTCTTCTACAATTTTAGAAGCTAATAAAACAGCTTTAACAACATTCCAGATAGTGTTCAATGCAGTTTCTCTTAAACCATAAGATTCATCAACTTGCTTGTTCAAAACTTCTAAACTCTTTTCAACATATGGTAAGAAACTTTCCTTGGTACCAATAGCTAATTCAGATAAAGCAGCAGCAGCAACTTCCTTTTCATAAGAAATACCAGTATTGACGGTAAATTTACTTTGTAGGTCTTCTTCTGCACCACTTTCAGCAAGAGCAGCTAGCTCTTCTTCATCACCATCAAAGTTGAATTGATATTCTTCTAATTCTAAAGTTTTAAAAATTTCTGGTAAAATGGTTGGCAAGAAGGTAGCGAAATTTTCACCATAAACTTTAGATAAGTTAGCAATGAACGCATAACCTGATTCTCTTAATCTAGCAGAATCTGTTTTGATAGCTTCATAGGCAGAATTAACTAATGGTTCAGCAAATTCAGCAAATGCTTCAGATCTAACGGCTCTGGCCATAGTTGAAATATTCTCAAATGTCATAGCTCTTAATTCAATATCGTCATCACTCATACCTTCAATTTGACTACAATTTTGAATAAATTGTTCCAAATATTGAACACTCGTTTTGAAGTATGGAATAAATGCAGTACCGGATGCAAATGCAGCAGAACCAATGGCAGAGACAACGGCACATCTCAATTTAGATGACTGATTGGATTCTAACATATGGAATAACTTGTTCATTAATGGTTCTAAGTAGTCAGAAATAGCTTCGTAGGCAATGAACTCTAGTAAACCATCTAATGCAACAGTGGCATAGTGGTAGATGACAAAAAACTTAGCAGAATCAATTATAGAGATGATTAATGGTAAGTAGTCGGCATAAAACTTAGCTACTTCATCTTGTAACTCAACAGTCATTTGATGAACACATTTTAAAGCTGCTAATTGAACAATTGGTTCAGCATCCTTTAATCCAGTAATTGTAGCCGGAATAATCTTATCGAATTGAGATAAAATATAATCTGGAGAACCACCAACAGCAACAGAGATAGCCAATAAAATAGCTCTTCTTTCAAATGGATTAGATGATTGTAACATAGCAGGAATATGTTCACAAATAACAGCTGCAACCTGAGATGGTGGCAATTCAGCAGAAGCAAAGGCTATTAATCTAATGGCGACTAAAGAAGGAGTGTTTTCTTCATTTTCACCAGCTTCGTCTTCGTTGTTTAATTCGTCGTCGACATCAATTTCACTGGCAGCAACTTTTAAGGCAGTTAAAGTGATTTCTGGACCTAATTTACCTTGAATGATCTTTGATTTTCTATAAGATAAGGCAGAAATGACAAATTGAATGCCAAAGACTCTGACCTCTTCATCAATTTGGCTATTAAGGGAGATTTGTAAAGTTAATTTTATTAAATCAATGATGGCATTACCAGTTAACTGAGAGTCTAACAATAAGAAATCATTTAAACAATTAAAAATCAATTTAGCATTTGTAGCATCATCAGCCTTAATAACGGCATCCAAAACATTGACAATAGATGGAATTAAACCAGCAAACTTAGCAGCTTGATTTGGATCAATGTTTTCTTGTTCTTCAATTAAAGCAGAGACATTATTTAAGGCTTGTGCGGATAGAGATCTAGTTTCTAAAGAAGTGGTATCATTAATTGTTTGAGCAAATAAGTTTAATAGATCGTCAATATACACAGTCAATGCAGTGTTAAAATCTTCTAATAAGGATAATAAAATGAAAACAGCAGTCTGTCTATTTTGACTATTATCACCAGCAGCAGTTTGAATTAAACTTGGAACCAAATCTGGCCATTTGTTAGATTCTAATTCTTGATTACCAATAGCTGCAATCACACGAGCATTAGAATGACGAATAATCTCTTTTGGTTCAGTGAAAGCGGTTTGTAATAAAGACGATTTAATTTGAGTTTTTGTAGTTTCATCTAAACCATCCCAATGTTTTGAAACCAATTTTCTAGTTTCAACACCTGCTAATTGTTTTAAGGAATCGTTAGGGTTATTTTGAAGAATATGAATTAATGCTGGCAAAGTTTGTGGTTGGCTATAAAATTGGGTTTGTAAGACTTTAGTAGCCTCTTTTAACCCTGCTGAGTTTGGCTGAACAATAGCATTCAAAGCTTGCTCAAGTTGGCTCAAAAACTGTTGGTCCATCTTGAGAAATTGTTTTTATTAAACTTACTAGTTTTATCTCTTGGTTATAATGGATTATTGAATTAAACAATTCACAAATGGAAACAATGATGCTATGATCGTTTCTGTTTCTTTTGGATATAAATTCAGCAAACTTATGTATACGAAAAAGTAAGGTTATACTAACAATAGCTTGCAAATCTGTATTCTGTAACAAATTTGAATACGGAGAAGATGATTGATTTAAATAAACAAGGAATTATGAAATTATTAACTTGAAAAAAAAAATTTTTTTATTAAAAATCATCTCATCGCGACGTTTCTTTTTATTTCGTTTTTTAAATAAACAAACAAAAATATTATAAAGAAAAAAAGAAAAGAACACGCAAAAAAAAAAAAAAAAAAAAAAAAGAGAAACAAACATTAAAAGCGCCTAACTATTAACTTCCTTGCTTAGAAAAGTTGATTATTGTAAATATTTGTTGAAGAACCATAAAAGCAACTGAAGTGATGTATCTAATGTCCTGCTTAGAAAACAAATATAGAAAATAACAATACCTCCTTTAAGGAAAAATTATCATTTTATCTTGCAAAATTACCTACTAAAAAATTTTTTTTCAATGTAGCACGCTCAATTCTCATCTACTTTAGTGGTTATAGAACAAATCTTGAACTGTATATTCTTAAGTTGTTTTTAGGATGGTATTATATATTAAAATCTTTCTTGTGCCTAGTTTGTATATTGCTCCCTTCTTAAATATATTCTCTTTATGTTTAGAAACATCAATTTTCCTCCAATAAAAAAACTATTTCGATTAAATGGTATTTTTACATAACACAAATAAAAAATTCTACAACTTGAAATAAGGCTCTCTTTAACAATAAAACCACATAGTGTATAATTTTTCATGTCCAGAAGATGAAACTACTAACTATGAGTATTGTTTAGTATCTTACTATATATGTTGACGCAAGGCTTCGGAATCAAAAATTCTAGTAGAGTCCATTTTAGATTAATATAATAAGATAATGTAACTTACAATAGGATATTGGTGGTATTATAAGTTTTATTGTTATTTATAGTAGGAAATTAGTGATACTATAAATTGTTATTGTATTGCTTGGTCTTTTTCTTTCTACATAACTAATATACAAGATACGATATTATACAGTATACTCATTTTATCTTCGAATCTTCTTTAATATAAATTTTCATAACTTTTAATCACTTGGTACGGTGAATTTAGATTATCAAACAGAATTCTAATCATATTTCAACAATATATTTGTCTATTCCAAACATCATCAATATTTGATTTTTCTTTCTTGATAGGTTAGTTAAAGATACCGCGAAAATAAAAAATAATAATATTTTTTAGTGCTACCTGTTATGTGAAAGCTTTTAATAAAGATATTTTCGACTAAATGGTATTTTCAATATAAACTTTCATATCATAAATTTACTATTACTTGTAATTTAAAGAAGCATTATAATTGAAGCATAGATTCTGTTTTTTTCAACAATAAGTTTGGACATAAACAATCTTATATGGAAGAAAAAAATCGATATCTTGTTGACCTTAAAATTAATAACTTAATAACTTGTCACGAAAATTAAATGTATAAAATTTCATAAAATAATTATAGGTTCCTTACTTCATAAAAAAAAAATAAATAAATAACTATCAATTCTTCAATGCACAATCAAAATAACTTTGACTCAGTGTTTTGAATAAGAAAAAAAAATCATAATTATAATTGTCTATTATCACTAAAACTGTATTCATTATAAAATACTATTCTCTTGAAATCCTTTGTTATATTTGATAGTAACTCTCTTGGTAACTGCAAAACGAAAAACGCTTTTTCTAGTCACTTATAGATTGACATACTCTCTTGAACCTATTACTATCTTAACTGTTAAAAAATCCTTTGTAATTATCACAACTGACCTTATAACAGTATTTCTGAACTACGAATGTACTTAAATTGATTTTTTTATGATTTAATGGGCGGCTAAAATTCTTGTAAGTTCCAAATATAAATTCAATAAATAAAACAGCAAGTAGGGTTTCAGACAAACCCTAATATCTTATTCTTTTTTCAACGTTTAGTTTTTTTTTTTCGAATACATTGAAATTCGTAGTCAATGATATTATTAGCAAATCCTTATTTTTTATAAATCTCATTCTTTACGAGAAATTACGTTTTAAATGTCTTTTTTTTATTTTTTTTTGTCTTCTTAATGAAATCATTAATTACTGTCTGTTTTCCAATTCGAAGGATGGAAAAATAATGAATTGTAAGGCAGGTAGATTAAATGAATGTGTCGATCTTGCATTAAAGAGTGGTCTTATTACTCTTGCAATAATTAGAAACGTAGTAGTTATTATCAGTAATTACAAAACATAAATGATTAGGAAAAAAGTGTGTTTTCAATAAATAAAGGGGAAAAACGTACCTAGGGTAAAGACAAAATTCCAAACTATATATATACACATATATATATATATAGATAAATAGAGAGAGAGCGAGAGAGCCATGTTACCATTATACCTATTAACAAATGCTAGAGGACAACAATTAAGTGTTGAATTGAAGAGTGGTGAAATTGTAGAAGGTGTGTTAACCAATGTTGACAATTGGATGAATCTAACTCTGTCTAATGTCAAGGAATATAGAACCTCATTGTTAGTTGATGGATCTAGTACTGACCAAACTGTAAAAGAAGACGTGGAGATTCTTACTATGAAAGAAATCTACTTGAAGGGTATCTATATTAAATATATTAAGTTACAAGATAATATTATAGATAACTTAAAACAACAGATACATAACAACCAACATAATAGGGATTCAAACAATAGAGATTCTAGTGGTAATAGGAATTATCATAGAGGTGGAAACAGATATAACAGAGATGCTAGACATTATGGGGGACAATATCAAGGAAGCAAAAAACATTATAAGAGCGATATGAATAGAAGAAATTATAATCAAAATAATAATAGCAGCAACAACAGTCATAGTAATACTAATATTAATGGAAGTGGCCGTCAATATCATAATCAAATACAACCAAATGATTCTATTCCACAACCTAATATTAATGGTATAGGTGGATATGTCCAATATCATGGTATAGATATTAATACAAATAACAACAAAAATATTGATTCAGATCGTACAATAGAATTCTAAAGTGCAAGCTGATTTTTTAAATCCACATGTGTAGTTAATTATATATACATACATTAAAGAAAATAGAAAATAATGTAAAGGCAATAAATATAGATATTGTAGTTGTTCTACTTCTCTTGTTACAATATAGTAAAGATTGATTTTATTCGAAGTATATTCTAGCTATTACTAATTATACATGCAGTTTTAGGTATATTAATTATTGTATATCATAAATATTACATATATATATATATATTATAAATATAGAGAGTCATGGATATTGTATAAGAGAAGTTTATAGTGTAACTACTTAGTGTTCTTACTCATCTTTTTCGTGGCTATGCTTATTTTGTTTTAATAATGCACACAATTTAAAGAATTTGTAATATGTATCATTCTATCTTTTATTCCTTCAGTTAGAGTGGTACGATGGAAAAGAAAGACATTCCTTTAAAATGAAAAATTATTTATTATCATTATTATTATCATTATTATTATTAGTGTTTATAACGAAGTCTGAAAACATGCTTAACAAATGTTAAGGTTGCCACATAACCTAGAGAACCCATGGCTAACCCACACAAAGTGTTAAATAGGAGACTATAGCAAACGGAAAAGAAAATTGACGTAAATCCACGAATATTTAAAACCTTAAAGACATAATACAATGAATAAAATTCCATATACCAAGCACATGAACTTGATAATTGGAAAGATTTCCATCTCCAGGTGTTTGCATAATTTTCTGTCGATACTGTCATCATTAGATATGAGCTTATAATTGCAATCTCACATATAACTAAACATAACAAAATGATATTGGCTAATAAAAACCCATAAAAGAAATAAAAAGTCGTCTTTTCTAGCCAAACTGATTTATAAACATATTGTAATTCGACATAGATGATAAAAAATGGGAAGACACCACATAGGAGAATGACAATAACAGTGAATGAATCTAATGCCAGTCTTTTAACGTTAAGTATAAGTTTTCTTTTGATATTCTTTAGGAGATTGTTAGTTGAAGACTTCAAATGAATTGGATTATTATACAAGGTTTTTTTTACATCAAATGGAGACAGTTTAATTGAATCACTTCTTAATCTTGTGTACTCTTTTGTTCTATTCCTTTGGGCGAAGATACCACCAAAATAACTTAATGGAATACAAGCGATAAAATATAAAGAGATCAGTTTCACAATGGTGCCAAATGGCAATGCATTGGTAGAATCATGTGCCCAAATAATGCTATTCAGACAGATTGTAATGATCATAACAAGTCCGGGCAGCAGGGAACCACAAACAATGGGGAACATAGTTGTATTTACGATAATATTTTTTAAAGAACCCCGTCTGGTTACTAATTTATTATTTTCAATGGCTAAAGATGTGCCAACATAAGATGCCATAAATGCGCCAAGTATGAAAAAGAATACGGCCATGGATAATACGGTGTGTCTGATATTATGTAATTTGTTTAATGAACAGGAAATAGTTAAAGATCCGATAATTGTGAAGAGGAATTGAACACCCATTGATACTAAAAAGATGAAAATATGAGGTAAAGGTGATCTATCATTATGATACCAACTTCTTGCTATTACAAAGATTGAATTTTTCCTTTTCATTTGCACATCCTTTTGATGGGAATTATCTATTAATGAAATAGATTCGTTATAGTTTTCATCTAAAATATCTTTATCATTTTTATTGATTTTGATAAATATTAATGACACGATAAATGTCATTAAGAAGGCGATACCAATTGAGTTGGCCAGACTTATCCAATGGAATTTTGTAGAAACATTATTAGATAGTTCACCATTTTGGAAAAACAGATCATATCTATGATTCCAATCTATATCAAATTCTTCTCTCCAATAAACAGAATAAGTGAAGGGAATGTAAGTCAGTTCATTTGGATCCGTAGGGACAATAACCTCGTATTGTTCATAATCCTTTGAAGCGCCAGGACAGTGATAATCTGAGACAGATTTAGGATAGACTTCAAACCCAACAATCGTAAAATTATAATCGTCTATAGCATGGAATCTTATAACTAACATCAAATGATTATTAAGATAAATTTTGCCAGTGTCTTTATCTACAAAACCTAGTGGGAAACCTGATGCATAATATTTTTTATGATCAGTAGTCGATATAAAGGTAGTGGCAGCCGGCAAATCATCATCAATGAGCCATTGAACCACATAACCTTTCTGTATTAAATCTTTTAATGTCTGCATACCATCCTTTGTTGTCTTTCTCGCACAAAGTGCTTCACAGTCATTATCTTCGTTGAAGACTAATTTATAGTCACTCTGCCATTTACGATCGCCCTTAATAATTTCATTTAGTGATAAATGTAAAGGTTTCTTATACATGGTGGGAGGACAGGTGAAAGGTAAATCATAATATGCATAAGGTAGTTGCGTTACATCAGATTCGACTTTATTGACAATAATTTCAACTGGATCTCCGCTTTTGTAAATTGTCGGCGTTAACCAACCATCATCACTTGATAAAACCAAAGCAAATAGAGTTCGAAGTAGTCCGAGAGCTATTGAACCTAGTATTAAAAAAGTGTATGAAAACCTCATTTATTACTTAACCTAATTATTTTTATTCAATTATATTCCTACAGTTACTGCAATTAATGTAGTTGTAATTAGGACAGGAATTGTTATAATCTATTTAAATATAATATAATTTAGGTCACAAATAAAAAGAAGTAGAAATGATATTTATAGTTTGTTTGTCTAATTCTTTTATACTGTGAAAAAAAATAAAAAAAATAATAGGAAGAAATAAAAGGGAAAAAGAAAATTACCGCTGTACTTAACTAGGGCCCGAATTATTGTTAGTTGTATAATTAAAGATTATTGCTTGTAATAATTAGATCTTGTTTTGTTTACTTTAAAGCTAATCTAAAAACAAATAAAAAAAGGAAGAAAAAGAAAATTCGCAGATCCTAAAAATCTGTCGTGTTTTTTTGTAATCTACATAGAAAAAAAAAAAGATGAAACAAAAGAAAAGGAAAAAAAAAAAAACAAGAAAAATGAAGGCGTTATATAGAACAAAACTCATCACGATCAATCATTCTACATGCATATAAATCCATTTAAGGACTGTTTTTCTCACCAAATATAAATATTTCATCAAATAGATGATTCAGTATCGTATATATAAGAAATAGTTTTCTATCCTTGTTCTCTTTTTCAATTGGTATCTTGGAAACACATCATTCACTGTCTGTATCACAAATATATATGCATACACTTTTTCAAACCGTCAAAAATATTCGTTTCTAGAACAAACAAAAAAGAGCCGTCTTTTCTTATTTTATTTACTTTTTATTTTTCGCTTTTGGTCTGTTCGGCTGTTGACGGATTTTGCCCTTAAGATCCGATCACCTTAGCTCTCCAAATGTTGAATGGGAGAGAAAGAACAATTAAGAGACTAGAGTTATTTATCTTAATTAATTAGAGAACTTATAGAAAAGGCTTTCTGATATAATATATATAGTGTATATATTGAGTATTTCTCCCTATATATATATATATATGCATGTATATTTAGATCAGCTTCTGTTTCTTCCCCCTTTTTTTTGTTTGATATATATTTTTGTTATTTGTTGATTGATTGATTAATTGATTTTCTTTTACAAAACACCGCCTGTTAAATAATCTTCGTTTGATTTCTTGGTTTGACTAGATGTATTTCTTGGGCTATTGTTTTTATGCCCAATACCAGGGGATAGCATACCCGATGCTAATAAATATGGGCTAGCGAACCCATTACTATTTGAACCGACACTTGTGTTGCCTGTAGTACTAGTTCTCTGTAAATTTGAAAACACCCCATCTTCTATAGAGTCATTGTTATTATTACTATTATGATTATGATTATGATTATCTGTTGTTGAACGGTTTTTATATTCTAACCTTTCTTCGGATTTCTCAATAGATAATGATGATCCACCTATAGTAGCATTGTGTTGCTCTTCCCATAATCTTCTTCCCTCATCCTCGTCCTCTTCTATTCCGCTATTCTTTGTGAAATCTTCAGAACTATTCCCACCGTTATTTTTCTTATTTATTAATCTCTTCTTTTCTCTGGCTTCTGTCTCTCTTCTAGCTTGTGCTAACATCTCCTTGGCTTTATTTAATGATATTGTAGGCGTACTGTATGAACTAATTACTGGAACAGAGGTATCTATGTCAATTGTAGTCTTCAGTAAATTAGCCATCCAGCCTCTCATTTCTTCTTTAGTATCTACGGCAAAATAGTGTACACGAGGTTCTGTAAATGTTAACCCTTTCCTTGACCCTGGTTGTGGTGGTAATAATTTGAAACAATAACGCCCTTTCCCTGCGGTAGCCGCAAATAATGCCACAAATTTATCGTCATCTCTTGCTGGAACAACTCTATACCCGGTAATATCAATTAATCCACGTTCCTTTGTATCTGCTGTGCTTGTAAAATATGATAACCGAGTACCCTCTAAGATAAAGAACCTTGTTCGCCATGTACTCATAGTCCCACTTCCCTTCTTACTCATCCAACCTGAATAATCAGCCGTCTTTAATGCATCTCTTACAGAGATGTCTCTTAACCCCTCCATAAAAGCTGTTGTGTTTTGTTTTTTTAAAGGTGCTCTTGTTGTCATCGCACGTAAAGTCTTTGGTTTCATGACTTCACTTACAGATCTTTTGTTTTTATCATCCTCCAATATCTTCTTATTCATATCAATAGGTCTTGTCGATTGATCCTTAGCGCTTACTGATCTAACCTTATCCTTTTTCACAGGTGAAGTAATTAATAACTTGGAATTCTTTGTGTCTGGTGTAGTCCCTGTGGCGTTCTCAGTAAATTCTTGTCTAATAGAACTAGTTGTAAAACCATCCTTTTGCTTTATACTAAAAGAAGTACTCTTTCTGATGGAATTATCATTTGACGCTTTCTCTCCCTTACCAAAATATGACAATAAAGAAGAATTTCTTTTCACTTTATTACCTGAATTATTAGTAGTCGAATCCTCCATTTGAAGATATTTATTTTCGGTATCTTCTGTCATTGTACTTTGCGCTGGAGGTTGACTAATTGAAACTGATGATGCTGGCGATTCATATATACTGGAAGAAGGTCTATCTGAGTCAACACTTCTTTGATCAACTTCTTTATTGGATGATGGAACAGTCAAATTTTCGTTTTTCGGTACCTGTAAATTATTGATAACTTGACTATCGTGTGATCCTTCCTTATCTTCCGCGGTTGGTCTGATAATCGAGTCTTTCTTATTTTGATAAAGTGATGATGGTGAATAAGTCAATTTACTACTGGTATTTGGTGTGTAATTCTTCCTTGTATTTGGCATTGGGGACTTCGGAGGTTGTACAGGACTTGGATATGAAGGAGGTTTGGGTGCTCTTCTAGGAGATGTAAATAGATCTTCATTCTCTAAATCTTCAGTAATTGGCAATATTATAGTCCCATCTCGAATATCCTTAGTCAACTGATCATTGAGCATCAAAGAGATAGGTCTGTTATTGTCCAAGTTATTGTTATGGTTACTATTTTTCTTTGATAGAACAGGTTTGTCTGATTTTGTAGTACTTAATTCCACCATGGATCGAGAAATTCGACTATTATCTTTATCAACATGTGCTGGTGGCATTAACTCTTTGGATATTGGAACTGATCCTTTTAACATATTAGATTTTTTTGGCTTCCTTGCCGCTGATGTAGCATTCAGATTCTTTTTTAATGCTTCAATTTCCTTATTCATTTCAAATCGTGTTCCAAAGGAATTAATATCTAGTTCTTTTAGATGTGCTAGTTCCAATTCTAATAAAATAGCACCTGATATTTTATGTCTTTTAAAACGTGATGCAGATTCGACATCAAAGCCACAGTTTATAAAATAGTTAGATACCTCCTCGGGACTCCAATTATAAACATTTTTTGGATCCAGATATTTACCTTTTACACGAATATCTTTTACATTTTCATAACTCTGAGATTTACCAGAAAATTCTGTCTCAGCTCTTTGTGATTGATCAACTAGATCTAGGTCTTCTGTTTCAGTGATCACTGTATCTTCTGCAATATTATAACCAACTGGTTCTTTTGTACTAGATGTCACTGTATTTAATGATTCTGTAGGCTCATGAGTCAGCTCTTCAATTGCTTTGTCGATATCACTCATCGTACTTTTCATAGATATATTTCTAGATAGAGTATATTTATCCATAGTATTATTTGTATTCGAAGCATTTTTAGTTTCTACACCAGTAGTCTTGTCTGCCTCTTGGTTATTTTGGTATTTCGAAAATGGGGCTACAGATGCTGTTTGCAATTCTAATGGTGTTGGTATAGTGCTATTAGACCCATTTTGTGAGGCTAAATAACCATTGTTCCTATTGTTACTGTTATTAGATGGTTCTGGGTTTTCTACACCAAGGGGCATATTTAATCTTTTTACAGATTTCGCCCTCATTAACGTTGGTTTTTTTTCAGCACTTATTACTTGAGTAAAGACAACTGGATATAGCCCTTCTTCTTGAGTTCTTAAATTTCTACCAAAATACCATCCATCATTATACTCTTCATCATCAGTGATGACTTGAATTTTATCACCAGGTTTCATATTTAGTTCATCTTCCATTCTTTTTGAATATTCATTAATACATATATAGATAGGAAAAATCCTAGGAGTATCTGGACTTATGGTATTGTTTTCATTAATATTATGTTGAGAGGACTCAGAGTGTACACTTGTGTCAATATCTGACAATATTGCTGATAATTTATTACTCATTGATAGAATATTATCTCTTATAGATAGACTTTCGTAGTAAATCCAATATAAAGTATTTCTTTTTGCAGTGCTGCCTTTTTGTATGTTAGTAAATAGTTTGATTTATTTATTTGTATAAGTAACTATCTTATTATTGTTTCCGCCTTCTTTTTTGAGAAGTGTTTAAAAGTGTGATAAATAGAATAGCTGTTTAAAAAACAGAATTTATGTCTTTTCGGTGACACTAGTTAACGAAAGAATTTATTGACTTTTTATTATTATATATAGACGATAGTGAAAGCAAATAAGTCTTGATATTCTTAATCATGTTTATTATAGTAAAAATATACATTTCTACATGATCGACCTTTTTTTCATCTCATTTTTTAATTACTTTTAAATTTTTCAAAGAAAAATATCAAATATCATCCCTTTCACTGAAAAAGAGAAGAAAAAGTACACACTACTGGAAAATCAGACAAAAATGCTGAAATTGAACGACGCTATGAGGATCAATAGGATGATCCAGACAGAATATATATAGGTATATATATGATAGACCATCAACTATATGAGTAAAAATAGTGCTGAAAATTAATAAAATACAGAATAAAATAGAAATAAGAATATAAATACATTTACACAGATATATATATCACTGAACAAGTGTGGTAATAGTTTATTATCGGATTTCTTGTCTCAAAGGGCTTCTACATATTGCAAATGACCGACAAACACAATCTTTGTGTGATTTCATTGATGTAGAATAATTTATCCCATCAATAGCACAGGCTTCATGCCTTTTATCAACATCCCCCGCGAAAAAGCCAAATCCAACTGTATTATTAGTTTCATCAATATTTTGCTTCATTGAACGAATTTTTTTTTGTCTTTGAAAAAACAAAGAGACTTGACTCTTTTGAAGAATACTTTTCTTTTTTCTGTCCTTATTATTTCTTTTACCCTTTGATTTTCTCTTGATACTCATCTCAACGCTATCTTTCTTTTTAATAGCAGCAAGATGACTATGAATAGCTGTTAACGATATATTTGGACTTAATTTTGTTGTATCATATAACTTGGAGTAAAAGCGTTTATCATACAGATCATTAACTGTATCGGTGTCGTCACTACAATCAATACTTTCATTTTTAGTAGATCGATTCTCAAACAATATCTCTAATGGTTCAAGTGATAACGAAGAGACCATAGATGTAGACGACTTGTCAGATAAAATGTTATCTAAACGGATTTCCCATATGTTATCATAGTACGTTGTTATATTTCTCGAAAAAGGGTTTATATCTAATCGCATTGATTCAATATAGCAGTTACTCAATGACATTGATGATTCTATCACGATAATAATTGTATTGAAAAATCAATTTCTCTTTTATTTTTTTATTACTTACCCTATATATTTTCCCTGGTTTATTCGAAAAAAAAAATCACTATACAAGTTCGTGATATCTTATAAGAAATTGTGGTAAATATAGTAGTATACTGGTATTAACATAATTTTCCTTTATTTTTAATTATATTTGATCTTCATATAACTTGTTAAAACTGTATTTGATATTTGAAACATGAAAAAAAAAACATTGATATTATTCACATTATTAATTGAAGCAATAACACCTTTTTAGAATTATAATGAAACAGTGTAAAGTAGCAATGAAAAATGAAAAGATAAATCTAATATTACAACAGTTTTGAAACATTGTTAAAAGCAATGGTTAAAGAGAAGTATGATGTGCCTCTTATTACTATTTTCTATTTCGATATTTATAAACTTTTGATTTATACTTAAAAAATGATTTATTTAATTAAATAATAAAATATCCTTAAGTAATATAGGATAAAAAATTAAAATTTGATTATTGATTACATTTACTAACCTTAATTAAAAGATGATCTATGATCATTATTTCAAAATTAAGAAAAAATTGTATATTTCCTATTATCAATTTTTTGTAATATTATTTATCGTGAATATCATTTATTTTCCTCTTTTGATGTTTGGATTTGTTTACGTTTCATTCTTAGTAGTACAACAGTCCTTAAATCGACTTTAGACCTGCACAATGCACATAGTCCTAAATAACTATTTTGTAAATTTCGACTTGGATTTGAATTATTGACCATTTGAAACAGACAATCACAACAAAATACATGACCACATTGTGTTATTAATGCCCTTTCTGGTGGTTCAAAACATATTGGGCATTTATACTCTCTAATCGGCTTGTATGATTCAGGGGGTTTTCTGGATTTTTTCAGTTCTAGATCATCTTCTTCATCATCTAAAATTTCCACTACCTGTTGTTCTTCAACATCTAAGTCTATTGTGGTAATATTATTATTATCATTAGTAACAGTATGTTTATTTGTAGATGGTGGTTCTTGAGCAGCAATTATTGTCAGATTATCATCCTGATGGCTATTGGATTCTATACGAGGAGTTGATGGTGTAATAGTATTTATTGGTGTATCACTTGAAATACGATGTAATACAGAATCTTGTAAAATAGAATTAGAAGTTTGGTTAGTTCTATTTTCATAATGTGAATTTTCCTTATCCAACATTTCCAGTAAATTAGAATCTGAACTCATCCCAGTAAAATCTGTAGACGCCTCGTCATCATTTTCTATATTTAAAGCCTCTTCATTTCCTAATGTGATACTTGGATCGCTTGTGTCTTCAGTAACAAAAAGATTTGTTTGCACGTTGGACATATCCAAATTGACCCCAGCTATTTTCACTTATTGTTTGATTTTATGTTGTTTTTCCTACAATCATCAATGTCCTGTAGGCTGATAGTGAACGTTCAATTACTAAATAGTGTTCATAAAAACGAGTTTTAACTTGTCTGTTAAAGATTTACGATTATAGGTACATTGATATATTCTCTCTTTACTTGGCACATGTTTATTAGATTAATACGCAAGATGTATAATTGATGGGCATAATGATCTTGTAATTTTTGGTTTGGTTCAGATCACTTATCTTATGTATTTTTGCTTTTCTTTCTTTTGTTTCATTTTTTTTTTTTTTATTTTCCCCATTTATTCAAGCTTGCGATGTTCAAATGTCCCACAGTAAGATTAAAAGCAAATGAAATTTTATAAACGATTTCGAGTCTTCCCCTTTGTATAAACCACACATTCTCCTTGACTGTCTAAGTATGAACACCCATACATTTTTGACAAATAATTTTTTTTTCTTGTTTTTTTTGTCTACAATATAAGGTAAGTATAATCTCTTCCTGTATTTCCTGATTTGGCAAATATCTTTCTTTTCTAGAAACGAACTTTTGAAAAGCAGGAAAAACAGCAAAGTGCTGTAGATTTGGTGTTGTGGGCCGTTGAAGGGTAGGATGAGCCTTTCTCTGTTCTACAGTTGTAATCCCTAGTTGCATCACCTGTTCGTTTCGATATTCGGTCGAAAGTAAATGAATTCTTGGGGGTAAAGCATGATTAGAACGGGCAGATATGTTTAACCTTGGAACGCAATGGTTATTGTTGAACAGGTGTTTAATACGCAAGAAGGGGGGGAGGACTCAGTACTGTTAATTGCTTCCTGTAGGAAGGACCAGTTGTTTCTCTCGGGTTATGTCATCGAATGGTTTCTACCATTGCTCTCTTTCTACCTTCCCTTCTGTCTTTTGTTCAGTAGAACCTTCTTTGTTGGACCAAAGTTAGTTTGTCTCTTGCTAAGAGGCTTCCTTCAGGTTTCTGTTCTTTCTGGTCTTTCCAGTTTTTCTAGTCTTTCTAGTCTTAGGCTTCTTACCGCAAGGATTGGGATCCAATTGAGCAGTTGAGGAGAGAAACTAACCTGTTACCAACGATGCTTTCATTTTCGTAACACCAACTAACTAGTAACGGTAATGTGACAAGCAACAGGTCAATCTCATCAGTAGGTAGATTGGTCTACAGGTATTGTATGGGGGCGTTGTGAGTTTATACGTCTGGTTTTGACCTTTCTACTAAGCAAGGAACATAATACCGTTTTTGTACTTCATGCTGTTGAATCAAGGTTATATGAAAAGCAGTATTAAGGAGTCTTGACGTGTAGTACATTCTCCCGAACCACTCGTAAAGAGTTCTTAACAGACCCAAACAACTAAATACACGGTAACAATGTCAGGTAACGGTGCTCAAGGTACTAAATTTAGAATTTCTGTATGTTAAATTTGAATACACTTTTATTATATGAGAAGAATGGAATTATTTGAGACAGTAAGCTAGGAGAAAATGTGAAAATAGAATAAGAGAATTCTTTGATGTTGGGGTTATGTAAGAAAAATATTAGTAGTAGTATAACAAGCACAGTGAATATTGGTTTTTACAAAATGCAATTTGTTATTGATTCGTATTAATTTGTTGATAGCAAATATGGAGTGATAGACTAAGAAATTAAACTCAGAATTTTTGTACTATTTTTTTTTAGATCAGAGTAAGATGATACGTAATTACTATTCAAAAGAGTGGAAAGAAAGGATTGTGTCAAGAAAATTTACATTCTGATGATAAGTATGATTGATAGAGACTAGATTACTAACAAATGATAACATATTGTAATATTTCATAGTATATTTGGAATATTTCATGCAAAATTTTTAATCTGTATTCTTATTTTTAAATAGTTAGGTTTACCAACTGGTGCTATCATGAACTGTGCTGATAACAGTGGTGCCAGAAACTTATACATCTTAGCTGTTAAGGGTTCTGGTTCCAGATTAAACAGATTACCAGCTGCCTCCTTAGGTGATATGGTTATGGCCACTGTTAAGAAGGGTAAGCCAGAATTAAGAAAGAAGGTTATGCCAGCCATTGTTGTCCGTCAAGCCAAGTCTTGGAGAAGAAAGGATGGTGTTTACTTATATTTTGAAGACAATGCTGGTGTTATCGCCAATCCAAAGGGTGAAATGAAGGGTTCTGCTATCACTGGTCCAGTTGGTAAGGAATGTGCCGACTTATGGCCAAGAGTTGCTTCTAACTCCGGTGTTGTTGTTTAAGTTTATTAATAATTGAATACAAATATTAATATTACATCATATTTTCTATATATATATATATATATTAAAAAAAGAATCTCATAATCATTTAGTTCAAATCAAGGAGAAATTTCTTTGTTATCTTAATTGTAATATAAGTGAATTTATTATTGTATTTGGTATGTATACATATCTACAGGTGAGGCATACAAGGTTTCTATTATCTCAGTATTTTGTGAGGCGGTTAGAGTTTGATAACAAAAGAAACAGAATTGTTTTATTTTGGATTAGATACTAAAAACTATCTATAAATGTCAACTTATATATATTATCTATTTACATCTTAATTAATCAATTATTTATTTTTTCACTTATCAGCAGCATCAATTAATTCAACATAATTACTTGGTATAATGCCAATGGTGCCATCTGCTCTTCTAGCCTTCCACCATCTACCTTCTATATCTGTTACTTTTAAGATTTCACCTTGGTTAAACGATATTTCATATTGGTCGTTGGGGTCTGCCTCATAGGAAAATAATGCTCGGGCCATGTATGGGAAACTATCTTCTTCACCTAGTTCACTGTATAATCCTACTGTACCTGTCATCATAGTGTCGCCATTCGTACTAGACATAAATGTATCACCAAGACCACTATTATGGTTCTTATGTATATTACTTATATTTGTAGTAGTGTCAATATCCTTCTTATAATCTGTTTGATGGGTGTATCCAGGCTCAGTGTTTTCAAATCCAGCCAATGCATTAGAAGACATATAACTATGTTGTGGCACATTTTCAGTTGAATTACTGTTATTGTAGTTTTGATAACTCGTTGTGCTTGCAAATCTCGTATTACGATTGTTATAGTCATGCATGTTATTATTTTCTAGATTATGTGTTGCCATTCTACTTGATCTACGACGTGCTCTAAGTTTCGAATGTTCTAAAGGTGACGGTTTGATACCGTTCAAACTGAAACTATCTATCCATCTGTTGACTGGAGATGCATTGTCACCACCAAAATAAAATATCCAGATGAAATTGACAATAGATAATAATATGACCCCCGCAGAGGCTGCAGCTTTTCTAGAACCGAGGCCATATATCAAATTTGTAGCACTGTTTGTATTATAAACAAAACAAATAGAAATGCATCCAACAAGGAAAGATCTGTAATAGTCTATAAGATCAAATGCATAAAATAAAATTAAAGCAACTATGATAACGAATTGAAATGCTATCCCCCACCACGTGAATCGAGGAAACGTTTCATTATTGGAAGCAGAAGCAGCTGACCCAGCAAGGGTAATAATCCATGATATAAACGCAATTGATAATGTGGCCAAAGCAAATGGATCCCCCAAGAGATTTTTTATATCAAACATATGATTGAACCCTGCTCTTGTTCTGATAGGTCTTTTTGGTAGATCCATGATTATAGCTATATAAGTAATGCTTAAGAATAGGATTGGATAGGTAAACAATGATATGACGTTGGCAAGAATTGGTGATATGTTTGCTGTTATCTACCAGTGGGGGTAAAAGACCACATATATATTTACAAATGTGTTTGTTTAATTATGTAATCGCTTACTATCTTGAAATTCTATATTGATGATGAAAAAACCTTCTTTAAACGCTAAAGATGTTTAGATTTTTCTAAATTAGTTAAACTGTAAACAACTTACCAACAACTTATAAACGTCAGTTTAAAAAAAAGAAAGATATAGAAATTAAGCAGTTACAGAGGCATACATATATAAATACATTAACAGGAGTACTAATCTGTTCAAGGTCAAAACAATTTTATGAAATGCTATGTGATAATAAATAATTATCCTAAAAGATGAATTTCACTATTAAAAAGTTGATGCAAATTTGAAGTAGACAGAATGTAGAATTGCACTAAATCCATTACCATAGGAAAAACTAGAGATTAATTTAAGTCTAATTTAGTCTACTTTATCTAGCTATTATATTGTTTTTTTATGGGGTTTTCCAATAGTTGTAATTGAAATGATACTTAACTATAGCACTAAGTGATAGTGTAAGTTATGATAATATTGAGCCTATTAGAATAATGGTTTTTTTTAGTCTTTTAAAGTGAAATAGCGATAATAGAGTACTAAATATAAGAATTGTTATCATAGTAATCCTAAACTTAGGATTTTTTTTCTTTTGCATTTCCTATGGGACACTTGTGATACACCATGCATCTCTCTTCCATTATTTCTTTATTTGGCACTTCATGGCTTTCTAATGGCAAAAGTTATATTGATTCTTTCACTTCAACTATCATTATTTAAAGTGATACTGGATAAAAATGGAAAATAAAAACTGTATGTTCAAAAGAAATCTTAGTTAATGTTTGTGTCTCAGAAAACCATATATTAAACATATCATATGACTCTACTAATCGCGATAATCTAGTCGATTTACAAATAATAATACGAATAATAATTTAATTTAATAAATATAAGGTATAGACTTCACTTATATACTTGAACAGATTATTAAGCTATGACTAAATTAATGTAACTAAAGTGCTGTATAGTATGTAATTAGTTACCTTCTTTTTGGTTTTAGAAATTAAACTTGATAATATTACCACTTTAAAAGATTTGCTGTTAAATGCTCCGACAATTTACTTATTAAGAATATTTGCATAGTGAAGATATCTTAATATATATAAAATATAATTAATTTGGCATACTATTGATTTCTATCAAAAGCGTAAAAATGTCAATAAAATGATAATGAAAGGAAACCTAATATGAATAGCTACATTTAATATATTTGATAAAGTTAACCTATAAAAAGGTTGAAGTAATTTTGTAATAATAAGAAAAAGTATCACCCTACCATTAGATAAAAGAAATATTTAGTAATACCATATCTATAAGGCAATATTTTTTAATAGTAATTGCACGACTTTATACATTATATATTTAGTTAATAGTTAATAAGAGTATAGAAGTTGGAAAATTTATATATAACTATTAAAAAATATTTAGAGTCTCACCATTTGCTCTTGAAAACAAAAAAATTATAAGATTAAGAAGAATACGATTTGTATCAACTTGCACCTTTTTCATCAGTTTGTCATATACTTGAGTCATGTTAAATGTTCTTAATAAAAAAAAATAATTTGTAAAAAGTTCAGTTAGTTGCCTAAGTACACACACAAGAGGCTATCATTAACTAGGAGGATGCCAGAAAAATAATATACTAAAAAATTTGAACACTGTATAATATACAACTAAAAAGAGTTTAAAGGTTAATATATATTCTAACCACAAGTATACCAGCATTGACTACAGCAAAACATACAAATAGCCAAATCTTATCAGAAATAATATGATAAGTAAAGGGAGAGTGAAGTATACTCTGGGGTCAGGCTGTGAGTGTCTTCAAACAATCGATTAACAGATTAATGTTGGTGGCAAATTGCTGAGGAATTTACTTGCGAGACCTCTGATTATTGAAATAGTGTGCCAGAGATAATTATTAGCATTAACATTCATATTTTACCTAATAGGGTTCAACTAAAAGGAAGAATAAGTAGAGATTAACCTAGATAACTGGGATTATTCAAGAATAATTGGTTTATTAGTTTATTATTGACCACTATATGCTTTATAAGTGTTTATATATATAATTAATATCCATATTTTAGTATATTACTTGATATAATTTTTACAAGATCTCTATACAAAATTTCAATTTCAAATGTAATCTATTTTTTCTTTATGAAATTTAAAAAATAACCACTATTTGTTTAATTTACATAAGATAGTCAAAGAAAATTTTAAACTATTATGAAACTAGTTTTGCAACATTCTAAAACTAGTCCACTATAAATAAGAGGGTTAGTAATATATACATTTTACAAATATACTTCATATTTTGGGAAAAGGATGTTGACTAGAAATTAATATATAAGAAATATGAACTTAACAACATGAAATCTTTTTAACAATAGGCTACTTTTATTATCATATTTGGGGATGATAGTTTTACAATTAAATAACCAAAAATCATCTACTGATAATAAATACAATATATAATTACTCAATACATGCATCGATACATATTAAACTAAAAAAATCTGTTGTAAACATCAATGTAAGTACTCATTTTTATCACTTATGGAAAATAATAATAATAAATTATTCTTTCAATAAAACACATTAAAAATAATGGGTCATATATTTTTTAAATTTAGAAAATCCAAAACAAATAAACATATCTATACCATACCAAGTTTAACATGCTCTTATCAAAATTGATTTAGATTATCATTTACATTCGTCACGTTTTAAAAAACAGAAGGGGGAAAGCGAGAAAGAGGGAGGGGGGGTTAAGCTGAGTTGTATTAATCATACCAATTTACAAACAGATAAAAGTCTAGCTGAGTGAAGATATATATACCCATCCCTTTTTCTTTGAATTTCATTTCTTAATGAATTCCTTTAATATTGTAGAAAAGTAAGCTGCAACCATACAGAGTAATTTTTGAAAGGTAGTTACTAAGGCTGAATGACACTACACGAGTTCTTACTTTTGTCATTATTTTTTTCTATTGAACAACGATATATTATCATGATTATACTCCTCTTATAAAAGAATACTTCATATAGAACTTATATACAGGAAAGGAATAGGCCCTTCAATAAAGAAGATATGAGATAGACAAAAAGATTTCAATTGCATATTTATAAACATTTGCTACACTTAGTAGCCTTTTCTATTCGCATCTTTAACGATATCCATCAATCTCTTGAATCCCTTCATAAATCTCCTTCTATGATGTTGTGATCTCTTTAGTTCTTTCTTTTTACCAGGTTTCATGTAAAATCTTTGATCCCTACGGTCTTTCCACACTTGATTTGATGATAAAATTGAAGCCAACCTTCTAAATGCAGTTGCTGTGTCGCTATTAATTACATCCACCGTTCTACCAGCAAGTGGACCAAATTTAGTGGATAATGCAGTTTCTCTAATGTCTGAATTTTCTAATAACAATGCCTTTTCTAATTTCTTTTTAATTTCAATTTCATTATTGGCATTATCAGCCATGGAGAATGGATTATTATTGTTATTATTATTATGATTATTAATAGCACCAGAAGTATTGGTCAATGTGTCCAAATCAATCTTCAAACCAGATAGTGATGACGGTTTATTTAAGCCAGTTGTTGAATCATGTAAAGTAAAGTCTCTCAATGGATTATTCGAAAATCCAGGAATATTAATATTACCATTATTGTCTTGTCTTTGTCCTTTCTGTAATAAAGGAGTAGTTAATTGTGAAAATTGCCTTCCTAACAATATTTTACCACTATTTTGAAAAGTAACACCACTACGTATTATGAGTGAGGTATTCTGTTTCCACATGATTCCTGTATGCAAATATGGTGTATATATATATATATATGTATATATATATGTGTGTGTTAATTTTTCTTGATTTAGGATCTACTGATTGAATACTATGGGGACAATTAATCCTCAATGTCTGAAAAGGATAGACGAGAAGAGAGAGAAGGTGATTAGGTTTTCTTGAAACAACTTACCCGTACTCTTCAAGAACTAAATCTTGTATATATTTCCAATGTCTTCAACTCTCTGTTCTCTTGCAATAATTTTTCCCCTGTCCATCAACTCTTTTTATTTCCGAAGTCATTTCTTACTTTCCCTCTTTTTTTTTTCGCATTCTATTTATTCATTTTTGTTGTTTGTATCTAAAATTTGGGCCAAGTGTATAGAAAATTGATGAAGACAGAAAAAGAAAACAACTACGAGAGAAATACGTAATATGGTAAACATATAAGTATACTTATATGGATACTAAGGCACTATTAGTGTGAGATACTGTTACTTCATATTCTAGTGCCAAATTACTATTATCAAGAGTTATAATTATTACATATCCATTCAGCAAGAAAACAAGCAGGAAATATGGTCGAAGACGTAGTGGCAGAGAAGACTAATACAGACATGACTGTTCCAGTGTCTAATGTGGAGACATCTAATAGCAATGTAAATACAACAGAGAATAACCGAGTAGAAGTTAATACTGATGATGACAACAAGAAAAAGAAGAAGAAGAAGAAGAAGAACACCATAAAAAATATTGTTAATTATTATCCAAATGAAATTTATCCTGAAGGTGAATGGATGGTTTATGATCAAGATTTCAATTTAGCAAGGACCACGGACGAAGAAAAGCGTTATTTGCAAAGAGATAAGGAAAGAGAATCTCATTGGAATGACGTCCGTAAAGGTGCAGAGATCCACAGAAGGGTTAGGAGAAATGTGCAAAATAAAATCAAACCTGGCATGAATTTAACTGATATTGCAGATATTATTGAAAATGCCACAAGAAAATATACAGGAGCACAAGATTTGAAACAGATGGCGGATCCAAAGAGTCAAGGTATTGGTTTTCCTACAGGTTTATCGATTAATCACATTGCTGCGCATTTTACACCAAATGCAGGAGATAAAACTGTTTTAAAATATGAAGATGTTATGAAAGTAGATTTTGGTGTTCAAGTAAATGGTAATATTATTGACTCTGCATGGACCGTTGCCTTTGACCCACAGTACGACAATTTATTAGCCGCTGTGAAAGATGCTACTTATACGGGTATAAAAGAAGCAGGTATCGATGTCAGATTAACAGATATTGGGGAAGCTATCCAAGAAGTTATGGAGTCCTATGAAGTAGAAATCAATGGGAAAACCTATCAAGTCAAACCATGTAGAAATCTGTGTGGTCATAGTATTGGTCCATGGACTATTCATGCTGGTAAATCTGTTCCTATTGTTAAAAATGGTGATAATACAAAGATGGAGGAAGGTGAACATTTTGCTATAGAAACCTTTGGCTCCACCGGTAGAGGTTACGTAGTTGGTGATGGTGAATGTTCCCATTATGCTAGAGTTGCCAACGTTGGTGGAACACCTAATTTAAATAGTGCTAAGAAATTATTAAAAGATATAGATACTTATTTTGGTACTTTACCATTTTGTCGCCGTTATTTAGATAGATTAGGCGAAGAGAAATACTTGTTTGCATTGCAGAATCTTGTTAATCAGGGATATGTTCAAGATTACCCACCATTAGTAGACGTTAAAGGTTCCTACACTGCTCAATTCGAACATACCATCCTACTACATCCACATAAAAAGGAAATTGTGTCTAAAGGTGATGACTATTAGAATCACATAAAATACAAAAAGACAAGAAAGAATGAGGGAAGGACAGAAGAGAGAAAAAAAAAATATAAAAAAGAACAGAATTACTATACATACTTTATATAAATATTTTACATATCTGGATATATGGATCTATTTTCTTCTACAAGCATATATATAGATTGACTTAATTTATCTATTTATATGACTTCCCAAAATGACAAACATTCCCATTAATCAAATGTGAAAAAAACGGTGGGACATATTGTCTAATCTCTACCAGAGTACCTACTAAGAATGCATTATAAATACCAAGTCCAACTACCAACTACTAATTTGAGTTGCTGTTTATATATTTCTATATATTTCTATATATTTCAACATAAAACAGTTTAGTAGCACTACCTCTCAACAAAGAAAGGAGAAGAGGAAAGATGTAAGAAAGGAAATTCAATCTATCAGCGCTACCATAATTTTTTAAAGATGAGAAACAGAAAACACAAGAAAAAAAAATAAAAAATAAAAACAAAATGGAAAAAAAAAAAAGAAAACAAAAAACAAATAACAAATAACAAATAGTAAGAACATCATTGATTAATCTGTGTAAATTGACATCAGTGGGACTCATAGTTGACACCGAAAGTTACTATTTACTAATACTAAGTATTAGAGTTTGTAATTATACATAATTAAAGACGACTTAACAGTGTGTCTAATTGTTTGTTAAATAAAAAGTGAGCACAACAAACAAACCTCAAAAAGACTAAATAAAAAAACAAAGCAACAACTTTATTATAATTCACTATGTCTTCCATTGAAATTCTTCCAGATGTTTTAGAATACAAACCACCATTAACTGAACAATCTACAGAATATGCTACCATTACCAACAATTCTTCAGAGACTATAGCTTTCAAAGTTAAGACTACTGCTCCAAAATTCTATTGCGTGAGACCAAACGCTGCTGTGGTGGCTCCTGGTGAAACCGTTCAAATACAAGTTATCTTTCTTGGTTTAGCTGAGGAACCAAGTGCTGATACCAAATGTCGTGATAAATTCTTGGTTATAACACTACCTGCCCCACATGATTTAGGTGACAAGAGTGTTGCTGAAGCCTGGCCCGAATTGGAAGCAGAATTTGGTTCTCAAGCTATCTCTAAGAAGATTAAGGTTAAATATGCTCAAAATTTTGAACCAGAGGTCGCTGATGTTAAAACAAACGAAAACAAAGAAGAAACTATACCCGTTGGTACCAAGAAGGAAGAAGAAGTAGCACAAGAAGAAAATATGGAAGAAAGAGAAAATACTTCATCTGCAGAAATTACACCAACTTCTGCCACTACTGATCTTTCAACTAATCAACTTGAAAAGAAAGAAGAAAAACAAGTACCTGAGGATGTTAAGGAACATGTACCTGAAAAGTCTGCTGAAACAATTTCAAATAACGAAGTGTATCAACCTCAATCTTCATCATTTGTTCCACCAATTATAGTAGCCATCATTGTTCTATTGATCGCTTTGATTGTCCGTAAATTCTACTTATAATATTCAAGAAATTCACCAAACCACCATGTATGGGAGACAATGATATAAAACAAAATTCAAAAATGTAGAAATATTATCATATTAAGTGATATTTATCTTCCTAATTTTTTTTTCCTAATTAGAGCTTTATATTATTCTAATAATCATTTTTTCGTTTTCACTACTTATTTAATAAGTCATTTTAATTGCCTTCATATTTATATACTACAGTTATGAACTTTTAAGATTCTATTTTCTGTATTAATATTTATATACATAATATAGTATATGCAACTTATTTCTTTTTTTAGTTATTGCATTTTACCAAACTTTAAATAATGAATTGTAGAGAGAAGATGATAATACTTCTTATTCCAAATTCCATTATACTTTATTTGAATTAAATTATATATATAGTAATAGTTGTGGCATATAGACCCATTTTCAAGGTATAACACAAAAAGAAAACAGAATTGATATAAGATGTAAATATTAAAAATGATGTTGATATTATTTAAAGAATTAAACTAAAACACATAATACACTAATTTATATAAAGTTTTTAATTTAAAATTCCATTTAAGCTTCTAAAGCTAAACGACCCTTTGGATTGGTTACCTTAATACCTAAAGCCTTAGCTCTGGCTAAGATGCCAACTCTGTTCTTAGCGGAAACGTTGTGAGCGATTTCAGCAGCGTAAGACTTGGTGTGCATCATTAAGGTTTCTAAGTCCTTAATGTTGGCGACTAAGAAAACCTTGTGACCAGATGGAGTCAAGAACTTAGTCTTCTTGTTGGAACCGTAACCAATGGTTGGTTCAGCAATGTTACCTCTGAATCTTCTTCTGACAACAGAATCGATACCCTTTTGCTTTCTCCAGTTTTCAGCAACTCTGTGGTAACGGTCAGAATGGTGACGCTTAAACTTTTTGGAGTGCTTCTTGACAATCTTTGGGTGTGGTAAGGAAGAGGCCATTCTATTTAAAAAAAGAAAATAAAATATATGAGAGAAAATAATAACATCTAAGAATTTTATTATTTTATGATCATTCTTTGTTAGTACTTCAATATTTTATAACCATAAGTATCTAATCAAGCTGTCCCATGGGAATTCAGGTGAAATACAGTTTAATTTAAACAAAATAAAGGACATTATTATAAAAACCATTAAGGTAACCGAGATACGACTTTTCAACTTGTTAATCTTCCTATTCTACTTTTCAAATGTTGTATTCTTTAATATCTTGCTGTTACTCCCGTTCTAGTACTCTATCAAACCTGATTTTAGGATGTATCTTGGAGTTTCTACAAAATATATTTAAATATTTCTCACTATCTTATCTTCAATAATTTAGTCTATATTCTAACAACGAAAACATCCACCATTCTTGGAACTTGCATATTTATCCTGGTACATACCTTAATATTCACAGTCTTTATGGTTTTCAAAAGTGGAGGGACTCAAGAAAGTATTCAAAATACACTAGTACATCAGAACTTAGCACCAACATATAATACTACTAGCAGGTCATTACGTAAATATTTTCTATATAATTTTATCAAGAATCATCTTTATTATGGATAGATCGATTAATTGAGAAACAATCAGGCAGTCTCAAACTTTGCTAGTCACAAAGTACTTGGATATCACCATAACACTGTATTACATACCCACATAGACACACAAAGACTATATCATACTACTAAGAGTCTAGCATACTCAGACTGAGAGGGATAGGGATAGTTTGTAAAGCACACGATAAGTTTTCCATTACTCTTTTGGAAGGAAAAGTGAACTCGTGAAGAGCAAAATTACAGCAGGATTCCCTGTAGTTTCATCAAACTTCCTACTAAGATACAACACCATCCACAACAACCATATAGGATACAATGGAGAGGAGGTAGTAACACTCGAGACTTTCAGTTTTTCATTGAAATATACATATTCTAACTCTCTAAAAAAGGGAAAAACGAGGAAAATTAAAAGAGAAAACCACGCAAAAACTCAAAAGAAGATTTCGTATTTAATATTCCTAATTAGGTAATTCTTCAATATTATTTTTAAAAACGACGGACTGTTATATTATACATCCACACACCATACCAGAATAGTTTCTAAAAGTTCTGGTTATGACGTCTATGTTCATTATATCGAAGATCCTCATAATAAGAATATATACTAGTACTAATGCAAAAAAACAAGATTGAATATTCTATTAGTAAAACATACTACCAATAAGTAGAACTATTTTACTAGTAGATGTTTTCAAATATGGTAATACCAACAACTGTTAAAATAAGATGGAATAAGTTTATTTTTTTTTCACACATTATCTTTAAGGTCTTGAATGACTTACATATAATTAATTTTAATACTAATAGACACCATAAATACATCTTACGGATCATGAAAAATGGGTATCACTTTTGATTCCAAGGTAGAAATTTTATTTTTACACTAGCATATTATACATTAGACAAATGTATCGTACTATGTATTAAGACCCAGTCTATGCAAAAGCCAAATATCTTTATACTCTAAATTGTCTTTGGACACCCATTTAGCTCGACATGGATGCTTTTCTATGGAACAGAATCAATAAAACCTTATGCTCCTTTCTTTTATTTTTTTATTACTTTTTTTTTCTTTTTTTTTTTTCTATTTTATAGAAACTTTAAAAGAAAACATATAGTCTTCATCGTAAATGCGATGAGATATATGGTATTGTTTTGAAAAAGAAAGAAGTCATGGATTAACTTTAAGCAAAATCAATTGGGTAAGCATTACATAGTTGTAACAAGTCCAGAGGCTACTGTATTCCTGACAAACATTGAAAAAATGTCAACTGTTATTGAGAGTGATGATGATCTAAACAAAAATCAAAGTTTTCCTGAACAGACATTAATCCAAAATTATGATAGAAATAACAATTCTAATAATGGCGACGCTAACACTTTGCAGAACGGAGAAGAATCTCTTACCAGACGAGAATTATACCCAGGAATGGTTAATAGAGTTTGTGACGTATGTGGTATAAGACCGGAGGATTATAACAAAAAACTGATAACTGAGATTTATTATTCAAATTACGTGAAGAAAAGAAGAACTATTCAAGCAAATAATACCGATATTGGGAGGGATAATCAATCATATAATTATCCTGGAAAGAAAAGAAGATTTTGGTAGTGACTACCAGAATGTGTCATTTTATTTTTCCAAATTAATAAAGTGATAGTTTCATGGTGTAATTATTTTTCTAATCTTTATAGATTTTGATTTCTTTTTCTTCTTTTTAATATTATCATATATTCTTGCTCATGACCTATACAAGGCATTCTAATTTATAGAGAAGATGTAGTTACTAAAACAGGACTATTTCTTTAGTGCTTTGCTCTTTTTATATTTATAGCTTTTATAATTGACATATGCTGTTTTAAATGTGTTTATCTATTATTACTATATGTTATTATTTTTGGTTCACTCTACTTTATTTACCTATGTACTGTTATATCTTGTAGATATGTTTCTCTATCTTCTTAAATAGTCCCTTAGATAACTGCCCAATTTTTGAGCACCTTGTTCCATAGCATCTTTAATGACTTGCAATTCATCATCTGCATTGATGCTAAAATCAACGAACCCATTATTACTGCTATTGCTATAGCCATTACCATTTATTCCCCCTGTATAACCATTGCCAAATGAACTTTCACTATCATCAGCTTGATCTTGACCAAAGTATGAAGAAGAAGAGATGGATGTAGCATTATCAAAACTTTTCAATTTTTCTCTAGCTTCTCTAGCTTCATCTTCATTATAATTACCACGCCCAAAATACTGATCTGATGAAATTGCCTTTTGAGAGCCAAATTTGGCAGCAATCTTACCAGTATATTTAGGACCTGAGGCAGCCCTCTTTGCCTCGGTATATTGTTTAGCCAAATCATTAGCATCATTTTGAGTCATACCAAACCCTAATTTAGCAAACTTAGGTTTTAAATCTTCTACAGAGTAATTAGATGAACTGTTAGGCAAATCATCATCCAAGGAATCATCCAAAGAATCATGAAAATCTATATCATCGTTATTTTTACTTTTATTAATCATATCGTCAGAAACATTAGTGTATGGCTTGGAAACAAATTTATTAGCGCCACTACCACCACTATTACTATTATTACTATTATTTTGGTACATGTTTGTCTGCGATTCCAGTTTTTCTCTTTCTGCTTCCCTTTCGAATTGATCGAATAAATCTTCTGCTTCAGATTTGTTAACTTTCTGAGCGGATAATTTCGTTGGTTTTCTGCTGGATGATAAAATAGAATGTTTCTTTGCACCTATATTTCTATTATTACCACTTAGAATGGAGGACTTTTGTCTATTGGAGGCAGTTGAGGTTGAAGAAACTGACTGAGAATTCTTAGAGGAGTTTAGTGGACTTGCAGAACTATTTCTTGGGATTGAATTACCTGAATTCAATTTGGAAGTGGAGTTTAAGGAACTCTTTGGTTTTTGCCAATTTGAGAAGAAATCATCCACGCTGGCATTCTTTGACGAACTTGTAGATCTAGAGTCGGTGTCAGTGTCAATATCGACTTCATTTTCATCAAGGACTAGTTCAGAGGGGTATAATTCGGTATCTTTTTGGACTAAATTATCAAGATGCTCTTTATAACGTTTAGCTACATTGCTTGTATATTTCAATTTTGCATTGGAATTAGATGTATCTAAAAATTGCTTGCCGTTATGTTTCATAAAATAGTCACGGGCCTTGTGATTACCGCCATATTTAAATCTTCTTAGATTATTAATAGTCCATTTGTCTAAAGTGGATGATTTGACAAAAGTGATATGGACACCCAAATTCCTATGGACTGCGGAACATTGGATACAAAGCATGACACCAAAGGGGACAGAGGTCCATGTTGGGTTCTTGTTACCACAATCAAAACACACACGGTTCTCTAGTTTGGATGATAATCTTTGGAATACTTGTTGTCTCACTTCATCAGAAACAAAAACTTCACCGTCGTCACTGCTCATTTTTTTTTTGTTATTCAACTTTTACCTATTTATTTATTTATTCACCTATTCCTTGCTTTTCCTTGTTGAATTACTTACTAATTTTTGCTTTTTGTGCAAAGAACTCCTTGGTAGATACATATATCTCTCAGGTTTGCATTGAGCGATAAATAAATAACACTCAGTGTTTTATTAACTGCACCTGCTGATTAAACTTATCTATGTTTTTGTTTACCCCATTTTCCTTTGATCCTAGTATTTTTCAAATCAAAAATAAACAAAAAACAAAACCAAAAAAGAAAAAAAAGTAACGTCAGCAAAACAAAACAAACCAACCCGAAGACACTAAAAAAAAAAAAAGATAAATAAATTTAGAACACCCAGACAGCTCACTGCATTTTTCGGTGTCTGGGTGTCCTTCAAAAAATATACATATAGGAAAAAAAAAGTCGTAACTAATGATGTCTATGCTTTGTTTTCTTGTCTTTTTTCTTTTTCTTTCTTTTCCATTTTTTTTTTCTTCTCGCTTTCAACGACAGCTAAATGGGTGTGTGCATATTATCTATTATGTGAGTTCAAAGCTTTTGTGTGTGTGTGTGTGTGATCCAGCTGAAAAGGACTAACTGGATAGCGTGTTGAATAACAATTACGTTTGTTGGAGTAGAAGTTTTGGACATTCGAAGAGGATGAAACCTGGCAAGGCAAATCAAAGGGAGAGCGGTGTATACAATTAAATACATACATACCCATAAACATAAGCACAGATACATCTACACTTATATACATATATGTATATAGGGAGAAAGAGAGAGTTTGTCGTGCACGTTTGGATGTGTAAGAGTCAAATAACAATAAGACAATAAAAAAAATCTCTTTATATCTATCTATTTATCTATATATATACGCTATTCTTTAACAGTGAAAAGAAGGTCAAGAGATATCTAAGTCGATCAAATAATAATGACTATGACACTTAACGTTTTATTAAATGGATCTTACATAATCCGAGCTAGTTTACAAAAAACATCATATATTAAAACTGCTCCATTGCTGCTGACAAGGCACTATTCTATTAATTCAAAATATAGTAATCTGTTGATTAATCAAAACAGTTATAATGATAATAATATTCAAAGATTTTTAAACAATGTTAAATGGAGACAAAGACTATACTCCACTGAAAAGAATGATGATAATAAAAGTGATATTTCCAATAGTATAGAAAATAATGAAAACAAAATTTCTGATCATGATAAAAAAAATATAATCACAGATTCTATTTCCAATAAGGCAACTAATAATTCCGAAAATAACACTAATAGTAACGCTAACACCGACATTAACACTAACATTAACACCAACACTAACACTAATGCTAATACCAATGCTAATACCAACATTAATGCCAATAGTGCCAATGCCACCACTAATGCAGATATAAGCCCCAAATTTACCCAACAATCCCTGGCATCTAGGTTGTATTCCTCTTTAAATATACGTAAATCTGAAAAGAGTATTGAATCGGAACAATCTAACCATGAAACTATCAATCACGCTTTATTGGCTACAAAGGAACAAGAGGCTAATAGAAATATCTCTAGTCCAGAAGCACAAGCAGAATTTTATAGACTATTATTACAAGCAAATTACCCTCAATATGTTGTCTCAAGATTTGAAACACCTGGTATTGCATCTTCACCTGAATGTATGGAACTATATATGGAAGGTTTACAGAGAACTGGAAGACATTCAGAAGCTGATGCAGTTAGACAAAGATTATTAACCGCAAGCTCCGCAGGCGCTGTGAACCCATCCTTAGCATCATCCTCAACAAACAGTGATAATTACCCAAGCAATAACTTTCCATCTATGTATTCTCCATTCTATGGCTCTAAAAAAGAACCTTTGCATGTCATTGTAGCAGAATCCACTTTAACAGTGGTTTCTAGATGGGTTAAATGGCTGTTGATAGTTGGTCTATTAACATATGGTGTCTCCGAAACTTTCAAATACATTAGTGAGAATACAAGTCTTTTAAAGAGCACCGAGGTGGCAGACAAATCAGTAGACGTTGCTAAGACTGACGTAAAATTTGATGATGTTAAAGGTTGTGATGAGGCTCGTGCTGAACTAGAAGAAATTGTAGATTTCTTGAAAGATCCAGCTAAATATGAATCACTTGGTGGTAAGTTACCAAAAGGTGTTTTGTTAACTGGTCCACCAGGTACAGGGAAGACTTTGCTAGCTAGAGCTACTGCAGGCGAAGCTGGTGTAGACTTCTTCTTTATGTCAGGTTCTGAGTTTGATGAGGTCTATGTTGGTGTTGGTGCTAAACGTATAAGAGACTTATTTGCCCAAGCAAGGGCACGCGCTCCAGCTATTATCTTCATCGACGAATTAGATGCTATTGGCGGGAAACGTAATCCTAAAGATCAAGCATATGCTAAACAAACTTTGAATCAATTATTGGTTGAATTGGATGGTTTTTCCCAAACTTCTGGTATTATTATTATTGGGGCTACTAACTTTCCTGAATCCTTAGATAAAGCTCTGACAAGGCCAGGTAGATTTGATAAGATGGTTAATGTGGATTTGCCCGATGTTCGTGGTCGTGCAGATATCTTAAGACATCATATGAAAAAAATTACTTTAGGTAAAGATGTTGATCCCACAATAATTGCACGTGGGACGCCAGGGTTATCTGGTGCTGAATTAGCTAATCTAGTTAATCAGGCCGCCGTATATGCCTGTCAAAAGGATGCGTTAGCAGTCGATATGTCTCATTTTGAATGGGCTAAAGATAAGATTTTGATGGGCGCTGAAAGAAAGACTATGGTTTTAACTGATGCTGCTAGAAAGGCCACCGCATTCCATGAAGCAGGTCATGCAATTATGGCAATGTATACTAATGGAGCCACTCCTTTATACAAAGCCACAATTCTACCACGTGGTAGAGCATTGGGTATCACGTTCCAATTGCCAGAAATGGATAAAGTGGATATCACTAAGAAAGAGTGTCTCGCTCGTCTAGATGTATGTATGGGTGGTAAGATTGCCGAAGAGATCATTTTTGGTAAAGAAAATACTACAAGTGGATGTGGGTCAGATTTACAAAATGCTACTAGTACAGCCAGAGCCATGGTTACACAGTATGGTATGAGTGATCATGTCGGCCCAGTGAATTTAGCTGATAATTGGGATAGTTGGTCTGGTAAGATAAGAGATATTGCAGATAATGAAATCATTGAAATTTTGAAAGAAAGTGAGGAAAGAACAAGAAAATTGTTAACAAAAAAGAGTACTGAGTTGCATAGACTTGCCGAAGGGTTAGTAGAATATGAAACATTAGATGCTGCAGAGATTGCAAAAATTTGTAAAGGTGAAAAACTAAACAAATTAAAAATGTCCACGAATACAATCGTTGAAGGTCCAGATAATGATGAACGTAAGGATGTAGGTGGAACATCAAAGATACCAACATTAATTAAAGCATAAGTATTGTTGTAATTGTACTGTTATTACTAGTACTATTATTATTACTAATTTTTAATTAAATTCATTTATTTATCTGTTTACTTGTTTATTTTTAAACAACCATGACTGACATACATAACCATGTAAATACATTCATACATACATATATTGAACTCAATATAACGAAAAAAAAAACTACTTGGTAATTTTAGTAATACTATGACTGTGTTGTGATTGAATAATAGTTAGTATACTTCTTTTTTTTCATATTTGCTGCATTCATTGTATGTATACACAAGATGAATAATTATTATGTACTTTGTTTTTTATCAACATGCTCTGTATTTTTATTACTGTTACCATCAGATGCTTGTTCAAGTTTTCTTTTCAACTTTTGAACAATTACATTTGGATTCTTGCAGTAGTATATTTTAGCATAGATTAATTTTGCATCCTGTGTAGATATGGTTTGATATGAAGCTATCATTTTTTTACAGTCCAATATTATATTCAATAAACTTTCAAGATTAATTTTATTTTCTTCATCTTTATTGCCATTTTTCTTATCATCATTTTCAGTAATATTAGCATTATTATTATTGTTGTTGTTGTTGTTGGTAGTAGCAGTGGTAGTAGAATCTGTGAATTGATTTGTTTCAGTGGAACTAAATTTCAATTCAAGGTATCTTCTGATTAATTGTTCATCCTCGTTTAAAAATACAGCTAAATTTATCTGTGGTGGAGTGAAATGATATACAACATCTGTCAATAATGCATCAGTAATTTTTTTTTTGCATTTATCATAGATTTTGCCCATATAGTTAAGATCCACTTTACCGTGTAGGACATTTTGAATATCTAAATAGAAGCCATGCAACGGTTTGTAAGGATGGTGATTCAATAAAGTAAATTTCAGACTTTCCAGTAATTTGAATTCATATTTCAAAATTTCATCTCTCTTTGATTTAGCTTTTTTGGCAAAGGAGTCGACACTAATAAAATAATTTTCTGATTTACATGCCAAAAATATTGTAGTATGAACTAGATCCTTTGGATCGAATTCTGTGACAGAATTCTCTAGAAAAAATCTTTTGAAGAAGATGATTGAGGTAGCCACGACCTCTGTAGGTAAATTCAAATGTTGTGCAATCATTTGAACTTTCTTTGCATAAAAGCTAACCAATTTAAGTTCTTCATCCGGGGTAACAGGAACTGCCTTTGACTTTATTGTTTGGATCTCTATATCGGATAAAGAATTTTGTTTATCTTCAATAAATTTATTCAAAGAGTCTTTCACTTTCAAAGTTGCGTTTTCATTTACTAAAAATCGTTTTTCCCTTAATGAGTCTGTTGTGAAGGACCAAAGTCTATATTGTGAGGATCGTCTGTATAAATCATCATCTGTGACTCTTTTAGGCCTTTTGATTTCTTCTTTATTCGATGAGAGTTCATTTTGATTTGGTATGTTTGTGACACCTGTATTAGTGTCTTCTGATACAGTTGTTGTATCCTTCTCAGCTGATATAGACGACATATCTAAGTAGTGTGCAAAATAAAATAAGAGAAAAGGAAAAAAGAATCAGACAAAAAAGTAACTCAAAGGGTGAAATGTGAGAAAAGTAATGTAGAGATAAGCTTGTTTGAAATTATTCTGTTTCATTACGAAAGTTTTAAAGAATATATATATATATGATCTTGCACGTGAAGACTGTAAACGTTGGATATTTTTATTCTTTTAAGTGTTTTCCCTGTAGCGGTTTTGGTTTAGTTTAGTAATCTAGCTTTAAAGAAAATTTTGAAATATGAAAAAAAAAAACAAGTTTTATTAAAAGACCTAAATATAGACAGATTAAAAACATACGGAAAACAAAAAAAACCAACAAACTGAATTTGTTACCCTACATTGATATATTATTATTATGATTGTTGAAGACTTTCGAAGTGTTTTATATATTCTATTGTATTATATTATAACACAACATATTTTACAATGGGTCGTACTTTTCTTCTGCAGTAGAATTAAACAAAGAAAAAAAACAATACACAATGGTCGCTGGTAATTAAGCAAATCGCAGTGGTTTGGCATACGATTTATTATTCATTATCTATTGTTCACGATCCATTACTTACTAGTCTATTATTCATGACCATTGATATTTTACAAACATAAATTATTCTTCTGGATTACGTAATACTCACTATTATTCAGTTCCTCCTCTCTTTTTTTTTTTTGTTTTGTTTTCTTTTGCAACAACCAGTGCCTTCTTTTTCAGAAATAAATACAAGGAAAGAAATAAAAAAGGGGAGAGAAGAGGGGAGGGGAAAGAACTTCAAAAGATCAAGTCGATGACATCAAGAATATTTGAAGTAAAAAGAGTAAGAACATGATTTGATTCAATTTTACAACACATTCTTTTCAAGTTTGTTTAAAACAGAATGGTAGAATGAAGAGAATCCTCGAAGGAACTTATTTTTTTTTTGGTTTCTCCAGCTTTATCGTCTAAAAGTTGATGGAACTCAAAAGGAAATCATATGACTACAAAGAGCAGATTGGTTACGAATTGATCGGTCAGTTTTTATTCTATTTCTTTTTTTTTTTATTTTTTTATGTATACTGGTTTTATTTTATTAGTACAACAATTTTTAGAAGAACTACTACTTTAATTGTTAATTAGGCATATGTGATATTTAAAAAAAAAAGAAAAAAGAAAAACATTTATCTATCTGTTCCTACTTGCCTTTCCAATATATTTATTCTAGGGTAAAAAGTTTTTTAAAAATGGATAAATTTACTAATATTTGGTCCATATTTATTTCTAAAAGTAAACATGCTTATATTTTCTTAAGTAATATTAATGAGGGTAGAAATCAAAATTTTTATCCTAATAATAGCAATTATAGCAATAATAATTTATCTAATGAAACTTTTAAAATAAATAACGTGCCTTTCAATAAGCCTGAATCAGAATATATTCATGATAATAATCATAATTCTGATACAACTGATGACTCCTATCTGTTAACAGATTTTGATTTGAGTTTTCCTGATACTTTTATTCATACAGACCAGTTTGCCATGAATGATAATACCTCAGATATAGAAAATATCCCTTCTCCTTCCCTTTCAAACAGTAATAAAAATCGTCTTTATAAAATTGTGTTGAGTACTGGTATAATGGTAATAAGTTTATGTGTTGGAATACTTTTTATATACCTCAGTAATGCTTCATCTATAATGAGAACTTCTGTGAGTGACACATATTCTAATGTTCAACAAGGTCGAAATCCTTCGGATTTATTTAATTTTAAAAGACAAGGTATAATCCAGCCCGCGAATTTTTCTCATAGCTTGACATACAATTCAGAAGTAAGAAGATCTTCCAAAAAATTGTATGAATTGTTATCAGGTTCCGATACCTCCTTTTATGACGATGAAAATATGATTTTAGGTACAACATGGTTTACCAAAAATGTCTATTCAAGACAACCTTATGTCGCTAATGGTTACATAGGATCGAGGTTACCAAATGTAGGGTTTGGTTACGCTTTAGATACTTTGAATTTCTGGTCTGACGAACCAGGCACTTTAAATAACGGTTGGCCCTTAAGAAATCAAAGGTACGCAGGCTCATTTATCTCAGATTTCTATAGTCTTGAAAGCACTTTAAATTCAACTAATTTTCCAGAATTGGATGATTTGGGTTACTCTACTGTAATAGCGTCTATCCCAGAATGGACAAATTTACAAATTAAAGTGACTGACCGGCAAAGGATTATTAACCATACAGCTTGGTTCAATCCCGTAGATGTTCAACTTGATGATATTTCCAACTATAATCAAAACCTGTCCATGAAGGATGGAATTGTCACTACTGAAATGGATTGGTACAATAAATTGATTCATATTAAAAGTGAGGTTTGGGCTCATCGCAGAATTCATCCCCTAGGTGTTATGAAACTGGAAATCTCACTTAATATCGACCAAATTGATGATCATGATGGTGGTGGTGCTGGAAATTTTGATCATTTGGAAATTGATATATATGATATCTTGGATTTTAAAACTTCAGAGAGAACGGTATTAAAAGAATTGGCCATCGATGAAAAAAATGATGCTATTTATATTACCGTACAGCCGAATAATGTACCATATTCTAATGCAAGTATTTATTCCACCTGTGTCATTAAAACTAAGAATTCCAATATGACAGTGGAGAAATTATTTCAAAAAGAAGAAAATAAAGTATCTCTAGCCAGAAAAACAATATTATCAAGAGATTCGCCTTCAATCCAGATAGAAAAATATGTTGGTATTATGTCATCAGAATTTCAAACGAATATTATCTATGAAAATTGTTCAACGCTAGAAGTAGCTAAAGATATTGTTTTGGAACATAAGGGGAAGTATAATGAATTACTATCATCTCATAAAAAGGCATGGTACGCACTTTATAATGATGCATTTATTGAAATTCCTTCTGATGCACTACTTGAGATGACAGCAAGATCATCACTTTACCAGTTGCTAGCAAATACTAGGCATTATAACGTTTCAGAGAGAGGATTGCCAGTAGGTGTCTGTGGTCTCTCTTCTGATTCTTATGGTGGCATGGTATTTTGGGATGCCGATATATGGATGGCACCAGCTTTATTGCCATTTTTTCCAAAAGTTGCACAAAATATGAACAATTACAGAAACTCAACACATCAACAGGCTCGGTTGAACGCTGAAAGGGCAGGTTATTCAGGTGCTGTTTATCCATGGACTTCTGGAAGATATGCAAATTGTACTTCTACTGGACCTTGCATTGATTATGAGTATCATATTAATGTTGATATTGCATTAGCTACTTTTTCAATTTATATGAATGGGGCTACAGGGATAGACGATAACTATTTAAAATACACAACGTGGCCGATTGTCCGTGATGCTGCTCAATTTTTTACTGAATATGTAAAATATAATGAAACTTTGAAGCAGTATGAAACTTATAATTTGACTGATCCTGATGAATATGCGAATAACATTAACAATGGTGCTTTTACCAATGCTGGCATTAAGACTTTGTTAAAATGGGCTATAGATATTGGAAACCATTTAGGGGAGTCTGTTGATGAAAAGTGGGAAGACGTATCACATAATATACATATACCAAGGTCTAAATCTAATATTACACTAGAATATTCAGGAATGAATAATACTGTTGAAATTAAACAAGCTGATGTAACATTAATGGTATACCCTCTAGGATACATTAACGATGAATCAATTCTGTATAATGCAATCAAGGATCTCTATTACTATTCTGAAAGACAATCGGCTTCTGGTCCTGCAATGACATATCCTGTTTTTTCTGCTGCAGCTGCTAGTTTATTAAATCATGGTTCATCATCACAAAGCTATCTTTATAAATCGGTATTACCTTATTTACGACAGCCTTTTGCTCAATTCAGTGAGCAGGCTGACGATAATTTTCTCACTAATGGATTTACACAACCAGCTTTTCCATTTTTAACAGCCAATGGTGGATTTCTTCAAAGTATTTTATTTGGTTTAACAGGAATAAGATATTCTTATGATGTTGATCCATTAACTAAACGAATGTCAAGGGTATTAAAATTTAACCCTATGCAACTGCCTTTGATGCCAGGTGGATTAGCAATACGAAATTTTAAATACATGGGTCAAGTTTTAGACATAATTATTGATGACTATAACGGTACAATTGTTCACAAATATGGGAATAAGCCCATTAAAATTTTAGTTCCTGAGAGATTGCTAAGTGTTGATCGTGATATTGATGTATACACAAGATCAACTGATGAATACAACCCAGTTCACCATAATGAAAGCAAATCTCATCAAACAGCTAGCTTGAATAACACTGGTCAGTATTACATTCTAAATCCAAAACAAGAATTCGTTCTACCCTTATTTAAGCCAGGGCTTAATATTGCCAACAACATTGCAGAAAATCAATATATTACTAATTTAACTGCAGGTGTGGCTGGAGATGTAAGCTTCTCAGCTATTGACGGCAATAATTACACACACTGGCAACCTTTGGATAAGGAAGCTGAGGGTAGACTATTAATTGACTTAGGAAGGGGAAATGCACAAAAAATCATAAAAGGCACGGTTTTGTGGGGACAAAGACCTGCAAAATATCTCTCAGTGTCAATTCTCCCTCATAGTGATATCATTGAGCAGATTATATCAAATATAACTTCTATCTTAGAAAAATCGTCCTTAGTTACTGTTAAACAAACTATTAATGAATTATTAAAAAACATTTCCAGTGTTGACACAGATCATAAAGAATGTATTAAAGATGTATTAACTGTGTTAGATTGGAAAAGTGATAAAATCAACACTATAGGAAAACAAGTACCCGATATAGGATTATTTTATGAGAAATTTGTTACAGTAATAGAAAAGTTAGAAATTACGCCAAGTGAGCCCTATTTTGGAGAATTGATGGAAAAGTCCTCCATTGAATTGTTACCAAGTAACAAAACAGATTTTGTTATTGATTATTCAAAATTGAATTTCAATAATACTTTAAGGTGCTTTAATCATTCTTCTCATCTTACAGATGATTTAAAATCAAGGTATATTGTCTTATCTGTTATAGGTACTTTTGATGATGACAGCGATTCCAAAGGTGCAACAATAAAGGAGATTGCATTTAGTACTTAAAAATTATTAAACTTTAACTATATCGTAGGTAATTACCTATTTAACACTTGTCTTTTTATAACAAAACAACTCGAAAATGGTAAGTGATTTGTGCTAATGAAAAGTTTTCATATGGTATTATGTTATTTTAACCAATAATATTAAGAAAGTACATTTAACTGACTCAACACAAATAAAGAGAATAGAGTTCAAATAAAGCCCATTATTTTTGGAAGGCTAGCTGCAATACGCTTAGCGTAAAATGATTCTATTGAGCAAAAAAAATGAAAAAAGAGACCGTCCTATTCCTTTATATAAACTTAAGTTATTTTTTTTAATTCTTAGGCTGCCCTTGTTTATTTTTATCCAAATTTTACATGTTAATAGGTTACATCTAATACAAGGATTCATAAACAGAAATTTTTATCAAGTTTGTAGGAAGGTTCTGATCTTTGAATATAATTATATAATGGCTATTTATGTATTAAGTGTACAAATTTTTTTGAAAATGATAACGTAACGGTTGCTCGGTTGTTTTTTTCATAATGGTTCACCTCCATGGTGAATGTTTATCAAATTTTAAAGTAATTGATATTTATATAAAAACATATATAATACTTGACAAAGAATCAAAAGATAAAAACTTTTTCTTACACAATAAAGTCACAAGTTTACGTCATAGATATCTACCTATTATCCAATATACTTTCATTATAATAAAACTTTGCATTTGTGGATCATGTTGTCATCTATCACTGTGCGTTAGCTAGTTGGCGTATTAATTGGTGAGTTCTCGTTTTTCCATGTTGATATGATTTGCATTCAAATATGTGAACTACACATTACACAGAGGATACTCCTGATAGTATTTCTATTTGAGAAAAACATAATTCTCTGTTGGAATCTTATGTTTTACAACAAAAAAACTGCAGATGGTTCTATTTACATATAATGTCGTATTAAATGATATATATTTTTACATAAAACAAAAATGCGAATTCTGTGGATCGAACACAGGACCTCCAGATAACAGGACCGAAGTCATAACTCTTCAGTCTGGCGCTCTCCCAACTGAGCTAAATCCGCAAAAGAACGTGGTTTTCGCTGTAGAATAAGGAGGTAACACTACCGGGATTATATAAGATTCTATCTGAATCTAAAGTGCTCTATTGTGTTTTAAGTTCAACGCGTCCATTTGCCACCTAGTATACAGCGTGTTCACACATTTTTGTTACTGCTCCACCATAACATATTGTTCTAAATGTTCTATGATCTTCGATTATATTATTGTAACTAATAATAAAGATATGGATTACTAATTCATTAATATATCAAGTTGAATAGTTGATCGAGTTCCAGAAAACATATAAAAGGACAACGTTTTCTGTAGATGGAACTATTTTCTGTTACTCCTCTCTTACACATAATTTAAATATATTATATATAAAATGAACAACCAACAAAGCAACCACCGAACATCGAATGCAGAATACAATAAGCAAATAGTATAATTTGTTGGAAAATGAGAGTTTATTACTGTCATTTTCATAAGAATTATTTTTAATTAGTTTTTCTATATATTATGTGGTGTACGGATGTACATAATATCAGGAAAACATTTTAATTGTCACCAAATATGTCTTTCGAAGATTTGAAAAGAAATGAAAAACTTTAAAAGAAAACTTAAAGTAAATAAAAGAATGTATACTGAATACACTATATAATAAATATGTACAGGTATTTAATACAAAAACATAACAAGTATCTATAACTTAATGATGTCTATCATTACCATGGACGCAGAAGGCTCCAAATTCCAACATGGTAGCGTCGCCGTTGTTGATGATAACGATACTGGGAACGATAAAATCATCAATGATCAAATCAATGACTTGAAAAAAGAAATTGTACAAGTCATATCTAATACAGATTTGACTGTAAGTGAAAAGACAAAGAAAACTAAAGAGTTAGGGGAATTGATTGAGGCCCTACAAAAGATTTTAAAAATTGGAAAAGACATGGACAATGTTCACATAGAAAAAAATATAGATGTTGAACAAAAGATAGATCTTATTCCAAAGAATCAAGAAATAAATAATTATAAAGGTTACATACTTTTATCAAAGAAAGATGAATATGGTTTTTATTATACTTTTAAAAATTTAGATGGCAATATTATTAAATATTACTATGAAAATGATAACTATAAATTTAACAAGAAATTATCTAAAATTGAGGAAATTCCAATCTGGTTCAGATCATTATCCAGATATCTAAAATCATGGAACTTTGATGATGTTACACAATTGACAGGTAAAATAGAAATAGATAAAAATGAAGAGGAAATAATTAGAAACATTGTTATTAATTCTATGACTGATGATATGGAAAATTTTGACTTGGATGAAAAATCAGGTATTGAAGCTATTTTGTTTATTAAACAGCTACTAGGTGAAGAATTCCCTAGAAGAGTTAAGGACAGAATGTGGAAAGAACTGATTGTTGATGAGTTCTGTACTGAACCAGAAAGGATTACCAAGGAATTTATGTACATGGTGAACTTAGAGAAATGGAGCCATGTAAAAGATGATTTCTATAGAATAAATGATAACTTTTTAAAAACAAAAATTGAAGAATCATTAACAAAAAACGTAAAACAAGAAATGATTAACAATTTTTTAACCGGTAAATTAAAAGGTGACTTAAGGCAATTGAATGTTGAACAATATATAAAAGCAATTCGGGATTCAATTAGATTGATGAATATAGAATACTGTGAATCAAAAAATTTAACCCGTATTGAAAAAAGAAGATGTATTAACTGTAATTCGTGTTTACATTATGCCAAAAATTGTAGAAAAATCAATAATAACAATACTTACTTGAAAGGAATAAATTATAATAAGAAAGAAGACAAGGAAGAGAAGAAGTTACTTAGGCCTGGTGAAATCAATGAATCAGAACACTAGATCAATAAAAGAAAAGGTAAATGAACTGAATACCATCAAGAAAGAAATGAAGAACATGAATACTAACATAGATTCCAGAGAAAAGAATATGAAAATCGAAAAGAACAAAAAACAACAGACTCGAAAAGAATCAAACATTAAAGATATACATAATAAGTACAATATAAAGATAAAAAAAACATACTCAAAAAATAAAACTAATGACAAAGTAGTTATTGATACAGCTGCTGGTATACATTTGGTACACAATAAAGACTGGTTATTAAACTTTTCATCATTGATAAAAGGACCAGAATATTGGGGTGTAGGGGATGATAGAAACCCAATAGAAATACTTGGAGAAGGGATACTACCAATTAAAGGAGGTAGAAATAAAATAATTGGTGTTACAGCATACTATTCTCCAAAACAAGATGCAACAATTTTGTCTGCAGACAAACTATATCAAGAAACTGGCATTACCTTAGACAAAGGGTATGAATCGCTAGTGAACAAAGAAAATGAGTTTGATACGAAAACCTTAAAATTAGGAAACACCATATGGGTCGATACAGATAAAATTATAGCTGTCAAGATGACTGATAAGATAATTAGAGCAGTTAAACCTATTAATCCATTAGCGATAAAACCTAATATCACACTTTTAGAAGCTCACTTACGTTTAAATCATTTTCCAGCCAGTGGAATAATAAAATCAATAGAAATGAACAATTTTGATGATGTGAAAATGATAAATGATAAAAAAAATTCTAAAAATATATGGTGTGAGATATGCGCTTCAGGTAAATTACATCGACACTTTCATTATACTGGTTCTATGAATCACTACACTTCACAAAAGGAACCAGGTGCTTCTTGGAGCTTGGATATATTTGGTCCTGTTGAGCATGTTAAAGAAAGATATTTACTCATAATGGTGGATAGTGTATCGAGATTTATTATTGCAACAACCCATATCAAGAAAAATAAAAATGAAATAGGAGAACAAATTGGATACAATATAAATTGGATTGAAAAACAATTCGATGTAAAAGTTAAAGAGTTAATCATGGATAGGGGTAAAGAGTTTGACAATCACGTAGTTGAAGAATTAGCTCACGAAAACGGTATTAATATTATATATACTTCTACTGAAGATCACCAAGCTAATGGAAGAGCTGAAAGAGGTATAAGAACAATTATTGAGGACACAAGAACATTATTGCTACAATCAAGACTTCCCTTAAGGTTTTGGACATATGCAGCTAAAGCTTCAGTGAATGTGAGAAACTGCGTATATAACAAAAATGTTGGAGAATCACCATTAATGAAAATATCAAAACATAAAGTGAAAATTAAATTAAGATCATTCATACCATTTGGTGCCCCAGCTATGATATGGGATTACAGAAGCAGAAAAACAGAAGCACCAGGAAAAAGGGCTATAACACTATCCAAGGATCCAAAAGGTTTTGGATATTATTTTTATGTACCAAAAGAAAAAAGAGTGATAAGTACCACAAATTATATATTACCAGATTATACAATAAATCACAGTTTAAATGAGAAGAAAGGATATGATATTATTGGTACATTTTTACATGAGGTCAAAAACAAAATTGGAGATATAAATGACATTGATTATGACGAGAATGAAATAGTAACATTGTTACCATCAGATTTTGAAAATGAACATGATAATCTGGTAGATGTTTTACACGAAGATGAAATAAGAGTTAAAGAACATTTACTAAATGACATCCAAGAAGAAATTAACGATGTAACGCCAATTATTGAACCTAGAAGCATAGAAAATATTAAATTAGATGAATTGTTTGACGATTTTGAAGTTGAAGAAGAACATATCAGCGAGGAAACGGAATCAAGAGAGTCATTAGGAGAAGAGCTGATTACTTCTCAAAATACTGTAGACACAGAACAGGATGAACAAGATGAACTGAATGTGAACAAATATGAACCAGAAACTAATTATAATGATAATAATAAAAATACTGGTGTCGAACAATATCCGGAATTAAACAGCACATATAAATCTCAAGAAAATGATCAAGCTAGTTTCATGCAAGACTCATTGGTAAGTAAATGGAAGGATATATTGAAAAATAAGATTGAACAGGAAGAAATTAAAACAAACATTATTGAAGACTCATTTAAACATAGTAAAGCATATGCCTTGGAGAAACTTAACGAAACACATACAACAGAAAAGAAATTAGAAACTGATAAACAACTAGTCTTAGAGAATGACCTCAATATAACACTACAGGAACCTGATACTCTTAATATAGAACAAGAAGACACACAAAAAGAAAAAGATAATGTTGAACAACGGAAAGTATCAGAAATAGAATTAAGCAATAATGAAGGCGCAGAAAATATTTTGAAACATGAAGAAATAACAACAATGGATACAAACATAACAGGTCAGATAGGACATAATTTAAAGAAATCATCAAAATCATTGAGATCAACTAATAATAAATTACATCAAGAAATTAATGACAATGTTAAAAATTTTATAAAACGGAAGATAGAAACTGAACACAAAAAGGAAAAGGAAAAGAACAATGAAAATAACAGTTTACAACAAGTTCTAGAAAGAGAAAAGGCACTGGAAAGTAATGATATTAGTGTTGCTAAGATTGACGAAGAACAAGAAAAGTATTATGATGCTAAAGAATCTGTTTCACTAGTATCTACATTACCAAAAGAGGAAGATAATTTAACTAAATCAACCAATACTACAGACTGGACAAAAAAAAACTTTACTTCCTTAAGGAAACCTAAAATTAAAGAATTAAAGAAAAGATTATTAGAAAACAACTTCGAAGAAACCAATCTTGATAATATCCCCAAGATTAATTTAACTAATATTGATAAAAAAAATAAAGACTTACACCCTAAGAAGATTTTTAAGAAGAAAAAGATAATTCGTTATATTACTCCTACAGAAAAATGGGAAGAATTCACACCTGAATCACGGGGGGAAAGTGTTCCAGAAAGAAAGATTAGAGCATTATTTTATAAACAAGCTATAACTGAGAATCAAAATTTAGAAGAAAAGATTAAATTCATAGAAGCGTATAATAAAGAATTACAAAATCTAGTTAATATGAAAGTAATTGATTTGAATATTGCCATAGACAAAAGTAAAATACAAAAGGATAAAATCGTAGGAACAAATTCTATTTTTACGATTAAGAGAGATGGAACTTATAAAGCCAGAATTGTTTGTAGAGGCGATCAACAAACAAGCAGTAGTTATAATGATATTGAAACATCCATTTTAAGTCTTGATTCATTGCGAATTCTATTGATTATTGCTAACAATAAGAAGATGAAATTAAAGACTTTAGATATCAACCATGCATTTTTATATGCAACCTTAAATGAAGAGTTGTATATACAACATCCAAAAAATGCAAGAAAGGTTACTCCATTAAGAAAGGCATTGTATGGACTAAAACAAAGCCCTAAAAGATGGAATGAAACCTTAAAAGAGTCTATGAATGGTATGGGTCTATATGATAATATTTACTCACCTGGATTATTCGTTTCAAAGGATGGTAATTTAATGATAGCAGCATATGTTGATGATTGTATAATTGCTGCTAGAACAGATCAAGAATTAGATGAATTTATAAATACATTGGAAAAACAATTCTCAATAAAAATAGTTGGTGGAATGAAAAATAATATGCTTAATACAGATATTTTGGGAATGGATTTGAATTATGATTATGAAAAAGGGGAGATAGCATTAAGCATGACTAGCTATATAAAGAGATTAGAAAAGGAACATCCAATGATATTAAATGATAAATTAAAAGAAGAAATGATTCCAGATATTGATAAGTTTAAAATAAATCCAAAACAAGATAAATTAATTATGACTAAAGAGGAATACAAGAAGAAAGTAAGATATTTACAAGAGTTAATCGGTAAATTAAATTATATTAGGTCTAGAGGAAGAATTGATATAGAATGTGCAGTAAGTAAAATGGCTCGATTAGTTTTATATCCTCATAAAAAGGTAATTGAGTTAACCGAACAAATACTAAAATATGTTTATAAAACACAAGATACAAAGACTGTTTTTAAAAGAGAAGAAGTAGAAAATATATCAAACATCACGGTGATTTCAGATGCTTCGCTAGCATCTGAATTTGATCTTAAATCAAGATGTGGTGCATTAATATGGTTAGGAAACAATTTTTTCCATGGATTTTCAAAAAAATCATCAATTTTATGTACATCATCAGCAGAAGCTGAATTAGATGCCATAAATCAGGCTGAGAAAATTGCATTGCTATTAAAATTGAAATTAGAAAAGATGATGGATTTTAAAAACATAAGAATATGTGTAATTACTGATTCCAAACCAGCATTGGACTGGTTGAAACAAGATTATTTTAAAGCAAGAACCAAATTTTTGGGACTTAGAATTGAAAGATTAAAAGAAAGAATATTAGATTCAGACTTAAGTCTAAGAAAAATCAGTGGAAAAGAAAATCCTGCAGATCCATTAACAAAATCCACTACTAATAAAGATATAAATAAATTAAGAATGATTGTACAACATGAATTAACACCCAAAGAGTTGCTTCCAATCACTGTCCTCTGGAATGCTGGTAATGGAAATCATTAAGTTATAGTGAACAGGAGGAAGTTATAAGAAAAACCAATTAAAGGGGCATGTTGGAAAATGAGAGTTTATTACTGTCATTTTCATAAGAATTATTTTTAATTAGTTTTTCTATATATTATGTGGTGTACGGATGTACATAATATCAGGAAAACATTTTAATTGTCACCAAATATGTCTTTCGAAGATTTGAAAAGAAATGAAAAACTTTAAAAGAAAACTTAAAGTAAATAAAAGAATGTATACTGAATACACTATATAATAAATATGTACAGGTATTTAATACAAAAACATAACAAGTATCTATAACTTAATGATGTCTATCATTACCATGGACGCAGAAGGCTCCAAATTCCAACATAATTATATAAGCACGATATAGCCGTTAATATATAAGACCGTATTAATAATTGCATTACCGATTGTATCAATTATTGTCTCGATTATTAATAGATTATCTGTTTGATATTTCTAGCGCTTTCCTGAATAACGCAAAACTCTGACCACATCATATTACAACAGTTTCCTGTTATTAAGCTGAGTGCTACCTTTATTGAAAAGATAAAAAAATAAATATTTTGAATATTTTTGGTTATTTATACCAACAACAGTAACATAATTAATCAATCAATTACAATTATAATTGATTCGTAATACAACAGGAAATGGATATTCAGTTGGGTTTTATAAGAATATAAAAGGACACTACTTTCATGAGGATAATTCATTTTCTACAACGCTTCCTTCTTATAAATTTTTTATAATATGCATTAGAGTAAGGATAAGAACTAGAGCCAGGATGGAATAACTATTAAAAAATGGAAAATGTATACATTAGTTTGGCTTACCCAAAGAATGTTCTTAGTAAACTGTTAGTATTTTTTTATAGAAAAATGACTAGAATTTTAAAAAGAAAAATCTTTCAGGGGAAGAATAAAAAGTATACAGGAATATACTCAATTATAAATATGATATATGTTGAGCTATGACTAGATTTATGTTTAATCACCTAAATCCGCCGTACCATGTGATTAAAAAAAGTTATGAAAATTTATATTAAAGAAGGCTCAAGATAAAATTAGTACACTGTATAATATTGTATCTTGTATATAAGTTGTGTAGAAGGAAGAGAACCAAGCAACATAATAATAATTTGTAGTTCCACTAATATACCACTATTAATAGCTGAGAACTTACAATACCACCAATATCCTACTGTAAGTTTTATTATCTTATTATATTAAATTAAAGTGAATGTTAATAGAATTTTTTATTCCAAAGCCTAGTGTCAACAATATATAAAAATAATGTACAATACTTGTATAATTTTTTAACACTTAAGTCGTTATAAAGATAGATATTAAATCTTCTACTTTTCAATTTTTGAAGTGCTTTGTTATTATGTTTATTTTGCGTGGTCGATTTTTAATTTACTTGTGTTTTTCAACAAAACTTAAAACGCAAAATGCAAACATTTCAAAATCCTATTTAACTATTTCTTTTTGTAACTAACTGTTGAGGATGAGCGCCTTTATTCATTGGATATATAGTAAACATTCTCAATATTATATTAAACAGATTTAGTATACAAAATTATAATAAAGTTCTTCACTTTCTTTCTTTATATACAACATAGAAATAATAATATAGAAAGATTGTAAATAAGATAAAAATAATGTATGAAGAAATCCTTGGCTTTATATATGTTAATATTCAGCCATTTTCCTCTACGAACAGTAAGATATTTAATAAATAAACTCAACAACTTTTGGTGACCTCTCAACAATTATTACTCAACAATTTATCGTTTAGTGTCTGCTAAAATCTTATTGTTCTATCTATTTTATCATAAAACATTCTATTTCAACACTAACACTCTACTTAGCTCACAACAATTAATGGTAGTACCATTTATAGTTTTATCATATACAGATTGCTAATGTTAATCATACTATCTGTAAATCAGAGCAAGAACTATAAATGATCCAAAGGAAAATAAAAGTTGCTTGGTCCAAAAAGAAGAAAACTGAAAAAAAAAATCAAGTATTAAAACAAAGAAAACAAGAAAATAAAATAAAATTTATAAATAATTTCATATACCTAGTAATGTTCCTTCATTAACTACCACCACCTCTTTTGGAAATTCAAACCAATTGTAGAACATGAAAAAACAAATCCAATATAGATTTTAATATAATTTCCAAAGAAACAGTACAAAGGAGCAGGCAAAACTACGTCTATATAAAAAGAAAGGAAACACAAAAGGGGAAAGTAGGGAAAGAATAACAGGCATCAGTATTTTATATATTATATACACACCTAGGAATGTGATAGGCAAACTGACACCTAAAAGAGAAGAAAGAAGAAGGTAAGAAAAAGTAAGAGAAAGGAAAGAACATTATAAGGCACGATCTCTTAAACGACACAATCTAACTCTGTTGCGAATTCGTCTCATGCTGTATTATGTAATTCTGTATACGAACAATCTTCACAATAAGAAAGTAAGACAAAAACAAAAATACCAAATCAAACATTAGAAAAAAGAGACTTTCCCTAAATGGCATAGATTTCAACAATAATGTTAATATAAGTTTTTCTCCTCTTTAGGGTCTTTGTTTTTTTTTTTTTGGTTTGCCTAAAAGTGTGTTTATTTTTCTTTTTTTTTGACAGAAAAACAAAAGAAAAAGGGTAAGAAAAATTCTTTGGTATTTTCATTTTCTTACTGCTATATTGGAAAAACAAAAAAAAAACACAGAAAATTTCATAAGTTGAAAAATTGGAAAGAAAAAGAAAAAAAAAAAGAAAGCAGTAAAAACACAAAGTTATATGCTTAGTACTGGTAATTTTTGAAACTACAAAATCATATTGTTGAGAATACGCACTTCAAAACAAAAAAAAAAGAAAGAGAACGTTGTCACACACATTAATTTAATGCATAATTAGCTTGCCTCCTTTCCCTTAATATATATATATATATATATATATATAAACACAGGCATCAACTAAGATAATACCACTTTTCACCTTAAAAAAACAAACGTTAGCACCATTTAACAACTACTATCCAAATAACCGATACACAAAAATAATATCACATAACATAGATAATAAAAAAATACTCCAGAAATGACTGAACAAACCATTCCTGCCTATTATTATTATATTGACCCATCAATCAATTACCCCATACAGCAGCCAAATCCATTGGATGATTTAATATCTGTCTATCATTTGTCTGATATATCACGTCAAGTTGCACGAACTAATATAGATGGATCAAAAGCTATAAAGCTACGTAAATCTTACAAAAATCAAATAAGCGACCTTTCCGGCAAATTCTCCGTTATACCGACCCGTGAGAATGGTAAAGGTGGTGAGCTGGCACCAATTATGTTTAATACAAATGCAGATATGATGAACCAAGTCCACCGTCCTACTGATATGACAGATGACAAAGATTGGAGACAGATGTTGATTAATAGAGACTCCAAATTATTCGAGAGTAGCGCTGGTATCGACTGGGATCTTTGTTCAAATGTCTTATCCCAATTTGAGAGATCATATCCAAGTGAATTTCAAAATCCATCGGCAGGTTTTCAATTGGAAGATTTAGCATTCGATTTGGATGGGACCGGAAAAAGTGGAGGTGGTCTCGGTGGGTCTAAGAAACGTAAAAATAAATCAAATGGGTCATCAATGACAACTCCTAATAGTGATGTTTCATATGATGATTCGAAAAGAAGAAGACTGGAATAATCAATATATATATATATGTATACATACATATATATGTTTGCGAGCGTGTGCTTTTTTTTTTCTTTTCTTTAATAACCTTCATATTTCCACCTTTTTGTTTTCTTTTATTCAAAAGAAAAAACAAATAAATGGGAGAGAAATCATATACTTAACCTCACTCCTAGCAATCTTTAACTTCCACATGGAAACAAGGAAAAATATCTAACCCTAATTTCTCTATTTCCTGTTTTACTTGTTCTATGCAACATCGAAATCCAAAGATCCTTTCTAAAATGGTCGGAGTTATCCAATCTTACTGCTCGATCTATTACTCAATCTACTATTTCTGACATTTTTTTAATTAGTTTGCCTTTTTCGTGATCTGAAAATGATTCTTATAATACAAGTAGCCATTATACTACGCCCTCATCTTCTTTGGAAGTTGCTTCTTTTTGATATTTTCATCTTATTTAAAAAATCCATGACAAAGAAGCACAAAACCAGTACATTAGGAAGTATCAACATCAGTCACTCATTAAGCTAGAATAATAATAGATCGGAGTTTGATGTATTTTCAAATATAGTTGAAACCTCATCTGAATCCATTATTAACCGTGATGCCTAAAATACCGATATTTCCAATTCTCAAAATTGTATAGCATCACAAAACAATAATTTTAATTCAAATGACTTGAATCTTCCAGAGTTTTAGTGACCTGATTTTCTATGGTGTAATTTTTTGTTAGTGGCTGGTTGGAAAACTAATGCCAATTCGAGAAATAAGGTGATCATCTTTATTTTTTTTGTTTTATGTTACAGCTCCTATATTTATTTATATTTATTCCTTATTAGACTTTAGCAAGATAAGCAATAAAGTCAAAATAACAATATTGTGCTATCAATTGCTTAAAAGAAAAAAAATGGTTAGATACCAACTAAACCTTTATTTATATAAACCTCTGTCAACCATCATTATTCACAGTAGTAAGGTCAAATTACATTAGTACATGTGAAAATTTGTTCAAACAAGATCTGTAATGTCCTTATGGCTACATATGTAATAATGATACACATACAGTACACATGTCACAGATAGTGTTGCTAACTTTTATTATAGTAAAAAGAATACAATTTCCGAACTACAACTTGATAAATAAATATTAACCAAAGTTGGTGATAATGCGAAAAAAAAAAGCTCAATAAAGTTTTACTAGTTTCTTCTACAAGTCCCATGACTGTTAATAATTCACTTAGTATGAGCTCAGAACTATGGTCTACTAAGATCTACAGCATATATATAAGTCTATAACATCAATACCTGACATTGGAAATTAGATATTGTGATTTAATAACTTTACTATAGAAATAAATGAAAAAAAAAACATTTAACAATAATAACAACAATTTTGATCCTTTAAATATAAACAAAATGTTTTTATTTATGTAACAAATATAAGTATATAAGCTTCTAAGTACTTATAGTGTTCTTTCTTTTTATGTTGCTTCCTACTTTGCTATAATTTTATCTTATTCATTAGTGATGGTTTTTCTTTAATATAATTCATGAAGTAGAGAAAAAAAAAAAAAGATAATATTTCAGTTGGAAAGTAACACTATTAAAAATAACATATATGTTATTCTAAATATACCATAACGTAAATAATAAGTGATGCTCTATGATATCTGATAATCTGCAGGAAAAGATTGTTAAAAATAAAGATTGTTTAAATAAGAACGTTAGAATAAAAAAACTTAAATGGAAACGAAACTACAAAGCATGTTTAAACTGCAGAATAAGGAAAGTTAAATGCGATTTGGGTCCTGTAGATAACCCACATCCACCACCTTGTGAAAGATGTATACGACAACAGAGGGAATGTCTATTTACAAATACTATACGTGAGAATTGCCAAACTATTGTAACTGATACTGTATCCATTAATGCCAATGCTACTTCTGTTTCACAAGAAATTAAATCATTAAATAAACTATCTGATATCAATAACGTACAGGTATCCTGTAAATCTTCCAATGAAGATGGGACAGTTAAATTAGTGAAGTTCCCTGATAGAGAACCCAACAATTTATCCCCTAATGATAAGATAGATAAAATTAAAAATCATAAGGACACATCCAAGCAAAATCTTGAGAATAATATTAGTACACATTTGACAAATAGAGAAGACATAACAGATCATGATGATTTTTCCGGTGGTAAAAAATGGAGATTAGAACTAGCTTCAATGCAAACTACACTGCAATTTTTAGCTGATGCAGCTGGAACAGTTGCAAAACATAATACCGTCGAAAGCGCAAAAGACAAATTAAATAAAGACAATCTTTTTACTGAAAAGTCAAAAAGATTTGTTGATAACAAGCAAGAACCATTATCTAATAACGGAAAACTTACCAGAAATTTGCATAAGTCTGCTATTGCATCATTATATAACTTAAATGGACCTGAAAAACCATTTTCCCTCCTTATAGACAAGTTAACTAAGATTAGACCAAGACCTGACAGAGTACTTTCTGACTTTAACTATATTGGTCCCACCGGCTTGTTGACAAAAGAAGAGGCAGTTGAATTCATTGGACTTTATTTTTCGACTATGCATCCTTATTTTCCAAACATTCCACTTCAGTTACATGATCCAACTGAATTGGCACAATATCCTATATTACTTTGTGCAATACTAACCATTGCTACAAGGTATCACACATTCAATGAAATTGGATATAATAATGGTAGAGATAATAAACGTAATATTAGGGTTCATGAACAACTGTGGGATATTTGCCAAAAACTTATATCTCAAACCATATGGGCTGAAGCTAGTACAAGATCAATTGGAACTGTGCTAGCATTTATTATATTTACTGAATGGAATCCCAGACAAATACACTGGAAAAAAGCTGATTATGCTAATAGCACCAAAGAAGCAAATACGGATAAAAATAAATATATCCAAGCTAATAGTAAAGGTAATGAGGAAAGTACAGGTATTGGTGCAATTAGGAGAAGTGACAGAATGTCCTGGATGCTCACAGGTACTGCAGTTCGTTTAGCTCAAGATATGGGATTTCTTGAAACAAGCACAAAAGTGTTTGTTGCAGCTCATATATCAGATGCTTTGACTTCAATGAATATGAATCAAAAATCCGTCCTCTCTGAAAGCTTCAGTGATATTAGTTTTGAAAGACAAAAATATCGAACTATCACCTCATATGAAATATGTAAAGAAGAAGGTCAAACGAATATTGGAAATGAATTATTTTATTTAGAACAAATATTAAAAGACGACCCAGAGAAAGAAAAGTGGATCGAAATATTAAAAGCCGCTCAAATTGAACGACCAGGTGGTTTAACAGACTTAGAAAGGGAATTTTTAAATGATGAATATATTTTATATTATTCCAGAAATAACGATGAGATTATTCAGCATCAACAACAAAATCAACTTCCATACCCTTTAAAATTCTCTTTTAGTCAGAGAGCCAATATTGAATTAGTACGTATCATACTTATTGGATATGATACAATATACTATGACAAAGGAAGAAGAAAATTGGCATCTAATAACCAAGTACATAATCTCGCTGTTCTTAATATATTAACACCATTAATCGAGGGCTGGTATGATACTTATAGAGAATGTATGAAAATTTTACCTGGCAAAGCTTATGAAATTTCAATAAAGAAAGACAAGAGAACTGTACATAATTACACACAGCAAATTATGCATGAATCATTATTATGTGATTATTATTATTGCCAATTATATATTTATTCTTTAGCACTACAAGTTGATGCAAGAGAATCCAAATTAAGAATGAATGAAATTACTAAAAGTGCTAAATATGTTGCAAAAGCTTACAACGCTGCCAAAGAAATATTGTATTCAGCAGTCAGAGTACATAAATTAAAATTATTAAAATACATGCCAGTCAAATGGGTAATGCGAATAGTTCGTGCCGTTTCTTTCCTGGTAAAATGTTATTTAACTTTGACCAACTCAGGTGAGACGGTCGGGAATTCCGAGGCTAGAACCATTTTAAAACTGTGTTGTATATCTCTTGATGAAACCCTTAATGTTATCAAATTGGCTGCAATAACATTAAAAGAAGCAAGCCCTGATGAACTACATTTGGCGTTAAGATATTCAGCAATATTATTATATCTTTGTAAAGAAATGACTCTAAAAAAGGAACAAAACAAAAAATTATTAGTAAATCGTGAAATCATAATAAAAGAAAATCGTTCACAAGACAATTCAAATGATTTTGCGACTGCTCCTCTATACAAGATTAATACAAAGGATAATGGAAATACACTGGCCTCTACAAATAAAACTAACAAGCAACAGAAAGTAAAAGTATGTGTAGTTCCAAATCAAGATAACAACTTGGACGATTCCAACACTACTAAAAAGTGTAATATGACCATAGTGGAACCATCAAAATCCTTTTCAAATATACGCAACAAAAACAATGCCGATATAATGACAGTAGAAAACGAAGCCTCAATAGTTAATTCCTCCTTCAATCCTATCATACATAATAATGACAATGTTATTTTAGACACTACCATAATATCAACAAGTGACAACCCGTTATTACCTGATAAAGCCATTGATTGGTTTTCGGGAAGTACAAATATTGGGTTAGATTTTGTACAGCCTTGGACAGAAATGCTTGAACAAAAATATCTTCAATATGGTAATACAGACTTTGATACGCTTGATTATAATGCGGAAGATATATATAACTATTTTGGTTATGAATTTGAGAAATAAGAACCATCATAGTTACCCTTGGAGTTATTATATAAAATTCATTGGATATAATAATTTTGATTACCTACTATTTTTTTTTTGATGAAAGCAGAGTTAATTTTTGATGATTATTTTCTTTTATCTAGCATGGCTATTTAAAAATAACTGGTAGGGAAAAAATGCTTTACATAAACCCAAAAATACCTTATTGTATGGTCTGTCTAGTTTATTTCAAACCTAAAAATAACTAACATGGGCTTAATTATTCCACTCCGATAAGTTATAAATCTGTGTTGTAGTTACTATTTAAACTACACAAAATGACAGTCAGAATAAAATGCTTCATCAACCAAATAACTAAAACAAATAATATATAATATTGTTTTTACTTCTTGCATAATTTATATATGTATATCTATTTAGAATGAATGTTCATTAATCATTAAAAAAAGGTGGTGACTATATACACTAGAGATATAAAAATCATCTATTGTCAGTTCTTAACCCTTCTATAGATAAATAAATATATCAATATAAGTCTTCCAGTGACAGAAATTGAGTAGATTATTTTATTAACAAGTATTGCTATGTGTCTATTTGTCATAGTCACATGGAGCATAAATGACTTGAGTAATAAATTTACCTTCATATCTTATAGTACAACCAACACAAACAGTATTATCTTTGATTGATGTTGTTAACAGATGTTTTAAATTTACATGTGGTATGATATTGTTAATCGTATTATTCTTATTAAAATTTTTATTCAAATATGTAGAATTCAAATAAATGGGTAAATCTGGAACTTTATATTTTGTTAAAAAATACTCTTCTGCCTCTTCAGTGGTCATCTTAGCTATTCTTTGAATATTAGAGAATAAAGAGTCTTGATTGATATCCACTACCTTTGATAATGTAAAATCAAAATTTTTATCAAAATTTGTAGCGTTTCCTTCATCATTACTATCCATATCATCATCCAGGTTATCAAATTTAAAAATTTCAGGAATCTCATTAGAATAGTTTACCTTTAGTGTTGGTTTCTCTAATGTAGTAAATTTACGTAAACCAAACATGAAAAATGATGAATTTGAATTTCTTTTATTTATAGAAGAACTTGATCTTGATACACCAGTAAAATCGGTCAATGAAGTTATTGATTTATATGATTGATCCTTCTTATCTTTATTTGCATGTTTCTTATTATGTGTATGAGCAGTTGTAGTCTCTTCACGGAATGGTTCTACAATGTCATATCCAGGCAGTACTTCAAACCAGTTGACTATATTACCTTTAGTATTTGTTGCAGTGGGTAAATAATTCGAATGATATATACCACCATTAATTGAAAATTGTAATTTATATATCCCTGGTGGCAAAAAAAGGTTCTTCATATACCATTCATTATTTTTACTATCATAATCCATGGCTAGTGAATTTGTGTCTTTATTAAAAATAGTTGGAGACGAAGTTTTTTCATTTTTCAACGAATATAACGTGGAAACGATATCTTTACTGATAATAAGAATTTTAGTGTTTGGATCAATACCAGGTAAATGATCCTTCCATTTTAATGTGACTTCAACTGTATCATTAAATATACTTCCCTTGATATCACCATCAAAACCCTTCGTAGATAAATCTTGTGTGTCACCAAAATAGGTTGAAGCAGATGATTTTGATGACAGTGTAGTGTTCGAACTAATGTATTCCGACTTAGCATTTTTTTCATAAAAATTTTCTTTTGTTAAGTTGCCCTTATCAATATCTGTATCATCTTGATTAAATTGATCCTTTTCATTTAAAAGATTTTCATTTTTTTCTGTTTTAGATATCCTAGAACTCTTGGAGCCAATTTTTTCATTAAATTTTCGCAGTACGTCTCGTGAATAACTGCTTGCCATATCAGGAACTACGGTTTTATTAGAGATACTTGAAATGGTCGTACTGTTCACTTCTTTGTTCAACTTAACAGATTCACTCTTCCTAGATTCTTTCATTTGTTGGGTTTTATCACCATATAATTTCAACATAATTCTTGCAGTGGCAGACATCGGTTTTGGTTCTACGGATATATTTTCTTTTTTAGTAGTATTCTTATTATTAGCATTATTAGAATTGTCATTGCCAGTAGGAAAATCAACTGTGTTAGGTGTCAAAGGCGTTAAACTATTTATATTTAGACTTGGATCTAATCGCTTTCTTTTGAAGCCCTTTTTAAGATTTGAACTAAAAAATTTATCTTTATTTTGTAGAACATTTGAATTTAAATCATTTGAAGGGTCAACATTTTCGATATCATTATTATTTAAAGATAAATTGGCCAAACTCTGATCAATCATTTTACCCAAATTTGTAGAAGGAATATCAGACATTATTTATAATTTAAAACCGTGCCAAAAGAAAAAAAAAATGAAATAAGAAAAAAATAAAAACAAACAAATAGAAAGGAATGTGAAATAATAATTGAATTCACTTTAATAAATACGCTTTTTATCTAGTATAACATCAACCAACAAACGATTCACTATTTTTTGCCTCACACTACCACCCGTTACTCCTTCTTAATCCTACTATAAACTTAGATAAATGGGATAGTGTATAAACCTTAAAAGTTATTCTGTGTCAAACTCGTATATAAGAAGTGTATATATACATACGTATAATATCGTTGCATTTATATAAATTTCTTCAAATATTGAATCTTTTGACGTCTACATTTTACAAAAATCTAAACAAAAGACAAAAAAAAAAAAAAAAAGAAAGAAAGAAAAAATCGGACAACGGAACGGAAAATAAAATCGCAATAACGAAATATTGAGGGATTGACGGAATATCATAGTTCCGCACAGGTTTGACATGGCTTTCATTTCTTGTCTTCAAGCTAGAATCGGAAAAGAGAAAATAAGAGAAAGTATATACAGATTCTGAAACCTGGAAGTGGGATGAAAAGTGTTATGAAGAAGCTGCTGATACTAAATGAGATAAAGAAAAAAGAGTTCTATCATAGATCAATTGGAATTTAATAAGACATTATATAAAACGATAGGCTGAAAAAGATTTTCATAACATCATGTGATAATAATAATAATAATAATAATAATAATAATAATAATAATAATAATAATAATAATAATAATAATAATAATAACAAAAATGATAATATTTAGATTTATCCTTGTTACGATACTATAGCCTTTTTCAATTCCCCTTTCTCTAGCAGTATTGACTCATTAACTGGATCATGTCTACATTTAATCATTAATTCATTACACAACTTTTCTACCTCATCCTCAAAAGAAATTTCATCTCTAACTTTAATTCTCCTAATAAAATGCGAACATGATAGCGGGAATTTAGCATTAAAGGTATCATTAGTGGTATTGTTATTCATAAAATTCTTATCATTTATTATTGATTGTATGGATTCCTTATTTAGTAAATGTCTTGTTAATAAATCACATTTTATTACAGCAGTATCATCGTTGTAGTCATCATCATTGTCATCATCACTATTACACGCACTATTACATGCACTGTTGCACACAACATTATTATAATTACTATCGTCATTATACTTATTATCAAATGATATTTGATTGTTAAAACATACCCCACCACAATTACAATCAAATGGTAAAATATTTAAATTGGACGCCAGATCATTATTATTATTAATATTATCCTTTAGAATCATATCTTTGTTTGAATTTTCCCATATATCTGGAAATGCTATATTATTTAAAATTATATCTATATTATTATTATCAATATTTTTCACTTTTAAAATATCTTTGTACCCTTTATTATCTTCAAAAGCGTTATTGAAATCCAATACATCGTCGCTACTAATACTTGTTAAATTATCTAATATAGGAAAAGAGTCCCATATATTATTATTATTATTATTACTATTATTATTACCGTTACTAATATTGTTACTAATATTGTTGTCAATTATATCAGGACTACTATCACAATTACTTGAATTATTATTACTATTGCTATTAGTTATACTTGTAGTATTAACCCATGTATTTATCAAATCAAAACTATTATTATTGGAAGATAAAGGTTGTATATTATTATTCAATTTTAAATCCGTATTAGGTATAACTTTATTATCATTATCATTATCTTCATCATGATGATTACTTCTATTTATATTTGACTCTTTTAGATTGTTGTTAATTTTACTTATTTCATTATTAATCAGAGATTTAATATCATTTTTTTCATTTAAAAATTTCAGTAAAAAAAGATCATCATCATTAAAGGATCTATATTGTTTCAAATCATCCAACAATCTTTTCAGATTAGCATTAATGAAATTAATTTCATTCAGATTCTGTAAGTTTAATTGTTCCAACCAAACAATTTTATTCTCCAAATTTTTCAACTTTTGTTCTTTCCTTTCTCTATATGCACGTTGTGCAATTCTATTCTGCTGTGTTCTTTTGTTTTTGGATTCAACATCCAGCTTTTTTCTTCCAGGTCTGCCAACTTTCCTCTTTATGATTGGAGGATCATTTAGAATATTTTCCTTGGTATCAGGAGCGGTAGTGGTCATTACAACTTATTTTTTTTTATTTTTTATTTTTTATTCTTTATTTTTTATTTCTTATTTTAATTTAAGATTGCCCTATTACTGTTGTTCTTGTTCAATGTTATGTATGATAATATTATTGGTCATATTACTGGTACTCTGTATCTTAAAGATAATATTGTATTTCTATGTATATATCAAAGCAAAAATCGAAAAAATCAAATAAAAATAAAAATAAGAAGAAAAAGATAGGGTGTGTATAATGTATATGCTATTCTTTTTTTTTTTCTCTCGAACTTTACCGACGCAATGTAACTTCACACGAAGAAGTACTAAGACAAAAAAACATCAGAAATTCTCTTCTCGAGGGATAATAATATGGAATTAATGGGAGGGAATTACATAGTATATGTACATACACATATATATGAGTATGCTATTAAATGGTATATATTTACCCATTTTCTTGCCTATCTGTTAGTTTTTAATGCTTTTAATGTTTTTTTATGCTGTCTTGAATAGTAGAATAGCCCATGGACCAAAATAACAATATAAAAAATGACCTTGTTCATGTGTTATGAAAGAACCGAAATTCTTACCGATAATAACATGCCATGTAGGTTCGAATTCCTTATCTAATTTAACTTTGATTTCATGTGCGACGTCTCTCTCCAACGACTTATTGTTAGTTAATGGTGCCATCAATTCTTTAATGGTTGCGAGTATTTGATCTTTCAGATCATCTGACATATCTGTAGCTTTAATAGTAACATCCATTATTGCTTATTTGTGTATTATTTTTATATATATATGCGTATATGTGTATATGTGTATATGTATATATATATATATATATATATATATTTGTACGTTTATATGTTTGTATGTTTGCGTGTGTTTGAAAGTATAATTGAGGTTTTCAGTTATCTAACAATACTGTTGTGTCACACAAAAAGAATCTGCATATGCCACTAGCATAGATTATGTCACCTGAAAAAAGCAAGATAAGTTCCCGTCTTCTTTTCTTTTCTTTCCTCTTGTCTCTCTTTCTTTCTTTTTCACTCATTCCTGCTCTTAGAACGGAAGAACAAAAGAACAGAATCAATGACAACACCGTGCGGATCGCCCTTTGAGCTGATTGTTCTAGAACCCAGAGGGTCTGGGTGTGCGGATGTGCAATTTCAATAAAACATTCTCTTGAGTGGAAGAAAATGAAAAATGAAAAAAAAAATACACAAAAAATGAATAGTATTTGCCACAGAATTATTTGGTGTGATTATCACTCTGTTACAAAGGTTGTTGGATATATGATGTAGCAATATCATGTTAGAATTTCGTTGTAGAAACACTAGTGTATTATCATAAGTCGTGGTTTCAACCAACACAAGGCACTAAAACAGGAAAGAATATATATATATATATATATATATATATATAACATTATGTCTGATATTGACTCTCGTTTGACAACCATCTACACAAAACACTATAATAATGATGATAACAACAGCCATAATACTGAAATTTATTCACTTTTCCAATCCATCCTTAACTCGTATAACAATAAGTTATGGTACCAATTGACTTTACAACTGAAACAGTTGATCAAATTAGATCCTCAATTATCACTAGATCTATACAATGATTTCATCCTATCCTTTCTTTTAGATAAATTGAATCCCTTGGACATTGTCAATTTTCTGCTATTTTCCCAAGATAATAACTATGAACATAATTTATCTGATTTGAGATTCCTGCTAAATACATTTGATAAGAAATTAAATGAATTGAAAAATAAAAATGAACCAAGAAGGAACTATATCAATTATCTGTACTCAAACCTTTTGATTCACTTAGAAATCTCTAAAAACCAATTGTATCTCAACAATATAGTTGTCGGCAAAGATTATCTAAACCAATTTGAATCCCTGTATCTCAATAACAATAACAGCAGCATTTTCTATCCCCGCTCTAATTCCAATTCCAATTCCAATTCTAACCTGAACAGTAGTTTGAAGGAAGAACTTCCGATCTTCATTATAAATAAGTTCTACGAAGTTAATTCTATATATTATGATTTGAAAGGGGACTATAACTCATTTTACACAACAAGTTTGTTATATCTGTCTACTTTAGATAAAAACAATAACAATGTAATTGGTAAAGAGAGTGAGTATGCAAACTTAAATTCCGATCTGCAACTAAAATTATGTATTTCTGCAATCAAAGGTGATAAAATCTATAACTTTGGGGAACTGTTACAACATCCAATCTTAAAAGACTGTCTGCAAACAGATTCCACTGCTCCGAACAGTCCCGTCAACCCAAAACTGAAATATGTCGTTGATATCCTGATCAGTCTATCACAAGGTGATTTCAATAGATTCAATGAATTGCTAAACCAAGCTGCTGAGCCATCATCTCCATACCGTGACTTAAACCTGTTCAACATTACAGGAGAGGATAATCAAACAGATACTTCAACATTACTTTTCTTAAGACAGAAGATTTGCATCATGACCTTGATTGAATTGATCTTTGTTGAAAATTTAAGAATCTTATCATTCGAACAGATCGCCAAGGCAACTCACCTCACTGATAACATCACTGACGTAGAGCACCTCATTATGAAAGCCATTTCATTGGGTTTAATCAAGGGGTCAATCGACCAAGTTAATCAGTTGGTCACTATTACCTGGGTTCAACCAAGAATCATCAATTTGAACCAAATCAAAAAAATGAATGAGAAATTGATTCAATGGAATTCCAATGTCCAACAATTAGCTAACCGCATGGATCAATATGGTTCCTCAATCTGGGTATAAACCAGACTAAATTGAGTCTTTTGCTTTTTTTCTTTCTTTCTTTTTTTTTTTTTTTAAAAATAGAAAAACAACAACATATATATATTTACATATCTATATACAACATATTTTCAGCAAATTAACCACACCCTTCTTCTCCTCCACCCGTATCCCACAAATATCAATGCGTCTTATCAAAACACGAAGCATTATCCTTGAGATCATCACCATGTCATGTGGTCTGTAAATATTGATGTGATTCTACATCCAAAAAGCTTTTGAACAGCATTTGTCATTTCTAACGAACGGGCAGTGTAAATGCACATCCACACACCCACACAAGAAGAAAATTTTCATCCAAACAAGCCCAAAAGAGAAAGAGAAGAGAGAAACACGAAGGAAAGAAACTGAGAACCATATACCTTTTTTTAATAACGAAGTTGACCATTTTGCTTGTTCGACTTTTATTTCTAGAGAGGAATCGTATCCACTCTATTACTTACATCAGTTCTCTTATCTTTGTGTTCATTTTTATCTTCTTATCGAGACTACTAAGTTCAAACTAGCTAAGCCAGTGAATATCAGTAAGTATGTCTGAAGAAAATAATTCTCAAGGTGACATTCCACCTCCACCTCCACCAACTACTGTTGAAGAACAACCGCAAGAACAGGAACCTGTTACTGAAGATGTTCAACAAGAAGAATCTGTCAACATGGAAGGAGAACAAGTAGAGAACAGAGAAGAACAAGAAGGAGAAGAACAAGAGCAAGAGCAAGAGCAAGAGCAAGAACAAACACAAGAACAAGACCAAGAACAAGGGAATGTTCCAATGGAAGAAGACTCTAATGGTAGCTCAGAAAAACCAGAATTACAACCTTATTATCCACCACAACACCAACCTGCTCCACCAGAACCTTATGGTAATGAACATAACTATCCTCCACCACCACCAGCACATCACGGCTATGAGGGTCATCCTCCAACTCGTCATCCACATGATGTTGATAGCGGTGAATTATCCACAACTAGATTGTTTGTTAGGCCATTCCCACCAGATGTCCAAGAATCGGAATTAAATGAAATTTTCAGTCCCTTTGGTCCAATGAAAGAAGTTAAAATCCTTAATGGTTTTGCATTCGTTGAATTTGAAGAACCAGAAGCTGCATCTCGTGCTATCGAAGAAGTTAATGGTAAATCTTTTGCTAATCAACCTTTAGAAGTTGTTTTCTCCAAGTTACCTGCTAAGAGATACCGTGTTACTTTAAGAAACCTGCCAGAAGGTTGCTCATGGCAAGAATTGAAAGATTTAGCAAGAGAGCACCAATTAGAAACGACTTTTTCAAGTGTCAATACAAGAGATTTCGATGGTACCGGTGCTCTAGAATTCCCAAACGAAGATATCTTAAACGATGCCTTGAACAAATTGAATAACATTGAAGTCAGAGGCTCTGTCATCTCTGTGGAAAGAGATGACAATCCACCACCTATTAGAAGATCTAGTAGAGGTGGATTCCGTGGCCGTGGTGGTTACCGTGGTGGTTTCAGAGGTGGTTATGGTGCTCCAAGAGGTGGATTCCGTGGTGGCTACGGCGCTCCAAGAGGTGGGTTCCGTGGTGGCTATGGTGCTCCAAGAGGTGGATATCGTGGAGGTTACGGTGGCCCAAGAAATGATTATCGTGGTGGATACCGTGGTGGATATGGTGCTCCAAGAGGTGGCTATGGTGCCCCAAGAGGTCCTCCTCCTCCGATGGGTGATTACGGTGCCCCAAGAGGTGAATATGGTACCCCAAGAGATCCTTACAGAACTAGAGATAGTGGTGCTCCAAGAGAACATTCTCCAACCAGGTAAAAGAAGAAACAAGAAAGGAAAGGAAAAAAATAAACTTTTATTCTCTTTCTCCTTTCTATTTTTTATTTTTTATTTTTATTTTCAATTTCATCTTTCATTTTTTATTTCTAGTATAGACTATTATTATCTTTCTTCCTTAGATAAAATATGCCTATTTCAATTTATTTCTTTGGCTTACTCATATACAAACAAAAAAACGGAAAAGAACAAAAGAAGAATATCAAGAAGTGGTGTTGAAAAAACTTTTATTCTATTTTATTCTATTTTAAATTTAAATTTACATTAGTATTACCTTTTGTTTTAGATCCCCTTTCCCCAGTAACTTATTATTACTATTATTATAGTCATTATTAAACATTAATTAAAATTAGGAACAAATATATATAGTGAAATTTAGAATTTTATTTTATCTTATTTTTTATACTGTGTTAAATTATGTGAAAGTGTGTGATACTTCTTCTGGAGCAAATGTTTTGATACAATATCTGTAACCAAGAAAAACAAGCAAAATATACAAAGTTCATTTTAAACTCTAAGTACTGAAAGAATTAAGAACTTTTTTTATTTGTGCTTTAGAGTGTATTTGTTATCCTTTTAGTTTGGTTGGAATAGAAGTATTGTATTTCCACCTATCTCTATATTTCATTCCAGTTGTAATATAAAATTATAAAGTTGTTAAACTGCAATAAAATGTTCAAACACCTAGTAATTAGATAATACTAGCAAAAACTTATAAAATAGTTAGATATACAGTAATAATAGAAAAAAAATCAAATAATGATAATGGTGGAATATTTGTACTTGTGATTATAAATTCCCAACAACTATACATTTTAAACAATCTAAGAATTCGCTTAGTTTTGATAATAGTAATGCCTTTTTAGATAATTGAATCCTTCCCTAATATGAGTGGTTAAAAGGGTAATGAGGAGATGTTGACACTTCTTGTGAATTATTGTGATTATTACTCTGTATGAATCATATCCTTATTATCTTGACATAAAAGATTAAAAAAAGATAAATTTGTCACCTATTATTGTATTTTCCTTTTTGTTTGTACCCACGTAGCATTTTTGCTAACTTATTATTGTCATCATCATTATATACTGTCATCTTCTATGTCTTTATTCTAACATGTTAAATGTGTGACAAGATATGCAAGTGAATAGAGATATAAAGAGTAAAACATATTTTGAATCTTGCACACGAATAAGTAGTTAAATATATCTTGTATGAACTCTTCAATATACTTTTGATAATAAGTTTGATAGCTTTTTCTTATGATAACTGTCATTGTGTCATTTCTTATTTCGTGACGTCTGTATTTTGTATGGACATTTGTTATTTTCCCTCTTTTTTTTTTTTTTTTTTTGTTTTTTGTTTTTTCTTTCTTTCAGAATTCGCCAAATATGTTTGTGAACTACAAACCTCCATAATCTGATGATGATATTACCAACTACTGATTAGGTGAAAAACTTGAGTACTGCAGCCTTTGACCAACTTTTAACAAAGCTTTTTCGTGCAACATAACCAATAATTGCACCATTCATTTTTTTGTTAATTATATTAACAACTTTTTTACCTCCGCTCTATAGCCTTTATCTCTATTTTCTTTTGATTGACGATCCTTTATTTGCCAATGGCAACTACATTAAGACTAAGAAAATCTGTGGCAGTAGTATTTTTGGCGCTATATATTTTTATTGGTATACCGCTTTGGTATAAATTAACCAACATATATAGAGCCATATTGCCTGTTGAATATATCCAAACTTTACATGATGCTAAATTTAAAGAGATCCACTTAACCATCCCTGTATTCATCAAATCTGATACATATCGATTCCCAGATATTCATGATGCCGTACAAGTCCAGGTCAATTATTTATTAAGATCCAAAAGACAATATGTGGACTGGTCACTAGAAATATTCCCATACAATGAGACTTTAATTAGTACAGAATATGATTCTAATCGTGATAATTATCATGTGGTAGATTTAGTACTTGATGAATTTATAGGATATAGTCTACCTTATGATTCTATGGTCACCACAATATACTTTAATGATGAATCTGTGGCAAGTAATGATTTACCTTTCTTCATTGCTCAAATCTTAGTAGAACATACATTCCAAATTGAATATAATCAATGGATTTTAAAACCTGGTCAGACAGAACCAAATCAATATAATAGTGTTCTCGATTCCGAGCAATTTGCAATAAACTACACTCCTAATATTCATTTAAGTATCTCTTTATTAAATGGTAATGGCAATCCGGTATCATGGGAAATTGATAAAAGCTTAACAAAGATTTTTACACCTTTCAGAGAATTAATATCTCCATTATATAATTTCACTGTTGATACACAGATAGATCATTTTAATGATTTGAATCTAAATAAATTGAACCAAATCAATAATCCTACATGGCATGATTTGTCCCATATTATTGACCTATCAGAGCTATCATCAAATAATTATTTTGTCGAACAAAATGCCATTAATTTAGTTATTGTTTTTCCAAATAAAAATAATGATCTTAATGGATTAAAAATTTTACATGAGAGCAATAATAATGACAGTAATAGTACTATCACTGCTGCTCCAGTTGAGTGGGGTAGTTTTGTTGTACCTCGTTGGGGGATTTTAATCGTAAACAAGTCGTCTTTAGAAGCAAACTCCTTAATAACAGAAGAATATTTGAATCCAATATTATTGAAATTCATTAAAGATTTACTAAGTTTCTTGGGCATTGCAAATAACAGTAATAAGGGAATCAATGCTGATGATAAAGATTTTGAATATACATCACCATACTTAGTCATTGATTCATTAAAGAGGATAAGAATTATCGAAAACTTAAATAAGTCGATTGACACATTATGGTCTTTGGTGAAACTAACAAAACAGTTTGAACAAATGACTGTTCCTAAAGAAGTCCTACAAGATTTGACTGATGCACTAGATACAAGGTTAGAGTTGATTGATTTATTGAATAACCCATCTAAAGGTAGTGACAAAGATTGGAACAAAGGTTTGATTATGAGTAACCAAATTGTTAAAAATTGTGAAAGAGCATTTTTTCATGGTGAAATGTTGCAACAAAACTTTTTCCCACAAGAACATAAATTGGCAGTCTATCTACCTTTATTGGGGCCATTGACTGTAGTGATATTATCTGGCCTTAAAGCTGTTTTTAAAGAACAGCACGACAACGATGAAAATTCGAAAAAAGAGAAAGATAATTAAATAGAGGAGAATGAAGCTTTACAGATATCTACATGTACGTATTTATGTATCTGTATGAACATATATAACTTTATATAATCAACATAATCTAGATAATAAAAGATATAAAAGAAAGACTATTATTTATAGATGCTCTCTATTATATCTAGGCCTGTGAAAAATGTACTTTAGAAAAAGAGAAAATGAAAGTAAAGGTTTCTGAGGAAAAACAATAAATGAATATTCTTCAAATAACTTAACAACGGCATATGATAATATTTAAGTAAAGTATTAAAAAGGAAAGAAGTAGTCAAGACTAAAGATATTAGCATATCTGTAAATATATTTAGGTGTTTCAAAACAAACGTGTACATTTACCTGTGAGAGTTTACTACTAGCAACTTAGTAATTTCTATCTGACCCAGTTAACTATTTTCTTATATAAATAGCACCATAAAAAACAGTCATCCATGTCTGATATACCACCACAAGGCCCATTAGATACTATACCAAAGACGAATTATCCGCCACTTTTAACGCCAGCAAATTATTATTCTATCAAGCAAATGATTGAACAAATTATCTCAGAAGATCAAGACTATGTATCGTGGAAAATTAAAGATCTCAGAACTGGCGGAACTATGAATACTTTTGTTCCTTCTGATATAATACACTATAAACCTCTTCGAAAGAAACAAATTAAAATACCCTCTACTACCATTACCAGCACTAATAATCAGATAACAACAACAGGTGATAAAATAAATAAAGTACCTCAAGGGCTGACATTTATTCGGGACATATATGAAAATCAAAGGAATGAAGAATTTGAAGAATTACAACCTATTGAGGAATTAAGTTTTGAAGACCAGTTTAAGTTATTAATATTAAATTTGGATGATGACCAAAATAGTCGATTTGAAGTGTTTCACAGAACATCGTTGAATAAAAATCAAGTTAAAAGATTAGCTAGTCTTGTCTGTGGACAGAATATAACTGAGAATATTAGGGTTTTCTTACAAGCAATTGGTAAAGTGTTTGCTGGTGAGATTATTGAATTGACTTTGGAAGTTAGAAAGAAATGGTTCATAAATTATATGATTTGTCAATTTGATAAAAGAAAGATAATTGGTCATAGATTAAAGAAATATTTAAAAAAATTGACTATATTAGTAGAAAGATTAACACTTGATAAAAATATTAAGAGTGATTCTGATAACTATCATACTACTACTAATAGTAATAATAGTAGCAGTAATAGCGGTAATAATCATTTGCTTACAACTTTAGAACAAGATGAAAACGACGATATTAACATAAACGAAAGCGATGAATATTTTGACGACGAAGAAGATAATATGAAAGAGATTCAAAAGGGCAATAAATTATTAAAAGAAGATAACAAGAATACAAATGAAATTAGAGTAGGCCTGATTGATCAATATAATAAATTAGTTAAACAGTTTAATTCAACGGATGTCAGTATAGAAAGGTATAATAATAGCCCAATTTTACCTGAACATATTAGAGAAGCATGGCGACTATACCAACTACAGAGTGATAAACATGTTTCAGGACAGTGGAGATTTAAAGGTGAAGCAAACGGTGAATTGTTTCGTTAAATGAGTATCTACTAATGTTTATTTTCCCTTTCGTTTTTGATTTATATATATATATGTATGTATACTTTTATATATTACCACCGAGCATTCATTGTTACATAATGATTTTGCATAATTTTCAATTCTTCAAATTCATCTAAAAACTGTAAGGATTGCAATCTTTTTAATTCCATTGGATGAAGATTAGAATTTAAAAAATCCCACATGTTTTGAATCTTAACATCTTTATAATTCTTCCATCTATTTGAATAACTTTCTTTTGAATTATATAATAACAAAGTTGGTAAATCCAAATTTCTAGACATCAATAGATTTTCCTTCATTATAATACCGAACCTATTATCGCTATTAGCGCCGCCGATAGGATCATATGATATCCATAATCCAGAATCAAAAACTGTTCTTATTGAATCAATCAAATCCTGCGACTCTTTTTCCTTGATATAACATAGTGTACATTCTGTGATGAAAATTGTGGGAATCTTAACATCAAGTTTTGATTTTAATATTAACAGGGTGTTGTCTAAATCATTTAAATCAGAAGCCACTGCTTCAAATCTACCACCCCATGTGGTATCAATCGGCACAAGGGAATTTTGGGAGGATGAAATAGATTTTAGGATTGATTGTTTCAACTCTACAGATTCTTTAAAATCTAAATCAATATATTTTATTACATGAGGGAAAATATCTTTGTTATTCAAAATTTGCAAACATCTTAAATCAGAACCACAACCGAGATTAACAATCTGACATTGTTTATGAATGAGGTTACTGTTGAGATATTGTAATAATGGTATATCAATTGATAATGTTCTTAAATAGGTACCATAGTTCATCACAGGCTGTGAGCTTTGCATAGCTCTTGTAATCTTTAAGAATAGTCTTTTGCCCTTTAAAGTTGAGATTTTGATAGTATTCAAATATTCAAAATATAATGATTTATAATCTTGGTAAAATTGGTCCCATTTCTCGATGGGATCAATTAAAGCTTGCCTGTTTGTCGGTAAATAGCCCTTTGAGATACAGGCCAATTTAGCTGAGAAGGCATCAAAATCTGTCTGTTGAATAGATTGCATAGTATTGTGTCTACACACGTATTACATATATGTACAAAACCATTGGATATATAATGAATACCCATCCACCTATACATACATAATTGATTTCAAAACACTATTCAAATGACTCAAGTCTTTCGTTTTCTACTCTCCTCTTCTCTTCTCTTTTCTTCTCTCTTCTTTCTCTTCTAACATCACAGTTGTTATTGGTAATGAAGAGATTACAAAGGGGAAACACACTTACCCTACCTACAGATCCGTACACTCACTCTGTTGCAGTCGAGAAACCCTCATTTTCTTGCACTCCTGCCCTAAACAGAAGCCCTAGGGTTTGGTAATTTTTCTTTTCTTTTTTTTTTTTTTTTTTTTTTTTCTTACCTTTTAACGTTTAAGAAAAATTGAAGAAAGAAGATTTAGAAAGATATGAAAAAAAAAGAGGCACTCACTTTCACATAGATACAAGACTATCCATGTACGTGAGTGTGTGGGCTTTGTAGAGCATTTGGATATTATAAGTCTACATGATTCTTTCTGACTAGGAGACCGTCGGTATTTCAGTATAGTGTGAAAGAGAAAAGGGAAAAAAAGAGAGAAAGAAGTGTGTGTGTGTGCCAAAAAAAAAAGGAAATTTTTCAATAAGAAAACCAAAAAACATATTTCAATAGCATTTGCATTTGCATTTTATTTTAGTTTTTGTTTTATTTTATTTTGGCCTCTTAGAATATAGGTATCGTACATATTTCAATCAAACAATTATATTAGAATAGATTATGGGTAATTCAAATTCCAAAATATCTTCTAATAAGAAAATTAGTCATAATGTAACTAATAAAGATAATGCTGATAGTAGTATAAAAAGAAATAAAAATAAATTTAAACAAACTAAAAATAGTTATATATCTAATAATAGTAATGATAATGATTACAACACTTCTATAGCAAAAGGTTCAAAACCGAAAACACTCGTAAAAAAAACAAACAGGCAAACTTCAAGTAACGGTTCTAGTCATGAAAATGTATTTAATCAGCAAAATACATTTAATCCTGTTAACTTGGATCCTGATAATACTTCTAAACCTATCCAAATTTATAGAACTGAAACCATACATTCTGGAAAATCTTTAAAATCTCGTCAATCCCAATCTTCACTAAGAACTAACAATGGATCTATTCTGCTAAAATCAAATGGCAATAACAATACAAACTCTACAACAGCAAGCCCCTTTAGTGTTACCAACAATATGAATAATTCTACTAGTCTACCGTCCTCTTCTAGAAGACGAGTCAGCAATACTCACAGCATTAATAACGAACCAATGACACCAATTTTAAAAAAAGTGGGTACAAATACATCAGGTAATTCACCAATTTACAGTGAGTATGCTATCACAGATGATGATAACGATGATTATATTAATACTTCCATCGAGAATCCAAAATCTAAATCTAAATCTAAGTCAAGACAAAATTCTTCTTCCTCTACATCAAAAAGTAAAAAACATCTTCTCTCCATTAAACGTCATAACTCTATGCATGATATAAGACCGTCTAATGAAAACACAAATCAAACAGATAGTATTCATAATAACAATTTATTAATAAATGCTTCACAGTTCAGACCACGTAGTACTAGAAAATCTGAAAATATAGGTATTCATCCACACATAAAAGAATTATTATCAGGATCAGATAATAATAATAGTAATAGTAATAATAATAAAGGTCTAAGTAATAACAGCACATCAGTTGATAACTCTATCACTAACAGTAATAGCACTAGCGCTAGTAGGCGTGGTTCAAACTCTGCTAGTGCTTCGATTAGTGGATATACAATCTATAGTACTCCTGTTCACACACCTAACATTATTGATGAAAACAAAATGATAAATGGTAACTTAGATGATGTTGATTATTTTAATGTAAAAGTTAGTAGTAAAGCCAAAATCCCTAAAAATATGCATTTTGATGAAGAGGATGGTGAACTAAATTTAAATTCCAAATCAAGTGATGGTGATACAATTGTTGGACAATCAATAACGAACGTAAATAGTTCTGAATTACAGGGCGATATGCCGATGATGCCTAAAAAGAAAAAAGTAGTTGACATTGATAATTGTATCGAAAGATTAATTGATGCAGGATATGCAGCCAAGCGGACTAAAAATGTCTGTTTGAAGAATTATGAGATTGCCCAGATCTGTAGAATGGCGAGAGAAATATTTTTATCACAACCAACATTACTAGAATTATCACCATCTGTAAAAATTGTGGGTGATGTGCATGGACAATATTGTGATTTACTAAGATTATTCTCCAAATGTGGGTTTCCACCAATATCTAACTATTTGTTTCTTGGAGATTATGTTGATCGTGGTAAACAATCATTGGAGACCATTTTATTACTATTGTGTTATAAGATTAAATACCCTGAGAATTTTTTTCTTTTAAGAGGTAACCATGAATGCGCCAATGTGACAAGAGTGTATGGCTTCTACGATGAATGTAAACGTCGTTGTAATATCAAGACGTGGAAACATTTCATTGATACTTTTAACACATTGCCGTTAGCAGCAATTGTAACAGGCAAAATCTTTTGTGTTCATGGTGGTCTGTCACCTGTATTGAATTCGATGGATGAAATTCGACATGTGAGTAGACCTACCGATGTCCCTGATTTTGGGTTAGTAAATGACTTACTATGGTCTGACCCAACAGATTCACCGAACGAATGGGAAGATAATGAACGTGGTGTTAGTTACTGTTATAATAAGGTAGCAATTAACAAGTTTTTAAATAAGTTTGGATTTGATCTGGTTTGCAGAGCACATATGGTTGTGGAAGATGGATATGAATTCTTCAATGACAGAAGTCTTGTCACTGTATTTTCTGCGCCAAATTATTGTGGTGAGTTTGATAATTGGGGGGCAGTGATGACTGTTAGCGAAGGTTTATTATGTTCATTTGAATTATTAGATCCATTAGATAAAGCTGCATTGAAACAAGTCATGAAAAAAGGTAGACAAGAACGAAAATTATTAAACAGTGGTCAAGACACTAGCATTAATAATAATAACAACAGTAACACCAACACCAACAACAGTAATAGTTATAATAATATAACCTCTTAATATTACTGTAGCAGTCTTCGTAAAGAACAACATAAATTTACATCATTCAATAATATTATATATATACATATATATGCATATACATATTCCAATACCTTTTTATTTATTTTTAGTTGATACTATTAATTGAGATTTACCATATATAACACTTTCCAATTCTCTTTTTAATTTATGTGATTTTTTAACAACTTTATTTTATGGAATACAGAGGAAGAAGGAAAAACAAAATAAAACAAAGTTAAAAAAAAAAAAGGAAAAAAAAATATAAAGTAGAAGATTTTTTGAAGTATTAAACAATACAAATCAATATATATATTAGAAATAGTTTCATTTCATATCATTTAAAGAAAAAAAGAAATAAGAGATGAAGATCTATAGTCAAACAAAATTCTTAGAACATTACCAATAATGAGACAAAGAGAGATTAAACCTCCAACATCATCAGACTATTATTTTTTTGTTCATCACTTTATTGCTACTTTGATTTTAGTAACATGTATTCTTATATCAGTGTTACCAAGAGATGAACCTTCAAGATTAAATAACAACAATAACAACAGCAACAACAAGTACCACAAAATTTTACAGTTTCTGTTAGATTTACTACCGGATAGAAGATGGCTAATATGGAGTGAATGTTTAGGATTGATGGGTATGATGTTTGCATACGTTGGATTGAATCTGTATAGAGAGGATATAATGTCTCCGAGCTTGGATGATTTTAGATATATTACAGATGGAAGCAGTAATTTAGAGATTTCGATAAATGAGCCAAGCAATAAATATCTACATGAACAGACAATTGGTGTGGTGGATTTGCCAATAATGGATGTTTGTCAAATTTTGTACGGTGCAAATTGATTATTATACCATGAGGGGAAAGTGGAACGGGGAGAAAAGAGGGGCACAGACGAATCGAACACGATCGCAAATGTTACACAATTCAAACCAATTGAACAAGAACTGTAGATCACGTGCCAGTTTCCACAGTTTTCTTTTTTTTTAATTTTTTTCTTGGGAGCAGTAAAAAGTTCTCTCTCTCATTTTTTGTTTTGCTCTCACAATTTTTACAAACAAAGGGGGGGAGAGTCATTTTTGTATTTTTTTCTTACTTGTTGTTTCCCTTTTTTTTTTTTTTTTTTTAATTCTTTCCAAACCTGTTCGAGTTAAATGGCTGTGCGGCACGGGTGTACACAGTTTTTATTTATTTTTTTTATTTGACTCTTTTTTTCTTTTGTCTGACTAGTAAACGCAACGTATAGTTTATTATTCTCATTGTTGTTATTATTATTGATATCAGTATGTGGCATGAAAAGAACACAGAAACAAGGAGACTATATCATTAAAGATAGTGGGTAGAGTTAGTAAAGAAATTGTGTTTACAAAAAGAGGATGAGAATAAAGTATAGAATGGAATACGTTTAATTTTTTTTTTATTATTATTCTCTTTTATTTGCTGATTTTAGATCATGTATGTATTTAAATAATGAAGCATTTCGAGAACAAGCCTTATGAAGACTTCAACTTTTTCAAAACTTTGAGTGTATCCTGTTTCGTATAATTATATTTTTACTTTTACTTTTATCATCTTTATAATTCTCTCTAATCAAAGAGACATAATAAAGAAGTGACTAAAACCTGGATTTCAAATTGTTTTAATTTTTTTTTCTTTGTTTTCCTTTTTGCTTATCTGAAGTTGCATTATAAATTTATTGAATATTAAACATACAAATATACATATATATATATATGAACATAAATTATGAAAATGCTGAGATATATAAACTTATCAAATAAAGATAATAATTGGTACCTGGGACTGTTTATGTTATTTATCGTGGTTGTGGCATGGGTATCATCGTCATTTTTATTGAATTCTATATTTGAATCCAACTACTACAAAAAACCCATATTTATCACTTTTTGTTCTATCTCCTCATGTTCCTTATATCTTTTGCCCCTCTTAAAACAACTGATAAAATTATTCTGGAATAATGGCGGTCACTGGGATATTCAAACAGCCTACAAATCGCAATACTACGCACATTTAATTGAACCAGATAATGATAGCGATAATGAAAAATTTGATGAATCTAAAGAATGTCACAGTTACGATAATAGCGCTGGTGACAATGAAATAATACCACTGTCTTCTATTATTAAGTTGAGTATGATCTTCTGTACTCTATGGTTTGCTGCTAATGTAACCACCAATACCTCGTTATTATATACTTCAGTGACAGCACAGACTATATTGTCATCAACTGCATCGTTTTTCACCTTATTCTTTAGCGTTATAATGAAGGTTGATACAATCAATCTTTACAAACTTATTGGGTTGGCTATCTCATTTATTGGTATTGTTATTATTGTTATTAAATCTACTCCTGTATCTAATCAGTCCGATATCAATCAATTTTCATATGCAAGTATCGTTATCGGAAATGTGTTAGCATTGGTAGGTGCTTTAATTTATGGGGTTTACAGCACATTTTTTAAAAAATCTTTAGTACACATTTCCAATAATGACAATCGTACAAATAATGCTGGTTCAAGTAAGATCGACATCAGGTTATATCTGGGATTTGTTGGATTATTTACATTTATTGGATTATGGCCAATTTTAGTACTTTTCAATTATTTTGGCTGGGAAAGTTTCGAATTCAAATGGGATTTCAGAATTATTTCAATAATTATAATGAATAGTTCGGTTACTTTCCTAAGTGACTATTGTTGGGCTAAAGCCGTGATTTTGACGTCTCCATTGACTGTTACAATAGGTTTGAGTTTTACAATGCCATTGGCTATGTTTGGTGATTTCATATTCAGGGGTAAACAAATCACTCCATGGTATATAGTCGGCTCCATTCTGATTGTATTGTCATTTATTTTAATCAATACAAGCATTGATAGTGATGGCAATACTACTGCCACTGCCACTACTATTACTGCATCCTATACTAACGATGTTGATAAGGGCCAACAACAGTTATTGGCTGATTATGGCGTTGAATCATATGGTACATTTGAAGTTTAATAGAAAAAAAAATAAAAGAGAGGGGAGAAGGAAAAGCAGAAAAGTCTTATTGTTGCATATTTGTTTATTTGTTTGCTTATCTATTCTCTTTTTGGTTCTTCATTATCATGAACAAACACATATAAACAGACAATCGATACACATGTCTATATCTATAGTAGTATGTACGGGTATATATACCTTGGACCATTCATATTAAATAATAATAATATATTCTTTCTAGCATAATATCATGTCAATTATTACATCAAAAAATAAAAAAAAAAAAATAGAGACAAACAAAGATAAAAATAATGTGTCGTTTCTTTTTCTTTTACTTTTCTGTCTTTTTTTTTATTTTGTTTTTTTAGATTTCTTGCCAACAAAAAAAATAAAAAGAATTGCGGTGAGAAACTCTCGAAGACTTGAATTTCTCCATTGAGAACTGAACAGCATCAAAAGATTCATTTGATCTGTCGCTTCAAAGTGAAAGTTAGGTGTGGAAGTGGCAGATTCATGAAAGTAGCACTAAATTATTGAATTGCATGGGTTCTTTGTTCCGTACTGTTCTATGCAAAAAGTATTATAAAAAAAAGGAAAGATTAGACTGTTTGAAAACAGGAAGCAACGTTTATTTAATTGACACCAGTGGATACTTGGCTTTGTAAAGGATACCATTTTAAATTGTTATAAATAAACGTAGGAAAATAAAAAAAATTAGAAGTAGAAGAAGTATGAGTAATATATTGCAACTATTAACTAATTATTATAAATCTGTAATAGAGTCAGAAAGAATCTATAATGAATACATATATTTACAACTAAGGAAGGAGCAAGATGCAGAAAAAAAGAAAGTGGTGAAAGAGTCAATGGATGGGAAAGACAATACCGATACGCCCAATCCAAATGATTTGGTTGCATTACAATTACAGAAACAAATCAATAAATTATCATCGCAGATACAGACTTTAACTAAGCAAAATGACAAATTAAAAGAAACAAACAAATCACAACGTATAGCATCAGAAGAGAAGATTATTACTTTGCAAGCGATAGTTCAAGGCTTACAACAAACTGTATCAACGCAAAATAAAATTAACAGTAATTCCAACAAGTCTAATAATACTAATGTCAGTACCGTTAATAATCACTCTCAAATGAGAACACCCATAAAATCAAATGAGGAGACATGCTCTAATGCCAACCATACGAATATAAATAACAATAATAGTAATGGGCATAAATCAAAATTTCATTTATTGTCACCTTTAGGTAAAAGTATCTCGAGCAAATCACGAAGTTCTAATCATACAATATTTGATGATTCCAGTAGTGACAGTGATGATGATGAAGAAAAATATGATAATAAATGTAATAATGATAAACGTTTTTTAAGTTCAAGCAATAAAAGTAATTCTAAAGAAATCGATTCATTTATATTATCATTGAAGAAGTATGATGAAAGCAGATTGAATGAAAAATTAGAGGAAACACTAAATAATAAAGGTAAAGATACTGTTATTACAAATAATAAGACAAACAATCAAGATAAGATAAAAAATAAAAAAAATGGACTAAGTATTACACCAACTAAACTTCCTGTTAAAAGAGCAATCACTAATGATAATAGTCAAAACAAGAACATTATTACACAGAAAAAATCAACAACTCAAGTCTTAAAACTAAATGAGATAGATATACCGAACTTGAAAACACATGATTCTACCACCTCCAAGAAACGTAAGTTATCAAACAAAAAGATACAAGTATCATCCGACGATGAACAGTTGTTGCATCTGGAAAGTCAGTAATCTATATATATATATATATATATATAGATGGATATATGTAAGCATACAATATAAATATATATATGATGCTATCACTAATATTTCATGCATAAATATTTGTTTCTGATTTGTCAACAAACTTTTGAAATTTACAATTTGAATTTTTATCAAAAGAAAAAAAAAAAGATAAACAGAAAAAATTCTTCAAAAATTAAAAAAAAAATGGAAAAGAAAGCTTGTCAATTTGAAATACACGAAGTAGTGATTAGTATATTTACAAGTCATCACGTTTGGAAGTAAATGCCTGTTTAGAAATTTTTATAGTATACATCCACCTCATAATACTAAAAAGTCATTATTCCTGATATAAGCAGAAATAATAAGTATACAATACAAAAAAAAAAGAAACACGTTATCAAATTTATAATATATAAGACGTTTTAGTAGAATTTCTGCAGAGTGCAAATTTTTAATTTAATATAAATACATATACATTTGATATTCAATTATTAATTATTATTTTCTTTTGTATTCAAATATTTTGAATGGGTATGGATTTAAAAGATACACAGAATAGTAAAACAATCCATCCAGATCCTAAAGATAATAGCCATAATAATTTTGTTATACATGATAATAAACACACAAGAATGTCATATAATGGGAAAAGGCCAATAACTCCGGTTGATACATATCCTACCCCGGAATCTGGTTCTCTTTCGGTGGATAGGGCTGGTGAATCAGTTAGTATTATAGATGATTCTTTCACGACTAATACCAATAATAACATAGAACCGGGAATTGAAGATAAAAATGTAAATGACAACTTACTTAATGGCAGTACAGATTCTGTAAAAGTTACGTTGAATGAAAAATCCAAGAAGAAAAAGAGAAGTGCTGCAAGGGAACTGGAATCATTATTGGAAGATGCTAGTAGGTATGATCCAAATTTTGAATATTCTTTACCCACTTCCTATAAAAGGTCTAAACCAAGAAAATATTATTTCAATGGTGATGGGAACAGTTATAGTTATTATGATGATCATCCAAATATAAAAGATTTAGATAAAATGGGTGAAAAATTTATTGTGAAACAAAAAAAAATAAAAGCAATAGCAGAAGAAGAGAGGGAAAAAATTGTTAATATTACCACATCTAAACAGAAAAAGCATAAATTAATACAAGTCAGTAAATCAAACAAGAAGAAACAAAAAAATAATCATATTGAAAATCATGCTGATATAAATACTAATTCATCGAAATTAAACAATTTTATGAAAGATTTAGATTTACAAAAGTTAAAGTTAACTAATTTGAAGGCTTTTTCCAAAAAGAAAACTGTTGTTACCATTGAATATATTCATTTGAATAAGAAGGATAAGAAGTCAAGTATTAGTCAACAATCTAATAGAATACTGTCTAACAAAGAAGAAGCTCAATTACCAGAAAACGAAAGTAAAATTAATAATATTTCTGATAACAATTATAATAATCCAAATGATATAATACTAGATAATACCAGTGTTAATAATATTTCAACATTTCTCAATTGGGATGCTCCATTTATTGATATATGTAACGATTTTTTTAATATAACTGCTTGCAAATACCAAAATTTTTCAATAGCACAAACTTGTGATTCTATCACAGTTACTAATCATATCGACAGTTATAAGAAAAGATATCATCCTCCGAATCTAGAAAAATCTAAAGGGTACAGCAATAAAAATACCATAAAAAATAATAGTATAAAAGATCATGTAATTAGAAAGGATTCTGACGATCAAGCTTCAATGAATCAAAAACAAATATCTTATGAAGATCTTGTGGTAGAGTTGCAAAACCCTCTATTTTTTAACAAGGCTGAAAAGTTTAGAGTAAATTTTTCAAAGGATGTTTCGAGATACAACCCAATGGTTGAAGTAGGAAAATTTATAGAATATGTTGCCCTAATTTATCTACCCGATCCATATTCTCAATCATTAAAAGACGATATAATACCAAAATTAAATGAAGCATATGATATATCGAATGGTGAATATTTTGTTGGGATGGTAAAGGAATATAACAATTTGATTCAGAAAGTACCAAGATATGAAATAATTAATCATTTAAAAAGTGTAAAAAAAATACCGGTATCATTTATACATGATATTTTGCAAACTGTATATATTCGAACTATTTATCCAAGAGCTAATCAATTAAAACATTATGAAGCCTTTAGTAATTATGTTTATGGTGAATTATTACCTAATTTTTTATCCAAAATTTATAAACAGTGTAATTTAAATCAATCGAGTATTTTTTTAGATTTGGGTTCAGGTGTTGGAAATTGTGTTATTCAAGCAGCACTTGAGTATCAATGCAAGCTTAGTGCAGGCTGTGAGATTATGAAAGAGGCTAGTGATATGACGGAATATCAGCATAGAGAATTGCAAGAACGTTGTAAAATTATGGGATTAAATTTAAGTCCAGTAAAGTTCTTCTTAAAACAAAGTTTTGTAGCTAATAAAGCTGTAGAAAATATTATAAGAGATTGTGATGTTTTATTAATAAATAATTTCTTATTTGATGCAGAACTAAACAAAGAAGTTGAAAAACTGATACAGAATGTTAAAGTGGGCTGTAAGATTATTTCTTTAAAAAGTTTAAGAAGACCTGGTTATGTTCTTGATTTTTATAATACTGATAATATATTAAGCAGATTGAAGGTCGAAAAATTTAATTTTGAAGAAGATAGCGTATCATGGACTCACACTGGCGGTGAATACTATATCTCAACAGTCTTAGAATCAATTGATGAATCACTTTTAGATATTAAAAGTAGATTTAGAAAGCTTAAGAGACCTATAAAATATACAAGATGAGAAGCTGTTGAATAATATATATATGGAATGTATATATGTATAGAAGGTTGTAGTTTTAAATCATATTAATATTCTAGTATTTAAATAAGTTCTAATTAAAAATATGTATATTTATATATGTTTAAGGTATATTATATACTTTAAGCTAGTGGGACGATATTACAACTATTTTTCAGGTTGAGATTCGTTTAAATCAACTTCTATATGCACTAATGTGTTCATCAATTTTTTCACTGCTAAAATATGCCATGGGATATGTGATGTTCTCCCATCAGAAACACCAAACCATATACTTAAAGCAGCAAGGTTTCTAAATTCTTCTAAGACAATCTCGAGTAATTTAGTACTATCTGAATGTGGACAATTTAACAAATTAACTTCCAATTTGTCCCATATCGTTTTATCACCAGTCACATTAAATCTAACTAGGGCACCACTTTTTATAGCACATCTATGTTGAGAATTAGATAATGGAAATGGATTCTGAAAAATAACACCATGTATATCATCGTCTATGTTAACTACCTCATAATTATCTAAATTAGAATAATCAATCATTTCAAACAATTTAGGATTTCTAACGAGTGGTTTAAAGCTTGGATACATTCTATCCCCATCATAAAATGAATTTTTTGTATCTTCATCAACACAAACAACAGCTAGATGAATACTCCTACTTGACAATCTCCTCCAATTGATTAATTCATCATCAGGTAAAATACCGTTCAATCTAGTTAAAATCAAACATATCTTACCGTATTTCTTATATGCCAATTGCAATGCCATTGTCCATAATTGTGTACAAGCATCATCAAACTTCTGTTTAGAATTCCCGACGTACCATGATTTAACACTGTTAGTTTTTCCATCACTATCACTTAACGCACAGAATACCCACTTTTTGTCAATGCTTCTAGAGTAGGCTATATGGATATAAGAGTCATAAGTTATAGCACTTAATCCATCATTATTTTGAAAGGTTTTAAAAGATATCTTACTTGGAAGTTTATGTGCAATTGCAGTAAATTTAATATCTTTTGGCCACAAAATATTGTAAATGCTAACACAAAGATTGTAATATTCATCTATTGAAGTTAAAGGGTTTTTTATGAAATCATGTGGTATTACCTTTAAAAGCAAGTCAATATGTGGGATCTTGGATCTTACTTCATCTCTAATGACTTGAAAAACTTTGAGATTAGATAATAAACAGTTGAGAGTGTTAACTTCTAATGGCAATATAATCAGTAAAGTTGCATCTTTTCCTAAATTCTTACTAGTCGAGCAATATGATACAATTTGAGCAGCAAGAAGCAATAATTCACTTTGTTCAAATGTTTTTAATTGAATTAATCCACTTGTATCGGTAGGTGTCAATTTTAGCAATTCACAAAACCCAAATTCATAATTAATATACGCTTGAGATAATGTAGATACAAACATTTCATATACAATATCTGATGAATCGGTCAATAAAAAAAATTTGAAATTTTTATTACCCATGGGTGGCTTTAAATTTAAAAACTTGCCAAAGGGATGAGAATCAGACTTAATTTTAATAATTTCATGTTGCTTTTTGATAAATACGAAAGGTTGTTTCATTCTGTAGATTTTATTAACCAATCCAGGTCCATTTAGAGCAGTAAAATATGGAAACATATTCTGCATCGTGTTTGAAATAAAACCATCTGAATTCAAAATTATTTTATCATAAGTAACACATGGAATATTCAAGTTATCCAGTAAGTCATTATCAAATACAATTTGTTCACAAATAATATTTAAGATATCTTTGTTTGCTGTCGTTATTTCTATTTTCGGATTAGAAGGTAGATATATATCAGGAACCAAAGAAAGAGGAATATGTCTCAACAAAAATGGAAGCGTATTAAATAGTGGGCTTGTTTGATAGAGATTAGTAACCGGTAAATTTGAAACAGGTAGATCTTCTGATTTTGCTATATCAGATAGGCATTCTTTAATCTCTTCAGTAGATGATTGTTCTGGCACATTATCTGTATCTATCACAAAATTAGAAGTAGTACCTTTTATTGGCGATAAATTTTGTTCATTAGTTGGATGTGAAAGTTTCCAAATTGGATTTGAAGTATCCCTAGAATATGACTCAGCAGATAAAGAATAACCACCGGATATCAAAGACGGAGGAACAGACTCTTGAACACCTAGCATTGGTTGATAGTTTAAAAATTGCGTATCATGTACACTACCATCAAATAATTTCAGTTCTTGTTTAATATTATTATATTCAATTGATTCAAAACTCGAATCACTTTCGTCATCTTCACCCTCATCATCATCTGAACTTGACACATTACTAACAGATATATCAAATTTTAATGCTTCATCCCTTTGAGTTGGACTAAATGAAAACTTACCACCATTTTTGTATTTATTATCAACATCACTTTCAATTTTCGGATTAAAAGTTAATGGAGCAAAAACACTTTTTCTTTTATCTCGAGGTGTTTCTATTGGTAAAGGTGCACCTGGATCTGTGTAAAGTGGACTATTTGATAACGTAATTTCTTCTAATGGTATATCTAAATATTTACGTTTTAAACTTAGCTTGTTATTTTCTTTTTTATTCTCATTATTAGAAAATGACTCATTAGCAGGATGTTCCTCGATTGTACTTCTCATATTTTCTCGCGAGTTATCTTCGTCATCAGACATGCCGAACATATCCTCCGTAATCTCATCGGAAGTAGCTTTTTCAGAAACGTGTTTTTTTTCTTCTATAGATGTATCATTCATTTCACCAAAAAGATCATCTTCTTCATCCATATTTGACTTGTTGGCAGTTATTTTGTTTAGTTTACTTTGATTGTTGTCAGATTCTTTATTGTTGATTAATATCAACTTAGAATCCTCATCTTCGTCATCCTCACCAAATAAGTCTTTATCATTAGTATCATTGTTGTCAATGTTGTCAGATTCATTTAATATTTGTATTTCTGTAGTAGTCATAACGTTTTCTAATTTATCGTGAGTTTCATGAAGTTCTTGGACTAATCTTAGATTTTCTATGTTTAATTTTTTGTCTTCGATACTTTTTAAAGGTGATAAAGAAGAATTATCTATCTTTACCTTTGTCTTCTCTGTGGAAAATAATTCATTGTTATTGTCTAAGGTAGTAATAGGTGTCATAGAAAATTCTGTAGAAAAAGCATCATTATCAATAGGTATATTCTTATCCATAGATGACGTCAAGGATGGTGATACGTTTGAATATGAATTTGTTGGGGATATCTTATTTTTGAATGATTGTTGAAGCATTGAAACACCTGTGTTTTTATAATATTGTTGAAATTGTTCCGTATATGCACCTCCTGAGCTCAGTGGGTTCGTATTTAATGTGCCTGAACTACCTGGAGTTCTCAGTGCTGCAGTTTGTCGTATTTGTATGAAATCATCTATAGTACTCATAACATCATTTAAATTGTCAAATTGTATATCTGTATCATTAAAATTTAGTTCGATATCATTATTTGTAGAAGTTTCATTAAGAATATTATTGTCTCTAATATTATTGCTATTAATATTGTTTTTTACATCATGAATTTGAACAAAGCAAAGATCTAAAGGCCAAATAATTTTTTTTTCATTCTTAGCAGATAATTTATTATAATTTGTTATACTTGGAGTATTTCCATTTAAATAATCAAGATCTGGCATCACCGCTATCCACTTCAATTGATCTTTTTTCTTCAATGTTATTCCATGGGAAATTTGCAAAGCTCTTAATAATATATCCGCATTGGGTGGCGGTGCCCATAATTTAGGTGATTTAGTAAAAGGGGTATTCAAGGAAGATAAACCATTCTCAGTAAGAATCTTCATTCTAATGCCAGAAGGTGCTAAATAGAGAGAATGTGCCAACAAAAATTTCTCATCTTGTAAGTGTTCCTCTTTTAATTTTATTAAATTTAAATCTTTTAAGCAGACAGATACTGCAAGTATACTATTAGCAAAAAGATGGGGTTCTATTTGTAATATCGGATTACTATTGATATTTGTCTTACTACCGTTTGTGGACCTGAACTTTACATAATTAGAAATGATTTGATGGTTATCTAATAACGATATACATCCATTCCCATACTGAATCAAACTACTATTTGAGTTAATACTCAAATTAATATAAATAGATCTCCGTATGGCTTTTAAGAAAAGTGCATAATAAGGAGGTAAGTTTGGTTTTGAATAATCTGAATTAAATTCGCCGCATTTTACTGGTTGAACATATTGGACTTCAATAGGACTTGTATCAGCAGTAAAATTGTTTGTGAAATAATTAATACTTTGATTAAATATATCAAACTTGGACGGTAATTTCGGTAAAGGATCATTATTTATACTAAAACACCATAATTCTCTTGATAACAGGGCTAACAAAATTTTAGGATTTTCCTTTCTTAAAAAGAATTCCATATAAATGGACCATTGATCATTTTGGTTTGGTGGTGAATATTGGGCATAATTAATTTTTTCAATGTCTTGTATTTTGTAAAAATTTGATATCAGTTCATCTAGCCTGTATTTATCTGTAATATCTTCTATTTCTATCATATTTGTTAATTTGAGTAGTTCCGAAGATGGCTATATCTTTTCACTGTATATATATATTATTATTATTTGTTGGAAATAAACAACAATTAAAGTTGCTTTATTGTAAAATAATCTGGTAGAAAATATTTTCAATATTAATGGTTGAAAACAAAAAAATTAAATTTTACTGATAACGGTTAATTACTAAACAGAATAAATGAAACGTCATCTATATCATCAACTATATTGTACTGTAAAAAATAGTACAAATTCTACAAAATAATTTCAGTAGATTTTTAAAAAAATACAATTTTTTGATTCCTAGAACTCTTAATATAATCACTATAAATATAACCAGTTGGTTACTTTCTTTTGCTAGTTCTTCCTCCGAATTTTTCTTTTAAATATATATCACTTTTATATATTATTGTTTGCTTGTTCACAGATTAAAGATTTATCATAAATATTGCAAAATATATTGAAATTTAGAAAATCCAAAATTTGAGCTCGAGGAAATAAAGAATAGACAAAAAGAACACAAACAAATAGGTAAATCATCAAGTCAGAATAAAATAAGATAGTGTACAGTATAACCTAAGGAAGGATAGGCTAAGAGCTTATACGATTTTAATATTGTCGTTTTGTACTATTTTTCTGGTTTCACTCACTGTTAAAGTACCAAAGAAATTAAGAAATAACGAAAAAAAAATACAATAAAAACCAATTAAATTATTAGTTACCTCAAATAAGAAAGTCAGAAGAAATCAACAATTAAATTGTGTTTTATTTGTTTTATTTTTATTTGTATCATTATTATTACCTAACTTAACAGTTCAGTATGTTCCAGTCTACTTACGAAAATGGTAAATTATTATTTAATGAATTTAGAGAGCACAAAATAGGTGGAATGTCACGATTTAAAATCATTATTAACAGAAATCGTTTAATTGAACAAGGTATATTAAAACCAGAAGATCAATTTTTACACTTAAGAATTAAAAATGAAGAGAGCCCATTGCTACGTGGTGTTTGGATTACTGGGCCTTATTCGTACTATGTTGATATGAGACCAATCAATTATGATGAAAATATTCGATATGAAGGCAAAGAACCCATTGAATTTATGGAAAATTTGAAACCTGATCAAGCATTTAAAGCAACATTAAGATTTAATAAAGGAAGTCAAGTTGAGGGAACTGATGGAACATATTGTTGGATTGTAGATATCTTATCTCAATTAGCATTGGTATCATTTGTAGCTATAAAATTTTCAATTAGAATAGGAACGTCAAGACGTGTTACAAAAAGCAAAAAATCTAGACAAGTTAAGACAACGATTTTAGATAAGGAGACTTTCAATATAGAAGAATGGGATGAAAACACATTATGGAACTTACCTCCTAAGTATGGACATAACAAGTCTGTCCATTTAGTAATAATTACACATGGTATCTTTTCTAATATTGGATGTGATATGTTATATATGAAAGATAAGATTGAACAAGTGTCCAATTCTGTAGATGACTCCATAAACTCAAATGTGATCGTTCGTGGATATATGGGGAATATGGGTAAGTCTGAAAGGGGTATTCATTATCTAGGAAAACGAGTTGGAGATTATATCTTAAAATTAGTTGACCAACTACAAGGAGAAGAAAAATATTGCATAGATAAAATCTCTTTTATAGGTCACTCATTAGGTGGGCCTACACAATCAATGGCAATTCATTACATCCAAGTCAAAAGACCCGATTTTTTTGAAAGGATTCAACCAATAAATTTTATTACCCTAGCATCACCATACCTTGGTGTTATTGGAGATTTCCCTTTCTATTTATCAGTTCCTTTAGATATGGGATTTTTAGGGTTAACAGGTAGAGATTTGAATTTAAAATATACACCATTTCAATCTAAAGACGGTTTATATATAGAGGAAGGCAATGAAGCGTTTCCTAGGCTAATATTAGAGATTATTCCACATGAGCCGATACGATCTATATTTGAAAAATTTACTAATAGGACCTTATATGCCAATGTAGTAAATGATGGGATAGTTCCATTACGTACGGCTGCATTGATGTACCTTGATTGGAAGGGATTAGCTAATGTTGATAAAGTAAAGCATAATGAGAAACCTGAAAGTAATTCACAGATGGAATTGAGAGAGGGGTCGCATATATCAGAGATTCCAAAAGAAGAAGACATGGATATTAAAACATCAGAGAGGTTGCATTTTCCGAATCTAATAAAGGAAGTTCGAAGAAAAAACAAGAAATTTGGGCGTGCACAAACTATTGATGTTATAAATAGTAATATAGAATCCAACAATAAAGATGTATTTAAATATGCACCAGATGAAGCGTCAGCAGTGAAGTCCGCATTATCCACTTTAACAGCACCAATCCCTTCACAGGAATACATTAAAAATCCAGAAGCCAGAACAGATAGTATAATACATGATAGAATATATAGACCGGACCAACTACCACCAAGACATTATTTGGGTAGACCAATATATAAGAAAATTGTGTACCCGAACGAAAATGTTAACAGAATACAAGAGAGAATAGCGCGTGAATGGCAAGAAACAATGGAATGGAGAAAAGTATTAGTTAAAATTCAGCCTGACTCACATAACAATATTGTGGTAAGAAGAAGGTTTACTAATTTATATGGTAATGTTGCTGTGACACATATGGCCAATGAACATTTTGGTGTAAAGGCATGTGAAAAATATTCGAAGACTTTAATAAGATAAAATAGGGGAAAACAATTAAAATAGATACTTTTCCATTAATACACACACACACTATATATATATATATACGCTTGCATCTATTATTTATATAAAGAGTATATTATACATTAAACTCAATATATTCATATCTACCTGAATATGTTTGTGCCGATGTGAAGGATTTATATGAAAGTGAATTTATTGAATAAAGTTTGATTTGATCTGATCAAAGTCGGACATTTTCCGGGGAAATAAGAATATGGTAAAAAAAAAATAAAAAAGGAAAGGACTTCGAGGAAAAGGGGAGCTCAACTTTTTTAGTGCTCAATTGCGAATGCAGTTACCCACTTAGAATAGTCAATCTAAGCTAAATGAATAAAAATGTATGAATACGTAGAATGTATATAGGCGTATCTATAGGTAGGTGCATATGTGTATATTAGTACTGGTAAGGGCTAAATATTTACCATCTTGGAGCTTAGCCATACTTTATAGTTCATTTCAGCAATATGATCTGCAAGATTATACAAATTGTCATTAGTTTCATGATTTATATCGTATAGATCTTTGTAGTCAACTAAAAACGAAGAAGAACTATGTCGATCAACTGCACACGGTTCAGAAGACTTGACTAAAGGAGATTTCAATAATTCATCTATGTTATTGGTATATAGTTGCAAAGAGCAGAGACTTCGATCCTCATCTTTATCGCACTGATTTGTAGAAGATAGAGCATAGTGCGAATCCATCAGTAATATTATAAGAAAAAAGAATAAATAAATGTGTATAATATGTGAATAGCCAAATAAAAAGTTCAGAAGTATGTGTGTATATTAACAACTAAAAAAGCGATACTTTCGTAGCTATATTAAAGTAAAACCATGCAAATAGCAGTATTAGTATTTTGTTAAAAATTCATATATTGATTATTTGTTCAAACGTAAGATAAGTAAAAAGAATTTGAAGAAGACAAAATGAAAGAAAATAATCAGGGGAGGGGTAGGATTGTAAATGAATATCACCTTTATTGATAAGGTGCCAAACGTGTCAAAGGAACAAATATATATTTATATGCCTATATATTACAGCAGATTAAAGTGTGCCAAGAACTTAAAATGGATAAAGAAGAACAGAAAAAGAGCACGATGTGAAAGCTGTTTTCAAATGTAATAATAGTAAAAGGAACCTTTTTTAGATTTCGCACGCAAAAACTACCAGCAATAGCATGAGTAAGTTAGTAATTACTGTAGCAGTGACAAATACTTTCAAATATGTGGAGAGTTGGTAAGAAAAAGACCTGGGAGGAGACATTACACGTAGGGAACGTGTCTGTGGTAGACAGACAATATATTTCATGGTTGCCAAAAAAGTAAATAGATAAATAAATAAAGAGATTGGTTGACAGTGTGACGAACGGCTGCAGCATGTTTGTTAGAAAAAAAAACGATTACTTTTTCTTTAACAAAGTAAAAACATTTCCCTCCCCTCTCTCTTTGTGGAAAAATAAGTGGTTGGGGATAAAACATAAACAAAAAAAAGATAAAAAAGAACAGTTAAATATATAGCAATACTTTAGCAACTATATATTGAGTTATTATTCTAAGATCATCAATTAAAAAAAACAAAATATAAAGTACAAAATTTGGCTTGTACATATTTACAGATATATGAGAAAGTTTATAATTTCATAATAATAATATTATTATTATTATTTTTTTTTTAAAAAAAATCTTGTTTTCTTCTCTAGAAGACACTATAATGTTGTAGGGTTATTTTCGTTATATGAAGAGATATTAATGGTTTCATTTTGGGCATGAAATATAGGTATTATTCTCTTTTCTCTTTCAGCTTCAACTTTTATTTGTAGCGTTTTTTTTTTTCTTTTTTTCCTTTCTTTCTTTTTTAGAATAACCCATTAAACCACTTTTGAAAGGCTGTTTTCTGTTGTTTTGGATATATTGGATCATTGGCTGTAGTAGATTTATTTTTAGCAGTGATATTCGAGATTGTTATGGTAGATTTATTAAAAGATTGACCAACTTTACGAGGTAAATATCTAGCTAAAGTTGGAGTAATTGCAGCAGTCAATGGAATTCTAATAAATATTAAACTTTTATGTAAACCATATGCTAAAATTAGCTCGGTTAAAATAGGAGATGTTTTAATGGATTCCCATCTTAATTTCCATTTTACACTCATGGATCTATTGGTCCCATTCACTCCGTTCTCTTTTAATTGCTCCTCTTCTTCATCTGCTATGTACTTATTTCTTGCTTCTAGCCTTTGTCTTTGTTTTTCTTTTACTTTTATTTTGACTGCGTTATCATCGCTTTCACCATATCCAAATACCTGTTTCACTCTATTCAATAAAATTGATATTCTTTCTTCACCTAAAGAATGAACTGTGAAGTAACATCCAGGTAAACTAATGAAAGTTACACCAATGTAAACTATTAGTGCAGAGTATCCATATACAGAGATGAGTTTTTTGATACCTTTCAATTCTTTATGTTGGACTTGAGTGGATTGATATCTTAAGGAATTACGTAAGTTTATCAAGGTTAATTTATAAGGTACTGAGGTACGTAAAATGTTCATGTTTGAGAAGAGGGGAGAGGAGAGGGAGAGTAATAAATATCTGTAACTGCTGTTAGTCTGCTATTTCACAAGGATGATAAAGGAAGATATTGGTACGCGGACAGATATATGTACATAGGTGTGTGTCTTCTCAAATATCTCTTTTGTTGGATTAAGTACTATTCAACACTATACATCCAATTTATTACCACTTACATTTTTCACCTCGAAGATCTCACTAAAAAGAAATGATCCTCTCGATCTGTCATAGAATAAAAAATAACAATATAAACAAAGAAAAAGAAAAGAAATAAGAAAAATACAAAGATCGGGAACGAACAAGAAAAAGAGTACACAACAATAAACGAGATGATTTGGAAATAGGTTTCATAACACTATTAATGTTTAAATAAAACTTTTTTTCATTCAAATATTAGATATCTGAGTTGCTAAGAAATATACTTGTACAAGTATTAGTCACATATGTGATAATATCCTGTTACTGAAAGCACCATTCAAGATTCAAAATGATAAGTGCTTAAAAGTGGTACCTTTTGGGAAAGATGACCATATTAGCCATTGTTTTTTTTTTTGGAAGTCTAATAAAGATCACCTTCCTAAAATAAGCCTTAGTACAAATTCTCGATTTTATATTGTTTAGTATGCCTAATAATTTTTTTTCTGAAGTCTGTCTATTTACATAGTTTTTAAAAAAACGTTTTTTTTTCTGGTGCATAAATTTAATTTTACTAGTTTAAGAATTGCAAAAATCATTCGCTAAAATATCTATTGTCTAAATGTTATAGAACCTTCCTAAAATATTGTTTTGTTAATAGTTGTGTCTTTTATTTGGTTTTATTAAATATAGTCTTGTAGTACAGTCCTGTGGTATTTTTTAGTTGAAGAATTTTTTTTCTTCTTTATATTTAAATCACATTTTAAAGGGTAACCAAAGTGTGATCTATTTTGATCTGAGCTTCTTAAGGTTTTGAAATAAGAAGTAGAGCGTCCCCTATGAATATCTTGTTTTTTGTTAATGTTCATGTTTTAGTCTATATTTTGGTATTATCGATTTTGCAGAATTGGTCTCAATTATATTTTGCTTTAACTTTCTTATCATTATCTTATGCAATAACTACTTGAAGAAATTCTTTACAGTTACATTCTATTGAAAAAATTGCTTTTTGATTTATATATATATAATCTCACTATTAATTATTACATATATTTTACTATGCCTTAAACAAATAGTATAAATTGTACCGGTTTTCTGGAGCAATGCATACCACTTTAAATTCAGAGACGAATACATTGTGGGTCATATTTTATTATATGATATGGCGTATGTAGTATTCTTATTTTATTATTTTAAAAATAATCACAAAATGTTGAATTCTGCTAAAAGATAACTAGTTTTGGGTATGTGATGACTAATCTATTTAGAAATTTTTGTGTGATCAATTTAAAATCTTCATTGTTATTTACACTGTAGCTCGGTATTTCTGTTAATTATGTAATAGGTTTTTTTTTTCTTCTGCTTAAGATGTAAATAAAGAGCATCAATATTTTTCTACATTGTATCTCTTTGAAAGTCATATATAGTGATGTTACTTATTACATAGATGCCTATGGTAACAGCAGCTTTGATACCCTAAATTAGTAACTTAAAATAAGATTTAGAGTTGTTAAAGAAAAAAAGTAAAAAATATTGCCAAATGTGATAGTTCAAGTGGAGAAAAATGCAAGTATCTGGAAAAGAGAGATTTCTTTCTATGTATACGTAAATACAAAAGAATTCAACTATATATCATCATATCAATATATTTATTTACAAGTATCTATATCTATATAAATAACAAATTATTCATAATAATTTTTAAGGATATAACTTACAATGAATTATTATTTTTATAAAGATAATTCCTCAATTTGTAAATTTAAGTCTTTAATTGGGTCCTTCTTATTAATTACTTCTAACAATCTATTAATGGACCTCTTATCTTCCAATTCTATCAAGGCATGGTGTAAAGGTTTTATCATTGGGTATGTCCAGTTAATGTATCTCTGTGAAGAAAGTATAATACTTAATGCATCTGTATACTGTTTTTGTTCAGTGAAAAAATTGACCATGATTTTCGCAAATTCGGTGTCTGAATTTATTCTGTCCTTCATAGATAGCATTGTAAAATGTGAAGTTTTTCTAAATTCACCACGAGCTCTCCAAATATCAGATCCAAAATCGGAATCATGAAATTGAGTTGCAGCTTTCATACAATTGGCATATAATGAATTTTCCATCATTAGTTTATGCTGTAGTGAGATAAAAAATTGTGTGACATCAGAATTTATTAATGTCAGATACTTCTCAGATTCATTAATTTCGGCGGCCTCATTTTTATTGTTGGTCAAGGGTAAAGTTTTCTTTTCAATAATATATTCAAGAGTTTGCCTTAATTCACATTGATCAAATGTGTAAAGTTTTAATCTCCTATAATATTCTTCCTTTTTGTTTAACCTTACTGGGATGGTTAAATACGTTAAAAGGCATTTATAGTTAAGTATTTGATAATTAACAGAATTCTGTGATTTCATATCAGTTAACTTTGTTGAAAGATGAGATTGTAGCTCTATTAAATCTTTGGCTTCTTTTATCAATTGATTTATAGCTTCAATAAAAATATCTGGGTATGATAAATAATCATCAGTTACACGGCCTGAATTTAAATGGAAGTGCCATAAAGCATTAGATTCAAATAATACTTGATCTATATCATTTAATTCTATCAATGGTAAAAAGGGTAATATAACTTGACAATCTTCATAATTTCTTAAAGTGTAATCAGCAAAATTTAATAAATCTCTTCTCAAATTACGTCCTTCGTCCCAGCCAATTAATAAAGGGATTTTTCCAGGAATGAATTTTGAATAAGCAAGTAACAGATAATTAAATAAAACTGGGTTCATGGCTCTTTGCCAAGCTTCAGTGTCATTGGTACTTTGTGGTTTAAAACGTCGGTATTGGTTCATTGTATATTCAAAATATATTGCACGAGCAACTGCCACATCGCCATCATATGCAGCCAAAGACATCATTGCACCTACACTAAATAGATCATTTTTATTCATCATTCCACTTATAAATTTCCAACCTAACAGTCTTAATGCTTCATTGTTACCTTCTGAAGAAATATTGTCTGAAGAACAAGTAGCTAGAAGAGTTCCCATTAAGGAGAATGTTTCTACACTTGGTGTAATCTTCCGATCTTTCATTTCGTGGAATAGATCAATAGCTTTAGCATAATTTTTGGTCTTTTGACAAATTGTTAACATGTTATTATAGGTCTTTGTATCAGGCGAATGTGCTGTAGAAAGAAACTTCATAGTATCAAAAACATCCCATGCCCTATCTGACAGATTTAGTTTAGAGTAAAATTGAATAATATTTGTGTAAGTGAATCTATCTGGTGAGATGTCATATTTTTCCTTAAAATGTTTTAAAAAATAATCCACAGTGGTCACATTTAAAGATTTGGAAGTATAAGTTATACAATAATTTAATATCATATTATGTTGTTTCTCCCTTTCAGTAAGTTGCTTGTTATTTTTAATTTGAGCACTTTCAATAGTTTTATCGTATCGTTGAATAAGATCTTTTAATTTACACAGTATAGAATTATTGTCAGTTAATCCATCTTTAGTTTGAATTGGACCTAAATAAGATAATTTTGAGATATTCTTGAAAAGACAATTATACATGGCAAATGAAAATTTCTCTAGTTTATTATCTACAAATATATTAAAGATTTCATCTAATTTATTAATACTGTCGAATGACAAATTCTGAATATCTAAGGACAAAAATTTCTTGAAACTTTTATTTGATAATTTTTTCACTTTTTCCTTATTTGAATATAATTGTTCAATTATAGGATTCCAATTTTGTTGTGTTTTGTTAGACAGATATTTAATAATAAGTTCATCATTATCTATAATCTTTTGGATTTTTTCTGGCAATAGACTTGTAGCTTGAGCAACTTGTGTTTGGGATATAATATCCGTAAGACTAGGAAGTTTTTGTGAGTTGTTTTTTTGTTTGAGTTTGGTTGTTAACAGCGAAGTTTCATTATCAAATGTTAAAGATCTATAAATTTCATCAGCATCTCTATCCAAATCTGTTTTATCTAAATCGTTTAAGGTTTCATATGCTATAGTCAAATGATTTGGGGAGTGCGATAATTTTTGTTTCAAATTTTTGGTGAAATTTTGCAATTTCTGTAATTTTTTTTCTACAATTTTTGAATCTTCAATACTCATGGAATCAGTTGAATCCAATTTGTCCCATGTTTCAAAACTTTTTGGTATTTTTTGCTTTTTCTTTATCTTTACATTAGATGTTGCGCGAGGGATAAAAACATATCTCTTTTGAGATAAGACTTGTTTATATCCTGTTAAAGTGGCATTTTTACTCAACAGATGAGAAAGCCTAGCAACCATGAAGATAATATTGTATAAGACTTTTCTTCAAACTATATAATTTATCTTGGTAGATTACTTTAACTTGATAGAGTCATCAACTCTAACTTTCTTAGAGTTTTGTATCATTGGAGTAACTTATAAATATTCACGTAAAAGAAATCATATATATTTTTATGTGTGTTCTGTATACATAACGATGAGCAACAGTAACTTTTGACAGAGATAATTGCAATACTAAATGCTCGAACAAAACAATCTTGTGGAAGCATAAAATCTGACAAGCATTTTCGGAAACAACCTAATTCCGTTTTCAAAAAGAGAATTTCTCTAAAATAAAAAAGGAAAAAAAGAAAAATTGTAAAGTTAAAAAAGAGATGAGCTAAAATGAGATGAGCTCAAAAAAACATTCTTAGGAATTGAAAACATTAAGATCACTTTCCTTGATTCTTGTCTCCGATTAGAAAATTGCTAAGAATATTAAAATTACTAGACTTATTGTCAATATTTGCCTCTTAATCAAATAAGTGGAAAAACATGAGTGAAGAAACTATGAATAAGAATGCAGAAAATTCCAATAACAACCAGGTAAAAGAAACTAAAATCAAGGGTCCAAACGTTAGTGGAAGACCATGGAAGGCAGAAAAAGAGCCATTTAGACCAAAGGGTAGAGTGGTAAAAAATAAAACTTTGACATCATGGGAATTGAAGAAGCAAAAAAGACTGGAGGATTTACAATTTAAAGAAAGATTGAAAGAATTAAAGAATGAGAAAGAAACACTTCGTCAAAATCGTATAAATTTATTACGTGAGAGAAGAGAGAAGAAGGCAGAAAGAGAAAGATATGAAAAAATGGCTGCTAGGATGCATGCTAAGAAAGTGGAAAGATTAAGAAGAAGAGAAAAGAGAAACAAAGCTTTAAAAGAACGTTGAATGATACTTTGTATATTTAACCGTACAAGTTACTCTAGTTATTTCATTTTTCTGTAATCATTATTATTATATTTACTCAATAATTTTGTATATTATAAAATCATGTTATTAATATTAATTTATATTTATAAAATTGAAAATATCTGTTCATGTTATGTCATATCATGTTGACGCAAGGCTTCGGAATCAAACATTCTAGTAAAGTTCATTTAAGACTAATATAATAAGATAAGGTAACTTACAATAGGATATTGGTGGTATTATTAGTTATTCCTTGGTCCTTTCCTTTCTATATAAGTAATATACAAAATACAATATTATACAGTATACTCATTTTATCTTTGAATCTTCTTTACTATAAATTTTCATAACTTTTAATCACTTAGTACGATGAATTTAGATTATCAAACATAACTCTAATAATTATATTTCAACATATCATATTAGAATTGAAACAAAAACAAATTAATATAGTTGACATGCTTGAGAGTGGAGGTCAGTTGTTTTCATTTCGTCATGTTAGATATATAAAAATAAATTTTAATAAGATGATAAATTCCTGAATAGACATTCTTATGGATATTTCTTGAGTTATAACGTTACCTGAGTACATAAGGAGTCTGAAATCAAATACTCAAATATAAAAAAAAAGTATTTTATAATACGGAAACGGAGTAATATATATAAATAGATAAACAATAAAAAACACATAATTTAGAGATATATGCATATATATAATGTAATCTTGGGTTGTAGTGGTCATACGTTGTTACCTTTACTATTATTAACTATTTTCTTTTAATAATCAATGTGTATTATGTATGTATAGTGAATATGAAAACTTACTATTAAATTTCATAAACACCTTGTAAGTCATTTTGTTCATTTATACTCTATACAAGAAGGCAATGATTATAATTGTTATAAACGTGTTGACGCAAGGCTTCAGAATCAAAAATTCTAGTCGAGTTCATTTTAAACTAATGTAATAAGATAATGTAACTTACAATAGGATATTGGTGGTATTATAAGTTCTATTATTATTTATAGTAGGAAGTTAGTGGTACTATAAATTGTTATTTTATTGCTTAGTCCTTTTCTTTCTATATAAGTAATATACAAGATACAATATTATACAGTATACTCATTTTATCTTTGAATCTTCTTTACTATAAATTTTCATAACTTTTAATCACTTAGTACGATGAATTTAGATTATCAAACATAGCTCTAATAATTATATTTCAACAAAACGTATAAAAAAGCAAAAAAAAGGATAATTATTTTAATAAAATTCAGGTATAATACCATTATTTCGTAACTTATTTAATTTTTTTATACCATGTAGCTGTGAGTTAAATAATTTGAGATGGATCCATATATTCATGAAAGTAAGAAGATAATAAACAAAACATATAAATCATATACCATTCACATTTTTAAGTCTGTCCTTCTAACAATAGCTTCTTAGAATATTACTACACCTCATAAATTCACATATCACAAATAAACTCCTTTTGAATATAACAAACACTATTCTTTGTGTCATCAAAGACGGCATTATAATCTTTTAAGTAAATTGGCAGTGTTTATGTTTTTCTTGTTTGCAAACTTTGCATCTATCTATGCAAGTTTTTTTTATGTAGATTATGACTTATAGATTTTGTATATACGAGGAAGATCAAGAACGACTCATTATGTTCTAGAAGAGCATATCTCTTGTAGTAGGTCCTATTGTATTGCTTAAATTTTTTTTAGTAATTCGGAAATATTATTTCCTTGATAGATGTAGTCCTGCTACAAAAAAATACTCTACTAGAATGTAAAATATGATAAATAATTTCTGATTGTTGTTCCCTATTTATGCATTACAAAATATAGTGTATATGGAAAGTATTTCAGATAAATAGAAATATTGATATGTATAAGGTTTATAGTTACTAAAAAACAAGAACAGCATTAATTATTAAAATGTCTAAAATTCGTCTGTAATGATATAATGATAGAAAATATTAACATTTCAATTTTTATACCGGTATTATAATAGATGAAAACTCGATTACGAGAAATATACTCTTCTAGACGCTAAAATAGATAGATATAGCTTGATTTGTTATCTATATATGATATATAAACTATACTCTAAACAAGGAATAAATTAATACACACATATATACAGATAAACATAGTTATGTAAACAAGAACGTCGTTGTCAAAAAGAGTTCACAAAATTGTTTATAGTGATATCCGAATTTCATATGTCATATATAAAGTAAAAATATAATATCTCTGATATTACTGTTTAGGGTTTGTTTAGAAAAATGAGGGTTGACAATATATTACAAAAACTTCAAAAAGTCCAAAAAAGACGACAACTGCAGGATTCGAACCTGCGCGGGCAAAGCCCAAAAGATTTCTAATCTTACGCCTTAACCACTCGGCCAAGTTGCCACTGACTCATGCCCTTTGTTACAGAATAGGATAGATATTACCATCAAGATTACATAAGATCCTGAATGAATCTAGAATTATTTATTGTTTTGAGAAGCCATACACGTGCTACAATATTAGATGCTGCATAATAAAAAGATTAGATTACATAAGACTTTAGCAAATCTAGAATTTATCTATTGTTTTAATAAGTCCCACGTGTATTACTAATTACCATGATTAGAGAATTGGGGTGCAGTTCTAATCCACTAGTGCACCTAAATTAATGTAATAAATTTTAGGGTGAATCAGTCAAGTCATTAATGTACTAATCTGAATAATCGATCGAGCTCCAGAAAACATATAAAAGAACAACGTTTTCTGGAGATAAAAGATCATCTTCCATAACCGTTTCTTGTAAATAATTTATATATTATAGATGAACAAAAATAGAATAACAAGCAAGTAACAAGCCAAGTAACTTCGAATAAATATATTAGCTCAATAAAAGCTGCTCAATATATATGACTGTTTTAGTAATTATATTATCGACTATAGTTGATTACTGTCTCGACTATTTGAATATCTGTTGATACTATTGGTGTTTCCCCGAAACATACAAAAGAACCTGATCACTACGTATTACAACAGTTTTCTTTAGACTTAGCTAGGAAGATAATATACATTAAATATCTGTAATAATAATATACATAGTTAAATTGTAGAAGCTTGTTCTATTTTATATTAAACATATGTGTACACCTGTTTTCTTCTGTAGAAAGTAAAATTAGAGTTTTTATTTCAACCCTTTTATAAATTTTTACTTCTTCAAATCTTTGAAAAACCCATTCAGTGAAAAGTAAAATCTTTCCTGCCTGCTAGAGCACAGCCACACACTGCATAACATACAGAAAAACTAAGTTAAAAATGATTCTTATGGAGTAATAAATTTTCCTTTTTTAGCAGAGTTATTCCACTAAATAAATGTTAATAGTACTTTTTTTTTTATTTTTTTGTCTTAAACAACTAATACTGACAGAATATTCTAATGATAATGTACAATTAAACTACTAGAATACTGATATTAGTTTGTGCGAATTTATTTCCATATATACTGAAAAAATTAATTAGAAAAAAAAATATTTACTAGCATAGAGATAAAATTAATTCACTTATAGAAGTCAGAGTCTTAGAGGCCTTTTATTTTCATATAAAATAAATATCATAAATATGACCATTAAAGTTTTAATACATCAAGGAGCTTTAATAACTTTTCCATAAATAAATAGGAATCTATAGTTTCAAAAATAAAAGACAAAAGTGGCTAAATAATCAATGTTTCATATTTACCCTATTTGAAAGAGAAGTCATTATTTTTTCTTAAACAGTAGTTGTTTTCCTTATATGTGTGCACTTATCCAATATTAATTTTTCTGAATTAAAAAACATTAAAATTCTCAGTTTAAAAGAGTTTAACTATATGATATTAAATAGAAATGCTTTAGATAAATAAACTGTTTACAAAACAATAAATATTTTTGGTATGACAATCCAAAAACATTGTTAAGAAGAATCGGTGATAATGTCTATTGATTCCAGATTATATACGCCAGATATATTTTCATATTGAATTTACACAAGAAAAAAAAAAAAGAAAAGAAAGAAAGAAAGAAAAACTACTAAAAATATTCATGTAACACAATTTTTAACAATGTATCATATTTAATACTATGTATTTTATCTATTATATTATTATAAATTTTCGTACTCATCAGGATAAAAAATTAGTCTTTCCACACCTTCTTTAGTTAAAATGACCATTCTGATGACACCACCAGAAGACCCATCCCATTTAATAGCTTGAGATAGGGAATGTTTCACAAAATTGACTGTTTCCTCTTTGCTCATATTTTGTTTATAATTTTTATCACAATAACCATATATGAAGGCCGAACCAGACCCTGCAATAGCATAATCTTGCTTATGAACAGAACCACCTAATGGAATGCTGTAAACCTCACCTTTCTCCTTTTTATCATCGAAACCTGCTACAATGATACCTGCTGTCAAATAATCTTTGTTGTCATAACATATAGTCTTAAATATAGATGCGGCTGTTTCAATAGACGGTGTACCATATTGCGCTGTATATAAATCTAAATGATATTGAACAATGTCTGCCACGGCTTGTGTATCAGCAGCAGACCCAGACCGACAACACCAAATCTTGTCATGAACTCTTGTTAATTTATCTGTAACACGATTTGCAATATATGCACCGGTGGTGGTTCTTGAGTCAGCACCTAATATCACACCACCATTAAAGGTAACCGCCATGATGGATGTACCCAAACTCACTTCCCCTTTTTTCAAACGGTTAATATCTACTTGAATACCATTCATTTCGTTTTATGCAACTTAATTTCAATAAAGAATATAATGCTTTTTTACAAAATAGATCAGGAGTCAGTAAAACAGCAATAATATGAATCAATTGAATTTACTGCTATCTTTATTATTATCTTTTTTCACCTTTATTTTTTTATGTTATTATTTGCACGACAGATAGTTAAAAAAATCAACTGATTTTGGTGTTGATCAAGATAATACAACCGTATGTAATAACTCAACTGGACAATTGTACTCATATAAATAATACAGAACTGTCCTTCTTTTCACAGGTAAAGATTAGCAAACCCTTTCTCTGCAATGTCTTTTAAATTCCATTAAAATATTTGTTTTTTCTGATTTTGCCACCACTTATTACCCGCACCTTTTCCAAAAGGAAAAAAATTAATTATATAAATAAGACAGAAATTAAAAAGAGCAATCCCCCCAAATTATAGGTATACTCTAATATCCTTTTGAGATCAACATATGACTTAAAATCGAAAGTACTCTGATATGGATTATATTCTTGCAAAAATTGTCGCTTTTTCTTTTTATAATACACACACACACATATATATATATATACTCACATGCATTGTTAATACTTATATGGATATTCTTAATGCAGTCATCTTGGGGAAAATCCAGGCTTGGAAAGTTGTGGAATTGGAATTCTTCTCTCTGGAGATCCATTTAATACGGATTGGCTTCTGTGTTTCAATCGATGGGATTGTGGAGGTGGCCGCAAAAATGTTAAATCACTAAAACGTAATTTTCCAGGACTTTTAGTATGATTACTGGGATCATTAGGAATTTCTGTTTGTCGCGACATGATCTTCGATTGTAATCTTTTTTTCACAGTGTTAGGCAACGTAGAAGATTCTTTTAATGGACTTGGAATAATTCTAGCTTTATTATAATGGGAAATCATCTCTTGCATTTTGTACCTTCTCATCTGTAACGATCCAGGAATAGTGGTATTGCTTACTTGTTTTTTAGGAGTCCTCATTTCTACAATATGACGTGGAGATATGTTACTATTGTCAGAGAAATGTCCTTCATCATCAATGCCAGAGTAACCCAGACTTGTAAATTGGTTTCCTATTTGATCTCGACGATTCTCTGTCTTCATTTTCCATAACGTTATTAAACCTCTTACTGTGGCTCTTTCCCACCTTTGTCTGAACAAATGTACAGTTCTTTCATTTCGAGCTATTTTAAAATGATTCATACTCCACAACCGTAAATATGTAGACAATAAATACAAGTTCTTCTCATTAATTGCCTGCTGTAAAAGATTATTTAATTCATCCAAGCGATATTTCCATAAAGCGAAGATGTCATATATAATTGTGTTTTCTTTTAGTATATCGGCACGAAGATATTCGGATTGGTAGTTATTGAATTTTGACAGCATTAGATTAGAAAAATGTTTTAATAACCGACGGTTATTCATGTCATCTGCAATGATTATCAGGTTTCGGCATAATATAATAGATCTCCTATAATACATTTGAAAATATTTATTTAACAGCATGGATCTTTTATGATCAGTATATAAGCTTAGATTATTCCTTAATCTTTTCTCCTTCAGTAAATTATAAATGCTAATCCATTTTTGTAAATAGGTATTCATTATTATTGACGAATATACCTGGGGCCATTCCAATTTCCCCATTAATTTTAATTCTCTTAGTTTACTATATTTTCTTTTAATTTTACTGAATACTTTACTTTTAATTAATACAGCACATTTTTTATTTAAACTGCTAATAATAGTAGTCCTGGATGTTATTTTTTGTATGAATTTGCGTCCTAGGTTATTCTTGTAAATACCAAGTTCTTTCTTATTCAAATATGATATTTTTTCATTATGAATCCTCCATATTGTAAAATATTTTGAATAAATTTTTGATATAACACTATTTTGATATCGAAAAATCAATTTAGTTTGTTTGTTCCAATATTCTAAATATTTTTGTCTAGAATTAATTCCTTTAAACTGTGTCAGTTTCTTCTGAAGATAATATCTTTTTTTCCATAACTTCCAGATATATTTCAAAAGGGATTCTTCTCTAAATTGATAAGCTTTTATCTGTAGATAAAATTGTTTAGTAATTAAATGAATATACTTCTTCTTCATCGCTTCATTTTGTATTGTTGTGAACGAATAGAAATGTAACCTCTCCTGCAGTCTCTTATACCACATTTCACAAAGAATATGGCTTGTCAATGTTTTATCTAAATGATCTCTTGCAATAGATATTGATTGTGATAGTTTATAAGAAGACAAAAATCTATTAAAATATCTCCTTTTGAGAGATTTTCTATATGATAAGATCAACTTTTCATGCTTTTTATTTTTTCTTTTCAGTTGATTCTTCCAAGTTAATATAGTCTTTTTAGTAAGAAGAAGATATCTAGCTGTTGCAGCTTCTTTTATCATTGCTTCTCTATCTTCATACTTTGTCCTTATTTTTGATAAAAATTTTTTCTTCAAATATATCCTTCTCATGATAAATTCATTAAGCCTAAATTGAAAAATCCATATTTTTAGGTAATGTTTCCTTAAAAGGTCATCTCTTCTTTGCGTAAATATTTTTTCATCTTCCATTAATAAAGAATATATCTTTTTAAATCGCATGAAGATAGTTTGCTTAAATTTACTATCTGCTACTAAAGTCATCTGTTGTAAGGTATCATATGCAATTAATAATTTGTCAAAACCAAATTCTTTTAATCTTGTTTTATTAACATTATTGGATTGTTCTTTATATTCCATACCATATTTATTAAAAGAGCTAGTCCATTTATGGAGAAATTTAGCTTTGATAAATGTTTCATACAGTGTAAGACTATTTTGGGTTACAAACTTAATCTTCCATAATGAAAAGTGTATTTGTAATAAATTTGAGCTTTTATCAAATTGATAATTAACCAATTTTAAAATCAAATTATCTGGTTTAAACAAGAATTTTTTAATAATGGATTCCATTTCATAAGTCAATGAAAAACCCTTTGAAAGACAGTCTTGAACTTGAAGTAAATATTCGTCAGTTAATGGATTAAACCCCAATTCAATTAAATAACCAATATAGGATTTGAATCTCTTCAAAAAGTTTAAGGATAATTGATTTCTTAGTAAAAATACTTGAATTCTATTATATAGTCTAGGTAATATTTCTAATAATTCCTCATCTGAGATATCTTTGGTTAATGGTACAAAGGGAAGATTACCATTTACGAGGTCTTTTTTAAATTGATTTTGAGGTGTCACCACATTATTATAGCTGTTTAGCAACTGATCATTTTCTGATAGTTTGATATTATTAAAGTGTGCTAGTTCATCTGAGATTGTATCTTCCTCCGTGTTTTTGATAAATCCTTGATATCCTGGGTCAGAACTACCTTCTATTTCCCCCAATAAATTGGGAATGGACTCACCAATTAATCGTTCAGTAGGAAAGAAAACCGATTTTTTATTAAGTAATTCTAAAGTGGATGTGTCTTCAGTCTGTACACTTGTGTAATCATCATCTTTCTTTTCTGTACAATTATGTCTTCTGTCGTGTTCACCGATGCTAATCTTAGTTAATTTACTCATAAAGGGATTAGCGGCTGCCATGAAACTATAAAATGAAAAAAAGAGTTCTACAAAAGAAAATTGGTAGCTGACAACTGGCTATATTGGAAGTAAATAGTGTCGCCTCTTTTCCGCATATCTATTCAACAGCAGTTACATTTTCCTGAAAGGAAATTTCTATAGCTGATGAACTAAGAAATTTGTTTCTACCTCTATCTATGTCTCTTCTTTTAAGTTGTTCACACTGTTTTCTCTTTTGATTCACCTCAATGTGCGCTAGCATTTACCCTCCCTATTACAGAAAATTTTTGAAAATTTCAAAAAACACTTTAAAAGGAAGAGAAGTAGAACTCTGCTTTTGTTTATAACAAGTTAACTTTGTTTAGTGGTGAACCTTACTTTGGAATATTGTTGTTTTTTTACAACTGATCACCGCTAATCATACAAAAAGAGTGAAGTTAACATTATAAATATAGAGGGTATTTGGTGACAATTGTAATAAAATAGTATATAGATAACATTAAGTATTAGAAACGGCCAATAGATAAAAAGATTTTAAATTATTACAATTTCACCTGTATAATTGAAAGTTTTTACATTATTTTGTCAGCAATACTTAGTAACAATGTTGTTAACCAAGCAATCCTTAACTGTTTTTGTTCTTTTATTGGTCCAATTGATTGGAACTTTTGCTCAAGGAATACTACCAAGTGGTTGGGAAAATATAAAATTAACTAGAGAATTGGATCTACAGCATACTTTTACCGTTGAGAGTTTTCAATTAACTATCAAAAATATTGCTGATAAACCATTGAAACAATACTTTATCCCTATTCCTAAACAATTAAGGGATCAGCTCTCAACAATAACCGCATCATTATCTAAGAATACTGATGCTTTATTAAATTGTTATGTATCTGACACCTTAAATACTTTAGAAGACGGTACTGTTTTGAGTTATGGTGTTGTTGAATTGCCAACTCCTCTTCAACCAGGCAAGGAAATTGACATTGTTGCCAGAATATTCTATAATATCGCTGGTATCCCATATCCTTCAAAGATCAAAATTGGTGAAGTCCAACAATTATATTTTAGTACTAATAGATTACCACTATCTCCATATTCCACTTTGGAAGGTCGTTTGTTAGTCAAAACCAAGAGTGATGTGAAGGAGGATAACAAACCGGAAGATCAATTTTTACAAGGTACTTTCAATGACGACACAAATACCTTAGAGTTTGGTCCTTGGTACGATATTAAACCATACACAGTATCCAATGTAGATCTAATTTACAAGCATGTGCCTGCTTTGAAAGAAGTTATCAATTTACAAAGAGATATCTGGGTGGCTCACTGGGCATCTACTATTCAATTTGAAGAATATTATGAATTGACAAACAAAGGTGTCGGATTAACAGATGGATTCTCTAGATTAGAATTCATGAAGCGTAGTCAATTGGCCCAATTTGGTATGATTCCATGGATTCATATTTTAGAAATGAGTTTACCAGAGCAAGCCACAGAACATTTCTGTACAGATAAAGTTGGTATGGTATCTACCACTGACGTTGTTGGGGATACTTTCTACATTAAACCAAGATTCCCTATTTTTGGTGGCTGGTTTTACAATTTTACTATTGGTTGGACTAACCCATTAAACCAATTTCTACAGAGATATGAAAATGATGATGAAACTTTCTTACTGACTGTCCCAATCTTAAATGGTCCACAAGATACAGTCTATGACAATGTTAACGTCACAATTTACCTTCCAGAAGGTGCTGAATTATTAGATGCAGGTTCTCCAGTATCTTATAAATCTATATCAACAGCTCATGAACACTCCTATTTTGATATGAAAGAAGGTCATGTTAAATTGACTTTTGAGTTCAAGAATTTATTTACTGATATTGGCAAAGCTGATCTACTTGTTAAATATAGGTATTCTAAAGCTGCTCTATATAAGAAACCTTTATCTATTGCAGCTTACTTTTTCAGTGCATTGATGGGATTTTTTGTAATTCGTTCTTTGAATCTATCCATTAATAACTGAATGGAAACATAAAAAACAAAACGGTGTTAATAATAAAAGAATAAGTATGCATATATATGTTAATACATAGGTAAAAAAAATTTAGAGAATATTTTTGTATATCAAATGTTTGTACACTTTTTTTGTTTGATCAGATATCTCTAAAATAAAGTTGGTAGGGATGTGAAATGTTATGACAATTCTTTGTCAAATATTTTCACTTGATGTAAATAAGCTACAATTAATAATGTTTGAAGCATTTATTTATTACATAGTATCAACAATAAAAGAAAAGAAAAGAGATTTTAAGTTGTTTCTATTTGAATAATCAAATCAAAAAAATGATACATGTTAAACAACTTTCCAAAATTCAACAAAAAATAATATTTAGATATACTGTTAATGGAAATGAAGGAAATCGTAATAGAATTTTGCTTAAATGTTACCATATTCTATTGAAAACAAAAATAAAGCTCTCCTACAAATACCTCTTTAGTATCCCTTATAGTTTATTATGTGATCTATCATTTTTACTTCTTTGTTGTTTTTTTGCAGGTAGCAAACTTCCTTTTTGGGCAACCATATGCCAGAGTTTGTATTGTTTCAGCACATCTTTAGATCTGTCCCAAAAAGATAATAATACCTCATTGGAAAGTTCCTTTGTAATTGATAGGCTGTAATAAGTAACATGATTTATTTATTGTCATCCTTTTTTAGTTAACATAGTATCTGAGTATACCAGTGTAATTTATTTTCACAAATCAATAGTACAAATAAACAAATCTTACAAAATATTGATTAATAAAAGATAAAGTATAAATACAGGGTAAAAAATTCTTATAATTTGTGAAACAAATCTTTTATTGTCGAATATGTAATTTTAAATTTTAATCAATATAAAACATGCCAAACTAAAATAACAAAAACAAGCATAAGTTATATTTTCTGTTATTATTCAAGGATAAAACTTTCAAAATTCTAAATATCAAAAAGAAAAAAATGTCAACCATTTTATATTATTCACCAAATTACATTAGACCAATTGTCCCACTTTGTCTTGTCAACTATTTCAATGCAAATGTTACTACTGTTGATATGGCAACAGAGCAAGAAAAGTTTTCAAAAGAGTTTCCTTTAAAGAAATGCCCAGCATTGATTGACAATGAGCAAGGTATTTATTTGACTGAAATAATTGCAATCTGTAACTATATCATTAAAACATTTGCTAAAGAGACAAATGAAGTTAAAAAGTTACTAGGTTATACCACATTGGAAGAATCAGAAATTTTAAGATGAAAATCTTTGTCTGTTAGTAATTTTTTGAATCGTGAAGTTGATTATATCGGTCCATTAATTGGTTTAATTCCATATGAAGCTATGGCCCATGAAAAAGCAAGAAAGGATTTTGAAGCAGTCCTTCAAATTTATGAAGATCGTTTAAAAAATCATAATTTTTTGGTTAGTGACCATATTACACTTGCAGATTTAAGTTCAGTAAGTTGCTTTTACCTTGGGTTTACCTTTGCTTTTGATCAAAATTGGAGTAAGCAATATCCAAACATAACTAGATGGTATAAAGAAATTACAAAATCACAATATGTTATATCTTTCTTTTCAGATAAACAACAGGCTAAGGCTTTCTCACAACCACCACAATAAATGGCCTAGACATATATTTTATTATATTTTTTTGTTTTTTCTCTGTTTTTTTTTTGTGTCATGCTAAATATATATATATATATGTATGTACTTATAATATAAAAATAGTTATTTTTTTTTGCGTCACTTTAATTGATAGCATAGTAACTTTCTTAGAATATGGTCCAGAAAAAGTCAAGTTTAATATATATTAAATGTTGAAAAGATTATTGTTTCCATTAACGTTCTTACCAGTACAAAGAGTTCAACCAACATATAAATTTGTATATATCATTTTAATATTTGCTTCTATTTATTTTATCATTGGTACAGAAATAGTCTTTATTTCAGTTTTTGCTATTGATTCTGAGATTCAAACAAAATTAGGAAGCCCTAATATATGGATATTTGGATTACTAAATGCATCTTTATTTTTGGGGAGTAACATTAGTGGAATAATTTTCTATAACTTAAATAAAAACATATCAAGAGTTGATTTATTTCAATTTGCAATACTATTTTGGATACTAATTACCATAGTTCAGTTGATTAATCCATTTAATTTTGTCCTTAGTATGGTGACCAGGACCCTTAAAGGTTTTTTGATATTTGCAATACAATTGGTAGTTCCGATGTACATAGCAGAAGTTTTTCCCTTTGATATTTTTAATAAATTTATAACAATTTTAGAAATATTTCAAACATTAGGGATATTGATGCATTTTTTAGGAGGATGTTATATATGTAATCATAATCATAAAACTAGAAATACTGACCTTCTTATTATGATATATTTGTTGTTAGCTCTAATAACATACTGCTTTTCAATTTTTATTCCAGAATCTCCTTTTTGGTTAATTTTAAAAGGTAATTATGATAAAGCAGAAGAAAATCAAAAAAAGTTTGCCCAGTTATATGATAAACTAGATATATATCCCTCAAAAAATAAAGTTGATTTAGTAGATTTTTATTTAAACAACTCTATTGTAGAAGATAAGGACTCAATTAAAATGAAAAAAATAATTTTGCTATTTTCTATTTTAATGAAAGTATCTTGTGGAATGTTTATCCTATATTGTTATACCATATATTTTACAATTATTATAGATGAGCATGATAGTTCTACTGGTGCGGTTCTTCTTATGTTAACATTGATTGGTTTCATACTATCATATAAACTCTTTGAAAATTTAGAAATAACTATCGAATTGCAATATAAAATCTTTCTAGCATTTATCCTATTATTTTCTGTAATCAATATCGTAGATTCAATATTGTTAAAGTTTGCCTTCCAGAGTCGAATTGTAAGAGAAGATCTAATCATGAGCTTTTTTTGTCTTTTGTTTGTGGAATGTGTTTGTTATTCTTTAGCTGTATGCACTTTACCGAATATTCTTTGTATAAAGATTGCGTATGATTCGAGAAATTCTCAAATACCTTTTATTTATACACAGATCCAATATTTTGTGATTGCAATGTATCTTATCTGTATGATACGTTTAATTTCTGATCAGAAACTAAGCTGGATATTTTTCATGTTTATGGGAAATATCAATATTTTTTTTATGATCATATTGTGTTTGGTCATGAACATTTACAAAAAAGAGACAAATAATAGCAGTAACATTTCGTCTACGTCAGAAGACAGAACTGAAAACAATAAACAAAAGGGAATGGATCCTATTATTTTGACAGGATTTGTTTAATATTTCTCATTATAAATGTATCTTTATATATGTGTGCTGTCTAATAGTGTTGTTTATATGTTATGAAAATGATAACTAAAAATTTCTTTTTTATTTTTGTATAATAAGAATAATAATTAAAGGGCCCTTAGGGAAATAAAAAAAGAATATATCTAAATACCCCTCCAAACACATTTTTCAACAACCTCAGTCTTTTTATTAGTAGTTTGTCTGAACAAACCAAGATGATTCAAATCAGATAGTCCTTGCATGAAAAATATCAGCACAGTCTTTTCAAAAGCTTTATCACTTGATGTTAAAAATTTTTTCAAATTTTTATCATATTGAGATTGCTCAATCAAAAAATTCATAATACATTCCTCAGGTAATGATTCTCTTAAAGCAACATAAAAGTCATAAAGATTAATCATTGAGTTAGCTTCTCTGTACAATTTGAACATTTGAGAAACTATAGGGGCCATGGAATTATTTAATATTTTTAAGCTTTCAATTTCTTCAGCTGTTGTTTCTTGAAGAATAGAGACTATTGGTAATACCCTTTCCCAACTCAATAAATCGTCTTCTATATTTGCCTTATAAGATGGAAATAATGATTGTGTTAATAATCCAGTGTTATTATCTAAAGTAAACAATTCTTGAAACATAGTATCAATAGGTTCAAAGGATAATTTTTCCTTATATGGTTGACATTCAGGCCAGCGTTCTAAATATTTATCAAGGTTACCCTTAAGTAGGTTATAATATAGTTCAATAAAATTAAAATCCATAACATTCAATGTCTCCTCTAATATATTTGCAACGAGTTTTGCATGTCTGTTTATGGGATTGTCCCTAACTAAAAATTCAATGAAAAAATCTTCTAATGTACCATTATTATTTGTCAATAATCCAATAATGTCGTCCGTGGTACCTTCTTCTTTGGCTAATTCATCAATGAAAAACATAAAAGTGGGACAATGTGTAAGTAAATTTAAATAATCCTCTTGTAAAAAAGAAATATTGACAGGATCAATGAAAACAGAAAATGGATTTTGATAAAAATATGCCATTAAAGAAAAATCTAATATTCTAGTAAGTAATTTTAAATTATGGTTAGTATTGTTTGCCATCTTATCTAATACAAATTTTACAAACTTTTCAGATAAGTTCAGTTTACCATCAACAGTATCTAAAAAACTTTGAAAGATACGGTTACCGTATTTAAAACCCTTATTGCTAGAAACGTCTAATTTATGGTATTTTCTTTTCAATATTCTTAAAATAGATTGGTTCAAATTTTGTTCAATGTTAGAAAGATTTGTGTTTATATGGAAAACCAAACTAATTCTGACATGTTCATATTTTAAGGCACTCTTTAATAAGATTATAAAATCGTTCAATATATTAAAGTTAAATGAATCTACATCTTTGAAGTTGAATACTATATTTAGATCTCTTTTAAATAATATTTTGAAGTTTTCCACTAAAGTTAAATCATAGGAGGTTGCTGTAGAGGGCCGATCATCTATATTATTTGTATCGTTATCTTTGGAATGATCGTTATCATCATTATTTTCATAACCCAATTCATCTCTATTGTCATTAATGTTATGTTTATGAAGAATTTCTTCTGTATGGGAAAATAATTTGAACATAGATCTCCGCAACATCATTCTTACGTTAGGTGATTCTTTGGGAGTTAAATCAATAACAGTATTTACTTCTGTACCAGTGACAATGTTAGGATAATCCAGATCAGTAGTGCTGTCGGATCCTATTAGAAACAGGGTATTAAAACATGGTTTTTTGTGAATACTTGTGTTATTATTATTATTTAATAAAATTCTGGAGATGTCATTTTTCAAATCTGTTTCAATATTAGCTAAAATATTATCAACTTGTGAATGAAAGGTAGAGTGTAGTTGGTGATATAATTGCCATCTTTTCTCTAAAACTTCAGAAGATTCTTTTCCATCCAATAATTTGACAAATGGAATACACTCCTCACTAAAATTTATTGATCCGCTAAATTTTGGATATATAATATTATGACTTTTTTGAGCATCGGCAAAACTACTAACATTTATCATATTTTATGTCTACTTATTATTATTATTATTATTATAACTGTAAATTATAGTAAGTATTTCATATTACTCCTCTTGTTTTCTCATTTTCTAAATCCAATAACCTTTTGTTTGATTGTAATAACCAAGTTTTCTCTAAATATTCAATAACAATTTATTTAATTCATCCAATTTTTCAATGTTTACAATTTGGATCAAAACGAAAAAAATAAAACATAAAAAAAAATTTTGGCCTTAGTATTAAACTCTATTTTTTTATAGTTTGAAAAAGGTCATTTTTGACGGTGATTTGCACAGATAATAGAATACTTATTCTGCATAGTGTTCAGTAATAAAAATTATCCAAAAATAAGTTGATTTATCTAATATTAGAGTTATATGTTGGACGATGGTCTTCTCGTTTTAATGGTACTAATATTTTACCATTGGCGAAAAATATATATTATTATTTTTTGTTATGAGTTAAGCAACGTTTAGACTTACACAAAACATAGAAAAACTTCTTTTTCAAATAGACAAAAGAGACACTAGACAAAAAGATATAATTTCAAACAAGACTTGTAATAAAGCATACTTATGATTTTGACGAAAGATTAAATTTATAGAGGAAAGGAGATGTCTTCTATTCCTTTTTTTCATGGCTTTTTTGTGAAAAAAAGAAAGAGACGATACGTATATATTAGGCTTATTTTCATGAATAAGGTCTACTGGAGAAGAATTTAATAAAAATATGTATAATAATAATATTTTTTTTTTTCAAAATAACATGAATATATGCTTGTGTAAAAACCTTGGAAACGATTTTTAGAGTATTTATATCTAAGGATTGAACTAACATTTTACCAAAATTCTAAATATATATGTTGGTAAAAATTCCTTTACTTTCCCTCTTGGATTTAAGATTAGTGAAATTAGCTGCGGCTTTTATTCTATATTTAATAGTACTTTGTGAAAGTTTTAAAATTATCAGTTGATATTTTTTATTAATCTTTACAGTTAACGTGTCTACAACATTAACAGAAACTGAATAGAATTCACTGTATACAGGTGTTAATTAATTGTATTTATAAAAAATGTCACAAATTTTCAAACTACTGGTGGATTTAAAGGTTTCAAAAAGAAAATAATTTAATAAATGTTTTATTTCATTTTATTTTTTTTTTCGTATCAATATTTTTATAATGAATAAAACAACGAATATAAAATCAACAATTGACTTCAGCAAGTGTTTAATTTCTTTAAATGCAAAAAGTGAAACTATTAAGAATTGGCACCTGTAGTCATTAGAAAAATAGTGAATATTCTCAATATTATAATTATACAGATATAGTATACAAAGTTAAATTGAAGATCTTCGATCTTCTTCTGCATGTATAATACAGAGAAAATAACATATAAAAATTATATAGGAGAAGAAAAAGGATATGAGAAAAATCATTAGCTTTATATTTTTTATATCAGGTATATTTCATCTATAAAGGGAACCAATTTATCAATATGTTTTGTTTATATTTACAGAGAAGCAAATAATACATTCTTCGCATTTTGTTATTAATTTGTAATTGTTAAAATTTGACTGGTTTATCTATTTATTCTAAGATATTTGATTTTAGCAAAAACAGTGGAAGAGACAGTACTTAAAAGGTGTATACATGTCCATATATATATGCCTATTTTAGCAATTTCCTAATTTATTCATTTATTTGCATTATTTCACCCTCCCCCTTATTGTTAAGGTAAACTTTATTCATATGCATGAACAACAATAATATAAAATGAAGTAAGATAAAAATATTCATGTAATAATATTTGTATAATGTACGTGTTAATCGTAAAAAGAGCTTTGGGAAATTTCTTTTAGAGTTTCTAAGTTATAAATATCATTTTCATCTGCATCCTCATCAATATCATTATCACTGTTGTTGTAATCGTTATTATTGCCTAGTATTTTTGTAACTTTATCATTGTAGCTAATAAAGTTTTGTTCAGTTCCAGAAGGAGTATCACCGTAATATAAGTTCATTAATTGCAATTGCTTTATTATTTTCGTAAGGGTATTTATTTGTTCTTTTGTTTCCTCGGATAAGTTTTCTTTTAAAAGGAATGGAGATAGTAGTTGTAAACCATCAAACCATATGAATTTATCTTCTTTATTTTCTATGAAAAAGTTTAATAAAACTTTTCTTCTTTTGGTTAATAATGAAATTTCACATAGATATTGGTTGTCGATTCTATTGATTAAATATGTGTGATCTCTAATAGATTTTGTCTTTGTGTTAAATTCTTCACATTCATATATTCCTATGCTTCGAAGCGATATACTTATAGTTGGAAAATTTGTACCACTAATATCATTCGCAATAATCTTATTATCAAATACTTCTGGTATTTTTGTTGTCTTTTCAGAAAATTCTCTAGCTAATAGTGTATTTTGATTATAAGATAAAATAATGAAGTAAACAGAAAGCGGCTTTAGTGCTAAATCTAATGGATTTTGAACCGAGACCCATGTACCTCTTTGTAATTTTGACAACCGTTGTTTTTTGATAAAATCATATACCTGCAACTTTAAAATTTTATCGAAACTTTTAAATTGAATAGACCATTTTGTGTCAAATCTACCTTTTAATGCTTCAATTTGCCATGATCTTAATTTTTCATAACTTAACGATTTTATGATCATTCTTAATGCACTAAAATGAGTCTCATACGATTGATCTAATTTAATCGAAGACACTTCTTTAAAGATTAATTTTAATGCAACAGGTATTAAATCTATTAATGATTGTAAATCACTATTTGTAATGTTGGAGTTGGCAAATGACATCCATAATTGTAGTTGAAATACCAACAATTCATAGATAATGCAATTTTTCTGAAAAATAAAAAGTGAGGGGTATAGCAATCCTTTTAATTCGTTTTTGTTTTTATAGCAAAATTCGTGGACGTTTTCAGAGATTTTGGAAAGTATATTAAATAGGGGAAACTTATTACCATTATAAAATATCAAATAATCATACAAAAGTTCTCTAAATGATGTTTGCGGACTGTTTAAAAAGGCGAGAAGGTCTACCGCAAGTAGCAGGTTTAGAGAACCATAACTTATAGCAAATAATGAAAAATCATTATTATTTAAAATATTATATATGGGAAAGAAATTTCTGATTGAATTCTCCAATTTCTCTCTTAATAGCGGATAGTTTTGTAAACTTTCAGCTTTTAGAAACTCATACAGTTGTAACATTGAAGATGTTATTTCATTTAAAATAATATTTCTAATATCAAATGATTTAGAGCGAAGTACTAAAAAAATGAAAACTTTAGATAGATTTTCATTGTTAATTTTTGATAATAGAATTGGTATTAATGTGCCCATTAATTTCTGATGAGAAACTGTTAAAAGTAAATGTGTTTTAAGAATTAAATTTACATAATGCAAAGCAATAATAATTGTTTGATCTTCAAATGATATGGTATCCTGAAGAAATTTAATCATATTTGGTGGGATATAATTGTTTTTTAATGTGTGTTCAAAAAATATTATAATCTGATTAACATATTTATTAGGGTTATTAAGAAAATCTTTTAAAATGAGTCCAATCACAGTAATATGCTGTTTCCAGGAGCTTACTGATAAAAATAAATTTAATAATTTCAGAAATGATACATTAGATATAACATCTCCAAGTAAAGTCTCCGTATTACAATGTATAATAAATTTATTCAGTATTGGTGTTAAAGCTTGTATATCAATTTTTTCTTTCAAAATCAACAAATTATCAAAATATAATTCAGAGTGTAATATGGACAATTTTATACTTTCATCATCCTCTAGTTTTTTCAGTATATCATTAAGAATTGTTAATTCGGATACTTCGTTCAATAATAATGGTGAAATATTAGTACTAGCATTTTCTGTCATACTGCATAGTGTAAGTGCGAGTTTAGATGAACAACTTTGAAAAAAAGTAGTGTAAACAATAGTTTTGAATATTTTTTACGATAAGTAAAATTCTGGTTCGCTCAACATTGAACCTCTAGATCGGTCTTTAAAACTTGTGCTAATAATGGCAATTAACAAATACCTTTTAGTAACCTATAATTATAAAGGATTGATAAACTATTGCAATCTGATTCCAATAAAATTTGAAACTATTCGAATTAACGCCCCCTAAAATACATATGCCTCAAGTATATAATTTGGATATTATTGTATGAAAGATGTATTTAGGCATATATTCTTACTTATGTGCAGAGAATGTTTTCTTTAATCCTTTTTCTTCTGTTCGGAAGGACTAAATTTTGAAAATAGAAATCAGTTTATACAAAATATCAAGATAGGGAAGGAAACAACATAATAAAGTAATGTGTTGAAACCATGCGTATTGGATGAAATCTATTAATAATAGTTACACAGCAGTTACGAGTGTTGAAGCTAAATTAGAATTATCAAAATAATATTTCAATTGTTTTACTAGTTATATGGTGCCAAAAAGAAAGAGATGGTAGATCTACATGCTGGTTCCCTTTTAAGTAAATTTCCAGATCTTAGTAGAATGAAATATAATAATATGACAGTAGACTTTGACGAAAGCCTTATAGAGAGTTTACTTCTAAAACAACTATTTTCAATAGATAGAAATATTTCTTTTCCCTTAGAATATTTAAATGAAACATCTCTAAATAATCTTTTTAAGAAACTCCAAGATTTATCAGGAATCACGGAGACTATCTTTAAAGAGAATCAAATTTTGCAAGAGTCTAAGATATTAAATAAATCAATATCAGAAATTCAAAATAGTGCTAAACAAATTACAACGTCTGCATGGTCATTTATACAAGGATTGGTCGTTGGACAGTTAAGTATTGTCATTTTATTGATATTTTTTATTAAATTTTTCATATTCGCAGATGTTAAGGAGAAAGATAATAATCCATCTATTCCAAAGAATTCTGTTTCATTTAGAAGGCATGGTTTAAACGACGCACAACGAAATAGCAATTTAACTTCAACTTTAACAAATTCTTTGATTTCTTTTTCCACCATATTGAAAAGAGGGGGTGAAGAAGTGAAGACTATCACTGATAAAAGCGGTAATATCCAGGAAAATGAAACATCGGAAAGGTCGGTTCAAATTAATAATATTTTAACTAAAACTTCTTATGATGTTAATTTACATAAATCAGAATCCCTGGACTGGTTTAATGTCCTGATTGCACAAATTATAGAACAATTTAGGGAAGAAGCTGTCAGTAAAAACAATATTTTGATGTCTTTAAATAAGTTCTTTACAAACAACTTTATCACATTCCCAGATTATTTGGATACAATAAAAGTAACTGAGCTTGATATTGGTAATAATTTTCCTATATTTTCAAATTGCAGAATTGAAAATGAAAAACAACAATTAGAAGCAAAAATAGATATTGATTTAAAAGATAGACTTGCATTGGGGATTGAAACAAAACTATTATTGAATTTTCCCAAAAAAGCATTTGCAGCGTTACCAATCAGTTTAACAGTGGCTGTGGTTAGATTTCACGGATCACTAACAGTTTCCTTAACAAGAGCTGATGAGTTTATACATCCATTAGAAGAGAAAAATACAAATCAAATGAAAGCAGAGGTTGAAGACGAAAATAATAATGGATATTTTTTGATTTTTTCTTTTTCTCCTGAGTATGTATTAGAATTTGAAACGACATCTTTAATTGGTACTAGATCAAAATTAGAAAATACACCGAAGGTGGCAAGTTTGATCGAATATCAGATAAAAAAATGGTTTGTTGAAAGATGTGTTGAGCCCAGATTTCAATTCATTAAGCTGCCCAGCATATGGCCCAGGAGTAAGAATGTAAGAGAAGAAAAAAATGACAACAATTCATAATAGGACGCTTTCTTTTTTTCTAAGTTATAAAAATGGTTTATGAGTTATAATTATGTCTATTGTATTGGTTTCAAGTTAATTATTTAGTTATAAAAGTTTATATGACCATCTTCACCCATGTAAGATTTATCAATATCACATATTAATCCAAACAGTTTATACAAAGTGTCTTTTTGTTCATTTGCTACTCCATAATCATCATATGGTATCCATATTTTATTAAGGTTTTTGGTATAATCAATGTTTGGTAGTTGGTATGTATGAAAATAATTATTTATAGATACATATTCTTCAGACTTTGTCGGTTTTATATCATTATCTTGAAGAGATGTAAGCGAAAATTCATAAGCAGAATGTTTAGTGAATTTTGAATGTGCAATAGCTGTACATATTAAAAGAATCAGCATATATATCACCAGATCATAACGATTCCCAATAGAAAATATTCCTAGTAAACATAGTTCGAGGAAATACATTCCAGCATAAAGTTGAAGCAATCCATGTAAATATAATTTTCCAAAAGTTTCCGATTTATTCTCTGTGTTGTATTCGTAGATAAATAAATACTGAAATGATAGATTGACTATTGAAAAAGAAATACAAGCTAATGGTAGGATTAAAGGAGCTATTACACTGTAGATTAGAGTTATGCAACTTAAAATTGAAAAAATTGGATATATTGATCCCCATCGGAATAATAATGACGTTCTTAATGTTTTGAGTTTTTTATGTGGTGGTGATAAAGTGAAGATTATTCTATGTAACTCCAACAAAAGTTGTTTGAAACGTAAAAAATTGCCACCTGCATAAGAAAGACCTCTCATTATTACAAAAGAACAAAAAAAATTGGAACTTTTGGGTAATTCCTGTGCTAGTAATGTCGGAAAATTGGTTGGGTTATCCAATATATTCTCTATTATAAACGATATGCCTGATGATATAGTAACCACTAGGAATATATGAACGAATAAAAATGCAAAAAACCAATGTTGAGTATCTTTTTCAACCTCAGTTCTTGATTTACAACCCTTTAAAAATGCAAAAAAATTAAATATTAAAGGAACTGCTTCTGTTAAAATTATTAATGTTATTACTGGCAGAATCATCATTATGATGTTACTAAGAAAATCTGGCTCAAATATTTTATCCTTTGAATTTCGAAAGAAAAGTGTGATATATGGAATTTGTGATATTGATGCAATTAGTGCTACTGGTATTATCCATCCAACAATTACAAATATACTTAAGATATTGGCTAAAGAGGCTTTTAAAAAATGAATCACTCTATTATGGGATTCCATATTTTTCCAGATAATATCTTGTGGGTGTAAACCTTGATATGCGATGGTTGTGTAATGTTCATCCTCAATGAGATTTTTGTACAATTTTGCTTCAAATGGTGTTTTAAAATTTAAAATCATGACGTTTTTAAGCACGTGGTTTGGTAATAAGTCAGCAGTTTGCTTATTCTCATCTCTTGTTCTATAATACTGATATTTTTCAATAAGGTAATTATATTGTTGTATGAGATCAGTCAAACACATGTATCTACTGTATAAAAATTTTGATTCATTGAAATTGGATGCTGGAGAGATTATTTGGATGGCTTCTAGAGAATTCTTTCCACTTCTTTTTAGTAAGGATAATAGGCGGATTCCAAGAGTCTTTTGACAAAATATGGCATATTTACCTATACACTTAAGTCGGTAAATGATTTTTCGAATATAAGAAGAATGCACTATCGTGAAAATTCTTCGGTAATATGTTTCTAAATAAATTTGAAAGACAATCTGTTCTATAGTTTCCTCCATTTTGTATATACGCTTCCATATCAGATAAAGTTGTTTGTAATTTTTAGCAATATATTGAATTCTATTTAAAATACCAATCTTTAAGAATTTTTGATTCATATCTATGACAGTAGTTCTGTTTTCACATATAAGGAGTATGTTCTGGTATTTATATTTCATAATATGATTATCAATAATTTGTTTAGTCTTAGATATTTCCGAGTACATCACAAAATGAAGTGAGATTATGGTAAAAAGACAAGAGACAAAATGTAATGTCATTTTTTCAGTTCCAATATTTGACATATTGAACATTTCTAATGTTTTTTTAGAAACGTTTGCTTGATAATGTATAGGCAAAAGTAATGGGAGATTTATTATTGAAAGAATAAAAAAAAATATTGTTAAAACCTTTAAATACCTTAACATGAAAAATGCATCCAAGCCTTTTTGGGATAAGAAATCATTAATGTTAGAGTTAAACAATGTGGTAATCCAGTTTTTGTTAAAATTTCTCTTTTGTAAAAGTGCATTTGGTTGATATATGGATTTGAATATATTCCTGAAAATAGAAAATAATATTATTTGAAATATAAAATAGGAAAAGGAGATGGACAGACCTTCAATAAAAGCTTTTAACGTTATCCCTTCTTGGTATTGAGCAGAACCTGTTCTTGTTGTATCTGCAAAATATCTTAGAATTGTATGCGTCACAAAAAGCAACGAGTTTCTATGGATTGTTGTCACATTTTTAATATATAATGAACTGGTTGTATTTGAATTTTGTGAAAACATTACTTTTTAGGACTTCTGTTTTATCCAAGTTTATATTAATAAAATTTGAATATATAAAAAGTTTTCATAACAAATACTGTTTGATATATGTAAATATATATATTTCTACATTAGCTTGTATGTTTTGCGGCTTTTTTCAACTCATATTATTTTTTTATTCATTTATTGATTATATAAAAAATTATAGCAAAAAACAATTATTGTCATATATCTAAAGTGTCAAAAATAAAAATTGTATTTTTTAAATATTGTGTATGTTGGAATCGCTAAAAAATATAAACAGAGAGGTTTATGTATTTATTTATCATTTAAATTTCATAAAAAACCCGTTGTTTAATATTCTAGTTTCTGTTTTCTTGTTTTAGTAGAGAAATACTTAATCTTCTCTCAAACAAACTGTAAGAAAGTTCATATAAGATATTATTAGTTATTAAGAATCATTCAATCTTAACGTATATGTAAATAAATTTTATTTTGTTGCGTTAAAGGTTTTCTTAATAATAATAAGTATAGGTAGTTCGCCCTAGCCAATAGGTTATGTATTATATAAAAAGAAAATAAACTAATATTAGGCATTTGATCTACAAATGTTATTAATGCATGTTTTTATTACTCTCAAAGTATAATATATTGTAAAAAGCCTTAATTGGAAATCCTGAAATACGTAGTATGTGGGTAACGCCAAATATTGAAAGACTTGGAACAACTGAAACTCTGGACTCAATGTTTTGAGTGTACTTGAACAAATGATTGATCGTTGGATAAACATTGGTAACAAATTACTGAGAAGCTTACTTAAGAGACCCTTGATTATTGAGAGATAGTACCAAAGGTAATTATCAGCATTGACATTCGTATTCTATTGATGGGTTCAACCTAGAGGAAAAACAATAATAATAACAAGAATATCGATAATAACTAGGATTAACCTATTCAATAGTTAAAATCAGTCAATTATATGATTTGTAAGCGTTTATATACATAATCAATATTTATATTTTAATATATTGCTTGTGATAGCCCCTTACACAGTTATTTCATAAAATGATTTGAAAAGGTTTACGTAAAAAAGTTTTGTTTTTTTTTATTTTTTTGTCCATTTTTAAAAGCTAAACATAAACAATATTCAACTACTAATAAAAACTATTATAATTTATATTGTTAAATTTCAAATGAGAAAAAAACGTATGTCATACACTTTAATTTTTTCAAAAAATGCAATTATATTTGATGTTCATAACAACACATCAAGAATACAACATAGAATGCTATGAAATAACCATAATATTAGGATTGAAAACAGATGTTAAGAAAAGTTTGAGAAATGGTCATTCATATTAACACAAAACTTCAGAGTCAAAAACTCTATCAAATTTCATTGCAAGTTGAAATGACAAAATAATATCAACTTATAATAAGATGTTGGTAGTATTACATTTTCTTAACTATATATAGTAGAATATTAGTAGTATTATAAAAATATCTTAGATATTTGCCCCTTTTTGTTCTAACATAGCTAATATACAAAATATAATAATATGTAGTGTAACTCAATCCATTTTCGAATTCTCTTTTAATTACTTTTATAATTTCCAGTCATTTAGTACGATGAATTTAGATTATCAATAATATTTTTAATCACATTGGAACAATTCAGGTTTTATAATGTTTGTCAATAAATTATTCTAGGTTGAAATTTTAATTTTAAGGTTTATCAGAAAATTATATGTTGAATGTTTAAGTAAATAAAATGTTGAAAGTGTTGGAAAATAAGAGCTTTATTACTGTCATTAACCTAAAAACCGATTTTTAATCCAGTTTTTATTATATTTTCTGCGGTACATAAATACGCCATAATATGCGGAATACATTTTATTTTCCGCCAAGTGTGTTTTCCAGAGATTTGAAGAAAAATGAGAAGCTTTAAAAGAAGGGTTAAAGTAAATACAAGAATATATAATGCATGCTGTTGGAAAATGAGAGTTTATTACTGTCATTTCCATAAAAGTTATTTTTAATTAGTTTTTCTATATATTATGTGGTGTACGGATGTACTATAATATCAAGAAGACATTTTATTTTTCACCAAATATGTTTTTCATAGATGTGAAAAGAAATGCAAACTCTAAAAAAAGATTCAAAGTAAATATAAGAATGCATACTGTATCCACTATATAATAAGTATATACATGCATTTAATACAAAACACAACAAGCATCTATAACTTAACGATGTCTGCCATTACCATGGACGCCGAGGGCTCCAAATTCCAACACATACACTATATGATAAGTATATACATGTATTTAGTAAAAGATATAACAAGCATCTATAATTTAATGATGTCTGCCATTACTATGAACGCTGAGAGCACCCAATATCAACAGTTCTAGATTCATTCAGAATCTTATATAATCTTGTTGGTGATAACTACTCTGTTATGCAATATCCATTGTTGTAGATCAACCTTGAAATAATGATTATATAGAAAAAAACGATAAAGGTTGAAAAATATTGTTAGGGTTTTGTGATAGTTGTCAAGAAAAAGTTCTAGTTTGGATTTATAGGACTTAGGGTTTGTTGATAAATCCCATGTGATTGTTGAATAATATGTAACAAAATGAAACATTCATGAAACATTAAATAGCTAATTAAGGAGAAATGTATCTATGGTGACAATCGTTACAGAACCTCAAATAAGAAACTATCAACCCATAGTTCATATATAAAGGACCAGTATTTTGGTATCTAAATTTATATGTTTGGTTGATTTATAATTATATGTAGCACATTGTATAATATAAAAAAAAAACAAGCAATAACCCCTTAACCCTCCTAGTTATATATAACGTTCTTATATATTTGTTATTGCCCTTACTATTCGTTCAATAGTACTGTTAAAAAAATTGATCCTAAGTCCAAACTATAACAACCACCGCCGGAGGTGGTTCCTTGGCCCAGTTGGTTAAGGCACCGTGCTAATAACGCGGGGATCAGCGGTTCGATCCCGCTAGGAACCATTCTTTTTGTAGATTTTTTAATATCTCTATATGTAATAACCCTTAGGTTATGTGTTTCTGATAACAGTTAATCTTATTGAAATCTCAATAATATTTCACTCAGATAAATATAAGATATAGACTCTTTCTATATCTCTAGATGTAATATTCCTATATCTATCCAAGTGAAGTATTATTGTTATTCTAACAAGATTAATTGTTATCAGAAATGCATAACCATAAGCTTATCACACTTTTACAACCCATAATTTTTATATCTTGACCTGTATGTGAAGATCTGTCACATGAGATATATTCTTTTGGAATATAAAATATAATAAATGACTCTCGATTTCTGTCTATATATGATAAATAAACTATATTGTACACAAAGGGTAAGCTAACATACACAATATATGGATATATATACATTTATAGATTCAGAACTTACCTGGTCTAGAAGTAAAGGTACACAACTGAATTATTAGTATAGTAAATTTTATTATTTTTACCAACCAAATATACAAAGTCAAACCTTGAAAAATTCATTATTTTACAACACACACATGCATTATTCATAGTCTCCTATTTATTTGGGATATTTAGAAGTAGATTAAATTCTGTATTTTGATATATTCATAGTATTATACACTATTGATTATCTGCTCTATCTAGTAAATAATTCTGATTTAGTAAAAATATTTATTTATATCATTTTTTCCCTTTCTTCTTACCGCTTTTTCCTGACTTTTTACCCCTTTGGCTTCTTAATTGATCTTTAATACGGTCTTTTTGTGTTTTCTTATACAACCTTCCACCTACTTCTAATGCTTCTTCTCTCTTCCTCTTTTTGCTATTAACCGTCTTTTTCTGCTTAGCTAATACATTAAGTACTTTAGCGTTCTTCTTTTCTGCTTCAGTTTGGAACCATGTTCTCTTGGGTCTTGCTTGAATTTCGTCCTTGTATTTCAACATGTTTTCACCCTTTTTTAATTCCATTTCTGCTCTCAATATTTCTTTTTCTTCTTTTTCTTCTACCAAGATTTCCTCAACAACGTCTTTAGATTTATCAACCAAACTATTGATTTCTTCTACTTTACTCCAATTAACATTTCTACCTAATGCTCTTCCAGAATTGTTATTGGTTTTATTTGTATCCTCTACACTTTTTATAGCCGCCCTAACTACGCTTCTTTCTTGAGACGATTCCCCAACAAAAGTGACAGAACGACCTTCTCTACCTGCTCTGGCAGTACGACCAACTCTATGTAAGTAAATTTCATAGGTCTTTGGCATATCATAATTAATAACAACCTCAATCTTTGGAATATCTAAACCTCTAGAAGCCAAATCTGTACATATCAAAACCGGAACTTCAAGACTTTTAAATTTCTTGACAGAATCCAAACGTTGTTCTTGTGTTAAAGAACCGTGTAATTCTGCCACACTCATACCTAACAAACCTAAGATAATTCTTAATCTGTGTGCAGTTTCTTTTCTTGCAACAAAGACAACAATTCTTCTTTGTCCCTGTGGATCTAATTCTCTTAATAAACTGAATAATAAGGCAGGTTTCAAATGGTCTCTTTTACGAATACGAACAAATTCCTGAGTTAATCTAGATGCAGCCTGTTTTGGTGGATCAATCATAATTCTAACAGGTTTTTTTAGAGACAAAGATACCAACTGTTTAATCTTAGAATTCATTGTTGCCGAAAATAATAATGTTTGTCTTTTACCTGGTAACAATGTCATGATTTCTTTTAATTCATCTTGGAACCCTTCTTCTAACATTCTATCTGCTTCATCCAAAACTAAAATTTCTACTGAATCGACATTAAATGAAGCAGAATTTCTGATATGATCGATAAATCTACCTGGTGTAGCAATAACAATATCAGGTCTTGTCTTTAAAGCTTGTTCTTGTTGTCTTAAATTCAAACCACCAACAGCAAGACCAAATGTTAAACCACTAACAAATTTACCAATTCTTTTGGCTACATCTGAAATCTGAATGGCCAATTCACGAGTTGGTGTTAACACAACAACCCTTGTAGATGCGATTTTACTTGGTTTAAATAAAAGACGTTCAATGATTGGAATCATAAATGCGGCTGTCTTACCAGAACCAGTTACAGCCCCAGCAATAATATCCTTACCTAAAAGAGCAATTGGAATAGTGGCACTTTGGATTGGAGATGGTTTAACATACCCCAACTGACTCAAACCCTTCAACACTGGACGTGATAATGATAATGAATTAAACGTTTTGTGAATTTGTTGTTTTGCTTCTTCACCTTCAGTTTCTGGAGCATAAAATTCAGCCTTAGCCTCTGCAGAATCATCTTCTTCGTCTTCCTCATTATCTTCTTGTTCATCGATGCCTTTATCGTCGACATCATCATCCCCTGATATACTTGTATAGTCCTGATTGGAATCAGTTTCGGAATTCTCATTTTCATCTTCATCACTTTCGTTTTCACTAGCATTTATTGGAGCACCCATCCCAAAACCATCCATAGCCAATTCATCATCATCTTCGTCCTTATCTTGATGTGCTTCTGGTTCTTCCTCACTATCCTTCTCCTTTTCATCATCATCATCATTATCGGATTCAATGTGAGCCATTTTAATTAGTCCACCTTTTCTTCTAATGATTTTATCTAAATCAACATCTTTTTTATCATTGTTTGTTCCATTATCATCATTATCACCGTCAAAATTCCAACCATCAAACTTCGTATCATATTGGTTTGAATCGTCTAAATGGAATGTAAAATCAGTATTAATATCCTCATGAACATCTTCATCTAATTCCTCACGATTTTTATTTTTATTTTTTGTTAAACCTTTCTTCTGTTCTTTGTGATTAGTGGTGTTAACTACTACAGAAGAACCTAATTCTTCATCAGATAGATCTAAATCTGGAACATCTTCTTCACTATCACTAATAGTTGGAATAAAATCCAAAGTATCAAATTTTTTCATTTTATAAAATTAGAAAGGATGAAAGCAATCAATTAAATATATGATATACAATAAAATATAAAGTAATATGATAGTGCTATGTATGGCAGTGATAGTGGAAACTATTCTAATTTAATTCCAGTTGTTGACATTTCACTTTTGCTTTAAAATTATATTTTATATATCAATCCTTTCAAGCTCATCTCATATTATAATTTTGGTCTATATAAAAAAATAATTTTTAGCTCATCGCATTGCATGGCAAAAAAAAAAATTATAAAAAAAACTATTTTAAATTTTCTAACAACACTATTATCCTAATTGAATGAATATATTTTTTTTCTTACACAAAAAGACTAAATCCTCGTAAATGTTATTTTTCACGAAAATCGATGATTACTGTGTTTTCTTAAAAATAGTGCGTATTCTGTTTTATTGTCTATGAAGATTACTTTCTATTGTTTTAACCAAGCAAAAAGATATTGTATGGAATGCAAATATATATACTTGAGGTTCAAATCACGCTAACATTGTATTCTCTACGCTCTATCCTAATATTTAGTCGATTATTTTTTTTAGAAGGAAATCCTTCTGTATCTATTGTTTTAATTTCAAATTAAGAAATATATGCATATATATTCGAAAAATATTTGATTAAAGGTAACTAATGAAATATATATTCTAACCAAAAACCTTGAACTAAAAATCGTTAAAGGCTGTAATATAATGTTTTTAATTATATTAAATTTTATAGAAAAAATGAAAATGATTTCTTTTTGATTGGCTTTCTGATTTTCATTTAAATATATTCTTTTCTTTACCTCATGTAAATAAAGAAAGTTTGATACGTTTCCAAAAAGGGAAAAATAATAAAGATAATAAGATAAAAAACATATATATATAAGAAACGAATATTTTGAAAATATTTCTTCTTAATATTTTAGCCAGTAATTACTTAACAAGGAACACCCACAAAAGTATTTTTCAGCAAAAGATTTATAACCTATACAAAATGATCTAATTAATAACTACTATATTATTAACAAAGTTCGATCAATCAACAAGGAACAGGATGAAAAGACAGATGACCATATTTCTGAAAGAGTTCCAATTTTTTTTAAGATGGAAGATGAAATTGAGGAATTAAGAAGAAGTAAGCTTCATTTTATGGGAACCTTAGAAAAAATAGATAAAGAAGTATTATATAGAATATATAAATTTGTTTTAATGAAAGAAAAAAACAAATCTAGTTTAGTGCTTCTAATCTTTTTGTGGACAATACTTATGACGACATATATATAGTTTATGAAACCATGCAGCTAAAATTTAATGGAAAACAATTCATTAAAATGAAAGGCAATCCTAATATTAGATGCTGTTTTTTACATTATAAATAACATAGTAAAATAAAAATAGAAATACAGACTTAACAAAGAAATTAATCATTTAACTCCATTATCTAAAACAGTTATTAGCAAACCAGCTGTCTGGTAAAAAACACAGTAAGATATATTAATTAGTTATGAAAAAAAAATTGAAAAAACCAATATTGATAAAAAAAGAGTTCTATGCTGGTCTGGATCTTTGGAAATGTGCCTATTATCCACAAAAATTCAATAGCAAATTTTCTATGTAGCCATTAATTAAACATTGCATTAAAAAATGGTATATCAAAATAACATCATTTTTAAGTTATATACTCTAAATTACAATGAAATTACTTTCACTATTAAATCATGATTTAAATTATAACAGAATTAAAAATATTAACTCTACTTCAATTAGATTTAGAGAATTTAATATTTTGAATACAGAAGAAAATAATATTACCAACAGGAATATAGACGGTTTTGATGATATGAGCATCATATCAGGGGAGAGCTTTATTTTCAATTGACAGAAAATTAAATCAAACTACTTACCAGCTTCATATTACTAGTAATAATTCATATAAATATTGACAAAATATCCTAAAGTACGATTAGTAAATAATGTTATTAAATTTATCAGCGAACTAATACTTATAATTAAATGGTAGCAGGAGAAAAGAATGGGCGATACAAAAATTTTTAGAAAACCAAAGAGTTTTCTTGGCACAAGACAGAAATGGAATTGCAGATATTTTTACAACGTTGAAGGATTAGTTGACACATTTACTCGTTTGTAATTTAGCCTTAATATGTTTCGTTTATTTTGATGTATAATTGAGTTATTTATTTATAGAGAGTGTCAGGGAGTTGTCTATCTAAAACTGCTTGTTTGTGTATACTTATATATACTGTTTCTTTTATTTATTGTAGTTTTCTATAGATTTCTATTGTTCAATATAAAAACTTTTACCTTTCCTATTATTGTAGAAGAAAACAATACCGTTTCTAAAAGGTTAGATTTCTATGTATCTTTTTTTTTTTCCCCAGCCACTTAAAAAGGTACGACACTAAAAAAATTACAATACACCCTAATTATATCTGTTTTTTCAAATATGGAAATAAAGAATTGGACAAATATAACCTAACTAAAAATAAAAGGTATCAAGGAATATTCCCTTTTTAAAATGATTATAAATATTACAATTTCATTAAATGTCTTGGTAATCGAGAGAGAAAAAAGAGAATATTTAGAAAAATAATATAAGGAACACATTATAAAAAGGATGAAGACGTTATGTATCAGTTCAACTAACAATCAACACTATAAAAAGAGGTTAAAATATTTAAATAGGAAACATATAAGTTTAGATCTTACCCCAGCAAGAATACATTACTTATACATAGCTAAGCAAAAATGTCTGAATCAATTGATCAAACTAAGACCAATCCAGAAAATACAGAAAAACCAAAACCCTGTTGTGTTTGTTTAGACGAGAAGAAAAAGAGAGATGAGTGTTTACTATTTACAGATGTCAATAAAGAAGATAGTATGATTAAATGTAAAGAATATATCAACAAATACAAAGAATGTATGAAATCATATGGATTTGAAATTTAAATATCAACTTAAGGTATGTGAAAGGTACCTCATTTCCCACTTCCCTTAAGTTTTTTTTTGTTTATAAATAGTATTATCAGCTGTAAATAGTGATCGTTTATAGTATATTCTTACATATACATATCTCGTTAATTTATTATACATGAATATTCAATATTATTTTGATATCTATATGACTAAAAACAAAATAAATAAGGGTCACTTTAACTACTTCTTATATTCAATAAATTATTATTTATGCATATGTGTATAATATATATGTATATATATATGTATGTTCAAGTTCAACTAGATAAGATTTATATACATATTATGATGTTTATTATTAGCATGTTGTTATTATTGTATTTCTTTTTATTTTTATTTTTATTTTTATTTTTATTTATAAGCATAGTCATACTAGAATTATGATGAGAAGAGCTGAACACAGAAAGGGCTGCTTATGGACTGAATGATTTTAATGCTTCTACTAAAGGTTTACCGACTCTTTCTTGTACGGTTGTTGCCCATAAAACATCCAAATGCGAATATTCGTCGAATATCCAGTATTTAAATATTCTAGGATCTTCGCACTTATTAAAGTGATCGATTAACCTAAAGCCATCAACCAATTTATCCCTATGTGGTACAACCAATAAAATCTTTGGAAATAAATCTTCTTCACTATTTGTAAAATCGAACCATCTTTTGTTTTCAGGAAACAATAAGGTTGAAGAGTGTTGAATAAATGATATTTTATTAGGATCTGGACTTAGCCACCACTGCATTAATTTGACAGAGACATAGACAGGAGAGAACATAAAATGTGTTGCAGTTTTACCCCTTTCCCATAATTTATCATCCCATTCGAATACATAGGAAAAGAACAAGTAACAGATAAAGCCGAAGAATTTTGTGCCAAGAAACCATTGTCTTGTCAACATCATTATTTTGACAAACGATTTATTACCAAAGACAAGTGGGTTATCTATAGTTTTTGCCATAATCTTCAAAATTTTAGAATCGTTGAGTATTAACGGACCAGGATAACAAGCAGGAGCCAAGGCTATGAAGGTGTCGACTTTAGATCTGATGTCTTCCACATTATTGATGAGAGCTAGGAAAATCTCTGCTGTGCCTTGAGAATGCCCGACAAGATGAATCCTTTCGTAGCCTGTTTTTTCTTGAACGAAGTCAATCAAGACTGGCAAATCTATCTTGTACATTTCATTCATGTCCCAATTCCAATAATTCTTATCGTTTCGATTCTTTTCAGTTTCATATTCGAACCCAATACGGTTATTACCTAACCAGATATCGAAACCATTTTGGTTGAAATAGTAGGCTAAAGAATTTTCACCACCAGATGCAAAGGAGGCACTACTTTGCAGTAGTCCATGAATGAACAACATAGGTTTTTTATTTGTTGAGGCTGGGATATTCATGTCTTTTAAATGCCATAATTCCAGTGGATAACCATCTGGTGTCATCACCTGAAACTCTTCGACGATAATATTCAGTTTATTGTAATAGAAGGATAATGCAGGAATCAATATATCATGCTCTCTATCGTTGATTAATGGAATATTATGTTGATTTTTAAAATCATCGTCATGTGGAATTATATTCGATTCTAATTCTTCATTATTACTATTATTTTTCTTATTCTTATTATTAGTAATATTCTTATTTTTATCATAGAGATTCGTTACCAAATGATTATAAAGGGCACATACCATAATAACGGTAAGGCCGGCATGCAATATTATAATAGAAATTAATTTTCTAAATTGATTTCTAACTTCTCCAATGACTTCCATAGTAGAAAGTAGTGATGATGATGATGATGATAGTGATAGTGATAATGATTTTATTTTATTTTATGTTATTTTTTATTTATATCTGTATTTGTGTTATATATAAATATATGTATTATCTATATTTCTTTATCCATTTAATTGAACTAACCAAAAAAAAAAAAAGAAGATCAGATAGTCAGATTGGAAATGATAGTAAGATAGATCTCGATATGAATCAAAACTATATGCAACAGCGGTGCAAGTTTCTTATATTGTATCATATATCAACCACTGACATAATATACATATATACATATATACATATATACATACATACACACATACATATACATATATAGATATATATATATGAGATTTGGTATACTCATAAGCCTCTAACTACAGGCCCGATCCAAAAAAAAAATACAAATGAAATAAGATACAATGAAACAAAAGACTAAAAGATAAAAAAAAAAAATTGGCAAATATATGTCACAGAAGTTTGATAGAATAGAAATCCCGAGAAAATGAAGAGGAAACAAAAGAAAATTCTTTGGTTTTTAAACGAGACAATTGTTTTTTGCTTTGTTTTTTTGCAGATTTCAAGTTTCAATTTCTTGTTTTCTTTTGTTTTGGCGAGTTTGTTTTTAATGCGAGGGTTTGGAAAAAAAAAGAAAGAAAAAAAGAAAAAAAGAAAAAAAAGAAAAAGATTATTAGGGTTAGAAACAGTAATTTTTTTCCCTTGCTTTTTCTCCAATATTTCCACGTTTATCTGTTATTCTATTCTTCCCTTTGCAATGATTGAAGGAAAATCACTACTGTCCCCAACCAGAGAAGGAGAGGAGGGGGAGGGGGGGGGGTTTACATAAAAGGTGATGTAGATAGTTCATATAATAATGTTTATATCATAATACTTGTTGACATTATGTATGATGTGTAGAAATGATTCAAAAAAAACAACATAATTGTTCAGTTAGTTGTTCAGCTAGTTATTCTTTTTTTTTTTATTTTTGGAAAGAAGGAAAAAAGAAGGAAGGAAAGAAGGGACATATACAATACTTTTCTAAAGAATCAAAATCTGTCTGACACTAAACACCTCCTTCCCTCATTCTCTCATTCTCTCCTCTCTTTACGTCCCTCTTACTCGTAATATACATACGTACATAGATAGATAGATAGATATATGGATATCTGTATGTTTATGTGTTAATTATTGATATGTTTATTATAGCAAACAATAGAAAGAAAAGGGAATGGCAGCTTTTCCTCCCATTTATCTAACATCCGTACACCGGACAGACATTTCCAGAAAATCCAAATAATCACGTGACCGCCATTAATCAAAAAAAAAAAACTGAAAAAAAAAAAAAATAAAACAACATAAATAAATGGAGAAGAAAGGGAAAGAGGAAAAAGTTGCCTTTAAGAGAGAAAAAAAAAAAAAGAAAAAGAATGAGGAAAAAAAATAAAAAAGAGAAAACAAGAGAGGAGAGAAGAGAAGAGAAGAGAAAAGAAGAGAAGAGAGGGAGAGAAAAGATTAATTGATTGATTCATTGATTGATTGATAAACACATACATATACACATAAATATAAAGGTATAAACCGATTATTTTATGTCTTTTCATCATTATTACTATATACCTGATCCTTGTTGATTAAGCCCATCGGTTCTCTTATTCTTTTATCGTCATCTTTAATCTTATCTCGATAGCAAATATTACTACTACTACTACTACTACAACTACAGGCCACTACAGACCACTGCTACTACTATTGCTTAGACTATTTTATTCATTCATAATACCTCATTTTCATGGATCCAAACGGTATGGATGCAGAATTGGCATCTATTGTGTCCTCTCTAAGTGCACTATCTAATCCAGGTCTGTCTCAACAACAATACTCACATGGCTTTAGTAACAACAACAACAACAATAATAATAAACAACTAGGTGGATTTAGAAGTTCTAGTTTAACTTTAAGTGACAATGAATCAGATCTTTTAAGTCAAGGATCAACTTCTTATTTAGATCAAAACATTAACAATGCCTATAATACAGGGTTTGGGTTAGGATCCTTTGGTTATAATAAACAGACTACCTATTCTGTTGGCACCGCTCCTCCTTATGTCTCCACTTATGCCACTAATACACAACATAACAACAACAACATTAATACTAATAACACTGGACTTTATGTGAATACTAATAATTCTTCTTCCACCCAATTAAGAAACAAATTGAGTTTATTAGATACATATTCTAATAATTTGAATATGAACACTTTGAACTCAAATGATTTGAATTCATCGTTCAATAACCACAACAACTATAATACTGTAAATAATTTCAGTAACACTAACCTAAGTTATGATAAAGAAAATTATTATGCTCACACCATTCAAAATATTACTTCGAGTGCCACTTCGACCACTGGATTTTTCGAAAAATTTGGTAAATCCTTAATCGAAGGTACGAAAGAATTGGAAAATGAAGATTCTACTCCCACCATTGTTAACACCACTGTTAACACTTCTGCTAATGATCGTATGGATAATGAATATTTAAATACCACCAACAATAATACTAGTGCCACGAATTTAACAAACCAAAATGTTTGGAATCAGTCTACAGTCCCTTCATTTCAACTGCAAAATAGTGCCATGGTTGATAATGAAACTTCTTCACAAAATAGCAATGTTAATACTAACACCAATAATACCAACACCAATGAGCCCAACATGAATGATAATCCAGAGAGTTTACAAAAGAACGACCAAATGAAGTCTCCACCATTCTTTTTCAATCATTCTATCTTAAATAACGGGTTCCTCTATGGTAATAATTTCTCCCAGTTTCCGTTGGGATCTCCAACTAGCTTCATTCCTCAGATGTTTTATCCATTGGGTCAACATCCTTCTATCCCACCACAGATTCCGCCAAATAACAACAATAGCAATCAAATGAACAATACTGGTATTCCAAACACAACAAATATTAGCCACGATAAAAATAATACAACCGTCGGTACTACTAGTATTACTGCTACTATCAACAATAATGGTAATAATAACGTACCATCATCTATCCCTGATTATAGTTTGCCTGTAAATAACAAAAACTTAATTGAATCAAATATTCCTATTATCAACAACATTAACAACATTGATACAAATGACGCTTTACATGATTCAAATAATATAGGCTTACAAGGTGTACCAATGATATTTACATCACCTTCGTCAAAACCAATGGCCTTGAATATGAATCATCATCATTCTCAAAAATTGCAACAACAACACCCAAATAAAACTACAACTGTAAATAAGCATCCTAGAAGTAAGAATAATGATAACAACAATAATATTAACAATGATATTAAGAAAGGCAATCTATTTAATTCACAACAAATTCCAAATACTAATCATATTACAATCAATCCAGGCAATCCATATTTAGATCCACATAATACTACTGTTACTCCAAATTTCATCAGTAAATTAAATGAAAATACATTCAATAGCAATTTAGATATTGATGAATCAACAAGACATAAAACTACCATTCCATCTCAACAAAATTCCGGTTATCATAGATCTCCATTACTAGAAGAAATTAGAAATAATGCTGATAATAAATACACATTGAAGGATATTGTCGGCCACACCTTGGAATTCTGTAAGGATCAATATGGTTCTAGATTTATTCAAAAGGAATTGGCTACTGCTGAACCTTCGGAAAAGGAAGTTGTTTTCAACGAATTGAGAGACCATATATTGATTCTGTCTAATGATGTCTTTGGGAATTATGTAATCCAAAAATTCTTTGAATATGGTACGCCAACCCAAAAAAGTATTTTAGTAGAAAATTTTAAGGGTAGAATGAAAGAGCTTTCTGTTCAAATGTATGCATGCCGTGTCATTCAAAAAGCACTGGAATTTATTAAACCCGAAGAAAGAATTGAATTGGTGGTCGAATTATCTGATTGTGTCTTAAAGATGATTAAAGATCAGAATGGTAACCACGTGATTCAAAAGGCGATTGAATGTATTCCAATTGAATTATTACCATTTGTGCTTAATTCTTTGATTGGTCATATTTATCATTTATCTACACATTCTTATGGATGTCGTGTTATACAAAGATTGTTAGAGTTTGGTACAATCAAGGATCAGACCGTGATTTTAGATGAATTAAAAAATTTCATCCCATATCTTTTACAAGATCAATATGGTAATTATGTGATTCAACACATTTTACAACATGGTTCAGATGATGCTAATTGTCTACCAATGATCAACACTAAACAAGAGATTATTGATATTGTAGCTGACAATGTAGTTGAATTTTCAAAACATAAATTTGCATCTAATGTGGTAGAAAAAGCTATTTTATATGGTACAAAAGAACAAAAGAATTCCATCATTTCAAGAATTTTACCAAGAGACAACGAACATGCAGCCAACTTAGAAGATAATGCTCCATTAATCTTGATGATGAAAGATCAATTTGCCAATTATGTTGTTCAAAAATTAGTAACTGTTTCTGAAGGCGAAAGCAAGATTTTAATTGTAACTGCCATTAGAGCCTATGTTGATAAATTAAATAACACAAATGCTTTAGGTAACAGACATTTAGCAAGTGTGGAAAAATTGGCTGCATTAGTTGAAACTATCAAGGTTTAATTTTGAACAAAAAACTTTTTTCTTTTATCTTTTGATATTTTTGTTCTATTTTATTTTATTACATCCTACTTTATTTTTATGTGTTTTATTCTCTTTCTTACTTCTATTTACTTCAAGGCAAAGTATTTGAATACATCTTTATTTTTGTTTTTATTGATTGCTCTGATTTGTTATATTTTATTTTATTCTTAACTTTATTATATATATTATATAACATTTTGTAACATAAACAATTCTAAAAGAATAATATTTAATTAGTTTTATTCATTTAACTTCCCCATTCCCTTTATTTTTCTCTTTTTTGATAATTTAAGTTCGTTAACTTACATACATTAATATAATAGATATAAACTGATTCTTCAAATTGTTCTTCTCAAATTGTTTTATAAAACTTATATGAAATTATCTGAATAATTTGTAAATACTATAATACAGATATACATTTCTTCAAGGACACTTTCAAATAATTCCTTCACTTATACATGTTCCATGTCTGTACCTACATTAATCTATTTCCCCCTCCTCATCTCTTTCTAACCAACCAATGCAAAACTAAAAGTCCAAGCCATCACAAATCCAAGTAGTTCTCTGACAAGATGTTCAAATACCAAATCATTAAATACATTAGCATAAAATCTGGAGGGCTTCCCCTTACAAATGAAAAGGATATAGATAATAATGCACCCAAAATATATTATGAAAAAATTACGGAATCCGGTAAGAGACTCATATTGCAAAATCCCAGTCACTGTACCACTCATTAACGATATTTTATCCATCACATTTACATACATCTTCTTATTATAATTCACATTATCCATGTTCTGTAATATCGAAGCAGAAGTGGCACTGTTCAAATCTACCACCGGATTCCCGTTATCATCTACATTATTCACACTCATTTTGTATTTTTTACCAAATGTTTCCAATAGTATACCTTAAAAATAATAAATCACTCACCCAATCACTTAATATTCTTGATAATATATTAAATAGACTAGTAAAGTTGTATTGTTTCCTGTCATGCAACGCATTTTTGTCAAGAAGGCACCCTTCCTTAAACAAGTTGTCTAGCAAACATGCCTTTCTTTCACACAGATTATTGTATTTCCCAAAATTATTTCTTTCTTTCATTTAAGTCTAAAAATTTTCAAATTAAAAATTTTCCGATAATTTTTTGAAAAGTTTTTAAAGATGAAAAAGACTGAAAGTGAAAAACTATTTAGCAAGCTCATCGCATTTTAACCTTAAATCGAAAGATTGCACTGACATGCTAGCCTCCGTTTGATTTGACCACAGTCTCCTCCATATTCTTTTATTACTATATTAAAACAGCAACCTTAAATTATAGAAAAAAAAAATGCCTACTCAGCTGGAGGAATTAGTTAGTTTTCTACATTCGCCACAACCTGCTGTAAGACAAATTGCCTTAGATAATCTAGTTGGGTTTAGTTCAGGTCCATCAGCCTCTATTTTTAAGTATGATAACTGCAGAGCTATTCAGGATTTGAAAGAGTTAGCTAAAGAAAAATCAAAGATTTTAGTTCAACAATCAGTCACCATTTTAGTCAATTTGTCAAGTGACCCAGAATTAAGAAGGTTGATTGCTAAAGAACCAGATTTCATTAGATATATTGCTTCCAAAATCTGTGATTTGTCTAACACATGTGCAGATATTATGTGTATTCTTTTAAGTAATTTAGCTAAGGAAGATGCTATTACACAGATCTTCGACATGGAAAGAATAATATTTGATCATGAAAAGGAGTTAAAAAATGAAAAACCCATTTTTGGTAGTAATAAAATCATGGATTGTTTAATGGACTGTTTTGTTAAAGGTTACGATAGAAAATTAAATAAATATGCAAACTTTGATTATCTAGCATATTTCTTTGCTGATATTGCTAGATTTAAAAAAGGTAGAGAATATTTCATTCACCGTCAAGAATATGATGGTGTTGTACCACTTTCAAAGTTATTAGTATTTACTGAAAAATATGATTCGAAAACAAGAAGAGAAGGTGTAGCTTCCACTATCAAAAATTCATTGTTTGATTCAGAAACTCATGAGAGATTGTTAACAGATGAAGATATCAATTTATTACCGTACATTCTGTTACCTATAGCTGATGCCAAGGATTCTGAAATCGATGAGGAAGACATGTTTAATTTACCCGATGAATTGCAATTATTACCTGAAGACAAGAAAAGAGATCCTATCCCAGCAATTATATGTGTCCATTTAGAAAGTATTTTGCTTTTATGTACTACAAAGGCTGCAAGAGAGTATATGAGAAGTAAATCTGTATATCCATTAATCAGAGAATTACACAAGAATGTGGAAGATGAAGATATCGGTGAATTATGTTACAGAATTGTTAATATGCTAATGAGAGGTGACCCAGATGTTACAACTTTCGAAGAGATGCCTTCAAAGAGTGCAGAAACTGAACCAAATATTGATGAGGATGAGGATGAGGATGATGACGCTATGATAGAAATTGTCTGATGTTCTGACTACTATAGGGCGATGATAGAAATTAAAATAGAGGAAATAATTAAACATTTATAAACTCTTTTATATAATATGCCTCTATATGATATAATAACACTGTACAATATAAAAGTTAATTCCTTTCATTTACCATTACTGGAAGTAAAAAATATAATCATAGAAATGATCTTGATTGTAATATTTATTCATTTACTTCATTTTTCAATATCGTTTTCAAAAATACAACGAAAAAAATACGTGTAAGTTTGCCTCATATATGTGCCTATAATATTATATGAAACCACGTCTTTATAGTATTGTTTCATACTTTCTTAGTTCAGCTAACTAAGATCCCTATCAATACAAATACCTCTTATTCAGTAATTTTCTGTTTTCTTATTTTTTTTTTACAGTTTTATTTTTTCAATTCCATATGTTCATTATCAACTTTTCTACAAAGTTTTTTAACAATTGTAAACATTAGTTTTTTATTTTCAGCACCCGGGAATCTCTTTCTAATAGCTTTACCAAATTCTTTGACGTTTACCTTACCATCACCAATCGCATCTCTAATATCTTGTTCTGTAATTAATGGTATATCGGCATCACTATTTTCAGTTTTAATCTTTTTAGATTCAGGTTCTTCTGTTTTAACAACTGTAGCGGTAGATTCTACGGTAGTATTATTCACATCATCTTTTCTTTGGTGTTTAGAAGTATTTGGATTCCATTCGCCTGCAGGAAAGTTCCTTAGTAATTTCTTATCACCTTTTAATATAATAACGCAATCTTTAATACTTTTGACTTTTAATTGAGGCTCCAACTTAGCTGGTGATTTCTCTTTTTTAATTTGAGGAGATTTTGATTTCTTTGATGGTGATTCATTACCGCTTTTATCCTTGCTGTTTTCTGCATCTTCTTTCTTAACCTCTGTATTTTCATAATCCGATTCTGACAAATATGGATTAATTTCATCATCTGATGAATATAATGCAGCTAATTCAGTTTTTTGTAGTGCTTTCTTAATTCTCTCACCTTGTTCGTCAATCTTCTTTTCATTGAACAAATCATCTTTCCCATCATCTGGAACATCTTCATCATCACGAAGACCCATAGCATTGGCCTGTAACATCTCCTTCTTAATACGTTGTTCAGATTCTTTATTTTCTTGTTCATTACCGTCAATAATTGGAGCTTCTTCATCATCGGCAAATTCTTCATCATAATCTAATTCGTTTTCAGAATTATCATCATGTTCTTCCTCGTCATCACCACCAACGCTACGTTGGTCTGCGACTGCCTTAAGTCTTCTCCTTGTTCTATCATATCTAGTAGTGGTGGTACCAATATTATCTAAATGTTTCATTAACCAACGTGGAACTTCCCCATTCTTTTTATCCATTCTCTTTTCTGCTTCTTCAATGGTCAAAGTAGCATATTTGTTTCTTGCAGTAAATTTATAAACTTTATCAGCTGGAATCATAGTGAAACTACCATCGTCTTCCACACAAAGTAAAACATAAGAATCAGAGTTACCTGCCTCATAAGAACCAACCCATGTGTTATAACCATCATAATCTTCCATAACCCATGGATAAAATTCTTCAAATCTCAACTTTTTGGCATTTTCATCTAACACTTTCAATTGACGTGTTTTACGTTTTGAGTTAACTCTTCTTGCACGTCCACCTCCATCTGGCGCAACATCAGCAAATGGATCCGTGGTTCCTGTTTCAAATGTAGCATCTGGGTCTTCATGACCATCATATTTAACCATACCTACCTTTTCTGGATGTTCTGATATACCTGCTTCCTCTAATTTTGTAATCATTGGAATCACTTGATCATTTGATTGAGCAGCAGATTGATCAGCACCTTGTTTAGTATCTCCATTAGGTATGTTACCAGCACTATTAGCATCAGTGGAACTGGGTGCATTAGCAGCAGGCTTAGAAGTGGAAGATTTGGATGCACTGCTAGAATTGCTGCTACTACCGTTTGCTACAATTGGTGTACCATGTAACATAGCTGTTCTTACAGGAGTAGCATTACGACCACTGGAAGAGTTGCCTCTACTATGGCTATTTGAATGGTCATTGCGCTTCTCTTCTTCCTGTTTTCTTTTATATTCAGCTATTTCTTTTTGCCTTTGTACAATTTCAGCTCTTGTTAATTGGAATTGCAGATTTCTTGTATCCTTTCTGTGCAATCTAATAGGTAAATGGAACGAATTTTTAAACTCAATTTTTTTCTTGCTTTGAAATTTTAATAAATGGGTTCGCATGTTCTCTAATTTTTCCTTCGATGTGGCTCTTAGAGGAAACTCATTAAATTCTTCATTTTCCTTTTTCACCGATGAAATATTATTAGTAGCGATCTCCACCCCCAATAGCTTCTTCTCTCTAGCTTCAATTTCTTCTGGATCCTCCTTTTTAATATTGATTGGCATGGTGGACCTTGCCTTTTTGAAAGCCCTTCTAAATCTATCCTTTTTGATAAAGGGAGATACTGGACCCCCTCCGCTGCTATGGGCAGAACGTCTAGAGGTAGACATTGATATTATTATTTGTGTTTAAATTTATATTTCGAAAAATCCTTTTCTTCTTCTAACACTTCACTTCGAAACTTTCAATAAGCAAAATATGTAGGTAGTTGGAATTTTATACACTATTTAATTGCTGATTCTCAGCTGAATCAACCAGAATGATAACCAGTGGGATATTAATGTTTATCAAAAAAAAAAAAAAAAAAAAAAAAAAAAGAGGGAAGGAAAGGAAAGTAAACAAATTACCTGATTTTTCTTTCTTTACTTTTCTTCTTTATAATAATCAACTACTAATTACTTTGTTCCTCCTTAAAGCTTTCTCTGGATTGATAAAAATACATACTTTTATCTATAATTGAAGTTCATACACTCTTCTCTTTTTCATATAAACCTTAGATTTACCAAAATGTTTAATATTTGATTTCTCTCTTGTGATGGCACATCACTACCCACGAAAAATTGGGAAAGAAAGGGAAAAAGAAAAAATGAATGAAAAAAAAGAACTGTTTTACTACCGAGTCATGTGGTGATCGTGTATATAGGAATAAAACAAAAATAATGAAAAAAAATCAAGAGATACGTTTAAAATTTAATCTGTCGTTGAAACTCATGACTGAGATTATGATCATGGTTATATGATAGTGTTGTTAATACGTGAATTGTAGTTAAACTTCTTTCATGTTTTCCTATATAGAAAGCATGGCCAAAAAAAAGAAAGGTCTTTCTCTCTTTTTTTTTTTCCTTTTTTTTTTCATTATTTTTGTTCCTAATGCATACGCAAAGATTTCAAGTTTTGCACAGAACAATTTGTTCTCACTGGTCACAGAACTACTATTTTTTTAATAGATATGTTAGATATTTTGTGCAAGAGCCATCATAAGTAAGATACGAAAATATGGGTATTAATTTTATTTATAAACATTTATAAATTATAAACTTGTTGAATCTGACAAAGTGAACCAAACATATAACTCTTATTCTCGTTTGCTTATTATTGATAAATCTAAAAAAAAAAATACACACATACTTTTTGTAACAGCTAATTTACTATTACCCACAAGAACCAGTTTTCTTATCTCATTGAAAACTTGGTAACACCATGTCCAGTGAAACCACCATCTTCAACACCAGAGATCACAAAAAAAAAAAAAACAAGGAAACCTAGGAACACAAGTATAGTTCAGCATAGACACCCTGCTACACAATTACCATTCAAGTGTTCCATATCCTGGCATGTTACTACACTCCTACATTTTATAATACCCTGAATAACTTTATTATACCAGGGATTTTCTTGCTTTTCTTGTTTTTCTACCCTTCAGGGAAACAATAAAGGCGCTCTCCCTTATTGTTTTTCCATGCAAAACTTTTTTCTTTTTTTCTTTTTTTTTTTTTGTCTATACGACAGATCATGTGACTGACAGTTACCCGATTGAGAAACCAATTTAAATGAAAAAAAAAAAAAAAGAAACACAGAGAGAATTTCGTCATTGGCCAAGAAAGAACTGAATCATTTGCAAAAAAAAAAAAAAAATAAAACTGATGGGGCAAAAAAAGACGTGCGTGCGTAATATCAAAAACAAAAAAAAAAAAAAGAACTAAAGAAGGAATTTTGGGAAAAGGAAGTGGATGAGTTAAAGGAAGACAGTCCACAAGACTCTATGCAGTTTACACAGAACGTATTTTAACTAGTTCAAAAATACATAGATAGATAGACAAAAAGGGAGTAACTTACACGCATTTCTCTAATAGTTCTGTAAAAAATCAAACAAAGAACAATACACATATAGATATAGATATAGATATAGGTATAGATATAGATATATGCATAGGATATCTCTGCAGAATTGCCATCTGATAACATATAAGTAAAATAATAATATAGGTGGAATTGGTTGTGAGCAAGCAAAACAGTCAGTGAAAAGAAAAGAAAAAAATAACATGAGGACAAATATGGGCGATCAAGATGATTTAAGACTTCAAATACGATCCACTTTGATGTCTATTCACGATATCGAATATTTTAGAAATGTAAGGGATCCAACAAAGAGAACAGAAATGGATCGTGTTTTGAAACAATTCGTATTCAAATATCTTTATTTCTTGATCACAGATTCAGGCAGATACTTGAATTCTTTATTCCCCAACAAAAATTCGTATGTTACCAGTCTAGATCAAGTCTTCGACGTCAATTTTGTCACCGATTTCTATAAGATTAGTTTGAATTCAATTAATAAAAACCAAATGTTTAGACATCAAGGTAGAAACTGTGGCAGAAAATTTAAAGTAGGCGAACCTCTATACAGATGCCAGGAGTGTGGGTACGACGATACCTGTGTGCTATGTATCCATTGTTTTAATCCAAAGGACCATGAAAATCATCATATTTATATCGATATTTGCAACGACTTCACAAGCGGTATCTGCGACTGTGGTGATGAAGAAGCATGGCATAATAAATTGCATTGTAAAGCAGATGCAGATGTAGAAAACAAAGTAAATAAGAATAATAGTAATAGTAACGATGATAATGATGAAATTATGACGGATAACCCAGATGTTAATATAGACGAAAATAATAACAATCTGTTATATAATGAACGACTTTTAGAAATCGTTTTATCCGAAATATTCGATTATTTTATTGATGTGTTCAATCAAAGTATCGAACCTTTACCAACATTCACCTCAGACATAACATTGAAATTAAGAGAAATGATTCAAAATGATAACAAAGATTTAATGTATGAGTTTTTAAACGACTTAAGTTATAGAAATGATGGAATTGAACCAAGAATCGGAAAACCAGAAAATTATACAGTAATGGTTTACAATGATGAGTACCATAATTATTCTCAGGCTACCACAGCATTAAGACAAGGTGTTCCTGACAATATCCACACTGATATATTGACTTCTAACATCGACAGTGAAGGTAGAGCAATGCTGAAGTGTTCAGAAGATATTCATTCTTTAACAGATGGATTTTTTGCCGTCCAAACTAATGGGTTGAGTGCTACCTTAATCTCTTGGAGTGAATATATCCATCAAGAGGCTTGTAAGTATATTGTACAATGGTGTAATCATTGCTTAAATATTCCAAATCACGATTTCCAAACAATATTTAGAGATACACTAGGCAAAGTTTTATGCTCAGAATATCCCTGTTATAAAGAAAAGACTAATATGTATGACACAATCTCTAAATATTTTGTAAACAAATTGTCACCTACAAACCCATACAGATGTCTAGATTGTTCAATCCTCAACGAAGAAAATAGAATTCCTATTGGTCATCATAAAAGAGTCTCTCAGTCAGATTTGACTTCTATCTCTAATTCTTTAAATAAAATAGAACATGTAATGGACAGAAAATATGCAAATTCAAGACTTCAATACATCTTATTTTTTGATAACAGATATTGGAAACGGTTCAGAAAAGATATACAAAATTTGATTATTCCAACATTATCCTCATCAGTAACTTATAAGCCAGTTTTTTGTGAACAATTGGTTCAAATATTCAACCATTTGACAAGGTCTATAACGTATATGGATAGAGAACCTCAACTGACAGCCTTAAGAGAATGTATTGTCCAATTATTTACGTGTCCTACCAATGCGTTGATGATTTTTAATCATCCAAATAATTATTTTATTGATATTCTATGGTCCATCATTGATATATTTGTTGAATTTTGCAAGTTTGAGAACAGTACTTTAATATGGCAAAGAGTGCAAAAATCAAATCCAACCATGAGTTATGGCATCTCATTTAAACAAGGATTATACACTATTGAAACCTTGTTAAGCAAAGTTGAGGATTCTAGTATGATTATGCAACCAATGGAATTTATCTCATTGGTAACCCTATGTAAGCTTTTCAATGGTGCATGGAAAATTAAGCGTAAAGAAGGTGATCATGTCCTACATGAAGATCAACATTTCATCCCTTATCTAGAATACACTACAACCATATATTCTATTATTCAAACGATTGAAAATAGATTGGTTCACAAACCATGTTCTGAACAACTTTTATTAAATTGTATTAGTTTACTGAATACCTTCTTAAGTCATAAATCCTTGACATACAAATTGGTAAATAATACCCATGAAGTAGTTAAATTCGTAGTTAGTAATGATAGAGTTGCATTTATGAATCCTGTTCAAACACTGTTCTCATTTTTGATTGAAAAAGTCCCATTACATAAAGCGTATGAAGCAGTCATGTATTCAGATGCAGTGTCAAGTCCAAACCCTGAAGAAACCATTTCAGAAAGGAAATCTGTTTTCGACTTCTTAAAAATATCTGACTTTTCATTACGTTCCGTTGTTTTATGTTCACAGATTGATATTGGATTCTGGGTTAGAAATGGTGTCTCTGTACTACATCAAGCTTCATATTACAAAAAAAATCCTGAATTGAATTCATATTCAAGAGATATACATTTAAATCAACTAGCACTTTTATGGGAAACTGATGATATCCCAAGAATCATATACAATATGCTTGATAGATGGGAAATGTTGGATTGGTTTACAGGCAAACTGACATATGACGATACAGTATACAAGGATAAAATCTCATCACTAATTCAACAATTTATTACCTTTGTTTATGAAGTATTATCTGAGAGACAATTTTATCAAAAATTCGATTCACAAGAAGAAAGGCAAATGGCTTTTATTAAAAATGCCATTATCTATAGTTTATATCAAAAACCATTACCTTATTCAAAACTTTTAAGACTCGTCCCTGACTATTACACGGAAAATGCCACAGATTTTGATAAAGCTTTATATGAAGTATCAATCTTTGTTGAACCAAAGGGATTAGCTGACAACGCCGTTTTTAAATTGAAAGATGCATATTACTCAAAAATCGATCCACTAAGATTATCCAACCTTGGGAATGAGTTTGAAAATAGTGCAACTGTTATAAAAACACATATAGCCAAAACTAAACAAGAGGATGTGTCAAAAATAATATTACAACCACAGTTGATATCTCCTAAACACTTGGATCCAGACGTTAAGCATATCGGTGATTTCACACATAACACTGTTTTTGTTAAAGTTATCTATAAATTGTTACAAATTTCACTAGACAAAGAAGATACCACATATTTAAATGAATTGTTACACTTAATTCATGCTATATTCAAGGATTATGAGCAAATCCATGGTAAGCAAGCTATTCCTGAGACATACATACAATTACCAATTTGCAATCTTTTCTTATCTATCGTTAATTCTAAAAGTGCAGTCTTTTCTGAAAGTATTGTAAATAAAGCAGATTATTTGTTAGAGAAAATGATAATGAAGAAATCAGAGGAAATATTTTCTATATTAACCTATAGCTTTGGTAAAGATTGTGTAGATACATACAAGAAACGTAAACTAAATCAAGGTATCAACCTTGAAGAGACAGAGAGAGAAAGAAAGAAAAGATTAGCTAAGAAACATCAAGCTAAAATGATGGCCAAGTTTAATAACTTACAGAGTAAATTTATAAAGGAGCACGAAGAAGCCTTCGAAGAATCAAATATAGAAGAAGATGGTGATGTTGATATGATGCATAAAGAAAAAGTTATGGAGGGTGAAGAATTCAGTTGTTCATTATGTCAAGATAATACATCTAATGATACTTTTGTCATTCCAATATATCAAGATTATTCACCTGTATTCCGTCCTTCAAACATTTCAAATTCGCATGATTACATGCTACCATGGAATGGTTTTTATAATAACAACGATCTTTCTGGGATGGTCCAATCCCCTTCCACAATTAAAAGCATGAAACAATTTAATAAGGATAATTCTAGAAAAGTTTTTGTTTCCTGTAATCACCATATCCACTACAATTGTTTCAAAAGATACGTACAAAAGAAAAGATTTTCATTAACTTCATTTATATGTCCACTTTGCCAAACCTATTCAAATTGTGTGATACCAATTTTTTCTGGAGTAGGATTTTCAAGAGAAAGATCGACAGATTCGATTACAAATGACGCAGGTGAGGAAGTTTTAACCTTAGATTTCTTGTTAACACAAAATTGTTCCCTAGAAATATTAACAAAAGCCTTAAAACCTACAAGTGCTAGTGATGCCAAGACCCTTTACTCTATATTTGAAATGATCTTTAAGGATTCTCATTCGTTTGATAAAGAAATCTCAAGGAGCAAAGATTTTAATAAAAACAATACATCTGTTATATTAGCAAACCATTGGGCAAACACTATATCAATGCTGGAAATCTCATCACGTTTGGATAAAAATACGAATTGCGACTTTTTGAGCAACAAAGAGCAAAAATTCAAAACTTTAAGGAATATGCTATTAACCATAATTTTAATGTTTAATATTATTGGTAAGCCAGAAAATGAATTTGAACCATATAAAGAATCTAACCATCCTGTGGAAAATAAAGTTTTTCAAGATATTGTACGCGGTGCATTATTCTTTAATAATGGTAAAACTTTGAAACAAATCATATTAGATGTGCTATTGAGCTATATTAAGACCATCATAAAGAAAGTAGTTTCTAGTGATCGTTTTACTAAACAGACAATGAATTTCCCCAAAGATGCCCAATTTTATCATTGTAATGAAGGTGTGAAGCAATTATTTACTAGTCTAATTAGTAATTGTGTCATGATGCAAGATGGTTTAACAAATTATGATTTAGCATATTCATGCATTTTAAGACATCTAAGACCTACTTTAAGGAGATGCTTAATAATGTTTAAAGTATTTTATAATTTGATCAATGATAATGATTCCAAGACATTTATTTTAGGCAGTATAAATTTAGAGAACATCACAGATTCTTCAGAAGATTGTTTACCTCAATATATTGATAAGTTGGTTAATATCACTACACCAGTTGAGAATTTTGCACAGCTGCTAACCATCATCGTTAATTCTAAGGATTCTATGGAAAATGTTAAGGAGTATCCAATTGAGAATTGTGGTATAATTAAATTGATTAATCTTTCTGAGTATTTAAATACATATGTCACAAAAGCACCGGAAATGAAATTACGCGAGGAGAATCAACATGTTAAAAACAGTAAGAATAGATTAGATTTTAAGATATGTTTGACATGTGGTGTAAAGATCCATCACACAATCGAACACCATGAAATGACTCGCCACCTAATGAAGCATTGTTTTCAATCCTTTGGTGTTTTTTTATTGCCAAATACATCAGAGATATGTTTATTACTTACTATGCCATCTTCACATATCTTTATATCAGCCCCATATTTGAATTCACATGGTGAAGCCGGCCGAAATGCAATGAAACGTGGTGATTTGACTAAGTTAAATATGATCAGGTATGAACATTTGAATAAACTTTGGATCAACAATGAAATTCCTGGATATATCAGTAGGGTGATGGGTGATGAGTTCAGATTATCTATATTATCCAATGGATTTTTATTTACATTCAATAGAGATCCAAGAGTAAGACGTGTACCATTCGTGAACAATAGAGATATTGATGACGATGACATTGAAGATGAAGATATAGAGATAGATATAGATGAAGGAGCCGATGATTTTGGATTTGAAGAAAATGCAGACGAAAATTATGATGATGATGAAAGGGGTCTTGGTGTTGAAGACGATAGTGAGAGCAGTAGCAGTGATGATGATGCCAATCAAAGGGGTTTCAGAGGGCCTAATGGAGCTACAACGGTAGGAGACGTACGTAATTTCTTTCAAATTTTTGAAATTCTACGTAATGGACCAGACGCTAATAGAGACACTCCTGGAGGCATTGATTTAGCTACACCATTCTTTGAATTATTAGGAGAGCCTCAATTTCCAACTGAAAATATGCAGCCAGAAGCTATGAATGATGATGAAGGTTCTGATCAAGAACAAGAGACTCAAGAAAATGATACATCCGATCACAACTAGTTGGATGCGGATACCCAGCTAGGCGCTCAATTAAGGATGTATCGCAAGACGTCAACCTGACGTTATGACTGTACTGTTATTTCTATACAAATGTTATAAATAAGTAAGTAACTATATGCAAGATAGACAAGATAAGCAAAAGGAAAAAAAAATTAATACATATCGTTTTAATTTGTTTAGAACATTCGAGTTCCATAAATTTTGGCCAATAAAGAGGAGGTATTTTCGAAAAATCTCCGAAAAAACCCTTTCACCAAGATAACAAAAACAGCAAAGAATTCTACTTTGTTTAGGAAGAAAAAGAAGATGGGAGGGGAGGGACTAAGAAAGAGCAAAAAGAGAAAAAAACAGCGATAGAACGGATTTAACAGAAGAGATGGAAGCGAAGAGGGAAATGATTGCGTTTTCTTCACACACATAATATTGAAACTCAAACCAGCTAATTTGTAGTTTCGTCTAATAGCCCCATTAGTATATACATTTCACTTCTTTCGTTGTCTGTTAGTTGCGTACGTGTGTGTACGCATGCTATTTGTGTATATTTATTGATATTCACCTATTACTTTCAATACTGATAGTGTTAGTGACTTTGTTTTTTTACTTTTAATTTTTTTTATTACCGTTGCTAGTTTAAAACAAGTTGCAAACATTCTGGTACGATCACCAAATAGAAACAAAAATTTTTAAATATCAACTCAACAACATCCAATATCTGTTAATAAAATATAACAAGAAGCAAAATGGTATGTTTGAGGTTAAATGGTCAGAAAGATTTCTGCATGCATATTTATATATGTTGAGTGCTTTTTCTTTATTACTAACAAAGAATTTGAATAATTATAAATGTATGTAATAATACTGTACCTTATCTATCTGCCTTTCTATCTGAATAAAACAAGTCCTTCCAATCTCTATATAAGTTAGTGTTCAGAAGAAACTCCGTATTTATAGGATCCATTTTCCTCGGTGCATTAGTCTTCCAAACTACATTTGATGTCGGTATCAATAAGTTTTGGAGCACATACAATAAAGGTAAATTATGGGATGATGTTAAATATAAATTAGAAAATGGTGATACAGAGGAAGAATAATAGTAATAGTAGTAATAATGACCACAAGGATTTTTTTTCTATCTATTTTATATCCCTTTTTTCCAACAAATATCAAAAAAATAAAAATAAAAATAAAAAAAAATAAAAACGTTATAAAAAAGAAAGAGAGAAAAGAAAATCAAAAAGAGTAAAGCAAAAGACTAATAAATTTATATCTGTATATATATATATATATCTGTATGTGTAAAACAATTTTTTTTTTCCTATTTTATTTATTCTATGAATATATATTCAATCCAGTCCCATATCTATTTATTTGTTTGACTCTTTTATCCTATTAATGTATGTCTTTGAGACTATGTTCCATGCGGATAGATAATTACCGAGACAAGCATCTATACAATGATCATTATTCTTGGAGTATGGAGCGAAGAGACATTTATTGGCACAAATATCGGAGCTGTTATCTATCAACTCTTGTGCATTTACAATAGCCAATTCTTGTTTAATTTGTTCTTTTAAAGCAGCTAAACTAGACATATTGAGAAAGTTATTCTAAGGAATGTAAGTAAAGATTATTGTACTTATTGTGGTTGTGGTATGTTGCTCCTCATTCTAAAACAAATACATATAATTTATTTTTTAAAATATCTACAATCGCAGACTGACATTATATGGTAAAGAATACCAGTACTGATAATAATACTAATACTAGTACTGGTACTAATATTAGCGTGCTTGTTATCTACTAGTTATAAAAGAAGGTCAATAAAGATCTAAATATAAATCACTTCAAGAAAACCACTTGGTATCATTTGATACGACATTAGTTAGTCTGTGTCCTTTTTTTCATTTGTTTTTTAAAAATACCCATTATACATCACTTACTACGACAATTTCAAAAAGTAAAATAAAGTACAAGAAAAAAAAAAAAGAACCTGGGGATTTGTTTTCAATCTTGAATCATTATATATCCCACTCTACAAACCCAAAGAAGTATCATTTTATAGAAATAAATTGAAGATAGGTCTTTAGTGAAAAAAAAAAAAAAAAAGAGTATAATCTTGTCATTGGCAACAGAATATCATTTTAATCGATGAGATGATTAAGAGAATAGAAATCCAAAGAAAGAAAGAAAGAAAAAAAAAAAAGAAAAGACAAGAGAAGTCGAAAAACTAATCAGTAACAATACTCTGTTCTTTTGATTTTTTTGATATGTATATATATTTTCTTTTGTCTTTTTGTCTTTTTCACTTATTTTGTTCGTTTGTTTTAAGTACTAACAGTTGTTTTTGAAGAAAAACCCGTCATCGTCGTTGGTTGCTAGTGGTAACAACATAATTTCCGTATAAGGAAATATGTGGGTCAAAGTAGACACAATCCAAGTGGAAACAAACAAACAAACAAACAAACCAAAAGAAAAGAAAAGAAAAGAAAAGAAAAGAAAAACGGCAATGTGAATGGGAAAACTACATGGAGACATAACCAGATTGTAAAAATAAAAAAAAATGAAAAATGAAATACAATAAAATAAAACGAAACACAAGATTGTTTTCTCTTTCTGTATTATTGTCATCTTCCCCAATTTTATTGTGATATGTTTTGATGTTGTCGTAATTTATCATCTGTATAGTTGTGGTGCAAGGATGTATACTACCTTGACCCACTCGTTTTTTTTTTCATAGCTTTTCTTTTTCATTTCCATTTTTTATTTTTGTATTTCTATGCCTTCCTCATCTATTTTTAAGGGCACTTAAGGGAAAAACAAAAGAGAGACAATGCCAAAAGGAAAGGGAAAAAAGAAACGACAAAAACAAAGAAAAAAAAAAACTTGCGCGGCAGATTAGGAAATTTTCGTTGTGAGGATTGTTGCTATGTGGACGTTGCAAAAAATAAAAAAAAAAAGGAAAAAGGAAAAAGGAAAAAAGAAGAAGAAAAAAAAAAAGAAAAGAGAACCAGAATAATAGGAAAATGAAAATTTTTTTTTATTCCATTTTTTTAGTTCCATTTTCTTTTTTTTTCTATTATTTGTTTCTGTGAAATAAGACGCCTCTAATAAATTATCATCGTCTTTCCTCTTCTTCCTCCTCCTCCCCCCCAATGTGTAAAGTTTTGACTATTGAATTTTATTTATTGTGATATCTTTTATTCTATTTTTTTTTTCAATTCCCAGTCATTCTCGTAAATGTTTTCAGTGTATTGTATTATTTCCATTGTATTGGTGATTTTTATTAGATAGTTTTGCCCCTATTTTTTTCTTTTCTTTTTCTTTTTCTTTTTTCCTTTTTCCTTTTTCCTTTTTTTTTTTTATTTTCTTCTCCCCTTTTCTTCTTTTCTTTCTTTCCTTTTTTTTTTTTTTTTTTTTTTTTTAAAGATAGATTAGTAGATTTCTTTGTACACACACAACATTTACATATATAATACTTACATATACATACACACACACACATATATATATATATAGACTGGTTTGGATTTACCTTTTTATTTTCTATCTTCTTTTAATCCTTGATCTACTCTTCTTTCTCCTTTCAATCCTAATATATATACATATATATAACCAAACATATATATCTGAGTACGCAGATACACATCCATTCACATACACACACGCGTACATAAATATATATATATATATATATTATTATTACTATTACTATTATTATTGATTATTGATTATTGATTATTGATTAACAATGGCAGAAGCTCACCAACAATTCTTAGCTAAGTTTGAAACCTCTCGTAACGCTTTAAGAGAATCTGAAAAAGATGAAATTTTATTGATTGAAAATAAGCGTAGATTCGTTATGTTCCCTATCAAGTATCATGAAATCTGGGCTGCTTACAAGAAGGTCGAAGCTGCCTTCTGGACAGCTGAAGAAATCGAATTGTCTAAAGACGTTGAAGATTTAGACTCTGGCAGAATCACTCAAAAACAAAAAGACTTCTTAGGTAAGCTTTTGGCTATATTAACCGTCAATGAAGACACCGTTAACTACCACTTGCTTGAAAAATTCTCTGCAGAATTACAAAACCCAGAAGGTAAGTCCTTCTACGGTTTCGAAATCATGATGGAAAATATCTACGACGAAGTCTACTCCTTTATTATCGACGCCTACTTTAACGGCTCCGCAAATGTCGAACTATTCAAAACCATTAAAGATAACGCCGCTGCAAACGAAAAGATCGAATTCATCAACAGATGGATCCACGATCCAACTTCTCTATACGCCGAAAGATTAGTCGCTTTGGCTGCCAAGGAAGCCATCTTCCAAGCTGGTTCTCATGCTGCCATCTTCAACTTGGGCAAACAAGGCTTGATTCCAGGTTTCAACAAAGCAAACACCAACATTTTCCGTGACAAAGGTTACTACACTGACTTCTCCTGTCTTTTATTTGCCCATTTAAAGAATAAACCAGAACAAGAAGTTGTTACCAAGATCATTACAGAGGCCGTCGACATCGAAAAGAAAATCTTAGCCGAAACTGTTGACATTAAGGACTCCGGGTTAGATGAAAAACAAGTCTTCCAATACGTCGAATACTTAGCAGACTCTCTATTATTATCCTTCGGTAACGAGAAATTCTACAATGTGGCTAACCCATTCGAATTCATGGAACAAACTACCTCTATCGGAAAGTCTAGATTCTTTGAAAAACAAGTCTCTGACTTCATGAAGGCTAACCAACCACCACAACAAGTCGCTGCTGCTGAAGCCTTCAACTTCAACGAATCTTTCTAAGTGATAGTAATGTTACATCTTTCAATCTCTGCACTATTTCCTTCTTCTCACATTGTTTTATGCAAAAAAAAATAAGAATAAAAAAAAATTAAAGTAAAATAAAATAAGAAAAGAAAGATATTATTTTCACTTATTCTTTTTTTTTTTTTTTTTTTTATTTATTTCTATTTTTTTTGCTGACATCTTTCCTAATGTACACACACATATACACATATTTAATCATAAATATTAATAATATATATATTACACGAGTGTAGTGGATTATTATACCAATATGAATATATAAAATATAATAATTTTCTTTTTTTTCCCCCAAAAGAAAAAAAAATACATCAAATATATATAGTTTAAATCTAACCTGCCATGTATGCAAATATAATCGTCTATGTATGTGTTCTTAGCAAAATCTATCCCCATGTATAGTAATAGGGGACCGAAAAGTGTTTCTTCTTCCTTATTTCTCTATGTATATTATGTTATACCGCAGCATGCAAAAGGCAGTTTAAAATCTTCATTTATGATAATTAAAAGAATAAACCAAAAAAATAAAAAAAGAAAAAAAAAGAGAAAAACATATTGTAAAACATCCTCTATCTTTAAAGTAATATGATATACATTAAAAAAACTAAACAAAACAAAATAAAACAGAACAAAAAAAAAGAATACGCAATATACAAAACAGCTAACTGTGTAATCCCTATTAATAATTGACTAATATACATCTGTAAACACATTTATCTGTATGTCTTTGAAGACACTATTCTTTTTTTTTTTATGTTCTAAATGAGTAAAAACCAGTTATTTTATCGAAGTGATAATGAATCTACACCATCGATACCACCAAACTCTATACCACTGAATTCACCACCACAAATTTTATCATCTCCATTTTTGAAACCAAAAGTTCCTTTAGTAACGCGATATGCAAAGATTAATAAAATCAAGAAACCTACAAACAAACCTAGTGCTCATCATAAAAATAAAACAAATAAAGAAACAAACAGAACCGCTTCAAAAAATGGAAGTATCTGGGATTTGACAAATGTGGCATCAAATAAATTTACTCAAGAGTTTAAGATAGATAAAAGTGGGATCAGAATGAAGGATTATAAATGGGGTCCCATATCGTCGAATTTAGTCGAAATTGCATTGCAGCCATGGATCAATAATATGTACGATTCCATTAGTTCTGGATTATCAGAGTACTCCAAAAAAATTGACAATTTTTTACCAAAAGTCCATCAAGACCAAGTAGGCGTCATGAAACAGAAATTAATTGGGGATATCGTTAAACAGATTAGAAAACAGTTACATAAATGTGTTTTCCCTAACGATACAAACGATATAATAAGAAATGATATAGATCCAGAGTATATTTTTGCTAAAAGGAAACATATTCAAAGCTTAATCGATAATATGACCAAAGAGGTTCATTTATTAAAAGAAGAATTAAAAAAGGAGTCTAATCAATTAAACGAAGCTAAGAACTTTATAAGGAATTTGAAAAGAACAAATGATCAGCTTTTAAAGCAAAATTTACTAGACCAAACCTTACATCCTTTAGTAAATAAAGTTCTACAAAATGAATATGGTTTGATTAAAATTGATCAACTATCAAAGTTGAATAACAATAATAATAATGAGAAAAAAGAAGAGGAAGAAGGAGAAGGAGAAGGGGAAAATGAAGATATTATACTGAAATATGCGGGCCCTATGAGACGGAACATAGCAACGTATAATCTAATTATATCGACAGATCTGGCAGTGAATGACGATAATAACAACAATGATCAGTACGAAATAGTGGCCGATTCATTGCCTTCCTTGACTCAACTTAATGAATTTATACCGTCAATGACCAAAATAATTGATCGCATCTTATCCACTAAACAAAACAAACAATTACAAGAATTATTTCCTGCATAAAACAAACAATTGAACTTACAAGCTTCGAAATGTCTCTTTCCCTCAACTCAATAATCAATAATAGCATATACACATACACACATACCAGTATATATATATATATACCCATCTCTATTGACTCTCGACCTCATCATTCTGTTCTTCCATATAATATCTCAGTCGACAGATTATAGAATATATACGGAATTTGTACGGATTATATATCCCGCCTATATTTCTATTTGTTTGTCGCAAAAAAAAAAAAATAAAAACAAAAAATAAAAAACAGCAACTTAGAATTCAAGTGAATCATTCGATTAATGCGAATAAGTAAATGAAAATATTTTGCACAGAGTAAAAGAGAACGTGTCAGTAGATAGAGAACGTTGGGTCGATACTTCAGACTTCTTACAGTATAGATTGTTGCTTTATCCTCTATTTGGTGGTAAGTATTACATTATTACTAATAATTTTATAATCTGTGCTTGTGGATGCCAAGTGGCCTTTAACTACACGCTTAAAATAAAAAAACACAATCTGAGAAGTGAATATATCGAGGATATACATTCTAGGTGTATCACATAAACAAGTTATCTTTTCTCTTTTTTTTCTTTTGTGGATTAGTGTTACTACCGTCAATATTCTAATATACCTATCACCCCTTTGATTGACTAGTAGGCATATTTCTATATATATATACATATACATATTGATTGACTAAGTTTTCATAAAATAAGGGTTCTGGTCAAGAAATAAAACATTAATAATTTACTATCAATGAAAAGAACACCTTCTAATAGAACAAATAACACTAGCACCAATACCTATGGTGGAAACACCACTAGTTCCTCATCTACTTTTTTTGAATCTTTAGACACTACAAGACAGTATAATGATCGTTTAGATTATTTAATGATCAATACTATTGGGCACATAGTCAAAGTTACTGTTTCCTCTGGTGCACAATACTCTGGTCTACTAATCGCTGCTAATTTAGAATCAAAGGACGGAATAGAAATAATTTTACATAACCCTGAAAAAGTGGGGGATGCTATTGTTATCAATGGTAATAATAGTAGTGATAGAGAAGATGAAAATTCTATTATCCTTCAACCTGATGGGAATCTTTTAATTCATGGCTCCGATGTGATGGAAATAGAGTTGAAGAATATTGATTTTACATTAAATGATAAATGGAGTGATTCTAAAGTTAATATTAGTGGAAGTTCAACCCCTGTTAATGGAAATAAGAATAATAGTGACTCAATTTCGACTAAAAATAAATTTTTCAAGACAGATGCCGATATTTCTGGAGCTAACAAGCCTGTTATAAAAGAAAGAGAATTGCAAAAATGGGTTCCAGAAAATGTTCCACTGGACTCAAATTTTATTGATGCTGTTAAAAGCCAACATGAAACATTAGAGGAAAGTTCTGGCCCCTGGGATCAATTCTCTGTCAATGAACAAAAATTTGGTGTTAAATCTACTTATGATGAACATTTTTACACTACAAAGATTAATAAAGATGATCCAAACTTTGAACAAAGATTGAAAGAGGCTGAAAGATTGGCAGAAGAAATTGAAAGTCAAGGTGTATCAGGTAATATTCACATTGCTGAAGATAGAGGTATCATTATCGATGACTCAGGGATGGATGAAGAGGACTTATACTCTGGTGTCGACAGAAGAGGTGATGAATTATTAGCATCATTAAAGAAAAGTGCTAGCAATAACATCAAGAAAAATGCTAATGATGGTGGCAAAAATGGTGTAAATACTACTAAGAAATATGTTCCACCAACTTTGAGAAATCAACCCCATCATACTGATCCAGCCATTATTTCGTCAACTACATCTAAAAATATTACTGCTACAACTGCCAACACTACCGCCACTGCTGTCACTGTAAACAGTCATAATACAGCAGATTCCACAACTGGTAAAACGACAGTACAAGATCAAAATAAGAACAATACTGTAGATAAAGAATCAAAAGTTGATTCAAATAAATCCGAAAAAGTGGTTCCAAACAAAGTTTCTACAGGAAATAAACCCACTAAACCTGGAGTTTCAAGAAAGCCAAGTTTACAACAGGATTCTGTTATAGCTAGAACATTGCATAATCATCATAAATCTGCCAGAGATTCTCCTAAACCTAGAATTCCATTACCATCCACTAAAGAAGCTCAAATTGAAGAATTAAAAAGATTCTCTGAAAAATTCAAAGTCCCTTATGATGTACCAAAGGATATGAAAAATGTCATTAAACAACGCGAAAATAAAACTTCATCGAAGAACACAAATTCAAAAACTTCGTCAAAGGATAATAACCTTGGTTCTGAAATGAATGGTAAAAATAATGCCATGCATCAAAGAAGGCGTCACCAAGGTAGTTTTTTTGGAAGCAAAAAATCATTAACTGGTAACAAGAAGGAATTATTTAACAGAAATTTCAACTTCTTCCAAAAGACTAAGGAATCGCATGATGAAGAGAAAGAGATGGAACCATTTTTTGTTGAAAAACCATATTTCACTGCACCAACATGGAATAGTACTGTAGAAGAGTCCTTTAAGAACTATTTTCCTGACGAAGCTACAGCTGTTCAACAAGCACAAATTAAATTGCAACAACGTCAATTGGCATTTACTAATAGTATGAGTGCTGCCGGTATGATGAGCATTAATAATAGTATGGCCGCCATGTATGCAGGCATGACACCAAACATGAGAATAAGTGGTACACCAATGATGGGATTCCACGCTCAAGCAGGGATGAATCCGATGATGAGTGGGTTCTCAGGAGGTGCCATGTATATCCCATTCCATCCACAACCAGTATTTTATCCATCTATGAGTAATCCAATGATGCCCATGATGGCCGGTGGGGGTGGTAGTGGTAGTAGTGGTGGGGGAAGCGAAGATATGAGGTCTAATGCACCATCTCAAACCGCATCACCACAAATTCCTCATATATATATGAATACTGTTACACCATTTGGATATCCTGTTAATGCACCTCCATTCCATGCAATGAACAGTAATGGTAATCACAATCACGGCAACCATTACAATTACCACAACAACAATGGCCATCATGAACGTAACAATAATCATCGTTATCATGGGCATCATGGTTCAAGAAATATTAATAGAAATATGACGCACACGCAGTTAAATCAGTAATAAGATAGTTTACAAAAAAATAACCAAAAATAATGATATCTTTCTCAACCAACTGTTAACGTGTTTTTCAATTGTTTTCTTAACAAGAAAGATAATTTGTAATTTAGTCTCAAATATAAAGTATACAATAGTATATACTCTATGTGTATGTTTATATCAAATACTATTACAATATTTATTAGATATACATTCTTTTTATTTTGAATTTACCTTCTCACTCTACTAGTTTATCTGTTTGTATATTCCATAGTTTATATTATTAGTGAGATACTGTATAAAGGATACAGCATATAAAACAATATACATATATACTATCCATAGCATACGTCCGTCACCTAATTATCAAAAACAATATCCACATTCTCCGAAATCTAATTCGCTACAGTTTGATCTGAATTATTTGAGTTTGTTTTTATATCGGATTCAAAGTTTTAAATTCGTTTAGATCTCTAAACGAGAACTAAAAAAGAAAAAAACAACAATAAAAGCTCAGTTGTATCTTCTCTCGAAGATACTAACTACTACACACAACAACAACTTCTGCTTACCATGTGAATTCATCAGATAAAAAACGCCTCAGTTGACTGAAATGTGTCAGTTACTAGTAACCTTTTATAAAAGAATGAATATTTGCGAGAAAAGAAAAAAGTATATGCGTTGATCAACTTCCCAGAGGAATAATTTTAGGTCAATTGGAAATCTTTCTCTTGACTTCAAAAGTCCAGCACAGTCTATCATTTCAGAATAACAGGTGATATAATACGTAGGTACAATATGTCAACTGAAAGTGATACCTGTTCAGAGCCTTTGTTAGCAAATGCTAATATGATAAGCGAAGATATTTTAGAAAGAGGTCATGCTCGTCGGATGGGTCATTTAGAGAATTATTTTGCTTTATTACAAAGACAAGACCTCTATGGTAATTTCACCACATATTGTGAATTTGAATCATATGTGGACACTGAAACATTGGTGCCTATCTTAAGAGAAATTTTTTTTCAAAATCCAATATTAGTTCACACAATTATTCCTAAGAATTATCCGAACCATGAAGAGTTCTATTTAAGCGAACAGTATTTGGAAAAACCTTATCCAGAACACGACTACATTAAAATTGTCCCTCATTTAGGTTTGAACGACATTATAATTAATGAACAAGAAGAATACAGAGACGTTGTGGATTCGATCATAAAAAGGTTCAACGATGACGCATTCCAGATTACTTGTTCTTTGACTGAAATGATTTCCAACATTAGAATTCCTATATGTCTACCCAATAGACCTAATTGGAGATTATTAATCTTGTTTGACCAGAAAACCCCCAGGAGATTTAAGCATATCGTTTATATTAGTAATCACTGCAGTTCAGATGCGATGAGTGGTATAAATCTATTTAAAGATATTAACAAAGGATTAGCTGTGTTGGGAAAAGAAGCTACTAATATTATTATTGACACTATAGATAATGATTATAGTGTTAATAATAACAGTAGATCCTTGGAGATATATGATTATGATAAGGACTATACAAAATTCAAAAGATTAGCAATTCCCATCACTGAGAGAATAGATTACAGACCTAATTGGATAGCAATGGGTAAATTAATGGTAACCTCTATGATAATGAAATATCTGGTGTATAAATTTAAGGACAGTGAAACGAAAAGGATCAAAGAGGATCGTAGAGAAAATTTCCATTACAATATCAATATCGGATGGGACCAAGTACAACAGTTGAAGACTAATTTACAGAGACATAAAAGTTCCATGACTGGATTTTTACAAGCATGTTTATTCATAGTCTTGAATGAATCAGGAGTCTTCAAGGATAGAAGATGGAATGAAATGGGCGTGGATATAAGTATACCGAATGATCATAGAAAATCGTTGCCAAAAGAATTAGTTGAGGAACAATATAAATACGGGGCTAACGTCGCAGGATCCCATTATTCATTTTTAATTTCCAGTATAAAAAGGGACCAAATATGGGAATTGAGCCAATACTATACCGAAGTGATACAAAGTGCAGATTATAATGTTGGTTTGGGCGCATTAATGTTGGATTTTGTCTACAAGAATCAGAATGTGGATAAGATAATTACAGATTCCTATTTAGGAAACCAGCGTGGTGGTATTATATTAAGTAATATCGGGTTACATACTGATAAGAGTGGAAATAATAAGATTGAAGATGATGAAAAGAAACCATTTGCTGGTGGTATTAAAGACTTAAAATTTATTCAAAATGTTGGCACTTTAGGTTTTTCATTGGTAGTTAATGTGTGTAGCACAAAGAAATCAGGTATGAATGTTTGTGTAAGTGGTATTGAAGGTACCATTGGTGACAGAGAGAAATTTAACGCTACATTCAAAGAATTGGAAAATTTAATAAGGAGTTACTGTGAATAGATAAGCCCTTTCTTTGTGTCTGTGCCTGTCTCTCTCTCTATATATATATATATATATGTATGTATGTATGTATGTATATATTTACGTGTAGGTATTTATGTGTACTAAAGATTAATATGATGTTCGGATCTATACAGAGCAAGACTGTCCGAGTTGTATCGTTAAACCGTTAATGACTTTAGATTAACCATTTTTCCCAATTCTCAGCTTCATATCCCACGATAGCATAAGCTATACTCTTGATGCACAAAAAAGAAATAAATATATTACAGGATATCTAGCAAGTACAAAATAATAATAATAATAAGCCTGCCTAAGCTACAGAAGAAAAAGTTTGTCTTCTGACAGCACAGAGAGACTCGAAGAAGCTGTAAGAGCTTGTTCTCTTTCTATATTAATGAGTGTAGCAAGGATCGTTTAAATGTGTAGTAACACTTTCAAAACAAAACAAAACAAAATAGATGAAAGGAAAAGAAAGTGATGAAGAACGATTCCCTATTGTTCTCGTTTGTTAAACAAAGGAAAACTGTTGGCCGTTTAATTTGCTATTTTTGTCAATAAATAAATAAATAAGTCGTTTAAACAACTCCGGCGAAAACTATCTGAGAATAAACAATAAAAATAAGATAAAAAAATTAAAAAAAAAAGGATTAAGAATGATCATTAAGTACGGATGCATACCTTTTTCTTAATGGAAATAGAGTGGTATATTTTCTAAGTAAACATAATCAAAAACATACAATTGTTTCGAATCTATAAACAAGAGTTAGGTTTAAATTGTTTTTCTGAATTCAATTCGTAAAAAAGAATCTTGAAAATGTCGGGTTTGAAGTTCGATCTTACTTTTCTTTTTCTTTTTTAACAAGTAAAAAATATAATAATATAGCAAGAAGTCAGCAATATCAAAGAAGTGATACTTCAACGGATACTGAAAAAGAAACTACTTTTCAACGAAAGTTTTTTGACGAGTCATAAGTTACTGTGTTTCTTATCATATAAATTGAATTTAACAACTTGATCATCCAAAAACTTTTTTTTCTGTCAATAATACACACATACACACACATGTGCACATATATGGCTGTTTGCATAAATGTTTGGTCAAATTATTGTTGTCGAAAGGACAATTATCAATTTGTTCGATCTTTTTTACAATAAAAGAAGATATTAACCATCATAACTTTTATTGAACGATGGCTCTTGTATTACACATAATTGTGTTATGATCGAAAGAAAAAAGGCAAGTGGCATATATATGCAATTTTGTTTTTTGTTTTTTTTTTTTTTTGCACATAGTTTCTTTCATCCTATGTAGAACCACAGAAAACCTATAAGGGGAATATATGTTTATTCGTGTTCTATGAATAAATACATCGACTGATTGAAATAAAACAAGCAGAAAAGAACAAAGATAAGGAAACAGATAATACATCTATATTAAGTAAGAGCAATTTTGTTCTTTACAAGCTGTTGTTTATCTCTGTCTTGGAATGTATTTATTATTATCATTATTATTTAGAATCTCTTATCTGTCTTGTTTTCAAACGAGTCATGATTGTAATTTCCAGATCAAAAAGACAATTGAAATTTCAAAAAAAAAAAAAAAAGACAAAGAAAAAAAATTAAGTGTGTATTTAGGGTTCTGCAATTTTGTCGGGGTTAACTGACAAGAAAAGAGAGACCGATACTACCACAAAGAGGGCAAACAAACAGTGGGGAAAAAAATGCATCATTCTGTTGCACAACCCTAAGAATACAAGGCAAAAGACGTTTAGCGGAAACAAAAAAAAAATAAAAAGAAAACATAAGCCTCTAAAGAAGGAATTCCGAGAAAAAAAGAAAAAAAAGTAGAAAAAAATTTTCGATCTTAAACGAAAGAAATGTAATGAGAAAAAAAAGAAAAATGAAAAAGAAATATATGGTTATTTTTATATTATCGATATCTTTCTAAAGACCGTTAACATTGACGTAGGTGGATTTGCGCATGGCTTATTATTATCTATGACATTTTATATCGTGAATAAACCCTTTTAATATACACACACATATATATATAAATATATGTTCTAGAGACTTTTTCCTATTTGTAAGCAATTGGAGTTTGTTGACAACAATCAAACTTATCAATTGATTACTAATTGGTTTTAAAATTTCATGTTCTTGGCTGGATTACAGTTCTTCCTTCTACCAATTATATGTTTCTTCTTTTTTTTTCATTTTTATTACTTCTTAAGTCACATTGTTGTATAAGCAATAATTCTTGTCAATTATACCCAGATCAACTCAATTGCACCAGCAAAACAATAGTTAACCAAAAAATAACAAAACTTAATACATAATAGTAATAATAACAAAAAAAAGAAAAGGATGTCTTTAACTGACGCTGATAATAAGATCACATATGACGCCATTGTCATTGGTGCCGGTGTTATTGGCCCATGTGTAGCTACCGGTCTTGCAAGAAAGGGTAAGAAAGTTTTAATTGTGGAAAGAGAATGGACTCAACCAGATAGAATTGTCGGTGAGTTAATGCAACCGGGTGGGGTCCGTGCTTTAAGATCTCTTGGTATGGTTCAATCCATAAATAACATTGACGCCCAACCAGTCACCGGTTATACCGTTATGTTCAACGGTGAAAAAGTTGATATCCCATATCCATATAAGTCTGACGTCGCTCCATTAGTTAAAATCGATGGTTTGGTCCATGACGGTAATGATCAAGTAGTAGACGATGAATACATCAAAAGAAAGGACTTTGAAGATGACGAAAGAGAAAGAGGTGTCGCCTTTGTTCACGGTAGATTTTTGAATAACTTAAGAGAAATCGTTAAGAAAGAACCAAATGTGACTTGTTTACAAGGGGACTGTATCGAGATCTTGAAAAGTGGCAATAATGAAGTCATCGGTGCTAAAGTGGATGTTCCAAACAGAGGTGTTGTCGACTTCAAAGCTCATATTACTTTTATCTGTGATGGTATCTTCTCTCATTTTAGAAAAGAACTACATCCTGAACATGTTCCAACCGTGAACTCCTCCTTTGTTGGTATGGCTTTGTATGACACTAAATTACCAACAGACCACCATGGTCATGTCATCCTAGGTGATAACCATATGCCTATTATTGTCTACCAAATCTCTCCAAACGAAACTAGAATTTTATGTGCATACAACTCTGCTAAAGTAACTAAGGATATCAAATCTTGGATGCTTAAAGATGTTAAACCATATTTACCAAAGGAAATCTCTAAAGCCTTCGATTCTGCTTTGGAGACCGGTAAGTTCCGTGTTATGCCAAACTCTTACTTGCCAGCAAGACAGAACGACGTTATTGGGTTATGTGTCGTTGGTGATGCATTAAATATGAGACACCCATTGACTGGTGGTGGTATGACTGTTGGTTTAAATGATGTTGTATTATTGTTACGTAAGATCGGTGACTTAGATTTCAGTGATCGTGCTACTGTATTAGACGAATTGTTAGATTTCCATTACGACAAGAAGAGCTACAACACAGTCATTAACGTGTTATCTGTTGCATTATATTCTTTGTTTGCTGCTGACTCAGATAACTTGAGAGCTTTACAAAAGGGTTGTTTCAAATATTTCCAACGTGGTGGAGATTGCATTAACATCCCAATTCAATTTCTGTCTGGTTTATTACCAAGTCCCTTCCAATTAACTAAGGTGTTTTTCGCCGTTGCTATTTACTCTATCTACCTAAGAATCGAAGAACGTGGTTTCCTTGGATTCCCAATGGCTTTAATAGAAGGTTTCATGATCTTATTAACTGCTATTAAAGTTTTTACTCCATTCTTTTTAGGTGAGTTCATGGGTTAATCAAACTAAGGAAAGAGGAAAAAAAGAAAGAAAGAAACCCTCATACACTCTTTTTTTCTTCTCTATTTATGTTATTTTTTCTTTGTTTTATTCAATTGTCTCTTTCCTTAATTGTTTTACTGATCTTAATGTGCTGTATTGTGGCTTCGTTTCGCTTATGTACTCAATGTATTTTACGTTTGATTGTTATTCATTTATTTATCGTTATTTATGTACCTTATAAACTTTATATCAATATAATTGTCAATTAAATTGTAATTCTTTAAGTGGTCATTCTAGTAAATCCATCATCTTTTTCTTTAAGAAATGTATATCGGTGAAACCATCACCAAAACCAAAACTCTTACAGCAAAAACAAAACAAAAAAAAAATAAAAAGAAAAAGAAAAAGGAAGGGGGGGATAAAGATCAGCGATTAATGATAATTCAACAAATCTTAATAATGGGATAGGTTTTATTTTATGCAAGATGAAGGAATGTATTCTGTGAAGAGAAGAGGGGCAACATATAACTGTATATTAAGGATAGCGTGAGTACTGCAAGTGTAAAAGTATTTTATTTTTTTATGATAGATACCCAAACATACACACACACATATATATTTATATATCTATGATGGAAAGATCATTGTTTTGGCGTTGGGTTAGAGTTTATATAGTAGGTGGTTCAATTGTTGGGTCAGGTCTCTTATTATATAAATATAGTCGTCCAACAGATGAAGAATTAATTAGTAAATTCTCACCTGAGGTAAGAAGAGAATACGAAGCAAACAAGAAATTGAGAGAAGAAGAACAAAGGGAATTAATTAAAATAGTTCAGGAGAGTGCAAACAGTAAAGACCCCATATGGAAGACTGGTCCATTACAATCTCCGTTCGAAAGAGGTAATCTGGGTTCATATTCAAATAATACGGTCTTGGAGAGAGCTAAAAGACAGCAGCTGGAAAAACGTGAACAAGAAGAAATAGATAAAGTTAGACAAAATATAGAAGCTTTAAAAGAGCAGCAAAGACAGGAGAAGGAAACTAAAAAAGCAAATAAATCATGGTGGAAGTTTTGGTAGAATATAGCAAATAAGGTGTAACTTTTGAAGTGTGGGAACTGTGAGATGAGCATTTTAAATAGGCATAGACACAAACACAAGCACATGTTTATATAATATTTATTATTCTTAATAGTGTGATTATTTTATTTATTCTTAACTGTTTATTTATTCATCTACTTATTTAAGTACTGATTTTTTTTTTTGCTTTATTTAAGAGTAGAGAGTTAGTTTTATTGTAGCATTAGGATTCATTCACAGATACATGTATATATATTCTGCAGACATCTTCAAGCAGAGTTGTATTCCTTTACTCAGAATAAAGTAGTTTACGCGTCCCAACGCGAAAACTGTTTAATTTTTTCTCGAAGACATAAAGAGAATTTTATAAACTGAAGAAGTAAACTGATAGGAATAGAAAACAGTAATAAGAGATGGATATATATATATATATATATATATATATGTACGTATATATGCATGTAAGTATATTCTTTTTTTTGTAACTCTTCTGCCATATTAGATTTAAATTTTTTCTTTTCCATTTCTACTTTCAATCTTTCATTTCCCGTTCATTGAAGTTACTAATATAAGTCATCCGAATAATCGTTAAATATTGCATAAAATTACACACCCATATAAGTAAATCAAAGTATATATACAATCATGACTGACGCTAAGCAAATTAAGAACAACCACACATTAAAGATTCAGTTACGTTCCAAGGATGCCACTGTTCCAACGAAGGGGTCTGCTGCTGCCGCAGGTTATGACATTTATGCCTCTCAACCATGTGTGATTCCAGCCATGGGTCAAGGATTAGTCTCCACAGATATATCTTTCACTGTTCCTGTAGGTACATATGGTAGAATAGCACCACGTTCTGGTCTAGCAGTGAAGCATGGTATTCAAGCTGGTGCAGGTGTTATCGATAGGGATTACACTGGAGAAATCAGAATCGTTCTTTTCAATCATTCTAAGAAAGATTTCGAAGTATGCAAAGGTGACCGTGTCGCACAATTGATTTTGGAAAAGATTGTGGATGATGCAGAGGTTGTGGTTGTTGATTCCTTAGAACAAAGTGAAAGAGGTGAAGGTGGCTTCGGTAGTACTGGTAAATAAATTAGATATTCCTTTATGTATTTTAAAATACTTTAATAATAATGTACTATAGTAAAACCATTTACACCTATTTGTATAATTTTGATTCAAGAATTGCATGATAATAGAAAAAATATTCTCATATAGAAAAACAAAGAAATGTATATAGCAGCATATTGAATTTGTACACACGGTGAAAGATGTTTTAATTCCTTCTTTTTCTATGTTGATTTTACAAGATATGTTAAAAAATATTCTCCAACCTACACAAACATATACAAATATAATATATCACAGATAAAATGGCCTCTCCCCCTAATATAATATGGTATTTGTTCTCTACAGGCAAGCAAGTATCTACGCTGAATCAATCTATGTCTTGTGTCTTTTATATATTGTAGCTTTCTCAATACCAATGAGGGTAATTTTTATTTAATCGCTTTTTTTTTTTGTTTGCAATCTTCTAAAAAAACAAAAAAAGAAAAAATAATGAATGATAAAGACTGATGTTGTTTTGACAGTAGCACTATTTTATTATGATATAAGAATATTGAGAAGAAAATGTACATACATACATAGAGATAAATATAAGGTATATTGGTGACTCTCTCTTATAACACATGGAACACTCATTAAATGTGGCTGGTAACACTGTGAGGAAACATGTTTATCCTTTGAAAATGGAAATTCTGCCCTTGAATGATTCAATACATGGATCAAAAGATAATAATGTTGTCCAATCAACAGTGCAAGATTTACCAAAGGAAAGTGAAATAGATATTTCTCCGAATAGAATTATCACCACGATCACACAGAAGGATTTACAAACAAAAACTAGCAAGAAAAGAGAGCATGGTGATTTGGAATATAATAATAATAGTAATACTGAAGAAAATGATGAAAGTTTTAGATTTAAAAGACATAAAAATAGGTCTGGTGTTCCTACTTTAGGCGAGAGACTAGATTTATTACAGCAAAATATTCCTCCAAAGAGAATGGAAAATTTTGATTCATCTTTTCCGGTACAACCATCATCTCAAAATAACAATCACAATCTCAACAATAATCATAACAGAGACGATAATCATAACAGGGTTTATAATAAATTATCCAAAAATGAAAATTCTGGATTTGATTCTATTCAGTCGCCAACTTCTTCTTCACTTGGTAGGAGTAACAATCAAAGTAAATTAAATGTCCCAACATTATTACCACTAAATCAAAATTTAGAATATTCAAATCAAATGTATCCAATGTATTATGTACCTGTGCCGACATCTCCAATAAATCCGCAGTATTATGCGTCTGATTACAATGCAAATTCTAATAATAAACCTAATGATCCCAATAGAAATATTCGGTCGATTCCAGCGATACCAAATGCATTTTTTCAGTATCCACCAAGCTCACAACCTGTTGTACAACCATTTCCTCAATTTGTTCCCATACCGACAAATATTAATGATTTGGGTAAACAGCCTACTTCTAATAAATATACATTGTCCAGTAATCGTAGTAGAAGGTTGTCCATTGTATCCAATCGAGAAAATAGTATGATTATGCCTCATCCTGATATATCTACTAAAGAATATTATAGGCATTTGACAAATACAAATGCATCCAATAAGTTAAAGCAATTATTCACCTGGTGTGCAATTAAGACCTATCAAGATTTTAAAGAAAGAAATTCTACTTTTTTAAATAAACATTCTTACTATGGTATAACTGATCCTACTCGTACAGTTTCTACATATTTAGATACCAAGAGAATGACATTAAGTATTATTAACGACTTCATAAATGACTTACAGCATGGTTCATTGGATATTGATTGGAGTCCTCCATCTAATTCAAAAAATACTACAAATAAACAGGGAAAGGAAACCATAGTAAGATTAAATAATAGTAATGGAGATAATATAGATTTAGACTTGAATGAGGATCCTATTCTAGAGGAATTATTTGATGATGAAGATAATATAAGTGAAATTAGTAAAAATGACCCAGATAATGTTACATATTATTATGATGGGCTCAATATGAAGAAATTTAAGAAAAACAAGGATAAACAATTAGATAATAAATCAAGTAAGATCAAAAAGGGTCCCAATATGCAACCTAGGAATAAATTATTACAGAAATTGTTACCAAATCCGAAGAATGCCGAAAACGAGAAAAATCTGGAGCTTTTAAATACAAGGATCGGTAAGTTGAAAGATGAAATTGATGAGTGGAAAAAAGTTATTGATGAAAAGCATCCAGATTCTGAATGGAATTCGGTCATAAAATTAAGTGGACAAGAGCATGATACTAGTAGTATAAAAGAAAATATGGATCCTGAATTAATTAGCAATATTGAAAAATTAGATAAAAGCGCCTCGAACATTAGATTAGAGTTATCTGAAAGAGTCGATAAATTGCAAGCACATTCACATTTATACAAGTCTTATTCTCAGTTGTTAACACAATCACTGGCACATAGAATAGATTTTTTTGTGACAGAATTCAAACACAATCAAAAGAAAAAAACTATAAAATCAAAAAACGTGAAAGATTTTCTTTTGGATTTATCTCGAGCTAAAACAAAGTATAATAATGATAATAATGATAAAATTTAAAGAGGCATGCATTGCTAGAATCAGTTCAGCAAGAAAATCGTAATTCTATCAGGAAGGTGTGAGTTTGTTTTTACACTAACTGTTGTCATAAAATTTTATATTCATTTTTATAAATGAAACATGTTAAATGTAATATGTATTCCATATTGAGGTATAAATATATATATATAGATATATATTTAGTTGTAATAATAATAAGAAATTGTATCTTACTCTAATAACAAAATTTAATTTACAATATAAGCGTCTGGGTATTCTTATGATATTATTCAGACTTTTACAATATTATATTATTTGTTTTATTAATTGCAAAATTTAGAATAAAGGTTACGCATGCTATGTATAAAAGAGATTCTTTATAAGTGATTGAGTTTGACAAGTAGAAAGCATTTATTTATTACAGTTTTCGTTCACTCTATCACTTTTACAGTAATTGCATGCTAGATTTAAAGTATTTTATGATTTAGTTACGTTGATATAAATAGATGTACTCATTTATACTAAAATAAGTAATGTCCAAAAAAACTACTAGCTAGAAAATAAAATTTTTTGATGGCATACTGTGCAATTAGCAAATTGAATTCAAGTTTTTTAATGTAACTTATATTAATTAAAGAGTAAATACTAGAAAAGTTTTTGAGATTAATAAAATATATTAATACTTGCACTATTTTTGCTATGTAAATTCTCACATTTCTTGTGCTAGGTAAATAAAAAAAAAAGAGAGAGAATGCACAATCCAAGTAATTTTTATTTATTTAGATATTGATTTTTTGGGCATATAATAAGGTAGTATTGACAGAGAGTCGTTTATAGAATTCAATACATTAAATAGAAACAATAATTTATTTATACAATATACCTTTTTTTTTTGCATGTTTGGTATAAAGGTATATCTGTTATTTACTGTAATATCCCTGATATTACTGTTTAGGGGTTGTTTAGAAAAATGAGGGTTGACGATACTTTTCTGAACTTTCCTTTTTGCAAAATTTTACAAACATAGATAAAAGCAGGAGTAACCAATATAAGTACAAGAGAGCAACTAAGAAGAACAACAACGTTATCTTAGATTAGGGATATAGATATATAGATATATAGGAATATTACATCTAGAGATATAGAAGGAGTCTATATCCTATATCTATCCAAGTGAAATAATTATTGAGATTTGAACGAGAACTACTGTTATCAGAAGCACATAACCTCAGCGTTATTACATTTACAATAATGAAAAAGAAAACGGGGCGAGCTGGGAATTGAACCCAGGGCCTCTCGCATACTCGAAGTCACAACAACCCAAAGTGAGAATCATACCACTAGACCACACGCCCTTGTAATTGGTATCCTTGTCGTAGAATATAACAGTTATTACCATCAAGATTACGTAAGATCCTGAATGAATCTAGAACTATTTATTGTCTTAATAAGCCATACACATGCTACAACATTAGATGCTACATAATAGAGAGATTAGATTACATAAGATTTTGGCAAATCTAGAATTTACCTATTGTTTTTGTTGGAAAATGAGAGTTTATTACTGTCATTTCCATAAGAATTATTTTTTAATTAGCTTTTCTGTATGCTATGTGGTGGGCAGATGTACCACAATATTGGAAAGACATTTTATTTTTCACCAAATATGTTTTTCGGAGATTTGAAGAGAAATGAAAAACTTAAAAGAAGAGTCAAAGTAAATATAAGAATGCATACTGTATACACTATATAATAAGTATATACATGTATTTAATACAAAACACAACAAGCATCTATAACTTAATGATGTCTACCATTATTATGGACGCTAAGGGCTCCAAATTCTAATAGAATTTTATAAAATAAGCTGAATAAAGTTTCATGATTAAATAAATAAAATGGATAATAATAAATATATGGAAGGTTGTCATATATAGGGAATTACAGCAGTTATTGTTTGTTACCTATCTCATACAATGAAAAAAAACATACAATTATAGATTGTATATACGTAAAATTTTGAGCTATAAAATAATGGTCCATTATTTATAAAATTGTGGATTAAAAATATTCTTGATTAGATTTTGTAATGATTACCAATTGCTTTTATAATTTTCTTTTTTTAATAAATGCATTCAGACATTTATACTTACTAACAGTCTAATGATGGCAAATATTTTAAGTGTATAAATGTCTTAGTACTATATTTAATTGATAAACTCTTTACATCATTCACTAAAGTATTTCAATAAGTATTTTTCGTTGAATTCTAAATTGGAATAGTCATACAAGAACAATTGATTATCTAATTACATAAAATCCAGAACCAATTTTACACTCAACCACAATGTTACAGTTAGTTTACATTATTCCTACAAAATGAATGGTTAGGATAGAGGGTAGAATAAGATATTATATTTATTGGAAGATAAATACTATACTCACTAATTTTTCTTTATAAAGACTGTTTTTAGTGGAATGTTACCATTTTTTTAATTCATAAAAATATAATTTTCCTGAAAATTATTTTAAAATTTAAAAAAACTGGATAATTGACTTGTTAAAATCTAAAACATGATAAATATAGATATGGATTTCAATTCTTTCTAGAAAATTATTTGTTTATAACAGTTTTTATAAATTTGGTAAGATTTTTTTTTTTGTAAAAAAAAGTGTCAATATGCAACAACACGTGAAAAAAACTTTTTCAAATTTTCAGAATTATCCCTTACTTTAAAACAACATTGTGCGGAGAATGAGCGCCTGTAGTCATTGGATATATAATAAACATTCTCAACATAATATTAAACAGATTTAGTACACCAGTAGATACGCAATTCCGAGGGTAACACCTGGGTATTTGGGTGGAGGATTGGTACAGCCATGTGCGCAGTGGCTTGTATAAGGTATTAAATCTGATTGGAGGATTTCCAGGGAGCGATAATTATATCAGATCTTGTCAAGAGGCCTTTGATTATTGAGAGATAGGCTAGGGATAATCATCTTATTTAAATACATCTTAGTAATGACATTAAGAAGTAACTCTTAATATCATACAAGAAAAAGAAAACAACAAGAAGAAGTAATAGTACAACATCAGGGTTATTAAATAGTAATATATAGAGCTTACGTAAGGGTGTTTATACTTATACTAATTGATATGATTCATCCATTTACATACAACAACTCTTACATTACAATAAAGTTCTTCACGCTCTTTCTCTATATACAATATAGAAATAATAATATACAAAGATTGTAAATAAGATAAAAATAATGTATGATGAAATCCTTGGCTTTATATATGTTAACATTAAGCTATTTTCCTCTACGAACAGTAAGATATTTAATAAACAAACTTAACAACTTTTGGTGATCTCAACGATTATTACTCAACAATTTATCGTTTAATATCTACTAAAATCTTATTGTTCTATCTATTTCATTATAGATTATGCAATTTATTAATAATCCAATATCAAAAGTTCTTTTTTTATTATTTGCTCTTCCTTCCACAAGTCTCATTGTCTAATTTTTTTTTCTAGAATAATTAATCATCAGGTATATTTATTTACTCAGATTGTGTTGAAATATAATCAAATGTATCTTTGATAATCTAAATTTATCATAATATATTGGAAATATTATAAACGTTTATCTCAAAGAAAACTTTAATATAAAATGTTTCACACTGTATATTGTTATATATTATATAGTGATTATGTAGAATATAAAAAAAAACAGACAACAGAAGTTAGACTGATAGTACCACAAATATCTTGTTATAAGTCTATATAGTTTCATTGTATTTATAATGAATTTTAATAAACTTTTTGATACTGAGATCTTACTTCAACAGATAATCGTAATAAATAATGTAGAGTGACATTTTGACTCCAACACTAATAATAGCCACATTATTGTAACACATAATATAAAAGAATAAGACCTTCTTATAAAATAGATAAAAAACATAAAATAAAGATAAATTTAGTCTCATTTTAGACAATATTTTATTTTAAACCAATTTTTTCTTACTTCAATCAATTATACAAGATTAATTGAATCCAGTGTAAGAAATATCTCTTTTTGAATAACTACGTGATATTTTGTGAATAACTGTTAATTCAATGATTCATAATTATTCTTTCCACCTGTATATTTAAAAGAAAGACTTGGACATGAATTGAGAAAGTAAACACAGAGCATTGTTTTTACTACTGAGTTGATTTTATTTTATATATGTATAAATACCAAAAGTTACTAATTATACTAAATTTTAAATACGCTACTCATCACAGAACATGAAAAAAAAACATTAATACCAAGTTGATATATTTTATTCTGTTATATAAATAAATATATACAAATATTCTCAGATAATCATTCTTCTGATATGACTGAACTTACTAATCTAAAAAATTTCCACAAAATCAACACATACTTTTGTTCACATGTGTATTTGATAAAAAATATTATAGATAGTAATTTATAAAATTTTATTAAGTTGTAAAAACCTTTTTTTCTTCCTCCACTTAGTTGATTATAGATAAAATATTAATAATCAAGAATGTTTATTTTACACAGCTGCTATGGAATTAATAGAAAAGAGTATTACAATAAAAAAATCATATACTTTTACTATTCAATTTTTTGTTATTAAATGACAATTAAATACAATACTGTAGGATTTAGTAATTCCTGATAGTGTTGAATTACTGTTACTAATGCTAAATATATCCTTAATATAATAACACTATCCTGTTTATTTTATTTAGAAAGAATATAATGGTATATTCTTATTACTTACAAAAACACATAGAAAATCAATTAACCTTGTTATAAATAAGATATAGAATAAAATATCAGCCCGGTAACAATATATACAAATCGGAAAGACTTTAACATGATACATAATGTCACAACCCATCAGCAATATACAATAGTCAGCAGCCTCTTTATTCATTCTTTACTAATATTCAAGCTCCATTGCTTAGTAAGCAGACCAAAAACCCAAATGAACAGAAGTTGTAAAAAAATAAGAAAAATTTTAAAAAGAAAAGAAAGAAAGAAAAAAAAATTCCGATGACCTCGAAATAAAAATAAGATAAAATAAAAAACCTGTTCAGTAAGCACCAAGTTACAGTGATCTCTCAAAAATAAAATTGACTCTGTAACGATATTCAAGAATACCCAGTTAAAGAACGTTTAAATCAACCACAGAGATAAAAAGTATTTAAAACTCTATATCACATCATTTACATTTTTTCCCTTTTCCTTTATCGATTTTTTTTATCATCATAGCAGTTTGAATTCACAGCCATATTTACAGAGGATCATTTTACTAGAACTGTTCTTATAATCGTCATTGATTTTCAATATATTGGATTATTAAAAATTTCAAATATAATATATATTCCATTATTACATAATGTCCGCAGACGGATCTAATAATATAACTATTCCAGTTGAACACGAGGTTGAGCCTCAAGAAGAATTCATAAATAACGATGAAGTAGCAGAAGTTGTCCCAACTAATGATGATGAAGACCAACCGATTGACGAGGAGGAAGATGAAGAAGAAGCAAATATGGATGTTGGCAATGACGTTCCCATGGAACAAGAAACTTTAGAAATCGATATGTCCAACAATTCGATAACCTATTTTGATAAACATACAGATTCAGTATTTACTTTAGCTCATCATCCAACTTTACCATTAGTTGTATCTGGTGGAGGTGACAATGTGGCTCATTTATGGACTTCTCATTCGCAACCACCAAAATTTGCAGGATCTGTTAATGGACACACGGAATCTGTTATTGCTTGTTCATTTACTGCTGATGGCAAATTTTTAGTGACCGCCGACATGACAGGTAAAGTTATAGTTGAAATAGGTGTAAAGGGTGGTTCACAGTGGAAAAAGACATCTGAATTAAATGAAGTAGAAGAAGTTGTCTGGTTAAAATGTCATCCAACTATAAATAACATTTTCGCCTTCGGAGCTACTGATGGGTCTGTCTGGTGCTATCAAATTAATCCAGATGGTACTTTGGAACAATTAATGAGTGGGTTTATTCATCAACAAGACTGTACTAATGGTGATTTCATCAATATTGATCAAGGTGAAAATGCATTGGAATTAGTTACTTGTTCTGTTGATGGTACTGTCATTGGATGGAACTGTTATACTGCCCAACCAACTTTTAAGATCACACAAGCCGAAATTAAAGGATTATTAGCTCCATGGGTTTCTATTGCAGTGGCTCCATCAACATTAACCAATGGTAATGCTGGTATCGTTGCCCTTGGGTCTAATAATGGTATAGTAGCAATCATAAATGCTAATAATAATGGTGCTGTTTTACATTTAGAGACTGTAGTACAATTGAAGGAGGACCAAGAAGAATTGGATGCATCCATTGAATCTATTAGTTGGGCCCATAACTTCCCACTTATGGCCATTGGTTTAGTCTGTGGTGATATTATATTATATGAAACTAATACATGGAGAGTTAGGCGTAAATTCACTTTGGAAGATTCTGTTACTAAATTAGTATTTAACGGTGATGACATTTTTGCATCTTGTATTAATGGTAAAGTTTATCAATTCAATTCAAAAACAGGTCAGGAGAAATTTGTTTGTACCGGTCATAATATGGGTGTGCTAGACTTTGTAATAGTGAATCCAAAAGACCAAACTCAATTAAGGAAAGTTATTACTGCTGGTGATGAAGGTGTTTCGTTGATATTTGAAGTACCAAATTAAACTCACAAATTGTAGAAAATACAATCAAATAATAATAATAACAGTAAATAAATAGATACAAGATAAACTAGACATTTGATATAACATTTACTATTACTAAAATTTTGTATAATAGAAATATCTCATATTATTTATAAACTATATATCTAAAATAGAATTATTTCGTATCATAAGTATGTTAACTAATCTATCTCATGTATATAATATACACACATGGTAACAGTCAATTGATAGATGTTGTAAGAAAATTCTAATAGAAGGCTTTTTATATATACTGTATCTATATTTATGTGTATATGTACAGCTTATTCTAAAGAATCTAAAAGCTTTAATTCAGTTTGAATAAGCTTAATTACATCTTTTCTTTTACTCTTGAGAATTTTTTTTCTTTCTGGCTCTAGATCAACAAGGTCAATACCATCCAATTCAATTAATAATTTTAATAACATTTCGTTGCAATAATTTCTTTCATAAATATCTTTTTCAATATTTTTATTGAATGATTTTAGTAACTTTTGAATTCTTGGTTTGAACTCGTTTTCATATCTCAATTCTACGTTCTCGATTTGTGACTCTAACGTCAATGGAACAACAGATTTCTTCTTTTGTATATCTTTTGCTGATTTTGTATTATTTGCTACTGTAGATTGTTTAATTGGATTCTTTGCAAAAACACCCCAAATAAAGTAGGCTATACAAATCGCGAATGTCCCAGTTGCGACCATAGCAATTAATTGAGAGTCTTTGTTATCAGAACTTATAAACGACATAATGCACGACTTTATTAATATTTTTGTTTCTATCTGTCCAGATTAGTATTAAATAGTATTTTTATATATTGGTGCGTATTTCTGCAATTGATAACTGAATCAATACTGATACTACCCACAGGAGTAAAAATGAAACGCTCTAACCGTTATTACTCCTCTTCCTCTTTTCTTTTACCTCCCAACAAACAATTGTGAGGATATTATTGATAAAATAAATTTCTCTTTTTCTGATCATCATATTGATATAAACATGCTTACTATAAATCGTATATTGTTGACACATGATTTAACCAAGCTTTTTAGATCATCTGTATCCATTCATTAAGTTTCTTATCTAACTTTGTTTGGTTTTTGAATAATTAATTTTCAACTTTCCCAGAAGAGTGAAATTTTAAATTTTCATAAAAGAGGGGAGTCTTTCAGAAGAAGATAGAAGAACATGATTTACTGAGTACCACTGAAGTGAAAAATACCATCTGCTAATATACACAAATTATTGTTGTTGATATTCTATAGATATTATATGTAGCAAGAAACAAGATCCATAGAAACTTTTCTGATTATTATAGAGTGATTCATATATTCTATCACAGTATTTCCCCTCCCTTATTTTTTTGGTAAAAGCTATTATCGATTAATAATATTCATATTGCTACTATTGGCTCCTTCTACTTCTCTATTATACTTTAAATCATGAGTACACAAGTCACAGAACCTTATTTACCATCGATAACCTCTCTTTCTAGTGAAAATCAATTATTGAATGTTAGATATATTGTCGAACCAGATTTTGATTTTATTAATAGCCTACTAAATGATTTATCAATAGTTCCACCTTTAATACAGCAGAAAAGATTAGATACACTATATTCTTTAATGAATATTAACGACATGTTAAGGGAAGAGATTAGTCATGATTACTTAAGGACAGTTCGTTACCTATATTCTCATATATCTTTAAATGAGACTTTGATAAAAAATGATTTAATCACAAATATAAAATTTTTTAAACTCATAAATTTGTGTGTTAATAAATGCCCTTATCTACTGTATCCGCATTTGATACAATTTAAAGAATATTTATTTTATTTAATTGATAGTTTCAAACTATTTATGAATGAAAACGATATTTCAATAAACAGTAATGATAGAATGTCATGTAATATTATTATATGTGATTTGTTATTTACTTTTCTTCTTCACATTAGCAATACTGATTGGAAATTTGATTGTACTTTTAATACATATCTAGAAGATTTAATATTTCAAATAATTAATAAATATATCCATGGTATGAATTTCAAATATTCCTTAAAAGTCAGGCTTTCCAAAAATGAGTCTTATAACTCATACAATTCATTATTAATTTCCTCTAAAGATAACGAAACTATTAATTATCAAATTTCACAACAACAATCAGAAAATACTTCATATTCTGTTGCCTATGATTGTTTATCTAATAAAGGACTCCTTTTATCTAACTTAATCCCTAATCCAGTTAAAATATCTAGCGTTATTGAATGTACTATCCTGTCAAGATGTTTAGTACTGTACACAGAAATTAATTCATCTATTTCAATAATCAATAGTAGTAGTAATAATAATAACATAGATATCAACAGCAAAATAATTAATCCTTCAACTTTACAACTTTGGCAAAATCCGCATGTCATGCTGTTTGTTTCAAGTTTATTAAAATATCCTAACATCGAATTAAAATTATCTGCTTTGAAATTCCTGCTTTTCCCATTTCTACATGTTAAACATAGTAGTTTAAATAAAAACAATACAAATAATCTAAGAAATATTACAAAATATTTGCCCTATTTATTTCAATCTTTAGACTATGGATATATACCATTTTGGTTTGATCCTTTCGACTATATCATAGATTTAATAGTTTTATTCAATGAAAAGAACCCAACAAATAATCCAATCTTAGTGTATATTGATGAATCAAATTTATACAAGACATTCCTTGATGTATTTACCAGTTGTATAGAATTATCATCGAAAAATCAATATATTTTAGAGACATTAATTAAAATGGTACACATTTGGGCATCACTCTCTTCATTTGAAGAACGGACGAGATGTGCTGTGGTTAATATTCCAAATATATTAACGAGGTTAAAGGGTGATGTTGAATCACATATAAATCTATTAAATGAATTTATTGAATATTATCAATCTGTCAACAAAAATAAATTACATACCAAAAGAAAATTTCCACCTCTACACGATAGTAAACTAGTCCTAGCTTGGTTACATTTATTAAAATCATTTTCTCGTAGTATTACTATACTAAGGACTAAATTACAAAAAGTTTACCTTACCGAAACACTAGCCAAAATGCTAAATGTTTTATATAGATTAACACATATGACATATGATGTTGGCAACAGTTTTTTGAAGATTGAGTTGGAGATAATGGAATTAACCTTGGGTAATATTTGCAATTTTATAGTGGAGTTCTCTAGTTTGCAAGTTTCTGTTTTACAGACTGACATAATAGGAACTATTAAAGAAATTTTAACTGATAGTTTATTTAATCCTAACTCAGAGACAAATTTTAATAAAGAAAGGGCAGATGCTTTCAAAGATTTAAAGTTACAAGATATTAAGGCTTATTCATTATGGGTATTACGGCATTTAATGTATAATTGTCCAAATTCGGAGAAGATGAAATTACTTCAGAGGATCCCACTGGATATTATCTTAGATTTTATTAATGATCCAAATTGGTCTGTTCAAGAACAATGCTGTCAACTGCTAAGAAATTTGACTTGTAATTCAAGAAGAGTTGTCAATGTATTACTTGAGAAATTTAAATATGTGGAATTTAAAATTGATTCAAAAACTGGATTAAACAAGAAAGTCGGTTCTACTTATTTATTTGAGTATTTAGCAAGAAAGATGCGACTGTTAGACATGAGGGACAAATGTCAAAGAAAAACATTGGAAGCAATTCTCTACATTATTAATAATATTGCAGCAGTTAATGAAGATAAAAAAAGATTGGTAGTGGAACAGAATGATATATTAGAGATTTTGAAGGCCATTTTATCTGAATCATCGCAAAACTCATTAAAATACGGTAATGATAGTGACTTAAAATTGGCTAGTCTTTGGGTTCTAAATAATCTATTGTGGAATTCGTCTCTTTCAACATATACACAATATGTGTTAGAAGGTTACACTGCTACAGCAGAAAATAATATTAACAAGAGTACTTCTTCTGTGAATGCGAATAATAATACTAGTAGTATAAATGATACTCAAGACAGTAGTAGCAGTAGTAGAAGTAGTAGAAGTAGCAATGAGGTGAATACTTATGGTAGCAATAATGAGTCAAAACCGTATAATCTTTTAACAGGAGAAGATAGACATACTATCGCTGGAGAAGAAGAAGAAGAAACGGAGAATGATGATAACGATAAAGCAAGTGACGAATTTATTCATCCATTTAGGAGTGCAACCGATGACATTAATACAAAATCTGTACATGCAGGTGATTATACAGTTGAAAGATGTAAAAAGTTAGAAGCTATTGGTTTGTATGCCCTTATTAAACAAAACATATTTGATGATTCTTTAGATGTCAGAGAAAAAGCAAGAACACTATTGTATCATATGGACTTATTGCTTAAAAAGGTATGAAATTTTCAGGAAATATATAATTGAAGAATAATTTAGTATTGAATACGCATTATAATATGCACTAAAATTTAGATGATTTCACCATCTCATGTGAATTTGATGAGTTACAACAAGAGAGAAAACAATGAACTTTTAGAAAAAGTCCTACCTCTGCACGATATCTATTCACTCATAATGAAATATTCAAAACATACAGATCATTTAGGAACCGTTCATGATTAATTAAGATGACACATATATAGATATATAATATTTTAGATTAAAAAACCATATAAATATACAAAAGAAGGGGGTTTTTGTCTGTTAACATATATGTAATAAAGATTAGAGATAAATTGATTGAAAATAACTGAATTAAAAACAATAGATTAAGTCTAATCTTGAGTCTTTTGAGAACCACGTAATAAACCGGTTCTTCTGGCGGCAATTAAACCAGCCTTTTGACCAGAAACGGCACCTCTAGAAATAGTAGAAGCCTTACCAATGTGTTGATGGTTACCACCACCATGTGGGTGATCAACTGGGTTCATGGCAACACCACGAGTCTTTGGCCAAGAGTTTCTCTTAACTCTGAACTTGTGGAAAGCACGACCAGCCTTTAATAACGGCTTGTCAACTCTACCACCACCAGCAACAACACCGATGACACCACGGGCGTCAGATGAGATAACTTTCTTGGCACCAGATGGTAATCTAACTCTGGTTTTGTTTTCGTCTGGGTTATGACCAATAACAATAACGTAGTTACCAGAGGCTCTGGCTAAAGCACCTCTGTCACCTGGTCTTTCTTCGACGTTAGAAACAATAGTACCTTCTGGAACAGAACCTAAAGGTAGAATATTACCGACAGCTAAAGAAGCTTTCTTACCGGCGTAGATGAATTGACCAGTGTGGACACCTTCATTGGCAATGAAAGTTTCCTCACGTAACTTGTACTTGTATGGGTCACGGAAGACAACTTTAGCTAATGGGGCACCTCTACCAGCATCGTGGATGATGGATTTAACAACACCACGAATGTAACCGTGACGTTCAGCGTAGTCTAAAGTTCTTAATTTAGCAGCACCTTGTCTTAATCTGGTGTGAGAGGTGAAGACGGAACCAGCACCCTTTCTTTGGTTACGAATAACTCTACCTGCACAAAAAAAGTGTGTATATATATTTATATCCAAAACATGTTCGAGAAAGATATATTATTGATATAAAGTAACTTTCTGTTAGTAATCAATTCCTTTTAATATTCTAGAAGCAACAATAAACAGGTGAATTTAAATATGATCTGCATATAAAAGGGGAATCAATTATCTTTTAAAAATAACTCAATGTAGACCAAGTAGAAATACTATTTACCAATATCGAATAACGATTGAAGAGAAGTATCTAAAACTTTAGCAGATATTACTTAACAAAACACATTCTTACTACATCGTATAAAATATTAATACAATCAATCTGTTTACATTAAAAAATTATTAAATGATCCGCAGTCTTTATTCCGTATACAATTTAAATTCATATATAGTTTTTTTTTTGCTGATTTGTATATTAAAGTCTAATAAAATCATCAGTACAAGTGTATTTTCGCTTCTATTTCCTTCTTCTACTTTATTATTAATTAAAAAATTGAACACAGTTTATTGTTGTATATCTTCCAATGCTCTTCCACACCCTGTCACATACCCATTGTTAATCAATTATCTGGTTTTTTTAACGGCTGGTAACTTAAAATGAGCATCCAGAACACCCATTAAATAATTGCGCTACAAGCAAACTCTAGTCACCTTGTATTACAATGCTACTATACGTATAAGATCTTAGCGTTTACAGTTACACATTAAGCAATACAATAGACAGTTTACAATAATTGACATCGCCTTGATGCGTTGCTACCGTAAGAGAGAATAATTTCCTTGATTATGCAGGTGAGGGATGGGTCTATTCTCTCTCTATCTCACTCTGAATAAGTTTACAGTATACCTAACGATGTTTAGACACTACTCTGCCACACATACACACACATACACGTTGATAGATGAACAGAATACGGAATTAATCCAAGCAATATTGTTTAGCGTGTTTAGTTTACAACCCAGATTCTGTAATTGTGTAGAAGGGAGAGATAGAGAAATTGTCGTGTGTTGGAAAATTGCAGGATCTTGTTCTTTGGTGGAGAAAGGAGGGAGGGAGAGAGCCAATTGCTAGTTGACAGGCTTTGTCTAACACTGTTCTTCCCCGCCTGCTCCCCCTCAATCGTTTCTGTAGAATGGACCTCTCACCATCTCTTGCTCTCCACATGTTATTTCCTTCCTTCTGAGACATCTCTAGATAAACAAGAATGCTCCCTCCACTCTTGCTCTTTCGTTCTAGTCTCCACCTCTGTTTTCTGTGTTCTCTGGGTCTTACTTGGGAAATCATGTGGCTCAGAATAATTGATCACAGTTTGAGAAGAACACTAGGACGGACATAATCCATTTTATCCTTGAGCATCGCGAAGTTACGTGATGGTACGTAAATATTTTCAAACATATACAATTCTAATGTACTGGTTTCTGTTTTAGGTAATTATATCATTTGAAGAGAAACAAATACGAAATATAAAACAACAGAAAAACAAAAACAAAAAAAAGATAAGATCAATAAAAACAGTCCCAAAGCAGTGGAAAAAATAAAAAAATATAATAACAGCAAATATAGTGGATTGAAGAGAGCATGTGTCGTGTCTTGTCTACTAAAATTAACCTTACTCAGCTCAATTGCTACACTTAATCTTTCTTTGTTATGCTCTACTTCTCTTTATGAAAAGCAATAAAATGAAACGGGTGTAACAACTTTGAGCACACTCTTTTTATCTATGTTCTCATCTATTAAGCATATCTTGCTTTCTTTTCCACTGTATCAGCTGACACCCTTTAGATATTTGCAAAATCATCCTTTAACTTGGATTTTTGCATTCTTAAAAATTGAAAATCTATTATATTCTTGTATTATGTGGTGTACAGATCCTATGACTCTTATGATTAAAATTCGACATACACCTACAAACAAAAATATGTGCAAAAAAAAATAAAGGCCCAGTGAAATAGACTACATTAGCTTTTTACGAGTTAACTTGTTGAATGATTTATTTTTGAATAAGACTAAAATTGTTTTAATTCCAGCATCTAACATAAAAAAATGACAAGATTTATTGGTTGTATAGATTTGCACAATGGTGAAGTAAAACAAATTGTGGGTGGGACTTTAAGCGATAGTAATAACAATTCTAATTTAAAGACTAACTTTGTCTCCTCAAAACCTTCGTCGTATTATGCAAAGTTGTATAAAAAATATAATGTCACAGGTGCTCACGTTATAAAATTAGGACCTAATAATGATGATGCTGCAAAGGAAGCGTTGTTGGCTGCACCACATTTTTTACAAGTTGGTGGAGGTATTAACGATACCAATTGTCTATATTGGTTGAAGATGGCCTCTAAAGTCATTATAACAAGTTGGCTATTCAATAAAGACGGTGACTTTTTGCTTGACAGATTGATTAAGATAAGTGAATTATGTGGTAAAGATCGTCTTGTTGTCGATTTAAGTTGCAAAAAGACTTCTGATGGAAAGTGGATAGTAGCAATGAATAAATGGCAAACGTTAACTACACTAGAGTTAAACCAAGATACATTTATTAGATTAAGTAAGTACACCAATGAATTTTTAATTCATGCAGCCGATGTGGAAGGTCTATGCAATGGTATTGACGAACAGTTAGTCTGTAAATTAGCTGAATGGACTGAGGAACTAGGCGATGAGATTAAAATTATATATGCAGGTGGTGCTAAAAGCATAGATGATTTGGCATTAGTTGATACATTAAGCAAAGGTAAAGTAGATTTAACATATGGTAGCTCTTTGGATATCTTTGGTGGAAGTTTGGTGAAATTTGAAGATTGTTGTGAGTGGAATAATCATCACTAAAACATTTAAGTTTTTAACATTTATACTATTTCTTATCCTTCTATTATCACCTAAAGTACTCTTTTGAAAAATAAATATATCTATATATGCAGGGTATGTATCAATTACAAGAGAAATGGATTGGATTTTATGACTTGTATAGTAGTTAAAATTACTGATTTTACTTTTTTTTTTAAAAAAAAAAATAATTCCCTCTTACATTAATATATCACAAGCAGAACGTATAAAGGGTTTGAAATAAGTCCTTTTTCTTAATGTGAGTTCTTGTCTTTTTGTAATTATGTCATTATTACAAATGAGTACATATATACATATATATGCATGTATATGTTTGTTTGCCCGTATGCTTATAGGTATATCTATGTATTATTGTGTTTTAATGACATTTACCAAGCATCGTCATAGATACCACCGGCGCCTGGAGCATTTCCACTTACAGCATTAGAGTATGAACTACCGTTCATATCACCCATGTTAAAATCATGATCTTGCATGCCTGAATTCATCCCCTGTATATTACCAACAGCATTAACCTTTTCATGTTCCATTTGTGTCAAAGCTAACAAAATAGATGCAACTTTTTTCTGTAAAGTGTCAATTCCTCTTGTAACTACTTGATCTACTGGAATAGAACCAATAGTCTCTACATTTATATAAAAGGTATCTGCCTTAGCTTTATAATCGAATAATTCACCTTCTACCGGAGGATCTTCGTATTCACAATTTTTAGAATGTGGCCATTCTTTTGCTGGATCCGCTTCATACCAATAGTGAGTATGCTTCAATTTATTCCAAGGATCATATTCAAATTCAATGGCTGCTGTGGGACCCCATTTGGCATGTTCCTTGGCAATCCCCTTTTTGGCTATGCAAGTCAGTTTCAATTCTTGACCTTTTCTTAATTTACAAATTAACACACCATTGCCCTCTTTATCTTGTATGATTGGATGACCAATATTACGTCCTAATAAATTGGAAACAATAGTCAAATCTTTAGCATATACATTCGTCGTACTTTCACTTTCACCAACAGCTTGTAAAGTTAGTACTACCGAACATTTATCGCAGTGGTCCTCACAGAAACAATCACGACTGTATTCCATTTGTTCAATATCTATACTTTGTAGAGGTATCAACCCAAGTCTATGTGCAATAAACTCGTCTGCCAATACACTTGAATTAATTTCAATTTCAACAGAATCTATGGCTAAGGTTGGAATTTCAGCAATCATAACACGACGCAATGAATTAGCTAGTGCCAAATCAACATTTGATAAAATGAAATCCACATTTTCTTTAGTGGCTTCTCTTATTTTAACTTGAGGTCCTTCTTCGCTCATTTTTTATATCTTTATTATTTATTTATTTATTTTTTAATTTATGTTGTATTGGATCCTATACAAAAACCTATTATCAAATCATAAAATATTGGAAAGTTGATGAATGTAATTGTCCTAATATACCCACTATAGTATTAACTTTCGCTAGAATCCCAATCTTTTCTTGTTCTCTGGAGATATTGAGTCTGCACTTTCTTTTTAACGCTTTACTTCCTCTTTTCTTTCCTTTTGTAAAATTTATCATATCTTTATTTTAAAGGAAATCGAAATCAACAAACTAAAAAAAAAGAGAGAACTATTGGGGTCACGTGAGCATATACTCCATCTTTTTACATCCATACACCACGTATGTTAAATAATAATGTTTCATTTTTGATAGTGCCGTAAGCCAAACGGTGTCGACAAAGAACAAAGACAAAGCAGAATAAAACATAACAGATAAGTAGTATCATTATACAAATTCAATCGCACACACACACACACACACACACACATACATATATATATATGTATACACTTATCTGTCTATGATTAAGCCAAAAAAGATAATGTGACATTGTACCGCCCCTTTACAAGTTTTCTCTCTCTCTCTTTACTATTATGTTTCTATATTTGTGTATGCACCCTTTGTTCGTCAATTTTAACCGTGATTATAAATATTACATTGACATAACTAAACAGTAACTGATATCTACAGGAATTATAATTAATATATTATGATCATCGTTATTATTACTATTAATGCAAATGATATTCTACAAGGAATTCTTCACTATATTCATATAAAATATTTTAAATATAAGTTCCCTGTATTACTTCCAATTTATTAATATGTTTGTTTGTTCGTTTTCTTTGTGTGTCTATTTATATTTTGTGTTCATGTGAATTGTCTAGAACCACCACGTACAAATTCTAGAATCTTCCAACCTTCCGTTTCTTCATCATCGATATGTTCTGGATCTCTGGTAAAAACCATAGCGTAGGAACTCATTAGAATATTGTCTTCACTACCAGCAGCGATTTCACCAGTCTTAATATTTTTGTAGACGTTGATCTCCTGAGCTCTACAACCCACTACTAATACAGGAATATCTTGTGGTTGTAATAATTTGGCACTAACGATTTCCACACCTCTAATATCTAAGATACGACCTTCTGAAAAGATAGCCTTTTCCTTAAACATTTTCTGTTGGGCAGCATAGACATTGAATGGAGCTTCACTAAACCATTTCTTCAATACCTCTTCATCCCCTCTAACATAAGCCTCTAAGACTTCTGGCACGATGTATTCTCTTAAGTGCTTTGTGAAAGAGGCACTATTGAAAGTCGGATCCATTAATTTAAATTGGTAATAAACTCTACCAGATTCAGTCTCTGCAAAGAATTTACCAATCTTATTGGTAATTTTTCTCAAGAATATGATAAATGGATTTTCACTTTCATCCCAAAGTCTAACTTTAAGATTGTGTAAAGATCTACCAACAACTGTCTTTTCTTTAAAATCTTCCATTTTTTTACCAATGGATTCTTTAGCTTCAATGTTTGTAGCTACTAATGCAGTTCCGGCTTCATCATTGGACTTAACAGCTCTTACTCTTTGCCCAGTAGCCAAAGCTTTAGCTCTCTTCTCTCTTCTTTCTTCTTTTGTTATAAACCCACCATAACTGGAACTTGAACCATCATCAATAACCTCAGAGACGTCTTTGTATATTTTGGTTTGTCTAACAGGCTCTAAAGTTTCATCAATCTTTTGAGCTGTCTTGACAGCAGCCTTTCTGGTAGTCTTACCAATCTCTGAATCCCAAGCTTTAATAGCCATATCTTCCATAGCTTCCCCAGTTTTCTTCAAAGTCTTACCAACAATAGTAGACCCTTTTTGAGCCTTCAAATACGCTTCACGCGCCTTCTTATATGCTTCAGATTCACCAAGACGACCAGATGCATCTTGTAAAGCTTTAATGTTATCCTGCAACTCAGCTGATTTTTGCCATTCCTTTTTGAAGGTTTCACGGAAGATGCTTAATGGGGACCTCGGATCATTTGCATTTGTGTCTTCTCTTTGATTATGTTTATTTGTATTTTGTTCATATAATAATCTTGAAGTGTGTAACTTAGAAGATAACTGGAGTAAGCCGATAGTGGTTTGGTTGTTATAAGAGTATAATAAGTTCACCACTTGACGGGACCCTATTGTAACAGTTTTTCTACTGGTTATCATTATTAGAAAAATCGAAGAGCGTGGAAGGCAGGGACAGTGATAGATTATATTTTGTGAAAGATTATTTTTTTTTCACTCTTCTTTTCAAAGGATGCTTCTTGTTCTCTTGAAAAGTGATAAAAATTTATTTTACTGTCTAGTGTACAAGGGGATACTTGTGGGCACATTAAATGACAGAATTGATGCAGAAATCTGAAAGGTAAAGAGGGAGTAATATCTTTCACTATAGTTTCGTTTTTCTCTTGTTCTTCCATCACTATCACCAAAAAAAAAAAATCAACGACAACGATAAGGGCAACAGAAAACAAAGGCGGGAACCAAAGTTCTCTCTCCAACGTTCAGTAGACAAAAACAAAACACGAACAAAACAAAAACGAGAATTGAGTCAAAAAGAGATGAGCCGACAACTGTGGCGGAATAAAGATCCCGCACAGAATTATATGGCGGATTAAAGAGGGAAAGAACAGAAAAAAAACTGTTTTTCCTTTCTATGTTCATTTTTAAAGTTAGGGTATATTTTGTTTTTACAGTTTTTGAAAGAGTTTTTATACTTAGAAAGTTAGGGCTTTATCTAAAAGATAAAAAACAGAGTAAATGAGTAAGGGAAATACGAAAGTTGATTCAGATTTTGTGTTTCTGATTGTATTTTTGATATATTAGTATCTCTCTGCTTGAATTAGCATCAATGAAGATTATAATTTATAATATATCTAATGTTAATCGTTCTACTACCTTTTGGATATTACATTTAAGACATCTCTTCAAATAGAAGTGTCTATGGCCATATATACATGTATATATATGCCGGTCGTTTTAATATGGTTAAAAGACGTAAGATTAGAGGTGAATTGGCACCAATGGATAGAATAACTAATTCTAATACTAATACTACCAGTAACAACAACGACAACAATAATAATAATAGCAAGTCTGATTTAGTTGTACTTAACGGATCAAAAGTAAGAAGAACTTATAGAAAAGATCCTAAAATAGTTAGAAATATTAATAATAATTTAGTTACTAAAGAATTTGTCTTCAGCCCAGAATCAATACCGAAAGCTTCTGTTCCATCTCATAATGATGATGCTAACGAACACAACAATAACGGTGCTAATAAGAAGACATTCTCCCATATTACCCCTCATTCAGGTCGTATGGTAACAGATAAAGATATCGAACATTATTCAAGAAGACTCATCTCTAGTTCACCATCCTCCCACCCCATAGAGACCGATACAGAACCTCAAATCTTAGAAGTTAATCAAATAAATAGAGATAAAAATAAAGAACTTTATTCCTTCGAATTTGCTAATAATAAATCCGACACTTCGGAAAATAGACCACATACTTCCGGTAAAGGTTTGCTACATTCATCACCAATAAGTTCTGGTCCATCTTCCCTTTTTATGAGAATGGTTGGGGTTTTAAAATTTATTAACGAAAGAGGTTCTTATCAATCTATTAATCAAGTGTCCTTGAAATTTAAAGTCGATAAAAATGGCTGTTTTATAAGCTTTCAGCATAAAGAAGAGGACCTTTTGACTAGACCTTTATCATTTGAGAAGGATTGTCATGATTTATACTTTGATTCCAACTATTCATGTTTGGGGGTCTTTTTGAATAAATCTATCTTCATTTTTTCTGAGACTGGTAATGGTGGGTTTAAAGTAAGGACTAGATTGATTCTTTGGGAAAATAACGAGGCACGAACACAGAATGGACTCTCTAAAATTGAAAAGCAATTATCACATTTTAATATTAAATGTAACATCTCAGTATTAAATAAACATACAGAAATAATGGATACTTTAAAGACTATACATAGGAGGATTTCGAATCTGGGCAATGAAAATATGGCTACTTCTGCCATAAAAACCATTTTCAATCAACAATCAAGAATTAAGAAGGATAGTTTTTTAAATAAGCCATTCTTTAACTCATTAAGTGCTAAAAGAAAGCATACTTCATCCATGTATAAAACATCAACATCCTCAGTAACGAAAATACATATTCCAAATCATAATACTGAAATTAGTCAAACGCCAACGGCTGTGACTTCAGTTAAGCATGTTCCAGCCTCCTCTTTTTATTCCAATATCTCTTCACCAACAAATCCATATTCTATTGATAATAATAAACTTCAATTGAACGTTAGGCGATCCACGAGAAATTTAGATAATCTTCAGAAGTGCCATCAGGTGCTTGATTTAGATCTGGAAGAATCAAATGTATCATTTGAAGAACCAGAGGAATTTAAACCATGTCTTAAACAGATGTTTAAAGATAATACATGTTATACAGTGACAAATCAAGATTTTAAATGTCTATATAATAATGATTGGATAAATGACAGTATTATTGATTTTTTCATTAAATTTTACGTGGAAAAATCAATTGACAGAAAGGTTGTTAAAAGAGAAGAAGTTTATATTATGTCATCCTTTTTTTATACAAAATTGATAAGTGATCATAATCAATTATATGAAAATGTGAAAAAATGGGTTCAAAATTCAGATTTATTGAATCGCAAATATGTAGTGATCCCATTAAATGTAAGTTATCATTGGTTTGGTTGTATAATTACTAATTTAGATATATATCACGATTTTGTGCTAAAACATAACAGTGTCAAAGGAAACTATTATAATAATAATGCAGTTGGTAATAATAATAATACAAAAACTCCAATTGATTGCAAGTCTATTGAAGATAATAGTCAAAATGGAAATGATTCAGCTAATGTCTCTAACAAAAAAAACATGAATGCAGGTGACACCTCTGATAGAATTACTATGCATTCAAACACAGAAAACTCAAAGGAGTCTAATATGTTAATAAATACGCAAGATGGATCTTTCAAAGACAATGGAGGTCATGATGATATTGCCCTAAGTTGTCCCGTAATTGAAATATTAACATTTGATTCTTTAAGGGGAACACATTCTAGAGAAGTAGACCCCATTAAAGAATTTATCATAGCATATGCAAAGGATAAATATAATATATTGATTGATAAAGATTGCATCAAAATGAAAACATGTTTAGTCCCACAGCAACCAAATATGAGTGATTGTGGTGTTCATGTTATATCAACTATCTCTAAATTTTTTGAGGATCCTATTTCAACTATGGATGTTTGGAGAAATGCAAAGAGTAAAAGTAAACAATCTAATAAAATTGTGAATGATTATTTTGAAAAAAATAAGAGAAATAGAGAAAGGAGAAACCTAAGGACAGTTTTGAAACAACTTTTAGCTGCTCAGATTGAAAGAACAGGTATCAAGTCTGATAACGATACTAAAAGTATGGATGATAATGAAGATGATGAAGATATTGAGATCATAGAAGATATGTCAAAATATACAAATTTACCTGACAAAAACAAGCTTTTAAAAGAAGTGAAAGAAGCAGAGAAGGAATTGCAAGAAGACAAGGAAATTACAAAAGATGAAAAGGCGGATAAAGAAGTTAGTGTATCACCTTGTAAAGATAAACATGTTTCTACTTCAAGAATCAGTGATGGTCTAACTTCTGATCCTCCTTCGAGTCCATCAGAAGAGGTACCTAAACATTTCAAGAATCCATTACACCTTGAATCACAGAAATCCAGTCCATCCAGTACACCAAATTCATCACGCAATATCGACTATACTGGTATAACTATTCCAAAAGAAGCAATAGTTGATACTGATTTCTTAGAAAGTTCTCCAACTAAATATCACAGCAATCATCAAAGGGAGAAAAATATCAGACCTATCCTCAGTCCATTTTTTAACAAAATAAGAAGTTCAGACCGAAATGAAAATGAAACAAACAAGAACGATAAGATATCATTGTTGCAGGAATCGTCCAATACTTACCATACCCAACGTTATAGGTTATTGAGATCGCCGAATAAATACCTTGATGATTCCGTGAATGAGGATACTTCTCATAGTGTTATTGTATCAGATGCCGACGAAGATGTTAAACTAGTAGGTAAAGATAAAGAGTCTTCAACAGTGGTATCGAATGACATACGAAGGATTAACAAGAGAGACACTGCAGAGGTAATTAGTGAAAAGATGGAACAAGAATTGAATGAGAAGGATATATATAATAATTTTGAGGGTAAGGATACGTTAACAAATAATATTATAAAAACTGATGAAAGCGACATACTAAAAACTTTTTCTCCTGTTATCCTTAGAGATGGTATTAAATCGCAACCAGTAAATGAGTTGATTTCTCTGGATGATGATTAGCTATTAAATAAGGCTGATCATTCAATAATTGCATTAATAATACATTTAGCATTATATAGCATATTAAGTCGTTATTAAAATAATATATTGTTTGACATTCATCATACAGCATTTTCTTCAAAATATTTCGGTAGCACTTATGTCATGTCTATAGTTCTATTAGATAATTATATACGTCTAACTTTTGTCAATACACAGAAAATGAGAAATGGCACATTTCTCACTATATAATCGTATATCAATGAAATTGCTTAAAGCTTATTTGCTTAATTCTGTATATCATAATTTTCAAGTGCTCTTCCACTTGCATAAACTTGGTCTTTAACATCTTGTGTTGCCTTACCAAACCATATCTTTAGACTTGTCATCAAGTATCTTAAAATAAATAAAGAGTTGACAATACTAATTATGGTAAAATGTAGCTCAGTAGTATGTGTTATCATAAAATCCTTTGTTTTAAAATTGTGTATTTTTATAAAGGCCATGCAATCATCCAATGTATTGAAAACACCCTGGTTTAAATAGTATTCAGACAATACGCATCCACCCATATTAAGGATAAGGAATCCACCAAGAATTAGTGTAGATTTCAAAGTAGCTTTTAATTTACTTCTCCAAACAATTCTTACTATAGATGAGATAGGCTGATTAGCTAAACGTCCAATGGCAGTTGGCTTTGTATCTAGTATAACGTATGAAATAACGAAAAAACTAACAATTTGAATACCAGAATCAATTACCTTAACTTGATCTAAGGCAAGATGGTTATATTTCCCAGTTGCTAAATAATCATTCAATCTTGATAGCCAATAGCCAATAGAAAAGAAACACATGTACATGACCATACATAAGTATACTATTTCAACAGCTCTAGAGATAAATAGCATAAAACTAGCCGCAATCATTCTTATAATCCAGCTTTGTTGTATAATTTCAAGTGGGTTTCTCTGATTTTCATTTGCTTGTGGTTCTATTGGTTCATCATTAACAGCATGTTGATCATCGTGTGGATCAATGGCATGTTCGTGGAAAAAGAATTTAGATAGTTGATGTTTTTGGTAATAATCTACGCTTAAACATAAAATAATTGCACCCAAACAGACATATTGTAAGTTGGCATGCTTGTAGTTATCAAGTATTATAGTAATAAATGAGCCTAACTCGTTCTTTTTTCTTAAGACCCATAATAAAGGCAATATCACTAGCGTCAATGTATTAAAAGTGTATTGTGAAGCTACCGCAATACCAATAATCAGCAAAGATGCAAACAACCAAGTTAGCACAATTAAAGAGATGTACCTAAATTTGAAATTTGGTGGAACATAGCACACAAAATAGTCGTCAAACTCTGTATTCTGTTGATCTAAGTAAGCAAACTCGCCTGCATTTTTTTGGTTTCTTTCCTTTAATTTCTTCAAATCTAATGGTTTTAATAATTTATCATCTTTCGTTACAGGAACAAACATTGTTTGAACATAGTTTCTGGAAACAATATCAGAAGATGGAACACGCATCAACATACCATCTGGAATGAAATATGCATGGATCATATCATTTTCTTTAAATAATTGTTTAGCACTAGTTTCGGTTTTTGGATTTGAGAATAAATCAGGATTGGACCATTGTGCAGTTTTAGGCGCAAAAAATTTATAGAAATAATTACGATATAAGATATGACCACGTTCCAAAGAATAATCTTTCCCTAAAATAAAAGATGATAGACGAGATTTTCTAGAGATAACTTGGAAGACTTTAATCCAATACTTTCTAACAAGAACGATAACATTTCTGTTGTTTTCAATGATTAATTTAGCTAAATAAAAACATGTTAACATAGTCAACACATTTACAAAATTAACTTCACTAAATGGTTTGTAAGTGTTAAGGAAATTGTTTGCAAACAATAGTGGAAAAATTAATCTAGTATGGATACCAAATCCAGCCAAAATAAAGATTGCATAGATAAACATTGACAGGCAAAGCCTAGAAAGTTGAATTCCCATTGGATGTATTAGACTATCATGCAATATTTTAATATTTGGATCATCTGGTGATCTGATAAAGAATAACACCCCTGGTCTGATAATGTATTGTCTAATCATCCCAATATATTTGGCAAACCAATACATATACAAAGTTCCAATGATCCAATAAACAATGATAGAAGCCTTAGTCCAAAACCAACACATTTTTGGAATCCATAACCAACTTGTTGATGAATCAAGGATCGGCGATATTAATGAAAGATCTAACATAACACCTGCAATAATTGGGAAACCAGCCAATTCTATAAAAAATAAACTGAATACTTTAAAAGTACATCTAATGGCAAATAACAATTGGAAGATTAATCTTCTAGTAGAGTTTGACATACCGTTTCTACGACTGTAACCCTTTGAAACATAGGTTGAGGCAGTACAGATCATAGCAATAGCAGTTAAATAAGTTGTTAGAGCAGGTACACTTCTAACAAACAAAGACGTTGGCAGAGTATTATGCACATAACCGTGATAATATTTCACAACAAAATGAGCTAAATTTTCATTGAACCAGGCGGCTATATTGTTGAAGTATGGACTTTTACTGAACAATAAGCTAAAAACACTATCACAATTTGTTAAATGAAATAAACTGATTAAACCACGAATAAATATACTAATGACACTTGAGTATAAATAAATTAGCATATAACCAAGCAAAGAGGGAATATAATATGAAATCAAAATATAGATGCTAATAATTGCAACTGCTGCCATAGTATAAACAAGAACCATGGTTGGTTTTAAATTAATATTAATCAAAAATGGTGCTACTTGTTCAATATTATTTTGGTTGCCCTGTAATTCATTAATAATTTCTTGTGCATCGATGTTTTCGTTTGCATTCCTTGGTTGTTGAAGTGGTTGTGGAGGACGTACAGGACGGACTAAAGGTTCAGCAAATACATTGTTATTATGGTTTTCCTCAGCAACTTCAGCAACATTTCTTAATGCCTGATTTCTCTCTTCTTGTAAATGATCAATTTCATTTGGATCGATATTATGATCGCCTTCAGAATCCACAGTATCAACATCTGAATCGGTAGTATGATCATCACCTATTACATAATCTGGATCATTAACTTCAGTGTCATGACCACCTTCTTCTTGTTCATTATTTTCTTCATTTTCTTGTTGTTGTTGACCAGTTGGAAGCTCATTTGTGTGTTCGGTGATAGGTTCGATCTCTTCTTCAGGTATATCAAATTGTCTGTTATAGGCCCTTTCTTCTTCGTCTAGTCTAGCTTCATGTTCACGTCTTTCACGATCTCTCATCATGGTTGCTACTTGGTCTAGCATTTCATCTTCCATAGCAGGGAAGGTCGCTTTTAAACGATTTTTCATTTCCTCCACAGAAAAATTGGGGCCAATCTTATGGAAGACCATTTTACTAAACACTTCTTCTCTGACGATCATATCATATTGGAAATACAAAGCTAAATGTAGAATAATAATCAATGCAATTTGTATAGATGAAAATTTAGTGTTTTCCAAAAGAGTTAAAATAATTGAATAAAAAGAATAGTCAAAACTTTCATTATTAAAAAAATATTTTTCTCTATAACCTAATAAAACACTTTTCCAAAATTGACCATGAAATGGTAGTTGTCCATCTAACATGAAAGTGTAACACTTACCAAAAAAATTCCATACTAATGGTATACCAAAGAAAAATAAATTCAACGATATAGCGATTAATAAAGTAGAATAAATTTTAGCGACACAATTTAATAAGGAGTTTTTTACAATTTCAGATATCGGGATATGATCAGGCATGTTATCAGAATACTTGGTTTTGAATTTGAATGGATAATGGCAGATATCACATTTTATGATACTCCCAGGTTTATTTACATCAAGATTTCTAGCTGAAATCCATTCTAATAGACAAGGTTCATGCAAATATTTGATGGAACCTTTACATTCACATGGATGAAACAAAGGATTATCAGGAGTAGCTTCACCTCTACAGATACGACATGTGGCATTTGAAGGAATTACATTTGTTGAAGCTTCCTTTGGTGCAGAGGTACTATCATTATTTGGATTAAATATATCTTCATTAATACTATTAGCACTCATTCCCTTTTCTTTTTTCTTTCTTTTCTTTTTGCTATCTTTTATATGTATATATATCTATATTAAATGTAAAATTAAGAAATGGTTGGTGTTCAAAATATTGGTGATAGTTAATAATACCACTTGTTAAAAGTAGAAGAAGATATCGTGATACTGAGGAGAGGAACAAAAAGATATTATATGTTTTTGTTATTCTTTTTTGTATTTCCCTTTTATGTGTGCTGTAATTAGTCGATAAAACCTACTGTATATGTTTGCTTAAATAGATGTTTACTTTAGATTGACTTATGTTGATATGTCGAAACAAGAGTAAAATATATATATATATATATATAAAGACATGTGTTTACGCATGTGTGTATATATGAAAGGAATATTGTAACTTTAAGTAGTTGTTTTCCTCCATTTGTTTGTTTATTTGGTCTTTCTAAAATAAAATTCTTTAAACTCATCGCTCAATTTTCTGTCGTTTGCAGTGATTTTGTAAAACTCAAAAAAATTTTATAACCCAGATATTTTTTGTGTTAGGGTTTTCGGTATTTGTTTGGCAAAACAACGGAAGTCCTTGTTTTTATAAATTCTGCTTTTTTAGGTTGTTTTGTTTTTTCTTTTATTTGTTCGGAAAATTTCACAAAAGAAACCCTAAGGGTTTAAAATACGAGAAAAATAAACACAAAGCATGTGATTCCAAAGGATGGATTTAGTGAGACAAGCTGCATATATAGAAAAGAAGAATAGCAACCTGTATAGATCAGGAATACCCAAGAAAAACTGAGGATGCACTAAGCAGGTTTCTTTTTCTCGTTAGTTCGTATTATAGAACAGAGTGGGTAACACTATTGAATTAGGAAGAATCATTCTCCAGATTATTAGAGAATTATTCAACATGTTATTCAGATTTGATGGAATTTGAAGCTCTTAAGAATTTATTATTGAGAAAAGAGAAGAAAACAAAATCTAAGATTGGTTGGTTGGTTGATTACTTATTTATATTTATATAGATTATATCCTTTGTTTATTGTAGTATTCCAAATATTTATATCGTTCAACGTTAGAAAATAAAAAATAAAAAAAAAATCTTTCACTGTCTTTATTATTATAGAAGAAGGCGATATTATTTCTATTGGTTTCCAGTTGGTTTTTTTGCTATCTAATTTCTATGAACTTTCATATTAAGTGTATAGTATCAGAGACTACTGATTCTTCTTTTTTCGATAGTGCAACTTTCTTTGGATTGAAAATAAATTTGGCACATGTATTCACCATTTTTTTTTAAAATTAATAATAGGAAAATCTGCAAAAAATAAAACAATACCGTATTTATATGCATTAGAAATTGGAGAAACAATAATTATCTTCTATCATTAAATACGAATTTTCAAGTTGACAAAAAATCATCGCAGTGTTGTTTTTTTTTTTTCAGAAGGATTATCTGTCTTTTTATATATTCATTGATTAGTTGGTCAATTGACATTTAGTTGTAACTACTCTGTCCTTCTTTTTTTTTTTTTCATTCGTAGACAATACCATAATAGCAGATAATTTAGTTATATCACTTAATAAACAAGTCACCTCATACACTGGTAAAAAAAAAGATTTTAATGTCATTTCTTATAAAAATTCTTTATATTGTGTCAATATTACAAGTACTACATTCCGGGTTTTCAAGTTATGAATTTCATCAGCTAGTGAAAAATACAAATTATAAAGATCATTATTCATTGCCCAAAGATATCCAATTAGAGTGTTGTATTGGACTTGCTTTATTTATATTAACTTCTTTTCTATCCTTTACCAAATTACAGTATTATCCTATCAAACCCTCGATCAATAATAAATTGAGGTTACTGACTACAGACCAATATTTGAAAGATATATCATTAAGTAGAGCTAATAATGTTCATAATTTAATTGGTAACGATCCAAATGGTGAAGTTACTTTTACACCAAATTTTGTAGATTTACAAAGAAAGAGAAAGGAAATATCAGATTGGTTAGCAGACAATTCTAAAGAATAAATATATTTCAAATAATTTATAATATGTCAGAAAGCAGGTTTTTACCCGTTTTTGAATGAATAAATGGCTAGATTTTTTTTAAACGCACTGTATTATTATAAAAGAATAAAAAATATTAAATACCCTAATAAACCTAGTATTATTGAATTTATTTTTTGTTTATTACTTGCCTTTTACACAGTAATCTCCTTCTTTCTGCAAATTTATAGTATAAATATGCAATTCTATAGAAATTATTACATTTGATGTTATGTATACTATTCGACAATTTAGACATACTAAATAGTTTGAGACATTTCTCTGAAATATGTTACAGTTTGTGGCATATTATCCATCTATATCGAAGACAGTTGGTCATTATAAGAGATTAAGGGTTAGCAAGTATGACACACCTGCTAAATATTTTATTGTATTTGTATTTTTAAGTTTTGTCAAAATGGTCTTTACAAAAAGTGGTGAAGGTTGGTATAGTAGTCACTAGTTATTAACAGTGCTATACCTTCAGAAGTTATTATGGCAAATCAAGATTATTCTTCTTACTCTTTTTTTAAGTGTGTTAAATGCTAGAACTACAATTCTGACTTTAATTTTAGCAACCTATATTACCAACACTGACAGAACTGGTTTTTAACATTACGGTAACTTTTGATAATAATAATAATTCAAGATACGAAAGCATAATTGCAATATCTTCTTAAGGCTCAAAAGTTTTGTAAACGGGCATAGCAACTACTGATTGATAATATGATTCTCAAATCCTTACTTTTAGAGTTGGTAATTTAAATACTCTTCTCACACAACTCAAAGTAAATCAGCTGTTTCTGTTACAGCGTTATTTATTGATAGCTATTAACTCCATACGATGCTTTATCCACATTATTACTACAATCCATCCATTAGTTCTTCCCAGTCATCTAGTGATATTTTTCAAACAGCAAGCGTTACTATTCTTTTCTCAAATGGAGATAAAGGTAATTTGTAAAACTCAAGATTGACAGTATTGCATTTAATATGCAATTTTCTTTTTCTGTTCTTATGAAATCAACTTGCTATTGGTTTTTTTTACATGGATAAGTGATGTTAATTCTTTTTGTTCTTTTTTTTCTTTTATAAAGGATTTATAATTTAAATAACAATTGTTCATATTTGTTTTATAAGTTGATCGGTAGTAGGTAACTAGATGTTATATAATTGAATACATACCTTATATTTTGTGTTAACCATTAATAGCATACATACTCAAATACTTCTGAAAAGTTTAATTTTTTTAAAAAATTATTTGATTAGTTTATGTATATCTTGATACTTGTTGGATTTCTGCTATAGCATGCTAAATTAATGGCTTGGTATAAGTGACAAAAAAAAGTTAATAAAGTAAAAGGCCGATACTTGTTTATGTAGGATTAAAAAAAATAAAATAGTCTTAATAAAATCTCTTTGACAAATCAAGTAAACAGATAGTAAGTGATATGAATATACAATAAATCACTGTTGAGTGATAAATAAAAGGTATATACAGCTCAAGTTTTTGGACCTTACATTTAATTCATCTTAAGATAATGTAATAAAGACTAGCACTTATGTTATTATTTACAGTGAATATTCCTAGCATAATAGAATTACTATTATGTATTTCTTCTGAATAAAAATATCTTGTGTACATTGGATTCTTCATGTTTTAAGTCACAATGTTGTGAATCATATTAAATATCTTCAATGATATTTATTAATAAAATTGTTGTTGTAATATACAATAAACATAAGAGTTTTCCTCTTGTTTTTTTATAATATAAATATGTATAGGTTTAGAGTCACTCATTTGTATATCCTTTATTTTTAACGAATATTCCATAATAATTTATCCTTTTATCTTTTATAATTGTATGGTTGTGTAAAACAGTTTTTTTACTATAGATTATGCATTGTATATTTTGGTTTAGAGGAACTTTTTTCATAGAAAAACATCGAATCAATCTTTATTTTTGTTGTTTATACTTTGTGGGAATAATGATTCACAGAACACATATATACTATCCTATATATTTTAGTTTAAATATATTCACCAGTCTTGTTTCAAATTGGGAGTGAATATCATCTTAAGCTCCCTACATTTTTATTTCATGACACAATTGGCCTTTTTTTTTTGAAATTATTGACTACCAGTTAATTGAATTCAAAAAATTTTTACTTTTTATACGAATATCTCTTAACCTGATATTAAAAAAAAAAAAAAACAAAAATACAAAATAATCATTAAATTGATGCCGTTCATAGAAGAGATGTGGTGGATATGAAAATATATAAAACCAACAATTCTCAATATAATATTTCTTCCTTTGTATACTTTCTATATATTATCATCTCTATATGATACATACAGAAGAAGATCGAAGAACTTTAATATAATTTTTATAATATAATATTGAGAATGTTCCTTACTTACCCAGTAACTATACGTGCTAATTCCTGACAATTGGTATTTTGCATACTTTACAAACCTTTTATTAACTTATTCTCTCTTTATATGATATATATATAAATACAACTAATAAATATATACTGAAATCTAAAGATTTACAGAAGCAAAGTAACTTACTATTAAACAAGATTTTGTGGTATAATGATTTTATATAATCACCAAAACTCTTGAACATTAATTCTATTACATAAGATTCGCTCCCAAAGATCTATAATTTATTGTTACCCTGCCAATTATTTTATTCTAAACTCTCTTATGAATAATAACTCCAGCATACAAATTCTTGATTCATTGGATTAACACACACACATATACATATATATATAAAGAAAGAAAATTAGAAAGAAAGAAGAAAAAAGATGAAAATAATAAAAAAAAAAATTAAAAATGAATCTAACGTGTAGGATCATTTAACTTTAAAACTTCTACAACAGGTCCTAACAACCTTTGGAATCCAGATTTGCCTAAAGTAGCTACTTTAGTCCTTTTTGTTGTTTTGATAGTAGCTTGACGTGGAACATCTTTTAATAAGGCTAATTCACCAAAGTAATCACCCTTACCTAATGTAGCTATGACACCTTTACCCTCTTTAATCACTTGAACTTCACCATATTCAATCAAATAGAAATTTTCACCTCTATCACCTTCACGAATAATAATTTCATTTGAATTGAAATATTGAGTATCTAATGCATCAGCTAATTTACTACGTTCATAAGTAGTCAGTTTTTGTAAAACTGGGATAGATTTCAATAGATCATCATATAATACTCTCTTTTTAAAAGAAGAACCCAATAAGATTTTTCTAAACGTTAATCTATCTAAAGTCCAAAGTATACAATCTGTAGTGGCCACGACTGTAGCAGCTCTTGGATTATTATACATTAAAGCCAATTCACCAAAACTAGATCCTGGGCCTGATGTGCTAACTCTAACATCGTTAACGTAGAATTCAACGTTACCATCCTCTACAATGTAGAAATAATCACCCTCATCACCTTGTTTAATTATGATATCGTTTGCCTCAACGTGCTTCTCTTCAAGACAATTAATGACTAATTTCTTGGAATCTGGATCCAATCTATTAAATAAGAAATTCTTACCAATTGATTTTTCCAATCTTTTCAATTGAGCCTCCGTCTTTTCTTTATAATTTTCTGGAGTCCAGTTATCAAAGTGAGATGGTTGTAGAGTTTCACCACTAACAGAAGTACGTCTTTCTGCATTGAATCTAGATGGAATTGGATGAAAAACTTCTTGTTGTTGTTGTTGCTGCTGCTTTGAGTTGTTATCATTAGAAGAAATATCGGAAGATGAGTTTGGTGGTGGGGTAGACTTACGTTTTGTTGTAGGATCAGATGGATCCAAAGGAGAATTGATTCTCTTTCTAGAAGCCTCTTGTCCTATATTAAACCCACCCTTAAAAATATTATTATTAAAAGTGGATGGATTAGAGGAATTCTGTGTAATGGAAATTGGAGAACCAGATGTGATAGGAGAAGAAGAGGAAGGTGCAGGAACAGGTGCCTTTATTGAAACTTGTGAATTATTTGTACTTATACTTATATTACTAATTGGATCTTCATCAGTAGCGAAAGATGGCTTAAAGAGTAAATTCTCATTATCAGGGGTTTTAGCTAATGGGTCCTCACTTTCGCTTCTACTATTATTCTTGCTAGCTGCTGCTACTGTTGTTGTTTTGGATAATGAAAGTTTTGAGCTAGAACCAAAATTTGGATTAGAAAAGGTGATAGAAGTTCTTGATTGAGAACGAGAATTGATCATTTGCGGAGAGGTTAAAGATATAGAATCATGCTGTGACATAGGAGGGAATAAGACAATACCTTTCGATAAACTCAACTCTTCTTGCTTTTTAATAAATTTTCTTTGCACCTCTAATCTTTGATTGAAATAATTAGCACCAAATTGTAAAAAATCAGATGGATTCCTTAATTCAACTTCCTTTTTGAATTGATCCAATTCAAATTGTTGTTCTTCACTTAAAGGCATCTCAAACGGTTTTTGTTTTTCTTTCAAAAAAGGAGAAGTAAAATAATATGTTGATAATAATATTATATGTGTTGTTTTATTTATTTATGCAACTGTCTGTTTATTGGTTGATATTTGTTCGAGTGTGTGTGTATTTATGAGGAAAACAGACAAGCCAAAAAGTGCTAAAAGGGATAAAACTACCAGTAAATTTTCAAATCGATAGTATCACTTGCCATAAACCTCTACGAGGACAAAGAAAGTGATATATTAAGTAAGGGCTCTGAATCGTAGCTGAACAGAGGTTTACGTTTTACAAGATCCCTTGAATATTTTTGTCTCTGGCTTATCCTTGCAATTAATTGCACTCCCTGAGTTTCTTTCTGGCTGTCTGCAAAATTTCCTTGTTTTTTTCTTTGTTTCTTCCTCTTTCCTCTTTTTTTTCTTTTTTTGTTCCTGAGCAAGAAACACCATTTAGGGTTGGTAAAACTCCAAACCCAATTTTCTTTTAAATTTAAACAGATATATTAGGGCTAACTAATATTTTACTCTCTCTTTTCCTTAGTCATTTTTATTGACGAAAAATTATTTCAATAGACTGATCTTTATTTTATTTAACTAAATAAACCATTTACTCTTCCAAAGAACATTAAAAACCATATTCAGGGATTTATGGTTTTTGTTTAACTTTTAAACTCAACTGGTGCCAGATTTGGCCATATACTGGGTTCAATATATTCAAGTATATTCACATAGTTATACATTGTTCATTTGCTCTTTGATGGATAGTTTTAAGGAAGCATGAAATTATATATTAATTGGATACTCATATCAATATTCCTATTCTTTGGTAATGTTAATACTCACGAATTAAATCATGAAACCACTTTTTCTAATTCTTATTCCAATTCTCACTCTCACTCTCATGCCTACTCCCACTCCCACTCTCATACTCATTCCAATTTTCAAATAAATAGTATAATTTCAAACTATTTACCTAATTTCATCACTATATGGTCATTATCGTTACAGAATTATTTAAAACAGTCGATATTTATATGGTCAAATAGATACAACTCAATGTTAGCTACACTAATCATTCAATTGTTGCCATTTTCTACCATTCTACTATTAATTAAATTGAAATTTAATCTAAACTCATCACTTATCAGAATCTTATTAATTCCCTTTGCATTTGGTACTTTGCTAAGTGATATTTTATTACATCTATTACCAGAATGTAATGCCTATAACTTATCATCATCCTCCACATCCATTACTACCATAAATAATAACAATAATAGTGGCATTGGAATCTTTTTCGGTATTTTATTGTTTGTCACTATAGATCAAGTTGTTAGAATTTTTTCGACAACGGACACCAATTTGAACGACAAGAATATCGAGAATTCTAACCACAACAATAATAATTATGGCAGTCACTCACATTCCCACATTCTTTTAACTTCTGAAAAGGACAATAATTCAAATTACAGACAGCTAAATGCTTCAATAATATTGAACATTATTTTTGGATTACTACATAACATTACTGATGGTATGGCTGTATCGTCTTCTTTCTATTCTTCAAAAGAGGTTGGCATTATCACGGTTATCACAATGTTATTTCATGAACTACCACATCAATTAAGTGATTTTGTAATATTATTATCCAATGGAATCTCAATCAAATCCTGTCTTATAACCCATTTTTTCACCATCTTAAGTTCTCTTATAGGTACAGTCTTTGGTTGCTATCTAAATGAAATAGGTTCATCCTCCTCCTCCTCCTCCTCTTCTTCTTCTTCTTCGTTTCTCACTTCCACATCTTTATTATTACCGATGATTACAGGTGGATTAATATATATCTCAATGGTATCTATTTTACCTGAATTTATTACTAAGAGTCAAAAAGATAAACAAGATTCTAAAACGAAAAGATTATTCAAAGTTGTTTTACAAATCAGTTCCATTATTATTGGTTTTATTACTATTGCTATAATGTAGTAAATAAATTAATAAATAATTTTTTGATAAAATATAGCATATTCAGATTCTCATAGTTTTTAAAAACAAAAAAAAAAAAAAAAAGAAAAAAACATTTATTATAACTACAATAATGCAGACACATATATCAATTGATGTAGTGGGATTGAATTGATATTAGTACGGTGCAAATTTCAACAGTTTTCCTTCATCATTAAAGCTAGCATCATAAAAGTTACGTTTTGTATATAATCATATGTATAGTTATTAATATTATTATTACTTTTTTTTTTTTTATATTTATTTTTTTATTTTTATTTTTTCTTTTTTTTTTTTAGTTACCCCCCCCTCGCTCCTCTTTGTCTTTGATTCACATATTTATCCACTTGAATTATAGACAAATAAATTGTTGTATACAGAAAAGCTATGCATACTTATGTTCGTGTGTTACCTATTACTAAAGTACTAATATTACTTCCAATGATATATATATATACATCCCGAGTTGAACAAAAATAGAATTTCCTTTCTTCCCCTCCCCCCTTCATAGCATATAGTTAATAAAAATATTATTAAAAAAATGAGTTTAGATGAAAAATATGATGCTGCATTAGACCTTTTACGTCGTTTAGACCCAACGAAAGTCAAGACCAATTTAACCAATTTAATAAATTTGGAGCCTGAGTTAGCCGAAGATTTATTATCATCTGTAGATAGTCAGTTAATTGTAAAGAGAGACCCAGATAGTTCAAGTAAAGAATATTTGTGCTGTGATTATAATCGTGATATTGACTCCTATAGGTCCCCATGGTCAAACAAATATTTCCCTGAATTAAATGAGGATGATTCACAAGAATCCCCCTTTCCTAACAGTCAACTAAGAAAACTGGAAGTTATGTGCAACGATTCGTTTGAGATCTATAAAGATCTATACTACGAAGGTGGGATATCAAGTGTTTATTTATGGAATTTGGAAGATGAGGACTCAGAGAGAGGCGATTCTGAGACAGATTTTGCTGGTGTTATTCTTTTCAAGAAGGGCAACATCGGTGATTGGGACAGTATCCATGTATTAGAAGTGACACGCTCCCCTGATAATAGCGGTATCGAGGGATCAGAATACAATTACAAAGTAACGACCACCATTATACTTCATTTAGAGGATAAAACCAATATCGATATAAAATTGGCAGGCAATTTAACAAAACAAACTGAAAAAAACTTCATGGTAAATGATTTAACCGATAATTTAGAATCTATTCATATTGCACATTTAACTAACATTGGTACTATGATCGAAGATATTGAATCACAGATGAGAAATTCTTTAGAGACTGTGTATTTCGAGAAAACAAGAGATATTTTCCAACAAACAAGAAACCCAAATTTAACTAATCTGGAATATAATAAAGAACAACATGAACAACTAATTAAAGGTTTACAAAATTTTTGATATCGCTAAGTCTAAATATGTTCATTTACATAATTTTTCTACATATAGATCTAAATCTATGAATATATAAATATATGAATATCATATTTTGCAAATTTTTGTATGAATCAACCAACTCAAATAAAGTTGCACGCTGCTTACGTAATCAGCAGAAACAAATTATCGCTACATACGGAAACACTGAATTCCACCAATTCCGGGATTTGTATGCCTCTTTTAACCCGCCAGATTCTGAATTTTTGCGGAAAGCACAGTACGGAATTTTACAATTCGTATTCCGAAGTCTTTAAACTCCGAAAAACACACAAGAAAAAAAACACTGTTTTGCATTTGTAGGAATCTTTTTTTTTTTTTTTTTTTTATTTTTTTTATTTTTTTTATTTTTCTTTTTGCGAAAGACTATTTCCAGTTTCCAGTTCACCTTCCTTTCCCTTTTTACTAGTTTCTTTGTAAAGGAGATACCAGAAAACGTTAATCAGCAAGGTGTATATCAGTCAACTATTTCGTGGAGAATCACATAAGCACATGTATTTGTCTTAGCAAATATACTGCAACAATTAACCTAAACGGATTCAATAACACCGTAATTCGTTTTCATTCAATACTAACGCTTTCGTAACTCTTTCTTCCTACCCTGTATTCCCAACCCAAATACTGACTGAATTGATAAACTCACAGATTTATACATTCTTTTACTTTTCTTTATCAGCTAATTACTATTATCATTCATTTTCATCCTAATCCCTCTTTTTGTTTTTTTCGCTTTTCTTCTCAAAACAAAAAGAAATTATATGTATATTACGGTTTTTTATCTATATTCTTTCTTTTACATCCTTTGACCATGATCAATCCTGAAGAAAACAATTTTTTATCTGTAGAATCAAATATAATTACACCCAATAATGACTCTTCAAATGTGCAAGAGTCAAATAGTACTGGACAACAACAACAAAATATTACTGATCTTATCAATAATAACGCTTCAATAGATGATATCCTCTCTAATAGAAGTCCTGGTTTGAATAATAACAAGGATCGCATAAGTAATAATACTCAGCAGCATGAGAACAACGGTTCTGTCACCACTAGTATTAATAATCAGAATACAAACTTTGTTACCGATATTAACACCCCTCTATCAAAGGCACAAGATTCAATAACCAATCTATCAGAAACAGTATTAAATAATAATACTAATATTACTACTACTCATAATATAAATGACCAGCCTAATATACAGACAACCAAACTAGAGTCTGATAATCGATCGATTGAATTATACATCTTGAATGAATTGAATAATAATAACCAAAAACAGAATATTAACAATCAGGGTAATAATGATAATAATAATAATGAAACATCTAATGCCAAAAATGATAATAAATTCACGTCTCAATTCACTACAGCAACAGAAGATTTTCCTCCCTTTATTGACGCAATTAGTTCAACCATAAATAATAATAGATCCTTGCCTACTAATATCAATAAAAAATTGACTGATGAAGAAAGGCCTGTTAGAATATCACAAAATGCCACAAAGCAAATGCCACAACGACAACAAGAAACAAGCACTGATATTAATCCAACATCTTTACAGACATCTGAAGTTATAGTAGATGATCTACCCTTTATCAATGGCCTTGATACTTCGCTTGATCAACCTAACTTACAGTCCACAGTATATACCAATAATAATAAAAACCAGAATGATGACGGTGCTGATAAAAATAATGATACTAGTAATAATAATACAAATAATCAAAATAACGATATAAATGCAACTACAAATACAAATAATGATGATGATCCCTATGTAAATGAACAACCTTATTACGTAAATGCAAAACAATATTATAGAATATTGAAAAGACGTTATGCCAGAGCTAAATTGGAGGAAAGATTGCGTATTTCAAGAGAAAGAAAACCATATTTACATGAGTCAAGACATAAGCATGCCATGAGAAGGCCTAGAGGTCAAGGTGGCAGATTCTTGACTGCTGCTGAAATCAAGGCTCTAAAGGAAAAAGAAGCTAAAGAAAAAGAATCACAACAAAAAGAAAGTGACGGAACAAGATCAGTAGATAAAGATAATAACACTGGTGACACTAGCTGCAATAATAACAGCAATAATAATTGTCATGATGACAATACTGGTAAACAAAATAATACAGAATCAAGAATTGGCAATATCAGTACTTCTGATAGTATAAAACTAAAAAGTCAATTAACGGTAAATAAGATAGGTAATAATACCACAGACTTTCCTGTAAATAAATAACTAACTTTAAAGGTCAAATTAAACAAAAAAATCGTTAAAAAACATTTTGGATTTTTGACTCGTTGGTATCAACCTAGTTATATATAAATTATATACTTTTAACATGATAAATTTCATTTAACCAACAACATTATTTTGAAATATTATTTCAAATAAAAATATTTATATATCTTTTCAACATCTTGTGTAAAAGACACTTTTTTCTACTTCCCGTATGTCCTACATTTATGAGTTCCTTTATTAATATCTAACAATCAAGCATGTTGAAATAGATATGCATATAATATTCATGCATAAATAAAGATGTGAAAAATGCTCAATCTGAACTACAAATTTTCATTTTAGATTTATCAATATCATTATTATTTAATAGTAAATCAATATAAATGTATTTAACTTTCATACATACTTATTTATATAATTTTTTTAACTACTCATAATTTGATTTAATGCACTCTGGGATTCAGTACTTAACTGGGAGATAATTGTATTTGTATCAATATTAGAATTGTTTGAATTGAAAAACTTCTTTATATTATTAGCAATATAATTCTTAAAACCTTGAGTCAAATCTATTTCAGGTATTGGATCACGAGGCTTTTCACTAACTGATGCCAACTTACTGAATGAAGAACCAAATGTGGAAATTTCTTCCATATTATCTAAATCAATATATTCTGTATTTAAATGACCAAGGTTATCACTGATAATATTTTTAATTATAATATCCAATGTTGGAACTAATAAATTAGCACCGTATTTATTTATAAAAATTGGACTTTCACAAATCAACTTACAAATACCAACAATTGTAATTTTACGATCTAATAAATTAGCCACTGTTGGAATAGTAGGTATGACAAAAGTAGTCCAAATTTGTTGGAAAACACTATCTTGAACTTCATCAATAAATTGAATCATAAAATCACCACCATACTTAAGAGTTAGTAAGTTTAAAAATACTATCAACCTCTTCACATATCGTTCTGTCTTTGACGTCTTTAATCTTTGTAATAGAAGTGTTGCAATTTGTTTCATATATGGTCTTAACTTATCCAAATCAATAGTCAACATAATATCTTCTAATAACTCAAACCCATACACCTCGTATGCCTTAGAAGCAATTAATCTTTGAAAAACACCAAGAACCGGAATCAAATCAGAAAATACAGATATGTCTGTTTTAACAAAAGCCCTTAACATTCTAGTTACTGCAGGAACATTACCCTTTAACTCCCAAACTGATGGTGCTAAAAGTGGTTGAGCCAATTGTTTAATAGAATCTGGAATACTAGATCCTTTTTCTACACAAAAGGCCAAAATTTGGAAAATATATGGAATGAATTCTTGGATATCTTCTGACAAGATGCGTAAGAAACTTGGCATAATTAAATCAATCAAATTAGGTAGAATATCCGACGTTGCATAATTCAAAATTACACCAATTGATTCAAAAATGTAATGAGAAAACCTTGGATTTGATGGATTCTTAGAAACAATTGTCACAATAGAAATTAATTGATTCATTAATTCAGGATAAATTGATATGATTGAACTTTCTGCTGTTTGTAAAACTCTAAAACTTGCTTTCATCAAAAATTCATTTTCCGCTAATTTTTCTGGAGTAGAACCTTGTTTCATAATTAAACCAAATAAATTTTTTAATAACACTTCAGCACTACCTGCTACATCTTCCTTAGTAAAAATGAGTTTTGAAGAAGTTAAAGATTCTCTTATAGTTAAAATCCTTTCAATGGTAACAGCAGCATACGTGTATAAAATATATTCATTTGATTGCAAAAATCCAGCTAAAAATGGCATTAACTCAATTAACTGATTTTTATTTAACTGATTTCTGAAAATATAGATGAATTTAATGGCATCAATCCTTAAAATAAGATGTGGAATTGAGGAACTAGTCAAATCTGGTAATATTTGGTTTTTGAAAAAATCAAGCACATCTAATAGTGGATTAGTAGATGAAACACCATTATTAGACAGTGAACCATTGATAGCTAATGTAGTAAACAAATAAACATATAAATCTTTAAATTTCCAAAACTCAACTGGGTTGGACTGGTATTTTTCGAAGAAATACTTCATATGATTTAAAAAAATCTTTGTCACTAAGGTACAATTGTTTTCTTTTAATTCTTTTAAGAAATCGGTACATGCTTTTCTTCTTGTGTCATCGTCTGAACCTTCCAAGTCTCTACGAATATATTCGATTGGGTCATCTTCAAATAATTCAATATCTGCCTCACGTAAAGTAACATTTGGTAAAATAATTTGCTCAGTGACCCTATTCATTGCATCCTCTGTGTTAAAGATAGTAAAGTGTCTTGGATTACGACTTACGGCAGTCAAAAATGCTAAAGATTTCGAGACCAAAATATCATATTTAGGTTCCTCTGAGGCGGAGGTCAACAATTGCCAGGTAATTTCGATAAAACTATCAATCATTGGACCAAAAACGTCTTCGTATCTAGTTGTGTACAGTTGGACCACTTCTTGAATCGATGATTTTATTTTAATTAAGGTAGTGACGTGATCTGGATCTTCTGGATCTTCTAATAATCGATTATTGTAAGACAAATATTTATGTAAAATTCCCATGCCCTCTGTGATGTTATCTTCAAAGAATTCTGGAATATCTTGACAATTAAAATCATAGTACAGTTTGGTTAAAAGTAACAAAACATCCATCAATTTATCTAATTGAGAGACATTATTAACATTAGCGTCAATTTGTTCATCGACTAATTTTAACAAATTTAAAAATGGAACAGTAAACACATCAAGAACCATTTTAATTTCTAAAAATAATTCATCTGACCTAAACAAAGGTCTCCATCTTTTGAATATAGAATGAGCCACAGTTAATACACCTTTATTTAATACCATATCATCTGGAGATAGTTTACCTGATAAATCTTGTAAAAGATCAGGCCAACGTTGGGGGAAGTCAGAATCTGCAATCAAGGAGATTGCTTCACCAATTTGGACCTGTAAATTATTTGGCAAAGAGATCATTAACGGTATAATTTCTTTCTTAATCAATTCTACCTGATCATTGGACAATAAATGGTTTCCATTTTCATCGACCCATTTTCTTCTAATAAAATTTTTAAAAAATAAAGCACCTGCCAATCTGGTTGAAATAGCAAGATTAGAGGATGCCACTACATGTAACAAGGTTAAACCAAAGCCGTTTTGATTCTCTAATTCTTTTAAGCTCCTCTCTGATGTTTTAGCTGTTGAAGCAATCACAGATTCGGATAATAGTCTTGCCACGGTCTCTATATCAGACATTATAACACCCAACACTTTTGGATTCTATAAATTTAATTATATTTTCCAATTGACAACAATGATCCAATGTAATCGCTAATTCGAAACTTGTATCTTATTCAAATAATACAAATCTTGTTAAACATATTAATTCTTCTCTTCAAAATTGAAATAAAATTTTTCACTTTTTCTTTTTCTCTTCTTTAAATTTCTTTAATGGAAGACAAAAAAAATATCAAAATATATGTATATATATGTGCATAATTCAATTGACCATGAATAAATAGTTAAAGGGAATGAAAGAAGGATATGAATATATATATAAAAAAGGTCACTAAAATGATGCTATCCTTTATTTAGTACGTGTTTAATAGGTGCCAAAATACTTAGCTTTTAAAATACTGCTGGGGAGAATTAAGGGTTGAAGCAAATACTAAAAAGTTGGAATACTGGCTAACTATGAATAAATTTGAGTAATGGAGATGTACACATGCAAGTATATACGTTAAATAGCAATGATTGTTTGTCAAAATACTTTCATACCTATGGATGCTATTATCTGATTGTAAAATATTCATCATTGAACTTACTTTTAGGATCTATACTTGCCAAGACACGATCTGTATCCTTTACTGCAGAACTCATGTTATTTGAGATCATTGATAATGCTCTATTGTTCTGATCTCTCGTGTATATTCTAACACCTCTCAGATGTGTGTCTTTCCCATTATCATGATTTACAGGGAATACCAATCTTAATATATGACACCTAATGGGAATGTTTTGTTCTCCCTCACTATCCTCCAGGCTTGGGAACTTCTTTACATACCACTGAGTTATCTTACCTATATACCATTCTTCATAATATATTAGATCAGATATACTATCTCCAACATATAGCTTAACCACTTTCGGACTATAAGATTCATCGATTTCAAACCCAAAAAAGATGGCTAACAGTGCCAGTTCTATCCTTTTGCTAAAATAGATATCTACAATATATGGTTGACTACCGTCACTTTGCCAATAAGATTCTGGATAATCATTTATAACATTTTCAATTGGATTCGAAGTCTTGAACGAAGATGCCTTCCAATATGCAAGATTACTAACATTGGTCAAATCTTCCATTAGAGACAATTGACGAATACCCCTTAGATATCTACGATGTAACCTCGTCTTGGCTTTAGACAATTTCTGATCTATGTCCATTGAATCATCACTGCCTTCCTGTTCCCTGCTGTCGTCACTGTCGATTCCAACACTGATAAATGTATTATTGGAATGATTTTCTCTAGCCTTTTCATCATTTAACTCCACAATATTCTTGAAAGGTTGCCTGTTACTGCCACTGATTGGAACTAATAAATCTGTAGGAGTCAACGAATCTAGCACAGCATCTACTTCACTGTAATTCATTTCAATCTCAGTAAAAAAACCAAAAAAAAAAAAAAAAAAGAAAGAAAGAAACCACTATCTTTCTCGTGTAACAAATGGATTCCTGTCTATCAGTTCCCATAGTCTATCATTAAGTAGTTATGAAGTACAGTTTCTTTAATCGACTGTCTCGGATTTCATCATCTCTTAATATTTGGTTCCATTTCCTTTTTCTTTTTTCTTTTTTTTTTTTGTGGACAAAACGAACAAAAAACAATAAAACACAAAATCCGTCATGCGAAATTAAAATTCTCCAGAGTAGGATTGCACGTGACTGTTTTGATCCAGACGAAATAGATCCAAATGGTCGATGCAATGGTTTATGCACCAACTAAACAACTCATCAGATTGCAACTATGACCATAGAGGCCGTTATGCTAGTCAATTAAACGATTTTTGTTTCTTGTTTCGTTTGCTTTTTTTTTTCTTTTCCTTTCTTTCTTTATTAAGAATAACTCATTTGCCATTTGCTCCCTTCGTCTTAAAGATTGAAATCGTCTCTATGAGTACAAATCCAATCTTCTCCTTTTGTTAGACATTTTTTAACTGCTAGGATCATATCATTTCTTATTTTATTCTCACTACTAAATTCTTTTTTGTATGTTTCATATGTATAGCTGTTGAAATCCCTGTTTGGAAATAAGTCTGTAATTTTTTTCCAGAGCCCATATCTACTGACTACTGATTCACAACCCCTTCGCAACGGCTTGCCTGGCTTTGTGTAGGTTCCATTCTTAACTCCATTGACAATCGCTTGCTCTAAAACACGGCACTCTGGATCATTGAATATTTTTACAACACTGATTGGACTTGGCTCTTTATCCTTAGAGATATCATCAATAAAACAGTCTTGACTTGACACAATCTCCAGAGAATGAACAGGATACGAACAATTTTGCAATCTTTCTTGAAAACACCTATGTAATGCCTTATTTGACTGTTTGTCAATATCTGGGATTATCATGTATTTTAAATATACCGGGGTATCCATTAAACAAAATGTGAGAGCATTATTCAATGAAATCACTTGCCGAAGACAAATTTTATCAGAACAGGATTTAGATAATGTCATTTTAGAATCTTGACGTCCTGGTTTTGTCCTTACATATCCTTTCTTTTTGAAGTTGAATCGGCCACGCAAAGTCTGGTTCTTTGATGGTATCACATACTGATACGGATCATCATCGGAGATATTGACTAGTCTTTCATCTTCTGTAAAACACGAGGATTCCATTGCATCCATACTGGCATCCCCACAAGGTAGTCTAGAAATAAATAAAGCTAAAGACCACTGGGAATTCCACCGATATTTCGAAATGTCACCATTATCACTATTTCTAATACTCTTCAAAAGATATTGAGAATTTTCCCCGTTCTTTAATTGGATCATCTCATTTAAGAGAAAAACATTAAACCCCCTAATTGCCAGTATTTCGGCATGTGAGTCATGAACCATCTTACCATTACTTCTAGCAATCTCCAAATCAGGGACAGTTTTCACACCAGTGGTTAATGTAAGAATATGTAATGAATCATCAATAGATTGTCCGTCATTACGTACCGCTACTATTGAGGCCAATACTGTGCATTCTCTGATTCCGTTGGATTTCACTTTGGGTTTGTTGGTGGGTTTCAACTTCACATATTCAGCATAAACAAGTCTTGTAATATCGTTTGCCAAATCTGAACATGTCATCTTTTCCTATTTGTCTTCTTCCCCTCTATCTTACCAATCAAAAAATGTACTTTTATTCATTGCATACAGACGTCTTTTATTTTAATACTTGGTTCATATACATAATTTGAAGAAATAAGGATAAGAATCCATCAAAACGAAACGCTTCATCTCTTCATATCTTCACGTTTTATTAAAATAACATAAAGTATTTTAATTCATATTAGTTTTTTTTTTTTTTGGTACACTTCTGCACTTTTGTTTGTAGAAAATTTCCAGTCTTTAGAAAGTCATCTGAAAAGAAACTCACTTTCCTATCATCTTTTTTTATCACTAAAGAGAGTCAATGAGCAAATATATGACAATCTTATAAATAATACAATTCAAAACAGTACTGCACCATTGAATACAATTTAACTATATCCTTGAACATGCAATTGAAAATATTCTAAACAAACTTGAATGAAATTGTATATTTGAAAGTACCAGAAGGAACTTGTACGTTTCTATGGTAAGCCCCTGCACATATCAACATAATCATTATTTTTCGTAAATATTATTATAATATTGCTACATACCATAGTACATAAGACAAAGAAACTAGTAAAAAAATAAATAATAACACATCTTATAAATGCACTTCATTTAAATGCAAATAGATCGTCAAAAATAAATGTTCATTGTAGAATATAGTAGGGCACCTAGATATCAATGTTAAACTTAATATCAATAGATCCAATTATATTTTCTAATCCACCTAATCTCTTGAAATTGGCTAACAGTAGTTCTTTTTCTTTACGTTCTTTAGCTTCTTGGTCCTCTTCTATCTGCTTCTGTTGAGCTAACGCTTTAGCTTTATCATTTTCTTCCTGTTGCACTTCTTGGTAATACATTCTAGTTCTTGTTTTCAATCTACTAAATGGATCTGTCTTGGAATCAACAGAGGGTGTCTTTTCCTTCTTTGAGTGTTCTGCATATTTAATCTTGTCCATATTTAATTTTCTATTCTTTGATGTTAAGGCACCTAATTTCTTGGTTCCAGTTTGATCATTTTCATGATGTTTCTCATATGTACTAATTCTCTTTTCAAAATTTCTCAGTTGTGCCGAGTATTTAGCTATATCTCTTTCATTACCATTCTCACGGGCATATTGTAACTTATTCTTCAGTACAGTCTTTTCAATAACTGCGTTAGTACCAGATAATTTTTTGTTAAATAACATTCTATTACGAATGATTTCATCAGTCTTCCTTTCTGTGAGTGGTTCATTCACAAAAGAAAACAATTCTTTACTCTTGTTATTTAAAACATGAGATGTTGGTTTTGTCATATTTGACTTATCTAATGCATTCAAGTATCTATCAAATTCACTTTGTGTAATTAGACCATCACTGAAAAAATTCATTTGAAATACTTTTCTATCCTTCCCCTGTGTAACACCAAAATACTGATTTGTATAAAACTTACCCATACTGTAAGGTTTTTGTAAAAAAACTCTTTCAATCTTAACCATACGGTACATTGGTTGGCCAGAACGTTTATTTATACCAACATTCACTCTACCATAACAGCCTTTCATTAAATCGTTGAAGCCAGGATAAAAACAAAATTTGGCCACAAAAGAACGTCCAACCTTTATCTTATTAAAATCATTTAAATCTGAATCTCTGTCTTCATCTTCTGCCCACTTGACTTCGTTGTCAATATGAGTTCGGTCATCGTACTTCGATTTTCTTGCCAATGGATTATAATCTGTCTCATCTTCAAGGTAATCTTCATCACCGTCATTATAATCATCTTCATAGTTATATTCATCCTCTTCTTCTTCTTCATCACCCTCCTTATATTCATTATCGTCATCATTATCACTATAACGACGGTTTTGTTTCTTTTCTCTTTGTTTTTTTAGTTGAGACAATTTTGAAGACATCAACTCTGTGTGGCCTGTAGCATGTGTTGTTCTTCCAGATGATCTAGTCTTAGCCATTCTATTCTTATTAATTTCTTGTTGTCTTCTACGCTCTCGAAATAGTCTTCTTTCTTGATATTTACGCATAATCTGAGATCTTTCAAATAGCAAAGTTTCACGTTCCATTTCTGGTAAGGATTCCAAGTGTTCACGATCCTCTTCATCTTTATATTTACCTTCCAAGGGGAATGGATTTGGTTCCTCTTCGGATTCCTCGTTTGATACATTTCCATTATAACCACCAGCAGATACAACATTAGGATTATAATCATCTTCTTCATCCTCTTCTTCGCTATCTACATCGATCCTTCTCTTTTTTGAGGAGGTATTTTCTTGATTTTGTTTTGTTCTTTTTGAAGAAGACAGTAAGATTTCTTCTTCCTCTTCTTCATCTCCCTCACCTGCACCTGCTAACGCTAATAAATCTTCGTCTAAATCAGACATATTTTTTTTTATTTCAATAACCTACTGCTTTTCGATTCTAGTCTGCCACTAGTTTTCGCAACGTATTCCAATTAATCTGTATTACTGTAATCCTATCTTATAGGGTAGAAAAGAAATGTCAAGTAGTATGCTCTCCTTTATCATTATCTAATTTACCTCTATTTTATTCGTCACCTTGCCAATCAGTCAAATATTTAAAATCTTCAATAGAAGAAAAATAGAACAGTTTGTTTCGTTGGAAGTGAGAAAAGTAGGGAGGAGGACCAACAATAAAATAAAGATGACGCTATTGAATCATGACAATGATTAACTTTAGGAGGCATAGATGGCTCCGCACAAGAGATCCATAGTTTTTAGATACACACTGTCAATGTACATTTTAATTCCTTATTCTTCTTGTTGTTATTGTTGCTTTTTTTTTTTTTTTGATCAAATTAAATTATTGTTGTAGAAGTATCTTTTAAATAAAAAGAAGAACCTAAGTATGGAGATATACGTGTAGACATACAGATAGATACGTACAAATACATATATTGACTTACAATTATTTCATAATAAATCTTGTGTAATTTATTTCTTGGCACCATACTTGTTAACAGCTTTACCATCTGGGATAGTGAAAAACGTGTAAGGCTTGCCATCCTTTGGTAAAGAATCCAATCTGAAGTAACCCTTTCTTTCAAATTGAATGATGTCACCAACTTTCATGTCCTTAACATTCAAATCAGCAATGGCAGCATTGTGGAATTCAGTTTGTGGGGTTAAGAAATCAGCAAAATCTTCATCGTCTTCTAATCTATCCTTGGAGATCAAATGATCGAAATCAACTAAATCTACAGTAACAACGTCATTAGTGTCTGCTAACCAAGTCAATTTATGCTTAGTCTTTTTGAAATCACCTTCCAAATGTAGCTTACCTTCCAAAGAACCATCTTCATTCTTCTTGGTGATGATAACGTTACCCCAATCCATTAAAGTGACTTCTTCATTAGCATCAATCAAATCAGCATCATCCTTATCAATGACCACATTATTGTAATAGATGACTTTTTTTTCACCAACATCTGCATTCTTCTTGTGTTTTGGTTTCATTTCAATCTTTGGAGTCTCTGGAGCACCTTCAATGTGGAATTTGACTGGATTAGAGATGGCAGTGTGTCTTGGTGCAATTGGATCAATAACTTTCTTGTTAAAGGCCCAAATTAAGTTCCATTCTAAATTGATGACGTTTCTTGATGGACCTTGAGATAGAACAAAATTTCTCAAACCCTCCACAGTCATACCTCTTCTTCTAACACCTCTAACAGTTGGGAATCTTGGATCATCCCAGTTTTCGACTAAACCTTTGTCGACCATCCATTGTAGTTTTCTCTTTGACAACAAGGTTCTAACGAAATTGACACGAGCAAAATCCCAGATGTGAACTTTTCTTAGGTGTAAAGCTTGTAACATCCAGTCATATTGAGCATTACGGTCTCTGTATTCGATGGTTCTTAAAGCGTGAGTGACACCTTCTAAAGAATCAACGATTGGGACACAGAAATCATAAGTTGGATACATTTTCCAAGTGGTGCCGGTTCTATGATGTGGAGTAAGGTTGCATCTGTAAATGACAGGGTCTCTTAGAGTCTTGTTCAAGGCTTTGTAGTCAATCTTTGCACGGACACAGTTCTTCAAACCTTCTTCGGTACCATTCTTCATTTCTTCAGTGAAGATTCTCAAGTTTTCCTCCACAGAACGGTCTCTTCTAGCAGATGGGATACCTTCACCACGTTCCTCCCTCATTTGTTCGGTTGGGGTGTCATCACAGTAAGCACCACCTTCTTTAATCAATTGAACACACATATCGTACATTTGTTGGAAATAGTCAGAGGAATAGGTAACCCTATCGCCCTTAATACCCAATAGTTCTAGATCTTCCAAGATGGAATCTTGAAATTCTTCCTTTTCTTTCGATGGATTGGTGTCATCGAATCTAATGATTAACTTACCTTTGTAAGCTTGAGCAAAATATTGGTTTAATAAGGCAGCTTTAGCGTGACCGATGTGTAAGTAACCAGATGGTTCAGGTGGGAAACGAGTAACAACCTCACCGATCTTAGCATCTGGCAAGTCGATTTCGAAGTTAGCCTTGTGGCTCTCCTTCTTCTTTCCTGCAGAAGCAGCCTTCTTTAGATCTTGTAAGGATTTGGTCAAGAATTCATGGGCGCCACCGAAGACCGGGTCCAGTTCCAAAAGGGTGTACCAACGAGAAACGTTGACATAGACTTTATTCTTGATGATGGAGCCAACCATACCGTTGGATCTTAAGGCACCCCAAACAGCGATATCAGCGGTGGAGTATTTTAGACCGCCAAGAATGAAAGTTCTTAGATTCAATTGGTGATCTAGTTTTTCCAAGGATTGGGATAGTTTTTGGAAATTCTTGATGACAAATTCTTCTTCTGAAGCGGTGACCCATGGAGAGACAGTTTCAGATTCCACGGCTTCACCGAAGACTTCTGGGAAAGAAGCGATTATTCTGTTGAAGGAGTCGGTGGCATCACCATTGAAAGTAGCTGGAGCAGCCTTTTTGTCATCAACGAATTGGATGGTGACAGTATCTGGTTTGGAAGCATTGACAATACGAGCAGCAATTAAGGAACCATAGGCGACTACTGGTGCCTTACCGTTGATAACTAAAGTAGTAGACATTTTAGATGTGTGTTTGGGGAGGTGAATGTGGAGGTGAAAGAGTCTTATAAACACAAATAGGTAAAATGGACATTACGTTGTTTAAAGAAACATTAGATGCAATTAGTTTATTTGATTGGTTTTTTTTTTTATTTGTATTCTTCCGACAAAGAAAAAAAAAAACTTTTCTTCCAAACCAAGAAACAAACCTGAGGACTGCTCTCACTGTCTAGAAGATGTTCAATTCTCTTTTTAGTAGTGAAGAAGATAAAGAAAGAGCGTTATAATCCACGTTATATCACTTTACTGGTACTCCTTAGTGTGTGATTTCTTCGCTCAAGCAATGACTAATGACAATCTAGTTGTAACAACTGGTAACTTGTTAACATTTGTTCTTGCTGATTATATAAGGGAAAGAATTAAAAAAAAAAAAAAAAGGAAGAAGGGAAAGAGAAGAAATGTAATAGCTCAGATTGTATAATGTATCAATTACATACTGTATATCTATATTGTGTAGTATAATATTATTCAGTAGAAGAACAGACCTCTCTATATTACTGCATATTATTGAATCAAATAACATGCGGGGGAGGAGAATTGACGGAATGCAGAATATGGGCCTCGGAAAGTTTACGGGTTTTGTTATTCCGTTTTGGGATTCTCTTTTTTTTTTTTTTTTTTTTAACAAACAATGGCCAATGAATTATGAAGAATCCTTTTCTCATATACTGTAATAAAGTCGAAGACTTGAGAGGTTGAATCATATCATGCTACACAAACAAATATACAAATGCATGTATACATGTATATATGATCTATAAACTGTCGAAATGACCGTTTTTGCATCCCTCCCCTCAGCATTTTTTTTGTTTTACCACAGACAGTCTATTCCAGTTTTTGCCCTGCTCGGTTACTTCTTTTACAAGTCATATAGACAATGGCAATTTCAGCTAGTCTTTTCATCAACCAAAAGGGCATTACCACTGCCCTTAAGCAGCCAAAAGAAGTTGGATACTATTCTAGAAACCAACAAGGCGATATATTCCCCTTTGATGATGGAAAATTGAAGTATTATTATCTGCCAAATAGTGACATCGACAAAAATATAGAACTTAACAGTGGGTTCAAAAAATTTAAAAATTGTCAACAATTGTTCAAAGATATCGCAACTTTGCATCCAATCCTGGAGACAATAATCCAGTATGAGACTTTGAAAGGTAAATCTTTAAAATGTGACATTGTCGCCTACAGTGAAACGATCGTGAAGTTAATATGTGCATCTTTTGAAAATTCTAAGATTAATCCAATTGACATGAGGTTAATATCGTATAGAGGACAACTATATATCAAAGATATGACTTTGCAAGACGTTCTAAAGAGACCATTGGGCATACAAGATTATATTCCATTTAAATTTGAAACAGTATCCACTCTGACACAGCCGTTGCCATATATTGAAAGAGATATCCTTGAGAAAAGACACAGAAAGATATCGAACAATGGAGATAAGTTTTTCTCTTTGGTGAAAACTGGCATAAGTAAATCAAAATTCTTACTTAGTGAGGAAGTTAGTTGTGTTTATGATTTTAAGCAGGATAATAAAGATGATTTAAAGCATTATGCAAAACTTTGCGTATCACCAGTCATATCCAATTTAAACGATTCGCATAAGTTTGAAACTCTAATCTTTAAGACTTGGCTTAGATGTTTTCTAATGGGTGTACCAAAAATCATATATGGGTTCTATGATGATAGTAGGAATAATAATAATAATAATAGTGGTAGTAGTGTTTTAAAAACTGTAGAAGAATTCATGACTGAAGAAATTCCCATTTTATTTAAAGAACACAACCCGGAATTGGCTACTAAATGTACAAATGCAATTAAATGGTATGGTTTATTCTCTGAGTGGTTATTAAAAATAGTACCCCATGAAGAAAACTCTGAGATTATCAAACCATTTAAGTTAATATTGGATAATAATCATTTGAAATTGATTGAAATAGAATCAAATGATCAGGAATATGAAGGTATAGTGAATGGAGAAACAATTCTTAGTGAAAGGTATAAAGCATGGAAAAATAAATCTTAAATTCAATTAACTAATCAGCATTTTCTTCATCTGCAAATCCTAACTACATACATACACGTACATAAATATATATACTTATATATATCAAATAGAGTAATATGTGTGTTAATCGATAGGAGAGTATATTATACGTACATTATTTAGATATTATTTTTTTTATACATGGAATTTATAAAAATTGTTTTTTTCTTACCTAAGTATACTTCACATATATTATAAACCTCTTCTCAAGCATAAATACAGAATATTAACATTATTACTTTTATTTGGATGTCTCTATAGAACAAACCGGTACTTATTTAAAGCCAAATAAAAAGTTATATCTTGAAGTTCAGCATGTTCTTTAGCTAGCAGTTTCAGTTCTTCCAAAATAGTTTCCCTTGAATCTCTTGAATCCGCCACCATTTTAACATGAGTAATAATAACATTTAGTTTAAACTTTTGTATCTTATTGTCACCGCTATTTTTACTGTTAGATATCGAAAGATATTTGTCATATAACATTCTCAAAGCGCTTATCAAATGTTTTGGAGAAAGATGACCGTATAATTGTTTATCCTTTATTTTACTTGAACTTGAACATTCTATAAATATGCCACTCAGGTTAGCTAAAGGTACAGCTTCAACTAAATAGTTCCAGAATATGTTTAATAGATCCACTTTGTTGTTATTTTTGACCAAAATCTGGTCATAATCCATATCGCCAAAAAAGATAATTGCATTCTTTTTGACTTTGTTTCGGACAAGATAAACCGTACTGTAACTTCTTATCTCAGTGGTAATTTTGACTCCATGACATAATCTGAATGGAACAATCTCCCATTCTGGGAATTCTCGTAATTGATGACTATCATATTCATTCAAAGTTTCTATTTGAAGTTTACCAATCTTGGAATCAGATAAATTTGGCCATATTATATCATTAAAGATGCATGATTTTAATGCATTTGTAGTAAAATCTAATCCATATATTGTCTTTTTACTTTCAACTTCCTTGTCAACAAGTAATGGAGAATTTAAGATCATACCGTTAATATGATCTAAATGTGGATGTGTGATAAAGTAACTAATAATTCCTTGGTATATTCTATATGCCTTCTGAAGTACGGTTGGCTTATCCTCCAATAAACCCATTACCTTGTTAGAAAATCCAAGCATAGTTGTATCAATAACATTGCTTAAGGAAGTTGTATTATATCGTACTCTCTTAGTAATTAATCTATCTGGATTCACATTATAATTTACGTCTTTGCTGTCCTTATTGTGGCAGATATTGAAATATCTATTAAAATCGTCATTAGCCCTATTGAAATCCTCTATTGTGACATTTCTATCTTCGTCCGAAATAAGTAAAGTATCCATAATATGACCTACACCAGCACCACCATCAATACAAATTGACTTCAAATTATCAGAATCTAGTGGTCTTACCATGAAACATTGAGTAGAAAATTCAGAGGGACCACCTAAGCCACCCAATATAATTACTTCAAAACAGACCATTATGCTATGTACCCCTCCTTGCTTTACTTTATATATTCGAATATTAATCTCCTAAATTTATGTCTTGCTTGTATATATCATGTGTCTTCGCTACGAATTTTATAGTTGTTCTTCTATTAACCAGCTTATTATTTCCTTGTTATTCGTTTTTTGATTCAGCTATTATCTCCTTTTAGTTGTTTTCCTCCTTAGAATCTTTTCCTCTGCTGCTATTTGTTATACAGAATGAATCCTAAAAGACAAAGTATTCACAAGTTCGCCACTAGTTACTAACATAAATATACACATACAAATAAAGAGATGTAAGAACATATAATTATGTATGTGTTTGTTATTTAGATGAATCATATATATATATATATATATATTCCACAATTTTATTATTTTAAAGAATAATCAAAGATTTAGGAGCATAAATTATTGGGTAATAGAGCATACCATCAAGCTAATATGAGAAACTATAATTAAAAGAAAAGAAAAGTTGGAATGGTGTCGTTTCCTACACACGTAACTTTCAGGTAGAAGATTACGAGAGGTTAAAAAAAAGGCTATTACAACATTAAATAATAAAAATAATTTACGTACACATCTCTTCATGTATATAGTTATATTTATGTTAAAAGCATGATTGTAACATATCTCTCTGAGATTTATGATAAGATGAGAACAAAAAAATGTAGGATATAGTCGATTCCCGGAAGGATTTATATAATTTTAAAATTTCAATTTTCAAATGATTTCTCAATTAAACCTTCTGGGTACCATAACCTTTAATATCTTTTGCAAATTTCCAACTCATGTTCTCCACTTGTAATCCCTTTTTGAAAACTAAACCTTGTTCTTTGTCAATAATAGCCAAAGAAAATTTCCTGGAAGAATGTGCATCTCTGTAATACAAAACTTTCATACTTTCTAATATGGTTTTTTCTGCTAATTCCAAATTTGTTGATTCAATATCCTCTTCACGATCAATAACACGTCTTAAAAGTGGAATAGCTAAATGTGCACCAAACCCAGTAGCTAATGTTGGAGAAGAATACGTTACGCCTAATAAATTCACGTATTTCAAAAATGGTTTGTCATCTTCCACACCTGCAACAATTATTGCATTCCAAAGCGGATTCATCTTAGATCTACGCTGATACATCAATGTAGATAAATATTCAAATATATAACTTGGCTTTAAAGTTTCTTCATCATCAGCATAGGAATTATCATAATTATTTTCGATTTCTAGGTCTGATAATATTTGTTCAATATGCTGCATATCAGAAACATCTCCAGATACACCAACAATAGTTCTTTTACCTACCGGAATTAATCTTTCAACGTCATTAAAACGTAAAAGAGAGCCATATGCACCTAAATTGTCTGCTGCAATGATGACACCATTATTATACTTCATTGAAATTACAGATGTACCTGTAATTATTGGCTGTTGCGTATTCATTTTTGGAAATGGAGAAGCACTAGCAATTGTGTTATTGTAAGTACCATAAGTTTCATCGGAAGGTCTGCCCCAACTGAATGGATCGTGATTCATTTTAGATTAATTAGTATGATTTTACGAATAATTTTATATTTGTATTAGATGTCTAGAGAAATGAAAATAGACAAATTTAGATATGTCTTACTTGTTGGATTATTCAATAGTTAATTGAATTTTCTAGATCGTTTCTGTATTGGTATTGACATTGAACAACTCTTTGTTGTATATCTTTACCCTATATGTGGCAAATTTTTATGAAATTGGGATTTAAACACACTCTTAAAAAAGTAAATTGTTTAATGGTTTTTTTTTGTCTTTTTTCATTTTTTTTTTCCTTCAGTACATTGTATTTCTTGTTCCCACGATTTTGACTTTTTCATATAGTGAGTGACACATAAATAGGGACTGTATCATATTCTTCATGAGGATCAATAGAATGATGTCCACAATATTCATAGGTACACATAGAAATCTTCGTTTTTTGGTTATTCATTTAATATATATCTAAAAATTCTGATTTAATTGCATAACTTCAAAGTAAATTACAGAACTCCGGCTAGAACATAGACAGTAATTAAGATTTATAGATAAGTAGAAGGTTTATGTATGTGGTAGAGAATGTCATTGGGATAGGGGAATTTCTTTATTTAGAAAGAGAAAAGAGAACAGATTTATATTTTATTACCAATTAATTGAATTAAGCTTTTTTAATCGATTTAGTTGCGATGTGGTCATAGTTTTTAAAAGGTACGGATCAACTCCATCATTTATTTGCAAAAGAATATTGGTTAGATTATTGTTGTATTTTTTTACTAATATTTTAGCTAAAATAGGATTAAAGTTTAATTTTAATAAAATGTCTTCTACTCTGTAACTATTATTACCATTCTCTTCATATTCATCATCTTCACTATCTTTGTTATCTTCGAGCTCAGCTACAGAGATGTTAGTCGATGTTTCTTTCCAAATTAACTTATTCATATGCTGAACTAGTATGGATATACTTCCATTAGGCACAAAAAATAGTTCAAAACAAGGGAATGGGAGGTAAAGATATATTTTCCAAAAAATATCATTATCATAAAATATCAAATCTGGATCATAATCAAACATTATTTTTATTCTTTTATACTCTTGTAAACAATCTTTTAAAATGTCAAGATAGTAAAGATCACCAGATGCTCGTCTTTGAAAAAATTTTGCTAATTCCAAACAGATAATACATGTTGAATAGTTTAAAACTATGTCACAATTTGTTGCAAAATATCTTTCTATAATGATACAACTCGGTACCTTTTGTTTAATTAACCCTTGTAATAATTTATAATTATTAGTGATCCTATTGGAATTGAATATGATCAATTTATCTTTAATATTAAATTTTGGAATTAAGTCAATTGGAAAACACTCATGCAAAAGGTTGCTTATACTTGAATCAAAATATGATTGACTTGATACATTTCCCATCTGTTCAATATGCCTGAGTTCAGTAGTATTTTCAAAGTTACTAAAAATCCCACTCCGAAAAATATCAGTAATATCTTCCTTTGTAGAATAATCTCGTGATATTTTGTCTGTTTGCTCACTAGTTTTTTTGTTAACTTTCATTTGAGACTTTTTATTTGCGATTATTGATTGTAATTCAGAATCAAGGAATGACCTTTTTTTGGGTATGGTTAGAGATTTTTTATCAGAAAACCCTTCTATCAAAATACTGGATTGTACTGGCAAGTGACTGCTATTTTTGTTGTTTTGATCTTCACCCTCATAACTATCTTTTGATTTGCTTTCTTTTCTCCTACTATCTACTTCTATTAAAGCTTCGTTATTTTTATCATATAATATAATTTCAGTGTTAATTTGAAGATTTTTCATGTATCCTCTATTTCTTTCATATAGATCCAAATCTGTATTGGGAATATATAATGTGACATTAGAAGTGAAAGTGGGCATAGAAAAATCAACTAATGATATTTGCTCATCTTGAAATCTTTTATATACCTCCAGTTTATTCCATTTTTTAAATGGAGACCATTTCATTTGTTTCAGTTGTATTTTGGACAACTTCCAAAACTTGGTGATTTTTGTTGGTTTTGAATTATTTTTTAATCTTTTATGGCAAGCAAATTTAAAGAATTCAAATTTATGGAATTCAATATCAAATAATTTCAATTCCAATTCTTTGAAAAACGTTGAAATAATTTTGTTTTCCTGTTCTTTATACTTAACATCCCATATTAATATATCTATTGGTATTCTTAAACTGTTATTATTTTGTTTTTTGGAATCAATATGAAAAATATATTGATCCATGGTGTCAAATGGTAGTAAAGCTAAGGAAATTTTAGGGATGATCTTTTCAATTGGGGATAAGTTAAAATCTTCATTTTCGTTTAATAGTGCTGTATCTTGGTCTATGTCTTGATATGTATTTGTTGGAATATATTTTTCTATTATAATTGATTTCTTAATATTGTGAATATGCTTCGGTGCACTAATCAGATTAATGGAATAAGATGTGTCCTGAAAACAAAGAATTTTAATTGTAAAGGGATCGACATATAAGTTTCTAATTCGCAAAGATATAATTTTTTCTAAATACACTTTATCTTCTTTAGTAAGTGTTACTTTCTCCTTTATAGTGGTTTTTAGTTCCTTAGTAAAATCACGTTTGTTTATTAAAGAGGGTTCATTCCATTTTGGTAACTCAATTTCTTTTGTTATCTTGTTAAAATGCTTTATATGAAATAAAGAATCAACTTCAAAGTTTTGAAAGTTTTTACAACTTAAATTATTTTTATCTGTAGAAATTAATTTACTAAATAAAGCTTTTAAATGTTTCGCTTGTCTTTTACTAAGTGTCAAATTTTCTTTAGTGGGATCCTTCAGATATTTATTGGCATTCACCTCGGCTGTTATTTTGGATTTATCAAAAAGCCAATATTTAATAAACATACTTTTTGACGCTTTGATTTGAGTAGAAGAAATATAGCTGATGTGTTCAAATAAAAAGGCATTGTGGTTTCTGGGAATTGGTTCAGAGTTCTCTTCTGTAAGCTCTTCTAGGTATTTTTGTATATTGTAAAAGGAAGTAAATACAAAACAGGTTTTCGAAGAGAAAATTCCGCTAATCCCGCAAATTTTATTTTTTTGAACCCAAACATAAAACAAGCTCTTTTCTCATACATCTCCACATAACACTATATTAGTAATATATTTATTTCTTCATATATAGATATTATAGATACTTTTTTTACGAGCATTTATCCCCCTCATTTTAATTTAAGACACACTATTGATCAGCTATTCTAACTGTTGAGAATGAGCGCCTTTATTCATTGGATATATAGTAAACATTTTCAATATTATATTAAACAGATTTAGTATACAAAATTATAACAAAGTTCTTCGCTTTTTTTCTCTATATACAACATAGAAATAATAATATACAAAGATTGTAAATAAGATAAAAATAATGTATGATGAAATCCTTGGCTTTATATATGTTAACATTCAGTCATTTTCCTCTACGAACAGTAAGATATTTAATAAACAAACTCAACAACCTTTGGTGACCTCTCAACAATTATTACTCAACAATTTATCGTTTAGTGTCTGCTAAAATCTTATTGTTCTATCTATTTCATTATAGAATATTTTATTTCAACACTAACAATACCTTACATCTGCTTTCAATTTACATCTATCATTATTTAAAACTTTGTTTCGGAATAGTTAACTACATTATACATTTACATTTTCTATTCTATTTGAAATAACAAGAATATTTACATATACATATATATATATAACTATGTACATGTATAAGTGCATATAAATTCAACCCATACTTATGCATTGTTAACTTAAAAAAAATAATGACTTCATCATCAATACTGTTGTCGTTATCATCATCTAGCTCAGTCAGATTATTCAATATTTGATGCAATCTCCAATAAATCATCATCACTATCCTTAAGTTTGGAATCACCATTTTCTATATTACTTTCAGTTGAAGAATTTATATTTTCATTATCATCTTCCTGATTATTAGACCGTTTTTCAGGAAAATTGATATTTCCAATTTTTATTTCTTCCTTTTCCTCCCTATTGTTCTTCCTATTCTTATCATCACCATCATCATTATCATCATCTTCATCTATATTCATCACAACCGTCTCTTGCATATCTACAACATTATCATCTAATACCAATGGGTGACTTTTATCATTGGAAAACGGTCTGATATTTTCTAGAGTTGCCGAACTCTCTGTCAATTCGACTAATGTATTATAACGAGCAACAAACCTTGGTCTTAATTCAATATTACCAACCAGAAACTTGGGAATATTAGCTTCATTATTTTTTTCCGATCTTGATTTAAGAATTCTAAAAATGGTTTGGATATCTTCAAAAGTGACTTGATTATTATAAATATTATCCTCAAAAAGAGTGATATCTAAAGATGGTATGTTTAATATTATCTCTTTAGTAGTAAATTTTAATTTTCCATAATAACTTTCCAAAAATTGCCGTATTGTAGCCATCAAAACATTACTTGGCTGTGAATTTATCTGATCATCAGCACAGATAATAGGATAAGAAATGTCCGCATCATCTACAGTATTGCTACAACTATCATTACTTGAACTTAGTCCATCTATATTTTTTGAATTTCCATTCTTTTTATAATCAAATAATAAAAATGTGTCACTATTACAATTTATTAAAACTTTATTAACTGGTTTTTGTAGTAATTCGTTTGCTATGCGTCTTATATTAGAAGAATTTTCGTCTTCTTGGATATCCATATCATTATCCGAGTCATAATTCAATAAATCTTCTTCCATCTCGCTGACACTTTTCCCACTTATCCACCTGCTATTATCAACATCATTACCATTATCCTCAACTACGACACCAGTGTCATCTATCAATAAATCATCATCATCATCATACCCACCCCTTCCACTATTTTTATCCGTACTGTCTATTTGTTGTTCACTTCCCAAATCATCATTAATCTCTTCAATGCGACCAGAGTCGATTTCTAAATTAAAATCCGCCTTATGAGAGTCCATTACTTTTTGAATAACTAGATAAAATTCCAAACTACACAGTTTTGTACACACACACACACACACACACACACACACACACACACACCGTCTTTCTAACAAATGGTATTTAGTTTCTATTTTCTCTTCAACCTCTTATCAATTACTCATTCCCATCCCATCCACTTTGTATATACTAAAGTATATTGGACTTGAACTTGAATTGTAATTCTCTCTTCTTCATTTTGTTTCCCTTCTTTTTCTTCGGAAGATTCCGCCACAAATTTTACAAATGTGTGGATGTTGGAAGTCCCCTTTTTTCGTTTTTTTTTTTATTTTTATTTTTTTTTTCTTGGGTTTTGGATTTTGGGGAAGAATCTCTCGGCGGCTAAATTTACCTCCAGGGATAATAATAATAATAATAATATATATATATATATCTTTATTTCTCTTTTAGTTATTTCAAAGACCATTATTCCACAAAATATTACTATCACCTTGTTAGAGCAAAACGAAGAAAGTACCAAGAAGAATATAAAACTAAAAAAAAAAAATAACTCATAAATGGTGACTAAATTTGGAAAACTTAAAAAGACATTATTTGTTAAAAAAGCACATTCTTCTAATAGACGTATGTTTATTGCTTTCAACAGAACATCAAAGAATTCTATCAATTTTAATCAAAAAAGAATATTTATAAAATCTGTTACTAACCTACCTTCTTCTTTTTATTTTTATTTTATATAGCATAATATAAAAATAAAGATACAATCCCTTCAATATAGATTACAGTTCTGATTTATCAAGTGATTCTAATAGCATAGATGAAATGGATGAAAAAAATTACAATTTTCAACAAAACTCAAAGGAAGAAGAAGAATCACAATACTCTAATTATAGCAAAAAAAGAAGAAATAGAAATAAAAACTATGACAACAGTCTCTTTGATAAACCATTTATTGTGCCTTTGCAACATAATACTTTTCTTGATATGGATGATAATGATAATGCTTTATTTCCAGAAGTAAATACAATGACATATGATAATGACTCTATTTTCACTAAAGCTGATTTTTCTACAAATGATACTATAAACGAAGATTCAATCAATAACAATAATAATAATCACAATACTATAAATGCAAAAAACATTCTAAACCACAGCATTCCAAGAGAAAATTTATGCATTCCACAAATAACAAATGAACCAATACCATTAAAAAAAAGAAAAATTATCAAAATTAAAAAAACCACAAATGAATCTAGGTTTGAACAAAGAAAAGAACAGTCTTTGATATCGGTGGATGTTTTGCCTGAAAGGTATAGATGTATCTTTAATTTTTCAACATTTAACAAAATGCAATCAATGGCGTTCCAACTAATCTATCAAACTAAATTTAACGCCATAATATCTTCACCTACAGGTTCTGGTAAGACGGTTCTGTTTGAATTAGCAATTCTTAATTTAATAATAAATTCAAATGAATTGGATCTTATGAATTTAAAAATATTATATATTGCCCCCACAAAATCATTATGCACTGAAATTCTAAATAAGTGGAACAGTATGCACTTACTGGATTTGGAGATTGGAATGTTCACAGGCGATACTACTTATAAAGAATCTGAAAATATCAAAAAATCCAATATTATCATAACCACACCAGAAAAATGGGACCTATTAACTAGAAAATGGAATGATTACAGTAAATTATTTTATTTGGTAAAACTAATCTTAGTCGATGAAATTCATACAATCGGTGAAACGCGTGGAGCTACTTTGGAGGTGATTTTAACGAGAATGAATACTTTGTGTTCCAATATACGCTTTATTGCTGCAAGTGCTACAATACCAAATATAACTGATATAGCTGAATGGTTGAAATCAAGCGACGGGGAATCCGCAAAAACTTTGACGTTCAGTGATGAATTTCGACAAGTGTCCTTAGAAAAACATGTTTACGGATTTTCCTTTTACAATAGTAAAAACGAATTTCAGAAAGATGCTTACTACAATACAAAATTATGTAAAATTATTCTTCACCATTATAAACAAAAACCAGTCTTAATTTTTTGTCCAACGAGATCTTCTACTATCAGTACAGCCAAATATTTATTAAGTCACTTTCCTACAGATCAATTACTCAAGACTACTAGTCGGAATTTAAAGATTAATGACAGTGCATTAAGGGAATGTATTTATAAAGGCATTGCATTTCATAATGCAGGGTTATCATTAGAAGATAGAAATACTATTGAGCAAAACTTTCGGAATGGTAATATAAAGATTCTGTGCTCTACCTCTACCCTAGCTGTTGGAGTTAACCTACCTGCATACCTAGCTGTTATTAAGGGAACAAGTATATGGGACGTTCATGCAAATAAAGATTACTCAAACTTGGATATACTACAAATGATTGGTAGAGCTGGAAGACCGCAATTTGAGAGAGAAGGTTGTGCAATTATAATTACTGATTCAAACAAAAAAGTGCATTTTGAAAATCTACTAGACGGAAATGATCTGTTAGAAAGCACATTAAATTTAAATATGTATGAACATTTATGTTCTGAAATATCATTACAAACCATAAAATCACCAACTGATGCAATAAATTGGTTAAGGCGTACGTTTTTTTATGTTCGTTACAAAAAGAATCCTAAATTCTATTGGCAAATCAGGAAAATTGTTAACCAACAAAATGATGCAGATTCAGAATTAGTCTCTTTTTGTACTTTGTTAATTAACGAGCTTATAGAAGAACAGCTAATAAATGTTACTGATGACACATTTATTTGTTCTCCATATGGACAAGCAATGGTTAGACATTATATTCTTTTTGAAACAATGAAATGTTTTATTGGAATAGAGAAAAACCTAACATTAAGTGACGTTCTAACATTACTGGTTAAAAGTAAAGAGTTCAAAGAGTTAAGAATACGACAAAATGAAAAGCGCTTTTATAAAGAAATAAATTTATCACCGTTAATTAGATATCCTTACCTGACAAGAAAGAAACAAGGACAGATTATAGATCAGACATACCAGAAGATGTCTTTATTAATACAATATGAATTAGGAGGTTTGGAGTTTCCTCTCTTTGAATGGTCTTTTAAAATCCGTGCGGCAGTTATTCAAGATAAATTATTAGTGTTCAAACATTGCCAACGTTTATTGAAATGTATGATTGATACATTTATTACTAAAAGAGATGGAAACTCTCTCAAAAATGCGTTATATTTATTAAGGTGCATTAATGGTAATACTTGGGAAGATTCAAGCGGCGTTGTTCGTCAGCTAAAGTTAATAGGACTTGTAGCTCATCGGAAATTGGTCAATCAAAGAATTTTAACATTTCAAGATATATCAAATTTGAGTGAAGAGCAACTTGAATATTATCTTGGAATACGATTAGGTTTGGGAAACAAAATTAAGGAAGATCTATCCCTTTTACCAAACCTCATAATTAGAATGAAACCAGACAAATATGAAGTAGTCGACGAGACGTCCTTAGACATCACATTTAAGATAGAAATTTCTGCTGAATACAAATCTGTAGTATGGCATGGTAAATATTTATCTGTTGATTGTGAATCTATCAATCATAAGGGAAAACTTTTAGATTTCAGAAGAATATTTTTAAAACAATTAAGGTCACCAAAATCCTTTAAACTTAAAACAAGGGTCGACTCTTCGGAGTTTACTGTATTGTTTTTACTAAATTGTCAAGAAATAGCTGGCATTGGCAAAACCATTAAGTTTTCTTACGATGATATAGACTTTAAATATAAACAAATGTTAAAAAGCAAATCAAAGTTTAAATGCCTTGATAAATGTCTTTTTGTTGAAGACCAATTGAGTGAAGATTTACTATCTGACGATAGTATACTGCAATATTTAGATGAGGAAACGAAACTCAGTAAGGTCAATAAATCAAATGACTCTGACAAAACACGTCTATGCCATAACAATACCACTGAACCAAAAGAAGATAGAAATATGCCGTCACTTTCTATAAAATCAGATATGCAAATCAATCTTGCAAATCCACAGGGCACAATCAATGCAAGAAAAATGCTATCTAATGGAAATTATGAATGTAATCACTTCTGCAAAGATAAAAAACAATGTAGACACTATTGCTGTAAAGATGGGATACCTATAAAATTACTTAAAAATGCTAAATTTCCAAAGTATTCTAATACAGAGAGCCCATCAAAAACCCGATTTTCCTTGCACTCATCACGTGAATATAAATACGATCTAAGCAATCCAGAAATAGATAAATTTGGGACATCACAAATTCCTAAATACTACAGCTATGAGAAAGATATAAGTTTTCACCAACCTTCTATGAATATACTGACTATTGAAGAAATAGTGATAGATTCAGAAGGGGAAGAAAAAGAAGCCAATAATGATGACACCGATAGTTGGCAAGACATGTCAAAATGTGATAATACCTTACTAGAACCACCCTATTACTCCGATAATAACAAGATCAAAAATAGCACAAATAAAAACGAAATCGATGATCAAAAGTTACTGCCTAATATATCAGTACATCGCATTTTAGAAGATACGGATAAAAATTCAGAAAATGAATATAGTGATAACCATTCCAGCTCAATCGAAGAAAATGACACTATTATGCAAAATTTTTTTGGATCGGACGTTGAAATCAATTAAGCCAAATGTCTTCAAAATAAAATGGAAATTTAAAATAAAATTGTATTTTATTTTACATTTTTTGTTAACCATTTCGAATATTGATTTCTTGAAACACATCATATTAAAACATGAATGATCATTCAACATAAAACTATACGTAATAATAGTTACAACACCAGACTTTCTTTTTTGGAAAGATAAATCTTGACAAGAGTGAATTTATATAATACTTTATAATACTAGATGTTTTCTAACCAGAATTAAGAAATAAAATAGATATATAACGTCATAGACAAAGACATAAATAAAAATGTAGCTGGTAATATTTACCTTTTATTACATTATATCATAAAAAAAATTTAAACAGAGAAACAGATATAAGATGGGACTTTCTTAGGCACCAATAATACCAACGGATAAACCTTTTTCCAATCTCTTTTCTGCTAAAGCAGCAATGACAGCAGCACCAGCACCAGAACCATCTTCTGCTGGTTTTAAGACAATTGGGTAAGAAGAAGCTTCACCTTTCTCCCAGCCAAAAATGTCTCTTAAGGCTTGAGCAGCTTGTTCCTTGAAGCCTGGGTATCTATTGAAAACAGAACCATCACATGCGACATTACCATGGGTGTAACCTCTCTTCTTGAAAACACCTGCAATACCACAGACACTTAATCTGGCAGCTCTAGTACCAATCAATTCACAGATTCTTCTAATAACTTTACGTTCTGGCAACGTTGTTTTAATACCAAGTTCCTTGATCAAAATTTCATCAGTGTCTTCCAAGTTTTCAAATGGATCATCTTCAATTCTGGATGGGTAGGAAGTGTCCATAATGAATGGAGTATTTAATTTTGTCATATCTTGATCCTTTAAGATCAAACCTTTAGAGTGTAAATCCACAATAGCTAATCTTAAAATTTCACCCAAGTAGTAACCTGAAGACATCTTTTCGAATGTTTGTTGACCTGGTCTTGGTGATTCATTATCTATTTGGATATCATATTTAGTTCTTGGTAGAATGACATGCTCGTTGTCGAAGGAACCGTATTCACAATTAATGGCCATAACACCTTCTGGAGGAATATCAGCTGCTAATTTACCTTCTAATTTTGGGATATCCTTAACAACTTCATAATAGGCACCATTGACACCAGTACCAAAAATGACACCCATCTTAGTTTCACCATCAGTGTATAAAGAGGCAACTAAGGTACCTGTGGTATCGTTAATTAAGGCAACAACCTTGATTGGAATGTTCCTCTTTTCAATTTGAGCCATTAATAATGGAACAACGTCGTGACCTTCAACGTTTGGAATATCAAAACCTTTAGTCCATGTTTGTAACACACCTTGGTTAATTCTATCCTGAGAAGCTGGATAGGAGAAGGTGAAACCCAAAGGTAATGGTTTTTCAACACCATTTGGATATTGTTCATCAACAAAATTCTTCAAACAGTCAGCAATGAAACCAAACAAATCATCTCTGTTTTGAGTGGTTCTTAATTCATCAGGTAATCTATACTTGGATTGAGTGGAATCAAAAGTACGGTCACCACCTAATTTAATCAAGACGACTCTTAAGTTGGTACCACCTAAGTCAATAGCCAAATAATCACCAGATTCCTTACCAGTTGGATATTCCATAACCCAACCAGGAATCATTGGAATATTACCACCTTGCTTTGAAAGACCCTTAGCTAATTCATGGGCAAAATGCTCAGAAATTTGAACCAATTGATCATTGGAAACTGAAAAGGCATTTTCCAAGACCTCTAATTCTCTCATCAATTCTTGTGGGACATCCAACATGGAGCCCTTTCTTGCAGGTGGTTTTTTTGGACCTAAATGAACCATTTTTCTTATTTCGTTATAAACACTGATTTGCTTATCAAGGGGTTAACTTTACGAAAAAAAGACAGCACAAGAGATATACATGAGACAACGCAAGCTATGTAAAGAATGGAACGTAAAGGAAGAAAAAATAAAAAACGGGTTAAGGTTATCTTAAAAAGAAACTTTAAGGTAGTGGCAGTAACTAAGAGTAACACCTAATTGAGAAAAGATAGGAAGCGAGTGTCGAAAATGTACAGTTTTTATATAACTGAGGAGACAAAGTATCATGAAAGCAGGCACCACAAAACTTCCGGGACATAAAAGCAAAAACGTTCGAAAAACGAACCGTTCACAATTATTTGTAAAAGCCTTCAGCAAAATAATGGGCACGTGATCCTGTTTGCCTTATTTATTTACTTATTTTTTTTTTTTTATTTTTTTTTTAAATACTTTCACTCATGACAACACAAACAAGCGTAATCATCATTTGCTTTACAGTGCTCAACAACGAAAAAAGGAAAAAGGAAAGAAGGCAAATTTCTTATGATTTTACATATTCATAGTAAATCCATGGTTCATACAATTAGGGTTTTGAAAGACACGTTTGGGAACAGTTAAGAATTTCGATAGAGCAACATACAATATCATAATTTAACGTGGAGAATCTTCGTATAATGGTATGAATGGACAATCGTCGTCTGTTACGTTTTTGCTCTATTAAAAAAAGAATAAAAAAACAAAACACAAAACACAAAACACAAAATCTTTTTTGTACCGATTTTTTTTTTTTTACTAAAACAGCATAACTTTATTATATCGGAACAATTGTATTGTTTTTGATAATTCTTCCTTTGGGAAAACCCTAATTGAATTTTCCGTGTTCTCCAAAACGTCTTGAGGGAGGTTTTTCCGTCGTGTTGACTGAAAAGACTAATGATATGTCTGTTTTTCATTTGTATCATACTGGCAGAACAATAATTATCAACAATAATGTTGAATTCGTAATAGATAGCTCCCTCCCTCCCCTCTTGACGTAACATACGAATCAAAATATGTTTATTATCTGATCTCATATCTATAGAAGAGATTTAACAAATATCTTAAACTAAGGGATGTAGTCACTATGACTTGTTTTATCACGCAGAATTACACACTTCGTTTCTTTGTTGTGTCAATGTGTCAATATTGTATTTGTGTTATGCTCTTAGTCACATATATATCTAAACAATATGTACTAGAAACTGGTTAGCTTTGTTCTAAGTTATAGTCAGCTTGGTTTCTCAAAAACAACAACAACAACAATAATAATAATAATAATAAACAAGTAAGTGGTTTCCCCAAAACTTTCTCAACCTATCTACAATTCAGCTTTATTAATGGTACACCAAAATAAGTACATCCACCTTAGGTCAATCAATCCATTAATACACCCCTATTTACCCATTTCTTTTTTTATAAAAATAGTACATCTTTAATTTGCTTAAAACTACACAGGAAACATATTTCTAAAACCATTATCAGAAACCCGCTTAATATAAATTACTATTACTATTATTGCAATTGTTAAATTCGACATTCACGTGTGTTTTCCTAATACATATTCAAAACAAATATACATAAACACAAGAAAAGCTAGCAGTAAACAGATATATCGACATTCATTATTTACACCTGTATCCCTAACGCGTTTACATATGAACAATAATGTCCCTTTTCTTCTCATCCGACACAAATCTAATATCATAAAAAAAATATGTAGATAAATAAGAAGATAACTAATAAAAAAAAAATCAAAAACTTATGTTTCACCATATATACACATGTAACCATATTTGACCAGACTTGATGGAATAAAAGAGTGGAAGTGATCATAATGTTCAATCAAGTCAAAAGCAGAATGAAAAGGTACCAAATGCAAACAACTTGATTCCTTACAACACGAATTCTTCCATGATAAAAATTCGTTTTCCACCTCATTAAGTGAAACATATTGACTTCTCTCAGGTATGGTCTGAATGTCTGCAGAAATTTTTGCAGGAGAGTTATTCATGTTCACCAAACTATCATTCTTTGTCGACACCACATTGTTAATGTCATTGTCGTTGCTGGAGTTCAGATTAGCAGGCACAACTGTGTTGATAGAGTTTGAGTATTGGGGCTTTTCTAATAGCAATTCAGATAATGAAACGACGGTATTTGGTGTATCTGTTTTAGTGCTTAAGGAAGGAGAAGGTAATTGAGGAACTGTGTCGCTTTGTACGTTATTGTCTTTGGTAGTTTCATACTCCTTTACCGGTTCTTCAGGTTCAAAAATTGTCTCATATATGGGATCATATTCTTCATCTCCAGGATATATTGGTGTTAAACCAGTAAGTGGACTCATCACATGACATTCAAGCATATGATCTGCTAAACTATGGCTCGATTGAAATTCAAGTGTGCATGACGTATACGGACATTTCAATGCTGTATTTGCTGGCATCAAGTTACTCTGTTGGGGTATATTGTCATCTAAATAATTATATATCTGCTGATCTTGTGTAGATAATTCAGGTACATTATTGAGAGGGGGTATCTTGTTTGTTGTTTCATTACTCTTTGCTATGTCTGGATTTTTTAAAGATATTTCATTAAGTAAAGCCAATAATTTTTCTGCTTCTTCGAAATTTTTCTCGTTCATCTGTTTCTCGTATTGACGTCTTGTCTTGTTTGCATGAGATGTAAGGTGCCTTTTTAACTGTTGGTTAGTAATAAAGCCTTTACCGCATATCTGACATTTGCGAGGCTTCTCTTGAGAGTGCGTCCATTTGTGAACCCTTAAATGACATGGTCTAATAAAACTTTTCCCACATCCAGAAACGTTGCAAACATATGGTCTTTCATTGGTATGTGATAAAACATGTTGCTTCAAAAGTGTAGATCGCGTGTATTGCTTATCACATCCTTTCATAGAACATTTAAATTTCTTAACTGTAGTCTTTGTTTCAGTTGGTTTAGCAAGTTCTGTGCTTTCTGTCATCTTAAATTCTGTTATTGTGATTGTTACTGAGTTAAGAGCTTAAAAAAAAAAGCAAAAAAAAGGAACCAACAGGTAATACAAGCGAATGTCGTTTAGACGTAATGATTGCGTATTTAAGATCGATGAAAGAAAATATGTATAAAGTAACTAAAGAGTGATCGATTCTCCGGTAATAATCTGTTATCCACTAAGTCGAAGTATTTCCTCGAGATCAATAACAGATCGTATTGTTTTTAAAGATATAGAAAAGTTAAATCATTTTTTTCTTTTTTCTTTTTTATATTGTGTTGAGGAAAACCCTAACTAGCCCTAAAAATAGAGAGAACACTTAGATAATAAACTCTACACTATAAAAAGATCACTCATTCAAAAAAAGAACATAACAACATTGCTAAAACACAATCAACGTACTGATATAAAATATGTAGATATATAACTTATATTGCCTAAACAGGAACTGTTTTACTTATTGATAAACAACAAATATGTATTTTTGCATTAGAATAAAAAATATTTTTAGTATAATAAAAAAAAAAGTGGCATTAATATGATAAACATCATTAAACCAACTCAATGACCTAATTCTCCATGGTTGTTTGGAGTCAATAAAATCTTAATATGGATGTCTTTATGATTTATCAATTCCAAGAAACCTTTTTCCCAACCATCTTCAATCTTATGTTTACCAGTGATTAATAATTTACATTCCTTGGGATCTATCTTTTTAGTTTCAAATGCGTGGACCACTTGTTTAAAATCTTCGACAGTGTAACCAATGGATCCGGTTACATTCTTTTCTTGTAAAGTAATGTCCATCAGATTGAAATCCAAACCTTTCCCCCAAATGGCGATATTACAATACGTACCCCTATAATGAACAGCTGCAATACCGGCATGGAAAGTTGGTTCAACACCAGAACAGTCAAAGGCAAAATCAAATCCGTTTCTAGCGTCAGGAATAGAACGCAGTTTTTCAACAGCTGAATCACTGTGTATTGATGGATCAAAAGTCTCTACATGCAACTTATCAGCCAACATTCTTCTAATACTTGCAGGTTCACTAACCACAATTTTCTTAGCACCTTTTGCTTTTAACACTAAAATCATAGCCAGCCCAATTGGACCTGAACCCAAGACTAGTGCTGTCTTGCCCTCTTCGAACTTAGCTACTCTAGCCCCATGCCATGCAACAGATAATGGTTCTATCAATGCACCAACATCCATTGGTAAAAAATCAGGTAATTTGACCACGTGATGTTCAATAGCCTTCATTCTTTCAGCATACCCACCACCACAGACACCAAGACCCGTGAAACCAGCGTAATCACAACAATTTTCACATCCATCTTCGCAAGCGTCGCATTGTGGAGCATTAGCATGTTTTGAATTTGGCCAACGATGCAGGTCAACACATGCAGCACTAGCCTCAACAACCACTCTATCACCAGGTTTAAAGTTGGTCACTTTAGGACCAACCTTAACGACATAACCAGACATTTCGTGACCCATTGCCTGTGGTAATGGTTCATTTGACAATGGATTGACTTCCCCATCCTTTGGCATGAAAATTGGTCCATCTGTATATTCATGTAAGTCTGTACCACATACACCACAATAGGCGACGTCAATTATCAATTCATCGTCTGCTGTAATTACTGGTTCTGGCAACTCTTTTGTGAAATGAATGTCACCTTTTTTAAAATAAGCAAGGCCTCTCATAATGGAATTGTTTTAACTAAAAAAAAAAAAAACAGATAAAAGAAAACAGAGTATTAAAAATTCTAAAATGACTACAAAGCTATATAGATGTATTTATATATTAGCTTGTTTAGTTTTTTTCTTTTTTTTTTCAATATAAATATGTCTTGAACATAAAACTGTATTCCAATCATTATACAAATGACTCATGAGCGGCAGACTTACAAGACTTCAAGAAAAAAAAAAATAAAGAAGAAATATAAATTGAACCCAACCCTTATGTGATATATATTTTTCAATTTCCAGGTTTTACTGAATCATCATCACCTGTCAAAAACAACTTCAAATAGTCAGCATCCTCTGCCCTTCCCCCTCCCTACCATCATGATCTTCTTCTTCTCGCCCTCAATAGAACTAGAGGCGGTGCTATTTTTCACTAATTAATCATAACAATCTAGGGCAATAGTATTTAAGAGTAAGAGTCTCTGTACTTTTTATCAATGTACTTGTGTTCCTATTAGGGTTGACCAATTTTCTAGAAAGAAAAAAAGGAAATATTACCAAGTAGATGTATAGTAATTTTTGTTATTAAGAAGGAAACCCCTGTCTTTTTTTCTTTTTTTTTTTTTTCCTAAAGGAGATATCTTTTTGAGCGAAGAGAAATCGGGCCTTTTCAAAATCACCCCATGTTTTTAATTTTAAACGGCTTTCAGATCTTGTGATAATAAACACAATTAGTTGTGAGAATCCCATTCAATAAATAACGAAAGTACCAACATAAACTTATTTACTTGACCAAACAACAAACAGTATTTCTCCTCAGTTTGTACGGGAGCCGTACCCATAATAAACGAAAGTAGAGTCTACTTAAAAGCCATTTTTCAAAGTATTTGTAAAGCTGTGAAACACTTTACCATACTATATAATTTGGAAGAGATACAGCGTTGTCCGATTCTTGTTAAATTTAGTGTATTTTCATGTACAAACTTTTATACAGATATATCTTGTCATTTTCACATATGGTTATGAACAAAAAAATGTAAAAAGATATGCATGGTAAACAAATAGTTACTTTGTTGTAATGCTATTCTTTAGGTATAAATATATCTAACTGTATAAATGTAACAAATATATACTTCACAAAAATAAATTAAAACTTTTTTTCCTTCTTTCTTTTGACTATCTTACTCAATTATCAGGTAATGATTTTCTTGGTTTTTTTCTTTTTTCTTGTTTTATTTCATCTTCTTGCTTTATTTTATCATATAGACGATTCCATATATCAAAATACAGACTAAGTTTTCTTGCATCTTTATCTGATGAGTGAGCTGATGCTAAAATCTTGTCTCTGACATGTCTTAACTTTTCTAACGTATCATCTTCGTTTACCCAGTCATTGACCTTACTACTATCTCCAAAATTATCTTCTTGTTGTAATAGATAATTATGCAATAAATTGTAGTATTTTTGCAATACGGGATTTCTGAAGAATTTCGGGGAGTAACAATTACGAAGATTGAAATTGTTAACAATAGCTTCTGTCACATTGAATAGAGCATCATCTTCTGGAGTATTACTGCTATCTGTGTTAGATAAAACTAAATTTGGTACTTTTCTCATTTCCTCTATAAAAGGCACTCGATACAAAAAGAAACCTTCATTAATATCTCTTTCATCTGTTGGCTTTAAAATATGAAAACTGACATTCGTGCTATTTCTTTGTTTACCCCAAACCAACGCAACTTTATTCATCGACCGCAGATTTTTAAACAATGATACTAAAATTCTTGTTGAACCAACATACAATTTTTCATCTGGATACACAAAATATGATTTATCAACGTTGTTAAAATAATGTATACATTTTTCTGTGGAACGAAACCCAATTATTTTCAAATATGTTCCTTTATTTCCACACATTTCATTAACCGAGTCAAGTTCTTCTTCTGTCAATTCAATATTAATATTTCCTAATTGGAAAACTTTACATAATTTAGAAGGGTTAATAATTTCTCCTGTCTTTGGATGAAGGTATTTTCTCGACGAAAATGCTTCTTCTTGTATATTATCATGTTCATATATTAATTTATACTTAGTACCAGGTTTTTCCTTAGTGAAAAGTGAATACGTTTTAACTCCAACTTTTATACCAAGGTCTTCGGATATGATTAGTGAACACCTAAATGCAATACGTTTTGAATCCCTTGCCTTCAGTACTCGAGATCTAATCGCATTGAAAGAAATTGGAGTCACATTTGGCCCATCATACGTTGAGTTCTTGACCCAAGATCCACTGTTCAAGATATCTTTATAAAAAGCAGTATTAAATGGTTTATCTTCAGAATCCTGAAAAAAAAAAGTTGTTATGCTGACGAATTGTTGGTCATATAAATCTGCTGTAATTTGTTTTAATCTATTTATTATACTTTCATCTTGTGCTTCTACAGGAGAATCATTATTTGTAAATAAAAACACTCTACCGAAATTGTAGGACTTTTGATCTTGAAATTTTTGTGTGATTTGTTCTTGAATAAACATAAACAAGTTTTCTAATGGTGTCTTAGTCTGTGATATTTGACAGAAAGATGGAAGATCATATCTATTCAACCTAACATCATCGACTAAATTTGATATCTTTTTCATGGCTTTAATGTTTATATTTCTTAGTTGTATCAATTGATATATGTTATTTTCTGAAGAATCTTTGTCTGAATTATATAAGTAACAACCTATTCCACTCTCAGGTTTAATTATTATTAGCTGTTTCATTAATTCTAGTAGTGAGTCCAGTATTTCAAGTAAATAGGATCTACCAGTAGATCCTACCGGTGGCTTGAAAATTGCATCTGTCAGTTCAATACAAAATAAAATTGCCTCACATGGGATAAATCGCTTGTTTTGGGATTGTTGGTATTCCTGAGACATTATACCTATACTGTTGAGTCCATTTCTAAGGTGAAACTATCTTAAAAGTGTATTATTTTGTGAAATTCTTTGAACTGTCAAAAATATTTATGTCTTCCTGTACAATATAGAATAATTTTTTTCTTGTCCAAACTTCAAAGCTAAAATAAAAAAAAAAAATGAAAACACAACTAAAGCAGAATAAAAAAGTTAAAATTTTCAATAATTTGAAGTAATTATGAAAGTATAGCAAATTTTCGTTCCTCAACCAAACGTCTTTGAGTTAACATCATTGTTATGTTTTTTTTAGAGAAAGGAAAATCCTTTTAAAAGATAAACGATTATCTGTTTTACTATATATACATATATTAACGAGGAAAATTTTTGTCCATACAGACAAATAAAGTATAGAAGCATGTAGTATTACTCCTACATCAATTACTATAGATGAATTTGTAACAACCTGGGGAGAGCTGTTAAAAAAGATAAACCTATCCTAAATAATACTGTTAATTGTTTTTGTAGTTGACATATTTCCATATATGTTGCCACTAGCTCAGCTCATCTTCGATTTACTTTATCCTTACCTTCGAAATAAAAAAAATTAAGAACATCATCAAGTATTTGGTTAATTTAGAATGATTCTTCTCGAAAATTTTAATACAAGTTATCTTGAAATCATGTTGTATATCAAAAAAGGAATTAAGTTCCAAAATTACCAGTATACCATACCAACCTATCAAATCAATATTTATTTTTTTTTTCATATTTGCTATAAACTATACCCTAAAGTTGTCTTCTCTCCATTATTACTTGGACAACAAACCAATTAAATAAATTACCGCATTTATCTGTTACATTGTGACCCATAAATAGTCAGCCAAATACTGCACAGATTTGCTTTTCTCATCACACCCCAAAACAAAAGTTATCATTGACTCCTTTCCTTCTGTCTTTTTACACAGAACACCAGACATGAGCCAATTTTTGCCCTCATGGAAATTATCTATATGTAACAAATAGTCAACATGAAGCCCTAATACTGCTTTTTTTTAATTCAGTGGGATTTTGTCACTGTAAACACAGAAATTGTCAGAAAACTAAACAATATCATTAACATTATTTTTGATAAACCCTAATTACAACATTTTTTTCTAACATGCAATTCGCCTCTAGAGAATGTTTTGTGTGAAAAATAAAACTATACCCTAAAGCCCTTTTGTCTCTTTAAAGAAAGCATATGAGTCTGTTTTTCCACTTCTGTGAAAATCCCATTTTCTATTTTGGTAGTCATGGCAACAGATCTTCTTTGATGTGAAAGGAAATAATGAGTCAGAAGATTGGTAAACACTTTTATCCACTCATGGAGGGTAAAAATACCTGAATGTGTCATTATAAGGACATTTTGCCAAGAATTACACACTTTTTCTCAATTTTATTCCCAAAATTCTCGTACATATTCAAAAATACTTGTATATAAATAGGGATGTGATCAATTTTGGATAAGAATAATTCTTCTTGGATCTCAACAAATGTTTTTTTATCCTTCATCAAATAACCCAACATAACAACAGAAAATTAAAAAATAAAAAGACAAAGTATACATAATGGCTCAATTTGGTACTGAGTTTAGAAAGAGATATTTCCCTCATATTCCTGATGACCTTATTCCAGTAAACCATGGGTCACGTGGGTTAACACCAAAACCTATATTAGAATATTTGGATGCAATGAATAAAGAACATGAACTTGATCCGGATGAGTTTTACTTAATCAGAGCTAAGGACAGATACGTTAATCAATTAAAGTCATTAAGTGAATTTTTAAAAGTTGATTACCGTAATTTGATATTGATAACACACGCTACTATGGCTGTTAACTGTGTTTTGAGATCAATCCCATGGGATTTTAAGAAGGATAAAATATTAATCCATTCTTCTACATATCGTGCTTGTGCATATAGTGTAGATTTCCTACATGATAGGTTCAATCTCCAATTTGATGTCGTTGATATCCTCTACCCTATGGAAGATGACGAAATTGTTCAAAAATTTGAAACAAAATTGAGCCATACTAAGTACAAATTGTGCATGTTTGACACTATTTGTTCTATGCCTGGTGTGAGGTTCCCTTACAAGGAACTAATTAAAGTCTGTAAAAAATATGATACCTGGTCATTAATTGATGGTGCTCATGGCGTTGGTTTAGAAAATATGGATTTCATATGTGAATTGAAACCAGATTTCATTACCTCTAACTTACATAAGTGGTTTAGTACTCCAAAATCTTGTGCCTTCATTTATGTTGATCCTAAACATCATAGACTCATGCAAACTTTTCCTATTTCTTGGTCTTACCCTCTAAATTCAACAAAGAACAACAAAGAAGTGGAAGAGAATATATTGATTGAAAAGTTTTGGTATGTTGGTACCATTAATTATAGTGCTGCCTTCTGTATTGAAAAGGCTATTGAATTCCGTAAAAATATTTGTGGAGGCGAAGAAAATATTCATGAGTACCAAAAAGAGTTAGAGAAAAAAGCTATTGATATAGTATTAAGAGAATTTGGTTCGGGAGCCAAATTTTTGGATAACAATGCACACACTTTGAATTGCATTGGCATGTTTAATATCTCCTTCCCAAAAAATGAGAAAAATACTAAATTCATTGAAAATTTATCTGAATCCTATGATGATTATAGAAAATTTAAGCTCAGATGTGAAACTAGAATGATTAAGGAGGATAAGACATTTGCCCCATTTATTGCTCATAACAATGAACTGTGGGTCAGATTTAGCGTTAATATATATAATATTGCCTCTGATTACGAAAAATCTGCTAGATTAGTCAAAAGAGTGATTGACAAGTGTATTGAAGAGGAGCTGGAATGAGTTGTATATTCTATCCTTCTTTATTAAATATTTAATCATAATATATATAAATGGCATTGATATATGTATGCAATATTAGAAATAGTAGCTATGTAAATTTATACATACTCATGACCAGTTTGTCGTTTGAATAAAAAAATATTTATTCCATGAAATTATTAATCTAAAGCATTATATATTCACAGGATCAAATGTTTTTTTTTATTTTTAAATTTCTTCTTAAGGAATATATGTAATTGAAATTGTTTATAGAAAATTAAACATAATAATAAATTAATATAAAGGCATTTTATATCCTTTTGTACAATATTAACTTGCTTTTTGGCCTACAAAGTTCATAAAAACAATATGTTTTGCTTTAACAAAAAAAAAAAATCAATATAAAATAAAGAGTAAATATAAAAATATATTACATTATGACTTGCTATGACATCTGATTGATATTCACTTTATATTTAAATATATCTATATATAGTATTTAAAGTAAAGATTATCAATAAAATACTTATTTTTTTTCTGTAATCTATAATAATTTTAATTGAGACATTAATATTTCATTAAATTTGGTTAGTATGAAGTTCAGAGTTATATTTGACTTTAATCAGTGGTCTGTAAACTGGTGTCCACATTTGTTCCTTAACCCATTTGACACATTTTTCAAAGTCACGAGGAACCTTGATATTTTTATCTGTGTTGTCAGTACATAATGTTTCTTCAACAGTAGCAATACCTTCATCAAGGGCCGCTAATATTACAGCAGCAGCAATTCTTGCTGATGTATCATCAATAGATTCAAGGCCTGGTAACAGCCCTGGAGTAGAATCACCTTCTGTCAACATTGATGTGGCAGCCAGTTGATCCACAGCTGCCGAAATCATTCTATCACTGATACAAGATGCACGAGATAAGACGGCACCCAACCCAATGCCTGGAAAAGAGTAACAATTATTGTTTTGGGAAATACGATATCCATCCACAGGTTCAAATGGAGAACCAGTAGCTACTAAGGCATTATTATTGGTCCATTTCATTAAATCGTCAGGGAAAGCTTCATGTAATCTGGTTGGGTTGGACAATGGGAACACAATTGGTCTTGAATTGTGCTTATGCATTTCTTGAATTACTTCTTTAGTAAATGCACCAGCTTGTGTCGAACAACCGATCAAGCATATGGGTTTTGTATTGGCAACAACGTCCACTAGAGACTTTGTATTGATATCTTTCCAGTCTTTATCTGGCTTGGCATACACATATTGTTGTTCAGTAGCTATAGCTTTATGTGATTCCAATATCAATCCTTCCTTGTCCATCAAATAGATCCTAGAACGGGCTTCTTCAATTGGAAGACCATGTGTAACCATATGAGACACAATTTGGTCAGAAATACCAAGGCCTGCAGAACCTGCACCATAAACTAGTACTGTGATGTCTTTTAATTTTCTATGTGTATGTTTTAGGGCAGCAAGTAACGAGGCTACAACAACAGCACCTGTACCTTGTATATCATCATTAAAACATGGGACCTCATAACGGTATTTGTCTAAAATTCTTCTTGCATTTTTAACACCAAAATCTTCAAAATGCAATATAGCACCTGGATACAACTTCTTTACTGCGGTTATGAATTTGTCAATAAAACAATCATATTGTTCACCACGTACCCTCGAAAACTTGTTACCTAGATATAACTCATCATTAGACAATTTCTTATTATTTGTACCTACATCTAAGCAAACGGGTAAGACACGACCTGGATGAATCCCACCACATACAGTCATCAAAGCTATTTTAGAGACGGAGATACGAACGCCACCGACACCTTGATCACCAATTCCCAAAATACCTTCAGAATCTGACACAACAATATAATCAATGTCTTTAGCTTTACCACCATAACTTTGCAGTCTTTCTTCAATGGAAGCAGGGTCATTAATATCCAAAAAAACACCTTCGGGTTTATTAAATCTTTCAGAATATGAAGCAATAGCATCACCTTCTGTTGGGGTGTATATAATTGGGACTAATTCTAAAATATGTTTTTTAATTAGAGCAAAATAAAGAGTCTTGTTAGTAACTCTTAAATTGGTCATATAGTCATTTTTGCTAATAGCAGTCTTTAATTTACTCAATTGCAAATAAGCTCTTTCCAATTGTTCATCCAGAGTTTCTACTTGTGGTGGCAGTAAGCCATTTAAATTAAAGTCGGCTCTCTCTTGCTCAGTAAAAGCAGTACCTTTATTGAAAAGAGGAGAGTTCAATAATAAAGGACCATACAAGGGACATTCAATAGGACCGTTTACACACAAAGCATCTACTTGAGATTCCACCCCTTGAGCTAAGTATGAAATAGATTTTTCCATATCACTAGAACCAGCCTTGACCTGGTTCTTCAAATATTGACTTGTGCTTGTTTCTGGATCCAACGAAGTAGTTTGCACACTAAGCATTATATATATATGTTTGTTCCAATAATGTTCAATATTGCGTTTGACAATGTGTGTAGGAACGATGAACAACCCAATAAGCGAAAGATAGAATGTGTATAAAAATCCTTAATTGAATGTTCAATATGAAAGTCATAGAGTGCTTGAATATATCGATAAAACTCGAAACATAATGCATTCAATAAAAAAAAAGTTGTATATATATATATATATATATTATTATTACATTTTGACTCGGTCAGCGTTGATTTAAATCATTTTTTATACTGAACTGTATTTTTAATAAAGTATCAATTTACCCTATTGAGAAAACAACATATTATTAGATAAAAAATAAACAATAATTATTAGTTAATGAAAGACTCTATATCTTTTTATTATTCCTTTATAAATTAATAATTGTTTCTGTGATTATGTCTGCTTAATTTGATGCTTAATTTTTGTCACATTTGTCATCCCGATTTGCTCCGAAGCTTTATTATGGAATTAAACTGTTTATCTTTTGTTTTTTTTCCTCGATGAATGATAATGTCACCATTTTTTGTGGAAAAGCAAAATAACAAGAAAATTCATATTACTAGGTCTCTTCATCGTCCTTTTTCATCAATGATTTCAGAAGGGACAAAAACAATAAATAGAGGGATTATTTAGCAGGGCAATTAATCTATATGCCCACCCTTCGTTGGGTCAGTTACAATTTAATTGTGAACTATGGATAAAGTATCAAACAAAAAGGAAGGACAAGTTCCGTGATGCAGTTTGTTTATCGAGTATCTTCCCCGTTTTCTCGGTCAAGGAAGATTTGGAAATAAAAACAAAAAAAGAAAAAGAGAAAAGGAAAAAAATAGCTAAGGAAAAAAAATGAAAGAAAAAAAGACAATAGATTCTGAAAGATTTTTCTAAGATCAGTTTTGCAATTTCATAGTCACCAAAAAAGCTGAGATTTAAAACAATGTGCGATGCAGTACAATACAAAGCTAGTTTGGCGTGTTCTTGATTAAAAAAAACATCCATAAATTTTTTTGTAATTGGATACGATGTTGAATGCTGTCAATATGAGATTCTATGGATGAAAACAACAAAAAAGATTGAGAAATAGAAGACAAAAAAAATGGTTTTCACAGGGACAAGTAACCTCAATTTGATTCCCTGTAACTATTTTAATTGCTCTGTAATAGAGGAGATAAATTGGTAACACTGTCTAACTTGGTTAATACTGAACAAGATGCACCGTCTAAAGTAGTCGATATATACAGCAGCTATCTATTGAAACAATATGGACTACACATATCAGACAAGAACTATTGGATTATATATATTATTTACTGTCTTGTAGAAAAAAAAATCATATTATGTTATTCATTCTTATTCAATATGAAAACGTAGCAACTGGATATGTTACAATAAATGTGGAAACAAAACGAAAACTTAAATCTCTTATTGCTTTTAGTTTGGATATTTTATTTCATTCATAATTGCATTCAAAAAAAAAAAAAAAAGAAAACAAATAAATAATAAGTATTAGTTTTACTTATTTTTATTTTTTTTAAACAGCAGTGCATAACTATTATAGATAGTAAAAAAGTATCAGAGAATATTATAAAACAAAAGTAACATAATAATATTATTGTTTGCCATTTAAAAAAAAATTATGTAATCTAGTATCAATAGCAGATAAATTATATTTGGGAAAATAATCTCATACAACAAGATCAATGTTTAATACTGTCGGTGACCGTTCAAAATCATCGTAACACAGAACCTCATTTAAGAGAAAGTTATTCTGCTCTTGTGGCTTGCTAGATTTTACTATATTTTCATCATGCATTCTTCTGTATACTTCATATACTGAGAAAGTAAGCTAATAATAAGCCTTTAAGGTACATAACTCCTCAATACAAATTTTTATACTTTCTAAGAGTAATATAGTTCATAAAAGATTTTTCAAAAAGAAAAACATTTTAAAGAGGAGAATAAAAATTATAAAAGATTGATATGTACTTATTCATATACAGATTATACCGATGTATGTATTACTTATCCATAATTTTAAAAAATTAGGGATCAGGTGGCCTACTGTTTAATTCGTCAACAAGAAATATTTTAATTTTCTACTTTCCAAGAGGGAAGGTTAATATTAAGCTTTAAAAGTATACCACCCCATTAATACCTACTTAGAACAGAGCTTAAGAGAAGATTGTCATTAAAGTCTAAATAAGAAATGATACGCTAACAATTATAATAGCAATGTAGCATTTTTTATTTGGCAGACTGATTAAATGTATTTCTATCACATATTTCAAAGTAACTACCAAAAGAAGCAGGATTTTGAAACAACTAGTTTACTTGTTCTTATTAAAACTCTACACCTACCCCACTTTAGCTGTATTGTTCATGTCAACATCTCTAGAATCTACATCACGATATGCAACCATATTACCAATATAGGAATCTACTGCACTCCAGATGTCATTCAAATTATATCAAATAGTTAAATAATGTTCAAGATGTACAGAACAATACTTATATTTGAAACTTCCAGCTGAATCATATTCATAATTTACATTGTACCAATTTCTTTTTTATTCTATTGTATTCTGTGAAATAGTGTCTCTCCTTATAAATGATAGTTTAATTTCATTATTTAACTCATCTGAAGATATATTCAATCTATAAATAAGAATGTCATTTATGGTAGTAATAACATTATGCAGGGGGAATTTTGTATGATCTTATTTATATAATTTATCAGCTTCATTGAAAATAAGTTCAAAAAAACTATCAAGAAAATTGGAAAGGTAATGATTTCAATGACTCTTTGTCTCTATTTATAAATATTGTAGTAAGCTAGACATATGTATAGATAGAATAAGATATAGTAACGCTAGTAATAACATGATTTAATCCACTATCACAACCTTCTTCATTCGGTGGACAGCCAGTACAATAGGCAGTCAATTTTCTCCATTTAGCAGCAGCACTGTAAGTAGTAGCTATTAGTGAACAAAGGATTTGCAACCATATTCTTCTTTGTAAAAAAGAACCTCCCTTATCAAGAAATCAAATATCACAGTTGCCTTTAGAAAAATTATAAATAGATAATTCATAAATAACAAAATATTGTAGTAAAAAAGAACTGTTTTTTTGTAAATAATTTTGAACTAAAATGTTGTTTGTTATTATAAAATTTCCAAGTGAACATTTTCTATTAATTTGAATGGGAGAGCCATTATATCTTTAGTCATAATAGTTTCGCTCAATAGAGTGCACTAAATTCTAATAAATAATGTTGCTATTTCCAACAAACAATAAAATTTATGATTTTGTTTAATGTTAATATTGTTATGAATATCAATAGAATATCTAGTGTATGAAGAAATGCGTAATATATTGGATCAGAGACAACTCAAACTAGAAAGTAGGGGATTATGAATTAGTATTAATATCGAATTTGATTTTATAACCGATCATATATAACATCATTAGGGCTAGAGATTGCAATAAACTTGAAAGACCCAAGTAAATGGTACTATATTTTTTCCTGATAATGGCATGTTCTACTCTGCCAATCAAAATCATGGTATGAAAACAGTCGTAGGAAAATTAATGTTCAAACTACTAAATGTAGTCTGAGAAATTTTTTGTCTCAGTTGTAAACAAAATCTCAGAAAAATAGAACATTCTATTTTTCTAGATCTTGCTCCAGGGGAAGCATCTCAAAACGGAACAAAAAAATACAGATGCACGATTTGTTAATAAAAAATTCTGCAACCCGTAGATTTTTTCGAACTTTTTCTGTCAAACAAAAGGTTTATCTTTAAAAAAGTGCAAATCTTAACAGTTATTTACTTTAGATTGGATTATAATTTCCTTTCCATTTAAGAATTCTATCTGCTGGCGCTGACAGATGTGATGTGAGGTATACATATTCCTAGTATAATGATATGATTAATACATTCTCAATTAAAAAAAAAAATAAAAGCATTGTGTATGAAGTAAGAAAAGGATAACAGAAAGTGATTTTGATATGTTAGCCATGGTAATTAATAATTTGGTAGATCTTGTGAAGGAAATTTGAAACGGCATAAAAGAAAACAGGGAATTGACAAAACAGACTCTGGATAATGGATGTCGTTTACATAAAGGAAAAAGAGACAAAGAGGGAAAGCTTTTGGAAGAAGGAACCAATACTGAACAAATTGTATTTGAGAAAGAATTTAATGCAGATTAAAGAGTAGAATATGGTATGACAAGACAGGAAAAGATACATAGATGATATCAACAATAAATAAAAGCCAAAATTTTGTAAGGGTTTTTATCGAAGAAGGTATCCATCCATCTTTAGTATTGGATCCCATATGAAACTTCTACTTAAACTATAAAAGTTAGTTTTATGCAGCGTATTAAATTAAATATACAATAATTAAATATCGATGAGTATTTCTACCAGTTACCTCAATAAATCAAAGGTCTTTTTGAATAAAAAATAAAATAACTTTCCCTACTTGGATTATCCAACAACTATTATCACCATTGTTACCCATTTAATGCATTTTCTTGACTGAATCAATCCCCTTGAGTCATCATGTTTTAGAACACCTAAATATAGAAAATGCATATTTATAATTTAGTAAATAGGGACACGCAACCAATATATAAAATCTGATACATGTAGCACAACAAAATAGTAGCGAGACTTTTGAATGGTAAATAATTACTAAATATTTTAAACTTTGGTGAACAAAAGTTCATATATTCTGTTTATTAAAAAAATAAATTAAGAGTTTGAAAGAGTTATATTAACATAACGTCAAAAGCTTTTTTTCACACAAAGATAGATTTTTAAAAATAGCGAAACCGTAATTCTTTTTTGTCATCTGTTTGTATTTTATCAAAAGCCATACCTCGTTTTCCTACGAATCAAGAGATTGTTATAATGTTTTTAGATACTTATTTACTAGCTGCTATTTTGCTTATTGTTGTTCTTCCTTCATACATTCTAT